AGCTTCTGCATAGCTGTTGAACATTCCTGTGTACCAATCACAGGTGTTCTTTCCCATGTGAAGTTGCTTGAGTTGCTTCTTTGCGGTTTCCTTGTTTGGGAGTAGGCAGAAGTATTTTCGGAACTGATTGATGAAATCTTCCCATGACTGGTAGTACCCTTCCGGATCAGTGAAGGTCGGATCCGTCTTCTGAGCCTCCTTCGCCTCAAGCCACTTTTTCTTGTATTCGGTCATCTTCCTATATTCAATGGACGCCCAGTTCCGGGTTTTGTCTTTCTCCGTTTCATTCACAAGTGCGACCATGTATCGAATTCTTGCAGTGGCTTCATATTCGTTTTTACTATCCAAATATGTTTCCACTGCTTGAATGAAGGTTTCGACGTCTTCTGCTTTTCCTGAGAATTTGGGTGGTTTGGGGATATCCAACTTGGGTTTGGATTCTTCCCTTGCCTTCCGGGCTTTCTCCAGAGTAAGGAAGTCGTCGTATTTCTTCAACATTTCTTCCAAGCCAGTTGCCATCTTTGCAGTGCCTCCGCTAATTCCTTCTACATGTGGAGCAGTTTCCGTGAGGGTCTCGCTGATTGTGATGATGGCTTTGTTGGCTAGTCCCCAGATCTGATATAGGATTGCTCCTACTCCTATCAAGAAGACTATGGTATGGACTTCGGATAGTTTTTCCGAAAGTTACGAGTCCGTTAGGAGTCGTTCTTATGCGGTTCGAAAAGTGAGACTTCATTTGAGCCTTCATTTGCGCTTGACAGCCTGTCGTTCTTTTCATTTTACAAGTTCATTTGATCCTTTGATTGCTTTGATTGGTTTCATTTGCCGTGAGGTCCTTGAAAACGAGACTTCATTTGAGCCTTAATTTCGAGGATTTGATGGACAGGTTTTGATGGCTTCTTTATTAACTTCTTTATTCATCTAACATTGTGGTGCCTCTGCATCGTGCTTTAATGAGACTTCATTTTAGCATTCATTTTGAGTGCTTCAAGCCTCAATTTCATTAATGGATGTGTCGATAGCTGTCAGTTTACTAGGGCATATCATGCTATTTTGAGCAAAAGACTTTATTAGAGCCGTGATTTTAAATACTGTTTAAACAGTGTTGATAGTTTTAAACAAGTCTACGTGTCCCCAATGCCAGACATATGACGAAATTCAATGTCGCTCATTCTTTTCTGCCAGCACTAGCTATGACATCATTCCAAGGGTTCAGAATAGGGGCAAAATAGGAGTTCTTCCATTTGCGACTGCGGCTGGCCGGTCTCGGAGCCCCACTTTGATGGCATCACACTTGTCATCAAAGCGTCCGGAATTTGCCTGATTGGGGGTTCAATTCGTGCTCGAGCCATTTATTTATATTCATGATAAGCAGGCAGTAGTCCGCGGTCAGATAGCTGTAAGTTATTAACTTGTTAGTTTAAATTCTAGTGGGTATGTTAATATATATTTAGGTACTTCATGTTCACGTTACTTAAACTGAAAATTATGATAGAATCATTATTCTTGTCATATTCAACAAAATATGTGATCTTGGTGGGCACCATTGGTCAATTCTGGTGCGAGCGCGAGCGCACCCAAGGTGTGCGCCAGCGAGCACCCTTAGCTTATGCCACCACACTTCAGAGACGGACTCGTAACCTGCCATGAGCCTGCGAACTGGCCCATAAAACAAGTCCGCTGGCTAGGGCGGGTGTGGATGGTAATCCGGAGAGTTGTACGATGGTCTGCCAGGCAGACTGAAATATTTGTTCGGCCATAGCTAGTCGTTATAGCGGGCCTTGGAGGTTTGAGACTTCGTTCTTCTGTTATGGACTATACGTGATACAAGCACGTGTCGCCCAGTACTCAGCGACTTTGTGGTCGATGAATCAACTCGTGACTACGTCAAGAGTTCTTCGCCTGTAGCTTTGTGAACTTCGAGCTAGACTTTGAGTGATAATTAAAGATATTTGTATTTGCACTGAGACTTGGTATAGCTTTATAAACAATTAAGAACGAAGTGAAGAAACTAGCTAAGAGAACTAGAGAGTTTATATACTAGAAGACGTGTGTTAGCCATGAGGCGTAGTCCTCATGGGTAACATGCGTATTCCGTGGAATGTATGTAGGTTTCAATGAGTTTTTAATAAGTATCAGTCAGCAATCAGTAATGCGCAGTAAATATGAGTAAGACTATGAGCTGAAATGAAAAACATAAGGTAGAGATGAGGCAGGTATAGTAATACAGTATAGTAAGCATATATGTTCGTAACACTTTCAGGGGCTCGCATTGGCAACCATCGTCCACGATTCCGACTAGGCTTGGCCTGCGATACCATCGTAGAACTGAAACATCTACTAGAGTTAACAGAGCCTCCATGTCAGAGATGACACTACCTTAATACCAGCACCAGCCTTGGTTACGCTATGCGTGTCTGTTGGTAACTTTTTGTTGCAATACGAAGGATACTGATGTGGATTCCATTACCCAGGCGGAGGAAGGATGCTGCAAATTCAACACCAGATCCAGCAATACTAGACACAGGACCGATGTCAGGGGCCGAATACGCACCTTCGGACACAACAAAAGGCGGTGCGAGACTGCCAAGCTTCGACCAAGAGACACTCTAGGCCATCTAGTGTCCTAACCTTCTGGCCGCTATGGTCGCCTCGAAACTCAGAGGACTGCCCTAAGTTCATCCGTAGCAAGCGCCATACTAAACTTAGCCTGGAAAGAGCGTTCGAGGCACCGCGCCCAGCTTAACTCAATTCAGTCCTCGAGTTCTCCTTGGGGGCTTCGAGGATTCCTTCGACAGGCGGCGATCATTCACTTCAGTCGAGACTTTAAGAGATACACTAACAGTAACTTCGACGCGCGTTTCAAGTTCATTGCATTGTGATCTCTACCACATTTCGAATCCCTCAGCGTGGACTTATCCCAAGCCCGGGAGTCGTGACCTCTATACTTGAGTTCACCGATCATCCTCTCACCATATTCTGTACTTCACAAGGTTTACCTTTGGCCAATAGGTGCAAGGCAGTGTTTCTCCAATCACGAACGCCAAAGCGTCCTATTGCTGAAGGTTTCGGTGTGAGTAGCCCCACCTCTCCACCGGTAAAGCCATGGTAAAGTCAGCGACGATACCCATCTGACCATGCCACAAAGCTCACCACCTTACGAAAGACATATGGAAGCTCACCAGCGCACGACTAGGTCCTTACGATATGCGCTTACATTCACCTTGTCTATGACTCCGGAGGCCGGGTAACACGCGTTGTTCAGCCATCCCCTGACCATTCTTCTCACGTACTCGACACCAGGAGCCTTCCAGCAGAGTAATGCCACTAATCAAAGCGACCAGTACGGAGACTGATTCGAGAATTTAGAGAGATAGTAAGCAGAAGAGTCAAGACGTCCCGTATGGAAGGATTCCATCGAAACAATCATTAAGCGCCCGTCAGGCGGCTGTCCATTTTCTGATCCTGTGAGAAGATCGATAACAGCCTCACGTCTCTGAATGCACCCGACAGCATATCCCAACCCTCAGCCAGCCGTCTTTCGCGATAACTGAGACAGATAACTGACTGCTTTTTCCTCGGATCTCAATGTCAGGTCACTTTTCCTGATACACATCTCACTTGTCAATCGCAGCTTGAGCTTCTCCCAACAAACAGGACCTGATCACCTCATTCATAGCTGATGATGGGCCAAAACGATTGATTCGACCGCTTCGACCCTAGAGAGCCGCATAGACGCCCAATCGCATCCATCCACCCTCCGAGATTTCTCCCACTGTCTTATCAGCGTCGTTCTGATCGTCTGGCGATCTCCATCGAGGAGTCTCCATTCTCGCTTTCAACTTCAAGACAAGCACAGGAGTACACGACGCATCCCCCAGTGCCTCAAAGGACAATTACGCCTAGTACAACAGGGCTAGTCGGAAGTACAATACACCCAAAATCGTAAAATGCTCGCTTCAACTAGCTCCACCCAGTGTGAAGTTTCGTCTTGAAAAATCCAAACTAGGATACTTCTGGTCTAGCGATTACACAACCCCCCTGCAGATGCTCAGGGGCTGAGGCCACATACCTTCCCTGGCCTATTCCAGCGCCCTTCCATCCTGCGTGTCTTCGAAAACCAGGCCCAGAGGTCTCCCAGCCAGGCACCTGCCTCAGCCGAAGATTGCGCTCACTACATCCCACATGCACCGCCTGCTTCGTTCGTATGCTTTCAATTATGCCCGTCGATCCGAATTTTGAACGGAGTCTATCCCTGTCTATTCTCAACGATTCATAGTGTTGTTTCAGGGTCTTCGAAATTTCGGGGTGCACATATGGCCTGTGTGATTGATACATTGAGCTTCTAATCCGGGGATTCATGTCGGAGAATCCCAGCGAACATAATCCTAAGAGGTGAAACCTTGAAATGTTTTCTATGAACTCGACAATGATTCGAGGCGCGAAGGAGGCCCGACTTCATGTCCTGGTAGAATCGAGACATAGGAGTCACGGTCAGACCTTTTCGAACGCACCAGCTCATCATGAAATTTAAAATCCCATTTTAGGCGAATAAAATACCATATATGACATCCATCTCTCCCTATCTTTATCCCAACTAGATTGAACAGCCCAAATACCCGAGAGAGAGGAAACCCAAAGTCTAAGTCTAAGATCAGAATGCAAGCTGGCACTGGGACGACAACTAGGTAAATCGTGTATGATGCGTCCAAGTTCCACTAAATAACCAAACGAACTACCAACACAAGAAAACGAACGCGAGACAGGGTAAGGAACGTGGTTTTATAACTAATGGTGATGAATAAGTAAGGTAAGTATGTACTGTCGGTGCTGTATCATTCCGACGACGGGAGGGTAACTGCAATAAGATAAAGTAGCGATAAGAGCGGCTGATAGTCATTCAAGGCATGGCATGGAAACAAAGTGCTATTGCGCAAGAGTGAAGAAATGAAGCTCTGAATCAGCATGGATAGTAGAGCATATGGTCCCGTCGCACCCAATCAACACTTCTCCCACATCTTGACAGAGTCACTAAATCAAAAAGTATCAAGTTAACGACGATGCGTCCCTTGGAAGTGCTTGGATATACGCACATGATCATAGACCTCTTCTCGACATCTTGCCAGGTTGGCATCCACTCGTTCCGTGCCCTCCAGAAGTCACCCATGGCAGCTAAGATTGCAACAGGAGGTTCAGCCAGGTGGGAAGAAGAGATGGCAAGATTCGAACGCACTCTGGGACCCATCCAACCAAGGCTTCTCCTTCGAATCAGGGAACCAGCCATTCGTTCCTCCAACACCAACGTCGAGGATCAAGTAGAACTCTTAAGGAACACAAGGGTTTAACTCCAAGCGTCTTTACGCTCGCGAAAGAACAACAGCCACTCACTCTGATCAAACGGCGCCGCCTTGGTTCCATTAGCCCACAGATTCGATACCATAACCGTCTCGCCCCCGATGTTCGCAAACGGAGGGAACTTGCCGAGCTCCCAAAAGGACTTTTTGAGCCTGAGATCGAGCATGTGGTGCAATCTCGAGTCGACGTAGATTCGGCTAGTGTGGAGAGCGGAACGTGGTGCAGTTCATTTGGGAGGAAGGAACGACGGAAGGTGATTTGAATTTGGTGCGTAGTGAGGAAGCATCGAGGGTGGGGTTGATCGATGAAGCAGGGCCGGCAAGTGGAGAGACCGAAGGTCGAGAAGAGAAGAGCGGAAGGAGTGGATCAGCGCACTGATACCAAGACAGGAAAGGAAACGACATACATAAACTCCTCGTCCCATTCCAAAGCATAGGTATGGAAATCAGTGTCATACGAACCACGTCGTAACGACCACCATCCATAGGTCTTGTAGGCGCGGTTCAGAGCATGCGAAGGTCCCCAGTTCAAAGACCCGCGGACATAGTTCGTCCCTCTGTATCATGAAAAAGGGTAAGGAAGAAAGAAGGATTGGCGATCAAGTCGGTAAGTTTTAAATAACAACTAGGGACAGAGACTAGATGTACGCACTGATAGGGATACTCTGGGCCATTCCCTCGGGATTCCATGATGTCGATTTCACCTAGGAGAGAAGAAAACGCCAAGTTAGCCCAGAAGAGATAACGGAAGGCCAGATAAGATGCGTACCGCTCTTAGGCCAAGGACCGTAGACGTTGTCGACGGGTAACATCCAGATCGCAGGCCATAACTGAATAGATACGAATCATTAGAGGCAATGTATCAGATGCAACATGCAACAGAACGTACCCAGTCCCTAGAATGCAGAACCCATCAGCCCATCCATTGCATGATACACCAAAAGATCTATCCCAAACTCACCCAGTCGGGATCTTGGCCCGCACTTCGACCCGACCATACTTGATGCTGGCGCTTAACCTCGTACTCAGCCGAGCACTGCGAATAGGGTTGATGATTTGTCCAGAGGTGGAATTGCTGACAGCCGAGCACGCTTTCACATAGCCTGCCAAATCAAACTCTTCATCCTGGCCCACCGCACTGACGTCCAGAGGCTGCGATCCCGCATCGAGGGTGTAGGAAGTTCCTCTTGTGATGTTGAACGTGCAGCCCGTGATGTTGAAAACGTGGCCGTCGATAACAGCGTCTTCGCCAATGAGGTCGGATGTAAAGGTAGGCGTGATGTAGAGGTTGCCGTTCTTGACATATGAGTTCTCGTCAGAGTCGGTTGACATTTCGAATTCGCCATTGCTAGGAACGGAAGTGTGAAGGATTTAGTAATGATACAGCAGCTGAAAGACCGAATGACGCACCCAAACCCACTCATATCCACTTCCCTGAAGAACTTGCCTCCCTCCCCAAACAAACCATCAGCACTATTGAACTCTTCATCCATAACAACGCAGAGTTTCCCCTTCATGATAGGGACACTGTTCCATCCTAAGAAGCAGCGAGCAGCGCCTCCCAGAATTCCGATGAGCATGACACCGTACGTCAGGAAATAGGCAACGCGGTTGTAGGGATCCTTGACCTCCGCCCACGGCTTCTCGATAGGCTTCTCCTTGTCCAACATCGTGCTCTTCGGCCGCTCTTTCTTGATCTTGGGCATCGACGGGTTCACCGTGCTGTACATCGTCAGAGGCCGTGTCCGAGGCGACGAGAACGCCTCCCGCCGCGAGGACGGCCTCGAAGTCGTGTAGTCGCTCGTGTTGGGCCGGCTGCCATATAGGGATGAATTGTTTCTTGGAAGTTCGGCGAGACTAGTTGAGCCCGACTGAGTGCGTCCGCGGTGGCGAGAGGGTTCAAAATAGTGGGTATGAGGAACGACGAGGCTGCCCGAAGGCGTGTGCGCGGGAGAAAAGCTCGAGACGCTTGCCGGTGGAGAGAACGGCCCGCCCGACGCTCCTTGTTGGAACGTCTGGCTGCGAGGCGTGATGGGAGGCGAATCGGTGTTCGTTGAAGACCCTGTCCGCGAATGCGACGACGGCGGTTTAGACTCAGAGTCCACTCCTATGCCTCCGCCTGCGAACCTCCGCTGAGGTGGTGTCAGTTTGTCGTCGCTCATACTAGAGGGGTGGGTAAGGAGCGGATGGTCGCAGAGAACACAAGTCCCTGTCTTTAGCGAAAACAATCAGAAGGATCAAGCAAAACCAGAGAGAAAAAAAGAGTCGTGTCAGGGAGGGTGATAAGAGACTATAAGGATATTCGGATTGGTGATAATGCTTGACTGAAGGACAGCGTTGGACAGGATGTTGTTCCTGGGACCCAATGAAAAGGCAAGGTGTGAAAGAATCTCCGACTTGAGACACCTAGGATCAATCTTCTCGAAGCGCTTCTCATCTCATAACTCCAACCAAATCAGGCCGGGGGCGGAGACAAACCGCTGGCGACCCTTCAAGCGCTTATACAAACCACAGAACCTTCTCAGTGTCCCTTCATGTCGTTCTGTCTATGAATAGAACACCCTTCCGGTGAATACAATCTCCTCGAAATAACTGTGCCTCATTTGCTAATGGGATGGGAGACTTACTTCTATAGGCATGCGCTTCTAGTGAGGCCATAATCTTGCTATCATCCATCCCCTTCGCTGGTTGTAATCCTTGCGACAGATTGACGGTTGCATTCAAAGTTGCCCGTTGTTTTCGAGGTTGCACAGAGGGCGTTGTCCTTTTGTCTGTCTGGAACAATCATATCTATCCGGATATCGCGCTGTATTAGATCAGTAAAGTCCATCTGGAAACTAATTACATACTTCACTTTAGCTCATTTTTGCCTTCAACGATATTTGTAGGTTTCCCAAGGGTCGCAGGATTCCCGTCTCCGACGACAAGCGCGGGTAAGCGCACTTCCATGAGGATTCCGCAAGGCAAGGAGGTGAAATGAACTGTCTTTCAGCCACCAAACTGGAAATCACTTCTCCGGGTCCACGGAAAGCACTGGGCACCTGACGAGGCAGTCGGCGGCCGACCCACCTCGCTTGACCTACCATTGAGGGCATTCCTTCCATTTACCGAAGTATCCTCGACAGTTCAGTCATATTGACTGCGTTTGACTTTTCGCATCTGTCCATCAACAGTCAGCCAAGAAGATAAGGATAGCAATAACTAGACCTTCGGCATGCGGTCTCAAAAGCTTGAGAGTGCTTACAGCCACCTAGGAGCCTAGACTTACCCCCATCTTGCAAGTCTAAATGACAAGTTAGTTGCAATCCACCGGCCTCGCCAAACGTACGTACAGTCGATAATCAGCGAGTATGCTTTGCCAAGGGGCAAGGCACAAGTCACTTCGAAAATGCCGACGAAGAACCTACGAGCTTTGCCAAACGGGTATGCCCTGGCATATGGCTGTGATTTCAATTGTCGTTTTATCGTACAAGTGCACACGCCTTGTATTGAGCACCCGGTTTCCGTTAATAGTGCGCTGATGTCGAGATCTGGAAAGACTTACCCAGAGGGATTATGGATGGACAAACGGTGGAATCGGCGCCACTGGCAGATCAGATCTCAAGGATCGCTCAAATCCGAGTTGGATCATTGTAGGCGATCCGAGTGTGTGATTCGATTTCGAAGAATCCCAAGGTGTGTTTCCGGTCTACATATTGTCGTTCATCCAGGTGTGTGGTTAAGAGACGAGATAGACGTTGGCGGTCACGAAGAAAGCGAGAAAGAGCAGGCAGGATCTTTGAAGTTGGCGCCGACAAGGGGAACGAAGTTCGCACCGTCAAGCCTCGTTTTCGACTCCCGCTCACGACAAACGTTTCCTGGACGGTCGTTCATAAATAATGGTTGCCCATTCCTTGCCTTTCGGGGGCCTGGAATTACGATAAGTTCGTCCCCTGCACTCTTTCTATAGACGACGTCTTCGGACCTATCTCTCCGGAAACATGGCAGGGAAGCCTGAGTGTCCGCGTCATCTTTCAGCGTCGGCGCTTGCTCAATACGAACTTCTGACTGTCGGGCGGTCAAGAAGTTTCGCCAGACTGTCAGAGACTCCTACTAGCCTGTACCTGGAGCATCTAGAAACATATGTGTAGGATCTTCACTCAATTGTATGTCACTTAGTGTATTGCAGTCAAAGTTTGAATCCGTTCTATTCTTGTTATCACTAACGTCCCCTCGGGCTAAAAATAGTTCTATGTCAGATGGAAAGAGCCCGTCGTTAAGTAGACGAGGGATGGCGCGCGCGAGACTCGCGGAAGCTGTGGCCTGTACAGGCCACAACTTGAGATACACTTGAAGCATGTGCGTGCCGAAAGAATATGGCCATATGCGCTAGGATTGGAACTGATGAGCTCCTCCAAGATGCATGGTGAGTCGCATCACGTACATCTTTGTTCTCTTACTGTCACTAACTTTCATGGTCTAATCTAGCCCTGGTTGGCTATATTTACCCTCTAGCAGGGACTCGCAACGGGCCGTATTCTGACCCAAAGACAGGAAGAATGGCGCCCTGTACAAGGTGTACATATCATTTACGGCTGTCCAGTTGCTACAAACGAGATGCTGATACATTTGTCCGAACACGTTTCCATGGATGGATGCAAGCGAACGCTCCGGGGAGACTCACCAAAGGGGGATCGCCGATAAAGGGATTTAGTGATGGGCGCCTATCACATCGCCTTCCTTTTTCGGACCAAGCAATACCCACGCGTGGCCACGTACTCACGCCTCGACTCGGAGTGGCAACCCAAAGTTGGTTTTCTTCTTCCATGTTACCGACGAACCTCAGAATGAAAATCGGATTAGTTGCGTAAAACCGCCCAATTTCATTCTAAACCCCAAATTTTCTGACTGTTCTCAGGTGGATTTCCAGCCATGCACCGTTTCCATTTATAAATAGCGCATCACCACACGAGGGAACGTGTTTGTACAACTTACCTGGGTTCGGATTCCACGGAAAAAGAGTGAACCGCAAGCCAATCTGCCATGCTGCTGATTGGGATTGTGGTTTACATAGGCGGCTGGAATCCTAGCAACAATGCGTTCACTGCTTTGGTTCCGACTTCTCGAAGCGAGTAGCTTCCTCGTCGGAATCAATCTATCTCCCACCGGAAATCTGGGTGTTTCGCTGGGCGATGGCTATCCCTATATCCCCGATCAGGGTCTGTCAAAGGAGTGGTTGGAATGCGGGCAAGACACACGACAAGAACATCAGTTCTTCGATAGGTCCAGAGACATTATCGTGGGTGCGTGGCCAGGCCTGGAGGAAAGTGTCAAACAGCCCTGTTCAGCCCTTCACAATCTGAACAAGGCGACCGGCGTCAGATTGCTGTCTTTCCTTCCATTACCTACTCATTACGCTGTCGACTTAGATTCGTGATCCACCCAATCTAGGAGTTTCGATTCCAGGGTTGAAGAGAAGGGGTTGTTGCGGTGCGGTTGTACAGCTTCCCCAGAAGGTGGTGCCTTGCGTTCGCCCGGACGTTTGACCTGTCCAAAAATCCCGACCAACTCTCTTTTATACTCTGGTGTGGCAAAAGGCTACCCTTTTCTCCTGGGTCCTCCAGTGACGACTGTCGCATTACCTTACTCGACCCCACGGCTTTCGGCCTCCCTTACGCTCGTTAGCCCATAATAATGGGAATCATGGAGTACGATTCCTTCGATGCCATTCTACATTATATCTTTCGCAGCGTATGGCTCATTCATTACGACCTCACCGTTGCCGTTGCTGACGTCTGGTTTCTGTAGACACAAGGAGATGCCTGGTTCAAACCGTCGGAGGAGAACGTTTCCGCGGGTGTTTGTATCCGAGTAGAGCCAGGCCATTATCGCGTCTTTCCCTACGAGAACCCGTTCTTGACACCCTTCGAAGCCGCCGTGCGAGAGCTCAACCCACTCATCGCAACCAAAGTCCGGAGTGCAGCTGTCCATTCAGCACTGGCAACTGTGTACGCCTAAAACTTTGTGTTGTTCAACACAGTGCTTACCCGTTTGGTCTCTCCAGGTCTGAAGATTCCACGGCGATCTATATCGACGCCAACACCCGAATCCAAATTCTCGATACCGTAAGCCATTTAGCAAGAGCCGATAAGGAGCAGTGTGGAGCCTTCCTAGTGAGTTACACACCCTTTGTCCATTCCGGACTGTACTCAGCAATAAACAGCGCGACGAACGAGTTCTTGTGGTATGGTGCGACGACCTTGACCAGATAATCCCATTATGCACGGAATTCAACGAGAAGATCATGAAACTCGTCTGGCGGACGCGGATGATGCACACAAGCTCGATCTTCACCTCCCGGTCGTCCCTTCCCGTCCCCTCAATAGGCTCAAGCGCGCACATTAACGAGAAAGCACCCGACATTATCCCCACTGTTGGCACCACGAAACCTGTCGAGCCCGAGCAGCCACCGCCGCCCCCACGTAAATGGTACAGTTGGAAGCTCTCTCGGAGTAAACCGACTTCGGCGACCCAGTCATCCGACCCAGAGAAAGGTGACGACCGACAAGAACGGCCTGTTCGCCTATTTGCACCCTTCTATGCCGGACTAGGTTTTGGACTTTCAGTCTGTGAGCTACCTTGATGCTGTCCCCGATATAGGAGCCCACCGATCGCTTACACCCTTTGTTCCCCAGTCTTCGTGGCCAGCGGCTTAGCCATCGTACTACAAGAGTTCCGACTGGATGGCGACTTCACTCGTTTTGCTCTTCTCGTCACCTTCCCTTTCCTTGTCTGTGTTGCTTTGGTACGTGTGCATCAGAGCTAGATTCCTTGTACCATGCTTACACTCCGCACTAGTTCTTCGCCCTCCAAATCATTGCCAACGTCTCTTTCTGGTAAATTCTCTCAAGGCGATCAAGAAGTACTTAGGGGCTAATCGGATCGGCTTTAGCATCGGTCCCGTGGCGCAGTATCATGAAAACTCCAAGTACTACTCTGCTATCAAGCCCGCACCGAACGATGAGGTCGACTCCAAACTGCCTCATATTACAGTGGAGCTTCCGGTTTACAAAGAGAGCTTAGAGGACACAATGTAAGCCATTCTCTTGCATCTTTACCTCGCAATTTGTGCTCGTGCGCGTCACTCTTCATTAGCATTTCCCTTCTCTTCATACCCTTGTTATGAAAAGCGATCATGCCTGCGCTTCCTCCTCTTCTCGCTATTACCTGCAAAACTCAAATATGCTTACTGCGTGCTTCTCGTTCCCAGAGCACCCTCGGTCTATTCTTTGAAGAAGGCTATGCAGACGTATGCTCGCCAAGGCGGTACTTCGGCAATTTTTGTGCACGACGACGGTCTTCAACTCCTCGACGAAGCAGAACGCGAGAAGCGTATCGCCTTCTACGCCGACCACAACATCGGATGGGTCGCCCGGCCTCCCCACTCGAACGACCCCGATGGCTTCCAGCGTGCCGGTCGCTTCAAGAAAGCTTCCAATATGAACTACGGCCTCCAGGTAAGAGAAGCTCCTCCCCCTCCCCTATAACCTTCTTAACTGATCAACGTTTCTCTCTCCCCAAATAGCTTTCATTATGCATGGAGAAGCACATCATGGCTCTCGAAGCATCGGGAGAAAAGTTTGACGACCCCTTCCAGCCTTTGGAAGAGCGTGCTCTGGAACTAGCAGTCGAGGAGATTTACGAGCAGAGTGGGAAGAGGTGGAAACCCTGGGCCTGCAATGCGCGTTCACTTCGCATCGGAGACATCATCCTACTCGTCGACTCCGATACTATCGTACCAGAGGACTGCTTCAGGGATGCGGCGCGCGAGCTTCACGAGTGCCCTGAGGTCGCGATCATTCAACACGAATCCGGTGAGTTTACCATCCTACCTTGTCGCTCCTCGTACCTTCGTCCTCATCTCTGTTATCTCTAGACGTCATGCAGGTGGCCCATCACTACTTTGAGAACGGTATCGCATACTTCACTCGACGTATCAACAAGTGTATCTCGATGGGTTGTGCCAATGGCGAAGTGGCACCTTTCGTCGGCCACAACGCCTTCCTTCGATGGTCAGCCCTCCAAGAGGCTTCTTTCGTCGACCCAGATGATGGTGTCACGAAAGTCTGGTCCGAGTCCAACGTGTCCGAAGACTTTGACATGGCGTTGCGGTTACAGCTCAAGAACTACATCATTCGATGGGCGACGTATTCTGAAGGTGGCTTCAAGGAGGGTGTATCGTTAACGTGCGACGATGAGCTGAACAGGTGGCAGAAGTACTCTTACGGTGCGTGATTCCTTCTGCTTCTCGAGTACCTGAGCTGACTCTACTCTGTACTCTAGGTTGCAGCGAGCTGATCTTCAATCCCATCATCCGCTGGTGGCGACTCGGCCCAATCACGAAGCAACTTCGCGTCTTCCTCTGGTCCAGCGCGCCTGTGCACTACAAGATCACAATGATGTCCTACATGTTCTCTTACTACGGTCTCGCTGGATCATTCCTCCTCTCCGTCATCAACTACCTCATGCTCGGTCTCGCTCTGGAGGTGGATGGATTCTACATGCACAGTTTCGAGATCTTCCTCGCTTGCACTGTCGTTTTCCCTGGTCTGGGTAACGTTGGATATACCCTACTGGAGTACCGGTTAGGACACAAGGATCTTTTGAGGGGATTGTTCGAGAACTTGATCTGGGTTCCGTTCTTGTATGTTCATCACTCCCCGCGCGCTTTCTAGTGCTAACAGCTTTGCCATGCCAGCTTCTTCTTCTTCGGTGGACTCAGCATCCACATCTCAGTCGCCATCCTCGCCCATCTCTTCTCCTACAACATCACCTGGGGCGCCACCAAAAAGGTTTGTTTTCACCTTCCAACACCTTTGAAACAAGCAGCTCATAACTTCGAACAGGAAGTCGAACGGTCCAACTTCTGGAAAGAAGTTCCCAAGATCTTGAAGCGGTTCCGTGTCGCGCTCATCATTTGCGCCATCGTCACCATCGCTATGATCGTGCTGGCTACACCCCTTGTACCCTTGGCATACCGTATTCCGATCTACTCGTGGGCTGTTGTCCTCCCCCTTGCGTAAGTCGCGTTCCTTTTCTCAATCCGTCAAACGGTCCTTCACGTAAACCTGAACCTTAACTTACGCGTGTGTTTTTCTTTGTAGAATTGCGATTGCAGGACATGTGTTGTACCCAGTATGTCACTTTTCTCACCCATATCGCCGCCGTCGATAAGCAACGTACTCATCGCATCGTGTTGTTCTAGGTCGTGCTCAACCCCTGGTTGATGATCTTCTCGTACTAAACGCTCGGCGGACATCTCGTGTCTTTTCCTCTCAAATTTCCGTGCTACCGTCAGTCAAGCCGTGTCACCCGCAACCCATTCTATTTCCGGCACAACACAACAAATTCATCCATCCATCCCAACAGTACTTCATCCATCGCATCGTAATGGCTGCTGTCGTTTTTTGAATTAACCAACCACACACATCCGTGCTATACATCGCACGATACGTTCCTTGTCCCTGCTTGATTAACCTTATTCCTTCCTTCAGTTCCTTCCGCTCATTCCATTACGGACAACAGACTTGCTCTTCCCGGTTTCAACGTCCCAACTAACTACCACCTCAAGTTAACCCGCTGTCACTCCTTTTTGGCTTGGATTTTTGGACAAGTGCATACGGTATCTCCGAGTAACTGTTTTTAACGACATTATTTGTATATGCTAAGGACCGTGGTCTTTTTGTTTCTCCCCCTTTCTCTCTTTTACTCTCACTGCTTCTCTTCCCCCCGGATTCGTAGGACGTTATTTCTCCCTCAGGTACTAACTATTCTATTCCCATTCCCATTCCCGATACCACCGCCAACCACAGTCTCCCGCCACGGGTTATCCCGCCACCCTTATGTACATCAGATATAGACCTTACGGTTAGACTATGCATACCCTAATTATGGTTAATTTATATTCCCCTTCTTTGCCGTTGACTTTGAATTTCTCGTTTCGACTTCAAGGCACGCAACGCTGGCCAGACCCCTATCGGTATGCATTAAGCGCCCGTCCGCGATCCCGCCTTCAAGTACATATCTGATCTGTACTGAGCCGGCGTCTCCCTTGGAACAAAGTGCGTTCATTCGAGCTGTCGACGCCACCAACTCCCTTGCTGACGACAACAATTGATTTTTGGGATCGTGCGGGATCGCCAGGGGCGCCCCAAGCGGCAAGCGGCGAACAGCAATCACACCACCGACGATCCCCCATCGTTGGCTTACCGATGGTGGCTGAGCGCTGGCGCTGAGGACTTCAAGTTGGCAGTCGTGGGTGCTGGATCTGTTTTTGGCTAGCGCTGGCGACGGGTTTCAGTGGCGCTCAGCTACGATACACAGGTAAAATGGTGGACTGTCGATTACGGGGAGGTTACGATCGGTACATAGAGGACAATGTGGGATTGAGACAGAACGCTGCGAGGCTCGTTCCTAGATCTCGCTATGCCAACGCATGTCAATCTATGTTTCGAAGCCCCATCGTCCAAAGTTCATTCAAAAGCAACACAATCGTTCCTTCATCTTCTCAGGGCCGCCCATGTACACACGAGAAAATAGAGTGTTTGATGGAATAAACTTTTTGGGGAAGTCGGATTGTGCGTACATAGTACTCCTACTAGATTACCGTATCAAAGAGGAGTCCCAGGGGAAATAATTAGTGGATAAAAACAGGAACAACAACAAAAAAAGGTCCGTGAGAGGTAGGAGGTAGTAGTAGTAGGGAAAGTAAGTAGTGCTGGTCGCGAGACGAGTCGACGAAACAAAGAGCGGCAGCGTACAGGGTACTACACCGGGAGAGGGGATGTTCGAGCTGCTTACAAGGCGAGAATAGCAAAGAAGAGCAAGGAAAAGAGAGTATACGAAAGAAGATACAACCAAACCATCCTTCCATTACCAAAAAAAAAAGCGAGAGTCGATAAAAGAACGTAGTAAAAAAGACTTCAAGCGAACAGGGGGAGAAAAAGCGAAGAAGTGGACTTAAACACCCGGCAAAGTGAACCCAGGCAAATCCGGCCAATTACCCAACCCAGCCGGGTCACCACCAATCCTAACCCACTTGGCATGAGACGGCGTCGGCCCATCCAAAACAAACAACATATGCCATCCAGGCGGCGACACACCCGCATGCGGCGGCGCAACCACACTGCACGTCGTACCCGTGCAGCTAATCTCCGGGAAAATCGTCCTGGCGCCCATCGTGTTCCCGTGCGTGCTCGACGCAGCAGCCAGGAGGGAGACGCGGATCGGCCCGTCCCCGTGCGCGCGGTTGATGTTGGTGATGGTGTAGGTCTCGCCGTAGGCCCAGTCCGACACGGGCAGGTCAAAGGTCGGCTGCGTGCGCCCGATGAGGTAGGGCGGGATGTACAGCTCCAGCCTGAACTCCTGCGGGTACCTGGCGGTGCCGTTAGGCCAGTTCGTCTCCGGGTCAGAGCCGGAAATGAGGATCCTGCCGTCTGCGAGCAGCGACACCTCGGAGTGGTACATCCTAGGAATGTCGGTGCTGCCGAGGATGGAGAAGCGGTGGTGCACAGGCTCGTACGGGTCGTAGAGGATAGCCTGGAGGTTGGGGTCCTCGCCCAGACCGAAGCCGGCGACGCCATGGTGCGCGCCGTTGGCGATGAAGATGGTGCCGTCGGGGAGGGCGGCCATGCAGGGCATGACGCGGCGCGAGGGCATGCGCTCGATGACCCATTCCATGTTTTCGGCCTCGGGGGCACCGCGGACGCAGTTGTCGAGGGCGTAGGCGGCACCGATGGTGGAGCCACCGCAGATGAGGACTTCGAGGGGGTCGGTGTAAGGGGCGTGTTGAGGGATGGGGATCATGGCGCCTTCGAGAGGGTAGGTACGACCGCCGAGGACTGAAAGAGACATCACTTCGTCAGCAAAAGTCACATAGGGAGAAGAGAGGGACACGCACAATCGTTGACAGCACCAGGCATGTTAGGCAAGACCTTGATAGTATCAAAGGTAACAGGATCAAGAATCCTAGCCTCATTCCAGTACGCCACGAAGACGTTCTCGCTAGGCAAAACGACGACGAAGGGGTACAAGTTGTACGGATCCGACCTCTCAAGCCAGTCAAGGTGGATAACCGTATCGCCTCCCTCAGGCTTGGGCAACAGCTCGAGGTTAGGCTGGGGCGGTCCGTTGCTGCCAGTCTCACCACCAATGACCAGGACAGTGCCGTTGGCGAGGACAGCAGCGGTGGGGTACCAGCGTCCACGTTGCAGAGCGAGCGAGTGGAAGTCCTCTTCCCAGTCGTTGGTCGAGTTGGTGCCCTCGACGCCGTCGGGGGTGAAGAGGCGGACGCCAAAGGTTGAGTCGAGAGACCACCCGCCGACGTTGAGTTGTCGACCGGCTTTGTCGGGGAGGATAACGCTGCCTGCACAGAAGACGTCGGTCTTGACGTTCATTTCACGCCAGGCGGTCATGGATGGGGCGAGACTGATGTCGAGTTCGTAGGCGCCGGTGGAGTTGGGGTAACTGAGAAGGCAATGTTAATGGATGTCAGGAGGGATTTGGAGCAGAAGACCTACCCAGTTCCGTATTTCTCGAGCATGGTAACCTTGTTGTTGATGCCGACGGTGGTGATCAAGGGAATGACAATGCTGAAGATTCTGGTTAGCCACCGATCTTCATCACAGAGTTAAGGAGGGACATACCCAGGCACTAATTAACGAACACAGATATTCCTGGTCAGAAAAACTCAAAGGAATCGCGCATATAGTCACTCACTGAAGAACTAAAGAACAACCACACATCAGTATCCCATTCAAACATACAAACAGAGAATACTCACTTCATAGTGTCCGGTAACAGCAGGCGTCTTCCACTCCTGCATGACTCCATTCCAGTAGTACGTGGTGAGACGGTTGCCAGCACCACAGACATGGGTAGGATCGCCAGGGCAGGGCATGAAGCACTCATCATCATCGACAAAGACACCACCATACTCGTCAACATCGGAGGGATCGCCACAGTCTAATCCAGAAAAGATATAGTCAGTGACCCCCGTCCCGCACCTAGAAGAACGAAAGGAAAGTTTACTTACAGCACTCATATCCGAACTAAACGCCGCCAACAGCCCAAAAAGAGAAACAAGGGGGAACGAAAACATCGCGATGGAGTCAGAAATACGATCATACCGGTACAGTGGAGAAAAAGGAAGGTTGGAATAGGTCACACACCTCAGTAGCAGAAGCCGGGTACCCGAATTTCGCGCACTGTTCCATACACGCGACAGCACTGTTGTTGCGCTCCCAAAGGATCTGGTTGGGGAACATCCGTCGTCCAACGGCCTCAACAAGGCAGCCGCGGTACTCCCAGTTGCCGGGGAGGTTGTCGGTCTGGGTGGTGGGCACAGGGAGGGCCTCGACGTTCCCGGTGGAGGTGTAGACGGAGAGTCGGCTGGGTCCGCCACAGGCTTGTTCAGAATCACCGCCGCATTCCATGCTGCACTGGCCATCGGCGACTTGCTCTGCACCGTTGACGAGGGTGTTGCCGCAGACTAGAAGTTGAAGAAAAGAAGGGAGACGAAGTGAGATTTAAGCGGGGAAAGGAAAGTAAGAGAACGTACAGCACTCGACGCCGAACTCGATACCAGCAAGGGTAAAGTTGGCAGTTTGGCAGGCTGCGATACAGGTTTGGACGGTTTGAGTGGGAGAGGTGCCCATGCCATGGGTGAAGACGCGGCCGTTTGCGTTGTCACTGTAAGAAGCCAATGCGTCAGCGTCAACCGCTCAGACTCAATAGTCTTGATGTTGTCAGAGATGGACTTACACCCAGCAGCCGCCATACGTCCAGGGCTCGGGAAGACCCTCTTCGACGGGTTGTGGTCCGCCTGGCACACCACCGCCAGGGGGCAGGGCCGTACCAGTGTAGTTGTAGATGTTGAGTCGGTCAGGGCCACCACACAACTGTGACCCGTTGCCCGCGCAGGGCATGTTGCATTGGCCATCGGGGACAGGTGCGCCCTGGTTGATGAAATTACCGCAGACTGTGAAACGCCGGGTTGTCAGTTAAATTTAGAATGAAAGGGTAAATGAAAAAAGAACTCACAGCATTCGCTGTTTGACGGGGAAGAGAACAAGGCCAAGAATATCGAATCAGATTGTAAAGTCTAACTGAGAGGAAGACGTAGAAGACACGTACGCAGCGTATTCAGCACCAGCGAGACGGTATCCAGCATTGAAGCAGGCATCGGTGCACTTCTCGAGTGTCAACGGACCAGTAACGGTCACGCCAGTCCCAAGGGTTCGCTGTCCATTGACACCGTCACTAAAAAAAGATGATTGACAATGACAGTTCAGTCCTCCCTCGAACAGATGTCATACCAAAAACGCAACGACGCACCTGTAGCAGCCGAGTGATTCCCAGTCGCCTACTTGGGGGATGATGGATGGGGGAGGAGCAGGCTCGTCGCCGTTCCAGAAGAGGTTGAGTCGGCCGGGGCCACCACAGGGCTGGAGCGAGTTGCCGCTGCAGGGCATGTTGCACTCGCCCGCTGGAGCCTCTAAGCCTCCTCCATTGCTCAGCGTGTTACCACAGACTACCCATCCCAATGGTCAGCGGGGATGTACTTGGCAAATACACACACACGGCCGCGGAGGCGGTACTTACAGCATTCCGCCTGGAAAGAAGAGAACGCGTTTGAGTGAGAAGTGGGGGTGTTAAGGAGGGCGAGTTCACACGTACAGAGAACTCGACGCCGGCGTAGATGGCACCTTGGGCATCACAGAAGGCGATGCAGTTTTCAATGGTCATGTCGTCGCCACTCGCGTAGGTTGGCCCTGTGAGAGCGCGTCCGGTCGTGCCCTCGCTGGTCGCATTGTCAACAATGAGCTCGACCGCGAACTACCTGGAAATACGCACGTAACGCATCCTTGGGAGGTCCATGTTCCAGGGAGTTCGGAAGGGATGGTCTGTCGACGATGGCGGAAAGAGGTTGAATGAATGTGTTCAGCAGAAACCAACTAGACAAAGTGTTAGAGACGGGCATAGGGATAGGGTAGGAAGGAGGCTCACAGGAATGACTGAAATCAAAAGAGCAGCCCGGGACAGAGCCCTAGAGAAAGCCATGGTAGGCGAGTCGTCGTCGGAGCTTGAGGGAAGACCGGGACGTCCACCAAACCCACCTCATTATATACCCCGCGTTTTTGCCTTTTTGCGATGAATCGATACTTTGACACCAGCACCAGCAGCACCACCCCCTTCGAGATCTCGGCTAAGGGCCAAGGAATCGCTTGTCTCTTGTCCCTCTTGCTCAATTTGGCGAGAAGGATCTTTCTTCGTATTTTTTTAGATGAAGGCACCGCGCCACTCGATTGCTGTAAGGGGGCTTTGATCAGACTTCGTGCTAAATGGACCGAGGCAATAGACACGGTCAACCCCTTACCTGTTACGTATTCTCCTCCGGGATGAGGTCGGCGCTTCCTTCTTTCCCTTCCTTCCCTTCTTCTTCCTTTCCCTCTCTCGTTAACAGCCCAGGACCTCGGCATTGCACGTATGTAACTGACACCACACCCACACACCATCCTTCGAAAGAACTCCTTCCCTCTCTGAACAATCAAACAGCGCAAGGAAAAATAAATGATAGTCATATCATCACATATCAATCCGAGAAGAAGCAGGTAAGTAATCTTCGGGGGAGCGGAGGAGAGACGGCTGAAGAGATCATCGGACGGTAAGTTAAATGATGCTGTCTGTACCTCTCGTTCAGTTCCGTAGGTCGAGGTTCGTGAATCGTGCCGCCTGGACTCTTCTCTCTCTCCCGCTGGGAGGATTGACATAGATGGGTATCATTCTACTCTGTGACCATGATGCTTGACGGAGTAATGCGCATGTGCATGCGCATCGTACGTCCGACAAAGGCCACCGTCCCCAACCCAAGACTAATCAATCCTTTTGCTTCTTTTCCTCGTTGGGGTCCCTTGAATCACAAATTGAAATCTTAACACGGAGAAGGATCATGATGATGTTCACTCAGTCAGACAATCAGCCAAAATGAATAATAATGCTCACCTGCTGTTCTTCTCCGAATTCGAATTCGAACGCGTGCAGAGGGATGGACGGTGTTCTGTTCTGTTCTGCCACAACCTGTCAAGAACGTAAAAACGTCCACAGGGAATTCATGGCTCTGGAATGATGTTCGGGAAAATCGTAACACATCAACGATAAGGTTGCCTGTGAGGGATTTTGAATCAGGTTTTGGCTTTCGCCGGCGTCGCGGAGTATTCTATAACTAGATAGTTGTAAGGAATGACCTACTTGGACTGTACGAGATCCAGGAACCATTCAAGGCTGGTGTCACCTCCGTTGCGATGCGCGCTATGTCTAAAGTTTGCCCAGCCCAGCCTGAGTTTGGTTGAAGGAACGGATAATCCGGCATAAGGACAATCCATCCATCCAGCCGTATGTCATCGACATCTGAATTGCCCACAGCCGATACGACGCACTACAGAACATACATCAGAATCCATGAAATCAAGACGGGAAGCTATTCCGGAAGGACGTACTAGTGCTCCGCGAGGACAATACACAGAGGGAACCCTAGATCCTAGGATTCTATCTGCCTGTCTGCCTGTCAGCCAGTCATCAGCTCGAGCGCACGGGAGGAGTTTTTCATCATTCAAGAATCGAGGGAGCCCTCGATGCCGATGTCAGAGACGCCTGGTGATGGGAAAAAACGAAAGATGTGTTCTGACTCTTCGCGGTGATTGTAATTTGTCAAAGGCAGTAATTCCCAAAACGGACTCCTCCGAACTGCATCGAGCTCCATCCCATCAGCGGATTCTTGTCACTCCGTCTAGGAGTTTGTTCTCTTCTTTCCCTGCAGAACAGACTTGAGGGCCTAGGGGTACATCCAGGGTAATAAGTACCATAGCACAAGGACGGCAAAAACGGCCTTGGTACGAGTGGGTTCTTTACGCGGAGTAAGGCTTGTGTTGTGTGCGTAGCAAGGTCTAGAATAACCAACTCGTTACAAGTTGCAGTATTATTGGTGGTCTTCGGATCGCTTTTGGGTGCGAAATTTCGTTTGAGAATTCGCGGTCGTCCACGCTTTCTGTACCCCCGAAAAGACACTACCGCGCTGAGCGCTCAGAGAGAGGCCTACTAATGGCAAGTACCACGCTGAGAGTCGACGTCCACGCCGAGTCCACAAAACGCCTCGTTCCAGCGAAGTGCACGGGGTTCAAAATCCAAGCTTCACTCTAACACCCCCAATCGTCCGCTCGACTCGCCGGCGCTTCAAGTGACAAAGCTTTCAAGGTTCGAGGGTTTGCTACCTTGTTTGCGAAGTTCAAGGGGTTGGTTTCTTCGAAATGACGTTCGAGGGTTGATTGATAATTAGATCCTTCTTCCCCAAACCCAGGGCCCATGATTCAGATCCCTCCGCCAAACGAAACCCACGAGCTCGTCGGTCTCCTTTCCGTTGGGGTACATTGGAGCGAGCTCTGAGAACAGAACCAGAACCAGAACCACTACACACTCTACTCTCCGCCGTCTTCTCGATTCTCAAATATGACCATAGATGAATATGACCATAGATTGCTGTTGTTCTCGAGTACTGGATGGATTCCATCGGAAATGTGCTGTACGTTGAGAGCTCCATGCATCCAGATTGCACGGGTACTTAGAGCCGTAGAAGCGCGGCGTCGTCGAGCCGTCGAATCATAGAATCGTCGAACTGGAGAGACGTAGAACCGAAGTATCGTAACATCGTAGAACAGCAGAATTACTGGAAGACTGGCGAAGTCGAGGAAGACTCCGTGCATGATTATAAGCTTTTGAGTTGCATTGATTGCGAGAGTTCGGATTGGAAGGAAGATTGCAGTTGAAGTTCAAGGTTCGAAGGACTCGAAGGCTTTAGGTGAGGGAAAAGAACTTTGGAGGGAGAGTTGAGCACGTTAGCTGGTGCTTGAATACGTAGTTGGCGTTGGAACTTCGAGCTCGGAGAATGAATGTTAGCGGAAATTCGTATTTGGAGCGTTCAAGGTGGTTGTAAAATGACGAGTATAAAGTTTCGATGTCCCGGGTAGGCGTTTCCTGAAGCAAGGATGGGAGCTGAGGTCGGAGTGAGCTCACGGTCGTTTAGGGGCTCAGTTGCTTGGCAAACCCGTACCAGCCAAACAACGCGCTAATTATAGTACGCGTCCGTGCACATTGGTTTCCATCCAAACTCCCAGTCTGACTTCTTTATCTTTTCCTTCAATTCGATGCACTTCTGAGGTCTGAAATACAAATACCCTTCCACCCAGTGACAAGATCAGTGCCCTGCTGAGGATAGGATGAATTCGGCTTGCAAGGCATGTCGAATTCAGCCCCCGCCATCACATCATTGTTTGTGGTACAAATAAAGGTTCAACTCCGCTCGCCCTGCATCGCGCACAGAGCTTCAGACGGAGACCGATTTGTAAGCGCCCAGCAATTTAGAGTTTCAAGGCAAGAGAGGGCATTTCTCGAGGTAGTCCGTGAGTTTAGAGTACGATATACTCAGAGAAGACTGACGAGTCCAGTGCTCAGATCATTTCACCCAAAATCATAAGAAACAACGGAATAAAAGGGACGGCGGCAAGGAGTTTGACCAAACAAAGCGGGGTTTGGCTGGGGTCGAGTTGAGGGTGGCGCTCTCAGAAATTTGTTCCTCCGCAAATCCACAGGCAGGTAAGCCCAACTTTAAAGTCCCTGATCTAAACTCTATTATTCACTCGGTTCTCGTCGTTTACCCCTATTCACTTTTGTTATTCACAACCATGAATCAGCGTTATAAACCGTCTACGCCATGTCCGCGGGTCAGCAGGGCAACACCCAGCAGTCCTCACAGACCTGGACAGAACCGCCCTGGTCTGGCTGGATAGAAACAACAGGCGACGCCCTGCTCATCCTCGAGGCCGCACGCAGAGGCTTAATCCCAAGAGTCACCCGCCGACTCGTCGACTCGGAGCGCAAAATGATTACATCGGGAAGCGTGTTTGTCTTTGACGAGGAGGAGAGCGGAATCAAGCGCTGGACAGACGGCTTCTTCTGGAGCCCGAGCAGGATTTTAGGCAATTTCCTGCTCTATCGCGAGACTGACAAACGGGGGAATAGGAATGCCCGCAACGCAGATCCTGACAGCGATTCCCCTGATGGATCCAGGTCTGAAGGCGCTCTCAGCCGCCCCAAGAACGAAACGACCTCGCTGGGCATCGACAAGCATCGAGAGCGCTCGCTATACGGCAGTCTCACCAACAGCTACAAATTCAAGTCGGACGGGCTCATGAAGAAGGTGCGAGATGGTTGTCAGTGGGAGGCCAACGACTAACAGCCGCAAGCACAGACATTTTCGCTTACGATTGGGGGCGTCGCGCAGCATTTGATATCGTACTACAAGATCGAAGACGTCGAGCAAGGCCGTTTACGCACTCCCTCTTCCCTTCCAGAACTCGCCTCTCTCGAAATCAGCCCCGAATACCTCGATAAAACTCATTTCCGGAACGCTCCAAAAGTCGAAGTCGGCGCAGATGGCATACTTCGTTATCGCGGAGAAGGCGAAGAAGTCGAATCCCCGTCTCCGTCCTCTTCTTCATCCGTTGTTCCACACCCAATCGAATCCAACCTTCCTCTTCTCACTGATGGCCACGTAGCAGAAGGCCCTTCGTCTTCGGGAAAACGCAGCACGAAACGATACCTGCCCTATGGAACAACACCCCACGTCCGTGCGCGGAGGAGATCCAGGTCTCAAGCAGATGCTCCACCTCCCATGGGCCCCGCTTCGCCGCTTTCGCCTGCAGAAGGATCGTCAGTCGTCTTAGCTCCACCACCGCAAACTGCAGCACCATTGCCTCATGTTCCGCCTGCCACGCCTGCTTATGCAACCGACACAAGCGCCCCAATGCACACTCCCAGCGCCTATCCTCCGTACCCCTACCTTTCCCCGCCTCCAGCTACGATGAACTACCAGCCACCAGCGCATGTTGGCAGCACGATGTACCCTCCGCAGCATGCCTATCCACCTCCACCACCGACTACCCAGCCACAGGCTCCACTCCCACAACAAGTACCGCAACACCCGTATCCGGCTTATGCGACACCAGCCAACCCGACCTCTGATCCATCTTCTTCGTCTTCCACCGCCACTCCTCAACAATCTACGCAGAACCCGACTACCTCGCCGCACCAGCAGCACCAGCATCCTCATCCGCAGCCGCATCAACAGCAGCCAGTGCATCACCACCATCCACCACCACATCCCCCGCCACCGCAGACGTATCCGTATTCGTATTATCCGCCACCGCACCCCCCGCCGGTGCACGTCCCTCCCCCACCCCATCCGCATGCTCATATGCACACCATGCAGTACGCGCCGTACCCTCATCCTGGGACTGCTGCTCCACCTCCACCACCGCCGCACGTGTGGCCTTCGTATCCTGGGTACCCGCCGCAACCGCAACCACCGCAACCGCATCACCAGCAACCACAACCACAGCAACAGCAGCACCAGCAACATCAAGCTCAAATCCCGGCTGCACCTGCAGCTCCAGTTCCGACGACCCTGCACGCTGCAGTGACACAAGCTCAAGCTGCTCAGCAGAACCATACCGCTCATCCACCTCATAATACACATTCGCCGCATATCACGCACTCGCCGCATCCTCAGCCTTCGACCCCGCAGATGCCAGATGGGCAGGTTCATGGTGGTGTCGGTGTCGGGCTTGGGGTGGGTGTTCCGACCAGTGCTGATCGGACGGAAGTTCAGACTGGCCAGTGATTGGCGTTGCCGTTGTGGCTGATGCTCTTGTTTGCGTGTTTCTTGAATACGTGCTACGTGGAGGTGGACATTGTGCTTCTTTTTGTGCTCGTGTGTTTGATTGTGGATGTTGAATGGGCCGTCCCAGTACACGAAAAATTGGGAATGTGGCCCAGTGTTTGTTTGTGTCTGTCTGCCTGCTTTTCTTCCTCGTTTGCTTGGTTGCTCGTTGGTCCCTCCCCCGTTTCTTTCTCCCTCTCTTGGTTATGGTTATGCGTATACCATATGGGCGTTGTCTGGTCGCTGTTCCCTGGAATTCTCCTCTGTCTCTCTGCTCCCCTTCCTCGTCTGCCAATACCGATTCTGTTCTGGTTTTCTTTCTACCTTGGTTTTTTTGTTTTGTCGGGTTTATAGTGTTTTCCGGTCAGGAAAACTGCGCTTATGGTTTTCGTTTTTGTTTCCTCTTTCTCTGTTCTGTCTTTTATCACTCTCACTCTCACCTCTCGTCGTGTATCAATTGAAGTTCTGAACTTATGCCTAACCTATTTTTTCCTGTCTCTCCCTCTCTCGGTCTTCTGTCTTTTGGGCCTCTTCTCTTATTACTCTACTCGAATTCTTCAGTACCAATACTATTTCTTTGTAACGGTACCGATGTTGATAGTATCACTTCTTCGTTCTTAACTGACTACCCACTTTTTGCCATTCGTGGTCCCTCCCATCACCCTACTCGCGCCCGCCCTTTGTGAATCACCACCAACCTTATCCATCGCACCCTGTTGTTTTTGTTATATGCTATGCTCCGAGTCTCCGGTTTAGTTAGTTATTGTCCAGGTTCAGCTAGTTGTCGTATTTACCATCCCGTCAATTGTATGACCCCTCCTCCCCAGGTTTTGTTAACGTTGTCCAGTGTGCTCGCTACTAGTATGTAGGTTCGTAGTTTGTATTTTTTTTTGTGTAGTGTAGTTCTGTTGTATTACTTTTTGCTGATGTCTGGTGTGTAGATATATGAGGTCGACCCTAAGTTTGTTTTCCCTGTGCAAGTTTCGTGCTCCAATAAGCGCCCGGCCTCGAAGATATGGTGCACAAGCTCTTAGGATTCGCCCCAGTACTAAGTTCCCATCGATCGGTGACACCAACTTGACAGTCAGGTTTGCAGACGGGATTCCCTCAGGATTCTCCACGGGGTCAGCCGCTACCCATTCCGCTGAAGCACTTCCTCTACTTACTACTTAACCTGGAACACGCGTATGGAATGGCATGGCAGGCCAAGGACGTACCCCGAGTTAAAAAATTAAAATCCCGGCTGGAAAAGAAGCACTGAGTTTAGGTACTACTAGTGGGTAGAGCGCTGTAATGGAGAGTTCAAGAGTGGCCCTGAGGGCGTTAACGCGAAGGTACCTATGTCAGTTTCGGAAAATTAAAATCAGAAATGAAGGGTTGGAAATTGAGCGTGCTGTGCGGTGGGGGATGTAGACAACCTTCGAGAGTCGAAGTGCCTAACTTGAAGGGTACTCACTGCGCATAGTATGGCTGAGATTCACCTTATCGCTTGAGGGATCCTCTTTGTCCGTCGGCTGATTGATATTCGACATGGAGATCGGTGAGAAATGCTGGGTCAGTCTAAGCGGAGAGTAAGTATCATGGAATGCATCATCATGGAGCCTGCGTAGTAGATCCTACTTATCGACGCTTCTCTGCCCAGTGCCATCTGGGACTGATTTCTGTTATTCTGAAGAGGGGGCTCCTGGTGATGCTAAATAAGCGCCGTGTCCCACAGATTGTCAAACGAGGGATGTCGAATGCTTGGCTGAGGACTTTCTGCATCCTCCATAGACGCGTTGTTCCAAGTATACTTACCCACTGTCTACAAATCGATGCGATGTGCGGACTCCTCGAGAGAAATCTGAAAGAGAGAGAGAAGGCTAGGGTACATGTCTCGCGGCCGAGACCACCTGGCCATGGCATGTCATTTCGACACTGACATTTGGAAGGCAATCTTGACGTTGACATAGCATTGACGTTGAGTCAGCTTGTGGCATGGCAGATATGGAAGATTGAGTCGGAGGTCTTGTCAGTGAAGCCGGTAGACAAGTGATATCTATGTACATCGAAGAAGAGCAGCCTGATGAGAAGGTAGACGGGTGCGATGGCATAGGGTGCTGTGGGATGATGATAACAGAATGACCCTGAGGATGGCGAGAAGACGTGGGCGGGCAGATGGACTCAAACACCGGCAGGACAGGCTTGAAGTTCTTGTTTCTCAAGGTAATTTAGAACGACAGTTCCCAAGTGTTGAAGCCGATGTGAGTGATTGCTCGACTTCGACGGCATGGCTCAGAGGGTCTCGCTCTATGTCTGGACCCATTTTAATGAAAGCTTTGACTCAGCCGTGGAGTTAAATAGAGTCGGAACGGCGCCTTACGATAATTGCGAAGTCTGCTTTGGGAGTAGTGGACAACATTCTATCGCCGCCGGCTGGTTGGCAATCAGCAAAGCTCTGTACATATAGGCTAGCGCCAGCTTCTAGCTATTACGGTTTCTGGCGGGGGCGGGACCATGGCGCTAATCCCTCACTGAATATTCTTTACCATTTGCATCAACGGCGATGTGGTGTGGTCAATAAATCGGGAAAGGGGTTAACCTAAATCGGAAAATGAAACTAGTGTCACTACAAGACCGAGCTTGTGACCCTCTGACTCGGGAAGAAGGTTTGCTGTCCCGCCGGAGGTGGAATTGGAGCGATGTCTAGGAGAGTGGCGTCGATGTCCTAGTCGTACATGATATCCACTTGTGAGCCGGTGCCCCATCCGACAGCCGCGGGATTCGAAGGCGTCTGTCGGTGGTGTCAGACGTTTGCAAGCAGTCAGCCCTAGCAGGTTACCAGGCGATAAGTTGGTTGATTCCGGCTCTTGACTCAAAATTGTAATCTCCGTCGATGCCAGCACCTTTCTTCAAGAACAGGCGAAGAGAAGACAGGTGGAGTAGGTCCAATAGGTTACACTCGATCATCCGATGTTGAGAAGAGCTGTTGAATTTAATACAGATACATGAAAGAGAGATTTTATCTCAGTCAGAATGTAACAAGATAGATTTCCCGTGAGGTACAGCCTTGCGCAAGTACAGGCGCTTAATATCAAGTCTCCCGGCGCTTACACGGAACGGAACCAATCCAACACCGACGACCTTCATGTCCATGGATATAACATATGCTGACTTAGCGTTCCTAGTTGCTACACTGCAGCATGTCGTGACATATGGTCGTCAGGTAAGAGTCGAACGGGAGAAGCTTAGACGTTGACAGACCGTGAGTCTGCCGTCCGAAACCCAGACTATCGCGGTCGAAGGCTGTAGTATGAGAAACACGGGAAAGAGAAGAGCGAGTAGAAATCAGTTTTTCTAACTGGCCATCGTCCCCTGGGATTGCTTCCGTCAGTGCTAAGCGTGAACCACGGATCAGTTATCTCATTTGAAGCCCTAGATTCCGGACCAATGCTCCAACGTGATTGTGGTGCTCTGAGCTAATGTTTCTAGTATCAGTGTAGAAGAGGACAGGAGTACAAAGCATGGAAGTCGGTCTTGTCTTCTCGTGGCCTCTCAATTCTCCGGCGGCGTTGGTGCATATTTTGGTACATATATATGGATTGATCTCCCAGCAGAACCTCCGTTTGAAGACCAATTTGTAGTCGAACAACTACACAGAAGTAGCGCAAGCACAAAACTCAGATATTACTCACATATTAACGATGGGAGGTGCAAAGGGTGTGTGTACTTCTCTATGCATCTCTGGGCTTGAAAGTCGATATCACCAGGAAGCGCCTAAACGGTCGTTACGCAACCTCCGTGGGGAGCATCCATACCGTAGTATAGCTTAGGTAAAGAAACATATACCTGACTATGGAGAAGATCGTCTCAAATACATTAATACACAGCATGAGGCTGTTCATGGTAGCACGGCGAACAAAGTCCTGTCGAATTTGATCGTGGGTGACGCAGTCGTCTGAACTGGAACTAGGTCGGAACTAGGTTGGAGCCAACCTGGAGCCAGCATGGTGAGTACCTTTCCGTTCGGAAACAAAGGGACACCCGAGGGCTATGGAAGTGCGTGGCAAACGCGAGGCAGAAAGAAGACCGTGAGCCGGGCTATAGCCACTGGTCAGGCATAAATTCGGGCCTGGCGTCACCGAAAAGAAGCACCGGCCAGCCGGGGGGTTGAAACCCCTCTACATTTCACCGAGCTCGATCTATCATATTTCTCGCAGGGCAAAAAAGACTTACAAGTCCTCTAGATATTTGGGTGGTGGGTTACAGTGCAATGATACTATCTACTACCAATGGACTTCGTAAAGTACACAAAATCCAGAAATGCAGTAGAGGTTTGAGTCTCTCAACTTTGCCTTTGTCACGATGACAAAGGGAAATTTTGTTATTAAGGTGTTCCCCCAGAATTCTCTTCAAGTCCACTGAGATGGAAATGTTGAAGCTCCGCAACCGCTTTCAAAGCTGAACGTCAGCTCATCTAACTGTAACTGCGTCTAAGACTGGGTTTCAAAATCTGGACAGGCGGAAAGGGGCTGGATACCCTTCAATGACATTAGAATCAACATTATCTGATGATCCCTGGCTGCCGCCAGTGGACGGTGATCCTATGCAGCCAGACCCCCGGCCGCCCGTACTCGAGGCCGAAATTGAAAGAGCCCCCGTCCTCATTGATGCCATGCGCACAGAGTCCCTCATATGCCCTTTGTGTAATCGAAGGTGACAGCTAAGGTCCAGGTGAGTTCCAACCTAGTTCCAACCTGGCTCCAACCTGGTGGACAGCGTCACATCAAATTTAATTCGACAACACTTTGTTCGCCGTGTAGGTCCCGAGTCCCAGTCATTCAGATCGCTGAAATAAGCGCCCAAGGCCCGTCTGTCAATGGTGATCTGCCATCATCGGCGTCGGCGATGTCCGCCCCAGGCAAGGCCGCGCAACAGGATGGACCTTTTTGCCTCCCGCCAAACCGCATCGACAAACCGCACGGGCAACTCGTGTTCGTCGCTGGTTTAGTTTGAACACCGAGGTGAGCCACGTTTGCGGTGGATGTAGAAGAGGGCAGCTAACCGCACAGTGCTGTAGCGACTTTCTGGTGATGCTGGTGGCCAGGCGACGTATGTTCGTGCCATGCATTCACCACCACCATTGGCGTTTCACAATCGATTCACCTATACTTTGGATTCCACACTGTCCTGACCCTCGATGAGTTACCGAAACCCGACTGCGGGCTTATAGTGCTACCTCGAGGCCAGCATTCCCTCAATCGATGCAGAATAAGCGGATCCGACGGGGCCTATCATCTCGAGGCCATCTTTATTGCACCAGAAATTACATTCCAGGAGTTTTCCCTTGTTCTTTTCGACTGAAAATACAGCAATACATCAGGTCGAGTCAATTGGGGGGATGGGTTCTACAATTCCTCCGACCTGGAACAGGACCTCAAGGGTCTTTTCCGTGTATGTTTTTCTCATTCGGCGACAGAACCTCGTTGCTAAATGCTTTGATTTCATCAGGATGCCCCAGTGGGTCGAAGCAATACCCTTGTCTTGTCCAGGAGCTACCAAAGCGCGCTCCTCAGATCAGATGCTGTTCACAGCGAGGGCAGTGAGGCCAACACACGCAGTTGCCTCCTGGGGGATCCTTCGAAGAGGTTCAAATGCACCCCAGAACATAGGAGGTGATCCATTTGTTCGGTTGCTTCAGGTGCAGGTCGTCTTCTAGAAGACCGTTTTTCTCAATCTCCCAAGCGCGACCCGTTGGCCTGGCGCCTAGCATCCTCCACTTTTCCTTTCCTGCCCGTGAAATGAGGCAATTATCCAACACTGCCTATTGGAATGCACACAGCTTCCACTATCGGAGGGAGAACAACGTCTTCCACCGGCAGCAACACATCCAGATCTTCTCTTGTTTGTCTATATAAGACAGAGAACGACCAGGAAAGGTTAGATTCCAATCAGACTGATCCCCAGCACCAAAATGCCAAGGTCCAGGTTTCTGATCTTCGATAGCTACCCTAATGCACGCTTCAAGGTAAGTAAAGTGACCCATTCTTCTTTCTCTCTCTCCATCATGTCGCTGACATTGAGAAAACAGAATCTTTCTGGACGGATACGAATCCTCGACCAGCAGAAAGTCGCCAATGGTGGCTTCTCCGATGTCTACTTGGGAGAGCTTGTCAGCAGGTTACGCCCGACACGAATGGTACGCCGTTGATAATCCTGGAATCCTGGCCCATTGGTCACTATTCAGCATTTTTGTAGGTCGCTGTCAAGGCACTCCGGGGTGTCCACCTGCGTGGTGCAGAAGCACGCGCAAAGTTGATTCAGCGTCTGTACCGAGAAGCTGGCCTTTGGTGCTCACTGAACCACCCAAACGTGCTCCCTTTCCTTGGTCTCAGCGAAGAATCTATTTGTGAAGGGTGTCCCGCCCTGGTATCGCCCTACTGCAGGAATGGGACGGTATTCGAATACGTGCAAGCATACCCGCATATCAACCGTCTCCCTATTGTGAGTTGTTGAGTTCCCTCATCCTCAATGCTCGTTGATAACCCCCAACTACAGATCCGAGGAATCGCCAACGGGTTGCAGTACCTGCACTCTCAAACCGTTGTTCACGGCGACCTGAAAGTGGTGCGTTGATTCCTCCACCTTAGTATCCACAGAGGGAAAAATGCTCACAGTTGCCCAGGACAACATATTAATGAGTGACACCGGCCAACCCCTGCTCTGCGACTTTGGCCGGTCCAAATTCGAAACACGTCGAGGATTCACTACCGTCTTCACCGGAGCCTGTAACTACATGGCCCCCGAACTCTTTCAGCAAGGAGACACGGATGCCAGTGAACCAACGACCACCAAAGCTTCGGATGTCTACGCGTTCTCACTGGTTTGTGTTGAGGTGAGTGGAGATCCTGGTGGCCGATCGGTGATCACTCTCCATCGAAGGGGTAACTGACCACAGCATTCGATTCCAGGTTCTTTCCGGACAGAGAGCTTTGCCCCGTTTCAGAATGGAACATCAGTTGATGGCCTTTGTCGTAAACGGCGGTCGTCCTAGAAGGGACAAGCTTGAACCCCTCCCTGTGGAACCAACAAACTGGATTTGGCCAATTCTGGAGGCGTGTTGGCAGCATAACCCGTACGATCGACCAACCATGAAAAATATCGCGGAATTGCTAAAGGATTAGCTGCCCTGGTTTGTTTACATGGTCTCTCCCGCTTTATTACAAGCTCTGCGGGCATATTATTTCTCTCTTTCCGTACTCCATGGACCTTACATTGTCTCTTGACATCGAATGTGTTCCCGATCGGTTGTAATATTTTGGCTGGCGCCGGACCCCATGCTGTTTTAGCTTTAATATAACAGGACCCCATGAATTGGTCGAACAAATAGATAGACCATCCCCCCAAATCTGCTCTATGCCATGAAGGTGAAGGACAGGTCCTCATTATCGACCTGCATCCCTCCCGACTCGCCGGCCTCCGCCTGCGCCTGCAGCTTCATCTGCTTCCTTGCTTTCTTCTTCTCCAGCTTCAAAGCTTTCCGGTTCAGCGGATTGCTCTTGCCCATTCTTTGCAGGACATGATCGTCCGGTTTAGCGTGATACTCGGGGATATCCTTGTTCCTTCGCACACGTTTCGGTTGGCGATAGTGATAGCTGGGCCTGGAGTCGTCATCGAACATCGTGACGGCCGCATTGGCCGGTGGAGGTGAAGGCGATCTCGTGCGCTTTCTTGGTCCTTTGAAGGGCGGGAGTTCTTCAGCGTCCATTCCAGTTCTTCGAGGAACGAGGGGTTAGAGACGATTATATGTTCGCAGCGATCAACAGAAACTCACCCGTCCTGATCCATTTCCTCCGGTGCATCGACAAAGACCTCTCCCTCGCCTGGATCCATGTCTGCATCCATCTGCACGTCGTTGGTGGAGCCTGGATTGAATGCTCCGGCATCGGCAGCAGTGAACAAGCCGTCCAATTCGAATGGTTTCGAGAAAGTTTCTAGGATCTGTGCTTGTCCGACTTGTTCAGCACCAGGAGCGATTACAGGGCCCTCTGCAGTGCTGGCACCATGAACTAAACGAGGGTATCAGCGGTGTTGAGATGAAGGGAGCGCCAGGAGGTTGCATACCCGTTGAAGGAATCAGAGACGGGTGGATCTCGGGGGGTTGAGAGAAGTAGGGTATCTTCTGCTGGTTCCAATCTGTAAGGACTTGTCTTGCCGCCGAGTTAAGATCCGGTGTGCCTCCCTGGTAACGGTCAGAAGAAACCAGGTGCAAAGGATACTGGGACAAACCTTGTGGAGGCGACCCGAACTCAAGGCGAGCATTGTCAGGAATTCCAAGGGTGTTCCGAATTCAGGGAGGTTGTAGATTTTCTGGATAGTTTCGCGCGGCGTTCTCAAGAGGATCTCTTCCACTGGGGGAGAGTCAGAATGAGATTACGGAGCAGTAAAGCAGGCAACGCACCAACTGCGATCGGATCCTCGACGTCTTCAACCTTGACCACATTGCGAAGCAAGATGCTACCCTTCTTCGTACCCTTTCCATCGTCGAATGCATCGTCATCGAACACGACGCCAGGAGAGTCGATGACGCGGAGACCGCGTTCGAGTTGGATAGATTGAAGATCCTTGGTATGGCCTGGCTGTGAAGCCACACTGCAAACCTATGCAAAGCTTAGCGTTTCTCAGACGATAACGTAGACTCAAACCAACCTTGCTACGCTTCAAGCTGTTGATCAAGCTACTCTTTCCAACGTTGGGATATCCAACCACTCCAACTGTCACACTGCGCGTTTTGGGTTTGTAGGCTTTTAGGAGTTTCATCAGTGCCGGAGCAGTGCTGGAGGAAATGTTCGATCTTTGCTGGGTAGCGGGTGACAAGAACGGGAGAGTCGGTGTAGAATGTCGCAGATATTTGAGCCATGCTTGGGCATTTGCTCGAGGTACGAGATCTGCAGCAGATATCTCAGTTTAACTTCGAAGGAGAGAGGCACAGGACACACCAATCTTGTTCAGCACAAACACCAGCTTCTTTCCTTCCGACTCTCGCCTCCGCACTTCTTCCTCCACCAAACGACTCCTACATCCCTCAGGATCTCTCGCGTCAAGAACAAGGAGAATGATGTCGCTTTCGTCGATCACTTTATGTAGAGATTTGACATAGTAGCGGCGTAGCTGTTCCTTGGTTTTCTCCCTAGTTGACGTGGACGACGACGGTTCTTCCTGAACGTTGGATGAGGCTTCGGCTGCAAGTTGCGCAAGTGTTGACAATGTTGGCTCTGAGGCCATGTGGGCATCCGAATCGAAACGTCGTTCCAAGGGGACCTATATCTTGGTGAGTTATCATGCCCAGACTGGAGACACCGGCACTACGCACATCGGGCTTCTTCTGCTGGTTCTTAACCTTCACTTTAAGGTCGGGCAGTTTAGGGATGCCAGGATCCTTCTTCAGTTCTGCAGAAAACACGATTACAGAACTGGAATCTCCAATTTTATGCGTTCTTACTGGATTTGACTGGGACGTTTCCCTTGCGGTTTTCTACCTCGAAAATGTCAGTCGAGACCCTTCGCAGAGATATTTAAGGCTTACTTGTTCTACCCATGGCGATTTTAAGATGTTTTCGTCGAGTTCAAAGCGATGATAAGTGGCGTTCTTGTGGGGAAGACTTGAAGCCCATATTGTTTTCAGGACAGAGAGCGGAGTCTGAAAGCCATCGGCGAACGCCGTTGTCCAGGACAGGGGCCCAGAGATGGGCGCTTATTCATGTCCCATTCTATTCTTGGTTCTCGGCCCTGTCGCAGTCTGGTATGCTCCATAGAGAACTCTGAGCCTCTGTATGTGTCCCTTCTCTCCGACAATTGAACTTCACTGCACTCGTTAACGTTAAAGATCACATCTGGCCACGTTCCATCAAGTTCATTGGTCTTTTCCGAGGGAATTCGACAACTTCCGCGCCACTCGACGAGCATAATGGACTTGCAACCAAGTGACGAAAGCAAGACGGTGCGTCACCCGGACGGCTTCTATAGCTAGATTCAGACCGACTTTCCTTTACGTCGGTGCCCGCCTTCCACTCACAGACAATTTAGAGTTAAACGTTGCTTCGATTTCCAACTATAGGTAGTGGTGGATCGAAAGTATCGAGAGGTACATTGATAGTCATAACAGCTAGCTGAATCAGGAAGAAGGGGTGCCTCAAGGAAATAACCGTTCGAATAGGATGTCGTCCGCCACTTCCCATCTTTCTTTCTCCTCCTCCATCTCAGCCCGGACCTTCCTCTCAGTCGTCCCGGGCGCGATAATACCTCCGTGGTCTTTCAAGGCCTGAATGGCGGCCATGACCCAGTTTTGGCAGTCGAAGTTGAAGTCGTGTCGAATCACGGTGACCTCCTTGAGCTTCTGTTTTAACCAGTCCAGCTGGGAGAGTGGGATGGTTCCAACCTGGCAGCCACCGCGAAGACTTTGGTCTTTCATGTAGTTTGTCGCCACCTCGCACTCATAGCAGAACGTGTCGTAGTTGCCTTTTAGCTGGTATACGTATGCTTCCGTCTTTGAAACGACGGCCAAAAGTGACCAATGTTCTGTGCGTCTTGGGTGGCCCGAGATCGCGTATTGAGCGACAACGAGGGGGCAAGTCTGGGAATCAGGAGCCATACAGACTTCAGGCATGTTCAATAGTGGAGGGTTAATGTGATATAGCAGAAACTCACGGCTGGTCGTGACGGTAGGGAGAGAGCGACGTGTTAGCGCTGGGGAAAGTTCGCGACCTTTGCTCGTCCTTTTAGTAGGCCTTGACGAAGCTTAGGACACCGCCACGACCATATGACGAATCGTAATCCCGATTATCAGGGTTCATCTCCTCGTTTTCATTATCTGGAACTCACAGGAGGTCACCAGCCACCCGCCAAGTGCATCCCATTCCCAGCCAACCCTTTTTCGGGAAATATAGTGGACGCCTGAATACCTTGGATTGGTTCCGGAACGGATAGATCGCAATAGTCCTCGTGGATCAGGAGCATGCCTGCTACTAGCCTCGTTGCACCAGCTGAAAGAAGGACTAAAGTGGTTGTTTAAGCTCAGCGCACTAGGGATCGTACGGTAGGAGGGTCTGGCCGCAATTTCCGCTATGGACACCGGACGACAATAATTCGATGGCCACCTAGAGAAGCCTTCCAAATGCCACCATCATCCGAGCCTGAGTACTGAGTCGACCACCTGGTCATAACCGAGCACTTCACAAAAAGCGAGGCGTTGACCGGGTATTCAAGCAGTCCCATGGAAAACCGGTTCCCGAGTCAGTAGCAGATTGGACGATAACCATCAGACTCCTGCTAAAGGTTTTTGTCCACTATGAACGCTCTAAAGGACCCCAAAAGCTCTACTTATCGATCGTCGCTTGTTGGAACACACATAGGGGCAAATAGCGACCAAAGGTATGACGACATGACCACCTGTTCAAACCACCATCAAACCACCTCTATTTGCCCCGTCTGCTTCTCCGAGTATCTGTTGGCTTCTGGGACATCACCACGCCTCCTTGACAATAACTTGACCTTATCGAGTCAACTCCACTCTGACATCCCTTGGCTTTTGTCATTTCTCCCTTGCCTCCAGGACTTCATGACATATTATTACCCGGGGAGCCCCAGGACACTCCCGCCTGGACCTACTGGACCCTCTCAGAGCTGAAACGCGCCCCTCGGTTAAAAAAGAACCACTTATTTTGCGGCAAAAAACAGCACTCGCCCACTTCGCAATCAATGGCACCACCCCCCTCGAGGTACATGGCTGGTCTGGTTATCTCCGTCCTCGTGATAAGCGTCGTGACTGCAGGCGCTGAACCTCTGATTGGGGCCCGAGAAATCCCATCCAATGCCTCCAAGGCAGGGTTAGCGTGGCCGAACGGGAACAGCGTAGACATCAGTCAATACCAGGCGTCGGAGAAGCTTTCATGGTATGTATCTCGCTACCAACGATCAGTGCAGGGGCAGGGTGGTGTTAAATCGCACCTCTATCCTTCTTCCAGGTACTACACGTGGTCAGTATGGCCAGCAGGCAATCGGAGAAACAACCTCGAGTTTGTCCCAATGCTATGGGGGAGCTCTACAGCAAATGAATTCAGCGCGAGAATCAATGACACGCTGCGAAGAAGTAGAACACCTGTAACGGCCGTCCTTGGGATGAATGAGTGAGTTTTCGTGTTGATCGCACGGATATGGTCAGACTCACTTCCGATGTCAGGCCCGAGCAGCGAGGTCAGGCGAATATGAACGCATCGGAGGGAGTAGCGATGTGGAAACGATACATGGAACCGCTTCGGGGAGCTGGCCTCCGACTAGGAAGCCCTGCAGTTTCGAGTGCTCCTTCGGGGAAAACGTGGTTAGAGGACTTCTTCCGTGAATGCAACGACACTTGCAACGTTGACTTCGTTGCACTACGTGAGTACTCTTCTCTTCACGGTCGTTTCCGAACGTATTGCTGATGACGTTCATATTACCATTTATCCAGACTGGTACGGCACTGATAGCGACGCCTTTATCGCACACCTCTGGGATTATTGGTACTCATTTAATCGAACGATATGGGTTACAGAATGGGCATGCCACAACTTTGTCGACCATGGTAAGCAATGCACCCCAGAAGATGTCGTCGAATTTATGAATAAGACTCAATCGTTCATGGACAACGCCATCTTCGTCGAGAGGTATTCGTGGTTTGGGGCCATGAGGGATATGTCTGGAGTTAATCCGGTGCGTGGTCTCTGCCACATGTACGATACCAGCTTTTGACTCTTATCTTGTGGCAGGCGAATGCCTTGATGGACAATGACGGCCGAATCAGTAACCTTGGGCGACAATACGTTGGGTGGACAGGCGATGGACCTGTTATCGCTGCTGTAGCCGGCCGCAGTATTGTCTCCAATATGGGTGCACTACTGGCTGCAGTCTTGTCTGGGCTTCTGGCTACCATGATATGAGTTCGACCTTCGTCATTTCATTTACGTTAATGGGACGAGATTATCTACTACCTCCTGGGAAATTTACTCATCTTGTAATCAATTGTGAAAGGTTCTTCAAGTAATATTACGAGACCAAGTACGATCTCTTTGACATACTAGATGCGCTTTCAGATTTCCCTAAGACACTGCTAGAATGCATGCCTGCATTAAGCGCCCATAAATTGATCCGCGCTGATGTACGTCTCCGCATGATACCTTTCGGGCGACCGAGGCCTAGGCCCCCATGGGTACTTCGATTAATCAGACTGCTTCCCATATCCCGCAACGCCAAATCCGCCGCAGATCGTTTGTGGTACTTCACCAGACACACACCAACTCGTAACGCTCATTGGGAGGAAATTTACACAATCTCGCCGCAATACAGACACTCCATAATCGGTTGTCTGAATCGATGTGTAGCACCTCGAGATAATCACTCGAGAGTTGACGGCGTAGGATGAAACACATTGCAAATGGAAACAGACCTGGTCCAATAAATAAATACAATTACAGTCGTACACCTGGGTTCCAAGTGGAAAGCTATGGGCGAATGAACGTACAACAAAAGAACCTTATAAAACTACACTTGTGGAGTTGGTTTATACATTTACATGTCCGTAGACGAAAGCGGGTTGGGATACAGGATAAGGTTGAAGAAAAAGTGAATCATGACGAGCAGGCGAGCTGGTTTACAATGGAACATGTGGTTATGGGTGGGAAAGAGATATTGATGGGACAAGGTTGCTCCGGCGTTCATAGAGGCGAAAGGGTAGGGGCTGGACGGAGAAAGCGGTGATGGAGATGGATGGCATAGGAAGATAAGGGTGTTCGGTGAACGTCGCAGGACCCAAGCGTGGCGAGGTCCATGCCTTCATGCAAAGGCCAAAGCTGACCAAGCTGCAACAGCTCCAATGGTAACAGCTGTCGCAGTATGCGCAGCAATAGTGGCGATTCTCTTGATACGCTTTCGAGGCGGGGGAGTCGCCTCACGTTGAATAGGGGCTTGCTCCGTTTGGGAAGCGTTCATGGAGATGACGTCATGCCAGACGTTCTCGTCGGCGTTCTCGGCCATTGAAGGAGGAAGGGGGGTCGATCTTTCAGAAAGGCCATCGGAGTCATCCAAATCGTCGCGCTTACGCTTCTTCAATACCGTAGGAGGAGAATGCTGAAGGGCCGTATTTTAAACTAGGTCAAAAAGATGAGAGAGAGGACGGACCTGGGCTTGGATCTCGGAAAGCAAAGTGCTCGCTCGGGCGACCTCAGATTTGAGCTGAGTCAAGAGACCGTCAGCGGAGGCCTTAAGGTCTGCCATGTAGACATCAGCTTGCTCTCGCGTCGAATCTCGAATTTGCGTTATTTCTATAGGGTTCCATGAGAGGCGATGTAAGATTGAGACAAGGTGAGACCTACCTTTGATCAGAGCGTCTACCTCCCGAGCCCTCTCGGCCTCCTGCTTCTCTTTGTCTGATTCCTGAGCCGCAAAAAGTTCGTCGCACCTCCTAGAAAGATTTGATAACTCTCCATCAATACCATCCACTTGATCTTGTAAGTCAGAAATATCGATATCCGCGAGGTTGTCGAGGCGTTCGTGAAGGTCGTCCAGCTGGGCGACGACCTCTGCAGATTCCAAGGATGCGAGGTTGTCGACCCTTTCGGTTAGGGTAGCGTGATCACTGGAGAGTTTGTTAAGGCGGGCGTCGTATTCGGTTATCTTGTCGGAAATGGTGTGAACATTTGTGTTAAATTTCAGACGATACTTGCGTCGGTGATCATGAAGCTTCTTGACGTCCTCCTACAAGACAAATGAGCATCTGCGAGATGTTACATGGACAGGAAGATACGCACCTGCAACATGTCTACGAGTTCCTTCAAATCACCCCGATTGGGAGCTTCAACGACCTCTCCCTGGCCCGGGGACGATCGGCGAGAGGATGATATCGAAGAGTCAGACATGAAGTGGTCAAGGTCAGACTGCGAGTCAACTTCGGCTTCAACCTCGTGGGAGTCGTCCTCCTTTGGGTTGCTTTCCGGACTGGTTGTGATCGGTGCGACGCCGACGTCGGTTCGAGGTTGCTCATTTTCGCTGGGTTCACCAGAGTGGTCGGAACTAGACGGCCACGCTCCTACGACAGAAGGCTCTTTGTTATGAGCGGGAGGACTCTCTAGGTCCATGGGCGAATGCGATCTCGACAGACGATGGGGGCTGTAGCCAACCGCCTCCTTCAGTGATGGCAAGTTCACAATGGAACTCCAGGGGCTGGAAGCCAGGTAAGGAATGTTACGACGGAAGGAATTGTAAACATACTCGATAGGAGCAAGCGTGGTCATGGGGTCGTGCAAGTCATTGAGCATGCCTCTAACTGTGTCGGACAGAACACGAATCGCCTTCGATGCGAGAGGTGGTTCTCTGAATGGAGCTGGAATCTCTTCAACCTCTGAATCCAGCATCTCGTCGGAAGAGCCTGAGGAGGTGTAGATGCCGTACCGCCCAGAGCTCGACTTGTCGGATGCTGGTGAGGGTACCACTAAGGGTTTGATGGGTTGAGGGTTTCGCAAGAGTTCGACGCGGACGACCACGGGGCGAACGGAGTCCTCATTTCTGCCAACAGTCTTACCGAAGGTGATGACGTCGCCATCAGACAGTAGCATGGGCTCTTCTGGCTTCAGCATCTTCGACGATAACTGACCAGCCTTGCGCAAATGAGTCCCATGATGGGAGTTGAGATCGATGATATAGGCCTGGTAAGTTTTAAGATGAGACTACCTTGGCTATTCAAAGCTTTGAGCACGTACATTTCCGTTGTCTGAGAACGCAATCTTTGCATGCTTCCTGCTCACCACAGCACATCTGAACATGGCATTGCCACTATCGTTGTCGTGCGACCTGGTCGAATCTGCGCCTGGTCGACGGCCAATATGGATGACACAACCGTTCGCCCTGTTGAATACCAGTCGATACGCATCGTTATTATCGTATTTCTCGACATTCAGAGCGATTCCTGTAACCTGGGTCAGTCGTAGTATCAGACAAAGGTTATCGTCTGTCTCGCACCTGTCAGTGGTCGCTTCAGAGCTCGCTGTGTGCCAATATACTCTATCTCCTCATCAGACATCTCTACACTAAGAAATGTATTCAGTTATCGTCGTCGCTGGGGGGAACAGGGGCAAGGCGATTGGGCAAGGGCAAACTAGCACCGCGACCTTTATATACTCATTTCGGCCCCGACGGCTCCGGCGCTCGGTATCTCCCGACAAATAGGGGCTAGACTCATTTACCCTTTCACATTAAATGTGCCTTTGTAAAGTACAGGAAGATCACGAGATAAAGAGCACATGCGGGAGGAGATACAGTAAAAGGTGATAATAATAAAGGAGATGATGATGCGGCCTAAGAGAAGTAGCCCATCGTCAGCCTTCCCAGTCCTGGTCAGACTGAAGACGAAAAGAAACCATGACAGATGTTGGTAGCCTGCATTCGTACGGGTGAGAACGGCAGCAACCGTGAAAGAGTCCAGACGGTGATACGGTAAGCGCTTGGATGATGGATCTAGTCGGTCCAAAGCCTCACCCTGCATGTGCAGGTGCGGTACGCCTTAATTTCACCAACACGCGCTTCAGTCGCGAGCGCTTCGATGGCGAATTCCTTGCCTGTGTCGGTGAGTTAGGATCAAGCAAGTTCGACTCTGGCAGTCGCAACAGGTTATCAAGTTGCGGAAGAAAGGAGAGCCTTTCGTCCGCTGGTTTCCACTGATGGGCAACCACCATCTCAACGAACTTCGACCAGTTCTCTCGAATAAACTCGAGCCTTTTGCAAAGCAGCGAACAGCCTGTATGACGGTCGCACTGCACTCTAAGTAAGTACACTGATTGTGAGAGGCTGATGATAGTAACTTACCAGGGATCTGTGGACCACCTGCCGGAGGCCGCGAGGCTTGCCATGCGACGAGGCCTGTCGGTCGAAAAAGAGAGAAGATTCGATGCTGCCTGTTCCGAGGTAAGGTAGATGGAGGAAGGCATACTGTATCACGACGATGGGATGGAAGTTATCCGAAGAGACATATGGAATTGAGGACAGCTCCGTGCTCCCACTGTCACTATGCCAGGGATAAGACTTTCCACTAGAGGGACTCGGTGCGGGCGACGAGAAGTCCCCTTCCAGTGCGTCAGCAAGGTGGCTCCCCCAGAACCTCTGCGAGTAGGAAAGTACTGCTCCATCTCTCAACTTGTCACCCGCCGCCCAAAGAGTCAGATGACGCGCACATCGCAATACTCAAGTGGGTTTCTTCAAGGGACTGGTACAGATCCCCAGACCGACTTGGGGAAGTGAGATAGTCTTCGAGACTCTTGTGATGGAAACGAATATAGCAATGGCTCCCATCGCTGGGGATGTCCAGCACTGAATGTAGGTCGCAGAGGGCCATGGACGCGGTCCCTGGTTCGAGGTCGAGGAACCCGTCCAAGAAAGTGGGCTCGCGTCTCCAGTTCAGTGATTGGGGATTCGAGAGGACCATGATCGTGTGGAGAAGCAAACGGATGAGGTCAAGATCAGCCTCAGGTGGATGCAGAACCAGGGCATAGAGGGCGTCGAGCTCTGCAAAGGGGTTCTCTTTCCCTACAACTGCCAATTTGGAATACTCGAACACCCGCCGCAAGAGCGTCACCGGATTCTGTCGTGGGTTGTCGACATACTTGATGACGGTAGATGCGAAGATGAATTGGGACGACGCTTTGAGCACCAACTCCTCGATGTCTTCTTCCGGTGGCCAGCCTGCAGGGATGAACGCCCCGGATGGGTGGTTCTCCCGAATTCTCATGAATTCGTCGCAAAAGAACGCACGAATGTCATCCGTGCCATCATAGTCACCCAGTCGGATGAAGTGGGTGAAGGAAAGTAACGGTGCACAGCCGAATGCTGTTCGAATATCGAGCTCGGGACGGCTGGCGATGACAACCCGAAAGGGAAGGTGGGGGTTGGTGACCAACGCTAAGATGAGGTGGAGCAAATGCCTCCGCTGGGTGACACTTCGACACTCGTCGAAGCCGTCGATTACCAACAGGTATATTCGACGATGTACTGTCGGTGGAAGGTGGGGTAGTATATCCAAGATAAGGTGTTTGAGCTGGAAGTCAAGCGATTTTTGAAAGATGCCGGGCTGGTTTCGTATTGCTTCGGGGACGAGGGCGCCGAATTCGGGTATCGCGTTCGATAGCTGGTGGACCAAGGTGGCGATGAAAGGCTTGTCGGTGTTCAAGCCTTGTATCCGGGAGGAGAAGAAATACGAGCCGGCCAGTATCCCTTCATCGGCGGCTTGCCGCGCGACTTCACGCTGAATGCATGTTTTCCCTCCGCCGGCTGGTCCCGAGAACCATAGGATAGGCTTCTCAGAGAAGTATGTCCACTGCATGATATCGTGTATGACCCGCCGTCGCGTCCCTTGCTTGCACCTGGGAGCATAGGCAGCAGTAGACGATTCGTGTGTAGCCTCCACGGCACATTGTTCAAGTAGTTTCGCGTACGGATCTGTTAGCGAAGGAAATACTTTTCAGTGAGGTTCGTCACGGCATCAAGTGCCCTTACCTTCCGCGCTTTGCGAAATGTTATAGATGTTGTCGGCATTGTTGACACGGACATTGTCCACGACAAAGTTCGAGCCATGATCCAACACCATGTTTGGTTCCACTGCGCCGATAGACGAACGGGTATGGTGAGCTGGGGACGAAAGGATAGTTAAAAGTTCAGGCCTCGCAGATCGTTACTATATGCAAATGTCAGCAATTCTTCTACACAGCGATGTGATAATCAGGAAGACCTACATGCACAAACAAATTGCCATAGTCCGCTTAATTTGCAACAGCACTTCAGCACCTGCGGACCTTCGCTTCCAAAGGAATGTGTCAGATTCATGTCAGTTGACAGCGCCTTGTCCCTTCCATGGACAAGCTTCTTGTATCTTTTTACTCGGGAACCTTTCCAATAGAAACATGAAGAGCTTTGCCAAACCCTCCCAGCACAAGTTTCCTGTCGGAGGCAAAAGGGATCAGGGTCACTTGACCCGAGGACGTCGGAAACCTCTCTTGCCTCAAAGGACTTTGGTGCAAGTCGATTCAATTGGCAATAGGGAGAAGGCGAATAGACGATACATGGGTTGAATAACTTGTCAAAAAGTCGAAAATGAGCGCCGCAACGAGACACGAGGAACAGAAGGATCAGAGGTGGGCCTTCCTCTCCGTCGAGGGATTGGTATCCCATTGATAGAACCCCTTGAAGTCCCAGAATTCGCCAGTCTCTTCCCCCTCTCTAACCCGACCCATTCGTTTCGCGGTCAATTCCGCAGTCCGAATAAAAATGTTCCCATCCAAACACTCAGCGCCAGACCATTCCAATGGGATGGCTTCTGAGTCAGAATTGGTGTCAACCTTCCCCTTGGTTGTGTCAACACCCCACCCCATCCCCAACCCAGCCGCCACCTCACCATGGTTCTCGGACCCGCCACCAGCCGGTGCGAGCTTGGAAGTCGAACTGCAAGTGAACTTCCTTGTTCCGAAGTGGGATGCCCAGGTAGAAAGAGACCTTTGGGTCTTTGTGAGGTGCTCATCGGGATGGACGATGCTAGTTTGAAGAAGGGAAAGCCAAGGGTCCGCGTTGATGGCTTTGGGTGAGGTCGGAGATGGAAGCGTGTCTTTGCTTGGATGAGGTTGAGGTCCGGACGGTCCCATCACTTTCAACTTGGAGAACCCGACGAGATCGAGAGGCGGGGCACCTCGGAAGACATACATCGCCAGGGCGACGGCCAGATAGGTGTGGAGGAAACGGCCTCGCGCCACAGGCAAGATGGCTGCGCAAATGGAAGGGACGAAAAGCGACGAGGTCACCAAGTGCATTCTGATAAAGTGGTGATTAGCCCATAATCCACCAACAAGAAAGCAAACACCCACAAGAAGAAATCGGCGTTGAACAGAGCATCAGTTCCATCTTTGTTCGTCCCTCTTCCCGTCCATCCACCAACCCCGTACATGGTGGTGACCGTCCAGGCCAGCTCCTCGATTTTACTTTCCAGGTACTGCGGGTCAGTGCCTAACTTGTTGACGTCGAGTTTCCACATGTTCGCAAACTTGAGCAGCGGGCCCGCGTGCTTCCCGATAGTGCGATCAAACGAGTTTTTCTCCTCCTGCTTTGGGGGAGGAGCAAATCGTAGATCCTCAGAAACCCAGCCCAAAATGTCCAACGCATGGACATCATGGACAGCCACTCGGTCTTCGATGTTTAGTTGAGAGCCCTCCGTTCTGGCGCCTGCTTCTGGCGCCTGACGCCGAGACGCATCTCCCAGGTGAAGTGTCTTCTGCAAGACCGAATCGAAGGCATTGTCCAAATTGTTAACGGTGGAGCCAAGAGCGCCTTGGAGGGCGCGGCCAGCGGATTCTGCCATCCCACTCAAAGCGCTGAATGTGGAACTTTCGAACAACTCCGGAGGAACAAGCGCCGATGCACCAGGTGCATGCACAGCAGTCTGTGCCAGACCTGTGGGTTGCTCAGGACACTGGTTTCCAAGGATGATAATCGTCACTGACCTTCGGCGACCAAGCCAGGAAGGCCAAATTCAACACCATAACCGGTGTGGATCAACGGGTGTACAACTCCAGAGAAGAAGCGGGCGAGCATTCGCGGCTGCTTCTCTTGAGGTATATTCTTGTTCCGCCCAATATTGGCTTCGGGTGAGAATAGGAACTCCTCCACGGTCGCGTTGATCCCCTTTTGCACGAGGATTTCGGAGAAAAAGTCTAGATAGGCGCGATAGAATCTGTTCGTGCGTATCAGCAGCTGCCTCCGAGTCCACGAACAAAGGGAGCCTTACGTCTCATCCCCCAAATGATCGTTGAAGTTGTCCCTGGTGATCTTCCTGGGGGCTGGGATGCCTGGCTTCTCGTAACCGCAATCCTTCTCGTATCCTGCTGCAATGACATCGCCATCGGCACCTAGGGCCCAAAGCGCCAGAGACCGATGAGGAGCATGGCTGCAAGAGGGTCAGCGTAGTCAATCGCAAAGCGGGGACACTAACTTATGAAATCTTTTCTCGTTGATAAATGTGTGCCATCGTTCATGGTTGTCTTTGAGTGCCTTCAGAAGGGCCTCTGTGGATTGTGGGGTTATACCCGGCCAATGCGGGGCGGACAACCTGGAAGGCGGCTCTGAAGGAACTGGGAAGAGATAATCTAACGCTTGGGACATTGTATCGCCTATGTGTCGCTTGTGTGGTCTGGTGAAGGCGGGAATGACAAGTGCAAGTGGACGTCTTGTAGAAAGACGATGAGACAGCGTCATGGCTAATGACGACCCCTTTCCAACCTCCACTCCACGACTTGCTCCAACTCAAAGGGGTCATATGGTCTCACTATAGCCATGCAGTTCAGCGCGATTGTTTCGGGGATCAAGTTGGATACTCACCTTTGTCCGACCGAACATCACAAGAAAACTGAATGCAAATAATCAAACTGGTATACAAGGGATATGATACATAGCAATTAGGAGGCTGGGTCGTGCAGCACTGCTAGTAGAAACTTATCGTCTATGGGAGGAATAAGAACCGCGAAGATCAGTGCTTCAGAGTATCCGTACCTGGTGAAATCATGAGTTCGTGCCTCTTCGTCCGTATGCGCATAAACCGAATCTCGTCCTGTACGACAGTCAACACGGATCCACCATCGCGCTAGATCGCGACGCACCGATTCAGTCTCTGCTGACCCAGGGACGCCTACAAGGTCCTCCCGCCTTACTTCGTCGAGGCCGGCCTGTACACTCTCTACAATCCTTGCGACAACAGCGGCGTATTTCTTGCCTTGTTCACCCTCGAAGACGACGCCAGAATGTCGGATAATGCTTGGATGCAGCCCGCGCGCGACTAGCAAGTATCCAAGTACAGATCGATGTGAGGTAAGCAACGCAAGCTTTTGCTCTAGATCTGGAGACATTGCTGAGGTCGAGCCGGGCGCCTGAGACGGGTTCGCCGACACTGAAGATGAATTCGGTTGTGCTATGAACGACGTCCTCGCCGTTGAACCCTCGTTCGCCACTGTCCGGGTCGCCTAGGCAATCAGAATCCTCAGTTATTGATAGAGACAGTCGGACGAAACATACCATGTTTGATGTCCTCGTTCACCTTGTCGTTGTCGTTCTGAAGCTTGGGCTTTGCTTGGGCTCATCGTCACCGTCGTCGGCCAAGCGTCCCGCGTGTGTCGGAGTTTGCCGAGACAAATAGGGCCACACAGAGCAGACCCGCCACTGCCATCCTAGCCCGCAAACTAATTTGCGAAACTCCGTCCGGGTTTCGTGAATTGGTATGTATGCGAGTTACTTAGATGATGCGTAGGGGATGCATGAAGCTGCAATTTAAAGATGCAGCGCCTTGCCTGAGTGCTATGTAAAGCACTCCGAGGGTGCTATTAGAAAGAAGTTCAGGGGTTTTAAGTGAGGAAATAAAGGACCGATGCTGAAGTAGAGTTCTTGGCTGAATTTCTACCTTGAGAATAGAACATTAAGTTCGTAGTATGTATAGCATGCACGAGAAGTGGCTTTTCATAATTTGGCGAGAAATGCCCCTATTCGCCCCGCGTCGCGCTCGTGTGAATGATCGGCTGATGTGATTTCCTGGCCAAGGCCCACCAAGGCCAACCGAGTTCAATCTCGTCTTTTGCAGTCACCCATCCTAGACGTCAGTTGCAGGGTATGCCTCGCTCTTGGACCTCATATACAAAGCCGGGGCCCCAGCGTGCACCAAGCTCAGCAATGCCCATCCCGAGTCGTGATTCGGAGGGCAGCACAGATCCCGGAAGATGATTTAGGAGAGGTGGCGAGATCGCTGAAAAGGTTTCGCGGTAAATGCATGGTGGCCTATTCCTTGCTCAGGGAGCTGCTACCTTGTCGCAGTGTATCCACGTGAATGATGAACCCAAAACATGTTTCGAGGACTTGCGAAGGCTAGACTAAGATAATTCTGTGTATATGATTCTTTCAAGTACTCGCTCTATTGAATGTCGTGGTCTACCATGGTGCTATCTTTTTCTTTTGACTTCTGTGCATTTGGCAACGCTAATCATCATACCAGCATTTACAATGAAACCTGTTGACGATTGTATCTAACTGGCCGCTCGGGTATCGCGGGTATCCAGAACTTGGAGCGTTACAACGAACGCTACTTATTCGAAATGGTTATAGTTACTACTATCCCCCCAGTGTACGCCCCTGTACTAGGCAGGCCTATTTGTATCTTTGATCCGTATCTTTGGCCTACTTGCGAGGTGCACTTTGAAGCTTTTTGAAACTTGAGAGGCTTGAGCCTCGTAACGCACAAAGATTCAACAAGGCACAGTTGCTGATGGATGTGAAACGTCGCAGCACGAACATAAAATTCTGATCATCGCTGGTTGCGATACTTCTACCTCATCCCACCAGAATGATGTATTTCGCTGGAATATAAGAAGGGGACACAAAAGCCAATCTTCACTGACACAATCGATTGGGCTGCGCCATTTAACCTGTACCCCGTCCACGCATTCCCTAGTCCACTTGCGCCACGTGAGATGCTCCCAAAATCACTCCTTTATGTCATCGTCTTTGGAGTTCTGGCTACACACTTTGCCAGCGCCCTCGTCGTACCTCCCCGAACGGGCACTCAGCCCAATGGGAGTAGGCGTAACCCTGCAGATATTCCTTCAGATGGTAAGCTTGGCTTCACATACTTTGGACAGGTTCTCTGACTCTTGACGTGTTCCCAGAGGACTCGGAGGGTCAAGAAAAACGTTTCCTTAGCGGCTTTGGCAACCGGATTTCATACCATTCCGGACACTACAAGGGTAGATTCTAAGGCCATCCTTACGGAAACAATGATGGCCTTGCACTGGGTGTAGGGACATCAGCCTTCTGTACTCGGGACATGCTGCATGCAGCGGCGCGATTACGTTATGTCGGGCGCTTAAATTATTTCTGGACAATAATGCGTTCCAAACGACTTGTTAGTCGACACACTGTCAAATCTACACCGTGCTGCATTTCAGAGCAAAAACATGACTCAAAGACTCACGAGAGTTCACGATGAAATTCCGCGACAGGTCCCAGTCGCCGGTACATACTAGTATGCGCAGCGGCACTGGCCGCTTGTAATATATCAGGTTGTTTTCACCCGCGATACTCTGTGGTAGACACAGGTACTATATACTTCATCCTAGCATTGCAACCTCATACACAGATCATACATCTGGCTGCATGTGAGCGACTTTAGCTTTGACTCCGAATCGCCGCCAGAACTTCTTGGGCCAACTCCCAGCCTCTCCCAAGTTCCCGAAATCGAAGTTCGGCTCTTCCATAGCGTTCCTGAACCCGCTGCCCACGTTCCCAAACCAATCCCACACAAACCCCGCAGGGAAAGCCTATTTGGGCAAAATGTGGGACGACTTGCCGCCAATTCGTCGGCCATTACGTTTGCCTCGTGTTGGGTAAAATGACCTTTTAAGGCAATTTCAAAATTTGTCTTATCTGGACGTCCTCGCTGAAGGTCACTCAGACGGTTCCCGGAAAGGCTTACAACTTTTACACAAGGGTGTTCTAGGTCCTCGAATGGCTTTCTGCAAAGTTTCGCGAGTAAATAAACGCTCTTTCAGCACGAGATAGGCTGCCAAGGTCTGTTAGCGCCTATTTGTCCCTGTAGACGCCAGCCTCAAAAAAGGAAATTGGCGCCGCAGAATTCGCGACAGCGAAAAGTGTTGGATTGGCTTCAATCCGTCGCATTATATAAAGGGCGAGTGAGCGTCAATATGATCCCCACCAGCCCCCGCTGTCTCAAGCAGTCCAACGACTTCGAACACCTCCATATCCTCCGCAACTCAGAACAATGGCCTCGTCCTCGTCTTCGACCTCCATGACCCAGATTGCTCCCCTGTCGCCTGTTGTGACGAGCAGCCCCAGGACTGCCTCTGCCTCTGAGCAGCAACCACGCGTCTACGACCCCATGGACGAGTTCTTTGGGTACCGATTCACCTCTTCCGCGACCCACGAAAGTCGCCACGACCGCACTGGCAGCGTCGTTCTCGACGCCGAGGCACTCCCAGCATACGCTGAGGAAGACGACAGCCTCCCCAAATACACCCCATACGACGAGCCTGCCACGCTCGCTATGTACCTCTTCAAATTTGGTTTCTGTGAGTATCCAACACTCTACTCAGGCTTAAGAATTCGTCCTGACCTGTCTTGCTCTAGTGTTCCCACTCTTCTGGATCTTCGGAGCCTTCATCCTCGTCTCCCCTCTCCGAGAGCCACCCTCGAACGAAGCATCCCCTTCTTGGATGCCAGAAAAGACCGAGGCTGAACGCCAAGCGTTCATTGCTCACATGCGAAAAGCCGAGCTCAAATGGGCACGCCGATGCCTATGGGCAATCCTCATCCTCGCCACGCTCGCCACCGTTGCTGGTCTCGCAGTATGGACCATCTTGCGCAGACATTAAGCGCGCCACCCTCAAAACAAACCAACTCTTCCCCACTCTGGACTTTCGACACCCCTTCGACCTTCGCGCTTGAAGTCCGATATCCACTCTCGTTCTTTCGCCCTTCTCCGTCATCTCTTTCTCCTCCCTTCTTCCTTGGACAATCATCTCGAACCATCATCTGTACTCTTCACGCATCCTCACGCATCTCTCAACGACCAAACGCAATCTGTACTTGTACGACTTCCCTCCGATAGGGCACGCATAGCTAGATATTCTTATGATTAATTATACGATACGAAACGCAATAAAAATGATATTAAGAACGTTTATAACCTACAGGGCCCATCATCCTAAGTTACTTGTCTGGAGAACTGAGGATATCTCTGTGCCTTACAATCCTTTTCCCCTTTGAAGAATCCGCAGGTCCACACCTCGCTCTGCCAATGACCGTATCAGAGACCTCTGTCCTTCGTCAAGCGTAGCGCAGGATGGGACAACGAGAACGAATGATTCCAGCTTTTCTACACCACTATGCCGACCCATCTCTTGCTCCAACCTCCAGGCAAGCATGTTCACCAAGTCGCCTACTCCACACACCAGGTTGCCCTCATACTCGAAATACCTTAGCTTGGGTACAAGGACCTCCTTAGGGTCACCCTCACGACGATACAGCCGACTGATCAGTCGCCTCGACAGTCCTTTTGGAGCGTCGAAAATCGAATCCCCAAACGACGATGTGCTCGTGTTGCGTATTTTGAGTTCGACCAGCGTCGGGAGGAGTTCCAAGCACTGTATCACGTCCTGGTCGTCCAACGAGCCCTGCGATAGACTGAGCTTCTGGAGACCGACGAATGCAGCCGACGAATGCAGAGCGCGTAGGAAGGTAGGAGGGAAGGCGACACTGTTCTCATGTCCAAAGTGAAGCGCGAGCTCGCGCAACGAAGGAAGCGAGACTGAGTTGAAGAAGGATTCTGCAGCAGAACCTTTGATGAACCCAAGTTCGAGAACCTCCAGATTCTCGTGAATGTGCCTCGAAGGTGCGTTCGGAGAGTTTGGTGGCGAAAGAGAGTTGGGCGCTGTTTCAACGGAATAGATATGGTCAAGGTCGCAGTGAATGAGGTTTGGCGAACGATGGAGAATTGCAAGGCATTCCGCCACGCGCAGGAATTGCGTCCGGAATTTGTGTAACTGGTGCCAGGGTAGAACCATGGAGGAATAGTCGTACCCGGAGAGGTCGACGTCGGTCAGTGAAGGTGTATTAAGGAACATGTCCGGCGGGCGACTGAATGTCGAGATCGTTCCTTTCGGAGGTCGGAAGGTGACGGACTTGAGGTTGGGGAATCGATGAGCGGCTAGCATATCGTGGCATTGCGGGGGTAGGATGCAGTCGATGGAGCCCCACTGCTCCGATCGTCGCAGAAGAATGGCCATAGTGGAGCGTATCGAGCTGAACACGTCTTCATCTTCCTCTGTTGCAGTGAGTTTGATGTGGAGGGGAACGCTTCGCGCTCGCATGAGCCACTCCAAGAGAACATCTGCCCGGCGTGTTCGGTGGGCCAAGGACACGTTTATGTGAATCGATCGCCAGAGAAGAGGCGTGCTCCAAACGAGGGTGCGCCAAGCAACACAAACGGAGCCGAGGAAAAGCGGGGAAGGGTGAGGTGCTTCAGTGTCGGGTTCGGCTTTGCAGTAGAGGGTGAAAATTTCGAGTAGGATTTCTGAGGGAAGTCGAGATATCGGTGCGAGTGTGTTGATTCTGCGTCGAATGATGGTTCGCCTCTCCGATAGCTTGCTCATGAGAGCTTCGATTTGGATGATTTCGTCCGCCAGTTCGTCGGCCTAGGTGAAAGTCACGTCAAGGGCACTGCAATGACTGTGGTAATGAAGAGCTTACTGTGGGTTTAGACGAATAGCCCGGATTGAGGCGGCCGCATCCTTCGCAGAGCGGCATGGTGGTAGCAAGAGAACCGAGTGTCGACACGGTAAACTCGGCCTCGGAATCGAGTGCCCTATATATGAATAAACACTGGGAATTTTAATCAGCGGAAGTACGAAATACTCACAGTCTGGGTTGCTGTGGACGATAACCACCCAAGTGCCATGTGTCAGTCGCACGACTGCTAGTGTTGATTTCATTGCCTTGTTTCCATTGCTTGATGATCCTGCCGAAGGGTCTCGGTGGTTCCTACAAGAACCCAGAAGTCAGTGGGACCTACCTCAAATCCACTGAAAAGCTGTTGTTCGTGCCATCCCCGATTAGATGCCAGGTCTCTTCTGAATCCCCTTCGAATCGAAGCTAATTGAGTTAGTCTAACTTTAGACCTTGAATATTCTATTCGTGAGGACTATCTTTCTGCTCAGGGAAGGACACGGTCAGCAGGGTCCAACAGGTGCCTCTCACAGGTGTGGGGAACGTTACGCGATTGTTTGGCAGAGATAACAGGTGCTCTCTAACCCCATCTTGTCGACAATGACAGAGTGCCAGAGACCAGCTGCCGACCTTTGACCTTGGACCAAGTGGCGTATTCGTGGTTTCTTGGCATCTTAGAGGCATCAAGGACCTCTGAGTGATTGCTGCGAGACTGATATCGATCAACCTGTATATTTGGAGGAGGTTTACAGGGACCCTCTTCCTCGAGGTTTTCGGTGGTCGGTTGTAGAACCGTAATCGTACACTTATGTTGCAAGGGTTTACGAGATATCTCCAGAAGTCTCCCACAGTGTATGTGGCCTTTGGAGTGTGGGTTTGGTGGAAGGTTGTATAGAAAACGACATCGTGGTGGGGGAGAGAACGTTTGACCAGGTTTGTGGGACTGGGAACCCTCGAGATAAGCACCACGTGCTAAATGCGTGATCGTGAAGTTCCTGAATTTAGCCCATGATGGTATGGGGGCAATCCAAGCGCCCGACGCAAGTACATGGCAATACTGCGATTTAGCTCGAAGATAGGGCGTGCTCGTACGACGCCGCGGCGTTAGATCCAAGCGAAGAAACGATGGGGCGACAACACTGACGGTCATCGGGTCGCCAACTGTTGACGAACGTTCATCGGTTCGATGGTCTAGTTGGTCATGATTTCTGTCTAACACACAGAAGGTCCCCAGTTCGAACCTGGGTCGAACCATTTATTTTGGCCATGGCAGGAGAGGTGCGCACTGCTTTTGCTCGCTCGCCCACCATACGAGGTGAGTTCTTTTGTCGTGGAATAGATTAGAGCGTAATTGTGGCCTCCTGCTATACGTCAATGGTGAAGCTTTAGCCTCCTATTGATGTCTAGGCGATCTTTCGTACAAAACTTAAGCGCCCATTGATTCGGGGCCAGTGCAAAGTGGGAACTCACCTGACCGTAGGAAGTTCACAGCTATTGGGTTCCCTTGCCATGCTAGGCTTCTGGAAATCGATATGATGAACCTTTGCCGAGAGAAGAATAATATCCACATGGGGGCCCTGGATCATCAAGAACGTTGTTACAGACCCCTCTTCGACAAATTCCGAAGCGATCCTTATGCCTTCATCAGCCAATTCTAGCTTTACTGACTCTTATGCTTTTATATCTAGTAGCACTGTATCTAGTAACACTGTATCGAGAATCGGTGGTACTGCGTGCTAGTAGAGTATCCGCGTCGATCCTTTGTAACATCCATACCGACTTCCTCGCATGTAGAAAATGGCAGGTCCATGTGTGAATCTCTCATTGAACCAGACTAGTAACCCCTCTGGACCCATTTCCTGCGATCATCCGACTTCAAGTTCATAATTTCCAAACAAGGTAACAAGACAACTTGAAAAGGAAGGCGGTAGGGGAAGCACAGCGTCGGCTCATTCATGTAAATCACATAATCATATCAAATCATACTTCACGCCTTTCACGATTCGAGCTTCCGTCGGAAAGCAGAAGGAGATGGTATCGTCGAGTCTAATTTACTATACATACAAACGATTAATATCATACAAGTGTTTTGGATTAGCGAGAAAAAACCATCGCAGGGAAAAATTGAATTCAGGGCCCCATTGTAAGACTCGGAGAGAGCTCGACAACGAGTGCAAGAGAGAAAAGAACCATGCGTCCAAAAGCGATTAGCCAAAAACCGTCAATTTGTAAACCCACGAGTGATCCCTAATCCCAGGGGTGAGGCTCGCCATGATGCATCAAAAGGTAAGCGGGGTTCGATCCAATGTGGAGACGAACCATAGAGAGAGCGGAGGGGCAAAGTTAAGAACGAGGGGTGAGCAAGAGATGGGAAGAAAAGAGGGTATGCGTCATCTTCAATCAAAGAGTTTCTTGACTCTCTTGATGATCGAGGTGCGTTTTGAGACCTTGGCTGCGGGCGTAGCACCGGCACCGGCACCAGCCTCAGCCTTCTCCTCTTTACCCTCCTCCTTCTCCTTCTCTTCTTTGCTCTGTTCCTTATCCTTATCCTGCTCCTTCTCCTTTCCCGCCTCCTCAGCACCGCCTGGACCTGCCTCATCAGCTAGTCACTCCTTCTTCTCCGCCTCCTCTCCAAACACAATCTTCAACGCCGACTCGAAGTCCGCAATAATGTCCGCGATATCTTCAATACCCACAGAAACACGCACAAGGTCAGGCGTGACACCACTCGAGAGTTGCTCAGCCTCCGTCAGCTGCTGGTGCGTCGTCGTGGCGGGGTGGATCACGAGGGTCTTGGCGTCACCGACGTTGGCAAGGTTCGAGGCCAACTTGAGGCTGTCGACCACTTTGGAGGTGGTGGCTGCGTCGCCCTTGACGCCGAAGGAGAGGACGCCGCCGTAGGCTTGTTTGCGGAGGAGTTTGTTGGCGAGTTCGTGTGAGGGGTGGGAAGGGAGGCCGAGGTAAGAGACCCAGGAAACCTTGGGGTGTTGTTCGAGGTAACTGAAGGGCCAGGTTAGCAACCAGTTTAGGGGGCAAGAAAGGTAGGACGTACCGAGCAAGAGCGAGGGCGTTGTCAGCATGTCTTTGGACACGCAAGCTGAGGGTCTCGAGACCGGTGAGGAGGAGGAAGGCGCCGAAGGGGTTGAGAGCGGGACCAAGATCGCGCAGAAGCTCCGTTCGGACCTTGATGGCGTAGGCGATGTTTCCAAAGGCTTCGCTGAACTTCAAGCCATGGTAGCCTTCAGCAGGCTGAGTGAAGCCAGGGAATTTGTCGTTTTGGGTCCAGTCGAATTTGCCTATGGAGCGCGCAAGTGGTTAGATGCGATTGGGAGAGACTTGAAGGATATGGCGCACCAGAGTCAACGATGACACCAGCGATGGTGTTTCCGTGTCCACCGATCCATTTGGTCGCACTGTGAACGACGATATCGGCACCAAGTTTGATAGGCTGGATGATATATCCTAGGATCAAATTCTCAGCTTAACATACCACCTTCGGTGACAACTTTCGCCACGGCTCACCTCCAGCTCCAAAGGTGTTGTCGACGATAAGAGGAATTCCGTGGTCATGTGCAATCTTAGAGAGGGCAGGGATGTCGCTGAGGATGTATTTGGGGTTGGCGATGGATTCGACGTAAATGGCTTTGGTGCGCTCGTCGATGGCAGCTGCGAAAGCTTCAGGAGTGTCCTCTGTCACCCACTTGACGCCAATTCCGAATTGCTTGAAGGTGACTAATGTGAAACGCGGTGAGCAAACTTCTGGAACCCGAGACACGGGTCGTGCTTACCTTTGAATTGATTGTAGGTCTATTCCCGAGGAGTCGATGTAAGTATAGTCGCGATAGGGGTGCGGGGATTGAAATGATACGTACACCTCCGTAGAGATAGGAACTGGGAGAAAAGTAAGTTCAGAGGGTCTATGCGAGCAGTTGACAAAAGATAAACTCACGTTGAGACAATGTTGTCGCCAGTGCCTGCAATAGCAGCAATGGCCAGGAATTGTGCGGCTTGGCCGGACGAGGTTGCAACGGCTGCAACACCACCTTCCAAAGCTGCGATTCGCTTCTCGAATACATCCTAATAGGATATGCAACGCGTGAGTCCTGCTACTTCTATGCATCGAAGTCAATGGTCAACACGTACAACAGTGGGGTTGCCGATACGAGAATAGATGTTTCCGAATGCCCTAAACGCCGGGTTTAGAACCTGGTCTGGATTCACAGCTTCCGGGTCAACAATGGTCCTACCTGAGGCCAAAGAGGTCTGCGGCGTGCTGTCCAGAGCGTCAGAATCGCTGGAAAAGGAGGAACAAACATAGAACTCACAGCTGAATCGTTAAAGACGTAGCTGGTCGTCGCGTAGATGGGGACAGCTCGAGCGTTGGTGGTGGGGTCAGGAACCTGACCTCCATGGAGCTGGATGGTATCGAACTCGGGTTCCCTGTACAAAACGCGCTCAGCATCGACCACGACGACGAGCAGGCAAGTACGACGCGACATACTTGTGGAATTCAGCCATCGTTGATGAGGGAGAAGAAGAAGAGAATGTGGTGTGGGGTACTGGTCGAAAAGAAAGGGGTATAAACTTTATATCATTTCTGAGAATTGCGTGCTTCTGCGGATATGATGAAATTGAGCATGGTCCTTTACGAACTTGATCACGCCATTGCTTCGCAAGAGCCTGTCCGACGTCGCCCAACGAAATCTAGCAGGATCTAGTCCTAATTGGCACGACGTATCCTGGCAGAATCCAGTTTAGATTCCTGGCGCCACCACTATACAACGCCGTCTACTTGTCCTAGAATACTAATCAAGTCACGTACGCAGGTAAACTCACTTGATTCCGTCGACGAGACACTACGACGGTGAAGGCCAAGATAAAGACCGTTGGTGCGGCAGACCCATTTTTGGATGCCAGATGGCAGCTGGATCAGGCACAGCGTGCGGCGCTCCCGATCACAAGGCCTTGTTGTTCGGCTCAAACGATAACTTGGTCCGTAAACCCCACACCCTGATCTTCTACAAATCCCATCTCAAGCGCTCAATGCAACACCATGGAGTCACGACTTGGATTTCTAATCTCCTTGCTCTTGTGCTAGTTTGGGGATAGCTCTCTCTTAGTCGCCGCGAGGCCACCTTTGACGTCCGACGGCGAGAGATGATTCTGATAATCGGACTTTGCGGAGGGCATGCACTATATACACTGATGCCGTTGACAGGCTTGCAAGAGGACGAATCTCTGACAATCATCTGCGCGGTATTCACTGTCCTTTGACTTTGACAGCCTCCTTCGCACCGACTTGTCGCTACAGGCATTCGTATCGTACACGGCCGCTAGCACTCCTCCCATCTCGCGGTACGCAAATCGCCCAAGCCTCGCCGCTACAATCTCCCGTGCGCCGGTAGCCTACTCAAGAGGGTCGCGGTGTAGCCTGTGGGTGACAATGCTGGAAAAGACTCGGGCTCAAAACGCCACGAGTCTGTCAATGGCGCAATAAAGGGGCTGGATGCTCGTATAACATTGGTCGCGTCGAGGCCCGATGCCTCCAGGGTGCTCCTATGGGTTACTGGGCAGGTCGTTGTCCCATCTCGAACATCACAGCTTGGATACCGTTGGAGGGGGCCGAGCGAGAAGGAGACCTCTTGCCTCAGGTTCCATCACCAAATTGAAGCGCCGATTCATCCTTTGAGCGCCTATTCTACTGGGACTGACTGGCCTTTGCCGCCACACATCGTAGACTTGGATTGGAGCCCTACACGCGAGCTGGATATGTATAGAGAGCACAGTTGCTTGTTGATCGTGGTAGGAGGATTACAGTGCCATGGACTCAGATACGCGAAAGCTATAACAGCTGCGTGCTGGTAGGTATAGAAGTGTCAATACTGTAGCAACCAAATTAAAATTTGTTGACGAAACCATAAGGGTCACTTCGAAACTTCTCGTACAGCGGTCTGTATTCCTCTATGGAGCCAAACGGTCCACACATATCATCTTCTGATACAAGGTGCTCGATAGCGTCGCAGAAGTCAAGCAAGGCAAGCGCCAGCTCGACATTTTTTTGGAAGATTAGCGCGACGATGGCGTGGTCGAACAAATGCCTAATGTGAAAGCATTGGGCCCTTCTTAAGGTTGGCATGACCTTGGATGGAGAGGCGAGGAAGTCAAGCCCTTCGGTGGAGTCCAAAAGGAAGACATGGGTGAGCATTGCACGGAGAAGCGGCGTGCTAATTGAACGAGACATGTTGTAGATTCCGTGAAAGTAGGGCAACAGGGGACCCACCAGACTGCGTATTGGATTTCGAGCGTCGTTGTTGAGTCCCAATCATGGCTTGCGACTCTGATGAGTAGATCCCAGAGCCGATTGCACACTTCGGCTGGTGACACCTGAAGGGACTGGAATCTGTATTCCATAATACCGCGGAGCTGAGTCGGAAGGCATTGATAAATGGCTACAACAGGGGAGAGCGCCAATATGCGTCGTAAAGTGGATTCTGGTTCATAAAAGTATGCGCCAGGGCCACAGGCCAAGACTGAGGTTATATCTCTTCCTTCGAAGTGGACTTTGTGAGATGACGGACGGTTTATCCGAGCCCGGGTGGGACGCCATTCAAAAGCATGGGGAGCGCTGGAGTCGAGTGTTAATGCATAGAATGAGCTGCATAAACGGTCGAGGTAGAGGCGGCCCTCGGATGACATATTCCCCAGCCAGTCATCATGGAATTTAGCGTAGCATTTACGCCAGTGAGAGAGACAATCGTGCGTTATTGATGGTTGATCGAGGAAATGGCGAGCTGATTGCAATATTGACTCAAGGACGTCGTATGCGTTAACTATATGATCGCACTGGGCTAAGCGTAAGTCGATAGACACATCGCGAAGAAGAAATTGAGCGACGAAGAATTGGCAAAGGTCCTTGTGCTTAGGATTCTCCTCTGGTACTAGGTCGAGGAGGGCAGAGAACCCATGAGGCCAAAGATCAGCAGCCAAACGAGTTACTCCTTTACATCTGAATTAGTCTGTCCACAGCGAAGCAAACATTAGACCCACCATCCGAATAGTCTGCAAACGCACTTGAAGAGAGAAATTTCAGGCACCGGGAAGTCGCAAAGACGAACCAGTAATGTCTGTTACAGTGGAATTCACCTCCCCTGGACGGGCTCTCCAAAAATTCCCAAAAGGAATTATGGTAGGCCACTGGCGTCGGGTCTGGCCGCTCCGGTGGTATATGCACTATAGCGCGCAGCCCGCGAAGGGCCCTGGTCATGGCCCCAGGTTGCCCGGCAATAACCTTGTCGTACATAGGAACGGCGTGATGCCTGGCGAGTAAAGGCCGCCTTGCAGCCATCAGCCAGCCCACCGCTTGCATCATCTCCTCACGGTTTGGACATGACCCCAGAATGCGGCGATACAGGTCATCGAGCTGCTGCATTGGATTCAAAGCTTTATGCGACTTCTCGGAGGAACCTTGCAGGATGAGCTCCAGGCGCTCCTGGGGGCTGCCGTACGGGTCGTCGACGAACCGGATGACGGTGGCGACATATCCAAATTGGCCACACGAGAGTTTGACTAGTTTTTTAATCTTGTGCTCGGACGGCCATGGATCCTGGATCTGCGACATGGCGTGACGGTGCTTCTTTGCTTTCCGAATCCGTTGGAAGTGGTCACGGAGGTACCGCTCGACGTCGTCGTACTTTTCGGACACGTTGAAGAGGTCGTAGCGTTCGGTGTTCTCGTCGAGCGTTTCGAGATCCTCGAATGCTTCTTCGATCCACGATTCTGGGCGAGAGAAGATGGCGACCTTGAGAGGGAGATCGGCCTCTTGGATGGTTTGGATCAGCTCGAGGACGAGTCGTTGTTCCCCCTCCCTATCTTCAACGGGATTTGCACCTTCGCACTCGTCCAACGCGTCGATGAGCACGATCTTGTCTTCTTTCAGGAGAGGTATATTCATGAATGGCCCAATGATGAGCTTCTGGAGTTGGATCGGAAGCGATTTGGAGAGGATGGTAGGGTTGCCCACGATCGCCGCCTCTATGTGCGGCTTGAGCTGAGGGATCGACACGGCAAGCTGGAGCGCCAGCGACGCAACAAAGTGTCTGGCTCTGCTCCTTTCAGGGTGCACCCTTGAGAAGAAGAACGATGCGCCTAGGTTACCCATCGTTTCGCACTCCTCTGCAAGCGTTTGTGCGATAGTGGTCTTCCCCATCGCGACCGGTGCATGGAGCCAGAACGAACGCTTGTCCATCTCCTCCCTCGGTTGTTCTACCCAGCTCTTGAGGACACCCAGGACGCGCACCCGGGTCAATTCGTGACATCGTGGCGGGGGGTATCGCTCCGCAGAATCGTAGGTCGCACCAGAGGCAGCGTATTGCTCAAGGTAGGCGAGCGCTGAACGCGATCGATAAGCTTTCGCCTAATCTACATGGTTGAAACCTACGTTCTAGTCCATGGGACGATGAGAAGTCGTTGAACGTCCCGCCATTAATGACGAGGTTATGAGCTCTCTCCAGGATCGGCATATTGGGTCAGCGTAGGGTTGGATTATGACAAGTAACACTGTGCCAAGCAGGGCAGTACCAAATTTAAAGCGCCGACTCATTTCATGGGCGCTTATTCGGTGAGGGCATGTGGGGATGCGATTGTAGCTCCTCACCGGCGTCTAATGCGTGTTGATAGGGATATATCTACTCTCCTGACCAGATATTAGCCACTCGCCGCTGCATCTCCGTATGTTTGCCCTCGCAAAGCAGGTCCTGGGAGGATTTTTTCAAGGTGATGTAGTAACACAAATGACCGCCAATGTGAGGGCAACGAGTCACATATTTCTGGTCCTAACCGTCATAGGCGGTAGCCTCCTCGGCACATAGAACCAAAGAGGTCTGTTGCGCCAGTTTGACAGGCTCCCTCGCGGTTTAGAGCGGAGATTTTACACGCGTTGCCTCTCCTCGGAGGAGAGGCAACNCGTGTAAAATCTCCGCTCTAAACCGATGACGCGCATCAATATTCCCAGCTATGACTCGACTTACTTAGCCACTCACCACCACCATGACCGGTCGCCCAACCCGACAAACAGAGCCTCGTGTCTTGCATCCGCGTCCTCCTGAAATCCAGACAAAAGACCACACAATAATCACACCGACGCGATACAGCGATCACATGGGGGTGAACAAAAATTGCTGAGCTCTCGCCAATCAACCGTCGGTTTAACAGCACATAAAGAAGGGCAGAGACGAAGGACCACAGGTTGGGAAGACAACTACCGATGCTTTGTCCTTTGGCGTAACCGGCGGATCCAATTAGTATCTAGAGATCTGGAAAGCAACAGATGCCGATTGGGCAGGTCCTTTGAAGGGGTGTGGACAGTGGCACGGCGTGCTGCGACACAATGAGGCCTCCCTTTAAAAGTCGTCCCACCGACAGTGCGGGTGGGGGTCCCAGCTTGAACCAGGACTTTTTTCACCTACAACCACCACCACCCGCCACCGCTCTTTCCTTTCTACCCAGTGACAGAAATCATCACTGTGCGTGTCTTTCCTAACTCTGTACCAATAGTATCCCCTTAGGCGATCGCGAACATGTCGCGAACGCCATCGACTTCGACATCGACCTCGGCGCGTACAAAAGACGCGATGTCCCAGGAACTCTTCAATGCACTCGCGCACGTCGTGAGTCTCTCCAAGACGTACCGAAAGCGATACCCCAAACCAGACGATGAACGCGACGACGCGCTCCTCGAGTTTATCCACTGTGTAGGAGTGGTACTGCCTACCTCGCCAAGCGACTTGAACGCTGTATTCTGGTTCGTCTTCTATCTTTAAGTCTATCTTCACGATAGTTAATTAACCGACTAACGAATGATACAGGGACAGGCTTGCTCAAGGCCTCGAGACGGGCTACCCCATGCCTGAACGCAGTGTGGCCACTACCCAGGACGTGAACGCCACTCCCACCACCTCATCTCGCCGTCGTGCTTATACTTCTCATGCATCCACCGCGACCTCCTCGGGCCTCATGATACCTGAACCTTCACAAGGCCTGCCGAACGCACTTGGATTGCACCTCGGAACGCCAACCACACCCACCTCTTCATCGTCGTCGTCATCATCTTCCTACCTCAGCACCCCCGGGCTCGACCACGACTCCTCCTTCTCCTCATCCTCGTCGGAATCCACACTCGGTCCTGCCACCCCAGGCCCTTCCTCCACGCTTCTAGGACTTCCTTTCTCTTCCAACGCCCAACCCCAGACTCCCCGCACGAGTGGCTCGAACCTCACGCCCCTGCGTCCTGGCGGGCGCGGTCTCCGGCGCGAGGGCGCCTTCCACGGCATAAAAAAACTCGCAAAAGTCTATCCCGGAACTGGGGATCCTAAACCTGAAGACTACGCAGCAGAAGACTCGGATGCTAGTTCCAGCTCCAGCTCCAGTTCTAGTTCTTCATCTGGAACTGGGGGTCTGGGATCTGCGTTCCAACAAACTCAAACTCAAAACCCATTCCAACGCTCCCTTTACCACCCCCCTGGCGCCAGTGGACTTGGACCTGGACCTGGACTTGGACTTGGACCAGGAGTGACAGCGGAACCGCGCACTCCATCGGGAAGAGCACCCATGACTCTCCCGGTACGGCCAGCTTACATCCCCCTGACGCCCGCTTCGATGCCGCACGAAACCTCGGACGATGTGTCGGATACGTCTTCGACCCGCGCTCGAGCTCCTATCAGCCACTCCTCGCCCTCGAGTCGCGCTAGGCCTCTATCTAGGGCCGCTCGGGGCCCGGGTGGCATAGTGGCTAGTACTACCGCCACCACCAGTTCTCGGAGGGCTGGCGTCGCCACTGGCAGCGGTAGGGCTGGGGGTACTGCCAGGCTCGGTGCCACTAGTACTCGGTTAGGCATCGGGAGGGTAGGGACAACTAGCACTAGGGTAGGTGCTGCTGGTAGGACGGGTACGACCGGTCCTATTCGTACGGCTCGTACCAGGCGTTTGGCGCGTCCCTTGTCGTCGGGCACACCGGCCATGGAGGTCTCACCGCGCAACCTCGAGATGTATCTTCGCGCTCCTGGACCCGGTGCCCATGCCAACTCGAACCTCAACTTGAACTCCAACACTAGTGCTAATGTCAACGTCAACGTCAATGCCCTCGGAAGCAGCAGTGGCGGCAGTATCAGCTCCCCGGCACCCCTACTCTTCGCACCATCGACGGGCTCAAAGAGGAAACGCTCCCTCCTCGAGATCGCGCGTTCCGACTCGTCCTTCTCCTCTGATTCAGAAAAAGACGCGGAGGAGGTGGAGAGGGAGGTTTTGTTGGTCGGTCGAGGAGCTGGGAGGTCGACTGGAACAACCACCACCAAGGAGCGGGTTAGGGAAGTCAAATTCGATTTGGGTGAAGGTTCTTCTTCGAGGGGTGCTGGGGACAATGACTTGGAGAGGCCGGCTAGGAAGAGGATGAGGACTGCGTTGGATTTGGGCGGGTCGGACACTATGGGAGGGGCGCCGGGTGGGCTTGCGCCTGCTTTGACTCTCGCCTCGGCCTCGGCCTCCTCCTCCACTTCGACCTCGGCATCTGCGAGTGCGAGTACCAGCACACGCCGTTCATCGACCAAGCGCCTTTCATCCTTGAAGAAGTGATCAAGACCCCCCTCCTCGTACATTCCAATTCAATCCGATTTTTGCGATACCTCCTTGAATATACCCCCCGTGGTTGGAATCCTGTCCTGGTGGCCCGATAGTACTAGGCCTACACTGTGACATTTTGTATCAAGCTCAAGCTCGTCATCTCCGTCTCTTCCCAGCGCTTTTCGCCTTTTGTGAACTCTCTAACTCTTCTTTCTCGATGGACTTTTCAAGCAAGATCCTTCCGTCCCATTTCATCGATTCTTCCGATTCTACTACTTACTCCCCATCCCGATCTGGCTCTCGCCAACAACAACACTCGTTTAATCTGCTCTCTTCCTTAATCTTTTTTTCTTTTTAACTTTTTAACTTTTTAAACTGAAGTATTTTCAGTACCTTTTACTTTTTTTTTTCCGACCACAGACTCAACGCTCATTAATCACTTTTTTTCTTTTCTTCCTTTCTTCCTTTCCTCCTCTCACTGGAATAAGATCTTGTTTTCGTTTTTATGTATTTTATTGACCATATACCATTTTGCCTCCCATTCTTCGTATAAACCTTTGGTTCTTTCAATCTCTTTCAATCCGCGTTTTCTGCTTCTTTTTTGTTTTTGCTTCTTTTCTGTTATTGTTTTGCCTTTGAAATTTCGTACACTCTCCTTAATCATCTTCCCGCCTCGTTTTATTTATTTTATTTTCTTGCTTTTGGACACTTCCCATCACCTCGTCTATCCCTCCCGTCATTTCTCCTCCACCCTCCACGCACCCACTCTATCTTTTCGCACCCCGTCTCATGGTTTCTAGTAGTTAGTAAGTAAGCAGTGTAGGTAGTGTAGGTAGTGTAGGAAAGAATACAATATACAATTGGTTGATTCGTGGATCCAATCTGGGTCCCGAAATAAGTAGTCTTCTTCTGGTCTGATTCAGACTAGTACTCTTGAGATTCGGCAGCTGTGTTCCACTCAACTGCACATATACCTCATGCACGACGAACGAAGGAATTTGCAACACGGTAGACTGTAGACTGTAGAAAGCGAATAGCGAAATGGATAACAAGATTACATACATACAACAAGACGTGGGTTGGTTGAAACTTGACCTACGTAGGACCCACCTACAAGGGGGAAAGAGACCGACCGACAGAGTGAAAGAATGACGCAAATGATGGGAAGGATTCAGAAAGGTTTTGTTGTTGAGTTGTGGGTATGATGAGGGATGTGATGCGGTATGTGCGATTCTGCGACTAGGTGAGAGGGGAGAGGGGTTATGCTGTGCTGCGAGGCGAGACAGGATCCGGACGAGGGAGCTGGGTTGTTTACTGGTAGATAAAGTTGTACCTGAAAGAGAGTATAGTGAGCATTCAGACGAAAGGAACAGAGCTAATCTAATGCACACACCTCGACAACAAATGAGGGATCGCACTTAGCTGGGGACCGTACCGCGCCGCGTTGTCGTAGAGCTCGAAGAGGGGGATGGCGAGGAGTTTCATGTTCTTTGGGACTGCGAGGACTTCTGTTTGGGAGGAATAAAAGGGAGGTTAGCGAGAGGCAGGGTGGTGGTTTTAGAAACGGGAAGACACAGGGAAGTGGGAAGGAAAGGCATATGTGCAGACAAAAAAGTGGGAGATACGCAGACGAATGAGAAGTGGACGTGTACGTACTTCGTTCAGGCATCTGGACGAGGAAGAGTTTCTTGCATTCTTTAGGTTTGGTGATGTGTGCTGGAACGAAGGGGTACTGTTTGGGAGGTTTGTTAGTGTGGTGTTCGACAAAGGGTGTTGGCGAAGAGAAGGGCGGAGGGGAGTGTGGAAGTGCAGAGGGTGTGGAGGCGTTGAAGGTGTGCGAGGACGCAAATGTCAATGCGAAGGGGGGCTCGGTCCGGCTCCCAACTCCCAACTCAACTCACCATAAACGTCTCAAAATTCGGCCTCCACCACTGGGCCAAGCAGTCGCCAATTTCCCAATCATTGTCGATTCCGTGGTTTTGGTCGAATTGCTGGGAGTTGCTGGGTGGAGCGAGGCGGTCGTCGAGGCGCTTTTTGAGGCCTTCGATTTCGTCTTCGCCGGGTTTGAGGTAGTCGCCGGGTCTGCGGGTGGGTGTAAGGAAAGAAGTGAATGGTGGTAAGTAATAGACAGTATCAAACGACGAATGAGACGCACAGTTTGAAAAAGGCGTTGGCGATTTGGAGCATCAGGATGTGGGGGTGGCCGTGGTCGTGTACGACGAGGATGCCCTCGACTGTGCGGCGCATGCCAAAGTCTTCATAGTTGTTCTGCAGGCGTTGGAGGCGCGCTGAGACGGAGGGGTCTTCTTCGGGTTGGGCTTCCTTCGTGCTGGGCGGGGGTGGAACGCGTCAGCGTAAGCGCCTATCGAGCTTTCCATGGAGTTCCAATGATGCGCACCTGAAGGTAAAGTTGGACAAGGGATATCTGGGGTGGTTGTGAGTGGGTGTTTGTATTGTGAGAAACTAGATACATACAAGGCGATGGTGTTGGACATGATCGAGTATCGTTCGTCGTCGTCGTCGTCGTCGTCGATGTCGTCGTTGAACAAGATCCTTGAGCGCGTCGCCCGCCGAGCGTGTGAAATCCATCAACGGCCAAAAGAGCCGCAAATTCCGTGATGATCGGGATTGTGGTCCTTGCCGTTATGTTTTATCCACCACCGCGCTTCTGAATTCTTGGTTATCTGCAGCCAATTGCATCACTTCACTACATCTTCCCAACAACCAACATTTCGTTATCGCAAATTCAAAATATGAACGATGAGGTTGAGGCGTCTATAGGGGGCCCGAGTTCTCTTCCTTCCACCGGCTTTGCGCAGTTTTTGAGCAGTATGCAGAGGAGGATGTCGGCTGGGGCAAGTCAGGCTGTTCAGGGGAGAGCGATTCCTGCTAGGAGGTTTTCTGTTGGGCATCAGAATTATGGTGTGTATTTTTCCCTTGTTCACTCAGGAGGTTGAAGGGGCTTAGAAGAACTAGATAACCACGCTGTTGAGGACGAGCAGGGTGGGTATAGGATTGTGCAGACTGGGACGTCGCCTGAGCTGCATCGTGCTGGGTAAGTTTCCTGTTCTTCTTCTTCCATAATACGGCCCTCGAATCTATATTTAACTGAGGTCATTGGGTTGCGCCATCTGACCTCATTGAGGGTCAACAACGAGTCCATAGACCTCGCTTCTTCACTCTTCACTTGACAATTCGCGCTCAGTTGGAGCTGCCCATTCTCATGTCGCAATCCCATTTCTCCCTTCCCTCCCTTCCCCCTTCACCCTCCTTATTCTTACAGAGTACTGACCATGGACCCCAGACTCCTCCAACCGCGATCCTACAATGCCTCAAGCAGCCTCTCGCACTTTACCACCGCGCACCCAGGTGCACCACACACCCACTCGCAGGGCGACATCCGCCAAACAACCATGGAACTCTCCTGCCTTCCAGCACCCACCGCAGGGCCCACACCTACACCAGGCTCCTTCAAACGCCCTCCACCTCCCCCGACTATCCCAGAATTCGAACATGATTCCGATACGACCTCTGGGTTTATCTTCCCAGCGGCATCGCCTTCGGGGACTGGACATACCGAGTTGCCTGCTATCACTACTACACCCCACCGCGGAGATGTTGATGGACACGGGGACACTGATATCACGACGACACCCGCGGATTCACTCACGACGTCGATCTCATCTCTCGTTTCTGGATCGTCTGTGACTCCCTCTTCTGCATCAAGCGATGCTGCTGTTACGGGCGCATCTGGTAGCGTTCACCATGGCCACCAGGAACGGCGCCAGCCTAAAAGACCGTCTGGTCTATCCCTTCTTCGTCCTCTGTCAAGTTCTTCTTCCTCCGCGTCTTCTTCCTCTCCTTCCCCTCCCCGTTCCCCAAGTTCGATTGGGGCTTTGCGTTTCCCGGCGTCGTCGTCACCCGCGCGGGGATCCGGCACTGCACGAGCACGCGTCGAAGGCTTAGAGCGCGCTGGGAGCCAGACGGACGACACGACGACGCCCATGGGCACACCACGACCTACACACCGGCCATTGCAGTCGGACCCCGCGCGTTTCGACGACTCGGCCATCATCGATGTCGACGAGCATACTCCTCTGTTGCGACAGAAAGGCCAGCCCCAGCCGGTTTCGGTCTCTGCCTCCGCACATGTGTCTGCGAGTCCGGATTCAGGACTCGTCCCGCCTTCTTATCTCACCGCACCCGAGTCCTCACACGCGTCCACGCCGACGCCCAAGCCCTCCTCGTCATCTCCTCCTCTCCCTCTGGCATCTCCTGGGCCTCTCGCGTTGGACGGCAGCTCACGCCCACAAACATGGAACGCAACCGCGCAGATGCTCCACCAACGCTGGGCCAATCTGAAGCACGATATCAAACCTTCAGAGGTTCGACGTCGGGTAAGGGAGATGGACGTCCTCGGGACGCCTGTACGCTCGATACCGGCGGTGTTGTTGGGTTGTTTGTTGAATATTTTGGATGGGGTTTCTTGTGAGTGGTTTCGATCCTTTTCCTCTTTTCCTTCTCCTCCGTTTCCTTCCTACCATCCTACTACCCCTCGTCCCATCCCTCCCCTCCTCTCTCCCGCTCCACAAGACAGTCCTCTCACTCCCACCCTTAAACAGACGGCATGATCATCTTCCCCGCGACAGGCGTCTTCGCCCCCCTCGGACCTATGGGCGTCTCCATGTTCTTCGTCTCGGCCGTCGTTGCCCAGCTCGTGTACACCCTTGGAGGGAGTGGGTTTGCGGGTGGGAATGGGAGTATGATGATTGAGGTTGTGGTGAGTATTGTATATTCTCTTTGGTGTTGTTTCTGTGGTGTTGGTTCGGCGTAGCTCTGTTCGGGGTTACTTGGATTTGAAGGAATGAGGTGCCGTTGTTACGTCTGGACCAGGTTGGCTCAAGACGGAGTTGGATGGATTATTTTTGGACGCCGACGGGCGTCTATCTTCTGCGATCCGCTATACCATCTTTAGACTGATCAATCTTAATTTATCTTGACGTCTTGAATGTTGTGCTGATCACAGTCTTTCGCTTATCCTCGCTTATTCCTTCGACTCCTCCACACTTTCCTAAACGACCCATCCTTCAAACTCCCGCCATCCTTCAAACTTTCGTCCTCCTCCAAACTTCCGCCATCCTTCCAACTCCAACTCCCAACTCCCACTACCCCACCCTCCAGCCCTTCTTCCACATCCTAGCCAACAGCATCGCCGCCCAAATCGGCGAAGACCGTCCAAAGGAAATCATTGCAACCACGCTCGTCGCGTACGCGTTCAGCTCCGTCCTGACGGGTGTAACGTTCTTCCTCCTCGGTGCGCTCAGGCTGGGTGTGTTGGTTGGTTTTTTCCCGAGGCATATTCTTGTTGGGTGCGTGTCCTATCCAGTTACATGCGCCATCCCTCTCCTAATCCCCCCAACCACCAACCATCACTCAAACTACCACTACGACCAACACCAACGCTAACCCCTCCCCTCCCCCAACAGATGCATAGGCGGCGTCGGCGTCTTCCTCATCCTCACCGGTTTCGCCGTCGCACTCCGCGTACCCGACGACGAACTCACTTTTTCACTCGAGACGCTCCGCTTCATGTTTCTGGATACGCATAACTTGGTGCTGTGGCTTCTGCCGTTGGGTATGGCGGTGCTGTTGAGGGTTGTGACGCAGAGGTGGCATCATCAGTTGATTTTTCCTATTTGTGAGTTGTCCTTTCCTGGGGTGGTAGATCCTTTCCGGGGGTGTTGGATGGTACTGGGAGGGAGTCAAAAAAGAAGGATTGTGCTAATGCATAGAGTACACAACAGATTTCATGGCGATCCCGGTGCTATTCTACGTCGTCGTCCTCGTTGCGCGTATGGATCTCTCACAACTCCGGACTGAAGGCTGGCTTTTCGACATTGCGGATTCGGCACATGAACCGTGGTATCAGTTTTATTCTTACCTCGGTGCGTTGTCTCCTCTCTCTTCCCCCGAGGCCCGCGTTTTAATCGAACCCCTGCTCGTGTATTGTGTAGACTTCCGACTGGTGCATTTCGCTCCGCTGTGGTCGACGCTGCCTACCCAGTTTGCGCTGTACGTCGTCCCTCCTTTTCGGCCCTTGTGATGACGGATGGCTGATTGCTGATGTAGGCTGTTCTTTAATATCCTCCATCCTCCCTTGAACGTACCTGCTCTCGGTAAGTCTGCATCTTGCTCTTAACGGGGTGTTGGTGCTAAACGCTCTGTCTGATAGCCGTCTCCCTGGACATGGACGTCGATTCGAACAAAGAGCTGGTAGCTCATGGATACTCGAATTTGTTATCTGGGTTGCTCGCCTCTGTGTGCGTCCTCCTCTTCTTCCTCTCTCCCTACCCGTTTATCGTTTGCTAAATGGGCTATATGAATGTAGCCCGAATTACTTGGTTTATGTGAACACGCTTTTGTGAGTCTACATCCCTCTTTATATCGTTTTACAATCCTAAAGACTGATATGTTTTGTAATAGGTTCTACCGCGTAGGCGGCGACACCCGAATCTCGAGCTTCCTCCTCGCCGTTGCGACGTTTGGGCTACTCGTTATCGGGACTGGGCCCATTGCTTACCTGCGTAAGTGCAATTCCATTTTACATGGCTTTTGGGATGCTGTTCTAACACCGCTGCACCTGCTATGTACATAGCCGTTATGGTCGTCGGCGCTCTTATCTTTGTGCTTGGGATCGACCTTGTCAAGGAGGCCTTGTGGGATACGAGGCATCGTGTTAGTCGGTGAGTATCAATTATTTCTGGTGGGGGTGGACGTTGGGCGTCGTGGTGGTGATATGTGTGCGCATGTTAATGCTAACAATTTGAATTACTTAGATCGGAGTATATCACCATACTGAGTATCATGATCACCATGACAGTCTGGGATTTCGTTATTGGCGTGTTATTCGGGATCGTGGTCAGCTGTGCGTTCTCCCCTTCTTCCCCTCCAACTACATAGTACATACAGTATACTCACAAAAACGCCCGATTTTTGACAGGTTTCTTCTTTGTGGTACAAAACTCGCATCGGAGGAGTATTCGAGCGATTTTTACTGGGGATACGGCGATGTCTGCTGTGCGCAGGCCGAGTTTGCAGAGGGCGTATATTCGGGAGGTTGCGAAGCAGACTACTGTGCTTCGGTTGCAAGGTGGGTGTGTTTTTCTTAATGGCGTGGGGTAATTGGGGGTTCTAATCGACGATCTTCTATTTCTAATCAACGATCTTCTACCTCCACCCCCCTCCACCAAACACAGGCTTCCTCTTCTTCGGCACCATCGCCTACGTCGAAGAAGCCATCCGCGAATTGGTCAACGGACCCTCGTACCACCAAAACCCCGTGCGCTTCCTCGTGCTCGACTTTAGCATGGTAGCCGGCGTGGACATGTCTTCCGCCGAAGCGCTCGTCCGCGTGCAAAGGTTGTTGTCGGCTAAACACGTTACGCTTGTTTTGTGCGGGTTTGAAGTCGGGTCGTCGATTGGCAAGTCGTTGGATAGTGTGGGGCTTTTGGGAGCTGATTGGGTCGAGTTGTTTTTGACGTTCAATGATGCTATGGAGTGTATGTCTTACCCTCCCTTTATTTTATACCTTTCTAGGGTGGATTGTGGTACTCATTAAGGCTTGCAGGGACGGAGAATGAGTATCTTCGAGCGTGGTATAGGTCGCAGAAGATGGAGACGACGGCGGTTACGGCGCTTCCTATGCCTTCGCGGCGAGAAACTGCGATCGAGTACCACCACCCCCTCAGTGGGTCGTTTGTCCGGTCACCTAGGCGGAGTCATATACGCGATGCTGGAGATCGCACCATAGCTACAGGTGCGTACCCTCTCTTTTCTCTGAAAGCAAACCTCCACTAACACGCTCTTAGAAATCATGGCCCAGCAAGAACCCCAATACACAGCCGAACCCCTCAACACAATCATCAAAGCCTTCTCCTCCTACGGCGAGGTAGACACGACCCTCTTCAGCCCTCTCACCTCCTACCTCGAGGGCACCGCCGTCCCCGCGGGCCACGTCCTCTGGACACAGGGTGACGCCCCCGACGGGCTCTACATCCTCGAATCCGGCATCCTCCGGGCCATCTACCAATTCGCCAACCCGGCGCAGAATTTTGAAGAGTCGATGGTGGCGGGGACGGTGGCGGGCGAGTTGTCGGCGCTGGCGGATGCGGAAAGGAATTGTACGGTTGTGGTGGAGAGTGCGGCTGTGCTTTGGAAGATGAGCATGAGAGATTTGAGGAGGTTGCAGGTGGAGAGGGCGGAGCTTGCGAGGGTGTTTATTCAGCTTGTGTTGAAAGGTGTGTTTTTTGTTGGGGTTTGGGAGTTTTTTGTTGTGGCTGACCCGGATTTTTGTGTAGCGGCTAAAATTGACTTTGACATCTTGTTGAGCGCTATTGCGTCGCGCCGATGATTTCGTCCACCACCACCACCTTAATTCAAGGGTTGATCTGCTTCTATTTATTTTTCATTCTGGACATTCGCTGGATCTACTCACTCTTCTTGACTAATTTTCACAGCCCTTTCTTCACTCTTCTACTCACGCACATTACTACTTTGACGCCAACGCCTAGTTGTAACCCAATACTAACTTATCTGTTATTTGCTGTACCGCTGTTGTTGTTGTTTCAAAAGGTGGACATCGAACTTGACACAAAAATTAGACAACTGTTGTTGTTTGTAATATACCCTACTAGTAGTACTGTCATCGTCGAAATAAACGAAAAGAAGTCTGTTCTCATCTCCCAGTAGTCGTCGTAGTCGTCGTAGAAGCCGTAAACACACATTGCCGATGCATCTCCCCGAGAACCTGCTGATATCGAAGCGTCCACCACCCCCGTTCTTCTCTCTCCATCTTCTTCGCTTCTTCGTCTTCCTGCCCATACTTGAGATCCGGGAGTTCGCCAGAGGGGCTCTTGGGCATAGGCAACCCAGACGCCATCAACGAAGAAACAGTCAACCAGGTGTCCTTGGAAGAATCAGATCGAAAGTTGGCGGCGTCCTGGAACCCGGAGAACGAGAGTAGCCGCTGCGTATGTCGCGTACTTTGTTCCAAGGCTTTTGAAAAGGACTCTACTAGTTCCGCCGATGCTGGTGTACGTTCACCACTGCCTTCCTGAGAATCGGATTTAAGGACGATTTCGACCACTGCGGAGGTGAGAGGAGTGGAAGCGGGGATGGAAGCAGCTCCATTGGTGTTGACAGCTCGTGGGGTGGGTATGAGTTGCAATGTAAACTCTGTACGGGAGTTGGTGGTGGTGGGTTTTGCGGCATTCGGCGCATGACTTGGCCACTGACCTTGTGGATTATCGACCGAGGTCTGAGAAACGGAGAAAATCCTGGAGAGTCCAACTCCGGGAACAAGATCGTATTGGGATGCGCTGGATTGTCGAGGCGTGATGAGCAGAAGAAGATCAGAGAACACAAAGGCTTGGACATGGTCAGGTGGGATGATGGTAGTTGGGTGAGCGCTCGATGAGTCCACGGAAGAGTTTGACAGGCCAGTCCGACTAGGTTTCCGTTTGAACATGTCCTTCAGCTTCGGAAGTCTCGATGCACCGTCAAGGTTAATTGATGCGCTCCCAGAGCTGGCAGTATTGAAAGACTTCATCGATGCAGTAATGGACGAGGACGTCGATTTGACCGAATCAGACCGCTTCGGAGAACGTTCCCAAACGCTGATGGCCTCGACCAATCGGTTGGTTGGTTTCCCGACTCTAGAAAGTTGCGGGGAAGACAGTCCACTAGGTGTGACTGGAGGTGGCAAGGCATGAGAGATTAGTCTGACAGTTCCAGAGTATAGCAGTCGTCTTTCCCGAGTCGCCAAGGAATCTCCGACAGCGGAATCAGATATCTGAGAGGCCAGGGTCTGGATCAGTTTATACTCGTTCTCGCGCAGTTTGACCTCAGTGAGGACTTTCATGACAGTGTCAACGGATTTCGCCAGAGTGTAGGATGCCAGGAATTCGGGATGACTTTGCGGAGTGTGGTCCAACAGATCCTGGAAGAGGGACTCATTAGATGGACCCTTTGGAGAAGGTGGCACCTACCGTGAACATGTCCTGGTAGGCAGCAAGCCGATGAACAGGCTCCATCAAGAGACCCTCGAAGGTCCATCCCTTCGGTTTCAAAATCCGCTCCTGCATCCTAATGAACTCGCCAAAGTCACTATCCGTGTTTGATGCCAGCTTCGCCACCTCCTCCAGAACATCGGCTAACCTCACCAGGTAGGGCTGGTAAACATGCAACCTGGGAACAAAGTCTTTCAGATATCCAGGGAGCCCATTGATCGTTGACGAGCCAGGTCCTTGTGTCGACATCGAAGATTCGAGTGTTTGGAGGATACACATGTGGAGGTTGACAATATCTTCGTACCAATCCAAAAGCCGGCTGATGTCTGCCGGGACACCCCCAATCCATGACCTCCGATCCTGCGTGCGGATGGGGAGAATAAAGTTGTCGATGCAGTACTGCGCGTTGTCCAAGAAAGTTTCTTCACTCTCCATAAACTCTTGTAAGATGACCTCTCTCCGATTGGCGTTCGCAGGCTCCGGTCGTTTCGAGACCAGACGAACACTATGCTGGTGTTCGTTTTGTCGATGATGGTGCTGGCGGCGCTCCCCTGGGCTCTGGAGGCTTCCATCGCCGAAACAGTAATCCTGTCGCGCATCCTCGAACTCGCTGTCTGAGGAGTCTGTCAGATGGTGGTCGTCATACATGGAGGATCCGGTCGACGTTGCGGAAACCACGCTGAAACGCGGGACCTCTTGGTGGGCAGAGGATTGCTGAGCGGAATGTCAAATCAGAACTCGAAGGCACTTCTGAGCAACCAGCTGGGCGCTCACCTTGAAAGTCTCTGTTTCACGATCTTTCGAGTCATTGCTCAAAGATCTCAACATGCTTTCAGCCCCCACACTGAGACTGCTCTCCTCATTCCTTGAGTCAAGCGGTGCATCGTCATCCCACTGCCATGTGTTGCTCGACACAGACGATCGCTGGCTGCTACCTTCGGACCAGCGCTTCGACGACTGGCCATTGTAAATCTCGTCCGAGTTCGAAGGCGGGATCCCAAACGCTTGACGCTGATGAAAAGCGTGGAAAGTGGTTTCCTGGGCCAGTGTGACACGGGGCTTGGGATGTAGAGACGGCGGGGATTTGCGGGAAATCACCCTAGGAGTGGGTGCCTGAAAGCCATTCTCCAACTCGTGGGACGACTCGTTGAACCAGGTGTGGTCATCCTTCGGCTTTGGTGAACGAACGGGGACCATAGGCTTGCTCGTCTTCTCGTTTGCCCTCGGTGTTCGTGAAGGAGAGGAGAGAGCCTGTTGGCGCTCTGGCTTGGCCCTTGGGGTCGAAAAGTCATGGTTAGCTTTGGGGGTCAAGGGAGACGAGAGTGGAGAGCTGTGATAGGAACCTTGTCTCCTTGACAAGAGCTGGGAAATGGAGATTGGCGTCGAAGGCTGCTCGGTTACCCTCGGTGACAGAGGCTTTTGGTTCCACGAGGTTGGTTTCTGATTCGGCCGGCGTAGGCTCTGGTACTGAGGCCATTGCACCGGGTCTTGGGCCCACTGCTCTTCCTCACTATTGTCCTCCTCCAAGCCACTTTCAGCACTGTCGCTGGCGCCGCGCCTATCCCCGTCCTCTCCACCCGTGGAATAGTCGGAATCGTCCCAACTTCCTGGGTATGACAGATGTCGGTTGGAAGCGAGAGAAGCGTCAGAGTCCGAGGGTGGAAGGGAGAAACGCAGAATTTTCGCCCTTTCAGAGAACGCATGACTGGGTATCAAAGGTGATTCCGATGCGAGTTCCAAACCCAACCCGATGTTTGCCTTCGAAGTTGGCTGTGGGGTGGGCGGTCGGGAAATAGAGAAGGCCATCGGGGGAGACCTGACGTTGGAGAGCCACGGTTCGTGGCGGTATGGCACTTGGACGTCACTTTCTGAGCTTGACGTCGAGGGTAACACCTCAGCATTGGCGACTGTCAAACGGCGTTTGTCCATCCATTGTCGTTCGTACTGCTTTTCAAGGTCCGATTCGTCTGTCACCGTCGACTGGCTAGGCGTATGTTCGAGTTTTGGCTTAGGGCGGGGAAGGTTGGAAGGGGTAGACTTTGATGTAATGTTTAATGGTTTCACGGCCGGAAGGGGAGTCGTTGGTTGTTGGGGAGTTGTCGATGGTTTCCTCGATAAAAGGCTTCTAACCGTCCGCAGAGAAGGCGTTCGTGGCGATGGGACCTTTGGCACCTCGGGTGGGGGAGGAAGAGGTGACATTGTCATCTTCTGGACAGTCTGCATTGGAGTCCGCAGGGCCGACTTCAGGCTCGGCTTGGGAAGCTTCTGTCTTGCTTCGATGGACGGGACGCTCGGGTGATATTCGAGGTTGTTTGAGCCTCCTGCAAGCTTGGGAGTGGACTTTGGCTTGTGTAGGGACTGACCGTGAGCCTTTGGCGTAGAAATTGTCGGTAGCCTGGAAGGCGGGCGCGTCATTTTATTGATCGTCGTTTGCAGGGATGGCAGAAGTTCCGATTCGACGTTGGGGAGACCTGGCCGTTGATCATGTTGAATACGAGATGGACCAGCAACTTTACCCCCACTCTGACCCTTAGATGCAGACTGTGTGCGCCTGTAGTCCAGCGATGACTCCGAACCTGACTCGGCGGGTCCCACCCTTGCTTCACCCTTCGGGGTGCTGGTCCCCTCGTCAAGCCTATTTCTCAGTCCTGATCCTGAGCGATGTCCCCAACTGGATTCAGAGGTCTTGGGTTCTTGTCGCTTGACAGGATATGCAAATCCTCCAGCAGCGGCGTAATGTGAGGGAGGCAAAAACGAGCGATGCTGTCCTGCAGGCGAAAACGGCTGTTTTCGTGTATCGTTCCATTTGGAAGTCATTCCTGGAACAGCGTGCCTGTTATTTACACCGCGAAGATAATGTTCAAGACCATACCATAGAACGCGTGTCGACAAGCGGAGGACGGGCGTTGTGGTTGAAGGTCAAGTTTGGAAATGATGGCCGTCCGTCAGTTGTGTCCGATGGCGGCAATCACTTGCTGAGCCTGAAAAAGAGTAAGCGCCCGTCGCAGCGGCAGCATCTTCCAGCCCAATCTCAGGATAATGTACCGTCCCAAGTCACACGAGGCATGATATGTGTTTAATCGAGCCTACGCTACCATCCCGCTTGCTTAACTCTGGTGATATCGATCGCGCGCGTCAATTGAGTACTATGAGATGGACGTGTTCTGCCCGCAAGGAGACCAGAATCAATGTTACACGAGTATGGACCGTACTACTGTTACTCGATCCAGTACTCGATACAACGAAACGCTGGCTCATATAATAGCAGGTAGAGCTAAAATTGGCTGATGAAGGCATAAGGATCGCTTCGGATTTTTTTGTAGAGGGACCTGTAATAACGGTCGTAAAAATCCATGAACTCGACGTCAACTTCTCCATTGTTTCGGCAAAGGTTGCATATGTCAGAAGTTTTTGCAAAGATGGCCTGGACAATGGTTGGTTGGCGATATGGCACAATCGGGAGGCATCCCCCAAGCTAGAAACATCGATCAACGGTGATGGTCGGGTTGGACAGGCGAGACAGGCAAGGCCATCGCGAGGGGTCGCAAAACACTCAAGTGTTGAAATGATAATACGAGTGATGAGTGGCTAGGCATATAATCAGCCAATGAGTAAGAGGAAGAGAAATCCACTGAAGACTCGCGAGCGTGACAGTGCATTTTACCCTTTGAGGAATGGTTGCAACTTGATGGACAAGAGCCCACAGCCGGCTGCACATCACTGAGGCACATGAAGGTGAACCAGCCTGCGGAACATAAAGGAGGCAGTATCGAAGTGACAATAAGCGGCTGCAAGCGGTGAGAGCTCAAAAAGCTGTCTACATATCGCTCTGGAACGACGAGAAATCGCTGAACGTTCCGCCATTAATGACAAGGTTTTGAGCTCTTTCAAGGATTGGCATGTTGTATCGTATGTTTGAGGAAGGGCGTAGAGCAGGGAAGAGAAACCAATAGCTGTCAGCTTCCGACGGTCAGGTGTTGTCACTTGGCACTGCCTCCATGGTTTGGGCGCTTAAGTTTTGTTCGAAAAAGCACATTAATAGGAAGCGAAAGCTTCATTATCAGCGTACAGCAGCAGGCGGAAATCACGCTCTATCCATTCCACGTCAAAAAAATCGTCTCATACGGTGGGCAAGCAAAAGGAGCGCGCCCCTTCCCCCTCAAGGCCAAAAATCAATGGTTCGACCCAGGTTCGAACTGGGGACCTTCTGTGTGTTAGACAGAAATCATGACCAACTAGACCATCGAACCGCTGACGGACAACGTTTGCGGCACATCCCGACGTCCCGCCCCTTGCCAACGTTTGAAGAGTTCCCATACACTGAATTGACTTTGACAATAACCACCATGTCCCTCCGTATCCGCCACCCGACGATGTCTCGATAAGGGCCGCTATTCCAAAGCAACGGGACTCTGAGAAGCCTCTCGATGGCTTAGAGGTTTCAGTCAACGAACGCGTAGTTTGGCGGCTAATTGAACCTTGAGGCAGAACAGCTTTAGGTGCGTCAGCATTCTTCGATGCCTCCTTATCTGCGCTCAGACATGCCTCCAGGCAGAAAGATTATCTCTGAAGATAAGAATGGATCCTGTTTATCGATCAACTACACGATGAACGTTATCTGGTCCGGGAAGCCCTAAAGGCTGTCGCGTGTTCAGGACTCCAAGCCTGCCGTATAGCCCTTCTGAAGCCTCCTGGCCGACGTAAGTGCCCTGAAGTGGTACGATCAGGCCTGTTGTACGTCACTTTTGCTCACTGTGGACCCATTTTAGCGCGTCAGCGGCCACGGGATTGACGATTTTCGCAACGCTGCGCACAGGTGACGCGCTCCACCGTGTTCGGAAAGCTCGGAAGAACTGCTGGCTCGGGGTGACTCACGGAGGTTCCGGCCGGACAAATACCCCACAACAAAACCCCAGGCTGTTATGGTTTCCGTTTCCGGGTTACTGCGTCCCTGATCTGCTCTTCCAGCACACAGCGCTGCTTGTGCTCGAACGACAACCACATTCACCACCTATTCTCCTATTCCACCTGTCTGGACCACCAGGACTGCTCTTATAGCCCAGCTTCTTGCCAGATAGCGAATAGGCCCAGTTCCACTCGTTCGACGTTATTGTCTTTGTGATGCGTCACTGCTTCTCAACCGCTCTCCTCGTCGCCAGTCTTGCTGGAGGTATCTACGGCCACAGGCAATCCGGCTCACCCTCCTACGATGAAGCGCCCGTGAAGAGGAGGAAGACGTTGGGCTTTGGTCCCAACCACCCCCATGCGGTCTTCCACGCAACCCCATACAGCATCCAAACCAACGGCTTCACCCCCAAGGATCCTTCGATGGACCCCTTGGAAGTAGCGCGAATCTTTGTAAACGATGTCCTCTCTGAGGGACCCTCAGAAGGCAGGTCGTACAAGATCCGCGACGACTCCTACACCGACAAGAACACTGGTGTTACCCACGTCTACGTTCGCCAGGTCGTCAATGGCTTGGAAGTCGTCGATGGTGATATGAACATTAACATCAAGGATGGAATGGTTATCTCCTACGGTAACTCTGTATGTCGCAATCTTTTCTCAAGTTTGTCGTGTGATACTAATGCCGTCGCTGTAGTTCTACAAGGGTGCTGCACCCATCTCTGGCCTGCTGCGCCCCGAGAACTTCTCGGCTCTCCGCGATTACCGCTTGGAGGCATGTAATGAGGCTCGCTCTCGCAGTGCTGTATCATTCATGGGCCACGGCGATGGCCAGGTCATCATGTCCTCGTCGCAAGAGCCAGTTTCACAGGAGTTCTTGGAGACTATCAAACACAACTGCGATACTGCCTTCCAACCCCCATCATTCAGCACTGACGACCCCTCTGACTTCCGCCCTGCCTTGTTGCACTTTGTGCACACTGCCACCCCCAACTCGCACTTGGCTGCTGATATCGAGAGCAAGTTCGAGCAGTACGTTGCCAAGATGGAGCCTACCCCGGTCCACCACTTTGCGCCGAACGGGAATGAGATGCAAGTCGAGTTCTCCGTCGACAAGGTTCCCGAGGCCGTTAACCCCGTCAAGGCCAAGTTGGCCTACGCTCAAGTCCCCAACCAGGCTGGAGACGCCACCGAACTCCAGCTTGTCTGGAAGTTCGAGGTCGAGATGGAGGACAATTGGTATGACGCGACCGTGACGGCCCATGCACCTCACAAGATCGTCTCGGTCGTGGACTGGGCTTCTGATGCCCCCATTCCCACCCCTGATGAGCGCGTTGTCGGTACTTACAACGTCTTCCCATGGGGTGTCAACGATCCATCCGTCGGTGAACGCTCGATCCAGAAGGAGAACTTTGACGCTTTGGCTTCTCCCGCTGGCTGGCACGCCATTCCCTACGCTCACGACCCTCAATCGACCAACATCAGGCGCAAGGGCGGCGACTTCTGGAGGAATACCACCACCACTTGGGGCAACAACGTCTTCGCTCAGGAGAACTGGGAGGGCGCGAACAGCTTCATCTATAACTACCGTCCAGACGGCGGCCAAGAGAAGGTCTTCGACTACAAATACAAGCCCAAGGAGACTGAGAAGCCCGACGCTCTCGATGAGGCGAAGAAATACATCAACGCTACAGTCTCCCAGCTCTTCTACACCACCAACTTGGTGCACGACTTCTTCTACCGCTATGGCTTCGACGAGGTGTCCGGCAACTTCCAACAGTACAACTTTGGCCGTGGTGGACGCGAGAACGATGCTGTTATCGCCAATGCCCAGGATGGCTCCGGTTACAACAACGCCAACTTCATGACCCCACCCGACGGTCAGAACGGTCGCATGCGCATGTACCTCTGGAACACTGCTTTGCCCTACCGTGACGGTGACTTCGAAGCCGGCATTGTCATCCACGAGTTGGCCCATGGTCTGAGCACCCGCTTGACTGGTGGACCGTTGAACTCTGGCTGCCTTGGTTGGGGCGAGAGCGGAGGTATGGGTGAAGGATGGGGTGACTTCCTTGCCACCACTATCCGAAGCAACAAGGTCTACTCAGACTACGCCATGGGCGCCTGGGCTGCCAACAGGGAATCAGGTATCCGCAACTACGTCTACTCCATGGTATGTGTTTCGAGCCGAACCGCTTTGAACAACGTGGCTTACCCTTTTTCTATTTTAGAACACCACTGTCAACCCATCCGTCTACAAGACCCTCGATAAGCCCGGCTACTGGGGTGTCCACGCCATCGGTGAAGTCTGGGCTGAGATCCTCTGGGTCGTCTCCCAACGCTTGATCGAGAAGCACGGATACTCCGACAACCTCTTCCCTCCCGCACCTCTCGAGGACGGCACCATCCCTCCTGGCGATTTCTACCGCGTCGCCGAGGCTGGCAAGCCCCTCGTTCCCAAGCACGGCAACTCGCTCATTGTGCAGCTCGTCATTAACGGTATGAAGTTGCAGCCTTGCAGGCCCACGTTCTTCCAGGCCCGCGACGCCATCATCGCCGCCGACCAGGTGTTGACCGGTGGAGAGAACTTCTGCACGTTGTGGAAGGGCTTTGCCGAGAGGGGTTTGGGCTCGGATGCCAAGATTGAGGGCCAGACGCCTTGGGGTGGAGGAATTAGGACCAACGGCTATGCTGTTCCTTCTGCTTGCCAGGACGAGGACGCGTAGAGAGGTATAGACGCTATCCCTCCCTAGATTCCACTCACTCGCTGCCGTTTATTTCTGCTACTATCTACTCGAACGTTTTAATCCCCTTTTTCTGCTCTTGGTTTTTCATGCTCTGCGGTCCGTACTAACCAACCATCCTCACGGTCTATACCAGGTGTCGGTGATGGTTACGATGGATTCGTGTGCATCTCCATTCCCTGCATATATCACCCCGTCCCGTTACAGGGCATCCGTTGTGCATTCTTTCGTTTCTTTTTGGTCTCTCCGGGCACTGTGTATCATAGTTATTATTGCTGTCGTTGCCTACCTGTGTACTATATCCCTGTCGCTCTTGCCCTTATACACGCGTTATATTGTAGAGAGAAGTTGTGTTGTATGAGAACTGGTTCGGGAAAGACATTGGGAGGTAAGTGCGCGTCGACTGTAACGGTTACGTGACGAGTGAGGCTGACGGCCAAGGGTGAGGCGATTTACATAGGTTCGATGGTCTAGTTGGTCATGATTTCTGTCTAACACACAGAAGGTCCCCAGTTCGAACCTGGGTCGAACCACTTTTTAATTTCTTTTTTTTGGTATTTGTTCAAGCAATTCCGTGCAAGCGCCTAACGTCGCGATGGGGCGGTGTAAGTATGGTGATCATCACTCACCTGACCGTACAGCTTCAATCAATGAACATTTACCTGAGCTGCCAGTGTCAGCCCTGTGAGGTGAGCTGATCTCTGCCTTCACTAGTTCTGCACATGCCCATCTTCGAGAGGGCTCAGAACCTCGTCATCAATGGCGGAACGTTCAACGACTTTTCGTCTTCGAATGGAATAGAGCGTAAGTCCATGGGCTGTTACAAGTTGCCGTTTGGGTGAAGGCTCATCGATCAAGATTAGCGCTCGCATACCTCGAGCATTACGCAGCATCCGGCGCGACCTACGACTCTGCGGAGAGATACCCTCCTCCGAGATGCCATGAGTCCACTAGGGTGCGCATCCTGGAGATTCTCAAGGGCTGGGTCAGTCAACCCAGGGAGGAGAGGGAAAAGAGCTTGTTCTGGCTTTATGCCCCCGTCGCAATGGGGAAATCCACAATCGCTCAAACGCTGGCAGAGGAATGTGAAGTGATGGACAACTTGGGCGCTTCATTCTTCTTCTCCAGGTTAGACGCCAGGAGGAATCGGGCTGAGCGTTTTGTGGCGTCTCTCGCTCTCCAACTCGCCCTATCGATCCGTCAGTTGAAACCCCATATCGAGGCGGCTGTCATCAATAATCCTACCATCCTCAGCAAATCACTTCCTGTCCAACTCCAGAAGCTTGTCATTGAACCTTTCCAGAAGATACCTCGCCCAGAAGAAGATAAAACGGTCGTCATCGATGGGCTGGACGAGTGCGAAGGTGCAAAGCCCTTGAAGGATAGAGAGAGGGAACAGCGGCTGGTCCTCGAGCTCATCCAAAGACTCAAAGAGGCCGATCTCCCCCTCAACATCGCCATATTCTCCCGCCCTGAATCATGGATCGAAGAAGCATTTGACGAACTCGAAACACTTTCCGAGAACACTGAACGTTACGACCTCTTCAGCGCAGCCGAGAAGTACGCCGACGTCGAGCGGTACCTCCGCGACCACTTCCAACGAATTAGGAAGGCGAGGAAGCATCGTCATGCTATGTCGCAGATCCAGGATCCATGGCCGCTCGAGGACGCAATCCAAGAGCTTGTCCGTCGCTCCTCGGGCCAATTTGGATATGTTGCCACCGTGATCCGTTTCGTCGACGACCCGTACGGCAATCCCCCGGAGCGCCTAAAGCTCCTCCTCCGAAATTACCCAACGTCTCACGGCTTTTCAAACCCCATGAAGGAGCTCGACGATTTGTATCTCCGCATTCTAAAATCATGCCCAAACCGAGAAGAGATGATGCAAGCGTTAGGTTGGCTTATGGTTATCAACATGTCCGCGTTAAGGCATTCCAAGGAGGCCGGTGCATTTGTCCCGCTGTACGACCAAGTTATTGCTGGAAAAGCTGGGGCCATGGCCAAAGCCTTGCGTGGACTCCATGCAATAGTCCATATACCCTCATTTATAACGGAGTCACAGGGAACTGACGAGATCCCGTTGGACGCCGATTCGCACACCCTAATCCAGCAATCAAACCCGTCTTCAGTTGTGTACCATAACTCCTTCTTGGAGTTTTTGAGCAACCCGTCCAGAAGCGGCACTTTCCACTGCGACGAGGCTTACTGGGCCATATATGCGGCTTCCCGGTGCCTGCAGTTTCTCTCTTCGAACGAGTTGGCAGACTTCTCGGATGGTGCGTGTGCCTTTTTACCTGATACATAACACTGTGAGAGAATAACTGATTCGAGACCCAGATGTTTTGTCTCTCGCTGCTGCTTTCTGGCCTCGTGGATTCTTTTACTTTTCCCGCCTACCATTCGAGCGCACTCCTGAGAACATCGAAGCTTGCCGCCTTTTCGCTACCCTGTTCCTTGCACGCGATTTGTCAACCGACTTCACCTGTCCCGGCGAGGGTCGCACACTCTTCTTCCATCGCTCGATAAGCTTCTCGGCTTCCATTTTCATTGACCAGCCATCGATAGCGCTCGAGTGCCTCTCCCACTGGCACAAGGCATATTCCGATCTCTTTGATGATTGCATGGGCAGTCTGTCCTCAGAGGGTCGCCTCTACCTCGAGCGCCTATTTGGTTCTCTTTATGCCCTGACGCTGGATCCGAGTATCCCCCATACCTTTGAATGGCGTTGTATCCTACGACAGGGCGGATGGAAGGGCTCCATACTTCAGTTCGAGAACAACGATATAAGTTCAGTCTTGGGCGAAGGGGCACTGGGATTTTCTCGGCCTTTTGCTTGGGAAAACCTGAAAGACCCGGAAACGTCAATGCCACGGATACTCGAACTGTCCCCTGTGGCAGCTGTTTATGGCCACCTTCCTCCCGAGTTCCACTCTTTCATGTTTCCCAGATTACACTCCATTCACGTATCACCAGCTGAAGTGTGTAACCGACTTTGGGATCTATTCGTTAGTGCTGCAACCCATGACTGGGGATCAGCCAACGGAGACGACATTTTTTATGGAGTATGGTGTGTTTCCTGTTTTCCCCTCCGAACTCTGAGCGACTAAAGCCATCGTCTTCGATTAGTCTACCACTCCTTGATGGAATATTCGGCCATTTGGTCCTTCTGGACTCCATCGACGGGTTATACTTCCTCGTCTCTCCGTCGAGCGCCTTACCCACCATCAGAAGGGTCGGTGACAGGGATAGGTTTTATGTCGGCGATTCCGCAGATAAGGCCATTATCAAACTCATATTTGATAAAAAGGTTGAGATGGCTCTTGCCGTACTCAATTTCTGCGAGGCTATGGAGCGTCTCACCTTAGCGAACGGGACGCTCGAACTGGGTTGGTTTATGGGTGCTCATCAGCCATTGTTTGACGAATTCCGAAGCGACCCTTACGATTTCATTAGTCGTTTTTAGCGTAGCGTGTTCCTCTTTTTAGTACTAGTTTTTCTTTTTTAGTATAAAATTGTTTCACGAGGCTGTCCACGACCTGCCCAATCATACAACCCAAAGGTCGGTCTATTGGAACACCTCTGTGACATCACACTGTCCAGTGTTGTCCGAGATTAGAAATCTCCAACCTCATTTCCAAACAAGGTAATGCGTTACCTCTACAAGGAAAGTCCACTCGAGGAATGGCAGCCGCAAGATTCGTTCACTCTCGTCACTCTCCCAAGATAAAATATCTAAAGGGGACAGCCCTGGTCAATTAGAATGTAGATGGCAGACATTTCATTTGAAGGAAGATCATCATATCACGGCAGTGAGAGTGAGATAGTCCAAAAAGCATAGTCGCCTTGGTTCGACCCAGGTTCGAACTGGGGACCTTCTGTGTGTTAGACAGAAATCATGACCAACTAGACCATCGAACCGATGAAACACTTGCTACCTGAAGCAGGACTCGTTATCTGGGGTATATTCCGACGGCTCATTACTAGCACCTGGTGTCATCGGAGTGAACAGATCGAGAGTTGAAAAGAGTGTGATTAAATGTTGGCAATTAGCGCACAACATGATGTGTCGTAAAATATTTCTCAACAAAGCAATGTTAAGCGTTGCGCTCAATAGTTTCCATGTCCATCTTCATGATGTATACCTCCCCCTCCTCGAGGTCCGCTCTGCGTCAAGCGTACCGGATATCCTGGGCTTCCCGGTCCATGGCCGTCAACGAAGGGGTGCTCTCGATCGACATCATCATCCTCGTCGAAGGCCTGCGACCGTGAACGTGCGCGCATGGTCGAGATGGGCCGTATTACTACTTCTCCTCGCTCAGCGGACGCGGCAGAGCTGGCCTCCGAGTTTATGTCCCCCGCCTTCTCCATACGCTGCTCGTCGCCTTGTGGTTTTGCGAAAGGTTTGCGAGCTTGAGCAGCTTTGGTCTGTTCGACGAGGTCGAAGCGGGAGGAGTATCCTGCGGGAACCCAGTGGCGTGAATTCCACGCTTTGCAGTCGGGGTCGTTGTACATCTGGGCAGAGGGAGTAAGGTCAAATGATAGGTGTGATATGACCACAGGACGTGAAGACATACGTTGTCAACACTCTCCAAAGACAAATTCGAACTCTCGTAAAGGAAGAAATAGACGACGACAGCGCCCGTCAAGTTGCACGCTGCGAACACGAATCCGTATCGGAAGCCGATGGAGGAAGTGATGAACGGGGTGAAGAAAGAGATGAGGAAGTTCCAAGTCCTGTGGAGTGTTAGTATCAACATGCATTGTACCAACACGAATAAAACGCGTACCAATTGGAGGCAGTCGCCAGCGCACCCTGTTTTGCGCGGGTTCGGGTGGGGAACGTTTCACCAATCAAAATCCAGATACCTGGACCCCAAGTCGTCGCGTATCCGAGAATGAAAAGACAGGCGCTCGTGATCATAACTGTGGGCACGGGTGAACATCCTGCTAGGCGACAAGGGCATGAACTCACGTTTTCCGACCGATTCGTTGTATAGTGGGTCTCTTGCCGTTCCAGCGGCGGCGAAAACGAAAAGCCACAGAGCTTGCCATAGGCCACCCCAGATCAAGGGCAACCGTCGTCCGAACTACGCACTGTTCAGCCAAAACCCGTTTCCACAAACCCGGGGACTGACTCACCCGTTCCATAACATAAAGACCTCCGAATGTACACCCAAAATTCACAGCTCCGAGGATGATCTGACTCACGAACGAGTCGGCGATACCGACTCCCCTGAATATCGTCGCTCCGTAGTAGAAAAAGTAATTCGCTCCGGTAAGTTGTTGAAGACTTTGCAGCGACATTCCGAGGATGGTTCGGTATAGTGTCATGTTGTTGGTCCTGAAGCAGTCAATCCAACCGGCTTTGAGGCGACGTTCGGCTTCTAACTGGTTAATAATTTCGTCGACTTCAGCTTGTACGAAGCGGTTGGAGTCGGCTTCTTTCTGGGGGATACCATAGGTCCGAGCAATGGCGCGAGCGGCTTCTTTGGAACGACCTTTGGCGGCGAGCCATCTGAGAGATAGCTTGTCAGAGCTTATTTTGGATCAGAAGATAAGGTCTTTTACCTGGGTGATTCTGGCATGAACAACATGCCAAAGATAAGCAAGGCCGGCCAAGCGAAACCAATACCAATGAGTGTTTTCCATTGCGCCGCGCCTGTGAGGTCTCTCGTTCCGATACCGATGGAATCTACGTTTACAGTTAGCTTCGTCCGTTACAACACAATGGTCTGACTCACATGCAGCAAGGATACCGGCCGTGATGAACAGTTGGTATGTGGCCGTTAGAGTTCCACGAAGCTGCGTAGGAGCGGTCTCGGCTTGATACTTAGGGGGAGGGTGATTCAGAGATTAAGGAAAGGGGGAAGTGGTCGGGGACCGCACCATTGGGACGGCTGCACTCAGAGCTCCGATAGCTAGACCTGCCACAAAGCGACCCACAGCGACTTGTTGCCAAACCGTGAACGTCGTCATCTGAATGATGAGGCCGACGCAAAATAGGAGACATTCTGAGATCATGGCCCATCTACGCCCAAGGAAATCTGCGATACTGTTCGTCGAGGGAGCAGGTTAGATTCGTTCAGTCCGAACATGGAAAGAGGCCACGCACACAGCACCCGCTAATGCTCCGGACAGTGTGCCGATACTCAGCAAAGAGACAATTAACCCAGCTCTAACATTGGTGAACTCGCACGTCGAAGGATCGGATGGATTTGTGCAGTTTCCGAAACGTTGTCGAAAGTCGTCCATGACAAGAATGTCGCTGATCTGGCCGGTATCGTAACCGAAGATGAAACCACCTATACTGGCTACACAGGCAAGCATCAGGGACACGCCGCCGATGGGCATGCCCTGCCTACAGTGATCAAGGGATGGATGAGCAACGATCTTGGAATATGTTAGCTGGAAGGATACTCACAGGTAAAAGAGAGGCATGGTGAGAAAGAAAGGTTGCGAATGAAGAAAGGAAACGAAGAGCGCTTTATGAAGGTGCTTTGGGGGGGTGACAGTGACACCAGGACACCGACTGTAAAGAAGGGCGCTCGTTTCACTTTCAAAGGGTTTTTGGATTGGCCGGAGATAGGTGATGTCATGTAGTCTTCGTGGAGCTTGTGGTTTAGGAGAAGGGTAATGGCTCATCGATGGATCCGCGGATCTCGAGACCGGGAACCTCAAACATTCGGAAGAGGAGTCACTGCTGCGTGACGAGCTAGGTCCCAAGGTTAGGCTTTTCATGGGAGTTGGCCTCGAGCTGTGATACGGTGCGGTAGCTCGAGGTTAGGGGTCGACATCTACTAGGCTGTACCCAGTCAGGCTTGCCTAGTTGAACAAGGAGTCGACATTGACTTTTTTGGGACGATTGTCATTGGAGCTCTTGTACAATGACATACGTACCGGATTGCGCGCTGTGACGATTGACACCAATGCGGCGATGCAAGCGCTGGCGTTACATGGGCCTTGAATGCTTGAGCAGGTTCTGCTTGTGAAGGCCAAAAATTGGGTACATAGAGTTTCTTCAAAGAGATCCATTTGGGCAACAATGTGCTAAAGGCAAGGCCTTAGTAGCTGGCCTCAAGAGGGTCGCAACATCACTGGGAAACGCGTCTGAAATCTTCGTCCGTCAGCATTGAGCTCGAGAAAAATGAGAGATTTTCAAGCTTTACCAAGGCTATATCTTATGACCTTGAGATTAGAAAACTCAAGATGTAACCCTCTGCGAACATTGGCATAAATATGGTCGCTGGGAGCTGGGAGCCAACGAAGCTGGAAGTTCCATATGCATTCTAAGCGTCATCACCCCTATCTGCTCCAAATTTACCACGCTCGGTAAATACCGACCAATAAACGGTCGCGTCGCCGTCGCGCGTCGCGCAACGTTTTTCTTCGACGACGACAACGGCAATGGCACGCGGTGTAGGAACGCGTTCTCAGCGACAGGCTGGCCCCTCCCAGTCCCAATACGGTGGTACACAAACAGGGAGAAACACAAGATCGCAACGAGCAGGCCCTTCGCAGACCCAAGCCCTTGATGATGACGATGAAGATGACTACGAGGATGACGAGCACGGTGGACCTTCACAGGGCATGGACGTTGGCGAAGGTGATGAGGTACTTTTGTGGTCTTTTGTGTGCTTCCATGGCGAGAAACCTTACGGAAATGCTTTTCAGGAAGTTACGACGCGCGCAAACGACCTAGTCAGAATCGCACTCTTCACCGAGCAAAAGAGAATGCATTTGAGGCGAGAAGATATCACAAAGAAAGGTAAAAGAACATCTCTTTGGAATTAGAGACGCTTCTGAGCTTCTTACAGTTCTTGCACCGCACCCAAAGCTGTTCAAGCGCGTCTTTGCAGAGGCACAGAAAATACTCAGAGAAACATTTGGGATGGAGATGGTCGAGCTGCCCACCCGCGCTGGATTGGAACAGAGCGAATTTGCTTCTACTCAAGGACCCGGGGCCCAAACACAGCAGGAAGAGGGCAGCCGTAGGACCACAGGCATCAAAAAGAAGGGTATGGCAACTTCTTCCTTTGTCTAGGTCCCATCGTCTGACCGTCTTGCTATAGCCGCAGCCACCGCTTCTAAGACCTACATCCTCCGCTCATGCCTGAACCCGTCCTTGATCGAAATAGCCGCTCAGACGGACAACAGGCTCTTGGCAGAAGAACTCTCAGATCTCCCGTGGGCTTCAGATGACGAAGAAGGGGGTGGTGGCGACGAAGATGAGCGCAAACCCACTTCGTACGGAAGCATCATATCGTGGAGCCACGCCGAGCAAGTTGGATCCCTGGGCATCCTCTACGTCGTCCTGGCTCTTATCCTTGTACACGGACGGGTGTTACCTGATGGTATGGAATTCCCTTTCTTTCAGTGCTCCATGGAGGCTAATGTGACGCCCTGAAGCGGACCTCCGGTCTTATCTCAAAGCTCTTCACCTCCCAAGCACACCCGCACGCGCTCCTGTCCACTTCACCTCATCCTCACCCGTCCACTGTCTCGGCACTGAAGAGTTCCTCCTCAACCTCGCGCGCCAGAACTACATCGAACGCAGAGTAGTAGGCGAAAGTGCGGCCAAGAAGGTTGCCGGAGGCAAGCGGGGCCGACCAACGCAGACGCAGAGGAATCAAGACGACGATGGTGGTACCAGGGAAATGTACGAATGGAGGTGGGGTCCAAGGGCGATGTGTGAAGTGGGGGAGGAGGCGGTTGCCAGATTTGTGGCGGAGTTTATGATCACTTCGGAGGGTGACGACGATGCGGACGAGGAGGATGGTGAAGATGCTAGGCCAGCCAATGGAAGACGGCGCGGGGGGCGACAGCAGCCTCAGAGACAATCCAAGAAGGACAAAATTCAGAAGATGTTCGAGGGTATCGAAAAGGCCGCAGGTGGCAAGTTGGCCGAGATCCGATAACCGATTGTTGGTACTGTGGAGAGACATAAGTTATTTTACCATCACTGACCTTATTTCCTTACTGTATTCTCGTCTATGCTCTCGTTGACCTGTCGTTGCACATGCTTGTTCTTGGCTTGTTCCTCGTTCGCGACAGGAGCCGCTTGGCCACTGGAAATGAATTTGCGGATACTACCTCCTTGTTTACTGTCACTTGCAATCAATGTTCGACCTTGTGATATCCTTTCCGACGCACGCTATACATTCGAATTAAACCATCCGTGGTCCTCTAAATACATACCCCGTCCTCCCAAGCCATGTCACTGATCACACCGCAAGTCATGTTCGTGTTCCTCTGTTGTATCGCTCACGGTCTCATCCAGTTTACCGCACTCAGTCCGCGACCAGAGCCCCCTCCCCACGAGACGGATCCGAAATATGGACCCAAGTTTGGCGGGAACGCCATGGAGTCTCCGATGGAGTTGAAAGGCATGTTGAGATCCAAGGGATTGGACTCGAGATCACATCGAAATGATTCACCCACTGGAAAACTGGGGCGGTAACTATGTGCCCATGGGGGAGTTCGACGACGATGGTCACGGAGAAAATGTAAATACTGTATAAGGCCGCTGAAGTGGTTCTGAAGCGTTGGGGTCGTGTAGCGGATGTGGTTATTGTGGGTTGGAACGGGGTGACGACGGGGAGAAGTGTATATTCTTAGATTTTAGCTGAAAACTTGCTGTTATCTTAGATCTAGAGCGGCGATGTGTGCGGTCCTGTGGGTGTAACACGAGTTCTCCAGGTCCATACCCCCCGTCCTGGTACCCGATGTTTCTCTTTCTAAAATCAACAGATTACTCACGAGAAACAGGCTGTGCAGAGGCGTTAGAGCCCTCGATTTACCGATGAAGGCCAGGCAAACTTGATAGCGGTCGTGACTCCTCGAAAGCTGACTCCTCCGACTCGGTTCGCCCCAAAAACCACGCGCACATGTATTCCCACGCCCCTATCTCCTTCCACATTGCACAAACGCGTCGCGCCCAGCGGGCCCAACCGGGAAGTCTGGCGTCTTGAGCTTCTGGTTTTCCCTATCAGTCCCAGACGTCCCACAAGCAGCTGTGGGTTTCGGGAAATTTTCAATAAATCCTAGTACCGTAACATGTTTTGCTCGAGTATAGATAACTTTTCAACTTGGGCTCCCGTACTATGTAACGCGCTATTCAATCAAGCCCAAATTAGACATATGATGAGAGTTCAAGCGGACTCATAAAACCCCTTCCTATCCCACGGGAACGTCAACAACAACCTCGCCATCTTCTCTTGTAGATTCTCAATATCAGGTTCCCCATTTGCTTGGCCATTTTCGCCTTTCCAAGTGCCGTCGTTGTTGAAGTTCTCTGCAGCCCCTGCGTGCGCGTCCAGTGAAAATCGTGAGGAGTCAGTTATATTGTATTGCGAAGCTGTGGAGATAGGAACGAGATGAAGGTGAATGAAGCTTACCACCATTGACAGTAATAGCTGCCTTGGAACGAGGAGCGTTCAACCCCTCTCCTTCACCGAGCCACCCGAATCTCTCAGCGGAGAGTAGAGCCGTGCGGAGGAAGATGGTTCCATCTACGTACTCCGCTCCTTCAAGCTCCGTGTCTAATTAAAGCAACAATACCGTCGTCAACCCACTAGCCACATTCAGTTAGAGCGTGGTGAACACAAACGTACCTTTCAACGCCCCCTTCTCCTTCTCCAGGCCACCCAAAATCCCGTCAAAGTACTTCAACGTCCTCTGCAACTTGGGGACGTGCTCATCAGGGTGGTACATCGCACTTTTCAGGACAGCCTCCCATGGACTCCTCGACCCTTCGAATCTCTTGGAAGGCGTGAGGCCAGAAGCGTCGGAGAAGAAGGCTTTGATGTGCGCTGGGCTGGTGGTGGGCCTTCCGCGACCGACGTACCACCCGAGGATGACTGAGAGGTAGCTTCGGAGGAGGAGGTAGCGGGCGTGGGAACCGGTGTCGGACGGGAGGTGGGCGAGGAAGGTGGGTATGAAGTAGGCTGAGGTTACAAAGTGCGCGCTAGGTAATTAAGGATCCGTCAGGTCTCAGGAGATGTGCTGAGAGAAGAGTAAGAAGAAACTCACAAGAAGAAATCGGCGTTATACTTCTTCCTGTCCCTCTCCTCTGCCTTTAGCCCATCGCGGTATAGCCCACCCGCACCCAACACGCCATAGATGAACGTAACGAGCAAAATCAGCTCTTTCGCTTTCTCCTCCGCCTCCACATCCGAAAGAGGACGCGGGGTGGAGCCCAACCACGCATCCCCATACGTCTTGATCTGAGCACCGAACTTCTTCATCGTCTCTGCGTACATCTTCATATCCGAAGAGGGCCTGAACCCATTAAAAGACGGGTCTTTCATGAGGCGAGCGAGGATGGAGAGGGCGTGAGGTCCTCCAGTCGTACCATTCAGCGAAACCGACTGAGAGCTCGACTCATCTCTGGTGGCAGAAAGCGGGAAGAAGAGTTCGCGGGGGATAAGAATAGACGAGGAAGGCTTGTGCAGCATCGCCTGGGCAACACCTTCCACCAGCATCACGGGGATGTTGAACTCCAATCCATACCCCGCGTGGATGAGCGGGTGCATGATGGAGTCGAGGAAACGGTTGAGCATCTCCACTGGCGCACCACAGCCCTTTTCGTCCTTCAACCCCGTAGTCCCATTGATCTCATTGCTCACAGCCGAGCCTTGCACGGGATTCTCGGGGAAGTTGGCCTCGACAGAGAAAATGTACACCTCCAAAAGGCGGTGGGCACCTAACCGTTCGAGTTCGGCGGTGAAGAACGTCAAATAAGCTTTGTAGAAACTAGAATAAGACAAAGCAATGGTCAATATAGTACCCCATTGGTGTAATAGTGTGAGTCGAGTGCTAAGTTCTTACCCGGAATCACCCAGATGGTCCTTCCAGTTCTCTGTGGTGATTTCGTGGGGGGAATCAGAGATGGGGCGTTGGTACTGTTGGGTGATATCGTACGACGCTTTCAAGAGCTTCTCTGATGCTCCTAGAGACCACAGAGCGAGAACTGTATGCGCTGTATGGCTGCAAGTTCAAGTTGCATCATAATAACAATAGAATGAAAATGTCGACGTCAGTCTCTAACTCCTCCGAGTCAAACCAAGGGTACTACGCACTTGTGAAAGCTAGCATCATTGAAGAAGATATGCCACCTCGCATGATTGTCTTTCAGAATCTCGAGTAGGGAGGTGGTGGACGCCTCCGTCTGGCCCTTCGGATGCTCAAGCACCGAACGAAGGTTCGGGAGCTGCGAGACCGGGGTGGAAGGAGGAGGAAAGAGATCGAACGGCTTGGTCATGTGTTGAGCCTGTACGAGTTCCTCGACGAAGTCGCAGGTGGTGAACTGGGGCTGGGTAGTAGGTAGTATGCAGTACAACCCCCTAGCATTCCCAGCTCCGTCTTCCTTATATACACTGTCCGCTCCTTCCACCCCCACGGCACTACTATACATGTTCATATACCGTTGTGCCAGTCAGGTGAGAACCATTGCTTCCCTTCGTCATGCAGCCGAATCGAGGCATTGGCCAAGAAGCCCCGTGTCGGAGGATTCTCTATCCCAAGAAGGAGCAAAGGCAAAGGCAAGTCTTGACGAATCGCCCCGGCAGGCCATCCTCGCTTCTTTTCTCTGACAAAGTGTGTGATCTCTATCAGACGAGAGTTAGTAAGGCGGAGGGAGAATAAGCTGACCCGTCGCGTAACAAGTGTAGTACAGTTTGTCGAGCAGAGTCACGGCATGCAGGGCTGCGGACGGGACCAGCGTTGTGACTCGAAGATTAGGGGGAAAGAGGGAAGACACGTGGATTTAGCGCCCAAGCTCAGGGTGCTACGTCAGGCCACGAGTCTAATTATGGTTGGAGACTGACGTCGTAATCGCGGCGCGGATGGAGAGAACTATGTACTTAGTAGTACATATATACCATGGTCTTCCCATGTTCCGGGTGAAGGGCTTCATGGAACCTTTCTTGCGCAGCGATACAGCCAGCTCATCACGGACTCTGGTCCGGTGTCAGCTGCCGCTACGAATTGGACCGCGATGGACGCTGGGTATACAACAAAAAGCAGCCCTGGTATTAGCAATTACTGTAACATGTATCATTAGTATGGAGGTATCTCTACACCCTAGACGAGTTGCCAAACGAGCTCGTCACTGGACTCCACCCTTCTTCCGGACCCCTCTCATCGCTTCTAATAAGACTCGCAATGCTGGCGGTATGTCTATGGCCTTTCTCCTGTTGCTTCTGGAACTTGGCTACAGCAGGGACTGGCGATCGATACGTGATGTCGACTTCTTCATCCTCCGACTCTGCCGGCTCAAAATCCTGCGCAACAGGCCCCCGCGGCTCCTCTAGATCGTACACCTGGTATTTCGAGGGCTTGACAAAGTTGAAGTTGGCCGGACCTTCGAGTGCAGCTTTGCCCTTGAGGTCGTCTGGGAGGAAGAGGTAGAAGAATGCGGTGGCCATGCATGCACCGCCGACGACGTCGATGAGGTAGTGGTGTGTGAGGTACATTGTGGCCCAATACAGCACTGCTGTGTAGGCCCAGACGAATTTGGTGAGCTGGGGGAAAAAGTGGGAGATGAACAGGGCCTCCATCGTTGCCGCGCCTGCGTGCAGCGAGGGGAAGGCACCGAAGACCATGGGCGAATTGGTAAAGGCCGTGGTATACATTTGGGTATGCAGGAGGGCGTCGATGCGGGCCAGACCGCCGGGGGAACCCTTCATGGAGTAGTTGGCTGGCATGAGGCCGTGGATGACTTCGTACCACGGGGGCGAGCAGGGGAAGACAATTTGGATAAGGACTCCGGTGAGGTTCATCCATCCAAAGACGCTTCCCCAGAGCATTAGCGCCCGTTTTGAGCGGAAAAGCCAGACGAAGATAGCGACGACGAAGGGGAGGGTGAAATGGCCGACACCATATGGGATCCACGCGATGACGTCGAGGACGGGATGGGTGAATCGGGTGAGGATATCGGAGATGTTTGCGCCGTACAGGACGGATTCGAGGGTGGGGAGGATGGAGACGGAGATGGCTGGACGGATGCTCGCCGGGACGAAGCGAGAGGAATAGAACGCGAGGAGGTAGCTGAAGATCGGCGTCGCCGGCAAAAAGAACTGGGACGTTGCCGGGATGAGGAGGGCGAGGATCCACACGGCCGGGATGAGGAGTTTCAATGGGAACGGCGGGTCTTGCATAATCGTGAACCAAAAGGTGGCGAGGAGAAAGTGGACGATGTAAATGAGGTCTGCCGGCCGAAAGTGGTGTGCTCTGAGCTTCTTTATCGTCAGAGTCGGCGAGAATGACTTGTCAAGCCGAGCCCAGGCGGCCACCAGCGCCTGAGACAACAGCGAGAAAGTGCCGGGGGATGCCATGCCGTCGTTGGAGTGCGCTGTGTCGACGCGGTAGGAGGCAAGCAGGCGTGGGAAAACTCAAAAACTCAGGAACCTGGATTTGATCGACGCGTGCGCCAAGTCCTTTCTAACTTCGACTTCATGCGATATCGACTTCAAAGCTAGAAATAATGGAGCATTATGGGCATTTCAGGTTTCTTTAATTGGTTGGGCATTGGCCGTCTTTTTGGGGAGGCACGCCGGTCTATCTTAGTACGCAGGAAGCCGAAAAGATGGCCCAGTAAACCGGGTCGAGGTGGAAATCGCCGCTTCTGAACGGGCTCTGCAGAAATTCCTGGAAGGAGCTGTGATACACAATAATCGGTATGCTGGTTGACGGCTAGGATTCGTCGATACCCTCCAGGTGGGTTGGAGGAGAGGGTATGTGACATAGGGCGTGCAGCCCGCGAAGCGCTCTGGCCATTGCCCCAGGCTGCCCACCGACAATCTCGTCGTGTGCAGGGATAGTAAGATCAGGCCTAAAGACATGGCCTGCCATAGCGACCATCCAGCCCAACGCTTGCATCATCTCCTCGCGGTTTGGACATGACTCCAGAATACAGCGATACAGGTCATCGAGCTTCTGCATTGGATTCAAAGCTTTATGAGACTCGGAGGAACCTTGCAGGATGAGCTTCAGGCGCTCCGGGGGACTACCGTACGGGTCATCAATGAACCGGATGACTGTGGCGACGTATCCGAATTGGCCAGAGGAGTGATTTACAAGGTCATAGATTTCGTCCTCGGGTGGCCAGGGACCTTGGACCTTGGACATAGCATGACGATGCGTCTTGGCGCTCCGGATCCGTTGGAAGCGATAGCGGAGGTACCGCGTGATGTCGGCGTACTCCTCTAAATCAGCTTCTTTGAAGAGGTCGTAGCGTTCGGTATTCTCGTCGAGCGTTTCAAGTTCATCGAATGCTTCTTCGATCCATGACTCGGGGCGGGAGAAGATGGCGATGTTAAGGGGGAGATCGGCCTCTTGGAGCATTTGGATGAGCTCAAGGATCAACCGTTGCTCCCTCTCTTTATCTTCGGAAGGGTCTGCACCTTCGCACTCATCCAATGCATCGACGAGGACGGTCTTGTCTTCCTCTAGAGGTGGGATCCTTCGGAATGGCTGGATGATGAGCTTCTGCAGTTGGATTGGAAGGACTTTGGTGAGGATGGTAGGATTTTGCCTCACGGCGGCCTCCACATGGGGTTTGAGCTGGGGGATCGACAGGGCGAGTTGAAGCACCAAAGATGCAACGAAGCGCTGCGCTCTGTCTCTCTTGGAATCCAATCTCGAAAAGAAGAACGATGCGGCCAAGTTTCCCATCGCCTCGCACTCTTCTGCCAGCGTTTGGGCGATAGTCGTCTTCCCCATCGCGACGGGCGCATGGAGCCAGAATGAGCGCTTTTCCCTCTCTTCTCTAGTCTGCTCGACCCAGGCCTTGAGGATCTCCAGGATGCGCACCCTAGTTGATTCATGGCATTTTGGAGCAGGGTATCTCTCCGCAGAGTCGTGGGTCGCTCCAGGCGCTGCGTATTGTTCAAGGTAGGCGAGCGCTAAAATCGATCGATAAGCCTTCGATCAAACGCCGATCCTCACTACTGAGGTACTTACGTTCTAAGCCATTGGACGACGAAAAGTCGTTGAAGGTACCGTTGTTGATGACAAAATCATGAGCCCTTTCGAAGAGTGGCATGTCGTATCGTGTGTTTGAAGGAGGGGTTCAGGGAAAGAAGCCGTACTTTTGAGAAGTGATTCTTGTGAAGGGCCTGTGGAAGTCTTACGGTCGGGTGAGCTGTCAGTGTCAAACGTTGTTGTAATTGGCACTGCCCCCGAGTTGGGCGCTTAAGTGCTCGTGGGTCTTTGCCGTCAGTACGACGTCAAGTAAAAAGGGAGCTCAAAAAGTACAAGGTAATGGTTCGACCCAGGTTCGAACTGGGGACCTTCTGTGTGTTAGACAGAAATCATGACCAACTAGACCATCGAACCGACGAAAAGCGACAGGACGTTTGAGTTGGAGCTCCGGTAGTCGCCAAGCTCAGTAACCCGTTTGGCCCCCCAAGAGTGGGGCAGGTGAAAGCATTGTATAGCAGGGACTATCCAACGATCCGTCGAAAACCGTGCCGAAATCCCGCAGCATAGAACCATTCCAACATTGCCAACGAGGCGATTATTTCTTCACGAATCTCCCAACCTGATGCCAAAACAAGTGTTCTTCTGGTTCCTCTGGCTTTCCCCAAAGTTCCCCTTCCTTCCATGGCTCCTCCTCCTCCTGCCCATAAGCAATCTTCAAATCTCGAACATATAGATGCGACGGCCGGTCCAACTTGCACCCATCGAAACCCCGCTGCCAGATGGGTGTCCAGAATTGCTGCCACCACGCAACGTCGGGTCGGTGGCTTAGGACGTGCTCGTAGAAGAGTAGCTGTCCCCCTGGTGCGAGGACGTCACGGACGAGATCGTGGATCGTTTTTTCGGGGTTGGGGATGGAGCAAATCGTGAGGACGGAGATGATAGTGTTTACCGGGGACCCAGATAGTTTGGTGAGGATTTCGGTGGCGTCTTCTGCGCCGCACGAGAGGATCACGAGTGTCCCGTCGGATTCATGGAAAGAGGCGGCGTGTGCGGATTCGCGGATCTTGGGGTGCATGAGGACGTTGGGTTCAAGAGCGACGTATTTGGTCACTCGTTCTCGGTCAAGGTACCGGACGGTGTGTCCATGACCTATACAGCCATTCAGCCTCAATAGGAACCAAAATATAAGTTATATGGTGCTTACCCGCGCCAAGATCCAACACAACTCCATAAGCATTCGGAGTGATGAGGTGTTCCTTGACTGGCCTTCCACCCGCGTCAGTATCATTCCCGAACCCGTTGGCCCAGACGTAGGCCATGAACGTTCGGGAAAGAGCTTGTGGTCGAAAGATGAGAGAAGGTGACCGGAGGACGTCCTTCAGGGTGGGAAGGAGTGCAATTCTCCCTGCTGCTAGCAGATCCCAGAGGAGAGAGAAGGCGTTCGATAGCTTCATTTTCGTGCTTGTTGTTCAGAGCTCGTCGATACCAGAGGGTTGTCGCAGTGCAGGTATTCGTGACTCTTTATGGGTCGTTCAGAGCTTCATTCTCGTCGAGTCCCAGATATATGGCAAACGTAAATGCCCAGAAAAATGGAGCCCCGTGTCCGTTAGTGGATGCCTTGAGGCTTGGTCGCGATTGCTTGCCAGAATGCTAAGCTCGCTATTGACAGTGTTTGGCTTGAAAGCCTCCGGAAAATGCCGAAGGGGCCAACAAGGCGCGTCAAGCGCCTCCGAGATGTTGCCCGCCCAGGTCGCGATTTTGACTGCGATGTGGAAACGTTGTAAATATTGCTGAACTCACTCTCCACGCACGTCCTTTATTCGTGATTCATGTCCTGTGAATGAAAACGGGCTGTCGATGTCGCTAGTGCACATTGGGATTCTCGATCCAACCAGCTCGTTGAGCTCGAGTCGTCCGCAGTACCGCTCCTAACGACGAGAGAGTCTGACCCTGTAAGTATCCTATATCAGCAACTTCAAGGAAATGCTCGTCACTGACCAACTGTACCCACCCACAAGCTAGATTCGCAAGGAGGGGATGCTTTGTTCTGGCTCCCCGGGATACTTGATTATCCACCTGGATACCTCGCACATTGTGAGCCTTGTTTCTGAGGTCATCATTGTGCTGATAATTTGCTTGAAACAAGCGGCGATGAGATTTTACCACTTTCTTCAAGAAAGTGGTAAAAGTAGAGTCAGGTACGAAAAAGTCAAACCATTCCAGTCCCCGAAGCTCTTCTCCAACACGCTGTGAAGCGTCAGAGACTGGCACGTCAATTGCCTAACTGGAAGGTTCAACAGGTCGTGATCTTAACCTTCGGGCGTTGATTGCCATTTGCCGCGGTCGAGTGATTCTTCGGTTCTTGAGTTCTTGATCCTTTCCCCTTCGAAAGTATAAAATGTCGCCGCCCAACTTGACTTGTTACAATCGAGGATTTCTTCCTACACCTTCAGGCTTGTCTCTCTGGGTCCTCCACAAACGTCTTCTGCATTCGCCTCTTTCAACATCTCGACACGTTCGAAACTGCCTGATTGACCTTCAAGATGGTACAGTTCGAGGGTACAGTGTTCTCTCCGATGTACTGGGGTATGTTCTAGCGTCATATTGGCTCTGTACGCGTGCTAATGTGACACTCGTTCAGGGTTTGTTGCGTCAATTTTGTATGAACTGTGCCTTTTCTTCCGAACCTGTTCTCAACGAGTTCGCTTCAGCCTAGCTGGGATCACGGTTGTGCAAGCATACGTCTACTTTCCCAATCACAGCGACCCTGCCATCGTTCGCTGGACGGTATGACTCCTTCCCAAACTCTCAGGACATTCTCTGACCACTCCTCCAATCCAGGCGGTCTGCATGTTGTAAGCTGCATCGATCCTTTGCGACGCTTCATCGAATCAATATATTCGTGCCCAGGATAATGGATCTCGCGTCGTCTGGACTCATCGCCCAGTCCATTTATTATTATTTGGCAAGTTTGTCCTTGATGACAATCGGATGTCAAGACTGCGCGCTGACCCATTCCCCTCCAGATCCCTAATTTCGGTTCCTTCGAGCAGCTTCAATCTGTGACGCCGTAAGTTCACGTGGACCGCCAAGGGCTAATCGAGAAACCACTCAGAATTTGTCATTCAGTGAACTCACCGTCGACTGCCTCATCTCAGCGACGATAACCTTTATGTATGTGCTCATTCCTGCCATCCCCACAAGCTTTTTGACGGAACGTCCGCTATAGCTCTCAACTTTACTTCGTGCACCAGCTCATGTCAGGTACTGGACCCTGTTCTCTTTCCCAGTGTCGCCCGTCGGACCTTACTCTGACGGCCTAATATTTATCAAGTCCGAAGGCTGGGTAAAGGGAACTGGATCGCGATTTGGGTGACGGTAAGCTGCCGTGCTCGAAATTCATTCCTCTGTCTCTCTGTAAACTCAACTGGCTTGCGTTTGTCAACCCACGACAGCTGATCAGCGCATTCCTTGGGTTTGGTGAGTTGGCACTATCGCTCGACATGCCCGGGCTGTCGCCGTCATGTCGCATTTGATTGACGTTAAAGTGCTAAACGTTGGACTTCACCGATTATTCGCGGTAGCCGGAGGTCTAGGTACGACCCACTTCCAGCCTTTGTTTAATTTCCGTCAGTCCTGATTTTGACTCGACGTCATTCCTTCTGGTGATAGGATGCGTGGGGGCAATGTTCAAGTATCAAAAAAGTATCCTGTCAAATCAAGGCCGCAGCCTGTTATTCTCTGTGAGTGTAACCTCAACTCAAACTCGTACTCGGAGTCGTTTGGTTCAACTCTTCGTTTTCGTGTCCGCGGGCTTACATTGTTGACTAGATCCTGTTCAGTTTGGCCAAAGGATGGGCAGCTATCGCTGACATTGTCGCTACTGTCGCGATGTGCTTCTGGCTCACGAGCTCCAAGACTGGGATTAAAGAGTGCGTATCGATATCTCGGCTCCAGGATTCGCTATTCTAATTAGGTTTCAATCGGACTCCTAGGACAAACTCGATTTTGTCCCAGCTCATGAAGTTTGTTGTCCAGCGCGGAATCTTGGTGACTACGATCCAGGTTCTATTGTTGGTTTCGTTCTACGCTGCTCCGGGGAGCCTTGCTTGGTATGTGGTCCTTGCCCAATCGAGTGATCAGGAATTAGTATTCATTCCATCTGCACCTTCCCAGGTTCGCCCTGCACATGAACGTCACGAAGCTCTATGCCAATACGTTTTGTAAGTCCGCTCTCGCAGATACCTCGATTTTATTCTAATCCCTATCGCTTCATCTCAGTTGCCATGTGAGTTCAGAAACATCTCGCCGCCCGTACCGTTCCTTACACCGACCGTTTCAGGTTAAACGGTCGAAGCCACCTTAGAGAACGGCAAACCGGAGCCGTCATCTCAGCAGCCTACCAAACCTCCGCCAACCAAACCAGCTTCATGGACCCAGTCAAGACAGACGTATCCAGTCCTCGACCAGGTCAAAGTGTCCAGGACTCCGCCAGTCCTTATACTCTGGAAAAGCTTGAACTGGGCCAAGTAAGTGCTTAAAGCCTTGCTAGACCGTCTTTCAGAAACCTCTTGGAGACTGAACATATCTTATCTCGCATTTCGGTCCTTTCTTGTTTCTTTTCTGCTTTTTTCTAGACTATATACGAGACTGGCCCTGGACCTCGACAGTCACGGGAATCCGCCTCGGTGATGCCCACTGTCACGAAGAGCGTGGTGGTTTCGGAGATGTAGAGGACGAGCCCGAAGACGTAGGCGTAGCAAATAGGTACTGTACACACTGGTTGCGAGTCAGTGCGAGAATGTCTCTTTGATGGTGCGACGATGCCGTGTTGCCACTCGCACCCCTTCCCTTCTTTCTTTTTCTTTCTTTTCCTCTCGCTTTGGACGATCGTGTACGTTTCAGCACACAAGGACCTTTCCCCGTATTACATTTCGTTTCATCATTCTCCTGAGCGACACTGTGAAGACCAATATTGCTTTTCAAGCGAATATGTATACGGTTATGAAACGCTGTTCAGCCAACAATTGCAATGATGAAACGCGCCGGCGGGAGAGAATCAGAACCCTGTTCCTCGTCTTTCAAGCGCATCAATCCACGGGAAACCTCGTTCCCAAACCAATCCCACTCAAAGTCCGATGCGCAAGCCTGTTTGGGTAAAAACGGTTGCCATCTGGTTGCCACTTCCCGCCGATGGGGCGGCTATTACGTTGATGACGGGGTTTCACAAGTTACCTTAGAAGGCAATTTCTTGACTTGCTTTATTGGGATTCAACAACCTTTTCCTTGTCTTGGGTCGGTTTTCCTGGTTGAAAAGTTGCCAATGTAAAATAGGCGACGACCAAAAGTACTTGCAGCAACTGTAGGCGAAAAAAGCGAGTTGCAGAACGATTTCTTGCAAACTCCGTTTTGCTTGCATTTGTTTGTCTCGGTGGGCGCTAAACATTGAAAAGGAAATCTTTGAAGCGAGCTTGACGACGACAAAATCGTTGGATTGGCAGCAATCCAGGGGGGTATATAACCCGACGAAGTCTGCCCGAGATGATTCCCCACCAGCCCCCGCTGTACCCAGCAATCCAACGACCTCGAGCACGCTCATAACCCCACCACCACAAACAGGAACAATGGCCTCCTCAGCCTCGACCTCCTCGACCTCCGTGGTCCAGATTGCTCCCCTGTCCCCTGTTATGACGAGCAGCCCCAGGACTGCCTCTGCCTCTGAGCAGCAACCGCGCGTCTACGACCCCATTGACGAATTCTTTGGGTACCGATTCGCTTCCTCTGCCACACACGAAAGCCGACACGACCGCACCGGCAGCGTCGTCCTCGACGCCGAGGCTCTCCCAGCATACGCTGAAGAAGACGACAGCCTCCCCAAATACACACCCCACGCCGAGCCCGTCACGCTCGCCATGTATCTGTTCAAATTCGGTTTCTGTGAGTATCCTACTCTCTACTTGGGTTCGAGAATTCGTTCTGACCTGTCTTGTTCTACTAGTGTTCCCATTATTCTGGATCTTCGGCGCTTTCATCCTCATTTCGCCTCTGCGCGAGCCGCCCATGGGCGAGCCTGCCTCACCTGCGTGGATGCCGGAGAAGACTGAAGCTGAGCGCCAGGCGTTTATTGCTCATATGCGCAAGGCTGAGCTGAAGTGGGCGAAGAGGTGCCTTTGGGCTATCCTCATCCTCGCCACGCTCGCTACTGTTGGTGGTCTCGCTGTGTGGACCATCATGCGACATTAAAATACCACCTCTGCAAAAAACTTCACGAAACCAATGCTGGGACAATCGCGTCCTCCTCGAGCCATTCATCTTCGACCTTCGACCTTCGTTCCAACGATGAACCCCTTCACCGACCACCCAACCAATTAACCAACCAACCACATTCTTTCGATCCATTCCCTCTCATCCAATCACCATCTCACAAACCACAAACCGTATTTCTATCTCAACCTATCCTGCATTTGTACCACCACCCACCATTTCACGCATCCATCACGCATATTCCACGACAACCCAAAACGCATTTGAAAAAACATACCACTTGTATTTGTACGATACCCTTTGAAAGGGCTAGCCCATACGTATCTTTATTGTTAATTTTATAGACGGTAATAAAAAGGATTATGTAAAGATTACCTTTGGAGTGAATTTGAGTTGATTCGAGTTGGATGGATGCGTGCGCCGTTGTCCACAGGTTTCTGCATTTTAGCGCCCGCGATGGGTACTACGCCAAGACTCCGGTAGAAGGAAGGAAATTGGGTACGTCGAGATTCTGGAGAGCGCCGAGGATGCACTGGGCATGTGTGAATGCAGCCCAAAGGTCACAATCAAGATGGAGAGGTGGCCAGATGGGAAGTTTTGGCGGCTGTTTGGTCAAGAAGAGAACGAGGATGCACGGTGTACGTCGCCCCATGGGACTAGCATTGTTTCCTGGCGGTAGGGGCCGGTACATCTTATCTCCTTGGGAGCTGGGGTAAAGGAATCCTGTGGAAGCCAGCGGACTCTGGATGGTCGGTACCACAGTACCAGGAGGTAAATAGCATTACACTGTTTCATTGGAAAGCGATATCGTACAAGCCTTGATCCCGAGATCATCTTCTTTCTCTCCCTTCCTCCCTCCCCGACTAACTCTTCTTCTGTCCAGCTGGTCCTGCGCTCGACGCGGCTGCGGCGACCTTTTGTTGGATCACGTTCACCACCATGCTCATGTTTTCTCGTTTACGATTGATCGTATCTTCCAGTTTCACCAAGTTCGTCTGGAGATAGTCGATCTTTGCCTCGTAGTATTTCTGTGCCTGCTCTCGCGTCTGCCGTATGAGGTTCGAGTGTAAACGACAGTTCAGGGCAGGACTGGATTGAATATCGCACCTTTTTGACATAGTATCCCGTTCCAACATCCACAATCACGTATTTCGTATCCGTGAGTTTGCCGGGAACATATAGAGAGTTCGTTAGAGGTACGAGGATGGTTTTGTCGGCATTGTCGGGCTTCACGTCCTTGACATTCTGTACACAGGCCTTGAATTTGCCCTGAGCTTGCTTCAGTTTGGCAAACGACGACGTAAGATGGTTCAGTTCCTATTGACAATGCCGTTAACACAGGTCCCTGACACGATGCGGATAGACATCTACCTCCTCCAATTGCTTCTTGATCTCGCCGAGCTGTGCAATGTCGAGGTCAGCAATATTGATGACCTGCTGACCTTGTGACTGCTGCGCTGCCGACATTATGTTCCTGGAAACGTTAATCAGGTCCGTACTCAATCAATCCATGACCTGCTCACCGTCGAGATCGTGATCGTCGTGGTCGAAAGCCAGTCGCGTCGTCGTCGATGATGGCGATCAGAGCTAACCCTAACCTTAGTCCACGACATGTGCTGACTCTTGCGACGAAAGCGCTTTTGAACCTGAACATGCACCTTGTGCGCTGCCATTCTCTGCCAATTCGGATGTCCAGGACCCCTTAAAGACCTCAAACTATACTCAAACGGTAAGAATACGTCCAAAAAAGTTTACAAAATGAAATCTTAATGAAAGGCATTTTGGCTAGACTACTAGATCCCGATATTTATTACCAACTGGATGTGCAAACCGTCCCAGGTGGTGTCGCCGGCCATTTCTAATGCTAAGAATCAGCGATCTCGGGGCACCGTATCTTGCAAGTCTCGGAGTGCAGTTGCAGAGGTTGACTTCACTGTTAACATCATAAACCCCAACTCTGACGACCAACCTCTGTCGCTGCGTCATGTTAGGACCCCATTCACCACTTGTCTGCCAGAGATCAACATGAAGGACGACACTGACCAGCGAAAGGCCGTATCGACTGTCCAGCCACCGCCCACCGTCGAACTGCCATCCGTCTCTTCAGGTCTATCCGGCAATAACTCGGCGACTAGTAATGGCGAAGCCTCGCAGGCCCGCAGAGAATGGACGACTTGGCCTTTTCGGATTGGTAAGGGGCCCCACAATACTTTGACAATTCTACCGAGAATCTGAACCTCTTTTTTGCTCGACTTGCGCTACGTAGGACTCGCGTCTTCGCGACCAGTGGCAGACCACCGCGGCACCGCTCCCCGCGGAGAAATCCAACTCATAACCTACAACGCAACCCTTCGGAAACATACACGACTGACCATCCGACCCGTCCTCCTCCTTCTCTTTATCAGTTTCCTCGTCTTCTTCGCTTTGACTCTGCTGTCCGTCGCTTCGTTCCTCCTCTCGGCCCTCGTTTCGTCGCTGTTAGCAGGGTCACCCTCCTTCCACCATGTCAACTCGATATTGTTGACCATGCTTTTCTTTTATTCGCTCTTCAAACAGTTCTTGGAGTATTTGCGTACTCTGGTACAGCCTAGACGAAGAGTCCCGGTTAATCTTCAGCCTGATGGGGCGACACCTGATCATCCTCCGGTATTGTTCCATGAAAAGTCGTGGTGGTCGACATGGAATGAAAAGGATCGTCCTAGATGACCTGGTTGTATTTCTAAATATAAACATCACTATCAATTGAAAATTTGGATCTAAACGTTCGTGTCTAGGTTCGAACATTCGCGAATGGCGAAGGGCGAACGGGCGCTAAATCCTTTCATTCCCTGTCTTATCTTAGAGCTTAACTTCTAGTGTGTGGGGTAAAGGATGCTTGTGGGAACCAGTGTTGCCTGCCAAGTTTTCATATCCTTTAGGGCGGCGGGGGCTATGCGCGGATCCGCGAAATATCGTTCCCATCGAGGTTCGAACTTCGATCTGTGGCTGTGCCAATTCTCTTCTGCGTTCTGGCAGGTGCCTCTCACCTCTGTTCAACTCATGCATTGACATTCTCCAATTCAAGGGTAGAAATGAGACAGGGTCCTTATCGACTGACGGTCTGGCCAAGGCGTATTTCCTTTGGTCCCGTGGGCATCCAGCGCTGCCCCGGGTCCCTTGATTGCATTCCTCAACAAAGCGCCCAAGCAGCCTTCGGTGGTTCTCACCCCCTTAGTAGAATCTTTGCGAGCTCCCCTCTCAACGGGCCTCCCATTGAGGTCGGAGTATGCAACGTGCATCACAACAACCACCGAAAGAGCTGCTTCGGGTTTTGTCGTTCGTCGCAAATCCCATGTCGGCACGAGTCCATCTCAGGGCACCCTGCGCTAAAACGACGAGCTTGGGGGAACGTAGGGATCCAACTAGCGCTGCCCACTCTTCTCTAGATAATTCCTGAGCTAAGTTTAGGGTTAATACGTTCCGCACGTGCAGGTCCTATTCAGTCCCACTCAACTACTACTTGAGACCCCGTCAATTAGATGCTCTTTCTTATTGTGACGATCCTTGTGATAAAACTCTTACCACATTCCACGCTTCCAAGACGGATGTCAGGATAAATCTAGCAAGGAACCAAAGTCAGCAAGTGTAGAACGGCACCGCATGATGTTCGTCGCGCGCCAAGGTGGTCTTGAGATAGGTGAAAGAAGCTTTAGCCTCATTCATTCCTCGTGTTCATATGATACTGTTGGGAAGACAAGCGCCTTGTGTATCCGGGTTTAGTAGTATACACGGCGAACAAAGTGCTGTCGAATTAAATTTGATGTGACGCTGTCCACCAGGTTGGAGCTAGGTTGGCACTAGGTTGGAACTCACCTGCACCCAGCTGTCACCTTCGATTACACAAAGAACATATGAGGGGCTGTGTGCGCATGGCAGCAATGAGGACGGGGTCTCTTTCAATTTCGGCCTCTAAGTACGGACGGCCGGGGGTTTGGCTGCGTAGGATCACCGTCCACTCGTGGCAGCCAGGCATCATCAGATGATGGTGATTCAAATCTCATTGAGGGGTATCCAGCCCTTTTCCGCCTATCCAGAATTTGAAACCCAGTCTTAGACGCAGTTACAGTTAGATGAGCTGACGTTCAGCTTTGAAAACCGGTTGCGGACCTTCAACATTTTCCATCTCAGCGGACTGAGAAGAGAATTCTGGTAGAACACCTTAATAACAAAATTTCCCTTTGTCATCGCGACAAAGGCAAAGTTGAGAGACTCAAACATCTACTGCATTTCTGGATTTTGTGTACTTTACGAGGTTTATTGGTAATTGATAGTATTATTGCACTGTAACCCACCACCCGAATATCTGAAGGACTTGCAAGTCTTTTTTGCCCTGCGAAAAATATGATAGATCGAGGTCGGTGAAACGTAGAGGGGTTTCAATCCCCCCGCTGGCCGGTGCTTGTTCTCGGTGACGCCAGCCCGAATCCTTACCTGGCCGGTGGGTATAGTCCGGCTCACGGCCTTCTTTCTGCCTCGCGTTTGCCACGCGCTGCCATAGCCCTCGAGTGCCCCTTTGTTTCTGAACGGAAAGGTACTCACAATGCTGGCTCCAGGTTGGCTCCAACCTAGTTCCGACCTAGTTCCAGTTCAGACGACTGCGTCACCCACGATCAAATTCGACAGGACTTTGTTTGCCGTGATATCGCCGGTGGGGAATCTGAAAGGTAAATGGGCGCTTCTTACTTGATATGCTGTGATCACCAACCTCAATTCACCTGGACAGCCGTACTCAATTATTCGATGGGCGAAAGAACCTCGGCGAACGATTGAAACCGTGTCACGTTCAGCGCCTGGATGTCAATGTCTTTTCTGTCCCACTTGGTCTTCGCACCGTGACGAAGTTCCCACAGTCGACAAAGATGTCCATCAATAGGCGCCGGTGACGTTGTACCTCCGGTAGGTCAGTCCCCGTACCTCTATTGACGTGGAGTTCGGAAGGAAGGCTGCATACCCGGCATGTCTGTGTCGTGTTCGTCTCTCACAGCCTTGGAGAGAGGAGATGGTCCGGAACGACACGAAGAGGGTTCAAAGCGGTTTTGAAACGGTATTCGAAACGTATATAAGTGGCCTGCTTCCTTCGTTTGTCGTTCAGAACACAAGTACTTGAGCACTCCAATCCAGAGAGAGCATCAAAAGCCTTAAGCAACCAAACCACCCTTTCTACCAACCTATTCAGCCACCATGGTCGGTCTTGCTCTTCATCCTCGCATGTACAAGTTTAACTCATCTCGCATATACAGCCCTACTGCTGCAGATGCCGCTGCAACCCCTGCCGATGCGTGGTCTACTGCCCCCAGCCGCCGCCTCCCCCGCCCTGCCAGCCTCAAGCTCCGAAGTGCTGCCTCTCTAACAACCCCAACTGCGGCAAAGGCTTCATCTGCAACCCTTGCTACAACGCTGCTGTCCGGCCCCTTGGGTACCGCGGTGTTTGAATGATTCGTTCCTCATGGAGTGCGGTCCTGGCGTACCTTTTTGTATTCATCCCACCTCCAGCCCATGTGTAGTATCGTTGTATCGATTTGAACTGTTTCGAGTACGATCGGCGTGGTCCCGCGTTTTGTACGACTGGTAAAATCAGATAACCCCAAATACGATATAGACACTTGCTTCAGGTCGCCGTAGCTACAAGTTCCAGATAATATACACGCATGGCCTTTCACATCCTGCCCGTCATTGAATTATCCGATTTTCGTTATCACTTCATTCGAAACGCTGATGAGGGTCCCGAGGCATGGAAACTTTGACGAATCCCTGCTGTGGTATTCGAAGGACAGAAACTGGCCAACTAAAAGTTGCTCTCGCGACCTTACTCGTGAACCCAGCAAGGCAGAAAGGGGACAGTCCTTGATCTGGATTAATATTGACGCTGGACCCCTCATCGACTCCGACGAGCGCCGTTGGCAGTCACATTAATATATCGCCCGCCGCACACAGGATGGATTTGGCTGGCATTGCCCGAGAAGGCGACATATAGTTCCTCTCTTCCCTTCCCCACTCCCGTTCACGATGTCTTTGAATTCAGTGCACCCGTAGATTGGTGACCGATCGCTCTATGAACTATGTGACAGGGAGAATCGAGGTTCTCCTCCCATTCGACGAATGGTCGCGAGTCTAGTGCACCCGCTCGAACTTCTCCGGGCTTATTTAATTCCCGGTGGAAATCGAACCAAAGATCAAGCAACTTAACAAAACCGAGAATCCTCCAAGAGTTGACATTCAGTAGCTGTTTCCAATTCAAGGCATCGGCAAGAGCGAGAAGCTTTGGAATACAATGCCGAGCGTTGAACTTTCAGGGCGGAGCTGCATTCCTGTCAAGCGAATGTCAACTGTTCATGACCCAAGCCGTGTCACATCTCTGCATCTGGCGTAGCGAGGTGTATCGTTTGGCGCCGGAGATTTCACACGTCCGTTCGTTCGCAAGGGTACCTCTGGTATTCCGCCCATGCCGCCTGTACTCGCATACAGTACGTGTCAACAAAAATGGTTGTACTTGTCACATTTCGGAGCCACAGCCTTAACAACATTTCCACTGCCGGTGAGGGTCAAGTTACGAAAATACAGAAAGAAATAAATTTCGAGGACTATATAAGCGTCCCTGACGACCCACCTTCTTCAGAACGCAAGAACCCAAGCAGATTCGCTCACGAGCAATAATCCAAAGGAACCTACCCAACCAGCCTTTCTACAACAATCAAACACCATGGTCAGTGCTTCGAGCACCATTTAGCGACCATAGGTTTCTTTCTAACTCGACTGCAGATCTGCTCTAAATGTTGCGGCCCTTGCAAGTGTGGTCCTCATACCCACGGCCACGGTCATGGCCACGGTCATGGTCACGGTAATGGCAGCCATGGCCATGGCCACGGGCACGGACACGGGCACGGCAATGACGGTCATGGTCACGGTCACGGTCATGGTCACGGTGGCCACGGGCACGGGCACGGACACGGACACGGACACGGACACGGCGGACATATCAACCCCAACCCTTGCCAACCACAGCCCCAGCCTTGCCGTCCTCCGCCGTGCCAACCTCAGCCTCCCCCTCGCTGCTGAACGGGCCCAACTTAGGGAAATGCTTCATCTGCAACCCTTGCTACAACGCCGCCGTCAAGCCTCTCGGATATCGCGGAGTCTGAGCATCATTCTCGCCTTACCCTCACCCCACCTCATCACCACCCCATGCAGACCATGTATTGTCTGGAACGTTTTGATCGACTGACTAAATGGCCTCTCTCGGATTGTTTGTAAAATACATAAAACCCATGTCGTTGTGTGCTTCCATAGCTTCAGATAAATGCAGAGCTACAATCTGTAAATACTTGACTTTCCAACCACTCCTTGCTCGTGCAAACTAAATGCGATGATCGCCCTTTGCCGACTCGGACCTCAAGTTCAACCACCAGAGAGCGTCGGGGGTCGGGATCCCGACGCAACCAACAGCATCAGGAAAGAGACACTGTAAGACGACAGGCCTGACGCTCACTGCCGCTACACCAAAAGGCAACATGACTCAAGAGCTTAGCTCTTGAGCCACCGTCAGGTATATGTGCACGTTATGGGAACCGTGGTAAGCCACCGGTCTTACAGACACACATTCTAAGATGTTCATATCACAATCAAAGTGGGCAAATCGGTGTATCCACCGACATAAGCTAATGTTACAATAGATCCAACATCACCCTCGACTCTTCTCAATCGACCCGCTCCAAAGAGAACCTAGCGAGCACGGTGGCACCAACGTCTTTGCCTTTCGTGTTCAGCATCCTGATTGCGACCCATCTGTCGGTGACCAACCGGTCCACTGGAGCACAGAACGAAGCGATGCGATCGTCCCTGCCAAATTCGTCCTCATAAATTAGCAACCTGATGCAAAGGTCGGTCGGTCAGAACACGGACTGGGTAACTTGGATGGTAAAAGATCGCACCTGATAAATGCAAGCTCGTCCAATTCATATTCCAATTCAAAGGTCTCGTTCCATACGACGTCCGCGCCTAATCCTGGTACATCCTTCACCTTTTCGGATTTTGACTTCCACTTCAGCCTGACCGACTCCAAACACTTCTTCGAGCGAAGGCCTTCAGCTTCTACGCTGTCGTCGGGCAAAAGCTTCTCCAGGAGGGAGGTCCTGTCCCGATGATAGTACAGTTCACCTTTGATGTACGTGTTGTACGACTTGCCCTCTCGTCCATTGGGTGCGGGGACTATTCAAGGCCCTCAGTAACGGACACAGGAACAGAGATGAGGATCACGTACGCGCACTGGCACCAATAATCTCTCCTTTCAGCTTCATCTTACCAGCGATCGGTGGTGCATAGCCTTCAGGTTGGCGCCGAAGGCTGGCCGGTTTGAGAACCCACCCAGGCGTACCCACGAACAGACCCTCATTCACCTGCATCCCCCGATCATACTTCTGCCAGTTCAGTGACACCACCTGGGAACCAGTTCTCCAAAATTGTGAAGGGTCAGGGTTAGTTGACCGGACGCGAGTTCCCTTGGGATAGATTCGGCGGAGATGGTGTGACGCGTGGAGGACGAGTGCAGCAAGTGGCGACGGGAGATGAAGAAGACGTGAGTGCTTGTGGACGTGTGATGGGTGGTCGCCTGGTGCGTGGTCGTGCGATGACCGGTGCGCAGAGACCGCCGAAAGGAGACGAGAGGATGCGGATTCTGAGATATTGATGAGGACATGGGCAGGATCTGTGAAGACTAACAAAACCAATGAATTTCAGATGCTACCGGAAATGAAGAACCGAGTGACTTACGCTCCCCTAGCCAACCCTTGCCTGGCTTCAAGCTGCGAGCATAATATCCTAAAGCAGCCAACTCGTCCGAAATCTTGTCGCATTTGGGTGGCTCGCCGTCGTCGGTTGTCGGCTGTCGTCGCCTTCCAGGCCAAACTCCCTTCTCTCCCCCACCATCCAAGGACCGGGCCTCCTCATCTTCACTCGTAAGGAAGTCATCTTCATCTTCACCAGACGACTCTTCGGCCTTGGCACCCCACTTCCACCAAGACCTCTTGGTTTTCTTGGGTTTTCTCCCTTTGTCGTTATCTTCGTCGTCGTCGCTGTCATCGGACGGACCAGACTCGAAAAGGGGTGGATAGTACTCCACCATCACCAGCACCCTGCCTCTTAGGTCGCTTGGCGAAACCTTATCGTCGTCAACACCCTCGAGGGGTCCCTCCACCAACCTGGCTCCCCAAGCATCCCTCATCGCCTTGACGAGTTCTCCCTGGCCTGAAGGCGGGACATGGCATTCCAGGGAGATAAACACAGGGAAGTCATCCGGTGCCTTGCCTTGGGGCGGGATGAAGGTCTGGTTGCTGGGCGGGAGGTACGCGGGTTGGTAGTTCTTTGAGAACAAGCCGCCTTTGGGCGCGAAAGAACCATAGGTCTGGTCGATCCATGAACCAATGGCGTTGCATACGTCGGCGAAGGGGACGCTTCCGGAGAGTGTGTAGCCGTGGGTAACGATTGGACCAGATGAGGAAGGCCAGACGTCAATTTCGACGCAGCGACAGCCTCGACTGAGAACATGAACGTATGCTTCGGCCGAGCACTTGCCCAAAACTTGGGCGGTCAGTAGATAGGTGTTGTGGGACGATCTATCCAGAGGGTCAAGTGAGCTTCGACTTCCAACAACCTTTAATTAATGACGTACGAGATAAAGTAGTCAGTAAAAGGATACGAAGGATCAGTCTTTGTCGCTTTAATCGATGGTCTTTTCAAGACATCTTCAGCATTCTGGCACAAGAAACACACTGTCAGAACAATTCGTCCCAGCCATACAACGACATACCTCGCCCTTACTCTCTAATTCCTTCTTAGCCTCGTCACCAAGTCTAGGCAGCTTGTCCAGGGGTGGGTTCAAGTTACTCTCGGTATGGATGTCGAAAACATGGAGCGGTTCTAGCGCGAGAGTCTCGAGTCCAGCCTCGATTTCTTCAGTCGAATGTGCCATTTCCGGGCGGTCGTCAGAGCTTTAAGCTTCAAGACCAATGTTTGCGTCGTGAGTTAGAGATTTGAGCTGGACTGTGGCTATAAAGTCGTGCAACCGCCGAGGACGATGAATGAGAGAATCAAGTAGGGATGGAGCCCCTGAATCGCGGGTTAAAGCGTTTTATCGCGGCGATCAGATCGCTCGGCGCTATGACGTTGTTCCCACCCACGGGGTCCGAAGCGCCCACAGGAACCCACAGCGGCCATGGGGACGCACGTTCAGAAGAGGGTACATAGTGTAAGTAGTGCAAACAGTCAATTCATACGATACACACAAAACACAAAATTTACAAAAAGAAACAAACATTATTAGACAGCAAAACACTACATGCAAATTGACAAGATCGCTTCGATATTCCATCGAAACGAACATTAATAGATAGCAATGATTGAAAGCAGGAGGATAACAGTATACACGATAAGAGTGATAGTTGGAGTAGGAGAGATAAAAGAGTCCAGTATACGTACACTTTACAGAAGTTCAAAAGTCAGCAATAACACGTTGCTGACACTGAGCGAAAAAGACGAAGAAGACAGTCGATGCAAGATGCCAAACTTGAATGTGGCTAAAGTCGACAAGGGAATATGCTTGCGGTATAGATACAGTTTCTTGAGCCGTGATTGGATGATGGAATCGGCTGGACGTTACTTTGCTATGCTTCTTGTCGCTGTATAATTGTTGGGACAGATGTTGATGCTTGATGGGTTCGATGCAGTTTGTAGGAAAACGCTGGAAAATGAAATGAGGGAAATAAATAGCTTTATGTGTTTGCTGGATATCGAGCCTGTGAAGCGGCGGGGATGATGATCCTAGATGACATAAGATGAAGCGCGACTTTGAAATCTGGACTCTTGAACTGGCATGGTGAAAAATGGCCAAACGCTCAACGTTGATAACTGCCTGGATGATGCTGGGAACCGGGATAATAAGGAGGCCTCGCAGACTGGTCCCATTGTTGTTGGTGGTACATAAGTTGCTGCTGTTGCTGGTGCATCAGTGTCGACGAAGGCATATTCTGATACTGCGTTCTCTGCTGCACGAATTGGTCTTGGTACTGAGCGTACGCCGCTTGCTGCTGTTGCTGTTGCTGGTTCGGTTGCAGTGGCGGAGGCGACTGGTACGCCCTCGCCTGCTCACGATCTACGCGGTCAGGATAGTACGACCTGGACGACGACGACGGGGGAACAAGCCACCCATCGCGCTCAAGCTCGGGTATACTAGGTGGAACAAACACCTCCCCATCCTCCTCCTCTTCCTCCTCCCTCTTCTTCTTTTTCTTCCTCTTCTCTTTCTTCTCCCTCTCCTTCTTCTCTTCCCTCTCCTTCTCTTCCCTCTCGTGCTCCACCATCCAGTCTCTGACGTTCCGACCTCCCTCCCTATCCCCGCTGTTACGATAAGACTCGTCTCCTCGATAGTACTCCTCCGGTGGAAGTGGTGTTGGTACAGGAGGAACTGGAGGCAAATGGCTGTTATGAGCCTGCGGGATTGGAGGGACAGGCGGCACGGGCGGTACGGGCATGGGGGGCGCTTGACCGACATTCGCAGGAGCCGAGGCCGGAGCAGGCGGTATCGACGACATCGACCTTCTATCCGCATATATCGGCGCCGAGGGTGGTGGTGATCCCGCATACGCTTGGGGAGGAGGATACGGATAGCTCGAACTTGGTGAGCGGGGAGCGGGCGTCGTCGATGTCGAAAAGGGTTCCGGCATGGATATCGATCCGCGGGCAGACCAAGCCGCGCTGGGCGGGACGAATCCTCCTTCGTCGTCATCCGAGCCACTTTCCTCTTCCTCTTCGTCCGTCGATTCTCTGTCGGTGGTGTCGCGCAGTGCTCTCGAGATCAGATCGTAGCCGCCGTTATCCAACTCTCCCCGCCCTCGACTGGGATCCCTACTACGCGGGCGCGTCGCCATCGCCTGGTACTCTTCATACGAAGGGAAGGACGGACTCCCGATCGCAGGTACAGACCCCAGTCCCAAACTCGCAGTCCTCTCAACAGTAATACTCTGCCTCGCCCTCTTCCTCTCTAAATCCTTCAACTTCTGCGACTCCCTCCTAGCCTTCTCCTTCCCCTCCTTCATCTTCTTCTTCATCTCCTTCTTTTCCCTCTCCCTCTCCTTTTTCTTGCTCGACCCGTTCGTTTCGGGAATGACTGGCGCGTGGTAGTATGGGTATGGCGGTGCTGAACCGTCCACATGCAGTTGAGCCGGTGTGCCCCGCGAAATCCCGTCCAACGACTGCTTGAGATCCCGCATATTCTCCAGCCCCAGCGCAGACACCGACTGCCCCTTTCGATGGGAGGGGAACTGAGGCGAACCCTGTCCCCACGGCGTATTCCGCCCCGAATTGACCACACTATTCGGACCACTACTATCCCCAACATATGTCGACCGGCTTCGCGCATGTCGGGCAGCAGCAGCAGCGGCTTCAGCCTGCCTCGCACTGAGCGAAAAGTCGGATGGATCCACCTTGACCCATGGGGAGGACAAAGCGGAAGAGGAATGAGATGGTTCAAGCCCCGAGGTTCCCGGGGGTGAATGTCCAGTGGAATTGGGAGCTGTGCTATTTCGAGCGACGGGTGGGACCCAGGGGGAGATGGTTGGCGTGTTCCAGCCCCGCCCGTGTTCTCCGCCGACAATCTCTCCTCCACCGCCCATCGCGACGAGTGGGGTTACGGAGCCCAACTGGTGAGGCGGAGTGAAGGCGACGTTTACGGCTGACCAGGCGGTTTCAGGCATAGGGAAGCTGGGGTTACTGGAGCGTTGTTGTTGCTGTTGCGAAGAGCTTGAAGGAGTACCGCTCGAGTGACTGGTTCTGGGTTGGCTTGACGAGCCACTACTAGGCGTTGAACCCGAATTGGCAGAATTGCCATTCATCCCCCACTCGTTGACCATCTTGAGCGCATGCTGCAATCGCACGTTGAATTGTTGCAGCTTCACCCGGTCGTAATTCGCGTATCCCATCACCCAACAATTAGCGAACAGCCATTCGCGAAGATTCTCGAATGACCATTGCACCCTCGAGAGCATGGTACCATTGCTGTATAAAGTGGTTGGCTTGGTTAGTTTTCTCTGGTCAAAAACATTAATCGTCGCTGGACAGGTGGTCGACTGCTTTTGGCAATTTGGCGCAAAGTGGCTGGGCAGGATACGGCATTATGCCGCATTTGGAGTTGAGTAGACCACCAGATGAGCGCCTGATTCATTGCCGTGCTGCTCCCAAGGTGAAGAGCAATAGACCCCGGAGGTAGTAGATACCTCAATGGGCACCCCGTTGACAATAACAAAACGGCAAGGGCTATACGCTGCGGACACACGGGAGTGTCAATACAACACCCGTTCAGAACCTTTCACAGCCCCATTTCTATTCCGGTGCAACATGTCGTTGCATGTGACGAAAACCAGCGCTGAATGACTCACCGAAGCAACAAACAGATATCAGCGGCATCCTGAGGCGTGTATCGCACAAGTTTCAGCGAGACGGCCCAGAACGGTGTTACGCTGATCAACGTGAGGAGGCCGTTGAGCGAGCGGTAGATGGTATGCAGGTCGATATTGTTCGGTTGGACGGAGGCGTAGTAGATGGGGTCGTAGCTCATACCCTCGGGGCTATAGTGGGAATCGTCAGAGGGAGTTGGGCAACGGGTACTAAGTAGAGACGGGTAACTCACCCAGTGGCCATTGGTAATGCGATGTCGGCGTCGCTGTTCATCCAGTCCAGCCCAAGCCCAAACCGCTGCGCGGTCGCCGCTATACACGCCTTGATTTTCTCCGCCGCGTTTGTTACGCCCAGTTGCGCCATCTCCGTCACGAAAGAGCGATGGATGTAGTCGACATCTCGTGTCGAGGAACGGTGGGGGAGGGTAGGATGCAGTTGGTGCTGCTGTAGGGAGAGGTGGTAGAGCATAGGGTGTAACAGCATACACGCTCCCCCATGCACCACCAGTCGTAATCGACGATTGTTGAATGGTACCGCCAGTGTCTGGGAGAAGTACTCGAGTACAGCAATGAGCTTGTCCCGGTTGAGATCTACATCGTTTCTAGGCCGTATAGGAGGGGAAGATGATGCGCTCCCGAAACCATTTGTGACATGCTGGAAGGGCGGAGGAGATGTAACAGGGTGGATCGACATCGCATTGTTTTGCGCGAAAGGCGGAGGGGATTGGACGCTAAAGCCACCCCATGGATGTTGCGCTTGGTGTTGTGCTATCGTCGCTGTGGCCATCGGACCTTAGTGGGCAGGGTGGTGGGGGTTCTGGCTCAAAGGATATGGGCCCCCGTGGCATAACAATGTCTGGAGCAACCGCGTAACCGAGACCCCAAACGGTAGGTCCTAAGCGAAGTCAACCTGACTCTGCAGGCAGTACGTTAGAGTTATATGAAGGCTCGCGCCCTTTCAACACGTTTCCTGCCGCCGGATTTCCACCGAAAGCAATGATATAATCTGTCCTGGATCCAGGCAATTATTAGTTTGAGCATAATCGGTGCAGTGGCACAGGATACTTGCCTCGTTTCGATAATAGTAGAGTTTGAAAAAGGGTATCTTGAGGTATTCAGACGAGTCGACCACCAATCGACATCGTCGTTCAAGTTGAAAGAGGAAGGAGTATTCGTGGGACCTATTACCTACGATGATGGAGCACAGCTTTCTTCGGCGGCTAACCGGGATTGAGTCGGAACTGCACTTGAGCTGCGCTACACTGCAAATGGTGGGTTGGAGTCACAGAAAATACAAAACAAGAAGCTGCCTGAACGCTGTGTACTTTGTTCAGCTCTTCGAGGGCGGGAGGAGGTGCAAAAAGTGGTTCGACCCAGGTTCGAACTGGGGACCTTCTGTGTGTTAGACAGAAATCATGACCAACTAGACCATCGAACCGATTGAAAGTCACCGACATTTGCCCTCCTCGAGGCTCCTGAATCCCAATCCTTGGCGATTCATACCAAAGTCCAAGGAAGATCAACGCAAGATCAACGTTGCCTGCACGTTCCGGCTTCTCTCGGAATCTAATAGACAATGCTACAGGCGAGATGGATACCAATGCTGTTTTGCGTGAGAGGCAGGTTACTGGTTTTAAAGAATCTCATCTGAGTCTTGAACTACTCTGAATGCTAACCCTTCCAACTCGGTGAACAAGGAAAACAAGTCGTGCTTCAAGTTTTCTTTATTCAGTTCCATTCGTTGCTTTGCGAAGCTTGATCACTGGTGCCCCTGGTATTCTGACCCTAACCTAAGCTCCGAGTGTTGCGGACTGCGAACCACGACGACGACAAGCCCTTCTTGATCGCGGACTTGTTCTTGATCGTGAACCTTTACCCCGCACAGTGACAGCGACCTCGCTGTACACGCCTGGCGACTCGCCAGTGACTCCCTGACCCAGCACCCTCCGTCGTAGCGCCTGTCAAGAATTCCAGCGCCCGTCCCTTGCACAGCGCTCAAAGCGACCGAATTGAACGACCGCGTGGCCGCCGTATACCTGGTTTAGCGCCCTGAGGTTCCTTGATTTTAGCTTGCAGGTAAGCTCTAACTTTCCATGCTTGCATCTGCGTTGTACTCAGACAATTGACGGCGACGTAGCAGCAAGGCCTTCACACACGACCCCGCCGTCTCCAACGTTTTGTTGGTAAACTGCACGTATACCACCAGTGAGTACAGCTCAGGGGTTATTCTTCTATTCTTTACTTATTGTAGCGGCTCCTCAGCCTGTAACACCTATTCGACGCCAGGGGACGACCGACGTGCTACTGCGTATTGTTCTCAGGCGCGAACCCGAGCATCGACGCTACCAATCATTGTTGACCGCAGTCACTGGAAACCTCTCTGATATTCCTTCCTTCCCTTCACCCAAGGACAAGTACAATGCCCGCCATGCCTGCAGGAACACCCATGCATCCAGGTATACCGAAAGACGTCGGTGAGTGCCAGCAGTTCGTCTGCAGTTCCCTGCTGACGCCCCTTTTTCAGTCGCTATCTTTCACACCTCCTTCCATCCGACGAAAGGCAACGTTTTGGACTGGTGCTTGAAGGCCCCAGGCTGGGAAGGTGAATCGTTCAACCCCGAGCCACCACTACTCGAATTTTACTCAATTGCCCGTTATAGACCTCCAAACCGACAACCTAGGGCTAGAATTCAGCGCCCTACCCAGCGGGTTACATCAACTCGACGAAGACATCGTGTACGTCAAAACAACCTCTCCACCCGGTTATTACGATGAACACCCCGGTTCAGTCACTTCACCTCGTGCATCAAGCCATCATCAACAGCGTCATCTTCAACCAGCAAACCGCCCGATCCTCCCAAACTTCTCCACGCCCTCTCGCTCTTTCGGCGACGCCGCACACCCAACCCGACGTATCGTGGGTTCCTCCTCAGTGCTCTTGGAATCTTGGTCGTCCCGAGTTACCCGGATTGTAGCGGCCAGCGAGGAGTGAAGAAGCCAAGACCGTGGCGTCATGTCGAGGCGCTAAGAGCCGTCGCAGAACGCTGTTATAGTCGACCCGGAAGCGACCCAAGCGCGACACCAGAAACCGGTAAACTCGTGGACGTTGACGCCGCGGCAGAAGAGTGGTATGAACCAGCACGAATCTTCCTTGCGGACTACGGCGTCGCCTCCCCAAACTTCCGCGACTATCTCGCGCAAGATGACGACGCTTCAGAACCAACGCCATCAGATTCGGCTGTACTGGACGACCTGCGCATCGAAATTGCAGTCTCGAACGCCGCGGATAGGCAGCATATACCCACCCTCCAACTCCCCAGTCTCCTTACGCTCCTCGGCCCCTCGAGCGTCACGCTCTTTCGTCATTTGCTCGCCCGTAAACGTATCATGGTCTTCACGAATGTCCCCGTTGGTCCTGCATGCACCATGTGCTACGCGATGGTGGACATGGTTCGCGCGGTACAGTCTAACGATCCGACGGACGACGATGTGACTATTTCCCCGCGCCATTCCGCTCCTGTCCGTGTACTTGGGATGCTAACCCTTAATGACCTCGTCAGCGAAACCAAGAGCGGACTCCTGGAAGACAAAATCGAAGAAGGGCGTGGCTGGGTTGCATGTGAGTCGCCCTTATCATTCTGCGCCTTCCATGGACTTGACCTCTTCTCCTTATACAGGCACAACCGACGCTCTGTTCCTTGAGAAACCGCAATATTACGACCTCCTTATCGACCTAACTGCGCTATCTACCTACTCTACCCTATCGTCTTCCGCTTCATCTTCGGGTCTTTACTCCACCACGTCTCGATCCTCGTCATCTCCATCGTCAGGACCGTCATTAGATTCCAACGGAAAGAAGCCGTCCAACCTCGCATCAAATCGACCACGACCGACGTTTTACGTCTCAAAACTTTCCAGTAGCTCAGGTGGGGATCTTCATGGACAACGTTTTGCATATTGCAATGTGCTGACCAGGCCACCAGGATCCCGTCCTTCGTATAAACTGTCCCAGACCCGTTGGGCTTGGTCGGACGTTCGATTATGGAGCGAAATCGACCGTGTACTGCGAACGGTCCAGAGTGACCTCCCGGCGCACGTCATCTCCCCCCACTGCCAAGTCTGCAACCCCAAATCCGAACCTTCAGTCACAGTCCTACAATCTTCTTTATCGAGTGGATCGTCCTCGTCAGGATCCAGCACCTCCACGACCAAACCCAAGAAACGCAAGGGGAAGAGTAAAAGCCGGGAACGAAATCGGGACCGGCGTGCCTCTTCGTCGGGTGTTCCTTCCTCCCCACGCCCTCAGCACCAGCACCATCGCCATTCGCTTTCCGTTGCTCCGCCCAGAGAAGGGTCGGAGGGCTCGCAGCTGGGACGGATACCGGCTATTCCGACGAGCTTGGTGGACGCGTGGAAGGTGTATGAGGATGTGTGCTTGGTCTGCGCGGGAGTTTGGATGGGTGCACTGTGTTCTAGGGCTGGAGCTGCTGGTGCTCCTGTTGTTGGATCTGCGACGCAATCGTCTGGTTCGACCACCCGTTCTACGAGCGCACCCTGCTGCGTCCCCCCTCGACCTACATCGCCCTTGACTCTCCCTCCTGAGATCGATGGTAGTGGCGGGTTGGTACCTTCAAGCACGACCGGAGTGCAACTCGACGGCGACGATGACATCCTCTTGCGGACCGTCCGCGGTGCGCCTGGTAAGGCCCGCGAAGTCTCGACATCAACTGCGAACACGGCGGCCAGCGATAAGACTCTAGTAACCGCGAACCACCTAGAAGTCAAGTTTGACGGTGAAGCCGAAAACACTACCTCTGCCTCAGGCTCGACAACGACCAACTGGAGCACCGAAATCATGATTACGCTCGGCTTACTCTACACCCTCGAGCGGTACGCTCGTTGGCAGATCGGGGTCCTGCATGCGTATGTGCGGAGTTTGGTCGTTGCCCGCCGTATGGAGCCCGTTAGCAACAAGGACGTCCTACTCGACGAGGACGGGAATATGGGTCTCAAACTCACGCTCACACCGAGGGATGTGGTTCTCCTCGACTTGAACCCGCTCAGTTCAGGAGACGTCCGGTACCTCGAGGCTCTCGTTAGGGAGTACGCGGGGCAGGTGGTCGTCAAAGTGGAAGTGGATACTCCTGAAGATCAACAAGTGCAATCTGACGAAGAGGAAGTGACGACGTTGCAGGAGGACTCGGGGAGGCAGCAGCAGGGAACTTCGACGACGAGATCTAGAGGAGGGCAGAAGGATGTTAATATTGATTTGGTTGTGAAGCGGGGATGGAGGGATTTGGTTGGTGTTGTATTTGGGTTTGTGTAGGGTGAGATGATTGCTTGGGGGTGTACACGTTGTTTGGGGGTGAGGAAGTGAGGTGGTGTTGCGGTGTTGTGTTGTGTATACCAGGAGGATATCCTTTCTATCTGAATTTTTTGCTACTAGTTGTTGTTTTTTTCTGTGCTGTTATGTATTGCTTGCTGTTTCTTTTCTATTCCTTTCTGTTCTCCCTGTGTAGAATACAGTGCTTGTTTGTGGGGATAGACAGACATTCTAGGCTTTTGCATGACATGAAGGATTGGCCCAGACCTCGTCTGGTTGACAAATCCTCCACAGACAAACGTCGGTTCGATGGTCTAGTTGGTCATGATTTCTGTCTAACACACAGAAGGTCCCCAGTTCGAACCTGGGTCGAACCACTTTTTGCATTTTCCGAGTCACTTTTTGTTGTCCGGGAGCACAAAATCATCGGCCGATGTCATGTCAATTGAGAGATTTTGGGGATCAGCATCTAATCAGATGAAATGTCGGGCAATCTCGCTCCGTGCCTTTCACGTGATTGTTATTTTATCAGATAAGAACAAGGGGGAGGGAGCTTCCTTCATCATCAGCATCATCTTCCTCCGTCTTAATCTCTAATTTAACGGTATCTATACATTCGCCATGGGTGGTGGTGTTGCTCCTACCAGCGAAACCAAGACCGTTGTCGTGCTCGGTGTAGCCTACGGAGGTGGGTCACTGTTCCAATCTCGTTATTTATAGCGCTCGATCGCATCGTTGCCGCGACTTTGTGTGACTATGGACAAGGTACTGACTTTGTTCCTTTTCCTATTTATCATATCGTTACCAGGCACTCGGGCTGCTCAGATTCTCGCAGCTGGTCTGCCTGCAGGATGGAAGTTGATCGTGATTGACAGGAATTCGTGAGTTTCATTTCGATCTGCTGTCGTATTTGGAAGGTTGAGGTACTTATTTATTCTTGGTGTGTAGGCATGCGAACCGTGAGTTATGGTGAACTCGTCGTGGAATGAGAGTATTTTGATCTCATTGCGCCTGTGAATAGATGTGTATGTTATGCCCAGATATGCCGTCCTACCAGGTCACGAATACAAGGCTTGTAAGTGTTGCTAATCTGATATTATGTCCCAGAGATGCAGTTAACTGACGCTCTATTTCCACGATCTAGTCATCCCCTACACCAACGTCTTCCTCACTCCCGGGAAGAACCCCAATCACATCGTTCTCAAAGCCCAGGTTCTCTCCATCCGCCCAAATCACGTCACCCTCTCGCAAGCGTTCCCCGAGCACGGTTTCCCAACCACCACAATCCCTTTCGACTACGCCGTTTATGCACTGGGTGGCAGCCTCGCCGCTCCTCTAGACCTGTGGGGCTCTGATCCTCGCACTTCCTTGTCCAGTGTGAAAGGAGAGGACCTGAAGAAGTGGGAGTACAATGGATTCAAGTCGGAAGGCATCGAGTGGTTCAGGGAGAGGCAGAAGGTCGTTGAGAAAGCGCCCACTGTGCTCGTTGTTGGTGGAGGTGCTTTGGGAATCCGTACGTCCCCACTATCTCTACGTATACCAATACCGGATACCAACCGCCATTTAGAATTTGCCACTGATATCAAGGCTGTATACCCCGACAAGAAGGTTACCCTCCTCCATTCGCGACAACAGCTCCTTCCTAAATTCGATGAGGCGTTGCACCATGAAGGTATGTTTCTGCCTCTCGTTTTCTCCCTCGTCATTCTAACGTCCGTTAGTTCGTAAAACGCTCGAATCCCAGGAGGTCGAACTCATCCTTGGCGAGCGCCTCGATCTTGACTCAGTAGATCATGTACTTGGTGCAGGCAAGGTTGTCAACGCGAAGGGCCAACGAGTAGTTCGAACCGTCACAGGACGGGAGATCTCGGCTGACTTGCTGGTTCGTGATCTTCTCTTTCTTTCGCATTTCAACTCTCTTACTCAGGGGACCATTCTAGCTCCTCTGTGTGGGCCAAAAACCCAACTCCGGTTTGATCGAGGCGATGGACCCATCCACCGTTAGCCCGTCGACCAAGCTCGTTCGTGTGTACAGGACGATGCAGATCAGCACCGAACCCGTCAATGAAGTGGAATCAGATTTGGCGTCCGAGGTCAAGGATAAGCTGAAGGTTTCGGAGGAGAGCTCGACGCCTTCATCTGAATCCACCACGTCTGAGTCCAAGAAGACGCCTGCGTACCCTCACATCTTTGCCATCGGAGACGTCGCAGATGCCTTTGGTGCCATCGCAGCCGGTCACAACGCTTACGCTCAGGTACTTCTCCTCCACTTAGTAGCCTTTAAGCACTGACCGTGATCCTGACTATTTTTGGTGCCAACAGGGTGAAGTAGCGGCACGAAACATCATTAGATTGATCAAGCGGAGTGAGGCAAAGGCCGGTGGTAACAAGGAGGAAGAGGAAGCCTTGGAGCAGTACACCGCCGGCCCACCTGCTATCAAGGTGTCTCTTGGTTTGGTGAGTGCATAGTTGACGGTAACTGTGAGGCGCTTTACTAATATCCTCTGTAGAGACATAGCGTTTACCAGCTCGGGGATCTCACCGGAACCAAGGATGATGGTGAAGACGATCTCCAGGCCGGTGCCATCTGGCCATTATACGGTATCAAGGTGGAGAAGGATGAAGACATGCTGCCTTGAGATTGATATGTCTGCATACTAGAAAGCGTACGGCTGTTTAATAAGGAAAGCAAGTACAGTTGATTTTCTTGTGGAAAATATAGACTGCCCATTCGAAACATCGTTTCGCACATTAAAATTTGGGTTTTACCTGGTTCATTGCGCAAATTGGGTCTATCCATTGACGTCAAATTCAACCTTCGGTGCTTGCCGCATCATAGGCTACTGCTGGAAACTGATTCAGCCATTGTCTCCTAGAAACGCACTAGAGCTTATGGAAGATGTGTCCCCCAGTATGCCAGTAGTGAAGACTTCACTGTCGTATTTAAGCGCCATGTCCATGAACCACGGATGGTCAGGCGGTATCCTAGCGCTTCAAGCTTCATCCCTGGCGCGTGTAAACATCGATAGCCTGTCCTCAACGTATATCTGGAATGGGTCTTACACGCCCTCGCCTTGCAGGTCTTGTTTCAACTTCTATGCAACGCGGAAGACGGCTGGTCCGCTGACATCAGCGAGAGCCGAGTCGGCCATTCGCTAAGGAACCACAGCTTGAGGCTCCTCGATATTCGGACCGACCTGTCCTGTCCCTTAGCTTTGGCAACATGCCCTGCATCCAACAGCCCATGTGGTACAGTCAACACCGCAATAAGTGATACCCCTCGGTGGAAAGCAAAAAGTATCACTTTTCGCGGTGTATCCCTATACCTGTAGACCAATAGCGTGTATAAAACAGGAATTCTCATTCATTCTAGCCCTTCTTTGGTATGAAATCGGCGTATCTGAAGCCTTGAGACCCTCCATCCATAAATTGGTCTGAGTGTGCCAAGAAACACATCCAAGGAGTACAGCTTACCAACTGTTCTGAAGAGCTTTTTGAGGGTACAGAAAGCCATTGTAAGTCAAATATACGGCTTATGGGTCGAAGTACGTGCGCTACCCACTGTTTGCTGCAGTCACTGCCATAAAATCTTCAAAAATTGCCAAATTTGGGTATGGATTTTATCACATTTGACGATTTTTTTGGTATCAGGTATCACGTCTCGCGGGTTATCAGATTTCGACCTCAATTTCCCGCCCACCAAGTCGGTGGATCCAAAAAACTATCACTTTTCACGGTTTATCACATTTTGCGGGTATCACTTATTGCGGTGTTGACTGTATATGGACTACGATGAGGTCATAGTCAGTGGATGTTCGCTCCCTTTTTGCATGCTCATGGTCAGCTGTCAGAGAGGTTATCCGTCCGAGCGCTCATCGGCACCTGCGACTGCGCTAAAGCCAATGGTGCTCGTGCATACCTCTTGTCACAGAAGACAGTAGAGCTGGTGCACTGGGCCCATTGGTTAGTATTACGTCCTGAAGTTCAGTCATCGGCGTACACCCAGCGCTCACAGACTCTGATTAATTGCCCTGTCGCCAAAGCTTCACCAAATCCACAACCCTACATCCATACATATCTCTGGGCAAAAAAAAAGCGGGGCTCCACCTAATGAAGTTGAATCGTCGTTTATTTCGTACGGGTTGCGCTTCTTCCATTCCGTTCAATCACTTGGTACACGGTGTCAGTAAGCCCAACGCTAAATGTTCCTGAAGCTGGTACCTTAAGAGTTTGCAAACAATCGTCGTGTGCGGGAGGGGACCAAAGAGTGACGGAGTCTCTGAGCTCTCTGAACTTTAGAGACGCCGCCCTCAAACGGCACACAAAACGCGGATGAAGGTTGTGCGGCCAGGGGGAATCCACTCGGGACGCCCGAAATGACATCCCGAATGCATTCAACGACCACTGCACACTCAGGCTACTAAGTTACTGAAACGCCACTCCCATCTCAGAACTCCATGTGAATGACAAGCGAGCCATGCCGTCGCATTTCTACGTCCTAAACAAGACAATTTGGACTTTTCAGTCGATCCCCGATGGGAAATGGAGGGACAGGTGGGGCACATCAACGTGGACCTTTACCCAAAAGTAGATCCCGGAAAACAACTCACGCTCGTACCACGCTATCGAAGCCTATCGAGCCCGCCTGTTGTCGTTGTCAAGGTAGGCACCATCGAATTTACACAAATCAAGGGCCCAGGAATTGCATTAAATTCACCGACATGAGACTGCCAAGTATATGGCCGGTCAATGGCCGGTTATTGTCTCTGTAGTTTTCTCCATAAGCCTTCATGCGGACGCGGGCGCTCCGCAACTACTTGAGGCATTTCACGACATACACCTTGTTTTCCGAAATAGCCAGTCCGACACTACTTGCAGCCTTTGCAACACAGCGTCGAGGGTAGTAGTACGTGGCCACCGATTGATATCCGAGTATGTAGTTTATTGGAGTGGTTACGAGGCCGCTCGATCGTGAGCCGTCCGTTGAAACGATAGTCAGCGTTTTCCCAGGCCCGTCGGGAATGAGAGCGAGGGCGCGATGGAAAGCGCCTAATCCGGAGCCCCTTCGAGTTGTCCAAGAAATCTGCATTTCGCGGCAATTCCTTGGAACAGCAAAGTGACGATTGAATGCCGGGTGGCGCGTCGCGACATCCGACCTCGCCTGGGAGCAGGGATATCCGCCGACACTACTGGTCAAGAAGATGTGGAGAGGGCCAATCTTTTCTGTGCTGCTACAAGTAGACTGTGGTACATGACAGAAAATTTGCTATTATACAAAGTACTAATATGTATGTAAAGGAAAGGATCTGGAAAAGACTATGTTACAACAGGTCGAATACAAGACAGGACGAGGAAGAGCTGAAAACACATGGGCCTAAACCTGATCCAGAGATCGAGTAGACGAGAAATTCGGCAGATGGGCGATCATGCCCTCGAGGTGAGATGACATTGAGAAAGCCTGGCGATATGCCGCGATAGGCGGGAGAGATTGGATAGGGCAGCCGAAGGCAGATTAAACCGGTGTAGCAAGTAACCATCTGCGTCGTCCACCTCCACTATGGCGCATGGAAACATCAGAAGATTATAGCGATCGATATCAGATACTTGGAGTGAATTATAGCATTAAAAGTATCAGGGTTTGTGGCGTAGTGTGGTGGGATTGCGGGTTATGATTGGTCGGGATGATAACGTTGCTTGGTGAGAAACATGATGGGGATGCTCTTCCATGTCGGTGGATCGAAAGTTGAGGGTGTGAGGAGTCGAGGAAGAGTGGAAAGCGTATTGAAAGGAGCTAATCGTCGCGTACACAGTGAAGTGGAAGTCGGATACTGCCATGGGTGCAGACGGCATCCAGATCTCAATGTGTCGGGTTGCGGCCTCAGATCATATCGCCTTCCCGTAGATGTTGCCGGAGAATAGCTTCTCGCACACCGGTGAGGAGAACTTCCATTGAGTGGATGTCCTAAACAGAGCGCCCAAGTCAGCTTGCGTCCCAACGGCGGAGATAATAAGGTATCCAATGACATACAATCGCTGACGTCTCGTAAGACATAAATGGTCGAGCTTGAGGTGAAAAGCGCTTCTATCGCAGAAAGTCAGCTTCATACACTCTCAATCACATCCAGCACTCACATGTATGATCTTGAAGCGTTCCCTGAAGTCTGAAAATGATAGGTCGTTAATATGAAGGGTAACTGATATGAGGTTACAGGACTTACACTTCGTCACGGTCGGAGCGTCGTTAGGTAAATCTCCGTAACTTGGAACGTATTTCCTGACGAGCACACCAGCTGCCAGTGTTGCTTTCAACACGTCCATCTGATCGGCGGTTATGAGTGGAGTAAGCTAAACCTTGCAGAAGAAAAACCCACTTTGTTGAAGAATAAAATTAGGTTAGCTTTCGCCAGAAGTTTGCTTTGGCAGATATCGCGCCAAAGATGCAGACTATCTTCCTGCAGAGTGTAGATAGTGCGTTAGCGGCATTATCGGGACCGGCGGATGTAACCACGTACTAAACGATTGACTTTGACAGCCTCTTGAAGAGTTTGGTTGAATGCGAGCGGTGCCAGGAATAGAATGGCTTGCACTAGAGCCAGTTCAGCAATGGTTGTCCCGTAAGGTCAAAACTGCAATTCTCACCGTCTTCAAAATAAGGGATCCAGGATGCACGCTAGAGAAGGAATAATACCCCTCAGGAACCGCCCTGTGACAGCAGTGTTGGGATTGAAAATACCTGGCTCCTGCTTCCACCCACGTCAGTAATATACACGTCTGAGTTCATATCGGGTCCTAGATGAAATGGGCCGTCAGACAGTTATTCTCGAATGAGTTCAATGAGAACATCTACCTTTCTCAACGACGAAATGGTGTTCTTCAACCCCTACAGTTCGTATCCGGGCTCGGATTATGTCCGCTAAGCCCATCAAGTCAGCACAGACATTTCACCTTCGATTAAGTTACTCTTACAGTCGCTGGGAAGATAACCAGGCACTGCGATACGAGCGATGTCATTCATGAAGCTGGTAAGAAGTGTGACATCAGGAAAGGGTTGTTTGTATTGACAGATGAAATGTGACTTACAACCCGGGCATCTGTTCAAGATACACCCCTCGTTTCCTCAGAACTTCCTGCACTATCGGATCGGTCCATAGGTCAATAATCTCGTCTCTCGAGGCGCAAAGAACGTTGGTAGGGTCGTTCTCGTTGTTGATGTGGGATTGCGAGCGTCGACGTCCAGGTGGACCGCCTCGTGGTTCATAGCCCCCTGGAGGTCCTTGTGGGCGCTGTCTTCGAGAGAGCTGGACCTTCCATTCAGTCCCTGAGACACAAACATCACGACATTCTTTGCAGTTGGGTGATATGATTTTGAGAATGTTGGATTCGATAAAGAACAGCGGAGAAAGTGTGAGTCGTAGTCGACGGAGCTTCCTGGCTGGTGCACGGTGAGAGGCTTCGGTTGGCGTCGTGGGGGTTGCACCGCTGCCGCTTGGTTCCCATTCGTCCTTGAGGGCGTCAAGGATCAGACGAAGAGACCTGCAGTCGACAGTTAGCGATGATCCGAGGGAAGAATGAGTATCCCGTACGAAATAATGTTTAATTGGATGATGGTTCGCCATACAAGGCGTTCGTTTTCGAAATGTTTCGGGGCAAATGCTCGTTGGAAATCTATGGTTGTGGTGGACGCCCAACTTCAGCATATCTCATGGTCGACACAAGGAAAGCAACTTCACTTTTAAGCACCGAACTCTGGGTTTCCGAAACCGCGTTAGATACCGCCCGTCGTCGTCCCAATGAAACTGCATACCTTTCCCGACTCTGACTGACCTGAAAGTTTGTTGCATCGGTCAGTCTGATTCTGCAGCAACGGCCTTCCTATGCAACTCACCCAGCAAGAGGATTTTAACACCCTTTCTTCTCTTTTCCATCGCCTTGCGCGCTTCTTGCAACGAGCTGTCGATTTCTTTGGACTTCTTGTGTGCTTCTTGCATGTGCTTAATTCGCATCTGTGCTTCTTCTTCCGTTTCGTTCGGATTGGCTCCTGACCAACCCTTGGACAGGAAAGGGTTAGGGGTCAATGTCACAACCGCGGCCAGCTTTTCTCTGGACTTGAGCATGGTGGTGGGCGACGGTGGGGGGAAGAGGGTAGGAAGGGAGGGGGCTGTTGGCAAGGTAGTCAGAACTGTATGGAAGACACCGTTGGTATTTTAATGCTGTCATTTGGACCTGGTTCCCTAATGGGCATGGCCACCTGATGATGCCCAGCCTGCGGGAATAGGCACCGTTATGTACCGGTTCCGTCCAATCGGTAAGGGGCAGCCATTCGCATCGCATCAGATGCAAGATCTAAGATATCCCCTTTACTGTTGTCTTCTTCCCCACCAACACATCCGGTTGGCGAAGCCCTCTGAGTGAATTGGCGACAACCACTGACTTACCGACGTATCTTTATTGCAGTCCACCTAGCCTATCTAGCACTACTCTTCGACTATGGATTAGTATCAAGTCAGTCGTGAAACCCGCCCTTGATTGCTATCATGCCCTCGAAGAAGCAGCTCAGGAAGCCAAATGCGTGCACTCCGTCGACGATTTTCTGTGAACCCCGAAGTCGGGTAAAGGTGAGGTAATGCCAATAAATCAAAGGACCTGTCTGACGGACGATGAAAACATGGCGCCTACCACTTTCATCTGCCAACCTGGACGCCATGCGTGACGGACATAATCCGTACAAAACCCGAATGTCACGACGGTGAACCGGGAGGTGAGGTTCGTCCTGCTGCTTCTGAGTGCAATCCCTTGTACCACATACGGCTATGTGATTGCTTTCACAGTAGCTGAGAAGAGCCTGACTGCACCGTCCAACCTTCAGCCATTTCACCGACACTATCGCTCGAAAGCGTTGGAGACTAGTAACGTTCTCGCGAACTCTCTAAACCCGGCGAAGTTTGTGATTTGTCATTTAGAGACGTCCCAAATAGCTTGCCGGTCGATATGTCGCTTTAGATTGTCACGGGCCACGGCGGTTTTAGGCATCGATGCTGGAAGCCAGTATGTAGTTAGGCGTCAACTTGAAGGTAAGCAGTTCGCTACCGCGCCCTGAATGTCAACACACGAGATCCAAACTCACAGGGCACAGTGGACGTCGAGCAAAGACGCCGAAAGGTGACGGAAGAACAATGAAAAAATCATTAAGGCTCCCGCCACATGAATACGTTAACCTGGTGAAGTGAATTCAATTGACGTACCCGGGCCCTTGCACCACTGGAAACTTCGAGTCGTGGTTGAAGCTTTTCGTATGCGCCACAGGAACGTTGGCTTGGAAGCAACATGGAGATGGAGTTCAAAAGACGCGGCTCCACAACCAATCCGTCGGGTAATAGATATGCTTAGAAAGAGCGGCGGTGGAGGATCAGGTTCGACAAAAATCCGAAGCCTGTGTCGCTTGTCAGCCATTCCAATGGGGTCCAGAAGTCTTCAAAGCAGCGTAGCGTTAACTAGAAGGAATGGAATTAGCTGTCGATGGAAGGTGTTCTCAGCTTCCTTGATGACACGATCAACACACGATAGCGCTCCCAGGCTAGACTTCTCTTCAATGCTGGGAACCGTCGGCTGGCGTCTGGGGATGGAGTCGAGTATAAGATGAAGCATGCTTATAGCGAAAGGGTATACATCAAAATAGTTTCCGCACGGCTAAAGATAGCAATAAAATGGTGAACGCCGACTTAATTTCAATGGAAAGAAGCCCAATTGACTGGACGTCCTTTAATTGGCGATCTCCCAGAGGAAGATATGTCCGCTAGATGGCGCATTGTCGGCCGGCCATGAGGGCAATTCCATGGCTGATCCATGGTTCCCATATGGCGTACAACCTGAATGGAAAGCAAAGCCATTGATTAGAAGTGAGGCAGACTGAGGGCCCACTACATTTGCGTACCGCTGACATCTGAGAGTGATTAAGTGGCATGCCAACCATGACACTTTTCCTGCACGCTCGCATCGCAAACATAGCTCGAGCTTTCGAACAACGAACCATGGTCCCCGATGGTGAATCTCGCATTAAGTGGATAAGCTCTTCTAAATCTATTGGAATGATCAATGTTCAGCTAAGAGTCAGTCGAATGGCACGGAGTCTCCCACCTTTCATATCAAACACTGTGGATTTGCTAACGGGTTGTGCGGTTAGCCTTAATCGGCCGCCTTGCGACCGAGGAGTCTCTTCGCCGTCCATGTTTTCCTCGATCATTTCGACTTCGAAACCATTGTTGCGAAGGACTTCGAGATTTTCTATCGCAAGGAGTTCATCACCCGCCGTGAGCTCCAAGGGCCGGGGACTGGAAAACACCTGAAGCTTGAGAAATAATTTCTTGAATGATAGATAATCGAAAACATACCGTAACAATTTCTGAGCCTGGATCTTGGTCGTCAATTGCAAGGTCTCGAAATTGTACTTCTCATCGGCTGCGTGCTGGTCGACAATAAACAAATCGTCCATCGGAGGTTTGTCCTCGGATCCCGGCTGTTTTCGCTGAACAATGATGAATCCTAGATTGAACTGGCCAATAACCGCCATAGAAGCAAAGTCGCCTTTTTCAATTACCCTCGCGAGGGCATCGGACGCCTTGGAGTCGTCAGCGTTGGAGATACTGGCGTCTTTTGATAGCTTCCATTCGTCGCGGCCTCCAGACTGTGAACTTCCTTTGCCCGAGGATAAAAAGTTTGACTGCGCGTTCCCTAGCCGCTGCCATTGACCGCTGGTTCTCTGAATGTCGAACCGAAGAGAAACATCGCTGCTTGCATCTGTGTGTTTGAGGATCTCAGGACGGGTACCAATCGAACTTTGAGTTCCAGAAGGGGCGGGGGATTCGGGACGAGTGGAGATTGAGGGTTCTCGATGTTGTTTGGGAAGTTGCACCTCTTGGACTTCCTCCTCCTCTTCCTCCTCCTCTTCTTCCTCACCAAGAGCGACGGTATCTGGTCGAGGTTCCTCCACGGCGACAGTAGAGTCGTCCGGAGGTGGCGTCTCCTCCAATTGAGTGGGTTCTATAGACGACCCTCTTGGAGAGTCCGATGCAACCTCCTCGTCTCCATCGCCATCACGAACGTCTCCAGCTTCCTCCGACTCGCACCGCTGTAGTTGTGACCCAGGAGCAGCAAACGTAGATAGCTGGGACCAAATGGACAAGTTGGACTTCTTCGCCACTGGCTGACGACGAGAACTTCCATTAGTAGAACATCCAGTCCGTGAATTGGTTTCGGTTCGGGAGGCAATGGAAACGCGTGGGTCGTCTTCGCCATCCTCTTGAGAAATTTCCTTCTGTTCAAGCTTTCGTCGTTTACGAGGATGATCTTCTTCGCCTTGTTCTTCGGGGGTATTCGAGGGCTGAGTTTGCGAACTGCTCAGTGAGCCACCCCAAGAAGCCAGTCGGGTATCCAGGGTGATGTCACCCTGCTCGGAAGGGGAGGGTTCCGGAGGCGTTAGGCACGCTGTGGACGTTAATTGAGGAGGATTGTCGGGTTCAATGTCCATAGCAGCATCGGCATCTTCTTCCAGCCGAGTTACGTCGCTGGAACTCGAGGTTGTAGTTTGCGAATTATCCCCGACTTTCACAGGCACATCAAGGGCGGCCACCGTCGAAGGGCAAGGGCTGGACGGTGCGGGCGTAGGGCGGGGCGCAACTGTCTGCGTATGCGATGATGCAAGTGTGGTTTGTGTTAACCTTCCTTGGGATTGGCCAAGATCGAATGTGGCCCGCGAAGAAGAGAAATGATCTTCTAGAGCTTCCTTTACGAACGTTTGAGCTATTAACACGATGGCGGGTACACACTGGAGCCTCACCTTTAGAGCTGTGATCAAACTATCCTCGTTGTGAACGAGAATTGTCCTCTTATCGGGGCTGACGTTGACATCACACGAGTCTGCAAAGGATGGGTTGGATGGGAGAGGGGTAACAAGTGATGACAACAAACCAGTAGGGATAATGAAATCGGCGACCAAAAACGGGGCCTGATTCGCGTTGAAGGTTCGATACACTTCGTTGAAAGCTTTTTGGACCTAGCAGTGGATGAGAGGGGCAGCAGACAAGAAATTGTATTTCCTACCTTGGGAAGATTGCATGGCCTTCCATTGATATAGAAGAACTGGCGGTCTGTATTGAGTCGCCCACATCCCACTGCGAACTTCGAAGTGAGACCTTTAACATGGATGTCAATCGAGTCCGATGCGCTCTGCTTGAACCTGGACATTAGAGGTGAGTGGCAGGCTTTACATAGCTGGAGCACTGCGGAAACGTACGCTTTCAGACGTTTCAGGACTGATTTCTCCGTTTCTATAGAGAAAGATACATCCAATTCGACGAGGTTTTCCATGGCCTTGGGACCCCACAAAGCTGTGACAGACGCTCTGAGAGAAGGCGTGCCTTGTGTTTGCAGCTGAACAGATTTCTGGCTGGAAGTTTGATGAGTTGTACCAAGGGGATCGTCAAAGAGAGGTTCTTACCCTTTCTCAGTGTGATTCGTGACTGACATACGAACACCGGGGCTCGCTGCGCATGGCCCCAGGGCATAGGCATACAGCAATGAAAGGGCTTTGTCGAACTCGCGTTTGGCCTTCCGTTCGAATTCTTTGCGACGGACGGGTAGAGGGGTGAATAACTTGGATACGGTCACTGTAGTGCCTCGCTGAAATAAAGTGGGTACGGGGTGCGTAAGGGTCACAACGGTTCAATCGCTTACCTTCCTTGCAACCACTTGTCGTGCTTTGACTTGTCCAGAGAAATCCAATTCTAAGCTGGTACCCTTCGGTGCAGTATCTTCCGTAGAAGTCGTTACATTTATCGACTCGCAAAGAGCGCAAAGAGACGACAGTGCTTCTCCGCGGAAACCGAACGTTTGAACCGTATTCAGGTCTTCATACACTTCCAGCTTTGATGTATGGTGCTTCAAGGCTACGTGAACTATTAGCATGCTTTAAAGACGAGTGTTTAAATATCATACCTATGCTGTCGAAGTCCTTTTCATCGATCCCAGACCCGTTGTCTATGACTTCGACGCTAGTCAATCCATATTGCTTAAACCGAACCTCTACAGCGCATCAATAACTATTGGAAGTTGTCAGGCGAGACCTCTGCGTACCTATGTTCGTGGCACCTGCATCGATACTGTTTTCCACTAATTCCTTGACCGCGGTCTGAAGGTCGATAACAACCTGTCCTGAGGTGATTCGGTGTACCGATGCCTGGTCTATGGGTCGAATTCCGTTCGACTTGGACATGCGTCGGTTGTTGCTGTTTCACTGGTACACCGGCCCCAAAGTTTATTTGCACACCAGCGGATTCAGGACAAGAAAATGGTTTGGAGCTTGTGCAAAAGAATATGAACGCGATGGTGGTGGTCGCGGTTCAAGCTCAAGCTCAAGAGTCATGCCACGCCAAGAGAAGGCGCGCATCACGTGGCGGTCCGAAAATATCAGCGCGACGCGACGCGCCAGGGATTCATTAAATGACAGAGGACAGGGGCCATATGCGCTTCCAGACTCGTTGGTAGATTCAGGATACAGGCGAACAGTGCAAGTTGGTACAAAATACTACCGATAGTTTACATTTGTATATAGGGCATCATGGCCCTACAATCTTCGACTTCTGCGCCACCTGTCCACCATTTTCTTCCTCTTCTCTGCGAGGTCCGCATAATCGCCCCCAAGGACGTAGCCCAAGGTTCCCTGTACCCTGGCCTTTGCCAATTCCACCCTGTCCGCTGTTCCACTTTCTAGCGCATCGAGGGTGCGATAAGCTTCCCGAAAGCTCGCCCGCACATGCTTGATCCCGTATGCCTTTGAACCCAGGATCGATAGTGACGTCTGCCGGGTCGGTGATTGAAAGTAGGTAGCGTTGCTGGGTGTAACGTGAATAAGTATAGCTCTTGACTCCATATGCTACACTTGTCGATGTAAATCGTATGGTGGTTGTCGTAGTATCGAAGTCTTTGCCGTAGAACCTGAAAAATGCCTTCAAGGCAACCCCGAGGTCGACCTGCGGATCGCTCCGCCTCGAAGGCCCTGAGGACGAAGAAACATTCAAGGTCCCCATCCTAGAGATCAAATCGTCGACGTTATTGGAGGGTCTTTCGCTATGTGCTCCTCCGACCAACTTGGGCATCTCGAGCTTTACCCAAGCAACCATCATCCATACGAGTAGGTAAGAGTTGATTCCTCCCGTGAACGTGGTGCCTAACTTCCGTGTGGCCAGGAATAGCTTCAGGACCATGACCAGACTCTTGATGACTGTGGCATTCTCGGACTTCATGTAGGATTGTACCATGTTCGTCGCCTTAACCCCATGCTCGTCTGCTGCCGTCAGGTCAATGTCTATCCCCGTCACTGCATCCGTTATCCTTAGCAGAGGGACAGAAGCGTTCAAAATGGATTCAATCTTTCTGGCAAATCCGGACGATCTGATCTTGTACTCCAGTAGAGTCAATGTCGTTCTGGCGGAGAGAGTGGAGGTGGAATAATAGCCAGCTCTGGCGCCTGCCAAAGTGACAACCATGTCGATGTCTGAAGTTGGGAAGTGAAGTCCGCTGACAGTCGAGCCCACAGCTTGAACGGAAACCTGCGGGTCCAGCGTCTCGATGAGCTTGGTGAAACGATTGATCAAGTCGGTGCGGAGGAGGAGCTCTTTGTCGGTTGGCTTCATGTACGCGACGAAGTGTTCGATTTCGTTATGTAACCTGAGAGCTGGAGTGAGATAAGGCAGGCGCCTAAGTGCTACGACACATACGAGAGCCTATGTGGACTGGTTAAAGTGGGCATCCATGGTGGCGCATTGATACTGGTGGACCTTGGAGCGAAATCGCCACAAGGGGGTACCGGAAGCCCGGTGTAATCACTATATGCCTTGGTTCGAGTGGGCACTCCTGCGATAATGTTGTCCCGGAGCGTCTGTCCTAGTAAAGAGCTAGACATGAGTCGCGTCGTTTTCAGGACACTGCCAGATCGAAGGTGCAATAGGCAGACGACGAGGAACAAGAGAAGTGCAAAGGCACTTCGAGTTCTAGCTATGCGTCTATGTAGCTTTGTGAACATATGCCGAGAGCCATGCTTCTTTGAAAGTCGACAGCCTGTGAGTAGGCTGTTAGTGCGGTTTTGGCGCCTGATACACCCTCTGCCATGTGCGTATTAGAAACATGATTACGAAGGCGATGGTCAGAAGCAGAGATAAGGCCTATGTACATACAGAATGACAGCTCGAGAAGTTCGAAGAATGGCCTATGTTCGCTTGGATACCCTCGCTTGAAGGGCTTCTATTGCATATTGCTCGACTGATACCGGTGTCGCCTTGGGCCGTCCGAGATTGGAATAAAAGATTGTCTGGAGGTTTGGGCAGGAAGCGGCTGGTGACGGTCGCTCTTCAAGTTCCAGCGAGCTGGCACTTGACAATGACAGGGGTATGCGGGGTACATATACATATCACGTGGCCCACGGAATTTATCAGCGCGACGCGACGCGCCTGGAATTAGTGGATGACAGGGGCCATCTGCGTGGCCAGAGCGCTAAGGTTCAGAATATGTACACGAGTAAGAAAACAGAGCATGCAGCGTACACCAGAACCACTAACGGTGGCTGTATGATACGGCATCCTGACTCATGGCAGTCTTTCTATTTCTGCGCCACCTATCCACGATTCTCTTCCTCTTCTCAGCAAGGTACGCGTAATCACCGCCCAAGACGCAACCCAATGTACCCTGCATCCTAGCCTTCACCAACTCCGTCCTATCAGCCGTTCCATCCTCCAATGCCTCGAGGGTACGATAAGCCTCCCGAAAGCTCGCCTGCACATGCTTAAACGCATATGCCTTCGAACCTAAATCGACGTCGTCGTCTGCTGGATCGGTTATGGAAAGTAGGTAGCGCTGGTGCGCACGGCGAGAGGAGGAGAACGACTTGACGCCGTATGTAACGCCCGTGGGAGTGAACCGTATGCATGCCGTCGTGGTATCCAAATCTTCGCCATAGAACTTGAAGAACGCTCTGAGCGCAACACCTAGATCAATAGGCTCGCTCTCGTCGGCCCTCGGTGACGAAGGGAAGGAAGAAGGCCCCGCTACAGGGCCTACGTCGTCAAACTCATGTAAATACCCTTTTCTCCACTTTCCCTTGTACAACCTCGGCAACTCGAGGTGAACCCACGCAACCACCATCCACACCAACAGGTACGAATTGATCCCACCCGTATAGGGCGTACCCAGCCTCCTCGTCGACAAGAACAGCTTCAAGACCGCGACCAAGCTTTCAATGACGGTCCAGTTGTCGGAATTAGTCCAGGCCAGCACCATCTTGGTCCCCTTAACCCCGCGCTCGTCCGACGCCGTAAGGTCAATCTCCAACCCTGTCATCGCGTCCGTTATCCTAAGCAACGGGACCGCAGCATTCAGGATTGAATCAATCCTGCTCGCAAAGCCCGACGACTGGATCTTATGTTCCAAGGTGGATAGCCGGGTTCGAGTGGAGGAGGAGCGCGATGAAGATTTACTAACACCCCGAAAGGTGATAGTCATGTCAATGTCGGAGGTAGGGTAGTGAAGGCCGCTGGCAGTGGAACCAAGCACCCGGACAGTGGCGTCTGGATCCAATTTATCGACCAGTTTGACGAAACGAGAGACCAAATCCCTCCGAAGCGCGAGCTCCTTGTCAGTTGGCCTTATGTACGCTGTGAAATGTTCAATTTCACGATGCAGGCTGGAAAAAGGTTTACTTCCGGAAGGAACGTGAAGAGAAGGTATCCCACGTACGATAGTCTCTGAAAGTTCCCTACACCGGTTATAGCAGGCATCCATGGCGGTACGCTGATACTGCCAGCTTTTGGGGCGTACTCCCCACAGGGAGGAATCGAAAACCCGGTGTAATCACTGTAGGCATCCATTCGTGAGGGCCTTCCCTCAACAATATTCTCTCGGAGCATGAACCCCAAGCGGTCGCGCGACATGGTTGCAATATTGGCGCTACAATGTCTGGTCAGCCTCCAGGGGAGAACATTAATGGCGGGCGACTTACTACGGGCGAGGGGAATTGAAAACGATAGCAAGGCTGTGTGTTCAACCAGGTACTACGAGTGTCTTTAAAGTGGATTTTGCTCTTACAACAGCAATTTACAAAACGTGCATCCTTTCCAAGAACGATGCTTCTCTGGATGATTCGTTGAGCAGGTGAGTTACCCGGCAGCATGGATGCAGCTCAGGGGTGCTGAAACCCAGAGCTCACAACTCACTCTTGCCATAGAAATCAGCAACATGACCCTGATGCCAGCAGAAAGAGGGGAGATAAGAGCCGTTAAAATACAAAAACGCCGTCGAGAAGCTCGAGATATAACCTAATCTTACCTTGGCGTGCAAGCCGCCCGCCTCCTCTAAACTTAGGATCGTCGCCAGGTGGTATCCAGTTGATCAGGCTAATAGGGGTTATGTACAGGGTATCCTACAAATATACAAGAATGTAATGATTAGCAAAATTGGAATACGAGATTATAAGAACTTGCGAGAACCAAGGCATGTCGCTCTAAATTCAAAACTTCTAATCATCCGCGTCATTTTCTCCGAACATTCGGGCGAGTACATCGTTGCCTTCTTCGGCGGGTGCCTCGTAAACAGCGAACGCAGTCCTCTTCCCTCGTCCAGATGGCGACCGTCCAGCAGCAGAAGGGGTGGTCGTCCTGGCTGTGGTGGATGTCCAGCCCTTGCCACGATCCGCGAAAACCTCGGGACTCCGGTCCAGCAGCATGTCCAGGTCTTCATCGCTCAGGACTCTGGCCTTGCCCTCTTTAGTGTCCGGAACAACCTCTATCTTTTCCCCTTCAAGCCTCAACAGCTCAGCAGCCATCTCTGCCGCCGTCTCACGCCTGTTATTTGCGGCAGGAGCAGCAGCGGCAGGTTTTCGGAATTTACCTGAGCGTTTACATTAGTGGAGTTTAACGGAGAAGAGAGAGATATGTACCCTTGGCAATGACAAGTGCTTCAAGTTTCCGTTTCTCAGCCGCCCGTTGCATGATGTTGGTCTCGATGGTGTGGGCACTGACTAGTCGGAAGATAAGGACAGGCTTGGTTTGTCCAATACGATGGGCTCTGTCCTGCGCCTGAGCATCCATTTGAGGATTCTGAGAATGGGTTATGTTAGTACTCATTCCGAAGTGATGGCGTTCAACATACCCAGTCCTGGTCATAGAAAATGACTGTATCGGCAGCCACGAGGTTAATGCCTAATCCTCCAGCCCGTGTGCTCAGCAGGAACAAGCGGGGCGCATCAGGATCGTCCCCTCCTGTTTGGAAGCGCTCCATTTCCGCCTTTCTGTCCAAGGGGCTCGAGGAACCGTCGATTCGACATATCGACCACCCCATGTTCTCAACAGCCCAGTCCTGTAGTTACCGGGTAAGTAGAGAAACCGGAGTACATGGTAGCTATAACGAACCTCGATGATATCCAACATGGTGGTGAACTGGCTGAACAACAGAACTTTGTGGCCACGTCGGAAAAGCTCCCGGAGAAGACGGTCAAGGACCATCATCTTGCCGCTCGCGTTTACCAACTCCTCGCCTATGATCGGTTGCATTGTCTTGGGGTCGATCGGCCAGTCGAAGAGGAAAGGATGTGAACAGACTTTCCGAAGTTGCATGACAGTGTTTTGTAGTCGCATATTGTTGACCTGTCTAACTGGGGGGACGTTAGCACTGGCTAGACTGACAACTAGGAAAAACGCGCCTTTCTGTCGTGCCTGATGCTCCCGGCCAATCCGTGCTTCCTCTTCTTCCTCCTCCTCCTTGGTCAACTTGCGCCTCCTTCCCCGTTCGTCGAACTCTCCCTGCTCCAAGAGCTCAAAGTACTCGTCGTCATCCCCATCTACAGCATAGCTCTTCTTGCCTTTGGCCCTCCTCGCCAAGCGCTTGCCGATAGTTTCATCGTCGGCCTTGGCGGCAACTGGAGCTTCAACAGCCACGGGTTTCGACTGCTTCCCTTCGGTTCCACCAGAAATAAGCCACTGCCTGATCTGACCATCCAACACCTTGTCGTATGCTTCGCGCTGGCGTACACTAAGAGGAGCGTATAGGACATACTCCTTCTTTGGCGGCAGATTCATTTCGACATCGACTTTCAGTCGACGCAGGAGGAAGGGCTTGAGGATCGCATGCAGAGAGGTGATGATACTGGACGACTGCTCCTGTGGTAATGTCTCTTGCAGCGAGGGGAGGTTGAACCTTAGCCATCTATCAGTAAGAAGTCTAGGCTGCACGCTGTGAAAGTAACTCACCATGCTTGGAAAGTCTCGATGTCGTCAAAAATGTCGGGAAGAATGAAATTGAGGAGTGACCACAATTCGGCCAAGTTGTTCTAGGGGGATGTCAGTCTAAAACTAAAGGCCGCGGTGGATAGACTGACGTGTAAGGGAGTTCCAGTCAGGATCATTCTTCCAGCACTGCTGTACTTCTTGATTTCCGTCATCAGCTTGCAGTTGAGGTTTTTTAAGCGATGACCCTCGTCGACGACAATGTAGCCCCACTGGTACCGGGAAAGGTGAACACGGTCCCGCATAATGATGTCGTACGTCGTGACAACAACAGGGAAGGATGAAAGCGGCTCCGGCTCTTTTTCCTCTTCCTCAGACTCGTCCTCGACAACCGCCGCCTTCGCCGTTCTTTTGAGTTTACGGCCTGACCGAGACTTCCGTGGCGCTTTCTTCTTGGTCTTCGCCTTCTCCTCGTCCGTTTTGTGGATTTCTGTGAGGGACATCACGGTGCGTCTTAACTCTGCTCGCTCCTCTGGGGTGCCGTGGTACATGCACACAGGGATCTAAAGAAACGTTCAAAATCAAAGCACGCGGATGATGCAAGAGACTTACAGACGGCGCGAACTTTTCGTACTCTGCTATCCAGTTGTGCAAAACGCTAAGCGGACAAACGATGAGGAATGGACGACTGTTGTTGCGCTCTCGAAGGTACGCGCTGAACGCGATGGTTTGTAGCGTCTGCCGAGTCATGGTCAATCACGAGTGCTACGCCCCACGGGTATCAGACCGCACCTTTCCTAGACCCATTTCGTCGGCTGTAAAGCAAGTTTAAAAAAGGGAGAATAGTCGGATACAGTTCAAGACTTACCAAGAATGCCAGAGATGCCGTTCTGGTCGAGTGACACCATCCACTGAAGGCCCTCCAGCTGGTATGGCTTCAGGGTGGCGCCAGTAATAAGGCGAGGTTGCTGGAACACAGTCTCCTCGGCGGTTTTCTCGTCAGAATCCTCCTGAGCGACGGCCTTGCCATTCGTGGTTTTCTTCAACTTCTTCTTGCCGCCTCCCTGGTCGGCTGCCCCTCGAGAGCGTTTACTGCCAACTTTGCTTCGTTGCTGCTCCTGTATTTGCTTCTGCCTCAGTTTATCTTGTTCCAGGCGATCGTGTAGGATTTGCGAATATATCTTCGACTTCTCTAGCACCTTCCTCAACTTGGCGAGTCTTCGTTCCAGGTCCTGTGCATGAAGGTGAACAAACAGGCAGCCGGCGTGGACGATAGGCTTACCATGTTAGTAGCGTCCTCGTAATCGGATTCCTGGGTTCCATTAGTCTTCAACTCCAATGGTATTGCAATTATCGACTTACCGCCGGCTCCTCGCTCGGTGCGCGACTGCTACCGGCACACTCGGACAACGGGTTGGCTGGCGGTGACGACGCTGTGGTGCTGGGTGCTCGCGACGTCGAAGCATCCTTTTCTTCGTCGAAAAGGAGTGTCGGCGGTGACGACGCGATGGAACTCGGCATGCTGGGACTAGCGCTGGATATTAATGTGAGTGTAAACAGGGAGCGCGCCAAACCACAAATTGTGTCGTTGCTTTCAGGCTCCGCTACAAACGCGAGCAAGCCTGCCCTAAAGTCCTACACGTGAGCTTATGGGCGCTAATTGGAAGCGTGCCACAAACTAGCCAAGATCTGCGTGTCTTCCGGGGATTTCCAATTAACAAGTTTAGGAATAGAGACCTGGGTCTCCTCATACTCATATCTGTCGACAAAAATCTTCCGCGCACGCGCTGCTTCATTACAATATACGCAGCAGCAGGGTGTGTCTACTCTGAAGCGGGAGACTTCTTTTCGCTCCAAGATTCGGGGAGCTCGCAGGCGGAGGAGCAGCTGAATCTTAACTCTGTCATCTATAGGCTGCTAGGTAAATCTTGGCTTGGATAGAGAACCAACGACCACTGTTGCCGCTATCGATCGGCGCCTCCGTTACCCCCGCATTCTTTGTTCTCGACTGGGTGGCCCTCTCACTCTATGTCCTGTGCTTAGTTTCCTCTTCAAGTCCACGGAAAAGAGTGGACTGAGATTGCGCCAACAGATCCACCGTTATCCTTCAGGTTGATGCAGTCGACATCATGCTTGCAGCCTGTGGTTGCGACCTAGTCCATTCCACCGTTCCCGGTCTCATGAACTGTTCTCTACGCAGTGCTTCTGATAGACGCACTTGCGCTCCTGACACAGAGAGATATTTGGGAAGGATGGAAAAGATCAATATCCACAGCGCTCAATTTCCATGGACGTTAGAGCCAAGTCAATATAACTCAGGGGTAGAACCCGACGGGGCTATTTGTACATGTTAGCTCAAGAAGGTCTTGGAGGTTCGGTTCATCGCCACCCGCGCTTCCTGAGCTTTCTTCCTGCTTCCACCAACTCCTCAGCATATCTCTTCCAAATGTCCTACTTCCTACCTCACCTACCCTCAGGATGGCACGTCGACGAAGCCATCAAATCTGAAGAAGATCGCGTCGTCGTTATCCGCTTCGGACATGACTGGGATTCACAATGCATGACCATGGACGAAACGCTGTATGGAATCTCAGAGAAGGTCCAGAACTTTGCTGTTATCTATCTCGTCGACATCACAGAAGTCCCTGACTTCAATAAGGTGAGGATACCGTTTCTCTTCTCAGAGGGCTATGGACGATCTCAACGTTTCGATAGATGTATGAATTGTACGATCCTTGCACTGTGATGTTCTTCTACCGGTATGCTGGGACGTTTTTATCATCGAGAAGCGGCGAACTGAAGAGTCTGTTTCCAGGAATAAACATATTATGATTGACTTGGGAACCGGTAACAACAACAAGATGTACGTGTGGCTCCATTCTCTGCGTCGTTGTGGAAGTTACTCACGGCGATTTGTGTGGACAGTAACTGGGCGATGGATAACAAGCAAGAGGTCAGTAACTCCTGTTCGAGGCAATTATACCGGTCCTTAAACCTCTGCAGATGATCGATATCATCGAAACAGTATACCGAGGAGCATCCAAGGGCCGTGGTCTCGTCGTTTCTCCCAAAGGTAGGTCATCCCTCTCTGGTCTGACGATTGCGCCGCTCACGCCCATCTACAGATTATTCGACACGATACAGGTACTAAGAAGTACTCTTTGGGTGGACGTCTAGATTCCGATGAGCGTTACGTCGTAAGTTTGGAATTGTGACTTGAAGCGAGTGGTGTCTGCTTTGTTGTACATTAGCTCGTCGAACGCTGTCCTTTTATTCAACCTCGAGTTTTCGACGAATTCCCTTCGACACAGCAATGCCACTGCGTTGTGGTGGCATGTCTGTAATGGACCATCGTTATTCGAATCTGTTGGAATACCATTGGAGCCTCCCGCCACTCATACTTCTGTATGCCGTCCTCTCCGGGAATGCAAACGAATGTACCGAACCTGGGGCTGCCATTATTTGGCTACTCCCATTTGGCAAAGGACCCACCTGCAGTGCCTTGATATTGTTGCTATTCAGAGCTGTCCCCCAGGCCATCGTGATTCTTTTCGATCGACTACATACTCGTTATACGGACTGGGAATTGGATCGGTAATTTTGTTTGGCAAACCATGGCCACCCATTAGGGACTCGGTCCTTGGTTTGGCGGTGGACTGTGGTGGAAATCAGTGGAATCTGGCGAAGGTGAACAGGCGCGCTATTACTTTGCATGGCTGACGTCATGTCGTCTCGACTCGTCGACGGAAGCAAATTGCTGATTGGGGTCGGCGCTTCTGAATCTGACGGTGACAGCTTCTGACTCATATTGCCTGTATCCCTCGAATACGGCTCCCTGGAACCCTCGACATTTATATGTCGTTCAAGGAACAGCGATGTCGAGGACGCAGTAAACCGTCTTTGCACTAGGTAGAGTCGACTACGAGTGGTACATTCAACAGCCCACAGACAAAAAACCTAAAAGGCTAAAGCCTTAGCTTGCCTTTGAATTTTGATTCAGTTGTCTAGCGGTACGCGCACGTGATAGGGTGATTCCCCGCTTTTCCACAAATGACCGCGACGCGACTTTCTTTCAGCTCAACTGCCCTTTCTTCCTTTCCACCATCTGTTCTGTCCTTTGATGGTAATTTCTTGACGTTCCCCGGAGGCTGCCTTGCGCGAGCCTGCAACTGTTGCAGGGCGACTCAGACACCCAGAAGTGTAGCGATCCGGAAAAACTGACCAGGGCGAGTACCAGAACGACATGGATTCTTTCAAGGCATGTCGCAGACAAGGCCTCTGACGTTTCTCACCTTTTCATGTCTTTATTCTTTTCCTCACCGAGACAGTTTCGATATACACTGCATACCAGTTCCTTTGAAGCAGCGACAAAGGGCAGGAATGCGGACATCGAAGTCCAATGTTCACATTTGGGAACGGTCGGTGACCTCCGCTTCTGCCTTCACATAAAACTCAGACTATTGACTTAGAGGCAAAGATAAATGCCTGGGCGAGCTCCCAGTTCCGCAAATGTGTGCCCCGCCATCACATTCGGCCCAAGTGAGTGCGCACGCCTGGCCAACGTTCTGATTTCTGTCATACAATGGACGACCGTGCGCATTCACCTTGTCCTGGCATCATTCGCCGATATTATGGATCTGCTCAACCAAACTGGGCCCCCCGAGGTGGACTTGCTTTGTCTGGCGGGGCTGGGAAACTTGAATGAAAGATGGCCTTAAATGGGGATGGCTAACATCAAAGATTATCTCGCAACTCGTTGACATCTAGACACTTTATTCTTCCGCGACGAGACTCCGGCGATTTGCGAAGAAATATACACGGCGCCAGGAGGGAGAAAGTTATATTTTTGGAGCTCGAGATTCGTGAAGGGACAGGGGAAAGTGGAGGCCCAAGAAGCCCGTAAGTCCTTCAATCTATTTTGGCGCTTCACCGGGTTCCACTGATCTCCGATAGAGGCTGTCTACTTTGGCCCTCAGGGCACCGCGTGCGAGATCCTTGATCACCCAGACACGGGGTTCTTCTGATATGCTGGCTCCATTAAGACACCTCGAGTAAGGAGACCAACGAAGCCGGCAGTGGAGGAAAGAACGAATGATGGTTGCAGAAAGGTAATCTCGTTTAGCAGTGCAAGAGAAACACTTCCATCGAAGTTGCCATGGGTAGAGGACTTGGAAAGGAGACAGGACGCAAGGCGATGAATCGCGGCGCTATTCCTCGCCGGCAACTTCCTGATGCTGACATAAGGGGCTTGCATGATGGACGGCGACGCGAAAAGGGTGAGAATCGAACTCGACAGCTTTCCATCTTTTTCGCCGACAGCCTGGACATCTTCCTTCTCTCGCAACACTCACGACGAAGACTATAGAGACGCTGACGATCCACAGACGACCCCCCGTTGCCCTCACCAAAATCCACAAACTTCCCGCGACTCTGGACCTATTTGCCACATCACGTTCCTTTCGCTCGTATCGTTCATCCTAATACCTGGTGGGGAACCCCAATTCAGACGTAGAACGCAGCAATCGACTTGTTTCCGTCTCGTCTGAACTTGGTTATCAACTACCTCGTCAAATACCAAACATTCAAGATACCAAGCCATTTAATATACCTCTAACACACAACCCAATGCCTGCTGCACCTAAATCCGGACCAGCGCTCTTCCTGGGGATCGAGCTGGCGACAGACCAGCTACGGGCTTCAATCGTCGACGAAAGTCTCGAACTTGTTGGGGTGGAAGCTGTCGATTTTGATTCAGAATTACCAGAGTATCAGTGCGTCCATCATCATCCATGCACTCGTTCCCAGCTGATCTTGCTGTCGATCACCTCAGAACTCATGGAGGCATCTTTACGACCCCAGGCGAGGCCTACACAACACCTGTGGAAATGTGGATCAAAGGCTTCGGTGCGTCGCTTTACACCTGCGCGTTCGAACGGAACCAAATTTTTTGGGTTTTCTCGGCGTTCTATTTATTTTTGACTTTGACTAATTTGGTATTCCTTCCGATCGACGGATCACGTGATCATCAGATTTACTCCTCGAGAAACTACACCGAAATCACGACCTTACAAGAATCAAAGCCATTGGAGGTGCTGCCCAAGTAAGACTACATGTACTGAGTCCTTGACCCTTGCTGAAGCTCGCCCCAGCACGCCCTTGTCTGGTGGAAATCGACGACAATCCCTTCACTATCATCATTGGATCCACACACACCCTTCCATCAACATTTCCCCGCATCCAGCTTTTCCCTCCCGAATACCCCAACAGCATCAGATACGTCGTCCCACAGCCATGCTCTGGCCATTGAAAGTCTCCTGGGGGGACCTGACCATATGGCATCCCGCGTCGGCATGTCGGCCACCGCCTCGATGGTGTCCGCACAGCTGATGCGCGTTCGAGAAAGTTGGCCAGTGGAGGTCTGGGGTAGGACTGGTCGAGTACAACTTGCCAGTGCCTTCATTGGAAGTCTTATCACGGGCAAGTGGATGGCGATGAGCGAGTCGGAGGCATGTGCTACGGGCATGTGGGTCCACGGGGCAAACCCAAACAACACACACAGTTCGAACCAAGGATACTGGGATGAAGATATTTTGGAAATCGTAGCAGGGAGCCGAGAAGACGGAAGGCGTGTACGAGGCTGGCTCGGCGAGGTCGACACGACTGGCGGAGCCAGACGTGTTGGCAATGTCTCGCGATACCTCGTCGAACGGTACGGCTTCGATCCCGGTACGCCTTTTCTTTCTCTTGGTTATCACCTTCACCTCACCGTCCTTTAGATACCATCGTTTCATCATTTACTTCGGACTATCTATCAACATATCTCTCGCTCTGTCCTTCCCCTAATGATGCCGTCCTCGAATTTGGACCTATGGATACCTTACTCACACCAGCGCAGCATTATATCCCTACACGCCTTTATAATCTATTCCCTCACCCCGCTCAAGAGGCGGGCGAAAAACGAAGATACATTGCCGCCCTTTCCAGCAGGTATTTCCATCTTAGTCTTTACTCAATCTTTCGTTCTCAACGTCACTAGGAACGGCGATGTCCCTCGCGCCCTCGTTCGCGACATGTATACCAAGAGTTGGAGTGCCTTTGACCGCCTGGTTGCGATTGTTCCCCCTGGTGGATCGATAGGGTAATGTCGCCTTCTCATTATCTGGCCCCCTCGCTGAACGATTTGTACATAGGTTGGACGATAAGCTCTTCAGCTTCTGGCACCTGCAAGGGGACAGCTACCCGTTCTCCCGAGTCAAGGGAATCTATCGGTTCGAGACAGGCATCAAAGTCAACGAATTCCGTGATCTCCGTGCCAACCCTCGATGTCTCCTCGAAAGTCAGCTGCTCTCTTTCCGGGTGAAGTGGTCGCGACTCTTGTCCACAGGCGTCCTGGGCACCAGAAAGTCGGGCCGCAACCAAACACCACCTGTGCCAGCACGATCGGCAGCCACCTTGACGAGCTTGGGGTTGCCTTTCGATCCCTATGATCACACTGTCCTTCCCTCCAGGGTGATCGCCACCGGCGCAGCAGCCAACTTCCCTAGCGTCTCTAACCTCGTGGGGGATATTTTCAATGCCCCCGTCTTTGTCCCCAACACCCAGGTCGATTCCGCCCAGATCTCACCACATAGGAACGCCCCAGCCCAAGGGTACCCCAGCCGTCCTGCTCTTGGCGGTGCTTACGTTGCCCGATGGGTGTGGGGACGGGAATGGGGCATGGGTGGCTTGGCTGTGTTCGAGGACGAGATTCGGCGGTTACTGGGCAAGCGATGGGTCTCGACGGGTGGCATGCCACTGCGAACCAACATCAATGGCCCTCCAAACGTGCCCATGGCCTTGACACCTGGAAGTGGCGCCAACTCCGGTGCGAGCACTCCGTTCGGACACCCTGGTCCTCGATCTACTCTTGGTGCGACTGTATTTGTTGAGGAAGATGAAGACGAGGAGATCGAGAGGGAAAGGAACGGTCGTGCGGGGCAGTCCTTGACACCAGGTCACGCCTATCCCAATGCTGTCTCGTACATGGATGCAGGGTCCTCGCGGTTGAGACCGGCCACGAGCAACGACACGCTTCAGACAAGCACCAGCGTTGGTCAGACATCCACCGCCTTCACCACCCCTGACCTTAGCTTGAGCAACCTCGGCGTCGCTGCCAACGGAACTACTGTCACACCAGCCACACCAACTCCCCTAGCGCCAGTCACCGCCCTTCCGACCTCGGATGCCGAAGCCCAGATCGGCCTTGCCAAGGTGGCAGAATCAGACGTTGATGCATTCTTGACCTACGCTGCCATCGTCCCTGAGTACTGTCGACTAGAGAACATACTGATCAAAGGTATCGTTTAGTTGAATCGGTTCGTGCTTTAACCATTTCGAGTCCTTATCTGCAGTTGCTTCCTGTCTAATACTGTTGTCCTGTCAATTGCTCGTTCTGCTTCTTGTCTAAACATTGTAGTACCTCCACGTCGTCGTCGTTTCAAAAAGTTCATATACACCTCAACTTCTTATCTATCTATAACACGCATCATTGTTATTACGTCGTTTTGTGCTGTCCATTGTCTTTCCATTCTCAAGTTCTGTTTTTGTCGCCTTGGGGTTTTTACACTTACTAGTCGCTGTTTCGCATCTGGGCCCAAGGCCATGGTGCAAATTCGCAAAAAAGTTTCTTTCTTATGTACTTTTGTTGCTTTCGTCGTTGCTATCAATTATGGTCAAGCACCGCTGTACGGTCTATGTGCTGCACATTGTCAAGGATTTCTCGGTCATGCCGGTGTATGGTTTCGTTATCGGACCTCGGATGTCATGTCAGCCTCCTCAAGCTCCCCAGTTGGCTTCTGGATTTCGGCGAAGAAATGAGTGTCATTCAGGGGTGGGTAAGTCTGCCATTGGATAATCCATTTTGCTCCAACGACCATATTGATTGGCCTTCGCTCTTTCACAGGTTCCTTCAAACAACTGCCAAATCAGAGCTCGTCCGAGGAGCCCCCGGCTTTGCCTCTGGAACTAAATCCGCTCTACGATAGCTAATAGAGACACCCCTGGTTCTATTCGTGATCTTCTACTCAGCGATGCATCTAAAATAGAACATGTGAGTGGTGGCGTTGACTGGGTTTCTATTGCTCAACAGCGATTGAAACGCGTGCTTTCAGGTACCCGCCGGTATTAATTTACGTTGATTTGCGGCGGGAGAGGGCGCGTCAATTGCGCAATGTGATTTGTTCTAGCCTCCTGGGGCGCGACGATCCTCGATGGCTCAGGTCTGCATTAATGTGGACCCAGCCCCACCAGAACGCTGACAACGCTTCTACTCTTCGCCTTGCTTTATTTTGGTTCAAGAAGTTGATGAACTGCTCTGCAACATCGTTCTGAGAGGATTCGTCCCACAGGACTTACGTTCAGCCAAACATCCCTTTGAGGAACAGGGACTCTTCGCCCGGTCAGCTGCTCTACTGTATTGGAGTACGGGAGGCTGCGCGCCGCCCGATAAGCAGTGGCATACACGAGTTATCCACTTCGTTTGACAGATACGCTTCGCTCGTTTGGTTGATTGGTAACCTCATGCCTTTTGAATACGGATTGGTGACCTAACAGGGACTTCTGGTATCCCTCTTGGAATATCATCTGACTGCACAGAGGGATCCGTATCTTGTCTTTGTCCACTACTGGAAGTGGTTCTCCGGGTTTCGTCGGCGTTTTCTCATCATGGAAGTGGTGGACTACTGGCATAAAAACCAGCACCGTTGGACTGGAGGGGCTCCGCAGAGCTAGTTCTAGTTCTATCCTCTCCTAGTATCTTAACAAATAGTCGCCTTACGCCATGGGTCATCCTGAAGAAGTCGATATCATTGTTGCAGGTGGAGGCCCAGCCGGTAGGGATGCCTCATCTGTACGACTATGAAAAACACTAACGGAATCTCAGGCTGTGTTGTCGCCGGCCGCTTGGCCTACGCCGACCCCAACCTCAAGGTCATGCTGATCGAAGGTTCGCATTGCTCTCTGATTGTTCAGTCAGAAGTGAGGCTGAATATACTTGGCTCCAGCTGGAGCCAATAATCGTGATGACCCTTGGGTCTACAGGTCGGTCCGTCCCTGCTCGACCATTCCAGCGACGTTGACTTGTTTCTCCAAAAGGCCAGGAATCTATGTCCGCAATATGCAGCAGAATGGGGTGTAAGCTGGTATCTTCAAGAGAAGGCAGATAGACGACTGACCAGTTCTTTCAGGAACGACAAGGCTACGTTCTATACTGACACTAAGGAATCGTCGTACCTCCGTGGTCGAAGGAGCATTGTTCCGTGCGTTATCCGCCTTCGTCGACTCTGAGGGTGCTTGACTGACGGCTTTTCAGATGTGCCAACATTCTGGGTATGTCTTTACCTCCTCATTGAATATCACACTAAAACCAGCCCTGATAAAGGTGGAGGCAGTAGGTAAGCGTGTTTATGTGTAGTCCGTCCTACCCGACGATTGACCCCACCCTTCTCCACAGCATTAATTTCCAGGTATGTTCCCTTATATCCCATTCTCCTCCAGAAGACTAATGCGATGAGGCACACAGATGTACACCAGGGTAAGCCATGCGTCCCTTGTTCCCCCTCTTCATCCACTTATCTTGACGCCAGGCTTCTGCTTCCGATTGGGGTAAGTCACATCACTTCCGCGGCGTTGTCAATTTGGGAATGACCCTTTCCTTCTTTAGACGACTTCAAAACTCCGGGATGGACTGCGAAAGGTCGGTGTACGGTGCTTGCATTTTCGCTCTCATATGACTGAAGGGTGTTATGGTGCTAGACCTCCTTCCTTTGATGAAGCGTGTACGCCGTTCGAATATGTTTCTCGATGTTGTATTGATTTCTTGCTAGCTCGAGAATTATCAGAAGCCGACTAACAACGATAGGCATGGATATGATGGACCTATTGCTATCAGTAATGGTGGAACTATCACTGCCCTCGCGCAGGACTTTATTAGGGCGTCGGATGCTTTGGGTATCCCGTTCAGCGGTGCGTCCCTTTCCGTAATTTTACTCGCCTTATCTCACACGTTTCAGACGATATTCAGGATCTGGATACCAGCCACGCCTCGGAGATCTGGGCTAAGTATATCAATCGTCACACCGGAAGGCGTAGCGATGCAGCCACTGGCGAGTCATACTATCACCCATCCTACACACGTGCTGACCCAAGCCATAGCCTACGTCCACAGCGTCATGGACGTCCAGAGCAACCTCTACCTCCGCACTAACGCCAAAGTCAATCGCGTTATCTTTGAAGGCAACAAGGCTGTGGGCGTTGCATATGTTCCCGCTCGCAACAGGGCCAATGGAGGAAAGCTCCTCGAGACCATCGTCAAGGCGCGCAAGATGGTCGTTCTGAGCAGTGGAACTTTGGGAACGCCGCAGATTCTTGAGAGGTCTGGTGTTGGAGCTGCGCCGTTGTTGAAGCAGTTGGATATTAAGGTTGTTAGTGATCTTCCTGGTGTTGGGTATGTTTTGAGCTTGAAAGGATTGTGGGTGTGATGTTGACTTGTTATATCTATTACAGAGAGGAATATCAAGACCACTACACCACGCTCAGTCGTATGTCCTCGGCTGCGATTTTTGGTCAGTGACAATAGGCTGATGTCATCGACAGTCTACCGCGTCTCGAATGAGAGTGTCACTGCCGATGACTTCCTTCGTGGTGATCCAGAGGTTCAGAAGGAGGTAGGGCTCCGAGCCTTAACGCGAACTCGACTGACTGGAGTACCCTATAGCTGTTCGCCGAATGGGAGACGAGCCCAGAGAAAGCCAGACTTTCATCCAACTTCATCGATGCAGGCTTCAAGGTACGAGGGTTGCGTCTCTCTAGTATTTCGTTTGGTCGCTGAGGAAGTGGAATGACTTCTGCTAGATCCGTCCTACTGAGGAAGAGCTCAAGGAAATGGGTCCCGAATTCAACGCACTCTGGAACAGGTATTTCAAGGATAAGCCGGACAAGCCTGTGATGTTTGGATCCATCGTCTCGGGTGGTATGTGTTACGCTGCTCTAGGAAATCATTCGTTGCTCACTACCCCACACTCCGATAATAGCTTATGCCGATCATACCTTGCTTCCTCCCGGGAAGTATATTACCATGTGAGTTCTTATCCGCGATTGCTAGCCAGGACATTTCTGACTGTGCCCCACGATATGAAGGTTCCAATACCTCGAGTATCCCGCTAGTCGTGGAAAGGTAGGCTGCTGCTCCAATATACCAGCCACCCCCTTCCCCTGAACATACGTCTCGGCCAGATTCACATCAAATCCCCAAACCCCTACGTCGAGCCCTTCTTCGACAGCGGCTTCATGAACAACAAGGCCGACTTTGCGCCTATCCGATGGAGCTACAAGAAGACTCGTGAAGTCGCTCGGCGGATGGACGGTACGCTGCCACGCCTTGACCTGGAATAGGACAGCCGTCGCCTCTGACTGGGTGTATTGTCTAGCCTTCCGCGGTGAATTGACCTCCCACCATCCTCGCTTCCACCCTGCTTCTCCAGCGGCTTGCAAGGACATCGATATCCAGACTGCGAAGGAGATTCTTCCCAACGGCTTGACTGTGGGTATTCATATGGGTACTTGGCACAAGTACGTGATGGTGACCCTATGAAAGAGAGCGGGAGCTGACCCAACTTGCCAATGTAGACCCGGCGATCAGTACGACGCTAAGAAGGTCCATGATGAGATCAAGTACAGCAAGGAAGATGACCAGGCCATCGACGACTGGATTGCTGACCACGTCGAGACTACATGGCACAGTTTGGGTGCGTACTTCCCATGGCTGAATCATGATCATATTGCTGGATGCTGATCCTTGTTCAGGTACTTGCGGTAAGGATTCTCCCTCCCCACGCGCTGCACAAACAGGGATACTGACAATTGCGATGATGCGTAGCCATGAAACCTCGTGAGGAAGGTGGTGTCGTTGACGGTCGTCTCAACGTCTTCGGTACGCAGAACTTGAAGGTTGTCGATTTGAGTATCTGCCCGGTAGGCCATTTCCTGAAAGGACAGCCAGCGAATTGGAGAGTTGACTTTGTCTGCAGGACAACCTTGGAACCAACACGTACTCCTCCGCTCTCTTGGTTGGCGAGAAGGGTGCAGACCTTATCGCTGAGGACTTGGGTGAGTACCTTCTCGTGACGCGAAGATTTGCTGAGGCTGACGGCGATCGAACGTGACAGGCCTCAAGATCAGGACTCCCCATGCTCCTGTTCCTCATGCCCCCATTCCTACCGGCAAACCCACCACCCAACTTGTCCGCTGAAGCCGCCAATCAGTCATATCTTGAAGCCTTCATACCATGTGTAGCGAATGGTGCAGTGCGCCGATCTTGGGTATCATGATGTCGTGAAGATTGAGAAGAAGAAATCATTGTATCATTATATGTTGAATAAACCTGTCGTTGATTACATTTCGCCACATTCTGTTCCGTGCATTCAGTATTCGAGAGAGTTTTCTGGTAAAGTGTAGCATGCGACGTACCTGTGATCTTGACAGTCAATTTGGGTCGATTGTTGGGACCCGTTGGAACGTTCTCGATTTTTCGCACTGTAAGCATTCCGTCGATGACTTTTCCGAAGACTACGTGCTTGCCGTCCAAGAAGTCGCATTTGGCGGTGGTAATGAAGAACTGGAGGGAGCGTCAGAGCGGGTTGAAAGGATCAAGCGTGGTAGGCATACTTGGCAGCCATTGGTATTGGGGCCTGAGTTTGCCTACGAACAAGATAAGCAAGGATGTAGCGCCAGAGAGATTCTAGGAACGAACCATCGAAAGGAGACCCGGGCCAGTATGCTTCTCGATAAAGTTCTCATCCTTGACATAGATTCAGTAAGGATAAGTGACATGCGACCAAATTCACATACCGCAAACTTGTCTCCGTAGATAGAGAAGGACCCCGTTCCATCACCCTTGATGAAATCTCCGCCTGTGCGTTGGTTAAAGAAGATTCCTGTGAATCGTGGTAGGATATTTGCCTTGACACATAAAGTTTTGGACCCTGCAGTAGGCGTGAGTTGTGATTCGCATCTTCAACTTGAATGGGGTTCCTACACTCTGTAGAATTGTCAGAAGACTAGGTCCAGATTGGAAGATCCACGCGACGCACCGATGGAAAGTTGCCCCTTTGTAGCCTTGTGGTCGTGAATTCACCCTATAGACCAAGTGGTCAGCTTCCTGTTCGCTGCCTTGAGTAATGGGTCGGACCTATGTTCTCCTGTGCATAGCTGTCTAAAGTTCTCTGCAGTCCTAATCTTCATGTCAGTTTCGACTATCTTCAAGATGCACTGGACTTACTTGGGAACAATATCACTGAATAGTTCGAATTTGATGCGTCCTGCCGGTGTTTCACCAATTTGAATGTCCATAAAGACAATCGGACGCGTCGTCGAGGAATTTGAAGACATATTTCGTTCAGATCGCGGTTGCGGAGCTGCAGGAACGGTTCAGCCTTTGGAATGAAGGTCCATCGCCCCACGGAAGCCATTGACCTCTGATGCAATTATGACCAAACAAAGACCAAGAATCAGGGACCTTGGCTCGCACCAGGCATCACCTTCCCGACAAACCCATCGTATCTGTCTCCGGATTTTGCATGAATCTCGCTCGCTTTGGTGCCTTGAAGGCGACTTTATATCTCAATGGTTAACGATAAACCATTACCAGAACCTCCGAGATCAGAAACCAGTCCAATCCGCAGTAATGCGCCGCCAGTCCTAACCACAGACGCTCGTTTCCACCGGGGTCGCCTTCTCAAGCACATCCTTGACGATATACCAGAACAAGGTGTCCAGAGCAAGAAGGAACAATGGATATCGGCTTTCGAAGATGCTCTGGACGAGCTGGGGCAAGCAATGATTAAAGGAGAGTGGCTTTCTGGGCTCCGACTAGGGAGATTAGCCATGGACTCTGCCCGGCAGTCGCGTCTCAAATCGAATCCAGTAGAGCAGAAGCAAGGGGAACCTGAGGCCACGAACGAACAACACGTATTCCCCTCCATCTCTGAGGACCTAAAGCCTTTGGAGCGCCTGCAACAGCTCGTTAACAACCGACCTACCACTGAATCCGGGGATCTTCCTCGGCACTTGGTCGTTTGCGTCTCCCCACATGGTTCACGACGACCGATACCTGAAGAGGACAGCGGGTTTGACATCATCCCAGCCAACATAGACTGCACGTTCACAGAAGGATCCTTCACCTTTCAACCGGATGGCTCCAATGTCCTCGTTGGGTTGCAGGAGTGGGAAGGTGCGTCTTGCGTCTTGTATGTATACCATGAAGATACTGACTTTCCATAGACATCTCTCCCGTGGAAATCGTCGGTGGAACGTTCACGTTCAAGGGACTAACGTCGCCCCGCCAGCATCACACCCTTTCCCGAGCGCTTCGACTCGCAGTGTACATCCAAACGTCTCTCATTCTCGAACAGAGCTTGCTCAAGGACCTGAACGTTCCTCTCACGTACCCCAAAGCTAGGGCCAGGGTGGCGTCGACGTCAACACCCATGAGACAGATGTCTTTGGGCCCGGAACATGACCCCACTACCAGAGCACGCGGCTCCCTCCTGCCTGGCGGATTTCTGGGCCTGTTCTCCCGCAAGTCCATCAGTCGGCTGGCTCGATCCAACACCGTTGCTCGCAGCGACTCCACGGACCCCGAAAGCCAGGGCACATCCCCCACTAGGGAACACTTCATTCGATCCTCCTTTGACCCAGGGTCCGTGTTTCGTCGATTATCCCTACTCGGCGATAGAGGTGCATCGGCTCGGAGAGCTCTGGAGACGGTGGCAGAGAATGACCCTCCTTTTGCGTCAGCTGTCAAACGCATCCAAGCCAGTCGGAGCTGCCTCTCCACATCGTCAGGGGTCGTGTTTGACCCTCCGATGCTCCTCGTCTATTTATCCGAAAAGGAGAAGTTGCATCCCAAGCGTCGTCTGAAGGGAGATGAGAAGGTGGGCTTGGGCAGCATACTTGGATGGGACGGACGGGAAGCTCGAGGAAGGGGGATGTCTGGTATTACAGGTTTCGTCCGCCAGCAGGAAATATCGATTCTATATTCGTCCCACACACCACCTGCGCCGCCAGCGGTAGTTCCACCTGCCGCCGAGGAAAACTCACTCACGACGCCAGCCACGCGTTCCAATCTTCCTCAGTCGGGCTTGAAGCTTTGCGGCAGGCCACATTGGGTAACCTACCAATTCTTTTCGCGAGACCCATCCTCTGACCAGACACTGGGGAACGCCTTGAGCGACTTCATCGCAACAGCCGACCTACCTTGCGAGCGGAGTGGTTGTCCTTACAAGCGAGGTCAACACGAACTGCGCTTGATCCATGGTGGTACCCAGGTTGTTGTCCGGATCGATAGTAGCAAACCGTCAGAGAATCCTGAGGGGATCGAGTCATGGGAAACTTGCGCTGTTTGTCAAGCTTCGACTCCCAGAGGCCCTCTTTCTGACGCTAGTTGGTGCGTACATCCATTGTTGCTGAGGCGACATCTCTGACGAGAAGCAGGCTCTTTTCCTTTGGCAAATTCCTCGAGGTCCTGATCTACTCTCCCTTGGTTCAGAACATCACACCCACCATCTGTCCGCATACCTCGGTTCCTTCAAGGACACTCTCAGACCTCAGGTTTAACATCATCCGGAACTTTGCAACCTCCCAAGGCTCTATATCATTTTCGCTCTCCTCAGTTGAAGATATCTTCGAATTGAGGGTCCCCCGAATACAAATCTCGAAGCTGGCAGAGAGGATATCAAGAACCCCTACCGAATCGAGCGTGACGTCCTTGGAATTACCGTCCACGGAAGACGAGAAGAAGGCCCTTCGTAAAGAGATTCGGCGGTGGTGGGAAGGCGTCTCTGATCACATTGACTCTTTGGTGAGTTACCTTCTCATCTATCATGGCATGCGCTCACAAGACCGTTAATAGGAGGAGATATTATCCGACCCTGACACTCGGCAGAATCCTCGACACAAGTCCCTACCGCGTTTACCCTCCGCTGACGACGCATATGACGTCTTTGAGGGCGACCCATCGTCAGTACCCCTGCCACCCGCCACAGCGGTCACTCCAGCGCCAGTGGTACCAAGTCCACAAGGCGATTACTTTGGCAGCCATATTTCGGAAGCCAAAACGGATGCGACGGGAGAGTCTGTGAGCTCAGGAGGATCAGAGAGCACCGTGACGACGCCCGCTGTGGGTCCCTCCATTCCGCCCAAAGACGATTCGGCGCAGAGGCTTGCGGCTTTACGGCAATACTTACAGCGTCTGGAGCAGTCCCTCTATATCCAGCTTGCCAATACTCCCTTGTCATCTTTGAATGATGTCCGACGGTCATTCCTCTCCGCTGCGAAGGGGACCCAGAAACGGCTTGCGGCATGGCAGAAGAAGCATTTGGGGTCCAAGGTTTCGATGGTTCGTCAGCTAGAAGGGAATGAACCTGAGTGGTGGAAGAAGGGGTGTCACGCTGTTCCTGGAGCTAATATCATCGTTCGTGAAGATGATTGGGGGAGCATAATCGCCTTTACGTTGAGGTCAGTAAGGTATCTGTGTCGAGTTATCTCGTGTCTGATAACCTTCTAGCACGGCGGACTATCACAACGAGCTTACCAACCTTAGTTTTAATCGACCACCCCTGAGAACCTCAGCGTCGGAATCATCTATCCCGAGCAGCACCGGCGCCCCCTCCTCGTTCTTTTCAGTCGCTTCAGGCTACAAGTTCTTCTCGCCTACCATCCAACCAGATCCTGACCAGGACGATGATGCCGCATGGAACGAGCAGGAGTCCTATTCCGCCATCATCACGCGCAAAGAGCACATTCGCGATCCTACCTCAATCTTATCAATTCGCGACGTATTGCGCAAGGCGAACCCTCCCGCTGATTCTGTGTCGGTAAAGAGCGCAACTGCCACCCCCAGTTCTTCCCAGTCTACACCGACCACGCGGGCGAAGCCTGATGTTGGATTGAACATGCAGGCTGTTGGTGGGCAGGTGTTGGCTGGGAATGAGTCGGTAGAGAAGCTCCTGCAGGAACTGGAACATCTACCGACTTCGCGACCGCCATCTCGTCCTCCATCTGTCCTCGAGTCCGACACTCCCTCTCCGAGCCTGACGCCCGTACCAAAAGAAGACCGAGGTTCGACTTCATCTGATTCTACTGGGCAAGAGTCGGATACCACGATCGGGGCCAATGGTAACGCGCAACCTTCGACCTCGACTGACGCGCCGGCTGTACCCCAGAAGGAGCCACCCAAGCCCCCTCCGAAAGACGAACCGCCTGCTCCACCGCCCAAGACACCGCCGACGGCTGCATCGTCCTTCTTCGCCAGTACGTTTGCGTCGACCTTTGGTTCAGCGGTTCGATATGTGATGAGTTCGGCTGAACCGTCGCGGCCGACATCCCCCATTCCTCCCGGGAAGCACCATACACTTCTGAATGCGGACTTTGAGACCATCGACGATCGACCTCATATCAAGTATGATTGGACGATCGGCAAGAGGCTCAAGTTTAGCTGTACGGTGTATTACGCGAAGCAGTTTGATCTTTTGAGGAAGAGGTGTGGGATTGATGATATCTATGTGAAGAGTCTCTCGAGGAGTGCGAATTGGGCTGCTGATGGGGGGAAGAGCAAGTCTAATTTTTGGAAGACGAGTGATGATAGGTTTATTATCAAGACGCTTGTGAATGCGTGGAATGTGGCGGATTTGTATGTGTTTTCTTTTGGTTCATGGTTCATTGGAGAAGAGAGGTGCTGATGATGATTTTCCTTTTGTTTTTCTAGGCAGTTCTTGATTGAGTTGGCACCGGCGTATTTCCGATATATGGATTCCACGGCTAACAAGGCGACCGCTCTGGCGAAAATGTTGGGATTCTATACCATCGAGATTCGGAACCTTGAGACGGGCGCTGTACAGTCTAAAGTTGACTTGCTTGTCATGGAGAACCTGTTCTACGACCAGCAGATTACCAAGACTTTCGATCTGAAGGGTATACAAGGCCGGAAGGTGAAGACTACAAACAAGGCAGGGGGGACGACGAAGACCTTGTTTGATGGGGAGTGGATTGAAGGTGTGTCTTGTGGTTGTTCCTGAATATATGGGGAAGGCTGACAGCGTGGTGTAGATCAACAGCGCACGTTGATGCTCGTCCGGCCCCACTCGAAGCGAGTCCTTCGAGAGGCAATCCGGAGTGATGCCGAGTTCCTTGCAAAGTGCAACATCATGGACTATTCGTATGTTTTGCGATCTGTCTTGGTAGTGTTCTTTTATTGATTTGGTGGCAGGCTCCTTTTGGGCATCGATGAAGGCAAGAAGCAGATTTCTTGTGGGTTGGTGGATACTATAGGTGGGTTGCCGCGATGCCTCTACCCTTTGAATTTCTGACATATCCTCTCTTGAACAACAGGAAGCTACACCTTTGCGAAGACTTTAGAGTACAAGGCGAAGCATCTACAGTCTGGCAAAGACGTCACTGTGATCCCGCCGGCCGATTACCAGGAACGATTTGTCCATGCTTTGGAGGGATATTTTGTTGCTTGTCCAGGTTCGTCGTTTTGATCAACACGCCCAGAGCTTTCTTGACACGTCTACTAGATAAATGGTCTAAACCTATGGACGAGTCGAAGATCATCAGCGACCCTGACCTCCTTCCCAGTGCCCTGTAACGGCAAGAACGAGGGTTATTATGGATTCGCGTACTCCTTTTGTCCTTTTTACCACCTCATGACGTTTTTAAACACGCATTCATGGACTTTCAGCTCTAAACATTTGTAAATTATCCTGCATGTTTCCTGTGTATTCCATGCTCTGTATGTCGCTGTGCTCAGGTCTTTTGTTTGGTACTATGGTTCGTGGCAAACACTGTCCCCTCTCATAAACTCGGCGATCCTGACATCTTCCCCCTCCTCCCAGGTTTTCTTCCTTTTCCCCGAGCTGTATCATTGCTTTCCTGTAACCCGCCCTGACCATAATCAACACAGAATACAAGCGACATGTCGCAGAGCGGTTCTGAGAGCGATTCCAGTTCGTGTATGCGCTGTGGTGACTCTGTATCGGCCGTGTTTGCAGTTTGCTGAGCGTTTCTCCCTTGGGCGATTTAGCTGTTTCGTCCAGGAGAGGTCCAGTGACGGTCTATGAAGAGTTTGAACCAGCGTCGTCGAGTCCTGTGCAAGTCCCAATCTCCAGCAGCCCCGGCGCGCAACAGCACAACTTGTCTTCTTCCCCTGGATCGACTCGCTCGGAATCCTCGATTCGCAGCATAGACTACGCGTATTCACTCTCGAGGTCGACGTCGACGAATTCTGGTGTCTCTGACGTTGCGAAAGCTGAAAATCTGGCGCTTTATGAGCTGGAATGCGAAGCTGCACTCCATCGAGCAGAGTTCTCGAATCTCCTCACTGAACGCCTTCTCCAGGTGCCTGAAAACGTCGACGATCGATTTCAGCGAACTGTGCTTTGGCGTGACGCGACGGAGGCGACGAGTAGCCCACCCCACCCTCAGCAGCCCGAGTATCGACTTATCAAACGGGCCCATTCTATCGCTGAAACAGGTGGATTGACATATACGCCCCGCAAGTTTAGGAAACTGGACAAATCGCAAAAGGCGAGTTTTTATTTGATGCATGTTTTTGTCGCTGGCTGGCTAATCAGGCAAATAGACGCCCATGCCCACGCGCGCTCTCGAGGTTCCAACTGCCCCCGCCTCACCTGCCAAGTCTGGTTCTTGGCGCGGATCTATACCCATCATCGCGCCTCCGCCCATGTACAATCCGCGACTCCCGCTCAATAGTGATACGGAAGCAAAGATTCGCCTTGCCAAGTTTCTCGAGCGGGAAGGGAATGAGCGAAGTCGAGATGGACTCCACCAAGCCCCGCCGTGTTTCGACCCCGATGGCCATTCACCGGCAGTTCCTGCTTCGACTTTGCCAATCTCGGTTGCTGGATGGGAGAAGCGGATCGATCTCGGCCGTTCTCTGAGGGAACGGGCCATAGCTTGGATGGCCACTGTAGGTTTCCTCCTATGTTCGTCTGATGGTAGCCCTGAAAAGTTGTTTTCCAGATCCTTCCAAAACACCCATCTGGCAGGACTCGCCATTCCGATGACGGCGGAACGACATCTCGCGAATCGTCCTTTGCCTCGACTTCGACGACCAACTCTTCCCGTTTGTCCAATCTGTACGATCAGTTATCCTCATGTCCAGAGACTCGATTCCACGCCATTTGGATGTTTCTGCGCTACTTTTTCATCATTTCCGCCAGCGACGATTCGGAGATGAAATGTTGCCATTCGCAGTTCCCTGACAGCCACGAACGTTTAGAGGACGAGACCAGGGAGAAATACGATCCAGACCAGGAATTAATTGTTTGGGATATCGCCTTGGCATGTCTAGCCCTGAGCGTCAAGGTGTGTCTGTCGTTTCGACTGCACGTCTCATCATCGCCCTAACGGCCCTCTCAGTTTCATCGGGATTTCTTGATCCCTTTGTATCCAATTCAATCCAGCGAGTTCTTGGAGTTGGCTCGCCATGACATAAACTATGAAGAATTCGAGGTGCTGATTCGATGTGGACATTCGTGGAAGGTTTGGCGATCAGCCCTGACATTTACTCTATGCATAGACCGCCCAAAGAGATGTGCTCGCCGCGCTCTCCCACTCTGTCGGTGTCAGTCCTCAGCCTATTCTTGACGAGTTATGGCGTGCTTTGTCTTCATTGCGTGAGTTGCTCGATTTTGAGGGCGGGTGGAATGGGTTGCAAAAAGAAGTGTGGCTTCGGCTCTACGACATCATATATGGTTCGTACTTGCCTTTGCGGGACTAATGTGTTCTCACCAACGTCTTCGATCCATACAGCTGCAGACATTCTCAAGTTTCCTCAATCGTGTTTGGTTGGGACTGCGTTGATCGATGCATTGCCAACGTTCTTAGCGGGAAGGTACGAGTATGAAGCCCCGTGGCATTGCAAGGCGATCAGGAAGCAGGGGTGCCGACCTTCTGACCGTGCAGGAGGGAGAAGGGAGAGGTTCTTGAAGCGAGCAACGGTTGACTGTGAGGGTGTAATTTTGGATGTCCAGGCGGCGTTGGGTCTCACCAATGTGAGTGCTTTCAGTTGCTTTTTTGGGAAATGTCCGAGTCGATGCTGAAATGGTCAGGCCCAACTTTCCGAGTGCCAGGCGTGGTGGAGAACGTCTGCTTGATTAGTCGGCACCAGAACGTTCTACTTTGTCAGAGACCTTGCAATGAACATTGTGACGAGTAATATGCTATGATATCAGCATGCTAATACGAGCGCCAATTCCGTCATCGAGTCATTGCGCCAAAGCAGCGAGGGTAAGTACTCGGAGAAGCCGGCCTACTTCCACCAACCATGCCGAGTTTCACCTCGGGTTTGAAGAAGAATACGGTATGTGCAAGGTTGTCTGTCGAGAAAGGACGAAGAGGACCAGGGGAAGGGAAGGTGTGGGGGACGCACGGACTTTGCACCGGCATAGGGTTATGCCGAGCAAAGTCAAAACGGGGAGTGGCTATGAATCACGCAGGGCGTCATGGGTTGACTCGTTGACTCGCACTGGCAGTTGTCGTTGGGATAAACATAGATGGAGGAAGGTGTTCGCATTTCGCCAATTGGTAGCTCGGCAGGATCATGTATCCCAAAGGGCTTGTTGCACAGGAAGAAGGAAACCTTCGCTGGTAGGGAACGCGGCTTCAATTATTGCATCAAACGTTGCTCATTTTATGCCCTAAGCACGAGACGTCCAGGTATAGGATGATGAAACAATGAAAGGTGTCCACGTTTCTATTGAAGATGGGGTGCAGAAACGTTTTTAGAGGACTGGTAGGGAACGAGATGGCGAAAAACGTAAAGAAGAAAAACGAATGTCAATTCGGGCGACAAAACGAGGGTGGCCGGAGTCACTTGATTGCCAAGGCGTAGATTGAGTTGTCTTGGCGGTTATTCTCCTATTCCGGAGCTTAGACATTTGAGCTGGATTTTTACCCCAACCTTGGAACATGCTCCGGATCGTTGTGTAGCAAATGATGATTCATGATGTCGAGACTTTCTACCCTGCGACCGTCTGTTTATTTATAAGTTCCAGAAATGGTTCTCGCTAGCATTCTTTCTTCCATTCTCCCGCCTTCCGTCGCGACAACGCGTCGACAATGCTCGTCATTCCACCAGAACTTGTAGAGCTCATCGTTGGCTTCATCTCGAGCCGCTCGACCCTCAGGGCATGCGCCCTTGTAGGGCCCGACTTTCTTTACCCCTGTCAGCAACGCCTCTTTACCGAGGTCGTGCTCGCACCTCCTAAACGCCGGGGAACTCGACCAACAAAGGCAACCCCAGCGCAACGCTTCCTCGACGCCCTCAACTCATCACCGCACCTCGCCTCCTTCGTGCGCTCGCTCATCATCGAATGCGAAGACTCAATAGAAGAGCAACCATGGTTGTATAACGACACGGCGCTTCAACATATTCTTCCCCGCCTGGACCGCTTAGCAAAGATCTCGGTCAATGGCAAGGTGAAGCCCGGGGACGAGGCCGCGCCTACCAAGGCCAACCTATCGTGGTCGTCGCTGTCGTTGACGCTGCGGTCTGCGCTGACCTCGGTCATGCGCTCTGGGTCTGTTATAGATCTAGAGCTCGGTGGCTTCAGCCGGATACCCGTGTCCTCCGTCATCCATTCGTGTTCGCAGCTCAAGAAGCTGTCGTTGCTGCCTTTGTACCTCGTCGATGAGGGCGATGGTGGGGAGCAGGACTCGGATGCCGCACCATCGCCGCCGGAGCTCCTCGATGTTGAGGATATCACTATCAAGCAGAGTTCGGTCGCTCTGCGTCGTACGACGGATTGGCTGCTTCGACCTAATTATGGGCCCGACATTCGTCAAGTGCAGCGGTTGCATTTTACGGTTATGAATACCGAGGACCACAGCTATATTGCGCAAATCGTTGAAGCCTCTGCGCCCTCCCTCAAAGAGCTCGAGCTCTCCCCTGGTACCGACAGTACGTCTCTTTCTTGTCTTGACGTAAAATAATAGCGCATGGTCTAACCATTTGATGGTATAGTCGCTTTTGTCCGGCACCTCCTCCGCTCCTCGTCACCAGTCGGACCACGCACCTCGCCCATCACCCTCTCCAATCTCAACCACCTCCGCTCTCTCAAAATCAACACCGAAATCAAAATGTACAAGCTCAACAACAACCGGTACTCTGACCCTTTACCATGGATCGTCTCACTCCTCTCCACCATCCCGCACGACAACGAGTTTGCGACGCTCGAGATCTGCTTGGGTCTGCACGTCAACAAGCAGATCCTCGAGAGCATTTCGTGGATCAAGTTGGTTAATGCGGTGACGTCGGAGGAGAGGTTCCCGAGGTTTGAGAGGTTGGTGCTTACCCTGTCGAGGTTGGCCACCAAGGAGAAGGTCGAGGTGGACTCGCAGGAGCAGAAGGAGCAGCAGGTGTTGCAGCCTTGGGTCAAGGAGGTTCTGGAGGGCAATAGCCAGTTGGGCTTCCTCCGTAAGAAGGGTTTGTTGACTCTTCAGCTTTGAACAAAACAAAAAAGTATCGCGCCACCACTGCGACCTCTCTCTAAAGCCCCTCTTTCTAATATTTTCTTCTTTCAAAAAGTTCGATCTTCGCCCGCCTATTTGCTCTTTTAATTAACTCGATTATCAGCTATTAGCGGCCACTACTTATACTGCCCTCGCATTCGCCTTCTTATTTTTTCGCTGGAATTATTTTGGGGATCACTGCAGAAGAACCACGGACTTCAAATTACGTAGACTTTGTGTTTTCTATTATCCTGTATGACTCGACTCCTTCCGGACTCCCTTGGCTAGCTAGTCTTACTTTTTTTCTCAAAAAATTAACCCGAAAAGGCCAACTTTTTTATCGGCCGAGCTTTCGTGCTCTCTTTTTCTCCCCTTGTGTTGTGTGTGTGTGAAGATATTTGAGTCCGTCGTTGAGAGGAAGTCTTGGAAGGTTGGGGAAAGCACCCCGCTTTTCATGTGGCGTTTTGAGTTGGCTTGTGCCGTAGGCAAGGTCCAGGGGACCCTGTCTGGGTGCATGTGGGGCCATGGATGCGTCTGGATGCAGCCCGAGGTGGAGTGCGAACATACCACTGCTAGCTTACTCCTTGCTCCACACAACAGGCCCACTCATGAATCCGACGGACAGCAGACCAGATCTATTACAAGTGTTTTACAATCCACGATTAAAACCAATATAGCAAGGGAGGGGAAGTGTAAGTACAGCAGAAGTATGTAGAAGGGATGTTTCAAGGGTAGGGGTCCAGTCGAAGAAGCTTATGATCAAAGTAGATATATAGGGTGGAGAGGCCCGAGACAAAGAACGAAAAGACGGTCCTGAATGTGGTTATGGTAATAGCACGCTGTGGTATGTCCCAGCAGTGGACAGAACTCGTCGAAAGATATGCAATCGCAGATTTCTCCAACCGAACTACTTGAGCAAAGAAGAGATACTTGAATTCCCGTGACATGGCCTCCACTACCCCCTGCGTGCAAACCCGAACGAAAAGGTCTAATGGCTAGGCAAGCCCATGAAAGCATCCCACTTCCTCATGCACGAATATCCATCATAATCTACCAAAACGCACAACCATCAGCATCCCATCTCACCTCACACCAAACCAAAACCACAACCCAAAAGAAAAAACCACTCACCAAAGCTCTTCTTCTGATCACACGAGCACCTCCCATTCTCCCAATTCTTTCCGAGCTTGGGACAATGCGTATACGGCGCATGCTCGTACCCAATCTCATCGAAAAAGTGGATCTGGTTCTTGTTGAGGAAGATGGCGGCGGCGATGCTGTGCACGGGCGCGTCACCCCAGCGTTCGTAGTAGAACCCACCTTTGGAGTCGAGGTAGTTGAAAAAGTCCATATAGGCGGGGCTGCGCCAGAATTCCATGTCGGCAATTTCAAAGTTGGACCAGACTGTTTACGGGTGTGTGGGTTTAGTTTTAAGTTTAAGGTTAGGAGAAGGAGAGGGAGGGAGGAGAGGGAGAGGGAGAGGAGACGTACAATGGCAGAGGTTGTATTTCTCGCCGTTGCGTTCTGACATGAACCCGAGTGCGTTGTCCTCGGCGACGTATTGAGGGTTTTCCTTCATAAAGTCTGAAGAGGAGGTTTAGAATCGACGGGACGCTGAAACGGGGGTATAGACGAACCTTGGACGTGTCCCCAAAGCGTCGGAATAGTCCTCTCGTACTCGTACAACGTGATTGTGAATCCATAGGTCTTGTTGTGCTCCTGCATGTAGAGGAAGGGATCGTGGTTGATATTGCAGTGGAAGTGGACATCAGGCCTATAACAACGCATCCCATCAGCACTCATCCTAACCTCACAAACCACAACCATGAACATGAACATAAAAATACCCACTCGATACGCCAGTACCACCGGTATTTAAGCATCAACGGGTGGCGGAAGAAGAACCCAGAGTTGAATCGGCACATGTTGCGGTACGAGACGCTACCACCGTAGATAACCTTCTCCTTGACCATCTTCTCGCGGCTGGCTTTGGCTTTCTCTTCGTCGATCCAGTCGGGTTGGTACCAGTGGTCGCGCGGGATCTGGCCAAACTCCATCTTGGCAGCGCTCAGCACGCTCAGTCGCCTGGGATTTCGTTCGTTCGGAAATCAGTCACCGCCCATAAGAAAAAAGGAATCGATTACTCACATCTTGAATTCTTCAGAGAAGGGTTCTTCGTTGAGGAAAACATAAGGATATCGGTGGTACCGGTTGAACCGATCCTCAATCTCCCGCACGCTGCGCACGATGTTGCCCATATCGCTGTTCCGGCACAGAATGACAAACGTCGCGTTGGCCTTCTTGTCCTGCTTCAGGGGTGCGTCGCCAGTCAGGACGTCAGGTCCGTACAGCGTATCGAGGTCGACATGGGGTTTCGGCGCTGGCCCGACGATCTTGTCCTTGAGATGGTCGAGCGCCGTAGCACGTCCGTATGCCTCGTGTGTAAAGGCGAGGAGGTAGTGCAGCGAGATGATTAAGAATAATGCGAGAAGGATGTATCGTGTCGGGGTATTCATCTTGGTTCTATAGAGGGTGTCAAGTCGATGTTTCTATGTCGCGCGCCCGAGGTTTATGGCTGCCAGCAAACCACCTGCTGACCGCTGCTAAATTGCGATTTGTGGTGTGGCGCGTGTCGGCGATCGCGTTGCAATTTTTAAAAGGATGGATTTCCCCGGGAGAAAGTGGGTCCTCGACGCTCTGTGGGCTCCTGGGGCTGTCGAGGAGGGGTCAGAGGACGGTTGGAACGTAACAGGCTCTTGGAGGAGAAAAGGAGAAAATGCGCAGTCTGATATCCGTTCAAGGCTAAAAGACCCCGCTCACGTCAAAACACTGTCTATATTTAGTCCATCGCCCGAACAGGGCCCCTCTCCTGACAACCGTAATCGGTTGTGAACAAGCGATATATTTTAGTTCATGGGATTACTACTCTAGTGGAGTACATTTGGTGTATCGTAAATAGAGGAAGATAAGCTAGGATTAGGGATGGAGAGTGAAACCTGCAGCTCGACAGAGGTGGAGCTCGAAGCACTCGATGGTTCGAGAACACACCGACGACAAAGATGGGAGAGAAAACGAAAATCGAGTCGCCTAACTAAAATCCTAAAGTCGTTATAGTCAGTTGGGGATCGCTGATGTTACGGAGGTGACATACTGTACCGGACACGATCACCCGCAGTTCATTTCGCGGACCAAAAGACCAAAATCCAACTACAAACTAAAAATCCCCGCCTCCCTCCTCCTACTCTGTATCGGATGGGCAATAACAATAGCAAGCCCAAGCCCAATAGCCAACCCAATCGCAACCGAAACCAGCTTCAACGTCGTCCTAAAACCAGAGATGTACGACTCGGTCGAACCGGCTGCTTGTTCCGTTGCGTAGCTGAGGAGACCGCCTCTGCCGAGTCCGGATGGTAGTTGGAATAGGATGCCTGTTACCTGTGGTGGATTAGAGGTGAGTAGGAAGGAAGTATAGGTGGGTGGAGGAGTGAGTGCGCACCATTACTACGAAGGCGTTCCCGGAGAAGACTCGAGCGTATATGTTGGCGACGATCCCGACTGCAAAGGCACTGTAGGATAGATACATCATCAGCGACAAAACACCTCCATGCGCACAGAATGACATACCCAATACACGCAATGATATCACTCTGCCCCTTGAACTTCATACCAGTAAAGTAATTCGTCGTCCATCCAATGCACGCAATCAAGATGAGAACGAGCTATAACCACCAATCCATTAGAATACATTTAACTAAAAAAGAGATGCAACTCACAGTCTCCTTCCGATTCCACGGCGCCTGATTCTTCAAACTCAAGAACGTCGAAAACATCGGAACTGTGAGGAAGGGTATATATCCAAAATCCAATCATCAGCATCCTTCCCTTCAAAAGAATAAAGAAGAGAAAACACTTATCCCAATATTTCGACGGAGTCCGCTGGTACCACGGTCCATTGGGATCATGGGTAGCCGTACACTCGTAGTCCTCCGTCCCATAGACCTTGCTATCGGTCATGATCTCGAAGAGGGAGGCACCCATGGCGAACCCGAACCCGAGGAAGAGGGCGTACATGATGGCGTAGCAGAGCCTCACCGCACCTGAGACGAGGTTCCGCGACATGATCTCGAGCGAGCCGGTGAGGACGATGAAGCCCTATTCCAGAATGAGTAGGCAAGTTCAAGGGAAATGGGAGGAAGACGCACGGGTAGGATCAACACGACTGAACTAGACGCAACGGCCGAGTAGCAGAATTTATGCGTAGCAGCTAGCGCTGCAGCGATGAAACTGAACAGCATCGTCACCGTAATCCTAAACTCACATCAACCTCCCAATCCAAACATGACAGAATAGCTAGACTCACTCGAAAACGTGAACATAAAGTTGATTCCGGACGCTCAAGAATTGGATGACCATCATGAGCGCACCGAGGGGGAAGCATATCAACGCGTCGATGAAACTCCCGCCATAACTGACGGTGCAGATCGCCGACGAGCACATTCCGCCGAACAGGACGATATGCCACCAGCTGTACATCGGTGGACTCTTCATCAGATCGTCCAGTTTGGCAGAGGCTTCCGATACGGATAGTTTATCGTGGATGACCTGTGATTCCTTGCGGTCAGAATGTGGTCAATGAGAGGCGGGTGCAAGAGGCATACCTTCCAGTACAGCCTGAAGGAGTCTATGAGTTTGTTCAGATCCAAGGAGCTGGCTTGTCGTATCATTCGGACGTGGCTCGTCCCCGTGGAGGGGTCGTCGAAGCTGACCAGAGCCACGTCTGGGAGGTAGAGCATACCGAGGTGCACATCGAGTACCCGAGCAGCCGACTGGATCTGCGACGGTAGTCGATGGGTAGGCGAACCAAACATCATCATCGCCCTCGTCAACTTGAGCAGGAACTCTTCCCGTTGGATGATTTGTGCAATGTGTCGAGTGATCTGTGCACCCGGTTATATTATGCTTAAGTGAGATATAGGAGTAAAAACTCACAAAAATCTCAGCCTTCTTCCGTTTCCGCCTCTTCTCCCTCCTCTCAAATTTCTCCGAGGGCCCAGTAGACCCAGCATGCGTAACAGAGCTATTCGTAGACAAGAAGCTCAGCGGCGTCGAGCGTCCGCTCACCGACCCAATACTCCTAATAGACTTGAACGACGGCATCCGTTTGACTTTGGGTCTATCCGGCTTGACTTCATGATGCTGAGGCTGATCGACATGATGATGACTGGGAGGAGATGGCGGTAGGGATTGGAATTTGGGAGGCGGTTCATGGTCGGGTGGTGGCTTGAACCGCTGTAGTTCGATGGCGTTTTCTGATTTGCTGCGGCTGTGGGTTGTGAGTGCTGGTGGGAAGCCGGGTGGGTTCTCGTCGACTGGGGTATATCTAATCCAGACAAAGCTCAATCACTATCCCTATCTCATAGTGAGTATGTCGCTTGCTTACCGTGATAAGGCGTAACCTGAACGATGGATATCTGGTTGGAGTTGGCTGTGGACCGGTGCTGCGATACCGCCTAGGTTTCCGGTCGTTGCGATTAGGGCACCGAAAACGCCGCCTCCGCTCCTGGCTTTGGGATGCCGCTGGACCATGCCCAGCGAAGGAAGGTTGAGGCGGGGGCGTGGAACGCGGGGACGTTTCCGCGACTTGTCGTCGAAGCGGTGAGGCGCTACACAAAATGCGGTTAGCGCGGGCCTAACGGAGAAGGGAGAGGATAATCACTTTCAGCGCCGTCAGGTAGATTGACTTGGGAATCACTCTGCCAACCCTCACTCCATGGTGTAGAGGCACCCGACGAGAAGGCGGACGAGAAGCGAGATTCGTCGTCTGATTCAGGGTGGCCGTAGAGCTGAAGAAGAGTAGAGAGGATACCGCTCCCGTACTCTTCGTCACCTTCGTCCTCATTATCGACGTCCCCTCCATATCTGAACCGGTGTCGATTCTGTTCTATGTCCGTATCGTGGCTGGGTCCCGGAGTTGGTAAGTCCAAAGGGTGCGACCCCTCCCGACGGTGGTGGCCCTTGCGGCTCTTGCGGGACGTCGCGCGAGGCCACATCCTGCGCGCGTGGAGCTGCACCATCCGCTTCGCTTTCTTCCTCGAGTACCATTTGGAACTTTCTTTATTCGATGGGCCGGCTTCCCCGGGGTCTGGCATTGGTGATGGAGGGGAAGACGAGGCGTAGTGCGCGGGGAGTGTCGGTGCGCGGTTCAAATGGGTCATTGAGGACAGGCCGTCCAAGTCTTCGTCCTCCTCATCTCCCTCTTCTTCTTCTTCAAAGTCGTCCTTGTCAAAGTCGCTGAAGGATTCGCCCAGTCCATCCGCCGGTGATCGCGAGGAGTAGTAGTGGACTTTGCTCGTTAGTGGTGTCGCAGCGCTAGGTTTTGGAGTTTCCCGCCGGTGCTTTTCCAGAGCGTCTACCAGGGCGTTAAAGGATTCTGGCTATCATCGATAATGGGGAGATGTTAGTTGTTTTCCGCCCTCCCTTGCAATAGAAAAAAAAAAAAGGCCGACTCACGTCTTGGCCGGCGGGATCCAAAACATGGGCGGCACTGTTGGAGCGTCTGCGTTCGTCCAGCCAGCGGATCCTTCGAGGCGTCCGTGTGCCTGATTTGGGGGAGTGCTGCCCCTCCCCGCTGACCCTTGTTTCATTTGAGGAATTGCTGTCGCCTTTTCCAGTCATTATCGCGAAGCTGGAGACTAGGCCAGAAAGTAGGTTTGGAGGAACTAAACCAGAAAACGGGTCGAAAAGTGCGAATCAAGGAGCCTTCAGCTTCAGTCGAGAGTAGCGATTTGAGAGAGAAATCTCTCTAGACTATGTAATTTGTCTTTGCGACTCAGCTAGTCACTCGCTAGTCACCTGAAGAGATGACATATGCCCTCGATCGACGATCGAAAGAAAGCCTAAGAACCCGGGGGTTGTTGGCCAAGGTGGAGCTAATTGGCAGAGCTTTGGAGACTGTGAGGTGCGTCAGCGGAGAGAGGGTTCGGGATGCCGTTGGGCGATTTTTGCTTCCGTTTGGTTCGCCGAGGATGACGATGGAGTGTGGAGGTACCCGGAAGAAAGATGAGTATTGCTCAGGTTCGATTTCAGGCGTTGTTGAGTAAGCCGTCTGGGTATGAGGCAAGCATATGGGTTGTGTTTTCAAGGTTTGCAGAGAATGAAAACATTGTTTTAGATGGTGAATTCGTGGAAGAGCCCGTCGTAGCAAGACAGAATCCTCATTTGAGGGGTAGTATGGTGCCAGTTTTCTCGCGCGTAGTTTTCATCCATTTTCTTCGAACTTGATTCTTCTGTATTACACTCCTTTGAAGTACAGCCAGATTTGGTCCCGAGAAAAGAAAGAAACCACAAAGGATGTGGAACAGCGGACGAAGAAGACGACGAGGAAAAACTGATCCCACTGCCAACCCGCGGCCCCATGACAGGGGTCGTGGGTAAAATGGCCTGATGGCCCGAGCGGAGCGGGGTTTGAATTCAAGTTAGCGCCCAAGGTTTACAGTTTTCCTGTCCAGCCTCTCTTAAGTCGCCTGCCTGACTCCACTGAGCCCAGGAAGTCTTATATGTGAGAAGAAAGTCAGATCTGGCCCAGTAATTATTCTGGATGGTGCTTAGGTGTTAAGCGCCGAACGCTTTCCAATGTCTGAGGTGCGTAGCGTCAACTCTGATTGCGATTATTTCACCTACCACAATTTTCAGCGAGGGCGGGTCTCGAATTAATCACTAGACTCAACTCCGGGTCTGCCCCCCATTACCGCACCTGAGCGCTAATTGCGGAGCCAACATCATCCCGAAGTCACCAATCATCGCTCATCCCTGGGTGGCACCCTGCTACATACAATACACAGCACTGAGCTTCCGAGGGCTGCTGCGCAGATTTATCTATAGACTGTATAGTCAAAATCGCATGGAGCCAGGAGTTTCGAAACCTGCGAATGGACTACTGTAATCCCGTCGAGCGCCCACAGAGTGGAGCTCCCGAAGATTCTTCCAACAGCGAGCACGAGGTGCGAGTACACATGAGCCTCCTCACCGGTTCTATCGATGGAGATATATCGGTCTATTGTCGATGTCTGACTTGCTAGGAGCTGGCGAAATACCATCTGTCCATTGGTCGAGCTGCGAGCTCTAGTAGGTATGTACTGCGTTGACCAGTGCATCACTGATGAGAACATCGAAGCCGTTCCATTGCCTAGAGAACGAACCGCCAACTATTTTTAGGGGCGCTAATTTTTTTTTTGATGCTCCTCTGATCATGATAGCTACGTGGAGGATACATATATAAAATCCTCGTACTGAGATTCCGTGCACAGTGGACCCAGTCTCTACCGGCGCTCAAGTGGTGGACTTCGGTGCCAGCCCACCAACTACACGATGCTGCCGTTGTTTTCGTCGTCGCCCTCGATGGTGCGGAATGTGTTCGTGGTTTGGATGATGACAGTGCTGCTCTTTGGACTCGGAGGAGTCTCGGTTCAGGCCCATCCTGCTGTTTCGTTCCCTTCAAGCTATCATGGGGTGCTATGTTTTCGGAATGCCCCGTGGCGTTTGGGATGAACATGGAGGTACCGGTGAACCATGGCCTTTTAGACTCAAGAGGTACGCCTGACCCAGTGAAGTCCGAACGCCGCCTTCACCCCGTTCTAACCCGCCAATCTCTGACACAGCACCTTCCGAGTCCGAGTCGTCAGAGGCGTACCGGTACAATCTGTATTTGAATGATACGAATTCGAACTTAGGCCTCCAGCAATCCGATTCCGTAACAAAAAGTCGACTTCTACTGCAACGACACATGGACGAACCTATATGTTTGAACCTTGAGAAGAATTGGGTGCCTTGTGCTTTGTTGGTTGTGTTTATGACGACGTTTTCGATGCTTTGATGCTCTGCATGTTGGAGGTGTGACCAAAATTATTGATACCTGCAGCACTAGACACACGACCCTAATATTTAATACCCTATCGCCTTCTGGGATGGAATAGATGCGCCTCATATATATTATGTATCAACAATAAGCGATATTTCTGTTTTACTATGCGCTTGTCGGATGAGGAGTGGCTGCACTTGGTACAATCAACTCAGCCGTACTTAGTCTGAACAGTTGTCTTCACCGGGAGCCAGCCGAATCTAATCAATCTTAATAGGATTTCTGATCATGACTTTTGCAGTCTGCCGGAATTGAATAATGAATTCGCCGCCTTTGCTGTCAGGCCGAGCCAAACGGACCTGATGAATGTTTCTCAATCCGATACCCTGCTGTACAGAATCGTTATCGCCAGCCCTACCTGGCTCAGACTTGTCACCGGTCTGAGACAATCCATTCAACCTAGAACCCTGCGCAAACTTTCCCCAGGCCAATTACGGCCATGCAGCATCTCCTCCCCTTAAATCAACAAGTGCACCAACTCGATCTCCCGCTCATCGTAAAACAGCGGTGTCTGTCCGAGTAGAGCGTATCCTTGATCAGGCGGGACAGGGTTCTACGAATTCCCTGACTTACGGCCTCTTCAACCCGTCTCCGCTCACTTCCAAATTCAACCCAGGGCGATGCCACTAGTATAGCATCGGTTAGGAGGGGTGAGGCGGCCAAAACGGCCACTACAGGGCACGACGGGGTACGCGGGTTACCTTCATAGCCGTATGCATTGTTTCCGTCAAATATGGAATGGAAGCTGTCGGTACGTCACGAGCGCGACAGTATCCTCGACGCCTTTCAGACATGGGGCATGCTGTGGTTGAGGAGACCAACAGGAGACACACTTCTGACAATGTCGTCTCTGAGTTGCTACTGACAAGAAATAACAGATAATCAACATCTGATATCGATGTCTGCAGATGCAACCAGTTGCCTATCGATGAGGGTTTTCCGGCCGGCGAGGAGTTCGGGTTTGAGGGTGATCAGCGTGCGGTGTGCATTGCAGCGATGACTCACGAATAGAATTCCGGGGATAAAAGGATAAAATTGGGTTCTCATGAGGCCGAATAGGTATTTCCCCGCTTTGGAATTTTGAGCGCCCATGCCTTCGCATGTGAACATTGAAAAGATGGTGAAAACGAGGTCGAGTGGGAGGGCCACGGATAAATCCGAGTCGGGTGCGGGGTTCGAATTTGGACCTGCCGCTGGACGGTTCTAGTCCCTAGGGGCGTCCAACCTCCCTGCCACGATCCACTCTCTTTCCACGACCACAATCTACGGTGATTGTCAGCCCGACCAGTATCAGGATCCCCCAGATCGACGGTGGACGCGCTCGACGTCGGTGGTCTCGCTCAGAGCGCCCATGTCGCAAACGTGCCGAGCGCTGTTGATGATATCAATCAGGCGGCTTGCCCTTGCGAAGGTACCAAGAGCTCTGGGTACGGGCTGGGATACCGTCATCGTCGTCAGAACTGAATCATTAATGAGGCTGTAGCCCTTCAACAAACTCAAGATTAACGTTAATCAATGGACGCTTCCTTCATCGATTAGCTTTCCAAGAGCCCTGTTGGCGAACATATACTCGAAATTGGGTCTGCCGGTGAAATCATGGCTCGAGCTGAAGCGAAATCATGGTAAAACACAAGGCCGCCAAGGTGTCTTTCTTCCCTTGTTGGCTGTGGACCCTTTGGAGCGTGAACAACGGACAACCCTTGGCCATGGAGTCGAAATCCGCCTCGTAGTCTCACCCTGTGGTGAGTGAAGGAAGGAAGGGATGTCGGTGGGTGTGTATGGCAGGTGGACAGCGGTGAGATGCCAAGCCGACCAGGGCGGTGCCAATAGCATCAACAAACGCACTTATTTAGAATGGCAACGAAACGGACGCGGGGTTTCTGCTTCCTTCCTTTTCCCTCTTCCTCTCTCCATTTTCTTTTTTTATCCCAGTCCTTCTCTTCCTCAACAACCCAGTTTTAAAATCTCGTTCGCGCTACTCTAATCATTTATAGGCGACAGACCGCCTGGATCGTGAAACGGCAGCACCCTCTGCCAACATGGACTACCAATATAACAACGCGAACGGGAATGGCGGGGACTACCAGCAAGCAAACTCGTATCAGCCCGACTACCAACAACATGGAGTTCCCTACGCCAATCAATATCCTCCACCATCACCGGTGAGGGGATCGTTCCAAGGCTCTGCAACGAATTCAATGAACGGCCAAACATACGATGAACAGATCCCGCTCAAAGCAGCCAACGAAGGGAGTGGAGGATATCCTTACCCCAGCTCGGCGGCGGCAGGTGCTGGGAGGAAGAAGAAAGGCTGGATATGGCTCGCAGTCATTGCAGCAATCATCGTCATCGCCCTTGCGGTCATCCTGCCCGTCTACTTCACCGTCATCAAGAAGGACGACGCCTCGGATAACTCGGACAGCGACAGCTCGACAGGGACCTCCTCTGCACGACCGTCAGCAAGTGCGTCTGCGTCTCCTGAAACGCCTCAACGCTTGACTGTGGGTTACAATGTCCTGTGCTTCCGACTGAATGCTCACCAGGGTTACACAGCGAGGCGGTGACGGATCGGAGATTACCATGGAGAATGGAACAACCTTCACTTACAGGAATCCTTTCGGTGGTTTCTGTAAGCTTCCTGATTTAGCATCCTTCATTTTCGATCTGACACTTCTTTGCAGGGGTGCAAGACCCAGAGGATCCTTTCAATCTCGACGCTCAATGCAACGACTACACTCCTCCCTTGAACACCACCTGGCGCTGGGGCGTCGACCGCGTCTATGGTGTCAATCTTGGTGGTCTCTTTGTTCTCGAACCATTCATCTCGCCTGAGATCTTCCAACGATATCCCGGGACGGAAGACGAGTACGACCTCACCGCTGCCATGCGTGAGGCCGGTACACTGGATGAAGAGATGGAGGAACACTATAACACCTTCATCGTACGTGTCTCATGTACACCCTCTTCGAGCCAACCTAATTCTGTGACGTTCCGATAGACCGAACAAGATATCGCCGAAATTGCGGGTGCCGGATTGAATTGGCTGCGGGTACCGATAGGTTTCTGGGCAATCGAGACTTACGAGAGCGAGCCTTTCCTTGAGCGAACTTCGTGGAGGTAAGTCTATGATGACCTGTCTTTACAAATTCCCTTTCCCCTGATGGAGCTCGCTAGATACTTCCTTCGTATCGTCGAATGGTGTCGCAAGTACGGATTGAGGATCTACCTCGACCTGCACGCAGCGCCCGGATCTCAAAACGGTCAGTGAAGCCCGCTTGATCGCCCAATTGGGATAGTGATTAACATCGTGATACAGGCCTCAACCACTCTGCTCGACTCCGTTTCCAAAGCTTGCTTCGCAACGACATGGGAATTGCCAACGCAGAGCGAACGATCTACTACCTTCGTGTCTTCGCCCAGTTCATCTCGCAACCTGAGTACCGCAACGTTATCCCCATGCTTGGCCTCGTCAACGAACCAGAGTCGCGTGACACTGGAATGGACACGTTGAAGAGCTGGTACTTGGAAGCCTACAACGTCATCCGCGAAGCCACTGGGTACGGTGAGGGTAATGGACCAGTAAGTATTGATATAGCCGATCTTTGTGGCCTCGCAGATCTGATTCTCATTCCTATCATAGTATCTCGCTGTCGGTGATGGATTCCGATCCGCTTTGGAATGGGAGCCCTTGATGCCTGGCGCTGATAGGTTCATCATGGATATCCACCCCTACGTCGCGTTCGACGAAGGATCCAGGGCAGATCCTTTGGATGTGCCCGCCGCTGACGGTGAGATGGGCGGCGTTTGGCCTACCGTTGCTTGTGAGCGATGGGGAACCTACTTCAACGATACGTAAGTTTATCTTATGCTGTTACATACGTGAGCGGTTCCATGACGCGTGTCACCTTTTGTTTCCGTTTACAGTCGACGAGCTCTTGGCGTTACCGTAGGAGGAGAGTTCTCAGCTGCTGTCAACGACTGTGGCTTCTGGATGCGAGCTGTTGGCATTGATTCTTTCCACCCCCAGTGTGATCTCTACAACGCCTGGGAGGATTGGAGTGAGGACATGGTTCAGGGTCTCTACAACTTTGTCCTTGCCAGTTTCGATGCCATCGGTGATTTCTTCTTCTGGACTTGGAAGGTTGGTAGCATCTCTCCCTCTCACCGATGAACTTTTTCTTACCCAATTTCAGATTGGACCTACCCAAGCAGGCCGTGTCGAAACTCCCATGTGGTCTTACAAGCTCGGTCTCGAAAATGGTTGGATCCCTCGCGACCCCCGCGTCGCACTCGGCAAGTGCGCAGCTCTCGGTGTCGCAATGGCGCCCTTCGACGGTCAATTCCAGCCCCACCAAACGGGTGCCGTCGCGCAGCCCACCATCCCCGCGGACTACGCCGCCACGTACCCCTGGCCTCCTCTCGAGATTGACGGTGCCCAGCTCCCAATTGAGAGCCTGCCGAGGTATACGAGCGTTGGTCCGGCCATTACGCTGCCTGTCCCTACGTATACTGGTGCGCCCGCGGAGATGACGCAGGACGTGGATGGATGGACGAATGATGCTGATACGAGGGGTGCGATTGGGCCTGTTCCTGGGTGCAACTACCCTGATCCTTATGTGGGCACGTACGCTGTGCTGCCTACTGGAGCTGCCTGCGGTGTTGCGGCGTAGAGGAGTTACTGTGGGTGTTGACTAGTTGCCTTCTGGTGCTACATACCCATCTCCTTGCCTCGCTTCGTGCGATTTGTTGGGAGTTGATATGGGGATGCAAAAAGGACTGATTGATAGAGGATTTCGAGGACGTTATTTTGTTTTGCTTTTTTCGTTGGCATGTATGGGGTTCGAGGGTTGCATGTGTTGATGGATATCATATCCTATCATCATCAACCCCGACCCTGGCTCTGCTACTTACCCTGCTGCTTAGTTACACACACACACAGACCGCTGACACTCTTTACTCACATACTTCCACCACACGCCCACTTCCCTTTTCAAATGCTTCTGCTTCTTTTTTCTCGTCACGCTTTGGTGCTCTTAATCTCGGAGTCGTTGGCTACGGGTGATACCCCATCATGTGGTTATTTGTTCCTCGCCTTTGCGTGTGTACATAACATAACATACATACTGCCTGCTACTTTACGTGACGACCTACCCACCTCAAGTACTACTTTATTCGTTACCACGGACCTCTTTTTTTTATACCGGATAGCAACTTCTTTTTTTATTTCGCTTTTTGTTTTTGACTTTATGTCGGACTGTGTATATATATACTCGTATACCTATTACTACTTACCGGACTCTCTTCTTCTCTCCCTCTCCTGCTTGGACTTGTTCTTTGGCTTTTTCGTTGCAAGTTCGTAAAATAATGAATGTGTACTTAGTACTACTAGTAGTTGATTGTGGGCACCTGAAGAATCTTGACCTTGGGAAAGGGGCAGCAAGGTATTGAGGGTCGAGAATCCGAGACGTTGTAGCTACTTGCGGCTCGTTGTGGTTTGCCGTTGCTATATGGGTGATTCACGTATGATTCCGCGTCTTGCATGGTATGTATAGGGAACAGAACGGCGGGGAGGTCGTGGCCACAACGACAGTAGGATAAAGTAATGAGGAGTACCGATTGGTGATCCTCCGCTTCTGAGGGGACTGGAATGTATAAATATATGCCGTCATGTGTGGTTGGACATGAGCTACGTGCCCAACAGACGAAGATGACAACTCGGATAATCCCTGGAGGGTTTTTTCTCTTCAAGTTCAAGTTGCTGCGGCAGGCGGTTGATCCAGCCCGACTCTGAGCCCTGGTGTTCCCCTGGCCTGTCTTTGAGCCACCTAGACTGTCTGCGCAGACCTGGGGAGGTTTTTACAGGTGGTGGACTAGGAATATGGGTTCCGGTCGGAGGTCTTGCCATGTATCAGTGGTGGAATGTACTATCACAGTAGATTTCCCAATCTTCGAAGGATCAAAGACCTGGGGTAACCTCGTGCAATGTGAATCGAGCAAAGATACCGAACTTGTTTTTTCAAGTTCACCTCAAGTGGGAAAGCAAAAGAATTCGCCCTTATGCGCGCTAGTTGTAGATAAACAACCAAGCTCCACTGTCAATGCTTCTGCCAGGCTCAATATATTTAGCTCTTTCCGGGATTGGGTGACATTCAACGGAGCTCAGCGGCCACTGCAGTTGGGTGGCTCCAAGACTCCAACTGGCGGCGGAAGTATCGAGTACCACGCGTCCCTTTGTGTAGGCCCCATTTCGTAGCTTTGGAAATGCTCGCACGTCCAGGCCGCCTAGAGCTTGCCTATAGCGGATATCAAGCCCGTCTCTCGTATTTCCTCCCCTCAATTATCCTCAAAAGCCATCGTTAATACACAATACCATGCGATACTATGCTTTTCATCACGGACAGACTCCCATTACCTTCCATCTGCCCACCATGAAACGCGAAATGCGAAAGGCAGCGAAGATACTGATGATTATCGGGGGCGGGGATAACGAGGTACTTTGTTCCTGAGGGGATCATTTCGGGTCCGCGTCCGCCAACCGTCGAGATTAGATGAAGGTTATCACCGGAGACATTCAAGGATGTTCTGGTGTTTTTTGCGAACGATGCGCTGTTAGCATTTAATTGTAATTCACAAACCGCGAGGTCTCAAATTTGATACTTTGGGAGGGCTAGGATCTGTATCCCACGGAGACACCCCCACATGAGTGCTAGATACAAGTATACGGAAGATTCATGCGAGACCAGACAGGATGAAACACGAAATGCGCAAAGAACGAGCAGAGCCTCCTGAGATCATTATCAGTTTTTGATGGCTTGTGACGATCATCATCCAGGCCATTCGTCCTTGCGCAGACTTCTCAGCATCCTCTCATCTTCGATCAGTCGAGATAACCAAAGAGGACACTCAAGTGCCACAAAAGGAAAGCGACGATCGACACTCTTCGTCAAGTCGCGGTGAAGCCCATCGCACGCAGGGACAACAAGGTGTTCGAGTAGAGGGAGGGCCAAGGGATCTCGAACGTGTCCTTTCGTCCACAGGTGCCAAGTCTAGTTGTCGAAAAACGTATAAATAGGGATCCGACATCGCTGTAGTTTCCTCAGTTCCCCAACTACCTCTCAATCCAAAGTCAAGATGAAGGCGAGTGGTGTCTCTTGCCGATGCTCTCTACACGTTCGCTGACGATTCTCCTCGCCTCCCTACAGCTCTCCACCGTCGTCGTCTGTGCTCTTGCTGCTGTCGCTGCCGCTTCTCCCGCCCTCGAGACCAGGCAGTCGTACACCAAATGCACCAAGATCACCCAGGCGCAGGCCGAGGCTAGGTTGAAGGAGAACGACATCACCTGGTCGTCCTCTGGCAACTGCAAGGACAAGTAAGCCATGCACCTCTCCTTTCTCCAAGCTGGACGGTCAATCGCTCACGATCTATTTTAGGACCAAGTCCAACTGCACCTCCCTCCAGGACATCTGCAACCACACCATCAGCGGTGTCATCGCCTTGAAGAAGAGCGTCGGCAGGTCGTTGACCATTACCGGCGGTACCGAGACCGGCCACGCCAGCGGCACCTACTCGCATGGTGCTGGATACAAGGTCGACCTCCGAAAGTTCAAGGAACTCGACGAGTACATCACGAAGAACTTCAAGGAGATTTCCAAGCGAGACTCGTACAGCCGATATCAGTCCCCCAGTGGGAACGAGTTCGTCGTAAGTACTCTCTGTTACCCAGTTGCCTTCAGGCCAGTTACCTGACATTAATGTGTTTTAGGATGAGAAAACCCACTGGGATATCACCTTCTTCTACTAAGCTGTCCGCTTCGGCTACCGTTCCAATAGTTACCTCCAATTTGTGTTGAATGTTTATATTATAAACTGGCTTCATATAAGAATGTATTGACTGTCCAACAACGCCAAGTTCGAAGAGGGGCTGACGGGGTGGAGAGCTGGCGGGGTGGAGAAAGCAGATGAGTTCCTCCTAGCCGACCTACCTCCACCGCACGTTTCGGTAGGCTACCTACCACGCAGACACCTATTGATGCCACATGTCGCAGGTTTTCTGAGCCGACCCTACTACTAAGTGTATGATTCACTCTCGGTTAACCGCCTCTAGATTCCAGGTTTGTCCTACTCAGACGCCTTGGCAAAGATTATTATTTGGACAAGATGAGCTTCGTGGCGAAGGATCTCCAGCGCCAACCTTTATGTAACTGGGGAGTATGGGAGCCGCTTAGCGAAACCACCCAACTCTTATGAGTGCCACTGCCATGCCCGGCGCTCCACAATTGTCTTTCAATCGCCTTCAAACTCACACCAATTGACTTGGCTTTTGAGCCTTGCACAGGCAAAGACCAGTGGCTAGAGTTTCGGTCCGTAAGCTGATCAAGGCACACCGGAGGATTCGTCACAGTCTTTCCTTGAACTCGAATGTCGAGTCCCTGTGGCAAAAGACCTTAGATCCCAATACAGTCTCCTGTTCGGTATTCATATCTTCAAAAACTCACTCTTGCAAGTTATACATGGCATTCGTACAAGTACTTACTACCAGCCTTTCGACAATTTCAGAAATTAACTCCAATCATCGAATAGATTGCAAAAGGAGGAGGAAAAATCGCCGCAACAAAAAGTCGCATGACCAGCCTGCATAGTACATCCTCTCATACTTGGCTACCAGTAAAACTGTCCCTCCTCGACGCCTCCACACCCACACTCCATCAACCCCTCACATAGACGAAACACTCCTAAAGGGATCCGAACCCCCCTTCTCCAACGCTCCAATAAACGCCCTCCTTACCGCACCTAAATACTCTCCCAACCTCCTTCCATCCTCATTAACAAAGTCTTCGTGCAACTTGTACCGCGAGTCCGCGACGATATTGGCTAGTTGCAGAGCGCGTTTGAGGTTACTGGTGAAAGGTCAAAAAGCAAAATGGGTAGGTGGGTAGGGCAGGGAGTTAGCAAAAGCCAGAGCAAAGGGATGGTATGCATGCATGATATAGATACGCACTCTGGGAAATAGTGTCGTGATTCGAAGAGGAGGAAGTGGAGCCGGATGATGAGTTCTGGGATGTAGATTTGGCGGATTCGAATGAGCTCGCGGGTTCTTCGGTCGGCTGGAAAAGAATTAGTGGTCAATGAAAACTGTCTTTTAACCTCTATAAATGATCAAGGGACTCACCTCCATAGTGTTCCGTCTCAACGACCAACCACTCGGTAGTAAGCAGCTGCACAATCTGGTCGTACACCGTATCGATGAGATTCTACAACACAAAAGCGCATGATCAGTCATCAGTTCATCCACAATCCAAATTTCCCAAAAACCACAGCACCAACACTCACCCTATACTCATTAACCCACACCCCCTTCGCATCCTTACTCATCCCAGGCAAATCCCGACTCTGACACTCCACAACCCGTCCAACACTCTCCCAAATAACAAAAAACTGCCTATAATGCAAATATTCGGTCGCCCTATCCTCCGGCTCACTGATATCAGCCAACTCGGCCGGCAGCAAATCCAATAAAGATTGTGCAACCTGCACGCGGCCCATGCCGAGCAGGTAGCGGAGGATGACGTTGGTTTGCTCGAGCGCGACGGGGTAGGTCGTGTCGGAGAAGGTCGTCCATTCGATTGAGCGGAGGAGGAAGAGTTCCGGGTCGGTGGCGGTCGGTTGGAGCGCGATGATGGAGGGGAGTTTGCCGCGGGGTTCGGGGAGGAGCTGGGAGGGGCCGGAGGGTTAGTCGTTGAATGTAGTTGAGATAGGGAGTAGATACCTCGAATGCACGCTCGATGGTTCGTTCGGCGGTGACGATCGCCACGCGGTCCATATCCAATCCATGATCCCTCGCACGCGTGAGCGCCAGTCTCCGCTCGCCAATATCCGCCGTAAGCGCCAACGAGACCAAGAACAACGCGTACCGCTCCACAGCATTATCACCCAACGCACCAGCGTACATCGCGATCAACTCCCTCTGCCCCGCTTCTTCCAAAACCTGGAGGTAGGACTCCAGAATAGTCTGAGTCGCCAACGGCGGTGTCGGGATATCGATCAGTTGGAGGAAAAGACAGAAGTGAGCGAAGAATCGGCATAGTTGGGCGTATTCGAAGGTGTGTTTGGGGAATTGTTCTTCGGCTAGCCCGCCTGCGAATGAATTGAGTAGGGCGTCTGTCCTGTCGAGGATGATATGTAGTTGGGAGAAGTGGTATGCGTGTTCTGCGCCTGGACTAATCATCGAGAGATTAGTCGACGCCAATCTATCAAGGATTGAATGAACTCACCCTTCAACAACAGCAACATCCTTCAAAGTTTCCAAACTCTCTACAACCTCCCTCTCCCAATCCTCTTGCTCCTTCTCCAACTCGGCTCGAGAAATATCTCGGACGCCTCTCTCTACAGCTTCAACTCCATCTTCACTCTCCCAGAAACTCCCACCTATCCTTCCCAATTCCAAGCTGGCTTTTTCTTCGCAGATGATGCTGGTTTGGACCCAGAGGTGGTCTTCCCAGGTTTTACAGGCTGCTTTGAGGATGGTGGCGGTTGCTGGAGAGGGAGCGAGGGCGGCGTAGAGGATGCGTTCTTGGTCTGAGAGTGAGGTCTACGCGGTAGTTAGGACTGGTAAAAAGAGTAGAGGGAGAGTAGGCGTTACATTCAGAGCTGCGTGGGTGCAGGTGTCTTTCCATAGTTTGCGACGCTTGTTGCCAGACCAGACTTCTTCCTCGTCTTCCACCATCGCGTCGTCTTCTTTTGGTTCCAGTGCTATTTTTGAATATTAGTGTCATCACTCAGAAACTGACAGAGGAAGGACGTACAAATGGCGGGCCACCGGAATAACTGGGCTCCCAGAATACTTGCAGCGCGCCATGGTTGATGGGCTTTCCGACAAATGTCTACTGCTTCGTCAAGTCGGCCTGCACGTACGCAGCAGTACAAAGCTTGAAGGAGACTCCGTTCATAGCTCTACCAAAGCGATTTCAGTCTTAACCTCAACAGAGTACAAGCAACTCACGGCATCATCCGCAGCCAAACTCCTCCCCTCCTCCCTATTCGGCGCATCAGGATCCAACTCCTTCACCAGCCCATCGCGATACGTGTTCGTCGTCCTCAAGCCCTGCAGCACATTATGTTTTGTAAACTTCCAATAGCCAGTGTTCGCTTCTGGGTGGGGCGGATTCGGTGCGGTATCTTGGAGCCATTCTCTGACGACGACGAGTTCGGAAAGGAGGGGCGAGGAGTCCATGATGGCTTGCGCCAATGTCGAAGGTGGCGTATACGGATTTTGAGCAACCAAGTCGCGCGCTGAAGTCGTCGGGAGAGGTTCGATCTTTCGAGGCGGCATGACCAGTTGTAAGAGACCCCATGTGTTAGCTTCTAATCGCAGTAACTCGATGTCTTCCTGTGGGGCTCGGGTTTCTTCAAAGTCTGTAATCCTATGAACGAACCGGGTTTGTTTAGAGTTTGAATATGGTGAAAGAGAGTTAGAGCTCACTGGTCTTGACAGATTTGGCGTAACCGAGGTGCAAAGCCGTTGTCTTTGTCCAGTAGCGCGTCCAAGTCGTCCTTCACCGACTGACTGGCTGCCAGGACCTCTGCAAAGGCGCTATACAATGCCTCCGCCATTGTTGGTGTTGAATTTCGTCGCCTGGGTCGTTAAAATCGTTTTGAGTGGCCTTTCAAGATCCTAAATATTCCAGCCAGATAAGGGACCACTTCCAGCGCTTAAATGAATCTGGAATATAGCTGGAGCGTCGTCGACGGCGGAGAAGAAGACAAGCGTTGTTCACCGCGCTCGCGCTCAGCGTGCAATGACGCCACGTGATCTCGAACCCGGTAACTCAATAAGTTGCCGTTCGTCTGCCAGCGTCCTGCTGGTTCCCTTCCGACCACCACCACCATACACCACAATGCTCAATTTCCTATAGATCAACAAAATGACAACTGGTATATCAAGCCCAACAAGCCTCAGTTTCCAACTGCCAGATCTCCTCTCCCAAATCAACTCGTTCACCTTCCGGACGAACAAGCACATACGAAGGGCCACCGATTGCTCAGAGGACTGGATCCTCGGTTTGCCGTCTTCTACAGAACCTCACTCACCCTCATTACAACTCACAGACGATGAGAAGGAATTACTGCCCAAAGGACGATACGGTCTTCTAGCCGGTTTAGCCTGCCCTACATGCGATTTCCCGCAACTACTCTTACTGACAGACTTTCTTTCTCTCGCCTTTATCGCGCATAACCGGGTGTTGGAGGGGAGAGCACCTGACGAGTGGCTACAGAAAGCGTCGAGTATGACGAAGGTGAAAGATGGCGGCGATCCATTCGAGATACTGGACATCCATCCGCTGTTTACCAGGTAAACAATTCAAATTCAAGTCGAGCTGGTCCGAGAACCCTAGGAATCGACCCATGCTCATTGCTGCCACTCCCCAGCATCGTACCAAGACTGAAACGAAACCTGGGCTTGTTACCTCCATCGCAACAAACGCTATGGGTGAAGAAATTCGCGCGTTCAGTGCACGCTTTCGTCGCTGCACAATCCCAAATCCGGGATAACCTTAGGGAGAATAGGGTGCCGTCCCTACAAGAGTACCTCATCTCGCGCCGAGAAGCGTATGCCTCTTCCATGTTCTGGGACCTCGTCGAACTACTCGACATCTCCCCCCGTCCGAACGGGCGTAACCCTAACGAACACCTCAAGCTTAAACGGCTGACACAATGTGCAGTGGATGCTGTCGCTTGGGCTATCGTACGTCGGTCTCTCTTTCTTTGCATCTTTATTTCGTGCATGTTCGATTGACTTGTTACGATTGGCACGACAGGACGTATTCGCATACGCAGCCCCGTCCAGATGCAACACCTACAACCTCATCTCCCTCCTCACCTCCCACAAGAACCTCTCCGTCCAAGGCGCGATGAACTACGCAGGCGGTATGGTCCGCGAAACACTCGAAGAGTTTCATCGTCTCGAACGGGAACTTGTTCCACTCACCAAACCTGACTCCGATGGTCCTTCGTCGCACTCTCACCCACCTGCCACGACCACAAGCAGCAGTACTGTCTCCCCCTCCCCCTCTTCGTCTGGTAGCAGTAATAACAGCCGTAGATCCTCGGGGTGGGGTAGATGGCTCTGGTCCATCCCCGCCAGCCTCGTCGGCGACACCGGCACGAGTACTAGCAGCAGCAGCAGTACTGCTAAACCCACAAGCACGGGTAGACCCTACCTCTTAGGTATTGACCCTTCCTCTCGAGACGGGTGGTTCCTAGGTTTCGACACCGACTCCAGCCTCAACTCTACCGCCACCACGCCAATCAGCGACGACGACGGTTCCTCCAGCACCTTCGATAACGCCTCCTTAAACCACTCCTCCTCCTCCTCCTTAGACCACTCTTCTTCCTCCTCCTCCGACCATACCTCCCCCAGCCTACCCTCCCCCACCTCCCCCACCCCATTCGACAACCCAGACACCGACCTCCTCACCACCACCAAAAACCTCTCCCGCTACATCCTATCTCTCAAAGACTACATCGTGGGTAGCATCCACTGGGGCTACGAGACTGAACTCTACTTCGGAACAAAGGGGGACGAGATTAGGTCGTTTGGGTGGGTGTTTCTTAGTTGAGGTGTGGAGTACGGGTGTTTCTTTGTTGAGTTGAGTTGTGGGTGTTTATCAGCTGCATGCTGATTGCTGAGGGAGTGTGCACGGTTTTGGAGTTGAGAGACTCGAGGCCGAGTATTGGGTTGCGGAGGGACTGGGAAGAAAAACGCTTACTTGCATATATATCCATACCTATATCTTGGGACGACTCTAAATCTGTATATCCTCAAATCGAGCAGACCGCCTTCCTCTCTCTTGAACTTACGTTTTGAGCTCGTCGGGCGCGACTAGTAATAGTACAAATATTGCGTTTTTCCAATCGCTGAAAGGCATCCATCTCATTGGAAGCCGCCGGTGACAATGGTCTGATTGAAAATAAAAACAAGTTTGAACTTGACCAAGTTGGTCCCCGACGTCAAGAGCGAGGTGGCACCCCGAGCGCCACGGAGGAGGCGCACTTTGATGGCGCATCACTTCCCGACTCCGCACCTCCCGCCTCTGCGCCTGTTGAGCACTTCAGCGCAGCGACATAAGCACCTCCTATGTTATCCTGAACCACGATGTACAGAGCAGCACCTTACAAACCAGGAACACACCCCTGACAATCCTCCACTAAATTGACAATCTTTCGAACATCACCGAAAAGACATAGAAACCAACATTTCATTTACTGCAACCCTTCATTAACGACAGCCACAACCAAGCAAAAGTAGGCACTATTAAAGCATTCATTAACAACACAAATCGATCCAACAAAAAAGGTCATTAACTAGCATAACACATCACAAATTCGTACGCGTACAACATAAAAAAAAGGGGGTGAGTAGACGTAGACACTACAAAACTTTCGAACTCGGAAATTACATTCAAATCTCGATTCTTCTTCGGAAACGCGGTGGAACGGGGACTAGGATGAAGGTCAACGGGATACCTCCATACACATCCCATTCCAACACGCCGTCCTTTAATCCAAGCACCCGGGACGAGGGAACTTCGATAATGTACACAAATCCGGAAATCAGGTCACTTGGGCGGCCTCGGTCGTCAAGTCACAACATATCCCAATCATCATCTCCTTCAGACACATTAAACTCGCACTCGGAGCGAGCGGCCTTCGCGACGGCGCTTAGATATAGATGGGCAAAGTAGGGAGGAGACCAGCCCATTCCGGTCCGGTATGGAAGTCCTTCTGGTCCATGAGGAAATCCTACATTGTAACACATACCGCATCAGCAAACCAAGCCGACAACTTTATGAATTGAAAGAAACTAATGAAATAACTCACCAAAGGAGCTTCAACGAGCGCGCCCTTGACTTGATTAAGCCGTTGCTTCATCTTGTTAAGGTCCGTACCAGGAACAACATGTCCAGTCTTAACCTTTGGCACATATTTCTAACAACAAAACGACACCATCAAGTCAGCAAAAATGCCAAAACTCCACGACTTTCCAAAGGCCCAAACAACTCTCGAAAGAGTAAAATGAACGTTGAACGAAACGAATCGGCTCACCTCATACGCAGCCCAATCACGAACCAAGTTCGTAGGCACAGGCCGGAAGAACTCTGAGAACGCCTCGCGGTTCTTGCGCGCAGTCTCCATCCAGAGGAGCATCGTCTCGCGCGAGATGGGGTCAGCCACCAACCTATCCTCCTCGAGGTGCGTCTCGTCCTCGTTGGGGATAGGCGCGGGGCGCATGAAGGAAGTGACCTTGGGGTAGCGCTTGTTGCATTCCTGAGGCTCGATGAGGCCGAGGTGCTCTAGAGGGTAAATGACGAATGTGGTGTTAATAAACCCTCATCCGGATAGATAGAAAGAATAGGGTAGAAGAGGCAAGACGTACCCCTGTACAACTTGCGTCGAAGCGTAGCGGCAAACCTGGACACTTTGTAAGGCTGCCCATCCATGGTAGAGTCGATCATATCGTCATCTTCGACCACCAAACAAATCTCCGAATCACCATCGCCCTATTCAATAGAAAACGCGCTCAGTCAGTCATCCTATCCCCGTCCAATACAAAAAGGGGCATTCTTACCTTCTGGCTACGGTCGTTGATGTTCGCAGAACCGATCTAGTAATAATCCGCGTTAGTACACCTGAAACAAAGGATAGAAACAAGGAAGGGCTACTGACAATGACACGACGGTCATCCACGATCATAAGCTTGGAGTGGATATACAACATCTCCGATACATATCTGTTAAGCACCCCAAAACTGTTAGAGGCGCCAAAGCTCCATTGCGAAGAGGGAACCACAGCTTACGCGTTCAACTCTTCCTCTTCAGTCCCATGCCATGGCTCATCAAGAAGCGAGGTACCCGCTTCCAACAAATGGCTCGACACCGAATCAGCAACATCAGTATCCCTGCGAAGGTTCTCCGCTCCCTTCTCAAACCTCGTCACGATCTCATCGGCAGCCTCGTCAGTCTCGGGGACAGCAACCTCCACGGTGTTCTTTTCAGTCTTTTCGGTTTGGATGAGACCTTCATCGGTGAGATGGGACTTGGCGACCGTGACCGTCTTTTGGTTGGTGTAGTAGTCTCCGGAGATCCACTTGCGCGCGATGGCGACTTGGGCTTGCTCGAAGGAGACACCAGAGTTTTCTTCGATGGCCTTGATGAAACCTAGTCATGACAAATCAGCACCCAGATGACCAAAGCGGAGGGATAGAATCTCACCAGCTGGGGCATTGATCCTGTCGTAAGAGCGCAGGTGATAGAATCGAATGTAGTCCATTCTATCCAACAGGATGAGTATCATTGCATATGTGGCAAAAGGGTGACTCACGGCTCATATCCAGCAGCACGGATAGCCTCATAGATACTGTCACCGCCGCGGTTGATACTTCTGTATTGAGCAGCCATGATGTATCCAATAGAGGCTTCACCCTTGAGTTCACCAGCGAATCCAGGAACTTCAGGGATGGCAACGATGACCTAGGCACGTCGACGTCAGCGCAGTCCAGCGAGATACGGGGTAGACCGACGTGCCTTGAACTTCCTTCCTTCCCTGGCAGCTCGGAGGATTCGCTCTACAAGAGCCTTTCCGATCAAGTTCGTAATGAGAGTTCCAGGCTTGGTAGCAGTGATACTGGAAAGCTGTTGTCAACGATTTCCCTCAGATGTCCAAGAATGCAGCTCACAAGAATTGGTTCTCTGGTAGAGACGTTCCAGGTCAGTACGTGTCTTGAGGCCCCAACAATTCACATACCAATGTAAATGTAATGCTCAGCCTCTTCGATGAGCTTGATATCTTAACGCAAAGTCAGGCATATGACGGTTCGCAGAAGCGAAAGACACTCACAGGCATCCTGAACACTATGCTCGACAAGATACCCATGCGACCAATCCGCGACGCTTCGAACCACCTGCACGCGGCAATTGCCATTCTGGGTTTGAGGGTAGTGGTGGTGTTCGTCGCCGGTATGTTGCCCGTGCCATCGCTGCTTGTACTTGCGCCCGATCTTCTTCCACTCTTCCAAATGAGGGTGACCTGTGATGGATTGCAACGGCCGGTCAATCGAGGCAACTCCAAGAATAGATGAATTGATTGACTTACGTGCTGCCGGCTCCTCAGGGGCGTGTTCCGGTTCGTGAGGCAAGGCGAGCCACAAGAAACGCCTATCGAGAAAGCGGTATAGGTCCCACTCGGAATCAGGTTCGCAAACGAGACTTACTCATCATCTGCGTACTGTTTCAGGGTTATTGAGCATGTAGCAGCATAGACCAGAGCATTCAACCCTCACCTTGCGCTTCTTGATCTCGTTCCATCGTTCGACGAAGTGCTGAGAAATATCCAAGACGGCTGGGCCAACAAGGGTCATGTGAACCTACACCACTATCAGCATCTGCCATAACATGACGTCCCGAGTAGTAACCTACATCGTGCCAAGGCATACGGGGACTGTCGAGAGGGGACAGGGCATTGCTGGCGTAGTTCTTGACCTCTTGGAAGTCCATGATCCGAGCATTGTTGTAGTCTTGTCCGGGGAAGAGGGTAAGGTCGAACTCGGTGGGGTGAACGTCTGCGAGAGGGTGGTTGTGGGTATCCCAGCGCCCAAAGCACAGATCGAGACCGCCCACTGCGGCAAAGTGGTTATCCACAACAACAACCTGTTGAATGAGGTTAGGCGGATTGAACCCGTTGAGCAAGGAAGCGAACTGGCTTTTTCGTGATGAGACCAGATTGCAACGGCGTCTGGGAGGCGAATTCAATGAGCTTGTTGATTGAAACGCAAAGGATGCAAGGATACTTTACCCTTAGAGCCAATGTGGTCAGGGTGGCGCATAACAGCAATGTTGGGGTGTAAACTATTGAGGTAGTTCTGCATATGAAATGTTGAGCATGCAAGGCTCGGGGGCTGATGTGGATACACTCACCTTGGTGTGCTTAGAGCCCAAACTCATCGTTTGAGTAACCTAAACGCATGGCATTGCGTTAGAAAACGGCAGAGACATCGAGAGGAGTGTCGAATGAACCTCTTTGTAAACGACGATATGAATCTTGACGCCTTGTTCGGCCTTCCTGAGAAGGAGACGGTCCAAACGCCATTCAGGGAAGTAAGCCGGGGGTCGACGCAGGTACAACTCGGGAGTGAGCCACCAATCCTGTTGCGTCCCAGTGAGTACACCATTGAGCATTGATTCGAATGGATCGTACCAAAATGAAGATGGCCTCTTTGGCGTTGTCAATCATCTCTGAAATCGCCCACATGTAATCGTGACCGTCGATGTGCCTATAGGGTCTTCAGTCGCGTCCTGGCCTTCGAGGGACTGTGGCAGCGCACCATTTGCACGTATTGTTCGAGCGCTCGGGCGCGAAACTGGTGAATCGATGTCCCGCCCTGATTTCTGCTCGCAGCGCGTCTTGCGCCTGTTCGTGTGGTTCGTCATGGCGACCTGTTCGCTGCGTTTGAATCGAGAACTATGCGGGATCCTTTGCGGAACATACGGTTTGGGTTCAAGATACCTAAACCAACACTATTCAGAATCCCTTAGCACAGTTCAGTGAGATGATGCGCACCGATAACGTTTTGGCGACCGTGGTCAATGACCTTAGCGGTCTTCTTGACGGCCTCAGTCAAAAAACTAATATGAGCCGGAGCGCCCTCAGGAGCTGAGGGCATCTCCTTGAGTTCTTTGAGCTTTTGCTTGAAGAAGGACATGGTGATTGAAAGGAAACCGATAAGAGGCAAACAAAGCCTCGTAAGACTGTCTTATAAGAATGCTGCGTCGGTCTCCGACGACGGCCACCTCCTTGGTATTCCCTTCAGCCCTTGGCAACGGATCAGCATCAATACCGATTGAGGGGTCGTCCAGCCCCTGTCATCGCCTTTCTCGGCGATGGTCACTACGTAGGGCGACTCACTTTGGTTCTGAACAGTAACGGAAGACGCGAGAAAAGATCTAAAGGCCTCTTGTCGTTGTCTAAGACAGTGGCTACGAGGAGAGGTGGTTTGCGGGGTAGTGTCCAGATTCAATCATTCAGCCGTGTGAAATCAACAAGAACTTCTTCACGCGTCATTGGTGATTCGTGACCCCTATCTCATGAACCTACCGCTAAGCGCCCATTTAAATGATAGCCTTTCCATTACCCTATTGGTGTACTGTATTGAGAAGTTACAGCAGCACAGGCGCCCAAAGTAATGTCTCCTCCTTGAAGTCCATGTACCCCCTACTCTTCCACTGATTATCGAATTTTCAAATGGTTAATGGGGCCGAGCAAGGCCGGGCTCTGATAGGCTTGGAAATCGGTTTGTGATTTCTTCCAATCCCTTGCGGTCATGCCAACTGATGCTCGGCCCTCGGCTGCACTGGAACCATGGCTGGCCCGCCATACCCTGTCCTGCGCAGCACTCGACCACTGCCCATTGTCAGCGCTCAGTGCCCCAAACCAGCGCGCCATATCCGCTTCGCTGGTTGGAGACGAACAGGTCGGACGTATTAGTACGACCTTTTAAGCAACACAGGTTACCGCGGCTTCGTTATTCCCGAAGGCAATACTTGATGCCCTTTGATTTGAGCAGAACGGCCTCACTTTTCGTTGAATACTTGAATGTTCTTTACAGTGACCAATATCCTACCCTATGCTTGCTCAATTGATGTTCACGGTTACAAGATTTTACACCTTTTCGGCGTCTGGAGTCGAAACCTACCAGCCCGAGTCGGGAGCACGTCTGATCAAAGAACGCGATAAGTCTTCGACAAGGCACCGGTAGCATCTATCCGAGCTTTCTCAGCTTCCTCGAGGACTATCCGTACGGAAGCTTTGAGCCGAAATCTCGTGAGTAACATGTTACTCACGATCTACAACCTTGGGCAATGGCACTCCCATGATCTTCCCCTTCATCTCAGCTAGGCGTCGATGTGTAGTGAGAATTCGATCTCAGAACCCAACCTTCAGATGGAATGTATATCTCCAGTACTACGACTAGTAGAAATCATTGGCCGAGCAGGGACTTACCATGGTTGGGACGGACCTGTTGTTAGTGGGGGTCATATAAGGGCGCCAATGTCACTGGTACTGGTACAGAGCCACTTGCATTGATACCCACTTTTTCTAGATGGTACGAGTCGGTTCTGATGAAAGACTCTATTCGCAACACATAGGTGTAAGGGTGAGCCCTACCCACAGACACATATATGATACACATCTTGCCCCTCAACTTGTACATTCTCCGCCCACGCTCTCACATTCCTACAGACGTGTTCCTGCGCATTTTGGACGTCGATCGTGAGCGTTTCCTAGTCTTCTGTTCCATGTAGAAGACTAAGTTTCCAATGTGCCACCAACATTCGCACTCACTGAAGAACATGTGTCCGACTCTTATTAGTTTATTCCTCACTGCCAACTGGATATCTCTCCACTTCGTCACTTCAGGAAGTTCTGAAGGACCGGCAAGGCCACCCACCCCACGGGCAACAGGCGCTCCTCTCCCGATTGCAATTGACCGTCCCCCGACTCGGAAGTCGAGAGGTCACGTAAGAATACGCGGTAGTCCCTAACTCCTCGACAGTCGCGAGGATGATACTACGGGAGGGCTCGAGCACCGACATTTTTGGTTATCGATAACAAGACATTCTGTTAATTATGGCCTTCGCGAAACGCCCATTAGAACAACTTGCATAACGCCGGAGAAAGAGTGGAGGCCCCTATTCCTTTCAGGGGTTTAGCTATACATAGTACCACACCGTCGCGCTGGCGCTCAGATCAACACAATCGAGTGATACAAGTCCCGTTCGGCAGGCCCACAACAAACGCCCATCATCCTGAGGCCAGTCTACCTCCGCACCCCAGCCTGAGATTAGATCGAAAACAAGGCGCCTCGAGGCCCTGTTCTCGATACACACACTGATAGAAGACAAGTTAAACGAAAGCCCACAACGTATTCTGCATCGAGTCCCACCTTCGTGGGACGCACGAAGTCTAATACAGGGCCTAATGTACACATCGAAGGGTCGAAAAACTACAGTTACACACAAAGACTAAAACCGAAGTGCAGATACGAGGGAAAAGAAGAGAGATAGTAAGTAGTGGTGGGTATTGTAAACGAGCGAGGAAAGTCCGCTGTGGGCGGAGCGAGATTCTAGTAAATGATGAAGCTTCGAAGGGGAGATCCTTGACCAACAAATATACTAATACATACACAACCCATCGGGCCATTACAAGTCCTTCGGAGGGTGGAATGGCGACACTGGAAGCTTGAGCGCCAGGGCACACACATACACACAGTCTTCACTTCCACTCAGTCACCACCGATTTCCCGGTTCCATCAGAACCAGCAGAACGGATTTTGGAAGCGCCTTCTTCCAGATCATCGTCCTGATGTCGGAAAGTGCTGGTCTGAACATGAATCTGGTGCAAGGGGACACCACCTCGATTGGTGGCCACGATGTTGCTGCGTGACGCTGTGGCTGACGCTGAACTCGACTGCCTCGATTCCCGATCAACACTCGTGATAATCAGGTTGAACGTGATGCCCTACACCGTCATATGTCAGAAATGAAATGAACTCCGAGTACAAGCAGGCAATTTCTCGAAAACACTCACGATAATTTGAACGACCTTCAGACGCCGGAAGAGAAGAGAAGCAAGCAGAAATACGTCAGCCCTGAATACACCAAAAAGATCCCGAAAGAACGAGGGATGAAGCTTCCTTTTCACTCACCGCGTTCGACACGCCATATTGTCCATTATGCCCCGCCATGTACAACGCGAACAGGATGAGAATCGACGTGGTGTACATGAGCCCCGACTCGATCAGGACCACCAGTACCTTCGATAATGCGCTGTCGCTGAAGTCATATGCGCTCATACGGCGTTTCACTCGAGCATGAATCCGCCATATTCTGTGCACGATCAAGCCTGTTTTCAGGAAGGGTGTTGAATAAGCCCCTGTACGGAGTTACCAAGGGAAATAGAGAAGACACGAACCAGTGGTAAGTGAATTCATCGCGAGAGTAAGACATAACATGCTCGTGATGAACGGGATCAAGCTTTTCGCGTTCAACAAGGCGCCCTCTGTATCAAGCGTGGCCTCGACATAGATGGTGATCGCACCGCACACTGCAGATGAACAAAGATGTCAGCCATTAAAGCAACATGGTATCCCTTGATTTAAACACGCACCTGTGCAGCCAATCCACAGCAATGTCGGGAAGGCGATCACCAGCCACCTTCGATTATAGATGATCCAGCACCGATAGAGCTGAGAACGAGAACCGCAAAAACATTAAGTCCCCAATTCATCCCTCCAGACTACAGACTACACGTTCACAAGAACAAGGGAAAGAAGCAAACTCACCAGAATACTATCCCCCACGAACGTTTGCGCGACATAACACGCCATCTTCATGACATTAATCCAGTTCGAGGTGTCCTCAAACATCGCGATCACATACTCCGAATTGGGTGCACCAACGAACGCGTCCAGGTTATGGCGCAGGTGAAACGCGACGTCCAAGGTGGCGAATACAAACATGAGCAGCGCCGCTACTATCATTTTGTAATGAAGGTTGTGCCATGGCTTGAACCCCCCTTCGATCCACACGAGCGCCTTCATACAACTAAAGAAGGTGACGAGGTAGATACCTGACCAATGTCCCGGTATTGCCTTGCGTCAATGGGGGGATGAGGATTTAAAGGGTCAAACACGTACTATACGTAAATACGTCAGTTTCATTGTACACAAGAGGAATAGGAGACGACGCACCCGAAGAACACACTCTCCATAAACACCCCTACGATCTGCGCCGCATCAATTGGAAAGGCCTCATTGACCGACATCGTGGCCAGGGTCCATAGGGCAACACAAGAAAAATATTGGCGCTAAAGGCTCGGTAGTACGAAATAGCGAGGAGGGGACGCAGAGAGGAACCAGAGGGCTTGGGGCAGGGGAACCCTTAAAAAACCGAAGCCTTCCCGACCCTTTAACACAGTCTTGTACCACACTTCGCGGAACAGGAATTTGAATCGATCACTTCACGTAACCAAAAACCAACCACACCATACTGTCCCAGCGGCAACGTCCAAATCCAATACAATCCAGATACACACATCATCCTCAGCGCTTCCCATCATCAAAGCCCAGAACCCAAAACTTAACTGCATCCTTGCCGTTCCAAAGTTAGCCTTTTGCGGAATGCACACCAAAAAGGGGGCGACTTAGCTCCACAGGTGGGGAGCTCAGCACGCGATCGAAGAAGGCGGGGTGCCTACAAGCAGTGAGAAGTCGCGCTGCGAGGTGCATGTGCTCTCAACGTATTGACGCCCAAACCCAGTTTTTCCGCCTTTTCTGTGTGTTGAGGGTGGTAAACACAGAGAAGTCCTTCAGTGAACTCCGCCGAAAACTGTTCCTGAGGCTCTCCCCAGAAAGAAATCAAAAGTTCTTCGACCCCCATTGAAACTCGAAACGCACAGTAATTTGAATACAATTCGAATCGGACATGTTTCCCTGCCGCTCGAGATCGAACCCCACATGATCATCTCCCACCTTGGTCAGTCGCAAGCGGCACTGGAGACATGATATTGCCACCTCGAGAAAGGTACATAGCTCGCAATGTCTCGCAACCGCAACTTCATCATGATCAACACCACCACCACCTATTCAAAGCGTCCTAAACAGAATCCTTGGCGTTAATCTATCTTGCTGGAAGATGACTTGTTGGACCCTGAAAAGCGATGGCAGTTGCAACCTCGACCCAACCCATAGCACTGGGACATCTCAAAGCCCAGGAATCGCGAGTAGTGGATACGCAAGTAGTACGTGATTCGACTTCGATTCACAAATATCCCCGGACTGATCGTCAAGTAAGTGTACGGATAGCCGTAATAAGTACCAAGGGAAGTCAGTAATTGGAAGCAACACAGTGAGAAGTGAGACATAGAACTCACCTAGAAACCCTTGCCAAGCACCGCCCAAAGTCGTTTCTTAGGATCAGACAATCAGAAGCATCTTGTATGTCGAGACTCGACGTCGACACTCAGATAAGCCCTCCTCCGAGTACACCAAACACATATCTGTCCCAAGAACAAAACGAAACGAGCATCAGCATCCATAAAGCAAGATAACGAAATGATAAGACGCACACACCTATCCCGCCCAAAAACACCTGCCAGCAAGAATCGCGACAGGGAGTCACTTGTCTGAAGCCATTGCCAAAGGTGTGCAAGACAACACAATGACGACACAGACGCCACCCGCTCATCGGCCTCTACACTTGATACTTACCACGATAGTCAATTGAAACCATGTACCCATATGATGTGGCCAGGGTCCCAATACAAAACAGAACCGAATATCGAGCACAACCAACCCACGACGGTTGACACTGACAATCCCATCCTGTCAACCAACCATGTGCAAAGGTACGAGACAGATGTCGATAAACAGCACATGTCATCGACACACGACCTGAAGGCAGTGAAGCCCAACGCCGCACTGACAGAAACCAGAACCTGGTTTAGTCCAAATAAAGTGTATTCGTAAAATTAGATGCCAGACCATGAAACGTGAAAATTGAAAGTGAGTGAAAGAACCACGAAAATGCGGAATGCCAAAGACGCGATGAAAGCATGAAAAGAAAGGAGTGCTCAAGTCTGAACGTAACTTGAACGTCGGCATCTTGAAACATGTCGACTGCCGGGAACCAACTTCGAGTTCTACCTATTCAATCGCGAAATTCGACGTCTGCTTCCGCGTTTCAATTCGTCTGTGGGGGGAGCGATCTATGTTGAAGCAACATGTATCATCGTCTATCGCTGTCGTTGCTGCATTGGTGGCCGCTGGTCGCCGATACCGGGAATATCGTACTATCGTCGCCCTGTCTTGTCGGGACGAACACCAACATTGTTCGTCAAGAAAAATACTGCGCCCCTTTCCAAAAACTGGAAATCTAAAAATGGCACAGACGGCGGAGATGTCGAGACGTCGCGCGATCGAGCCATTGAATGCATTGCTGCCTCCGACTCCAACGGAACTCCCGCCAAAGCAAAATTAGGGAGCACGCGACCACAAATTATCCTCCTCAACCCCCCATGCAAAACCCAAACCCTTCAAATCCTCAAAGTCCACCACCCACACAGTCCCCCTACTACGTCGACGACCCAAGAGTAGGCACGTACTGCCTAATATGCTCCGGAACCAATTCCTTCGGTAACCGTGCGATCGTATCGAGCGGGGCACGTTTGGCAAGCGCCAAAAGGTTGAGTCGGAGGTTGCGCAGGACTGGGTCTTCCACACCGTCTGCGGTACTTGGGGCTTCAGATGTACCATTGCCAGTCGCAGCGGTCGTACTTCCATCGGTAGTGGTCGTCGTAGGAGCTCCTTCACCTCCACTCCCATTTGTAATTCCATCGACAGCACCATCACCATTAGCACCTCCCTCTCCAGCTTCCTTCTCAACCGACGGCACCTCAGACATCTCCCTCGAACCCTGCCTCGACACACCGACACTCCCACTCCTTGGCCCAAACTTCCGCCGATTCAAATCCAGAATCACAGCAGCAGCATAGTCCAACACTTCTTTCAGCTCCTCCGGTCCTTCAGGTTCGTACTCCGTTTCAGGAACGGGCTTGGTAGTAACGGTGTTGGGGATGGCGGTGGTGGTAGCGGCGGCGGTGGTAGGATAGGTGGCAGCAGCGGTAGAGTAGGGGGTGACCGTAGCGGCTGCAGAGTACGGGGTAGCAGTAGGAATGGCACTCGCAGGATAAGCACCTGGGTTGATAGTGGCGGGGTAGGCACTGGTAGGGTAGGCACCGGGTGTGGACGAGGCTGTGGGCGGTGTATAAGTCTGGCCATGTCCCTGAGCTTGAGCTCGAGCTTGGGCTTGTGCTTGAGCAGTGACGTTCGCATCAACACCAGCCCAAGTCTGCGGCGCTTCCTCTACCTCCATGGCATCATCCTCCGGTTCAGCTGAAGTGCCGTTCACACCAGCACCATTCTGTGTAGTCCCTCCCATGACAACATCTGTGCCAGTGGTAGCTCCAGTGCCAGTGGTAGTACCAGTTGCAGAACCACCAGAAGCAGTCTGCCCAACAGCCTGAGCCTGTTCCCCCTTCGCCTTCCGCCTCTCCTTCAACTCCTTCCCATACCACTCTTCCTCACTCTCGAACAGCTCGTTCGGAGCCTTAATCAAGGCCCCCATATCAATCTTATGAAGGTTGATCGAAAGGAGCGCAGCAAGAGCGGCGTTTGCTACCGGGTACAGGTCGAGTGATTTAGACACTTGGTCAGCGACAGCGCGGTGGATCAGAGGGTGAGGGGATAAGGGTGACGGTATCGTAGACGCTGGTTTACCGCTCTCTTCCTTGGTAAGACGAGTGTAGAGTATTGAAGCTGCCTCGCGGAGTAGAGCGTGTCGTCCTTCTGTTAGCGGATCTACGATGTTCTTCTCGACCCATTTCGCCAGGGGCATTCCGAGGGTACGTTCAGGCGGGACGGGTTCCCAATCCTTCTCGTCTACCTCCATATCCTGTGAAGCAAGAAGTCAGCTTATGCCTCCAAACGATCATCACAGAAACGCACCTCGTCCTCAGAGACAGGTTCATAATCCATAAACTCCGCCAAACTCCTCACATACGCGAGCCCATCTTCACCTCCATACACCAAATCACGAATATAACCCTCTGCTTCGGCTATTCGTTCAGCCGTCCAATAGTTTTTGACCAAGTCGGCTTGTTCCTGGGGGTCAGCTGCGTCCACCGCACTCGCTTTCTCTCCGTCAGGTTTTGACTTCGCCACGGGGTCAACGGAGAGGCTCTCCCGGATATGGTTAAAATGGATTTGTTGCTCCTGGCCGGGGTAGACAAGCATAGGAGCCATACCGCGCCTCCGCATCTCTTCGCCGAGTTCAGCGGCGAGGATGGAGAAGGATCCAAAATCTGCTGGATGCACTTCACGGGGTGCTTGCCATGACGTGTCCTCCCCATCTTCGTCCTCTTTTTCCTTCCCCTTCCGTGAGCTGACGCCTCGGGCTATTGTCCAGTGACGCCGAGCTGCTGGTCGCTCAGTGGTTAGATCAGGTATTGAAGGGATGTCCGGAGGGCTGTGTCTGAACGGAAGGGAGCTGGGTAAAGGATATGATGTCGAAGCCTGAGGTCCCGGCTGCTGTGCGGGCTGAGACTCCTGCTGTTGCGGAGGCACAGACTGTCGCGTTTGGTCTTGAGGCGGAGGTGGAGGCTGAGAGGATTCAGAAGTTGTCGAGGGAGGGGGAACAGGTTGGAACGGCGAATATAACGGAATCAGCGCCGGGCGGGTAAGGGAGTCGGGCACGAAGAATGATAGGACAGAGAATGGATCCTCCACTGACGATGGCCATCAGAATTCACGTATGCTTTAGAGTTCGCGCGTCGACCTACTTTCAGTGTAATCCAAACTTCCGTCCGGGAGTGTCGGAGGTCCTTCTTTTTCTATACGCATCCGTTCCTTCTTCGTCTTGTATCGTTTACCTGGGAAGGATGTTACCGAAGCCCTGAATATCAATAAATGGACATACCCTTGAGTTTCAGGTAAAGCATCGTCTTTGCCCAGTCAGACCCTGGAGGGAATGAACCAAGTCCGTCCTTCGAACCAGGGAGACGGCCATCTGGCTCTATGGACTCGGAAAGTGTATTTGATTGCTGATTGTGCTTCCGGTATGGACCTCTGGGTCCTCTCCGACCAGACGTCGGCTGTTGTGAAACGACAGAGCCTGCACGCCCGGTCTCGTCCGGTTCTTGCGTCGCCCCACGCTGCTCGTCGTCGTCGTCCTCAATGTTCACCGCCGAAGGGTCCCCCTCTCCCTCAACATCGATGTTCCAATCCGCCTCGTATTGGATGACAGTGCCTGCAGCCTTGTTGATATGCTCAATCCCCCATGTTTCGATTCGCTCAGCTTCCGTGTGATATATCGAGCCAGGCGGGTTGAAAATTTTGGCGTTCGTTGTAACCAATCTAAAGTCATCCTGCAGACACGGATAAGCATCCGGACAGTGTGTGGAGCTGGCTTGTGCGCACCGCAAACTCTTCCAACGAGCGATAGCGGCCACGATTGACTTTATCGGTCATGGTCCCAAAATCCATCGGTGTTTTGACAACGTCCAGGTAGCCTGGGACGTTCTTGACGTCCACAGGAGCCAGAAAGAAAGCATAATCATCTTTCCTAGATAAAACTGTCAGTTCAAGGGTCCGTATCATATGGTGCTGGTCTTACTTCTTGATCTGGTGTATCAGCTTCTGCAGGACCTCCTTCAGCGGCTTCAGCTTGACTGGCCGCGGTGGTTTCTTCTCAACGACGACGCCGACATCGTGGACGACGGGGGACGAGGCAAACGATGTCGAGCCTGATCTGTGCTTGGACTTTTTGTTCGCCTTGGCTGCTAGGACGGCCTTGAGAGGGGGGAGGACAAGACGAAGGCCCGACGACGACGAGCCCGGCTGTTTAAGCGACAGGGGCTTTTGATATTCTGGGCTGGCATCGTATGAAGGAGAGAATCGACTTTGTTGGCCCTCCATCGAATTTTGGGTGGTTTGGTGAGATCCAGCAAGCGAGACGCGTGACCTCAATCTCTCACCCTATCACGTGACTTTATCTCTACCCAAACCAGTCCGTCCGCTGACCAAGCCAGTTCGCCCGCGTTCTCCTCTCCGACTCGTCCGACGACCTCGATGTCGGACTTCATATCGTTTCTAGGCCAACTACCACATTCAACTCGTCTCTCTTTTTCATTTCTGGTTCAAATTGCGCGTTGCTTCCTCTCGTATTCTGGGCGAAGCTGCGGGCGAATGTGCGATGGGAACGTCCTGCACCTGGACGCTGTGACACTGCCTCGTCGCCCTTCTACAGAGTCCGTAATACCTGGAATGGCTTTCACTTTCTCTGGCAACGTGGGGTCTCTCGAACCGTGACGTCTTAGGTCCTGCGATTGCCACCCAAAATCACCCAACTCTAACGGGTCCTCTTAAATTTATCCTACCGCCTTGTACTACTAAATCATGCTGCTTCTCGGAATTGAAGGTTTGAGCTTGGAAGCCCAAAGCTATTTTACGATACCCAGCCGGTAATCTACGGTGACTAGTTGGCTATGGCCTGGATTCTACTCACTTTCAAGTTCTACTTCCGAAAGGATTCTGGTCGAGCCACGTTTTGGCCGTGGCCTTTTCAGGCTATGTAGATCTGGTCCCAATCGACTTCCAGTCAAATTTCCTTCCCGGCCACGCCGTGGTCAGGCTATCCAAACGCCTAACCAAAACAAGCCTGCCTCGAGGGTGCCTTGACTCTATGTTATACTTTCTCCCTATACTTCCATTTCGGCGATGGATATCAAATCCTATCTGCGCGATTCACCGTGCCTGCCCCACCCGGTGAGCAAGAGCCAGCCTTCTCCGTTGAGCAAATTGCATTCGATTGCATGGCTAGAGGCGCATCAGATGACCCCTGGTTCATTGCTGCTTGGATATGCAGGACCTCACCGACACCATCGCAATGGAGCCCTTGTCATAAATTATCTATGCCTCAGGGAGGTAATGTAGGTCCCACGTTGCAAAGGGCCTATCTCTCGCCACCAAGGGACAATTAACCTTCCGTCCCAGACTCCGCGGCACTTAACCTAGCTTAATGAACGATTCCTCCCCCAAACCACGCCTCTTTCGAACCGCGATCATACCTCGATTCTTAAAGCCTGATTATAACTCTGTTAAAGTAAGTTGAGCAGCAGTCTTTCCTCGTTCTTTATTTAATAAAACTCGGTGCTAAAATGGCAGTCTAGACAGAACAAGTCGTGTTTCAATATCAGTTTGGGTTAATCCTTTAGGGTCCCTGGTGGAAACCACGCGCCCGGGAAGCAGTGACAGTGACAGGCTTACTACCAGCACACCTAATAGAAAAGGGCGAAAGGGTCCACCATTTCATTATCAAAGTGGCCAGTAAACTCCATCTGGATGGGATGGTCCCTTCTCGATTGAATGGATCCAAATTGGCAATTGAAAAGCGCCCCGGCTTGTGATAGTATCTAATAAAGTTACTATGGAATCCTTCACGGGGCCATATGCAGTATACCTACCGCTCTCCATACAACCCTAGTGGCAATGCAAGCGGCATAGGCCGCTTATTCTCCGGTGACCAGGAAATTTCACGTTTTCAATAAAGACTTAGATAGGCTGACTCCTTTAATCCCTGTGGTTCCGTGGTCAATTGAGCGTCTTCTTTACTTTACTCTCTTCTCACACTTCCGATGCTACCTACCTACCAAGCTATCCATTGTAGTTACGCCACCGGAGACAGAAGTATGCACTACTTTCGGTCTCCAGTGTCTATAGCAAGACGTTGGTCTCGCATTTACATTATCGGTTAACCATTACCATTTCATTTACATACTACCAAGGGTACTCCTCCGTTGCTCCTCCATGGCCCTTGCTCCATACAGGCAAACTTTCTCAACGCGTTGCTCTTCATTTGACACATAATTGAGGGCAGTTCCCTTTCACCGATTCGAGACTTGCTACCGTCCGTAAGGGACTCCGCTAAATAGAATATGATTGAGGCTCCGGCCACAGTGGGCGTACATATGTCGTCGTAAGGGCTCGCCACCGGAAAGCAGCAACGATGCAGCGGGCGGCGGAGGTACGCAGGACGGCTAACCCCGTTTAAACCACAAAGGTCGGTAAGTCGTTTTCCCAATCAGAGCAGTCGTCGCGTCACAACGTCACGCCGACAAATACTGTTGTCACGCTTTCCTCCCAACTTGTTCGTTGCTATACTGACACTCTGACCTTCTGGGAGTCTACCATCTCACAGCGGCGCAACCGTCGCCGCCACGAAATGTCTTTTGCCAGATCTGTCGAGCCTTGCTGGGTTGGATTCCGCTCTCAAGTCTGGCTTCATGTCCCAATTTAGGACCGGAACTCTCGGGGTTGCTATCCCAGAGTTATATCCTCGCACACAATTACCTGCTCGATCACGGGTTTCATCATCTACATTGGAAAAATAAATTATGTTGTCCACCGGACCAGTGGGTCTTTCTTACGGTAACGAAAGTTTCAATTTAGCCCACGCGGGGGTGAGCACTTTCGAGTGGATGTTGTAAGGTCCACCGTCCGTCTCCTTGCGACAGATAGCGGCAACACCGATTCCCTTTTCGCATCTGAATCTTTGACTCCCTCCTTCCCTCCTTCTTCTTCTCCTCCCAACTCTACTTTCTCCTCTAATTTTCTCCCTCCCCTCCTTCCCGACCTTCGACATCTTAATGAACTGACGGTGTATGTCCGATCTTTCTTCTTCACTTCTTCTCCTGCATGTCTAGATCTCGGCGCCTCACTGCCTCTGCTACTTCCCATAATCTCCCGGGTCCAAGTACCACACCTTCTTCTGCCACCACCACGACGGCTGCTACCACAACCACCACAGTGGATCCACCAAAACCATCCTCTAGTCGACCACACACCCCGCCCCACGACCACAGCAGAGCCCAGCCCAGCACGAGCACTTCAAGCTCTTCCCCCATGCGCTCTATCGTCCACGACCCAAACCCCCGCTCACCCATCCCTCGTGGGGTCATCCGACCCGCACACACCCACCCCGACCTCACCCCACAACCCTCACCCAAACGCATACGGACAAAGTCTGGAGGTGGTGGTACTACTACTAGCCCGGAGCGGTCCGGTGGAGCACTTGCGAGCCCATCGTCGGACTCGCAGAGTGGCAGGGCGGATAGTGAAGCTGATACTAAGAAGAAGGAGTCCGGCGATGCCGCGAACGCGCCCCCTCCCAAGAAGAAGCGGACTCGCACCTTGACGACTCCTCACCAGGCGGCTGTGCTTCATGCTCTTCTAGCCCAGGTAGGTCCTTGATTACTCCTTATCATTCTCTTACGGTATGCTAATGATCTTCAACTCTCTAGTCTCGATTCCCAACAACTGCAATGCGTGAAGAGGTGGGACGGTCGATTGGTTTGAGTGCACGAAAAGTCCAGGTGTGTACCTTATCTCCTACCAGTTCCTTTACGTGAAACGCGCTTCAAAGTACATTTTACTAATCTCCTGGCGATAGATCTGGTTTCAGGTATGTCGGCGTCGCGTATCCGACCCTTTTGGCAAGACCACTTATATGTCCATTTGTACCTCTCATTAGAATCAACGGCAGAAAGCGCGACGGCCCCGCAATCAAGGTGATACTTCCACAAGCAGCCAACCTCCGCAGTTTGGGCCGTACCCTAGCGCCACCCCGCAGGCTCCTGCATCGGGCTCGTATCCTTCCATGAGCGGGGTCATCGGCCTCTACTCCCAACCGGGACCATCTCGGCCATTAGAGCACGCGCAGCAGCCCTCTCCTGATCGGTTTCGACACCATTCAGTGCCTCTCACAGAGACTGTCTCCGACGATCCTCCTCGTTTGCTCGGCCCTGGGATGCCAGGTACAGAGACCTATGATCCTCGCCCTACTCGAGGTCATGCAGGGGACTGGCCACTCTCAGCCCCTCCGACAGAAGGCCACTTCTCAACGGGCACTCGGGTGCGATACGACAGCCGACCTCTTCCTCCGCTCTCATCCCAACCATATCCCATGACCAGCCCACGACCAACAACCTCACAGCCCCGAGGTTGGCGGGAACGAGACATGTCACGAACTTTACCTCCTTTGGTGCCCATTCGCCCAGCTACTTCAAGCTCGTTGGGTGTACGCCATTCATTTCACTTGGAACCACAAGCTCCATCATTGCACGTCAACATTCCTCCTTTGGCGGGGAGGAGGACCAACTCCCCCGAGTCGATATTCGCGCACCAGCTGCCTGAGCCCACCTCGACTCGACCAGTCACGTTGCCTCCTCCTTACACGCTGGAACCACGTCCGCAGTGGGACGAAGCTGCTTACAACCCGGTTACCCGACCGTCGTCCAGTTGGTCTCGTCCGGACTCACGCTCGTCTGATAAGCGATCCATCTCTCCGCCGTCGTCGAGGTTACCCGAACTCGCCCGTCCAACAACCCTGTTGGACTCGAGTCCGTTACGCCACTCGGACGTGAGTGGTGGGGACAGGACGCCGCCACCATCTGCGCCCGTTGCTCAAACTCGAGTAGCCTCTCCGCCACCCGTCGAACGACGCGCGCCATCCCCTGGACCAGTTCGTCAAGGCCGTTACGATCCCGTACGTGGGATCTTCGTTCCCTTCCCAAGGCAGACAAGTCCGACCACGACGCCAGCATCCCAAGAAGAAAAGGCAGCGCCGCAAGGAACCTCATGAAAATTCGCAATTGAATCCCTTTTACATTACAACCACCGAAGAAGCGTTCCAATCGACTTCCCAAAGTTCTTAATTTGTCCAAAACTCTCATTCCTTTCTTCCCCTCTTTTTGTTTCTCTTTTTTTTCAAACTCACGATACTAACGAATATCACGATGCTTTCGGTGTCAAAAAACTTTACATTCGTTTTCGTCTTTCTCGCTGACTTATTAGTACTGCCCTCCTAGGCTTCCCACTCATTGTTGTTGTGTTATAATTGTTCTCGAGACGTACCCCGGATGTCACATCATGCCGTTCCACTATATCTTTATAATTTAATGCTAATACTATAATACCGATACTGTAGACATTCGAGTAATAGGGTAATCATCAATACACACGTACTGTACTACTGCACTGCCATAGGCTAAATGATCATGTATATTTCCTCCTCTTTCTATTCATTCGAACTGATTCAAGTTTAGCATACTGCCACGATGCTTTCATCTCCGTGTACGTGGGTTCATACGACCCTCTTTCAGTCCCACACTCGACGTACACCATGCACTTCATGGTAGATACCCTACAATCTCTCTCGAGATCATAAACGACGCACACCTCGTGCAAAATACTCGGATTTTTAGAAACTTTAATCGTCATGATGTCGAGGCAAAACCCGCGAGAGGATCGCACGACAAAGCAGGACGCCGTATTGTCCACTATGAACCACTATGAAGACAAAAAGGCGCCCACTCTTTTCCTATTCCAGGTGAGTTAGAAGCACTTTTTTCGCGCCGGTTTGGCAATTCAATGGATTCTGCTGCGCCCTCTTCTCCGTGACCCCGGTTCAGAATCCCAATGAAATCACAAGATGGTTCAAAAGCCACGGAATGAATCGGTGTTCATCCACCAGGATTTTCTATAGACTTCTACGGCCTACCTTCCATATGTCGGAAGGGTCCCTACAAATTGCAATCTCCTCTTCGAAGAGCTTCACACAAAGTCCGTTGCAGCCAAAATAGCAGCATCGTGATGGTTGATCGAGCCCAACAGCGGATTTAGATTGGTCGTACTTTCCTTATGGAGATAGTTACCCATTTCGATCGATATCTGTGTGGCGATCTCACATGGGGAGGGCGCTTTAGGTGAGCCACTGGGAAAAACCCGAAACCCGCGTCGACTGGTTTCGTCAAGGCTTCGTCCCCATAAACCTTAGGTGATGTGGGTATGTAGGCAAGTCTACAGAGTTTATTTCACTAAACGTGGCACGCCACTGGCAGTGAGTGGTTCATAAATGTTATGGCATACGCCGTGCTGAAGGTCGACCCGAACTGAACCATCTATGAACTATGTATCTATGAGTAGTGATATGTTTCCTCCATGAAAATATACCCATGACTGTCTAGATGATGTTGAAACGGGAATTGGGGATTTGCCTTCTCGATGCCAAAATACCATCATTCGAACCGTCAAGAAGCCTCCGCTGGTTCTTCATCCCCGCTATCCGCTACGAGAGGCTGCTTCGAATTGACGGTCCCAGTTCTCCCATCACTCGTATTGACACCCTGAATGACAGCGCCGGGTGATGCTGAAGGGACATGAAAGGTGCAAAGGTCAATCCACTAATCCCAGAATGAGAGGTGCGCGGTACTGACTCGACGACGGGGAATTCCGACTCGGCTTTGGCGTCGAGGACGACGTGCGGGTGGGTCTAGATTTGTCAGAGGTGAGATAAGCCTGGATACTGGCAAGGACGTCTCGAGGTGGACGCGCGCGATCGCCTGAATTAATGAGTTTCTTATTACTGGCGCCAGTGTCGCTCGTCGGGAAGTCAGCATGACGGTCTCCAAATGAAGTGTCTTCCCGTGGTACAGCCTTCCCTTTTCCCTTCAAATCCACGACGTCATGCAGTCTCTTGGCCATATCGCTTTGTGCCGCGTCTGATATTCGCGTTTCCACTGGATCCACGCCCGCCGACCTGTTGGAACCCTCCTGCAGACCGCCATCGTTGGATGGTCCGGCGATCTCACGCGAATTGCCGTTATCTGGGGGACCGGAGAATGCAGGGTTATCAGGAAGAGTTCGCCTACTGCTAGAGGCGATTGGTGGATGGTCATGGGGCGTCCCTGTGGAAGGTGTGCTACGAGAATTGGACGACCAAGGAGAAGACTGCCAATCCTCTCGGACATCCCTCCTCTCTGGTTCTTGATGTGGGCGACGTTGTGTTTGTGAGCTGTTAGATGGTGACTGTGACCTTGAGCGAGAGGATTGATCCCATCGCCTTCTCCGTGAGCTCTCTGGCGGAGGCTGTAGTTCTGGTGGTGTGTCATACTGTGGCCCATGAGTACACTTTCAATTAAGGGAATTTGAATGAACTTGCCTGAACAATGGTATCGTACATGAAGAGATCTTTATACGGCGATCGCACGTAGCAATAAACCTCTGATAGGAAGGTCATCATGGGCCCAATCATAGAGAACTGAAAGCAGCTGACCATGCGCGAAGTGCTCGGCGTTAACATGTCGTCCACCAGGGACGTAGGGTGCATCCAAGTCCAGAAACTCCGACAAAAGCTTTACTGCGGACTCTGAACGTATATCGATGGACTTCATTAACGAGATAATGAGGGTAGTAAGAAACTAAATGAACGGATCAGTTGGAGATTGAACTTGTTCAAAGCAAACAGGGGGACAGACCTCTACATCTAGCCCTTCCCAAACCTGGAGTTCACGGCGTAAGAAGGTCGTTGTCCGTGAAATGAGATCCGGTGAAGCAGCAAAGACAGCTGGGCTAGGATAAGGGCGAAATTTCGTGTAGGAGTTGGAGGCAACGTGCTTAGCGAGGAAAGGTCAGTGAAAAGCTCTTCTCCAAAACGGCAATGGAGGCACGCGTACCTTGGCATACAAGTGATGTCTATAGATCCAGCGCCGTTTCGCGAGTGACCTTTCGAATCGGTCCAATTCACTAAGTTCCTCTCCACGTCTCCTCCGTTCCCTCTCCCTTCTCCTGTAAATTGCATTTCGACGAGCGTTTACAACAGGATTCGAGGCGCTAGGTTGCTCTGGGGGAGGAGAGCTGCGTAGCGGGGCCAGAAAGTGCTTGCGGTAATCAAATCGAGAGCGAATACTGTGTATGATGTAGTCTCCTATCGGCTGGTTGCAGAGCGGACAACGGCGGGACTGGCCTGAAACCATCGCAGGGTCAGGACATTGTGACGTCGAAACGTATTGCCGGGCGACGACTACCTGTCCAAACGAGGAGGCACTCAAAGCAGAATTCATGAGAGCATTTTGGTATTACAGTCCGATCTTCGAGGGTATGCAAGCAAATGCTACAGCTATCCTCCCCTTCTTCTTCATTTCCTCCATCCATCGTCGCATCCTCCGAGACTTTGTCGACTGGGATTTCTGGAATTCCAGGGGTGGAGTCTGCATCGTTTTCTAGTCTGATCCGTTTGGGAGTGTGCTCGTGTACCTCTTGTGACATTCAGAGAGCTATAGTGGCTTAATGAATGGGCGTGTCACTAGAGAATGTCGACACTACGATTGGCGTTGGTTGGAGGAAAGAGGAAAGCGGTCAACGAGGCAGACGAGTCAGTCGACGGCAGGCTCACCACTTCGGGATCAATACAATGGAGAGATCAAGAGAGATAAGATAAGATGTACTCGAGTATGTTATCTCCGATGACAGAACCGGTTTGTCATCACCTCGACGGGCTTTGTCATTCTCTTACTCCTGCTGGTACCATTCGATTGGCTTACCATACGTCAGAATCGCGAATAGCAGTTCTATTGACTATCATTAGTGACCATTTGGTCAGGAGACACTCCGCCAACAGTTGGATATAAACCGGGACTGGGCCGCGAAGATGTCGCTCAGACTCACATTCTGTCAACTTTAATCCTCCATAGCCATGGCAGCAAACGCCGCGAAACGAGTATTGGTAGTCGCAGGTAAGAAAGTCTATTTCATTTTCTAGAAGCCAGCGTCGCTAAGCGGGTATTAGGTCTAGGTACTGGCGCTGGGACGGGCGCAGCAACAGCGTGAGTAGCGTCGCCGCGAAGCTTGATGAAGGTTGACATGCCTCCCCGACAGACGTTTGTTCGCCCAGAAGGGGTACAACGTCGCCCTCATCGCCAGGGGTGCTGATTCTGTCAACAAACTGTCAGAGGAGATCAATGCGGCTGGCGGCAAGGTGTGTACATACGGCGCCGCGTGCTCCCAGAGCTGTCTCAAACTGTGGTGGCTGACCCCAGCCATCATGCAACCAGGCAGCGCCATTCACTGTGTCCTCGTATTCATCGGGGGACATCTCAACCGTATGGTCGGACATTCGCAAACGATTCCCGAAACCCGAATATGACATTCGAGCGGCGGTTTGGAACGCTGGAGAAGGCATCTGGAAACCTTTCCTCGAAATCACAGCCGACGATGTCCAACGGAGTTTAGACACAAACGTTGCCGCTGCTTTTGCGTTCTCTCGCGAGGCCATCCTGTCATTCAAAGGGAACGACATTGATAGCTCCAATGGAAAGCGAGGTATACTCATTTTCACTGGAGCAACTGCCAGTTTGAGAGGCAACGTCACGACAAGCGCGTTCGCAGCTGGGAAACACGGGGCTCGAGCACTGTCCCAAAGCCTGGCGAAGGAGTTTGGCAAAGATAACATCCACGTTTCTCATGTACGTTCCGCTCCATTCGCGATCTGTCTTCATTAATTTCATGCCATGCTTCCAGGTAATAATTGACGGAGGTTCGACTTCCCCTGATCCGTGTTAATTCCCATTATTAACTTCAGTTCCAGGCATCTTGACGGATCGTTCTCGACAATATAGAAACGACCCCAAATGGGAACAAAATGAAGATGTGAGATTGAACCCTGAGAGCATTGCCAATGTATGTGTTGCCACCGTCTGTCGCCGCTGTTCATTAACAACCGAACCAGTCATATCTCTATCTCGCGAACCAAGACAGGTCGGCCTGGACCTGGGAGCTCGATTGTAAGTCGAACTGGCCTGCCTGTATCCGCAGCCCTAACTGACCTATGATCGCCAGTGCGCCCTGCCCACGAGAAATGGTGAAGGAATGTCGTTCACAGTATGCAAGAATTTCGACCAAATGTATCGTCGGTACCAGAATACTGATCCGTTTATCCTACAATCGAAAGATGCTAATGAAAAAGCACGACCGCCCCGAGTCCAGCAACCACGCCAGCCAACAGTACGACGGTCGCTTCTCGAACGTCTGAAATCCTAATAGAGGTGCCACTACTTGCTCTACTCCCCGCGTTCCCGGTTCCTCCTGTTCCTGTACTAGTGGCATGAGACGAAGAGCTAATTCTCGTTGAGCTGCTCCCTCTCGAAGTGCTGCTGCCACTCGCAGTGATTCCAAGACTGGTGAGAGGGATCCCATTCGCGATTGAGCTTGTCGTCATGCAGTTGGAGGATGATGGTGTGAAGTAGGGAGCTGGTGGTGTGGAGGTGTCACCGACGGTATAGACCTGGCTGTTGCTCAGGGTCCCAGTGTATCGTTGGGCAAAGGTCGAGAATTGGGGTGTCCCATTCACAGTCGTCGTTGGGTACCACCCAGGGGGGTCTAGTCATTTAAGTCAGTTGATCTCTTTTTCTTTGGGATTCACGAAGCTCACATGCGACCTGTGCATCACAGCTTTGGCTAGGTTCAAGAGTTCAGTGGAAAGCGGAAGATTGGGATGTCTTTCGAACTCACAAGGTTCCGTTGACGTTGTAGTCCGCCGGCATGACGAATTCACATCCCATCTCGTCGAGTTCGTGCCAGCACATATCAGCAGCACTGTACGTCGAGTTGGCGTTTGTGCATACCCTCATGCAGAATTGGTTATAGTCCTGCCATGGAGTGAGTCGTCTGGGTGTTACCTCTCTGGGACAGGGCTTACGATGTATAGCTATGTGCAGGAAAGCCGGACGTATGTCAGCTAGCAAAGCGAGTCGCAAACGGAACAATCACCATCCATTCCGCAAAGTTCTGGTCGCTGCCTGTGATGTTGGATGTTACGTTTCCACCAATGGGGTTGCCGTCGCCGTATTGTCCATGAGGATCCAGTTCACTGGCGAGCAAACGCTGAGATTCTGAAGGGTGGTGGGGAAATGCGAGGATGCACCTACCCTCCGTAATCCCCTTGGGGTATGTTGAGTTTGGTAAAGTTCCCGAATCCGATGACTTGGACGTAGAAATCTAACGTTTCGTCTTCAGGTCAAGAGCGTTCCGAGATATGACGAATCAGCACGTACCGGTTCTGAGGAAGGTTACCCCTGTCAGAGTCCCATCTGGGATAACGCGAGCGTTGTTCCTGGGTTTCGTGCACCACGCAACCTCGTATGTCTGGCGAAAACGCAAGCTCCTTTCAAATAGCCGCACAGTGGTCGTCGGTCTGACACGTACCTCGGAATCCCCTATCTCCTCCAAGTTGGGAGGGGCGAAGAGACAAAAGTCCTGCGATCACGATCAAGAGTTGAAGACAAGACATTGGGAAAGGAGGAGGATATCCTTACATCAACAGAGTTCACCGTGACCAGGCGAGCCATGCTGGTTTGGTTTATTGGGGTACCTAGCGTCGGTCGGGGAGGGTTGGTCGGTCCTTCTGGTCCAGTCGCGATGACACCAGGAGGGAACCCTGTTTGCTGCGCCTTCACTGCGGGGGTGGCCAAAGAAAGGAATAGGACAAGGTATGTAGCTGAGATCATCCTGGTGTGACAGTCAATGGTCGCTGAGGAGGACAGGAAGGTTAATGCGAGAGGCTCGCACGAGGAGGGGTACTGGGTTCCGGGTTCCACCCTGACGAACAGTGGGATCTTATACTATCTCAAAAGTAAAACCAGGCGCACATTCAGAGGTGGACTGTCAGTCAACAACGCAATCGATATACAGAGTGCAACACGAAGACAACTGAAAAGGGTATGTACAAAGATACAAGGATATGATATAGATTCGTCAGTAGATATCGAAGAGGAGGATCGTCAAAAGGAAAGGCGTGAGAGTGTCATGGTGAAGGGTCCGTGAAGAGAAACATGAAATGAACAGGAGCACTGTTGAGGCTCGAACGCGTGCCTCGAGGATGACACGAGTACTCTCTAGAAAAGCAATGCGGCAGCACTCAGAGCGGCAAGGACTATCACGACTGGTTGAGCGCTGGTGGCAACAGCAGCTCCAAGAATATCAGGGACATCGGAATTATCGTCTCCCGAGTCGATACCCGGCACACCTGCAGTCTCGGAAGGACGAATAGTGACCTGGTTGGTTACTCGAGTCTGCGTAGGCTCTGGGAGATCGTCATCGTCGGTAGGGAGAACATTTGGGATGCTCCTTGAGGAAGATGGAGGGGGGAGAGTAACGGGAAGGTCGGAGCTAGAGGATGTGACAGGAAGGTCGCTGGAGGTGCTGGGGAACGAAGGTCGGGATGTCGGGCCAGTCGAACCTGTCGTGACGGAGATAGGGGGATAATCAAATGCCGCGCATGCCTCGTCGAAGGCTGTGGCTCGACGTTAGAATTGAACGGGGATGCTGAAGGAAGTAAAAGACACGTACAGTCGATCAAGTCGTTTGCTGCATTGAGAACAGCCTGGGTAGGGCCGTTCTCCCAGTAGCAGTTAACACATCTGTCCAGGCTTATTGCGACAGCTCGTGTGCACAAGCAGCTGGTTGTCGTGCAGACCTATAAAGTCGTATGACATGTATTCGTATCAGAAGTCTTGGGATGGCTCCGAGTCAATGCTTACATCGAGCGCGTTGTTGAACGTCGAACATTCCGTGGTACACTGAAGATTCTGTTAATTGGGAAAGCGATGTAATGCAGCTGGATCCACGTACGATAGAGGACTGACGAGGGAAAAGATGTTTGAAAGGCGCCCTTGCCTCGATCACAGCTGCTTGGGCTGTAGATTCCTTTGTTTAGTTTTGAATTCCGGAAAACATACAGAGAACTGACCCCTTGTGGCCACGAGAGTCACGGCGGCGAGCGTAACAGCTGTGAGCCTCATGGTTGATAGACTTTCAAGTGAAGGACGAGGTCAAGGGAGGGAAGGCGCGAGGCGTCAGGGAAGAAAGAATGCCTTTCTCAGGCCTCATGGAATAGGGTGGGCGCGGCTTTATACCTATTGTGGATTCCGCTGTCAACCCAAATGGGGTGTACATAATCGAGCTCGCTGTCGAGAACTTGTCATGCCTTGCACAGCATCCTATGTGCCATCAGGCTTCCTCGAGGAGTTAGAGTCAGAGTCGTACCATGAGGCTCGCAATACTGCTTTTCAGGCAGCCAGGAAGTAGAAAGTGGTCGCTTGGGATCCCATTTTCAGGCGTACGGTGACGTCGAAGAAGGTCGAAGACCCAGCACTCAATGATAACAATCACAGGCGCTATGCTAACCTGATCCTCGGAAAATCTAGGGGAAAGGATGCAATCCTACTGGAACGCTGATTGCATGCCTTTCCCAACGTGCATTACTGTGGATGCAGAGCATCATCCCTTCCTTAGATGTACTGTAAACTTGTCAAGAGATTGGGCGCTTAATCTATCTTGGCAATTAAAAGACGGAGTGCTCGTCAAGCTCCCGTAACACTATCTGTTCCGCACGCGGGAGGAGGGACTAGTTCAGTGCGGGTCATGTGGGGTGATCGAGACCGGATGGTGTTGTGAGGCAATAGCTCTCTTGAGGGGAGTTAGCCTACAGTTCCGGGATGCTTATCGTCCCGGACGGAAGGCGGCCATAGGTATTCTCTGTCCCTTTCCGTAGGCTTTTGACATAAACATTGTTAGTTTACTATACTACTGAAGGAAGTCAGCGGTACTTCTGAAACAGTGGAACAAACACACCATTTAAAACTTTCTTCTCGCCGTTGACTTCCTTCATCGCAACTGAGCCCATCTGTTCTGACTTGATAATACCTTTCTCATGGGTCGAGTCGGAGCAGACTGCTGTCGTTATATGGGAAGGATGTGTTGAATGGAAAGCCGTGGAGGTGTGAGGGTCGGAGGACATCCGAGTCGTGTCGGCTTGGGTCTCAGGAACGACCTCGAATCGGATTTTGCTCAGGAAGTTGGTGGAGGTGGGAGCTGGTTTTTCTCTTCCTGCCCGGCTGGCGATCGTAATGATGAGGTTAAAGGTAATGCCCTATACACCCCAGGTCAGCACACAATGACGAACTTATTGAAGACGTTGGCGCCTACAATGATTTGAATGAGCTGAGAGACAGGGTGGTTTTAGTAAACTTGAACAGGGTGACTTTTGAGAGACCCATTGGAATTAGCTTACCACATTGAGCATCACCGCCTGGCCGTTATGGTTGGCGATGAACAAGGCAGCAAATATGAGAACGTTTGCCGTGTACAAGAGTCCCGATTGGATAAATATGACGCCAAGCTTCCAGAGCGGACTGACGCTGACACTCCATGGCTTCACTCTCGATTGAACTCTCCACAGCTCAAAGACAATCAACCCTGTCGAGTCCAGGAGTTAGTTCTCAAGCCTCACAAAAGAAAGAGTTGACCTGAGTACGGACCGGTTGTAAGGAGGTTCATGACGAGAGTGGTGACCAGCATGCTAGTGCTGAGAACAAATAGCTGGAGTGTGAACCAGTTTACATGGCCGTGTCTGTTGACTTCTTCTCCGTAGATATAGAGGAGGGCCAGGACCGAGTATCCGAGCCATAGGATAGTCGGCACGAGAGCGACGGACCACCGTCTATCGTAGACGACCCATAGCCGATAGAGCTAGACGTTGACCTACGTGTGAAGACCCAGACCAGTAAAGCGTGGACTTTACTCACCAGAATACTATCCCCCATAAACGTCTGCCCGACATAACACCCCACTCTCATCGTATACGTCCACTCTAGGTGGAAATATTGTTGCAATTGTTCCAAGGTTGGGCTCCCGGTGAGCGCTTTGAGCGTCAGTCGGATCGTCAAGGCGATGTCGAAAGAGGCGAAGATGAGCATGAGTAGGGCGGCTATGAGCATCTTGTATGGGAGGCTGTCCCGTGGCTTGAGGCGCCCATCGCGCCAGAGGAGGGTCTTAATGCACAACCCGAACGTAACAAGGTAGATTCCTGCGAGTTGACCGTGAGCGCCCAAGACGACGACGGTCTATAGTGGATTTCTGACATACTGATGGTACAATGAGTGAGATAGTGGGCACAAATTAGACTGAATGATGACACACCCATAGAGTATGCTCTCCAGTGCAACGGTAACGATTTGCACTTTGTCGAAAGAGAAGGACGGGCCGTCTGTGGACATCTTCTCTAGGCCCACTCACTGGTAGTGATTGCAGGGTGCAAAGTGCAGAAACCGGTGCCAGCGCTCACGGGCGGAAAGGAAGGAGCCCTTGCACTGGTATCTTAAAAGCCCATGGTGGAGTGTAGGAAAGGCGGAGAATACTGCCCCTGTGACGGGTTCATGGAGAACCATGATCATCTGATGGTGTCCTGCTATTTTGTTGTGTCGGAGGTTTTACGACGAAGATGAGGCTACGAGATTGTAAGTTCGAGCTCGGGTGAGGCGCTTCAGCCTTTCCGAAGACCGTGTCCTTTTACAATCATTCTAGCTACTTTGGACTCGAAAGAATGTCGCGAATATGGCGAGGCTCTAAACGCTGTCCCACCCTAGATGCCAACTTTGTTGTAGAACACCGAGGACGCTTGCTACGAAGACAAGCCTGTGCCAGCTCTCACCCCTTCTGAAGGGCCTTCCTCCACCACTCTCACTGCTCTGACCTCCTGCTTGGTCGTCTTCACCTTCCTCATCGAGATCTACATAGGCGTCACTAGCTGCTGAACCTGTGACTATTGGATGACTGGCTCGACTAGGTTGTTCCTGTGCAAAGGGAACCGCGTCAAGTGAGGTGTCCTCAAGAACATCACCCATGGCAGGCGCCTCGACTGAGGGAGTTGAGTCGATTGACGGAGTAGCGGGAGGATTTCGACTGGCTGTCACAGAGGGGAGGATGATTCGACCGGGTCCTCTTGTTTCAGAGGGTTCTGATTTGTGCGGAGGGACTGATTCTATCAGGGTGGATGGGAGGGACGCGCCAGGCATAGGAGGCTGGTAGTTCCTATGTCCCAGTCTTTTTGAGGTAGGCCCTCGGGTACCATAAACGAAAACTGATATTCAGTGGAATGATCACCGTGATTAGTACCAGTCGCGCGCAAAGTAAGACAACACCAAGGCTCGGCACTTCGACTAACCTTGAGGCGCTGAGACGAGGAGAATCAAAGCCGCGTACCCCAATTTCGAGGCTTTCATGATGGCTGAGACCACAGCATGGGAGTTGAGAACAACTCAGAGTTTACGGTAACAGTTCCCAGCGATCCACTTCGAATTGACCGCAGTTTGTTTCCGACAGGGGGCCGCCCACTACGTAAGTTCTCAGGGAACTCGCGCTGCTGGGCCAGAGCAGGAATTGCGAGATTGATTAAAGAATTGCGTTTTACGTCGAGTCATCCACTGAGATTGAGGCTTGAAAGAGGATGGGTCAGTGGATAAAATGCGGGCAGAAAGGTCCATTGTGGCAGTTCGTTGGCCAATGTCATAGCTACATTATAAGCACAGAGTAACTTCGGGTCTCCAGGACTCTATATATAGGATACATCTCGTACCCAAAGACAACATACTTAGAAAAGTACAGAAGTAGGCTTAGCACAGCGAGGAAATGAGTGATGCACGTTCGGCGCTTAAAATTGGTCGAGCGTCTAAATGAAAGCTCGCAGCGGTCTTAGGTCTTATCGGCGTTCTCTCAACGCAGCCATCGCATGGGAGAGAGCATGACGAAGCTTGGGAGACCTCTTCGAAAGGACCCGTTGGTGGGGACGAACCACCAGGCATTTCTGAGTCTGCCGTGGTACCGTCTCCGACGTAGGGCTTGTGTTTCGTGGGGTCGTGGCTGACGATTCAGATGTTGGTGAACTTGTTGGGCCGGACGTGCTCTCAGGACTGCCGCTCTCCAACGTACCTGTGGAAGTAGGAGCAGATGAGGGCTCGGAGGCACTGGCGCTCGAGCTCGAGGCAGGTGGACTAGTAGAACTTGACGGCGTGGAGGTTGAAGGAGGATCGGACGGCATGATCAGAGGCTCGATGTCATATTCTTCGCAAGTAATTGCGAAGTCTGGATGGAGATGTTTCAACGCACATTCTAAAGCCGGAGAGAAGGGTACCAACCATCGAGAGTTTGTTGAACGGCATCGTAAATATCTTCTATTGGTCCCTCCCCATACAAGCAGCTCAAGCACTCGAAGAGGTCTTCGTTGTTGTCCTCAGTGCAAAGGCACTGTACGTTCGAGCAATCCTGTATTTCAATGGTATGAGGATGATGGGTTGCACAAGGGCTGTGTCAAGAGAGCTTACTCCCAGTGTTTCGCTGATTGCACTACAGCTCGACCGGCACTGACAACGGTAGTGAGTGACGTCGCAATTCCAGCAGGGCTAAACCGAAACATACTTCGTCTACGACAACTTCAAGAATGACTTGAGAGTCCGGCCTCCCCGGGAGGTCCAATTGAGCTGAGGCTTGTAAAGCTAGGGTCGCACATCAGTTCGTGCCGGTCATAGAGGGGACAAACAAGTGACCTAGGAAGCAGATAATGGCGATCCACGTCCAGAAGGTGTCAAAGCGAATTGACGGCATCAGAGATACCCGGCAGCCTATGGATGGAAAGAAGTGAAGACTTGTCGAGTTATCCTGCGGGTTGCAAGGATGGTGACAGCATCAAGCTAACCTGTGAACCCCTCGGATCCTCGAGGACCCAATCCACCAAGACCTTGAGGTGACCACGAGGCGGTGTCTATACCGAGCGGGGTAACGTCACTGACGTGCCAAGTGATAGCCTGAGGTCAAAGCCAATATCTTGCCGATCTTGCCGTTATTCCGCCAAACATACTTACTGCTAGTGCGTAAGTATACGTTAGTTACGTGGGCACTACACGTTTGCTCGTCACCTCAACACCTGAAAATGAAAGTCGAATTATGGGTTGACAAAGTACAACACCCAAGGTAGTAGGTATAACAACGAAGGTAAAGCAGTGGGTATGGATGTTCAGTAAGGAAACAAATCATCAGTGATCTTGCATTCATCGGTGAAGGGAGAGTCGGTCCTTAGAAGAGGAGGGCGGCACCAGCGACAGTCGCGGCGACTGCGGCCATGCTGAAGGAGAGAGGCGATGCTGCGCCGAGGAGGTCGGATGGGTCGTTATCGGAATCCTGTTCATCCCCGTTGGATGCACCTCCAGAGGCAGAAGGGAGGTCTCCAGTCTGGCTACCAGAGGGAGTGATCGTGTTTCGGCCAGTGCCAGTAGGAGCGGCCGAAGTGTCGTCATCGTCGTCGGCGTCGTCGTCGTCGTCAGAGCCTCCGATGGGACGGCCAGCTGACCTGCAGGTCGTCTCGAGCTCTGTTAGGCCGAAGCTTCAGTATGTGCTGGCAAGAAAAGTAGACACAATGAACGTACGGTCAATGACGAGGTCGGCTTGGTCCCTGACGAGGTCCGTGACGGTATCGCCGCCAGCAGAGGCCATGTCGATCAAGCACTCGAAGCATGTGTCGAGAGAAGAAATGGTCGCTGGTACGCAGAGGCATTCACCAGCTGCGTCACCAGTAAGGGAGCCGCATCGCTATACTCGCCATAAGTAAGGTTCGAATGAACGGTAGTCAGGAGAATCGTACTTGAAGGATTGCGGTGGCATCTTCACAGCTGGACTGACATTGAGGGGGGATAGCAGCAAGTAGTTCCTCGGTGGTTTGACGAGCGACGAGGACACTGTTGTGAGTGACAGCAGCAGAAGCTAATGAATGATCCACGCGTTACTGACAGCATCTCAAAATAGGTTAGCGATATGGCGCACCTTGCGAGGCAAAGAGGACAGCGCCAAAAATGTAGGTGAAGAGCATTTCGAAAGATTGGGAAGGGAAGCGACCCAAAGGACCGAAGGATGAATGCAAGAAGGGAAAGAAGCAAAGTGCTGGGGACCCGAAATTTTGTAGGGCACCTTTTATCAACCCTCAGGAGATGTTCCTACGAAATGTCTTGGCGCCCGTCCTTGACTATATGGAGAAACGGGCGGTACATGTCCCGCATATACCGCAAACGATTGTGGAGTCACAGCCGCCTCTTCGCTCCGACATGCCTCAAAACCGCCCACCTCTGGATAACTTCCCGTTTCTGACCCGGAAGGTCGTCTAGCATCACCTTCGTAACCCTGAAAGTCCTTTGGAAGGTAGCTCCATGTCGAATACAAAGCAAAGCAGTTTACCATTGAAATTGCATCTATGATCGATCGCCCCGGTATGATGCATGATGACAGTACCCGTTTTGGCATACCGGGAACGCAGGCGCTCCCATTTAGCGCGTCGAAATCTGTCAAGATCTCCATAAAACGCGTGCTGAGCAACAGCTCTGGATTCTCCAACTGAGATTCTTACTCTGTCTCTTCTTTTCTCGTCGATACTGATAGCGCTTGTTCTCAAAAGGCACTGGAAATTGAATAGAACCCCGTATCCGATCTTGGTTGTTTGAATATACTTGTGTACAAGACCGTTGCCACCGCGGCTTTGATAGTTATCATCGGCGGGCGGTGAAACGCACCCATATATGTATACACAGCCCCCGCGAACTTGCTGACAGAAGGTGTTAGCACAAGGGAATCAGCTCACCATTGGGCTTTGACCGATGCGACCAATACATTGAGCATTGCATACTTATCAATTCGATCATTGGGCCGTCGCTTGCCGCTGTCCCCGAAAAGCCCGCAAGTTCAGCGCAATCGTCGCTGAATATGAGAGCCTGGCGGTGACATGGCTTTTACAAGGTTGTGAACTTTGTGTGGCTCACCGGGCCGCTCTGTCTTCCCCTCAGCGACTCGTGGCTAGTAAGTGTACTGTTCCCATCCACCGCTCTGTGTGATCGAGACCGCCTCGGTTAAAGCGACCACTTCTCCGGGGAAGCCACGACTTGCACTCGTGATGCAGGTAGCTATCGTCGGACCTAATCGCAGATAGCACCCACTGTATAGAGGTTAATCGTCGGAGCCGCGAGTTCGAGGCTTCTATCTGCGCGATCACGCAGGCACAATACGCCAAATGGCATGTTTCTCTCATCTATGCGAGGTTGACAAGTGAGATGTCCTTAGTATAAATATTCTGTGAATGAGAAGAGAAAGAAACGTTGCTCAAATCACCCCAGTACTCCAGCCTACATTGTACATGGCCCTCAAGAGCGTAACATCCCTCTCCAGAGGAGCGAGGCCTGCGTTACTATTAGTGACCCTGGCCGTGCGTATTCCTTCTACCTTTATTTTACCAAGAGAGACCAACATTATTTGCCAGCTGTTGTGGCTTTCTCTCCGCAACTTCGATCCGGAGAGCTTTAGAGCACTCCTTGTTCCACATCCCAAGCTCTACAGTACGCAGTGCGAAAACGTACAGGCTCCCAACCAGAACCACTTCGGCCCAGTGGATACAGCTCCCGCTCGAAGGGCAAACGCGACCTTCGTCATCCTTGCTCGCAACAGCGACCTGGCTGGTACAGTGAACAGCATCAAAGAGATCGAGGACCGCTTCAACCGTCGCTACCAATACCCATACGTTTTCCTCAACGACGAACCATTCGATGAGAAATTCAAAAGGTCAGCTGGCCTCGAGTCGATGGCCACGGAGATTGCGAAGAGTTATATTTATCTTTCTAGCTTCCTTCCAGTCGTATTTCCATCCTGACTGACGCGAAGGTCGAGTTCGGTGTCATACCGCGTGATCACTGGAACCAGCCGGAATGGATTGACGAAGGTGTCGCGAAGTCGTGGAGGGAGTGGATGGTAGCTGGGGACATAATCTATGGAGGTGCGTAAGAAGGGACACTGTACAAGGTACTTCATGGTTAAGGATTGCTCTTTGTCTAGGCAGTGTCTCGTGAGTGGACTTCACCGCCTCCGACGAGATCTTCAATCCAATGACTCTTTCCCAGGTATCGGAATATGTGTCGGTTCAATTCCGGAGTAAGAGATACAGTTATCTCGACAATATCTTCCTCTTGAACTGGCATGGGACTATCCACAGTTCTTCTTCCGCCATCCTCTCATGGAGAAATACCGATGGTACTGGCGTATCGAGTACGTCTTTCATCCGGCTCCGCTTGATCCGGTATCACCCCCGCAATGTCGATGCTCACACCATTATCCCCTGCGGAGTCTAGGCCGGATGTCCATTTCCACTGCGACATCAACTTTGACCCATTCGTCTTTATGGAGGAGCACAAGAAAGTTTACGGTGAGCCAAGGGAGTCTTTAGATGTGATGGTTCCGTCTTTGGGTAACCCACTTGCTATATTCGGACGGCAGGCTTCACGATCACGATGTTCGAGTACGAGGCGACGATCATGTCGTTGTGGGACAACGTCCGAGGTACTCGATGCACTAGCCACCTTTTACTTTGAACTAATTCGCAATTCAGAATTTGCGAATATGTATCCGGAGTACATCGCCCCGGACAACTCACTCGAGTTCATCTCTGACGACGGCGGCGAAACGTACAATCTTTGCCACTGTAGGCTAACCACTGCACCACACGGACGTAACTACACTGACTCGTCCATGCCACTTTATTAATTGTAGTCTGGAGCAACTTTGAGATAGCAGACTTGGATTTCTGGAGGGCACCAGCTTACCAAGCCTTTTTCGAGTTCCTCGACTACAAGGGTGGTTTCTACTACGAGGTACGACACCTTGGACTCACTCACTCTTCTCCGTTCTCATACAAACTTACATAATAATACAGAGATGGGGAGACGCACCAGTCCACAGCATAGCAGCAGCACTATTCGCAAATCGTTCCCAACTCCATTTCTTCGACGAAATCGGTTACGAGCACCCTCCTTATACGCATTGTCCAAAGAGGGGAAACAACTGGGCTAAAGGTCGATGCACTTGCGATCCCGAGGAGAACTTCGGTGCGTGCATCCGTTCCATCACACAACCACTTATTGGATCCTTACGCCCCACCAGACGATTTTCCAGGATCTTGCCTCAGCCGCTGGGAACGCTTCATCAACGGGACGCTTTCGTAAAGACAAAGAAGAAATCTAGATTCCAAAGGGTAACATTAGGGGTCATTACATCGTTCAGGGAACATAGGGTCATCAGTGTACATACAACCTTGGGTATTACAAAGGGTTCAAACAGCACCTCCATTCAAATCAGTCACTGAACAACACCCATCTCCTTCCCAATCTCCTTCAAGCAATTCCGCGCAAGCGACCTGGCATCCACCTCATACACATCTCTCGTCCCTGGCGGCTTCAGGTCCCCAATCCTCTCGGCCGCCGACAACATCGTGCCCGATTTCGATATCCATCCTGTGGGCGATCGGCGAGGTATTGATGCAATCTCGCACAGCACAGGATAAAAGTGGAAGAGGTGGGCGACGGATGAGCGCTTCACAGAGTCAGCGATGAGATCTTTGGGCGCCGAGAGCTCTAGTTCGGATGCACCTGGTGATAGGAATCAGTATAATAGAAAGCAAGGAACGCGGTGTGAAGGAAGCGTACTAGGTTGCGATGATGAGTACTTGGTCGGATCATCTGAGACTGCCGCCCAGAGAGAACCAGGCCACAGCCGTAATGAGTGGAGCTTCCGCAGGACATACAACAGCTCTTCTTCGCGTGCTCTGAAGGAACGTGTCAATGATCTGTACCCTTTCAACACACGAAGACAACAACTCACCTCGGGAAAGGCAGGGAACCCCGCAAACTTTCATCTGCAACGTAGCTAACAAGCGTCGTTCGACACCGGTTAAGCAAAGAGGGCAGCGACAGCGCCGCCAATCGCCTTCTCGAGTCCTCCTGGTCTACAAAACCCAACCGTTGATCAGTATCACTCAACCGAAAACGAATACCGCAAGAGACCAACCTTGAGTGACGTTGGAACATATCAAAAACAATAGATCAAAGCACCAGTACGAGAAACGTTCCCGAGGAACCAATGCACCGAAATCCGTCGTCCCATCAATGTACTTGTTCTCAATCGAGTCGACTTTCGTAACATCCGTCTTGCCCGACGAATGCGTCCTAGCCGAATCCGCAGTCGACGGGCGCTTGGCTTGCTCGCCCGACTCGTACAACAGACTTCCTTGCTTCAGGATCTTGGACAGTTGAGCAACCAACGCATCCGGGACACGGGGATCACCAAGGTGCGGGATAACGTCAATCTCGAGTGAGGCGATCACTGACAGATCAAAATTCTCTTCCTCTTCTTGCGCTTCGAGGGACAACGATTCTGCAGCAGAACTGGGAAAGAGAGAGTTTTTTCAGAATCGTTGTGCCAAATATAAGACCTGCAGGACTCACCAATCCGCCAAGATCGCACCGCGGAACACATCCAATATCTGCCACCAGATGCCCTCAACGCGTTCATCAGAGAGTTCGCCGTCCAAACCCTTGAGGCTACCCGTGCACTCCTTGACAATCTGAAGACAACAAGTCGTAGCAATCTTCCAAAGCGGTTGATCCTTTCCAAACTTTGAAGGGGCCGGACAGTCATATTTCAGCTTGATAGGAACCGAATACGCCTAAAAGTGCCACACATCAATCAGCATTGCGCTAAGAACCGCATTTCAAAAAAGACAACTAACCGAAAGCACAGCTTCAACAGTCCCATCCGCATAAACCTGAGGCGCAGACTTGAACCGCATGAACAACTCCACGAGCATAGGCATCACTTTCTTCGAAAGCGCGATGTAGGTAACACGTTTCTGAGGCGTTGTTGACTTGCTATTGGGTTGCGGCTGGACATCGAACGCGGCCAGGAAGGCGAGGGTGACGTATTCCGAGAGGTCACGCATGACCAGGGAGGGAGATCCAGCGACCGACAAGTCGATGCTCTGAATCGTCTCAATGACAACGGCTTGGAGAGGCGGCAGAGCGTCGATATCAGGCCGATAGTCATTCGAATCAGGGTACGTGAGCACACCTACAAAACCTCAAAATCAGCGACACCAACCCTCCATAATCGAAAACAACGTACCCTTCAAAATAGCCATCAACCTCACAAGCTTCTCCAGCTCCCACTCCTTACCGGTCAATTTCCCATTAACCATCCTCGCACTCTGTATAACATCCACAAGCGCAATCAGGCTCTCCTGGGTGAACGGCTGCTCAGGCTGCAGCCTCTTCTCCCTCTGCTTCTCTTCCAAATCATCAGCAGCCTGTCCCGTGGCACCAATGGTACGCGAGCTCGCTGCTCTATGGCCCACCGCACTCCCAAGGACATCAACCGCCTTCCACACCCTCTCCAACACCTCCCCCACCCTTGGCCGCAACACGCCCTCGGCACCCGCAGCAGCCTTCACCGCCTTCTCCAAGCACCTCAGCGCAGGCGCACTAATCGACCTATCATCCAACAACACCGAATCCTCAATCCGCGTCACAAACGCATCCCACGCATCCCCAAACGAGTCGAGCAGCATGATTTTGGAGATCAAAAAGTCGTGGAAGATGGACCCGATAGAGTTGAGAGCGAGGATCTTGGAGTCGTCCCAGGATTTTCGGTGGGCTTCGTCTGCTTCTTCTTCTCCAGGACCCGGAACTTCTTGTTTGGGCTCCTCTTTCCTTCCATCGTCCCCATCACCAACTTCTTTTGCGGATCCGAGCTCCCGAATCCTCCCCGTAACGGCATCCAAAAGCGGGAACACGATACCCCACACGCACCGGTCCCACGTCTCACCACCCAACGTCTCCCCATACAGACCCATAGCCCTAACCAACGTCTGAATCGCCCCATCCCTCACCTCCGCCCTTCCATCCCCACACAACCCCAACACCTCACCAAGCAAAACCAACCACAACTCGCTATACTCTTTTTCCTCGTCCACATTTTTCCGTCGGGCTTGTATAGCATCAGACACACTCCAAAGGAGACTCGTCGTAGCAGTCAGGGCAATATTCGTATCCGACTGGCGGCCAAAGTGTCCGAGGGTGGCGATGAAGAGATGAAGATGCTCCGGCGAAAGAAGCGAAATCGAATCGCACACCAAAGTCAGCGACTGAAACGCAATCTTCACAAGGGCCGAATAACTCTTGGACGACGGATTTCCTAATCCCAGAACCAACGACGGTTTCACCTTGTGTTGCCCACCCTTGTCCTTGGTCGAAACCGAAACCGAATCTAGCGACCCACTCCTGGGTAGATGGTGATGCGGTCTACACACACTCTCCAACATCCTAAAAATAACCTCCCATCCAACCACCAACGTATGCCCCGACGACTGCAAAATAACATGCAGCGTCTCCAACCCCATCCTCCTCAACTCCACACTCGTCGTCGTATCACCCGAATACCCGTTCTCGGGATCAGGCACAACCTGCAGCGCCAACACCTCCAACACCCTCCTCTGCACCTCACTCTGCAACTGGCCACCACCACTACCACCATCCCTAGCCGAAATATTCCTCGGTACAACTTGCAGTATCTCGTCCAACACACGGGCAGCCTGCACACGAATCGCCTGCGGCGCAAGCGGCAAACGGATAACATGAACCAGGTGCGTCGTGATCGTCGTCCACGCGACATCAGGCGAGCGGTAGATCAGCCGGTGGATATTCGTCAGCGCTACACCGCCCAACTTTGAGATCCCAAAATCTCCCGTGCGCTGGACTTGCGTTTTGGGGATGTGCATACCGCTCATCCGCCTCCTCTGGCTTGCGTCGGATTTCACGGTGAGAGTAGCACCATCGGCGATGCTGTCGGAGGAAGGAACGGCGACGATCCCCTGGTGCGGCCCCTCCGCCTGCATCCCCACCATCTCGGCGCTCAGTTTACACAACGCGTCGACGAAAGCCTTGAACGCCCCGTCCTCGAGGTTCTTGCTCGAGTCAAAGAGGCGTTGGATAGCCATCAGCATCGTCTCCACGTCCAAATCCGTCAGGAGCGGATGTCTAGGCCCACCACCACCACCCGAACTCAGCCCACCCGACTGGGAATTCGACAAGGAAATAGCCCGGCTGGGGGGTAAGACTCCCCCACCACCACCAGCCGACGCTCCGGCCATACTCGCGCGTTTACCCGCCCCACCCCCACCAGCCTTGAACGTAAGCACATAATCCGCATTCTGCAGCGTCTCCAACACCCCGTACCAACTCTCTCCCAAACTGCCAGCAAGGAACAAGGCGCACCCGACCAAGACTTTGAGACAGGCCATGTTCTTATCCGACAGCCCAGGCGGCTGCGGCGGGGCAGGTCCCAACCCCAACCCCTCCGCAACAGCGCTCGTCGCCGACCTCGGCGTCGGCGGGGGCTCCGCATACCCGTCCAAAGCAGCCACCACCCTCGGCGGCACCGCAAACTTGGCCAAACTACCCAAGAACGCGTCCCTCGGAGTTGTCAAACCGAGCATACCAGACACGTTCGTGATAGACTGGTAGCTCGCGAGGACGTCCACGAAGAGTTCGTCGGAGAGGTTGGTGGCGATGATCAGGGAGAGGGAGGCGAGGAGCGCGGGCCAGCCTGCGGTTATGATGTCTGAGACGGTTTGGAGGTTGATGGTTTGTGGTTCGGATGGGGGGAGGGTGGAGAGGTCGAGTGCGGGCGGGGCGCGGACGGCTGCTTCGCCTGCTGCGCGCGGGCGTTGGATGACGAGCGTGGTGTAGATGGGCCCGGCATAGGAAGCGAGGCCTTCGCAGAGGGAGACGATGCATTGCACAGCGAGGAGGTAGATGTAGGATTCAGGGATCGGTGGCGAGTCGGCTTTGTCCAGTTGGTCGATGCTGAAGGATGGTCAGAGTCTTACATAGTCCAAACGATTGACGACCGCACCATTGGACTTTCATAGATGAGCCCTGGACGCTCAGACCGTGGCTAGAGCTAATCATCCCAACCACTCCGGAAACGGTAGCACTCGCCACCCGGCCAGCTACACTTTCCAATCCATGACCTTCGGGGTTGACGCCCACACCGCCCATATGCGTGCTCACACCAAGCAAATTCGGTTTCTCGGAGAGCAGTCGTTTCAAAGCGGTCAAGAGGCTCGTGAAAACCTTGGATCCTCCCTCCGCCGCATCGTATTTCCTCCAAATGGTCCTCATGAGTTCGGCGTCGCTGCAAATACTGAAAACTGGAATGAGAGTCGGGCATTTCTTCGCTAAACGGTCAACTCACCCTCGCATAATCTCCATCGAGATGACCCGCATCCATGTCGGTTTAGGTCCCTGGACGTGGTGGTGGAAGTGAGCTTCACTGATACCCGATTCCGAACTCCCATCCTCCGTGATAATCTTGATGAGCAGCATCAAGAACACCTCAGCCTCCGTCTCCAATTCGTGCGAGAACTGCTTGAGCAGCAGGAAAATCACCCGCGTACATCGCAGAATGAGCGGGAATATCGGTCTTTCCGAGACGGTCTTAAGTAGTAGAGGGCAGAGGTGATGGCGGAGGAGAAGGATCATTTCTTCATGCTGCTCAACAAAGTAACATGATATGCGTCAGCCCGCATCGTTATGCAAATGATGGAGCTGCGCACCTTGCGGAAGAGACCATGATAATTCGTCAACACGCTCTCGACCAACTCGAGGGCAAACGTCTTGTGCAGCGACTCGAGCTTGAGGAAACGGGGTTTCTCCGAGTTGGCGAGCAGGCAGAGGTCTTCAAAGACGGAATAAGCGTCCTTGGAGGACGGGCCGAGGAGTTTGGTGTCGCCGTTTGGCAGTTTGATTTCGGATAGTGGGAAGGGGGGTGTTTCCTCCGTTTCGAGGATCCGGTCTTCGTTTACCATCTTGTCAACCACGAACATGAGCAGTTGGCGAAGCGTTGCTGCGGCTGTGGACGATACGACTGCTATCCTAGATTCTTGGAGTTTGAAGCATAGAAGTAGAGCCTTTCATTTTCAAATGGTAAATATCACCACCAGGGACAGGTGAAAAGACTTACATCTCCCAAGAGTTCGTCGTGGATGTTAGGAAAGTTTGGGATGAGGGAGACGAGTGTTTGGAGGATGCGCAGTTGGATATCGACGCCTTGGGACATGGCTTCGGACATGGTGTTGATGATGAGCGGGACAGCGGATTGGGGGACGGCTTTGAGGGTTATGAGGCGCTGCAGGGAGCCTAGGGAAATAGCTACGACTTTGGCATTCTTGGTTGCGCAGCCCATGTAAACCGGTCGAAGGAGTTCGCTAGATTGCGGGCCATCTGGTGGATATCAGACGAGTTCAGGAAGAGATAGAGATAAGTATTTGCATACCTGCGGAGAGGCTTGCAGTCGCTTGGTCTGGTGAAGCGCGTAGTATGGCTAGCGATTTCTCTGCTGCCTGTAGTCTTGTCAGTTTACATCCCTAGATTGTCGAGAACAAACTGGCCTCTCTGATTTCAGGGTGTTTCCTTCTCGTCTCGCTTGCTAGAGACTTGACAACTTAAATCAGCCAGAGACTTCAATACCGTCAGATCTAAACTTGCCTGAAGCTCTGTAACAAGGAATGCTAATGAACTCATTATAGCTGTGTTCAAGTGTCGCAATAAGGCATCGGCGGTAGTCTTCTTCTTAGTCGTTTTCCTGATAGCCGTTGGAGTGCCTAGCGCGTAGTTGTCGTCGTCGTCGCCGGTGTGGTCGTGGTTATGGTTGGATTGCAAGCCTCGATGGTCGTACTGGACGATGACGGTGCCTGATGTCGGCTATTGCCGAGCCCCTGTTAAGCACAGCCACCGAGCGCTCTGATAGGGGCCTTGGGCGCTTCGAGGGCTGACGAAAGTCGCAGCCACCACTGGGCTAGAAAAGATAGTCGGAGCTCCTCAGAGTCACAGAGGGTCTGTATGTGCGTGTATGCCTCTCTCTCATTCAGAAGTACTCCTGATGTGCTGGGCTCAGTAGAAAGGCCACCGACTCCCGAAGCGCCAACTCTCACTGATGCGCCATCAAATTTCTCAAGGTGCAACTCGTTCCTCAACTACCACCACCCAACACGCCCAACACACCATGAAACCACCGAATCTCTCAACCACCAACAAACGCCACCTCGCACGGCACACCTCCACCACTGCGGCTGACCTCAACCAGAAAACCCCTTTGTGACAAAGAAACCCTTTGTAAATCCCTGCGGCAATGATCCCGTCCGATTCCACACATCCAAAACGTGACACGAGGCCAGAAAGCCTTTCTAGCCTCCTTTTCGTCACTTGGAGGGCAGGTCAGCCTGGAGCAAAGAACAATGGACTTTGGATGTCCTTTCTTGATCTCTCTCTGTGGCGGCTCGGGGATTGGTGGGGGGTATAAAGATGGAGATGTAGCTTGAGGAGGGTGTTCGTCATTTCCACTTTTTCCCCCTGCTTCGAATTCTATAGACATACTTGCAATCAAAACACAAAAAGTACGTTACGAATCTCTTCTTAGATGGGCCTGGTCGATGCTGATGCCTACCCCTAGATCAACATGGACCTTTCTACGAATCAAGCTCTCCAGCTAGGCGCAGACGGCTATCTATACCTCACTCCCCCGCCATCGAGCTCTCTCCCCGCACCAAAGCCTCTCAGCATTGAAGGAACCACAGAATGGATCGGGAACTACGATTCCTTGACGTACGTCTGCCCGCCCACCATCTCGAACCTAATTACAGGAACTGATGTACTAATTTCTGTTGCGCTGCGTTATAGGCACGGAGCCTCCGGCCAACAGTATATCACCCCATACCAGCCCCTCTCCGGTCCTGTCCCCGGCACCCACCGACGAGACACAAGTTCACACTCAAACTCTAACCAAGTCCACCCACGCAATGCGCTCCAACTCCAGTGCTACCCCTCCCTCGAGCCTATCTCCCCACACAACCCTCTAAAAAGACTACCCACCTCTCAACACCCTTCCTCATCCACTAAAACCAAACGCCAACGGCAAGCAGTGCTAGCGAACCCGTCTCCAATCCAATCTCGAAGTAGCACACCCGCATCCGCGCAATTCTCCCCGGCCGACCTCCACCTCGTGAACCTCCCACCAGTCCCCGCAACACCCCGATGCCGAACCAAGCGACTCAAGCGATCCGCGAGTGTCCAGCCCGCCTTGCGAAGCCCACCTCCCCCGCACGAGCCCTCGCCTGTCCTCCCGCGGTCTCACAGGGATATCTTCCCTCCGACACCTCAATCGGAGCCTATTCCCACTTTGCCCTTGAGCTCGAGCTCGACGCCTCGGCCGAGGGTTGTAAGGCCTTTACCCGCCGGACGCAGGGTCGCACCAGCCAATACCGGTAATATTGGAAGGACCAACACGGCAGGTCCCTCCACTTCCCAACTCCTCAACGTCGACCCCTCAGAAATAACCAACGAAGAACTATCACAATACATACACACCACTCTCAAGGAGCATATGCCCAGTACCAATACCAACATGCCCAATACCAATCCCAGCACCTCCTCCTCCTCCCACCCACAACAACAACAAGCCCACCAATTGCAACAACAAGCCCAACTCGACCACTTCCTCGCCACCTGCCTGATGTACGACCCCTCAGCCGAATGGCGGCAATCCGGCGCCCAAGTGGATTATACGGAATTTGATTCGTGCTTTGAACCGTGGCCTGAGTCTGTACGTCCGTCGAGGGAGAATAGAGTTGGAGAGGGGTTTTTGGAAGTTGGGAGGGAGATGAGGAGGAGGTTGGTTGGAGGGAGCGGAGGGGGAGCGCGCGGGGGTGCTGGTGCTGGTGCTGGTGCGGCGAGCGCGAGGGCAGGGAGAGGAAGGGGTACAGCTGTCAGAGGTGGAAGAAGAGGTGGAACGCGTCGACCCGCGACACTTCAACCAGGAACACTCCAACCACCCACTCTTCAACCAGGAACAGGAACACTCCAACCACCCACTCTCCAACCCCGACCCCCCGCACTCACAGTCGCTATCCCCGGCGGAGGACCCGGGCCCGCGAGCACAGGAACTATGCGTCCGCCAACAGCCGCGGGGCGGGTACTGGCAGTGCAGACGGTCGCAGAGGCACGAGCGGATGAGGTCGTCAAGTGCTCTTCTGGGATTGTCCTCCCTCGTCTATATAACCAATGATGTGATGTGGTCTATCTAATCCTATCTAGGCTCCTGGTCCAATTCTAGCACTGGTCCTCTCGTGTGGTCTACGTTCTCTGGTCCAGACTCTGGAGTAGCGCCGAGCACCCCACCCGCGATTCCTCTCACAACAAAACCGAATCCACTACATCCGTGCCTACTTCTACTAGTTACGCCAGATGGCAAATCACGACTGGGGTCTTTCGTCTCTCGTCTGTAAAACTCGAATTCTAACAATAAACAATTCCCGACCGATTCCCGATCCCGATGCTTGGTCGCTGTCTGTATTTCCTTCGATTTCTCGAACACAACAACACACGAGCATATGTGGAATCATAACTTGGGCTGTCTTCAGTACTCACCAGGAATTACTCTTCCGAGCCCGTGTCGTCCATTCAGCGACTGCGGCGTACGCCAACAATCCCGTCGGTTCAGAGCATCTTCCGCAAAGGATTCGCATCGCCAAGCGGGTGCCCTACATCCTGTCTACGTACCGGACGGAGCACTACGTACGGACAGCGTCAAGAAAGGACGGAAATTAAAGTTGACTAAGTACATTAATCATTCCTGCTGGATATTACGTCCTACGATGAAGACGCCTTGCTTGCCAACTCCGAAGGAGAGGTCGAATCATCCTCCACCCGTACATAGATCCACCGGTCCACGTCGAGGTCCGAGACCCCCTGAAAAGATGGTGGATGTCGGGGTGCTACTTATACTCATACGACCTGGGTACGATGATCAGCTGAGGGCTCCATGCTCGCGAAGATCAGGACGCACCAATGCTATCGACATCTAACGATGTTCATACGTGGTTGAGTGGGTCACTCTCACGCAGAATTGAACTACCCTGACGAATTCGAACTTCGAAGGCCTGAACTACCCCGAGGACCCAACGCTTGGCTCTGGTTCTATATAGTAAACGCCTAGCCCCACCTAAAGCTTAAAATCAAGCATTGGCTTCTCCCCACGAGTCCTTCATCTTCTCATTTTCCTCTTGGGTCGTTCCGAGTCTTCTCAAGTTCCTCTTGGGCGTCGCGAGTCTTCTGTAAGGTTCCTCCTGGACCTTCTCAGCGTTCTAAATAGACTGTTGATTGTTGATCGTTGGTTAGGTGGACGGATGGACATCGAGACGTCGAGACGTCGACCGGTGGCTAGACTAGGCTTGGGGTGGCGAGGGGGTATTTAAAAGGTAGGGGGATATAGGATGAGGAAGCATAAACGGTCGTTGCACGTCCCCCACGAATTTGCCCTCGCCCTCGCCCTCTACGCCTTCGTCACTGCTATCCCTCTACCCTCCACCATCCCTTCGCAAGAACTTGAAGATACCTAGATTCCGAATCTAGACGGTGGAGAAAATCCAAGACGGCCGCACCTACGCGATTAGGAACATCAAATCCGGCACTGTCGTCGAGGTCGCGAAGGATAACAAGTCCAGTGCGTCTTTCCTTGTTTCAAACCGACTGGGCGAGGTCGTCCAGCACAGACATGTAGAACTTACCATGTTCGTTATCATAGTCGTCGGGAACGTGCTCAATAGTGCGCCGAACCAGAAGGTACGTCCCCATCCCTCTTTCCTTCTGTCGTCTGTGAGAGCGAGCGCTAATCCACGCCCCTTCCACCCCAAACCCATCCACTGCCACCGAACATCCCCACCGTTCCACCCAACACAACCCACCATGGCACCTCATTATCATCCTACTACACGCCACCCCACGGCTGCAACCCAAACTTGCCGCAACGCAACACAAATACACAACAGTGGACGACCAACTGGACAGGCAAAGGCTGGACACTCCGCTCAGTCGCGTCAGGCCAGTACCTAAGCATCGCAGGCCCACCCGCCAACGGCACAAAGCTCGTCCTCTCCGCCGCCGCGTTCGAGTGGCATATCTGGCATGATGAGGTGTACCCTGGGGTTTATCGGTATGTGGTTTTTCTGAGTGCTGAATTTTTGCTTGTGTCCTTGTGTTCTTCCCGAGTCTCTTCGTGTCCCTCCTTCCCGAGTTTCCTTGTGTCCCTCCCTCTCGAGTCTCCATGTCCTTTCCTCCCGACGAGTCCTTCTGTCCCTCCCGAGTCTTCCGCGGGTTACGACATACTGACTCCACGACAACACGACAGGATCTTCGTACCCTACACAACCCAAAACCTCGACCTGTACAACTATGGAGACTTTGCACCCGGCACGCCTGTCACGCTCTGGAATAGGTGGGAGGGGGCGCACCAGTTGTGGGATTTCGATCCAGGTGAGTAGTAGTCATTAATCTGAATCATTAATCGATTATACCTGGTGGTTCCGAGTGCCCGTGGGGGCTGGACGTACCGGTGGGGTTTGGAAGCACCCGGGCGTTGGGAGGCTTTCCGGATGGCCGGATAGAATAATGGATGGCTGACTGACGCTGATTTCTTTTTTCTTTGTTTAGTTCTCGCTTAGTTCAATGGGTTGTCTCCAAGGGTCGTTAGATGGACGTCTGTCTCTCGTAGTCCAGCCTGGTGCCGTGCTAGGTAGATTGGTCATGATGGACAGGATAGCTGTTGGGAGTCGTTATTACTTTCCGTTAGATTCGTTTGATACCAGCTCGTCGCCAGTGTGGTTGCTATATGATATCTTCGATCTCGTTCCTTCCAAGCTTCCTACCGAGATTTGAAATTTGAGAGTCGAAACTAAACTGAAACCGTGCACCGGAAATCATCAAATACGGGAGAACTGGGCGAGAAACAGATAGATTTGAGCGGTACCCGTCAGATTAGGAACAGATTCTTCAACTCTCCCCGCTTAGAGGCATATAGCCCAAGGCCAACAGAAAAGCCCAATACAACATCCTGTCAAACTATACAAAAAAGGTATATCAGCACCTATTCTATCCACTTTCAATCTACCCCAGGATGCAAAAAGAAAACCCTGGGATGAAGAAAACCCTCGACCAACATCGCGGGACGATACAACGACGATTAACGGAAGACTCACCAAGCACAAGGTAAACAACACGCTTCATCCTTCGCGGGCGGAGGGGCAGGTTGCTGGACGTACACCACGGACGGCTGGCGTGGAGGCTGGAACGGCTGTGGTGGTGGGTGGGGTTGCATCTGGTACGTCGGTTGAGGTTGGGCACTGCCGGTAGGCTGGGATTGGTAGTATTGGTATTGGTTGTCGGCTGCTAATTATAAGATGGATGGGGTGGGGCATCGTGAATGAGGGGAGGGGGATATTGAGAGGGAATGAGAAATGCGAGGGTGGGAAATGGGGGTGGGAAGCGAGAGGATGGGAAACGAGAGGACAGTCAGTGGAAATGAGGAGACGTGACAGAAGGGACGACAGGGTGTAGTATTGCGACGGTCGCCTTTCCTTCTGGTGTGCAGTTGGCGGTGCTTTGGGCGTCATTGCCGTGATGTGTATCAGATATAAAGGCCCAGAGATATCGAAATTCGAGTCGAAGTCTCGATGACGTATCGTCGCCTTCTAAAGATATGTGGCAGAAGCAAGCTTGTCGGCGGAGAGGTCGAGAGGTGCGGATGGGAAGGGCGAAAGCGAGCGGCAGGAGAGAAAAGAAGGACACCAGAGGTGAGACCCAGCAGAGAATCCTAGACGGAGTCGACGTGGTGTTTTACCTCAGGCCACAAGACTACGATGGGGCCACAGACAGCCGTCATGGAGCTCCCAGTCATCCACAATCAACTTTGGACTTTGGAGTGAGACAAATCTCGAATCTAGAACCAAAATCGAACACAGCAGCGGGGTGCAGGGAATGCAGTTGGGTTGGATCCCCCGAGAGAAGTCTTGTACGATGATATCGATAGATACTATGTAGTATTGTGCGGTGGTAGTGGTGGCGGTGGTAGTGGTGGCGGTGGTGGTCAGGAGCCTGAACTGAACTGGAGTGTAAGTTACTGTGTAAGGCCCCTATTCTCCTTGTTTGCCTATGTTAGCATCAGGGGGTCCTGAGGGCCCATTATCGCCCTCGGTCAACCCTCGGTCCCTCTTCGCACTTTTGGCCTTGCCTATACCATCCCTAACGTCCATACTCGTACACATGCAGCTCCAATATCTACCTTGGTTGTGCTTAGAATGGGTGTGAACTGGGGATAAGACGTTCGAGGCTCATATTATCCCTTACATGGAAACTCCACTCCGTCAGCCCCTCCTCGAACTTGGCGTTGTTGAGGCCTGCTCTAAACGGCTTAAGGGCTCATTCCATAAGCATCCTGTCGTTGGTTCTGAACGTCGAATGTGAGGTGTATCCTACTCACTATAGATCGTCGAAAACAATGGGCTTAAGAAGGCGTGTGGTGTTGGTCAATGAGGATATCGAAACATGGAATTACATGGTGAGTGAAAGAAAGGAAGAGAGATGTGTGCAGGCGCTTCGGCGTACTGTACCATGAGGCCAGAATCAAATATTCTTGGAAATTCGAACTAAGGTGGTGCATTACAGGATGAGTCGACCACGTCCCATTCCACCGCTTTCATTTGATGAGTCAAAGTAGTCTTGTATAAATAGATCATATTCAACACATTGGGGTTAACGATTGAACCGGTAGTTAAAGTCGACAGCTTAGTAGAAGAAGGTGATGTCCCAGTGGCTGCTCTCATCCTAAAACACAGGAACGTCAGGGAATGCTGTAGGCAGGCAAACCAAAAGAGAATACGTACGACGAACTCGTTTCCGCTGGGGGACTCCCATCGGCGGTACGAGCCGCGCTTCGAAATCTCCTTGAAGTTGTTCATGATGTAGTTATCGAGTTCCTTGAACTTTCGGAGGTCGACCTTGTATCCAGCACCATGCGAGTAGGTGCCGCTGGCGTGGCCGGTCTCGGTACCACCGGTGATAGTCAAGGACCTGCCGACGCTCTTCTTCAAGGCGATGACACCGCTGATGGTGTGATTGCAGATGTCCTGGAGTGAGGTGCAGTTGGACTTGGTCCTAGAGTTGAGTGTGAGCGATGAATCGCCTTGCTTGGAGAAAGGAGAGGTTGGGTGGCTTACTTGTCCTTGCAGTTGCCAGAGGATGACCAGGTGATGTCGTTCTCCTTCAACCTAGCCTCGGCCTGGGCCTGAGTAATCTTGACGCACTTGGTCTGCCTGGTCTCGAGGGCAGGGGAGGCGGCAGCGACGGCAGCGAGGGCAACAGCGACGATGGTGGAGATCTGTAGAAAGGCGAAGAAGATCGTCAGTGAACGTGTCGAGAGCATCGGCAAGAGACACGACTCGCCTTCATGTTGACTGTGGATTGAGAGTAGTTGGGGAACTGAGGAAGTTAGAGCGAGTTCAGGTCCCTATTTATACGTTTTTCGACACCAGTCTTAGCACCTGCGGTCGTAAAAGCCACGTTCGAGACCCCTTGGCCCTCCCTCTACTCGAACCCCTTGTTGCCCTTGCGTGCGAAGGGCTTCAGCTCGACTTGACGAAGACTGCCGATCGTCGCTTTCCTTTTGTGGTACCTGAGTGTCCTCTTTCGTTATCTCGACTGATCGAAGATGCGAGGATGCTGAGAAGGTCTGCGCAGGGACGACGGGCCTGGATGATGATCGTCACAAGCCATCAAAAGTGATAGCGATCTCAGGAGGCTCTGGTCGTTCTCTTTGCGTTTTGTGTTTCAGCTCCCTCGTCTCGCATGAATTTTCGGTATAGTTGTATCTGGCACTCATGTGGTTCCGTTTCCGTGGGATCAAGACCGGTAGTTCGAGACAGCATCATCGAATATGAGGCCGCGGTTTGTGGTTTGTGAAATGCGTTTGAATGATAACCTCATATACGCAGAAATTCAGATTTTTGACGTATCTCTTCCAATGTCTCCGGTGACATCCTCCATCTAATACGGTCGGCGGGAGCGGTCCCGAAGTCAAAGCGGAATGATCCCCTCAAGAACAAAGTACCTCGTTATCCCCGCCCCTGATAATCATCAGGATCTTCGCTGTCTTTCGCCTTTCGCGTTTCATGTTTGGTCAGATGGGAGCTAATGGGAGTCTGTCCGTGATGAAAGGCATAGTATCGCATGTCTTGAATATTAACGGTGGATTATGAGGATAATTGAGGGGAGGAGATATGAGAGGCGACCTTGATATCCGTTCCACGCGGCCTCGCCGTGCGAGCAGATTTGAAACCAGTACGAAATGGTGTCATCATATACTGCAGTCTCTCGTCTATCGGAAGAGACGTTTCGTACCCGAGATTGCCTACGTCTGTTGGGTCCACCGACTGACTGCAGCACTCTCCAACAATGACCTTAACTTCCCAGTATCTTCATCTCAGAGTGGTGCTTCGTTGTCTATTTGCGAGTGTGGACATAAGGACGAATTCTTTTGCTTCCACCTTGTGGTGAACCTGAAACAAATTCGGGATTTTTGGTCGATTCACTGCACGAGGCGACCCCAGGTATTTTATCCTTCGAAGATTGGGAAGTCTACTGTGATACTTCAGTCTTTCAGTGACAAAAGGCAAGACTTCTCGGAATCCATTTTCCGAATCCATCGCACCATATGGAGTCGGACTGTACAGACCTCTCTAGGTCTTCGCAGGCCGTCTAGGTGGTTCAAAAACATGCCAGTGGAACGCCAGGGTTCCGAGTCGGGCTGGATCATCAGCGACTGAGAGCAACTTGAAGAGTAGAAACCCTCCAAAGATCATCCAGGTTGTCGTTTTCGTCCGTTGGGCAAGTACCTCAGACCTCGGTGCAGCTCATATGTGGCGGCGTAAATCTACATTCAAGTCTCCTCAGAAGTGGAGAACCACCATTGGTACTCTGTCGTTACGTTGGGAACAAACAGGCAGGTCATGATATCCTTTGTGATTGGAAAGCAGTAGTCACTGTCACCTCACTTATCCCGAAGTCACTCCGGGATGCTCATCCAGCCCACAACAATATCTCGGAGTATGGCGAGTGGCAGGCTCTCTGCATTTCCGCGTGTTAGGACTCATGACCTATTCGTAGCATTGGTATTGGTCGCCCTCTGCCAGGATGGGATTACGATGACCACAGACACCGTCATCATGGGTAGGTAGGTGGGTTCATGGGCTCGTACCATTGTTTGAGTGAGACAAACCTGATATCTAGAACGAGATGCGACCGAAGTCGGGGAGTGAATGTACTTAGGGTGAATTCAGAAACCTGCGCGATGTGACATCAATAGTTCTCTGCATTTCCGTGTAGATAGTGTGTATGCCGTGGTGGTTAGGAGGAGCTCGTCCGCTTTCTCCACTCCGTCAGCCCCTCTTCGAATTTTGCGGTATTGAGGCCTGCAGGTACGTGGCAGAAAACAACGCCTATCAATCGGGATCAGCGTTTCTGAAGGAAGACAAGGGAAGGTAGAGGAAGGAGAGTGAGGGCAACGCGCACCGAGTTGCTCGACTTCCTTATTCCTCCATTCATCGTCAAAGAATAGCTGTAGAATGGTCAGATCGCTATCCTCCCCATGGAGGGAGATGCGTACCATCTCAGAATAATCGATCCCCGTCCTCTCGTGGATCTTTCTAAAGTGCGTCAGTTTCGAGCCTGTGCGCAGCGTCGACCGGTCAGCGCGAATTTGCTAACGATTGGACCTCTGAAGAGGACGAGAAGTATGAATAGGTACCAGGGTATATCTCCAGTTCATCGAAAAATTGGATGGCAGGTGTAGGTTCCGTGAATGCGCCAGGGTATTCGTCGGGATTGGCGGGTGGTGGGACGAGGAGCAGTCTGAGGGCCTGATTCGCTCTGTCCACCACGCAACCCAAAGTTCATTCAATTATTTTCTTCTTCAATGGTGGGAAACAAGGGACACTTACAAGTCAGGAGCATGCGTCCGCGAACAAGCCGCGGTGACGACTTTCTCGTTGGGATCCGAAGGGTCTAACCGCGTTGCGCGTATTCTATGGAAGATGTCGGCGACGTGGCGGTAGAAGGAGATTGGTTGGTTGTAGCTGTAGGTTTGGAGTTGTGTCGTCGTATGAAATGTGGCATGGGTGGGGTGATCGTGTCAGTAAGAACGCCTGGATGAACATCGAATGGGCACACACCGATCTAGCACTTGGTTGATCGTGTTCTTGTTCCTCTTCAAAGGGCCTTATTACAGACCAAATAGGTCCATGTCAATTTCCATCCATTCATACTTGTATAACTCAAAGAACAAGTACCATCGACGTGGGTATCGATCCACAAATCCCACAGAGTATAGCTAAATGACTCGAGCGCTGATTAGCATCTTGTCGTCCCTTCTCGAGTATGGGTACATTTCGACTCACTCTAGATCGAAAGCAATAAGCTTAGGGAAACGAGTGGTATTGGTCATAGGTATATGGTTGTGAGGAGGAAGATGGACGAGTGAAGGAAAGGAAGGAACGTGTGTGCGGGCGCTTCGGGGTTGAGCGGCGTGTTTGACGGTGTTAGGATTGGAAGCTGTCGCCTTTCTCTGCGCCTGCGTACTAAGATGCGTCGTGCATGTGGATGCACTTGGTTGGAGTTTGACATTACAACTTCAAGGTACGCGCAATCTTCTTCATTGAGAAGGTATTTATTTATTTAACCAGAAAAGGAGTACACGATGATGACTTCTTAGCTAGGGCTTTGATACGTCTGTACCTAATAAGTCAGACCTGAGGTCACGACGCTGCAAAATCAAGGGAAGAAGGTGATATCCCAGTGGGCACCGCGGTCGCGTTTCTCATACTAATCAAACGATCCAGTCAGCTTCATTCACAACAACGAACCACAACGTAAAGGACGTACGACAAACTCGTTGCCACTAGGCGAGTACCAGCGCTTATCAGTGCCACGGTCCGCTCCCGCGGTGAACCACTTCTTGACGTAGGCCTCAATCTCGGGGATGGGACGGAGGTCAACCTTGTAGCCGTTTCCGTGGTTGTACACGCCATTGGGGGAGTGGCCGGTCTCAGTGGCACCGGTGATAACCAAATCACGACCGACACTGTTCTTGAACGCGATCACTCCGTCGACGGTGTGCTCGCAGATGCCGTCGTAGGACGTGCAGGTTGAGATCGACCTAAAGGAGCAGGGGTGTGAGGCTCAGTATGGGAATGTGAAGGGGTGGGAGGGACTGTACTTGGTGGTGCAGTTCCCGGTGGAGGAGGCGTAGACGCCGTTGGCGACCAGTTTCCTGGCGGCGTCGCGTTGGGTCATTTTGGTGCAGGTGTCGCGCTGCCTGGCCTGGAGATCGGCGGGGTTGGCCGCAATGACGCCGAGGAAGGCAAAGACGGTGGCAACAGCAGCGAGGTACTGTAAGGGGAAGGGTAAGTGTCTGGAGGAGTCACGGTTAAGTGGAGCGAAGGTTTGAATACCTTCATCTTTTACTAGTGGAGAAGAGTGGAGAATAGAACACGAGCGGGCTCTGAAGTTCCAACATCGATTCATGACCACCTTTTATACCTGTTAGGCACTCCGATAGTGCAGACTGCATACGAGTCCACTGTACGTATACATGTTGGAAGAATATGTTTCATCCCACTGACCTACACGCGGAACTTTGGCTTAGGCTGGAACCCGGGTAAGTATTCTCCACATCCAAGAACTTGAAGGGATCATCCCCATCCCAAAACGGGCATTCATTGTCCTCTTTTGTTTTCGAGCATGGGTGAATGCGGCTATCGCAACCCGCGTCGGTTCAGCGATCATGTGGAACATCATGTTGCCGACCCACGGGAATTATCTCCTGTCTTTCGATTCCTGCACTATCGCACACGGGCCAGGTGTAATTCCCAAGAGTGATGATGGTGCCCATAATCGACGCCTTATCTCGCGTTTCATCTATTACTTGAGGTATCTGTCATAGCTCCATGGGATGATGATCCATGCGTAAACGACAAAGGACCCTCAGTTGCGCTTCGTTCGAAGGGATTCAGGAAGGCCTACACTGGCTCTAGTGCGGTGGCCTGATTCACATACGCCGCCACACCATGCCTGCAGGGTTAATGTGAAACGTATTTCTTCTGGAAGTTGTTCCTTTCGTGGGAGGGAATCCCAGGAAGCAGAATTCTGATGTCCAATGTGTTCCTCGAGGGAGGGTTGACTGTAGCGGAAGCGATACCGCGTGGATTCGGCAATGAAAGCAGCTTAGCCACAGGGACGAAGGATAACCTTGCCCCAGTTTCCTGGAAATTAGAAGGGAGCTGGTGTGCTACAGGCTGAGTCCGCCGAGTTCCATTCCATCGCTTTCGAACCGGTGTGGCAACGATGTGCATCTGGGTGTTAAGTACTATCGTCCCAACCAAAACCCAGGGCACAAGATATTGAATGGTAAGACGATGGTCAAGGCGTCATTCCACCAGTGCTCATGGCAACTGGCAAGTTGGAAGACCATTGCGAGCTTTGAGCCAGAAGCATGATAACGCGGACAGTGTAGAGTCGATGTATTCTCGGATGTATATGAACGTTCAACATGACGCAGACATTTGGGGAGCCAATAAATTAAGAAGCGCCTTATGAGTCTAAGACTGAGGCTATCTAAAAGAAGACAGTCGAAACATTTGATGAAGATTTACAGGCTACAAAAGGTCGTAATATTCCATGATTGTTCCGCTTGAGAAAGGTCGCCCCAATGTCTCGAAGTTCTCGAAGAGGCTCTGCGTTTAGAGCACTCCCGCAATACATGTGTGTATTTTATCGGCTGAGCACATACGAGGTGAGCATGAAACGCGTCGAACGTTCTCCGTCTCCTCCATACGGCGACCCGAGGTAGTTTATCCCAGAAAGATGGACCCTTGGCTGCTAAAATCTTTCCATGGGCACTTCTGGGCCTAGGAGTATGTATAGCTTCGGAATGCCTAATCCGAAAGATGATAGAGATATGTCGTTGGCAGTAGATAGTACAAGACTGGCCAGAGAATTTGAAACAACCAATGCGTGAGTCGGTATTCATAGCTTCTGGGAAGAGGGACCAGACCATCGCATCGTCCTTTGTTTTCGAAACGGACTCTCGACCAACCTTAAGGTGCCTCGCAGACAGCTATGTGTGGCCAAAACTTGAAAGTTGAGGTGAATGCATAGCGTACTGAGCGCCGTATTATCACGTAGACTCAGAGACCCAGAAACGAAATGTTACCCTTCCCAATGGCAGTTAGTACTGTATTTGTTTGCTCCGCTGACCGGCAGACAGGGATTATCTAACGACTTTGGCGAGGACCGACCGCCGGGTGGGGGCTTGTCGCCGCCAAAGCCTTTGAAATCAAGCAAAGCCAAACAAAGGTCTCGTCATGGCTCTGCTATATGAAAAAATTCCCTCAACAATCTTTGGAGCTTTTGCGGACTCTGAGCGTTGAACAGGTACGTCTCTAAGTTGAATGATTTGATCATGAGCCTTAAATGCCCAAGAGGTATAGAAAATCCCAATGAAACTCCATGCTTAGCGCGGCTAGCCTGCACGGAGGTTCAATCTGTGGTCGTACCAGAGCAGAGGCCATGGACAGACGTGAAACGGGCACTTCTAGCCCTCGCCGTCTTTCGATTCGACAGTAGGTTGGACTTGAGGCGATACATTGCACGATTTGCACAATCACCCACGATCTCTCCACGGACTGATGAACATCGAATTTGACCATCTGAGGGTTGAGTTCGACTTGGACTGCCCGTCTGTCTGCTCTGTATTCTCCCCAAAACTCGGGTATTAGGTCAACAACTGTGACACTACATCAGCGCGGTATCTGGGCCTGTTCCCAGTCATGACCGTCGGTGGTATGATCTACCTCCGGCACCTGTTCAGGCTGCGCGTCAAGCCGCCAGCACTGTCGATACCAAAACCTGAATCCCAGCCTAGTGTCTTAGAGCTACTTTGCCGCTCTATTGGACTGCTACTAGGACTTGGACGACCTGTTCCCGGGAGGTGAGCGTAAACGTCCTCACTAATTTCGAAACTCGATGATCTGACACCATGGGGATTACAGGACATGCCACTCGACATAGCTCGAGCACAACGCTCAGGCTTGAGGTTTAAAGATGCACTCATTTGAACGCTCTATGGTATATGAGGCTCCTGCTGCGACGGTGTCTAGTTTTTCAGTGCCTCAGCGGCGAACATCTTTACTGACTGTGGGCGCCTACTATATCCAGCCTGATGCTCTGTTCCTTCTCGGCCGGCAACTGAATACGGGCCAAGCCCTCCATCTAGGTGAGAAGCCCCTTTGACTATCACGAAACCATTCTCCATTCACAGCCATCCCAGATACCGTGGAGACCCGCCCCATTTTCTACCTGTCCAGAAATGGGCACTATGAAAAATCGAAATTGAAGAAATGAAAAGGCCATCCCGATATTATCGACGACAGACAATGGGTCTTCCGAGATAGCGGGATGCCACAGATTTGATAATCGGACCCCCAGTTTCGAGGTGAGCACCCACAGAGACGCGACGGACAGTGGACAATGGGAGCGAATCGCGATCACGTTGATTCTTTACCATTTTTACGCACCAGACGCGCGGCAAGTCCCGTCTCCTCCCTTTGACACTTGGTGCTTCTCTCCCTTTGTCACAGAGTCCTCCGTTTCCAAGTCGCCCGTAAATTAAATTCTACGGGATGGTTTGTCATTTCTCGGTCAATGGTGCGCGTGTTTTGGAGGGGGATTTAAAGTCCAGGTTGGGAGTTGGTCGGGTCTTTTCCACTGCTTGTCTTCCTACTCCTACTTGCTCGCAATTAAACAATTTTGTTCCTTGCTTGAACTTCAACTACTTCTGCCAAAATGTCCGCCAACAACACTGCTGCTAACACGTAAGTCTCGTTTCGCAACATTTTGTTATGTTCATTGACTAACTGGAGAACAGCCGCCAACAAGTCTTTGGATCGCTTCAAGTTGCTTACAACGCGTCGCATTCGAACTCTGAAGGGCACGTCTATTTCTCAACTTGTCCTGCCCTATGCGGTGTAGCTAACTTGCTAGCAGTGACTCAGACGTGACTACCATGGACGGTGAAAGGCTTGAAAGGCCCACAAAAAGGCAGCGCGTTGAGATCTCCGAGTCGAGCACGACAACGACGACGACAACGGGAGGAGATGCCACAGTCTCCTCTTCTGCAACAACGACAGAACAACTAACCAGGTACCAGTGCAGATGGAACAGGGCGAGTGGTGAAATTTGCAACCACTCAGAGGTGGGACCTGGCTCGATCTACACCCATGTCAAGGAAATCCATGGGGTCAGGGGGGACCGGAGCGTCGATATCAACTGTCTTTGGCTGGTCCAGGACGGTCCTAACGCGTCCGGTAATGTTACAATTCGCTCCTGTGGAAAACGGATCAAAATTGGGAGCTTGATGAGGCATCTGTCGCTGCATGCGCAGGACGATGCCAACTGTCCTCGCCATCCCTCTGCTTCTGGCTCTAAATCAACTTTGACTGCTGGATCTGTATCTGGATCTGTATCTGGCTCTAGCTCTGGCGCTGGCGACTCTAGGCGCTCAACTCCGACTATGAAGGGGTTCTCGTTCTACCACGGGCCCAACACTCGGCCCTCCCGGGTGAGGACCCAGTCGACCCAGTCACGCTCCTCCACCCCTCATTCCGGTACTCTGGATCCGGGCTCGATTGCCGCACCTGACCCCATAGTTCTAAGCGGGATTCCTCCGTGGATGAGGAGTCAGTCGATGGTACGGTCTTCAGCGTCGAGTACATGTTCGACGCCCTCATTCGCGACACCGCCTCCGCCATCTCTTGCGCCGACTCCTGTTCTCTGTCCGGATGACCTACAGGTTGGTCCTAGCACTGGGAGGCTCGAGTCTCGGGGTACGGCTCCTCGTCCATTTGGTCATCGGAATCCTAGCCAGCCAACGCTATATGGTCCTCCTCCTGTGCCGTATCATGGTCATTCCCAGCCCGCTCCTCCGCTTCTGCCTCCACGGTCTGTGCAGTCAGCCGTCAACCTCGTGCCGTACGGTTCATCACTGGCGGATTATCACAGCGCGAATCACAGTTCTTCTGTCCATTCTCGCCCACTCCTCGCGTTGGACACTCGGTCGCTCCCATCCGCTCCACTCCCTCCTCAAGCTCTCAGCTACGCTCATCTCGGGAACGATGTTCCTTTGGAAAATGCATGTCTTTCGAATCATGGTCTGGCCCCGCAGGGGATGGGGTACTATCTACATACACCTCATCCGCAGTTCCAGGACGAGACGTATCTGAATCCTCCTCCGGTTTCTGCTGCTTCAAATGCGATGCAAGGGTCTTCTGATGCTGTTCGACTTGGAAAACGGCGATGGGGCGAGATGACTCCTGGGTTACACGCTTCAGCTCTAAGTGATGTTCCTCCCACCATCCGCGCTCCGACTGGCAGCCACAATCATACCTTCAGTACTCGAAACGCCGATGACGCACCCACTCTACTAGTTGCTCGATTCGACGAGATGCCCACCCTCGATCATAGCGACGATACGCACACCCCATCCGAGCAAATCGACAGTTCGACCGCTGTATTCTCGAGGCAGATTGACGAAACAGCCACAGCGACGACGGCAACGACGACGACGACGACGACGACGGTGACTGGTGCTACCGCAGAGCAGACCGCTTCAGCATCGACGGTCCCTCTGCCTTTCATCGAGGCCATGCAGGCGGGCGGGTTGAGCTCGTTTGGGACGGAAGATCTTGGGTCGCTTTGGGCCTTGGTGCAGGGTGCGTTTCCGGCGTTTGATGATCCAGGAGATGAAGAGTTGGGAGCATCGGATCGGAATCAGGGCGAGGAAGCGAGCCTGAGCGCGAGCGCGAGTGCGAGTGTGGGTCGTACGAATGGGAATGCGAATGCCAGGTTTTCGACGGCTGAGGCTTTGAGCTCGAGCTCGGGTGCAGATGAGAGTGCTGGTGTGGAAAGAAGCTCTATCTCGCGTGATACCTCCGTGACGACTCTGGATTCGGCGTCTATGGAGGAAGAGGTGAGACGAGATCGCGATGGAGTCGAAGTGGATAAGGAGGACCAGGAGGATTGGCTTGAGTATGTGGACCCACCCGCAGGGAATGGGGTTGTAAGTCAGGTTCAGGGTTGTGAGGATGAGAGTGATCATGACTCGGAGGAGGATGCTGAAGGAGAGGAAGTCGACGATGATGACGATGCTGATCATGATGTGTGGACTTTGGACGATTTGCTTGGAGCGAATGGTGTAGCTGGTTTGACGAGCAAGAAGGTTCATGAGCACTGAGGCTGAGACTGAGGATGAGGATGAGGGTGTCAGTCAGGATGATGACAAGAGAGGTTGAGAATGAAGATTGGCCGCGAGTGAGTGAGAGCAGGTGTTTGTTGTGAGGATGAGCTGGCGCCCGTTGAGGATGGCGGTGACACTTTTGATTCTCTCCGCTGGTCGGAGAGCAAAGGTGAGAGGTGATGATAAGGTGTCGGGTCTAGGTTGCGATACAAAGTGTCCTGTTGTGTTGCGATTTCGATGATTTCTGGTTTTCTTTATCCTTGTATGGCTAGATTTCATTCTTTTTTTTGTTTCTTTTGCTTATATCTTACCGTATGACCTGCTTTGCTTATGCGCATGCTTATGATCTATGACTCTATGCTCACCACTACATGCACACTTGTCTCCTCTTTACTCGCTTCTATGTACATAGATCATCTACGGCTACCTCCCTTGTACTACCTACTTACCTACTCGCTGCGATACCCTTCCAATCATACTATAATACCCGCTTTATAAACCACTTCCAACTTGAATGTGAGCATATATAGTAAGGAGTAGATCGATCGTATACCTCAAGTCGTCGCCTCAGAGCCATCTCCCTCGCCTCCAAGGGAAAACCCCGACTCGGCCAAAAGGTACATTGTCAAACGGGCATTTCCTCGGCATTAGCGTGTGCCATGTGGGTTTTGTCGGCACGGATTTGACGGATATCAACGTGGATGGATTTTTGGATCGGGGCCCGGGGTGAAGCAACCCCCCTCCCACCGATGTTTACATTCAAAGTCCGTTTTAGGTAAGGTACGATGGGGAAGGTGTGCGTGATGTGTGTGTGGTTTGATTGCTTGCTTGCTTCCCGCCCGCGTCTCACCACCACCTTCACTACCTTCTTCAGCGTTTACAGCGAGGGACGACCTTCCTTTACACCGCGATTAATCGACTTTCCCTACTTATATACTGCGACGGACGATTCACGACTCGATACGAATTTAGGGACCCCCGAAGTTGCCGACCCAGACACCACAGAAGAGGCTCTCCCAGTTACACACATAGATACTACGCAACGAACCACAGTCTGAACGGTCCCGCCCCGCACGATGCCTCGCAAACAGAATCCCGAACCTATCTCGGCGGCTCAGCAGCAGGAACTGGTTTCGGAGGGTATTGAGAATTTTGAGTTGCCGAAGAGTGTGGTTATGAAGATTGCGAAGGCGGCGGTGAGTTGATGCTCTGTTTTTCTTTTTTGTGTGGGTTGGGATGGTTTTCGTTGGGCTTGTGGTCTCGGTGTGGGACATGGGGCTACGGGCGATGGGGTTGCAGTATGTGGGATATGGAGGATGGGGTATGGCGTTCTGGGGTATGGCGCTCCACACGCGTTGTCATGTCGTCTGCATCGGTAGATTCCTCGTGCAGCAAATGTGAATGCCCGGTCTTTGGTACTGCGATAACGGCGGTGGCAACGACGCATGGTTCTGGTTCTGCGGCGTGGAAATGGAAGTGGAGTGAAGGCAGGAAGCTGATTTCAAGTCGTTTTCAAGCTCCCAGACGAAGCGCGGTTGACGAAGGAGACGGTGCTTTCGTTGGTGAAAGGTTCGACGGTGTTTATCAATTACCTTGGTGCGTTTGCTTTTAGTGGTGAATTCACGCTCTGGCTGACCGGTTTCGCTTTCGTGCAGCTGCGACGTGCGTTCATACATCGTAACCGAAATGTGGATCTTCAAACTGAACTTGGTTTTTGTGATACACAGTGCACACGATATCGCTATTGCGAAACAACATAAATCCATCGCTGCGACGGACGTCCTACGCGCCCTCGAACTACTCGACTTTGGAGATTTGGTAGAACCATTAACGCAGGAACTTGCATGTGCGTCTTCCCACTTCTCGGCCGCTGCTCCGCTCCGACGCCATCCACTAACCTACTTCTCCCTCCCCTGCTTGCAGTGTACAAAGACAGCAGCGCGAACAAAAGCACCAAATCCAAATCTGGGTCGAAAGGACTCTCGATCTCAATACCTCCTCAAGCATCCATCTCCTCCGCATCCACCTCCGTCTCCTCCAACCCCAAAATCACGCTCACAGTCCGACCTTCAGCCAACGGCCAAGATAAGGGGAAGGCTAAAGCTTCGAATGTGGATCGGGATGGGGATGAAGAGATGCGTGGGGCCGACGAGGAGGATGAGGGTGATGAGTCGAGGATGAATAGTCCAGTTGGCGGCGGTAGGGATGGGGACGAGTCGAGGGTGGCGAGTGAGGAGCGGGAAGGGCTGCAGGAGATGGACCCGCCGCCTCCAACGTCGCCTTCTGTCGCTGCTAGTGTCGGGGACGGCGCTAACCCGTCGTAGATGGCTGTGCTGTATCACTAATTTTTGAAATTGATTCCTTTGGCGCTTATATTAGAACCTGTGTCGCGTCTATTAGAACATTCCTGAGTGAATGATTCATTCATTACGATGGTCGGAGTCGAAGGATAGGAGCTGGTGGGATGTTCCCGAAGGCACTGGGTGTTTGGCGCACTCGCTCATCGGCTTTGGTGCCAAACATGGCTTTGAAAGCGTGATGAGCGTGCCGATCGCGTTCGCCGTTCGTTCGGAGGCAGCTGCAATTAGTGAGTGGCAGCCTGCCTGGCACCGAAAGCCTATAAAGCGTGTCTTCCGCCTTTCCACTCTACCACCACCACATTGTCTGTCTCGTGTGCTGCCAGCTCCCCAAGTCGGTCACCAGGTCGCCACTGAACGTTGTATATCGACGAACATCATCTCTATCTGGGTCTGGGTTGGAAAGGGAGGACAATGGGGATGCCCCTGATGTCGGATTCGACTATCAACTCCTGTGAGTGGCCGGTGTTTTTTTTGACAGATAAATGGTATTGGATTTATGGACTTATGTTGTTGTTTTTTCTTTTCTTTCTTTCATTCCATTGTGATCGTTCTTGTTGCGGCACCTGGACCTTGGTGTGCTCATAATCCTCGTGTTTTGAAACGACGGCCTACCCGCCTCACGGACGGCGACGAACGACCTCGTCCACCCACGGGCCAACCGATAAACCGACCTTTGAACGTATAGTGAACTCGACGACACAGTTACACATGTCTGCGGCACCTGCGAAACCACCACTCAAGAGGCGTAGACTTGGTTCCTCGACGACGACACCGACGATTGTGACTCCGCCTGTGGTGAAGCCCACTTTGAAGACGGGAGTGTTGGGTGTTGGGAGTGGTGGCGGTGGTGGTGGTGGTGGTGGGATGCCGTCGTGTGTGTATTGTCATCGGAACTTGCTGGTTGTACCGGGTGGGCCTGTTACATGTGCTAGGTGAGTGTGTGGTATGCGATGTGAGTTTGCGGTTGGGTGTGGTGGGATGAGGATTTGGAGTGGGCTGGCACGCCGATTTCATATCACTTTGTGGATATGTGACGTCCCCGGATATGGCTTCACCTCTATTCAAATTGAATTCTCCCTTCTTTCTTCCACCTTTTGATTGAACATAACGTCTGACCAACGAAACGACCTATGTACTGACTGATCCCTTCTAACTAATCCACAGGTGCTCATCACTGACATGCACAGTCTGCTCACGCACCTGCACAAGCACGGCACCCTCCCAACCACCCACGCCTCACCTCACCTTCTCGCCCTCGCCTTCACCCTCGCCAGTGGCAGCAGCGGCGCCCCAGTCGCCTATGCCGCGCCGCTCGGTACTGGGTGCTCATACGGTTAACGTTAACGTCAACGTGAACCTGCAGAATCAATCGCAGCCTGTCCCGCCGCACGTTGTCTCGACGCCATTCTCTACGTCGTCGATCATGCACAGTCATGGTGAGAATGAGAATGCGATGGCGGATGTGCAGATGGTTTCGCAGGAGGAGCAGGAGGAGCAGCATCAGCAGCTAAACCACGTTCCCGTCCCCGTGCCGCAGCAACACGGTTTGAAGTTTGGGAGGGTGACGGGGAAGAGGAGGAAGATGCTCGATCTGGATGAAGAAGCCGTTGAAAATGGGGTTCTTTATGGACATGGAGGTGTGGGTCGGGGTTTTGGTGGTGCGGGAGGCGGAGGTGGAGGAGGGGGCGTTGGTCCCGGTGTGGATGGGAGGGAAAGAGAGGGTGGTGAGTCGGAGGTTGGCTCGGAAGTTGGGTATGGACCTGGATGTGGACGGACGCTTTGTAGGAATTGTTGTTTTGAGAATATTCGTTAGTGAGTTTTTCTTTCTTTATTTTCTTTCTTTTGGTTATGGCTTTTGGCTTTTAGTTGTGGTTGGGGCGATGCTGACGACGAATGTTTGTTTGGTTGTAGCAATACGACGACGTGTTATGATTGCTATGGCAGTTGAAGGAGTTCAAGGACGCCAACCGCATTATCACGCTTTAAACTTTCCGTTTCCTGTTGTTTTTGTCACATTTTTTTCCCTCTTTTCATCGCATCCCTACATACTTCCATCCTCCTCTTTTCATTCCATCCACTTCACGATCATGCATTCTTTATTTCCATTTCTACTTTCATATCGGATATTCGTTGGGGCCCTACTACTTCACGTTCACCCTAATTTCTCCCTTTCCCTTCCTTGTTGTCCAGTCCATATGCATCATCCCTTATGTCGTCTTGTATTTTCCGTTCACTGTTTGGGAATCATCTGGAATCAAAAGCATTTATTCCTTCTTCTCTTCTTTGGCGAGTCATCGGTTTCTTAACGATTGCCTGAACCAGATGCAATCCCAGAGCCAAGACTCGAAGCTGGGCAAGTGAGTGCAGCACCGTCGGCAAAGAATAGGGGGCGGGAATGCAGTGATCCACATTCCCAGTTCCCACGGCCGCAGGCAAATTGGGCCAACGCGAGCGTCAATACATGTTCTTCCAGCTCCTTCACTCTACAAGTCTCTTACGACCGTCGTTCAAAAGACCGGTACTTGAGGGAGATTCATGTTCTTTCTGACCGGGCAATGAACGGCACCTGCATATTCTCTATTTGGCGTGATCCTCACGGACACGGAGTTGCAGGATACGCGTTCTCGAAAGCCAACAGTCCCTCTTCAGGAAACAGCGATTTCGTAGACCGCGACCAGACATAGTATTGGTGCTGCCACAGACGGGTAGGATAACCCGAATGCAAGCACGGTGGGTCAGCTGGACGAAAGGCATTTGTACCCGCGCACAGCCCCATCCTAGTAACACATATATCACCGCCCATTCTGCGCCCATGTCAACCTTGCTTGACTCCTTACCGTCCCCATCTCCTGCCCATCTCCTACCACCACACTCGCTGCTTGGGGCATTCTCCTGCTCGTCTCCGCTCAGAATACTGCCAGAGTGGCCTTGGATCAGGTACGCACACAGCGAAAGCGTCGCTTCGGCCCATTGATGGGTTAACGTTCCAGGTTCCTGCAGTATGGGGATTGCCGGGAAAGACGCGTCTTATCTGGCTGCACTCAACGCGGGCGGCACAGTCCCAAGTGTCAATGTCGGTGAAGGCAGCGCCATCACCGGAGGGACGGTAATAGGAGGTGATTATCACAATGTCACTCATATCCACAGCATCTCCGCCAGCGCTGAACCTCGCGGCGACTCGTCTGAAAGTCGCGGTAAGTACTATTTCACCCTCCTCACCATCCACTTGTACTGATCTTACGACTTACCTAGACGCTCTGATATCCGACATTACCACTTGGTTCGATCTCCGGTCGAACTCGAGGGGGATCCACATCGACGTGAGGAAGAAACGGATCCCTGCGACAGGAGACTGGTTCATCAACAGCAAGGAATACACTCACTGGAAAGGCACAAAGGGCGCTGTTCTGTGTGGTACTGGAATCCGTAGGCCTTTCTTCTTTTGATCCCTCTGCATTGCCGTCTAATTGATATCAAAGCTGGTGCTGGGAAGACAGTTCTAATGTAAAGGCGCGGCGTAGTCTGATTCGAAGCATCGCTAACCGGTTCTCTCAGGTCACGCGTGGTGGATGATCTACTACCGCTCGAGGAAGCTGCCGACCGCAAAATCTGCGTCCTGTTCGTCTATAACCGCTACAACGAACCTCTCTCGGTCGGTGATATCTTGAAGAACTTCATCCTTCAAATCATCCAGCGTCACCGCCACCTTGCGGACCTCGTTAAACCTCTTTACCGACGTGGTCGACTTGAAAAGACTAACCCATCCGACGACGATCTTCTCAACCTCCTCCTCAGATTGGAGGGTCATTTCGATCGTACATTCTACGTCATTGACGGAGTAGACGAAGTCGATCGCAAGCACCAGTTCGACTTGATTCAGTTCTTAAACCAGCTGCAGGGCAATGTCATCTTCGCCTCCCGTCCTTTGGACGACTTGCGCACAGAGTTGGAGGGTGCTCGGTATTTGACTTTGCTGGCGAAGGGTGAAGACCTCCAACTACTCATTGATGACAGGCTAAGGCGATACAAGGCATTATGTCGCGTCTTGGAGAAGAATAACTACCGAGAGGAAGCCACCAGGCAGATAGCTGAAAAGGCTGAGGGAATGTGAGTAGCGCGTGTTGTACTACTATCCGTAGCACCCGTTGACACGGCTGTCGGACAGGTTCCTCCACGCTGCCTTGCAGATCGAAGCTCTACGCAATTGTCTGTCACTTTCGGCAGTTGAAGCCAAGCTCGAGCAGTTTCCAGTAGGCATAGAGGGGATGTACGCCGCTAGCATCTCGCGGATCGAAAGCCAGGACCCAGAACTCGTCCGGATTGCCAAGCAGGTACTTTTCTGGCTTGTCTTTTCCCGCGGACCTTTATCGTTGCGGGACCTCCAATCTGCGCTTGGTGTAAACCCCCAAACATACAGTGTCGAGAAGTCGCTTATGCCGGATGAAGAATCCATCATTGACCTGTGCTGTGGTTTGGTTGAACTGGACACGGAAAGTGACGTTGTTCGACTTGTCCGTGAGTATTGGGCCTTGTGATCGCTTCTCTATCTTGTATGCTCACTGCAACCTTCGCTTTAGATTTCACAGCGCGAGATGCACTCCAACCCATTCTCCTCAAGGACTTTCCCGGCCCCCATCTCTTCATCAGTAAAGTCCTGGCCCAGAAGATGGTCGACAAGGGGTTGCCCTGTTGCACCATCGCCGAGATTGAAGCTTTTGACACCCTCATTGAGCAAGAACCACTCCTTCGTTACTCCTACGAACACTGGGGCACCCATGTTCTGGAGTGTGGAGATACACCCGAAGCCAATGAGGTTGCGATGGCTTTTCTGCGGCAATGTACCTCTTTTCCTAGTGATCACACGTGGCATTCGCTTGTCCCGCTGAAGCCACTTCACGTCGCTGCTTTCTATGGTCTTTCGATATACCTAGACCATGCCTTCGGGAACAATGGGGATTGTGACGGTCGGCCAACACCATGCCTAACCTCCGCCGACAGCTCACCCCAGGCAGGGGACAAGCCCATTGGAAGTGCGCCAATCGACGGGAGCAGGATGCTATGTTCCGGGGCACTAATCATAGCGTCAACCATGGACCATGTCGATTTTGTGAAGCGAATTCTTCAAATGTCCGACATTGATGTTAATGCAGTGGACAACGTGGGCTGGACTGCGTTACAACGAGCGTCGCTACTTGGACACGAGGATGTCGTCAACGAGCTCCTCCAGTTCCATGGCATCGACGTCAACGCTACGAACAGCAATGGGTGGACTGCATTCATGATTGCCGCGTTTGTAGGCCACGAGCGAATTGTCAACCGACTCCTCCAGGTCTATGACATTGACATCAATGCTGTGGCCAACGAAGACGCGACTGCGCTCACCTTCGCCTCGGATCAAGGACACGATGGAGCGGTCGGCCAGCTCCTACAGTTCCATGGCATCGACATCAACGCTGTGGACACCCGAGGCGCGACTGCGCTGATGTGTGCCGCGGATCAAGGTCACGACGGAGTGGTCAGCCAGATTTTGCAGCGCGAGGATCTCAACGTCAACGCTCAGAGTGATAGCGGTTGGACTGCGCTCATGTGTGCCTCGGATGGAGGTCGCGATGGAGTGGTCAGTCAACTGCTGCAGCGCCAAGATCTCAACGTGAACGCTCAGAACGATAGCGGGTGGACTGCGCTCATGTGCGCCTCGGATAGAGGGCACGCTGGAGTGGTCAGCCGACTCATGCTGCGCGACGATCTCCACGTCGACGCCCAGAGCGATAGTGGGTGGACTGCGCTCATGTGCGCTTCCGATGGAGGACACGATGAAGTGGTCGGTCGACTCATGCAGCGCCGAGATCTCAATGTGAACGCTCAGAACGATAGCGGGTGGACTGCGCTCATGTGGGCCTCGGATGGAGGTCACGATGGAGTGATCAGCCAACTCCTGCAGCGCGAGGATCTCAACCCCAACGCTCGGAGCGATAGCGGGTGGACTGCACTCATGTGGGCCGCGTACAAAGGTCACGATGGAGCGGTCAGTCGGCTCCTGCAGCGCCGGGATGTCGATGTCAACGCTCAGAGCGACAGTGGACGGAATGCACTTATGTGCGCCACGGATCAAGGTCACTATGGAGTGGTCAGGCAACTGCTACGGTTCCATGGCATCGACGTCAATGCAGTGGACGGCAGCGGCGTCACTGCGCTCATTCTCGCTTCCAATCGAGGTCGTGGTGAAGTGGTCAACCAACTCCTCCGGTACCCGGGCATCGACGTCGATTTCGCCACCGGGTCTGGAAAGACGGCTTTGTCTATTGCGCAGGAGCGTGGGCGCTCGAGTGTTGTGGCACTGTTAACTAGATTCATTCAGAACCGATCGGCAGGTACAGGTGTATAGCGTACGGGTAAGTAGACGTAGGGTTTTATTTTGCATAAGCACTAGGTTTTACGATGTTGATATAGTAAGACATATGCATCAGGATACAGGCGATCGTTAACGTTGGGCCCACGCACTACCGCTGCCAGCTCTGTGATGTCGGTTTGATAAACCGGGCCTCCTGGGGAGGATCCAGGAAGGCCTCAGAGTTGGAATAAAGACGTTTCGGCGATCACTGAGCAATCATCACGGCACTGTACCGGGGCTGGCGTCTGCCACCAAATCAAGGATTCGCGCCAAAGATTCTATGTCGAGATTGCCGTTGAACAACGAAGTTTTTAGAGAGAATGTCAGATGCATTATTGTGATAAATAGATGGGAAGATTAAAGGATCATTCTGAAGCGCGTCGGGTGGTCGATGCGACTATCACCGGTGGCAACACCCATAATAGCGCCCCATAAAAGGCGTACTGCCGATGGAGGTCTCAGATTAAGGACAAATTCGTTGTAAGTCCTCGCATCTGGCCATTAATTCAGCAACGGAGACTGTGTAGGTTCACTGACTTGTATAGGATGAGGGTTCCCACTGGGTCATTACTTTCTTCTACTAAGCAATGTTTATTGCTGCTGTGCGTATGTCATGAACTAGTAGTCTGTTGTGAAAGAGACGTGTATTGGTTTGTGCAACATTCAGTGTATATACTTGGCTGGCCCCGATGCTCTCTACCCGAGTTGCACTACTGTGGTTACGTTTGTGGGTGGGGTGCGGCCCCGGCTCACGCCCGGACCAAAGCGTTCACTTTGAGGATGAAATCAAGGATCCCTGCGTGCCTTAGAGCATATCCGACCCACACAGATGCTTGCTCACCTTGGTTAGAAATTATCCGCTCCGTCGCGGTCAATTTCGACGCGACTTTTGCCGTTAGGGGTACTGATTGCCATTCGGAGACAGGGACTTCCCGGGCCGGGAGCCATTTCCGCGATCAAAAATTTACGCGGGGCGAGGCTCTTTCTCATCCGCTCTTGTCTGCCAACACAGAGGTTGGACTCCATCTTCCAGTCACCTCACCACCAAGACTAGGACCATGTTTCTGGGGAGGGCAGCCTCCAGAACGTGTCGCCATTCCCAGCCGCTCCGCGTAGCGGCCAGGGCTAAATCCACCACCACCGCCGTCGCCTCGTCCAGCTGGCATCAATATGGTGTGACTGGCGGCATCCTCGCTTCGACCTCGTCGTCGTCACGGACGGTGGTGAACCCCGCGAAGCAGAGGAGGTGGGTCAGGATGGCCTCAACGGCGACGGCGACGAAACCAACTGAGGAAGCGTCGTCGTCGGACCAACCACCTGCGCCAGCGCACAAGTTGACGGACAACGATGTCAAGCGCTTGACTTTCCAGCGGAACATTGGTATCTCTGCCCATATCGACTCAGGAAAGACCACGCTTTCGGAGCGGATTCTGTTCTATACCGGCAAGATTCGCGAGATCCACGAGGTGAGCGTTGTGCTATCTGTTTGTAGCGGGGCAGACTTGCTAATGCCGGTGGTGATAGGTTCGTGGACGCGATGCTGTTGGCGCCAAGATGGACAACATGGATCTCGAGAGGGAGAAGGGTATTACCATTCAGAGTGCTGCGACGTTCTGTGACTGGGAGGCTACGAATCCTGAGGATGGCTCGAAGCAGAAGTATTCCATCAACGTCATTGATACCCCAGGTCAGTTGGCCTCAATCTTTGCATCGTAGCTTGCTAACAACCCCTGCAGGACACGTTGACTTTACCATCGAGGTTGAACGGGCTCTTCGTGTCTTGGACGGTGCCATCTTGGTTTTGTGTGCGGTTGCTGGTGTCCAGGTGCGTATCTCTGACTGTCTATCTGCTGCTGACGCTGACCGTGTTGTAGAGTCAAACGACTACTGTGGATCGCCAAATGCGTCGGTATAACGTTCCCCGGATTTCTTTCATCAACAAAATGGACAGGCCTGGTGCCAACCCATGGCGTATTGTGAACCAAATTCGGACCAAGCTGCGGATGCCGGCTGCTGCTGTTCAGGTTCCTATCGGTACGGAAGACGAGCTCAAGGGTGTTGTCGACCTCGTTCATTGGCGTGCGCTCTACAACGAAGGACCCAAGGGGTGCGTGTCACGTTTCTGTAGTCCGATGCATACGCTTACCGTCCACCAGAACGGAAATCCGTGTTTCAAAGGATATCCCCGAATCGGTTGCGGAACTCGCCAAGCAGAAGCGCGCTGAACTCATCGAACAGCTCGCCGAGGTTGACGAAGAGATTGGTGAACTTTTCTTGATGGACGAAACCCCTACCAACAGGCAAATCGCCGACGCCATTCGCCGTGCGACGATCGACCTCAAGTTCTCTCCCGTCTTCATGGGCTCTGCGATGAAGAACACTGGTGTCCAGTTCCTCCTTGACGGTGTTTGCGAGTACCTCCCCAACCCATCCGAGCGCGAGGTTTTGGCTATCGACAACAAGAACCTGGACCCGGCTACCGCTTCCTCCCAGGCTTCGCAGACTCCTAACGTCCCCTTGGTCCCTGCCGCCGCTGCTCCCTTCGTCGGTCTCGCTTTCAAGCTTGAGGAAGGACGATTCGGCCAGTTGACCTATGTCAGGGTGTACCAGGGTACCCTCAAGAAGGCGATGAACATCTGGAACGTCCGCACTGGCAAGAAGGTCAAGGTCCCCCGTTTGGTCAGGATGCACAGTGACGAGATGGAGGATATTGATTCGATTGGGCCTGGTGAAATTTGTGCGATGTTTGGTGTCGAGTGCTCGTCGGGTGATACCTTTACGGATGGAACGTCGACATACTCTATGGTGAGTCGTGTTTGGGTTTGGGTTTGGAGTGCGTGGATTGATGTGTTGGTTGTAGACGAGTATGTTCGTGCCTGAGCCTGTTATCTCGCTCGCTATCAAGCCCAAGGGACAGGAAACTCCCAACTTTTCGCGAGCTCTTAACCGCTTCCAGAAGGAGGATCCTACGTTCAGAGTTCACATCGACCAGGAGAGCAAGGAGGTTAGTTACCCTCATATCGTTCCTCACTTTCTTTCGACTAATTGTCTTTCTTCAGACCATTATTTCCGGTATGGGTGAACTCCATCTCGAGATCTACGTCGAGCGTATGCGCCGCGAGTACAACACCGAGTGTATCACTGGCAAGCCCCGTGTCGCCTTCCGAGAGACCATCACCCAGCGTGCCGAGTTCGCTTATACCCACAAGAAGCAGACTGGTGGTGCTGGTCAATTCGCTCGTGTTATTGGTTATATCGAGCCTATGGAGATGGACCCCGAGACTGGCAAGGATGTTGCTTTCGAGAACTTGGTTATGGGTGGTAACATTCCTACCAACTTCATTCCTGCCGTCGAGAAGGTGCGCGTTGCCTCGTATGATTGTGGATCGCAAATGTTGACTTGGTGTTTTCTAGGGATTCTACGAGGCTTTGGAGAAGGGCTCGCTCACTGGCAATCCTATCACTGGTGTCCGATTCGTGTTGAAGGATGGTGCCTTCCACGCTGTTGATTCCTCTGAATTGGCCTTCAGGCTTGCTACGATTGGTGCATTCAGGGAAGCGTTCAAGAAGGCTCGGGGTATCGTCCTTGAGCCTGTTATGACTGTCGACGTCGTTGCGCCATCTGAATTCCAGAGTGCGTATTTACCTCTGATCGATATTAGGCTTTTACTGATCTGGTTCTCTAGGCAATGTCATCGGTGGATTGAACACTCGCCGTGGAACTATTGTGGACAGCGAAGTCCGTGATGACGAGTTTACGGCTGTCGCTGAGGTTGCTTTGAACGACATGTTCGGTTATTCGAACCAGCTTCGTGGATCTACCCAGGGCAAGGGAGAGTTTAGCATGGAATACAAGGTCGGTATTTCTTTTCCGTTGTGTGTTTCAGTTTACTGATTGTCCTTGCAGCATCATGCACCAGTACTCCCCAATGTTCAGAAGGAACTCGAGGAGGCGTACCAGAAGACTCTTCCCCAGAGCAAAAAGTAAATGGATGATGACGACGTAGAAGTTCATAGACACTTTTTATAGATATTTGTTATCGTACTTATGCATTGCTTAATCTCATAATCGAACCCTCGCTCTTATCAGGTCCAAGCTTTTTGGCTGTGGGCAAAACGTTAATTAAGGAACGACCGGACGCGCGTGCGGACCGTGGGAAACATTGACGGCCCTAAATTTTTGTGCTCTTATCCTTGTTGGACCGAAACCCATTCGTTGCTCGTCGTCGTCGTCGCCGCCGCCGTCATCTTTTCCGTCGTATCGTCGACGATCAAAACCCAAAAGTGCGTTTAGGACGACCAAATACCTCGAGATCGTACATTAATCAGTGACCATTTATAGCAATCATGGCGCCGTTTTCAAAACCAGAGACGGTGCTCAAGCAGGCCGAAGGACTCGTTTCCGTTGGCCAGATGCATGCAGCACTCCAGTCTCTCACTGAGATGTTCTCTTCAAAACGATTCCGATCGACCCCGTTGACGTCGCTGGAGCCTATCATGCTGCGATTTATCGAGTTGTGCGTTGAGATGCGCAAGGGGAGGACTGCAAAGGAGGGACTGATGCAGTACAAGAACATCGCGCAGAACACAAGCGTTGCGAGCATCGAGACTGTTATCACCAAGTTCGTGCAGCTTGCGGACGATAAAGTGAGGGAGGCGCAGGAGAAGGCTGCGGTGCAGCATAGTGCGCTTGATGTGGATGATTTGGAGGCTAGCGAGACGCCTGAGAGTATCCTCCTTGGTGCTGTTAGTGGCGATCAGAGCAAGGATAGGACGGATCGTGCTGTTGTCACGCCCTGGCTCAAGTTTTTGTGGGAGAGTTATAGGACTTCGTTGGAGACGTTGAAGAATAATGCGAGATTGGAGACTATCTACCAGGTTCGTCAATATTCTTTGGATTGTGGCCTTTTTTTCTTTATCGGAGACTAACAGAGGGGGTATACAGCAAATCGCGCAACAAGCCTTCAAGTTTTGCTTGAAGTATGAGCGTAAAGTCGAGTTTAGACGCTTGTGCGAGACTCTCCGCCTCCATCTCGCGAATGTGGCCAAGTACTCGCACCAGCAGCACTCGATTAACCTTTCGGACCCGGATACGCTGCAGAACCACCTCGACACCCGCTTCGCCCAGCTCAACACTTCCGTCGAGCTCGAGTTGTGGCAGGAAGCCTTCCGTTCGGTCGAGGACGTGCACAACCTTTTGACATTGGCCAAGAAGGCACCCCGTCCAGCTATGATGGCCAACTACTACGAAAAGCTCACCAAGATCTTCTTGATGAGCGGGAACGCTCTGTTCCATGCTGCGGCCTGGGGACGGTATTATGCTATCGTCACCAGCATTGGTGGCAAGAGCGAGGAGGAGATGAGCAGGTTGGCGGGTCAGGTGCTGGTTAGCGCCCTCGCTGTGCCTGTCGGTGCCAACGCGGAGCCGGAGGAGCTCAAGGGCAAGAATGCGAGGTTGACGGCGCTGCTTGGGTTGAACAAGATGCCATCGAGGGCAAGGTTGCTTCAGGATGCTGTATGTTGCTATTCCTTTCGTCGATGATGGGGCTTTTGTTGATTTAGAGCCATTTTTCGGTTGTAGCTCGCCCGGGACGTCCTCAAGCTCTCCCCCGAGCCTGTCAAAAAGCTGTACAACATCCTCGAAGTCACCTTCGACCCGTTGACGCTCTGTGCCGCGGTTGCGCCCCTGTTCCGCACGCTCTCCGAGGACTCGCTGTATGCGTCCTACCTGCCCCTCCTCCAGCGCGCCCTCCTCTCGCGTCTGCTCTCCCAGCTCTCGCAGGTGTACAGCACCATTAAAATTGCGCACCTCTTGTCGTTGGTTGTGCCCTTGAAGGATGCTGGCTTGGAGGCGGCGTATGACGCTGAACAGGTCGAGGCCTACATCATGGGCTGTGCTCGTCGTGGTGAGCTCAACATCCGCGTCGACCACAAGGAGGGCAGCATCGCCTTTGTCGATGACGCCTTTGCCGCTGTCGAGGAGCCTGTCGCGTCCACCTCTGCCCTCGCCGAGCAGACCATCCAACCGACCATGTCCGAGCTCGTCCGTACCCGCCTCAGCAAGGTCGCCACCTGCCTCTACAACTCGCTCGAGAAGATCGAGGGTCCCTCCAAGGCTGCTCAAGAACTCACCAAGGAAGAGCAGGATGCCAAGTTCAAGGCGCTCGTTGCGGCTGTGGAGGCTGAGCGCAAGGCGCTGCAGTTGCGCCGTGCGTTGGTGGCGAGACGCCGGGAGTTGTTGAGTGAGTTGAGTGTGAGGAAGGAGAAGGAGGAGAGTAGCAGGAGGGCTGAGATTAGTCGACGGGAGAGGGAGGAGGCGGAGAAGAGGAGGCAGGAGGAGATCAAGAGGCGGGAGATTGAGAAGACTAAGAGGGAAATTGAGGAGATTAGGGCTGATGAAGCTAAGAAGTATGCGCAGACTTTGGTTGATAAGGGTATTTTGAAGCCTAATGATGTCGATGTGAGTGACTTTTCTCTCATTCTGCGAGGATTATGATGCTGATTTTTGTGATGTAGAAACTCGAAAACTACGACACCGAGGGCCTCATCACGATCCAAGTCGCTCAGCTCGAGAAGGAGAAGAAGGAGATGAACGAGCGTCTGCGTATCATCGCCAAGCGTATCGACCACATCGAGCGTGCGTACCGTAAGGAAGAACGACCCCTCCTCGCACAAGACTACGAGCTCCAGCAGAAACTCGACAAAGAGCTCTTCATCAACACCCAAAAGGCGCACAAGGAAGCCGCGCGGCTTGCCCACCAGGAGACTGTGGACGCCAAGCACCGACTTGCGAGGATGCGGGCGGATTATGAGGCCAAGAAGGCTGAGATCCTTGAGAGGAAGGGTGGGGAGTACCAGAAGAAGCTGGATGCTGCCAAGAAGAAGATTGAGGCTGAGAAGGAGAAGAGGAGGGAGGCTGTGTTTAAGGCTCGGGAGGAGGAGAGGCAGAGGAAGGAGATGGAGGAGGCTGAGGCCCGTGCTCGAGAGGAGGAGGAGAGGCGCTTGGAAGCTGGTAAGTCAATGTTCTGTATTGTCTCGGTTATTGGGATTCTTACGATATGCTCGTGCAGAACGCGAAGCCGAGGAAGCTCGTCGCCGCGAAGAGGAAGAGCGCCGCGCCGCAGAGGAAGAGGCTGCTCGTATCAAGGCCGAAGAAGAAAAGGCTGCTCTCCGCAAGCAACGCGAGTTGGAGCGACAAGAGGCTTTGGAAAAGGCCCGTCTCCAGCAACAGCGCGAGGAGGAAGCCGAGGCCAGACGTGCTGCCCGTCGTGCCGAGGAGAAGGAGCGGGAGAGGGCTGCTGCACTCGGCCGTCGCCCCGCCGTCGCTGCGCCCACTGCTCTCCGGGCCTCCGCCTCTATGGGCAAGGAGGAGGGTGTGTGGAGAAGGTCGACCCCCGTCAACTCGGGCCCTCCTACCCCCTCGCGTGCCTCCGGCCCTGGAACCCCCATCGCGCCTACGCGCTCTGAGAGCCCCACGCCCGCCGCTGCTGGCAAGTACCGCCCTGGCGCCCTCGCCGCCGCTGGAGGCGGATGGCGTGCTAGGATGGAGGCCAAGGAGCGCGCTGCTGCTGAAGGCGGAGGAGCTGGATCTGGAGGAAGTGGTGCTAACACCCCTGCTCGTGCTGCGTCGCCTGCGCCGAGAAAGGAGGAACCCAAGCAGGATGATGATGGGTTTACTACTGTTAGTAAGCCTGGTGTCTGGCGTCCTAGACGTGGAAGGGGTTAGGCTATTTATGTCGCGTTATGTTAGTACTACTACTACTGCTGTTGTTGTCTCAAGGCCGTTTCCAACGTTCAACTTCCTCCCCTCGTGTCTCTCTTTCTTCTGTGTCATTCGTTGATTACCAGATGCATGCATTCTTGCGATGTCTTTTTCATTGGATGATTTTGCATTTTTTTGTACATTTCTTTTTACCTTTTATGCTATTTTCCCGTTTCCCTCTCTCAACCTCTTTCGAGTCCTTGTGGTGTGAAGAAATTGAAAGTGTTGACGATGGTCGATCTGGACGATGATTGATGCTAGATGGGAACGCGATAAGATTGGTTTCTGCGACATCGCTCGCGCAAAGACTAATGCAAACGGCTGTAAAGTCAAAAAGGTGCAAAAAGGTTGACAAGAGTGGGATTTGAACCCACGCGGGAATACTCCCATGAGAAACCCCTAATGACAGAGGCAAGCTTTCGCTTGAGTCACACGCCATAGACCGCTCGGCCATCTTGCCACTGGGATCCAGGTGGGGTTAGGCATACACGACGTCGTGGCAGAAACTCGGCCACAACTTTGTGATACGGTCCTCCTCACCTTCACCTCAACGTGTTTAGATACAGGTGGTATCGAAAATCTATCTATCCCGTAACTGTCTACGTTCGTAGGAGTTAAAATACATAACTGTCAGGTTTAGATGCGTATGGCTACAAAAGAATGGCACATCGTCTGTATGAAGGATTAGGAATGTGTCTTTGCGAGATGGCACTTCACCCATAGACCGCCCTGAGTAATCGTCGGTTACCGGGAAGTCCTCAAATGAGAGAAACACCAAGCGCGGACTCACCTTGACAAATAGAGTCAGAGCGGCGGCTGGCCATATCTTCTCATCTTTCTGCCTCCCCTGTCTATGTTTCCATTCCTTTGGAGGGAGGGATCCTGGAGGCTGGAACTCGGGAGCCAGCGTGAACCTGTCGAATTGTTGTAACAGCCGAACGACGAAGTAGGACATTTGGTTGTAGGCGTAATTTTGGCCTAGGCACTGTGATTGAGATTCCCATCAGCATTTGAATTTTGTATAACCGGTGGGCATCCGTGGTTGTATGTGGGGGACTTTGACTTACTATCCGCGGACCAGCACTGAACGGCGCATACATGGCAGGATTATTAACAATTTTGGAAGCGCGGTCGGGGTCTATCCAGCGTTCGGGAACGAATTCTTCGGCGTCTTCACCCCACAAAGCGGGATTGCGCTGGGTCAGTAAAGGGAAGTACATTATAATTGTCTTAGCGGGCATGTAGAATGGGCGGGTGTCGGATGATGCGTAGGTGGGGTCGGATGGGGGAAGAGTACATGATGCCGATCGGGTTTCGCGGATGTTGAGGGGTACAGGTGGGTATAAGCGCATTGTTTCGTTGAGCACTGCTCGTACTGGTGGAAGAGTGTGTGAGTATCCGTGAAGGTCGGTGATCAGACGAGTGGACGTACGGTATTTTAGTTGCTTGAGGGTATCGGGGAATGGATGGGAGGTTGGTCCGACGTGTTCCAAGATCTCAGCTCGTAAGCGGTCGGTAACGTCTGGGTGTGTGGCGAGGAGATATGTGAGGAAGGTAAGTACGGTGGCAGTCTGGGGGGTACTGTGTTTAGATGTCTGGCTTGTGGGGAACACGAGTACCTACTGTATCCCGCGAAGCCAATAGCATGTTTAACAGTTGGTCACGAATCGTTACGGGGTCTGAAAACCGGTCAGAAACTGGAAAGAACATCGAGGGTGTATACTTACCATCGACGCACTCAGCTATGTGCTTGAGAAAGCTGGTTCCCAAGGAGGCCTTGGAATCAGCGCGCTTCCTCCCAATTCTCTGAGTCCGCTCATTGAGCGCTCTCTGCACAAGCGGATCAAGCCACCGATGTATAACATCAGCATGTTCCGCGTTCTTATCCTTAAACAATTCAAGCAGCGGCCACCAATGTCCAATCCTCGCCCTCGTCGTCGCGTTAATCTGGGCGGTTTCGAATGCCTTTGCGAACGAACCCCAATCTCCCTCCACTGCGGACCCTTTTGGTCCCATGACAGTTTGTCCTGGAATAGGTCGTGATTGAGATAGAGTATCAAGGTTCTTGCCAAAAAGGAACTCGGAGGCTGAGTCCAGAGTAAATCGGGAGTAGAGATCCTGGGCGTCGAAGGCTTCTTGGGTGGAGGCGAGTGATGTCAGAATGGATAAGGTACGGGCGGTGTGGGTTTCGAAGTTGTCGAAGTCTTCTATCCGGTCTCTTGCGAAGAAGGGGCGGGCTATGGCACGATGCTGGAGGGTTCCCGGTGATTTTGTCAGTGTTGAGTGGCTCTAAGTACATCCAGGCGCCGGCGGGCGGCCGTATCGTAAAGGTCACACACCTCTTTCCAGTCCTGTGAAGAAGAGCGGCGGAGAGGGAATTCAGTTTCTGCGAAATTGGAAAGACGTTTGGGAAGGTGGGTCACTCACGTCATCGTCCCTGTTGAATATCCCACTCCCTAGGAAAGTCTCCCTAAAAGGTTGTGAGCCTTGAGTCTCATGTACCGTGCCATTCCCGAATATACGGACAATCGTTCTTTCTGCGCATGACCTCTCCAGAAGCGCCCAAACCCGGTTGCCAGGACGTATTTGGTATGGTCTTGATCCATGGATATGATCTAGAGTGGTATGGATCAGTACGTGACATGGTGCGGTGCTCAGAATGTATAAGCGGTGCGAGCAGTGCTGTTGCTGTTAGCGAATCGAAAAGCGACGTACGCAATCTCTCCATAGGATCCTGAGGTTGAGCGTCGTACACTGGTACTCTTTGAACAGCTGCAGATAGACGTCCAGAACATAGCTCGTCTTGAAGTCTTTCATCATTCGCAAAAGGATATCCAGATTCCCGGGCCACCGACCGACCACCCTTGGAATCGGTCTAAGATGCTGTCGAAGCTCCCGGCATTGGGTGAGATCGTTGTAGAAGGTTTTCGCTGCAGAGCAGAGCACAACGGATCCCACGTAGATAAGGACGAGTTGAATCCGCGGAAGCGCCAGCTCGAACCAAAACAAGACCAGGTGCACTAGTGCAATAGGAAGCAGGAAGGAGTGACAGACATCAAGGAGCACCCTAACCCGATAATAGGCGGGGTTCATTGCGAGAAACGACGAAGATAGGCAAGCTCTGACAGCTGAATGTCGCCGAGCTCAAAGCTTTTTATACGTTCGAAGGCGGATTGGGGGAAGGGGCGACTCGGAATCCGCAGCGAATTCTGTCGGGTGTGGTGGAGAGTGGAAAGAAGCAGCAAGCCTGGGCGATCTCGCTGGCTAGATTTTTCCACCTATTGAAAGCACCGCAAGCACACGTCAAATGCTCAAGGGTGTGATAACCGATGGAGATAAGCTCCCTCTGAACCGCGCTCTGAACCTGGAATGTGGGATGGTGCCGTTGGATATGTAAGTATATAATTGCCGAGTTGCAAACTTATCGCTCCTGGAGGGGTAAGGGAAGCTCGCATGCCGTGGTCATTGGGATGGCGCCAGACGGAAATTCCTGGTCGGGAAGGTCTGTGACCATCCAGAAGAGGCCTGCCTTTGCGATGGCATCAGTACTCCACGGGAACAAACAACCACCAACATCGGTCGATCCATCCCTCCGACTTCGAGAAATGAGCGCCATTCCCAGTCACAATGTCATAAAAACATATTGGCGGCGAGGTAACCTCGTGACAGTACCTATTTCGGGGCCTCGTGGGCGAGCTTGAGCTTGAGCGAGTGGGAGTGGACTTGTTGCGGTTCCTGTTGCGGATAGCCGGGTGGGCGCTTCCTGGGCGAGTCCTTGCGGGTTATTGATCATTGGTGATAGGTATCCTTGAACAGGTTTGTGGAGCTAGGAGCTTACTGAGCGCTTTGAATGTTGTCGGAAGACATGTAAAGCGATTGTTCCTTGGAGTATGTCCACGGTCTAGCCCTGAGGTCACAACGAGGACCTGTTGTGACAAGTGTACTAGCACCATTTATAGATTGTACCGTAAGACGGGCGACTTGCTTCAGGGATAAGATGTCCTCATGTTCCGGTCGCCGACAGTGTTGATTGCGGAAGGCATTTGGGTCGGTTCCACGACGATTCCTCGTGGTCATGTGAGTCAGAGACTGGTTGGTATTAACAATCCGCGAGCGCTGATCGTCGATATGAGGGAAAGAGGGAAGAACGAGCCACCAGAGTCTGGCAATCAAGTCTTCCAGGGTCTAAACTTCTTTCACAACGAGCTTGAATATGAGTGATGTCACTGATATTGATCCCCTAGCCATTTTCCGAGGAAAATGCTACTGGCAAGGCGCGGTGTTTTATTGGGGGACCCGGGCCCAATGCCTTCTTATGACTCTCAGTTCATATAGGCTCAACTCCGGAAATGTTCCATAGAGTTAAAGGTCTGTGTCCAGAGGTACATACGACTTGTCGCTACATGCTTTGGTCCGGTCTTTCCGCGAGAAAGCTCTGAACCCTCGGCCGGGCTGTGGGGAAAACCATTGCACGTGCCAAACTGAGAAACTCCTTGGAGGTCCCTGAATGACTGGCTATTGGTTGTACCGACACCTTCCAAGAACACTCCCTTGAAACTTCCCCAGGGCATTCATTATAGCAGTGCCGGGATTGGCATGTTCCCGACTCCGACGATGTCGCATTGGATGCTGCCGCAACCCAGTATCATTATGTATTCAGTGTTGATCATCAAAGCCGTGGAATAGTCCCCTCGAAGGCTTTTCTACCGACGGTGTCCGGCTCTGATGTCTCCTTAACCCCACCCACTTCTGTTTACTTAGTAAAGCCTAGGTCGAGCCAATTGGTCGGTCATATTGAATTGAATCCCTTCTCAAAACGGTCCGAGGCGTTTGACCAAGGGTAGATTTTCCACGCCTACTATACGATGTAACATTCTCACTTCAAGAAATTCACTTTCTGCCAGACAATGTCACCTCTCCGAGTGGTTCGGGGCTGAGTGTGCCTTGGCCAGCTTGGGAAAGCCTCCAATCAACTTGCAATCAGCTGTCGCGCCGCCTAAGTCAGAGTTCCCACGGCATCTTGTTACCGACGACCGTGACTGCTTGGGTGACAACAACCTCCGTTAGACGACGACAGCGACGACCACGAGCAACCACAACAGTCGCGGTATCGACGGGGAGGGTTCCAGAAGATTTCGGAGCACCAAAAATTGTATGGACGACGACCGAGCAGGACCCTCTTATCTTCACCAGCCGTCTCCAAAGTCAGCAGCCTCCGCGGTCGATTTATCGGGCACAAACGTCGGCCTGACCAGTGCGCGTCTCAACCACCCTTCGGCGCCGTCATCTCCGTCGCTGGAGGTGAATATTCGTACAACGAGACGAAGAACGAGCTGGGGAAATAGAGAATCCATTGATGAAGCTCTCGGACCCTTGGGGCAGGTCCCATCGTCGGCTACGGATACGAACCCAACTCGATTTATGGCGGGAAGGCTGACGTCGAGCCCACCACCGACGGCGCCGGCGAGATACATTGGCAGAAGACACGAAACAGACGACCCATTCACAACACCAGGCTTCTATGAAGTCCGAAACACTTACTATTCGTCCGTTGAAGCGGGACCTTCACGGACATCCCTTATCCACGACCACGGCGACAATGACGAGTACGACGGTCATAGAGAAGACGATGAAGCCCATCTTACCGCCAACATGTCCCAGATGGGTGTCACAAGCAGCAGAAGCAGGAGTCCGTCGCAAATAGTATCGCCTTCATCATCTTCGGACGACCCTGAAAACTCTGGCGCCGCATCTATGATGTCTCCACGGTCGAAGCGCAAATCTGGCGGGAAGAGGTACAGCGTGGCGCAATCGCCATTAAAGTTGGGCGAGAGTGCGATAAAGACGGTGTCGGGAGGGCTGCGCAGGATGTCGCTGCGGGTAGTTAACCTCGCTGGCACGGGCATGGCTGATCAACTCCGTTTGAAGGATTTGGACGAACCTATGTCGGCCAAGAGCGAAGAAGACGGACCACCGGCCATTGTTGACCTCAAGGAAGTTCTGCCGTTGCGAGGGAGAACGTTGGGTTTCTTGGGCCCCGACAGCAAGCTGAGGCAGCTGCTGTATCGGTTCCTGATTCATCCATGGACGGAACCTATGATCCTGGTCCTGATCATCGCCAACGCTGTCGTCTTGTCAATACAGGCCTTTCCATCCCTGACCTTACCCACCGCCAACGGGCCTGCCCTCCCTCCAAGGGTCAAGGGCTACTTTCACACTTGGGAAGACTACGTTCTCTTTGGTCTCTTCATCGTGTTCACGTATGTATCCCCATCATCTCTTATGATCTCTTTTTAACCTCCCCCTAGGGTTGAAGCCCTGGCTCGAATGGCAGTGACGGGATTCCTCTTCGACCCAGACGTTTCAATGTTCGAACCATTCGCCGCCCCCAACACTAACAGTATTGCCGAAACTTATACACCCACACCCGGTCCCATTGGCCCTGGCATCGCACGTCAGACCTCACTGTCTAGGGGGAAATCCATCACACAAAAGTTCCGCACTATGAAGCAAACACTCCTACGACCATTTGCTCTTTCGTCCAGCAAGCCACCCTCCGCCTCACCACTCACAGCAACCGTTCCCCCTCCCACCGCGAGGAACGGCATGTCCTCTTCCATACATCCAACGTATCCCCCACCCCCTCCAGACGACGGAACCTTGAAAGGTCGGATAAAACACGTCGCACACTCCGTTCACCAAACTATCCGTGATCCCAATACCCCAACCTTCCTTTCTCGTGCGATGCGTTCAGACTATCAAAACGGCGATGAAATCAAGCTCCCTTTCCGCTTGAGCATCGACCACCTACACGACAAAACGACTCGAAATGTACCATATCTTCGACAGAGCTGGAGTCGGATTGATTTTATTGCTATTGTAAGTTTTTGGATCACGTTTGCTTTGGCGATGGCAGGGTTGGAGAGGGGAGAATATCACATCGGGATATTTAGGGCGATGAGTGTGATTAGGACGGCGAGGTTATTGACTATTACGTCTGGTACCACGGTGAGGCGTCTCCCGATTCTGCTAATGCGCTCAGTGACTGACGAATCACATTGTAGACTATCATGCATTCCTTAAAGACAGCAAGGCCTCTACTTACAAGCGTGGCTCTATTCGTGTTATTTGCTATTGTCCTATTTTCGTGAGTCAGTCCTCTAACCTCCTGACCGACGATTGAGCTCATGAAGCACATCAGAATTATCGGTATTCAATCATTCGGCGGTTCCTTGCGGCGATCCTGCTTCTTCAACCCTACTCTTGGCGAACCCGAGGTTCTCATCGACGAACAATTCTGCGGAGGATACATTGATCCCGTTACACTTCGGGAGGTGGGCTATGTGCAATTGGATGGTCGCCGTTCAAACACAGTCAAGGGATACATCTGCCCGCTGGGGCAGACATGCAAGGTTTGTACATCCGTGTTCCGCCAAGCTCTTCCATCGCTGATAGACGTTCATTTACCAGGAAACCGTTAACCCTAAAGATAATATCGAAAGCTTCGATGCCATTCATTACGCGGCATTACAAGTTGTCATTATTGCTACCGCCAACGGGGTAAGCCTAATCTCTCACCACACTCAATCTCAAAGTTTTATGAGAAACTGATGATCCTCCGACAATAGTGGACCCCGTTGATGTACTCAATGATGGACGCTGAATTCTTCGTTTCTTGCTTCTTTTTCGTTATTGGAGTTATTGTTTTGAACTTTTGGTTGATCAACCTGTTCGTGGCGGTTATCACCAATAGTTTTGCTGCGATTCGGTCTGCGACCAAGAAGAGTGCTTTCGGTGCTGCTCCGTGCGTATCTGGACCATCTCGAAGTATGATCATGGCTAACTGGCGACTTGTACAGTCTCATCCAAACCGAGAAGGACATGGATGATGGATGGGCTGTCGTGGACAACCGCAAATCCGCCAGCAGCACCAATATCGCCAAGACGTTCTACAGCCACACCAAATGGTGTTGGGTCCTCCTCGCGCTCGCCTCCCTAGCCCTCCAAGCAAGCAGAAAAGTCGACATGACGCGTCAACACGAACTCATCCTCTACTACGGAGAGCTCGCGATCACCTGCGCATTCGACTTGGAGATCGTTTTACGGGTATTGGCCACACTCCCGGATTGGCGGACGTTCTTTCAACATGCGAATAATTGGCTGGATTCGTTCCTTGCGCTTGTGTGCTCGATCATCCAGATTCCGGTTATTAGGAATTCGACGCTGTATCCTTGGTTCACCATCTTCCAGTTGGTCCGGTTTTATCGGGTTATCTTGGTCGTACCGCGTATGAAGCCTTTACTGGTTTGTAGCATTTTCACTTCCATTGTACGAGGGATATTGACAGACACCCGTTCAATCCAGCTCGCAGTCTTTGGCAACATGTATGGTCTCGTCAACATGTCACTGTTCCTAATGCTGGTCAACTACATCGCAGCCCTCGTGGCGGTGCAGCTGCTACGAGGTGACCTGGGGAACGACGCCAACATCAACTTTGGAGAGTTGTTCAATTCGTTTCTGGCGATGTATCAAGTGTTCTCGTCGGAGAATTGGGTCGACGTATTGTATGGGGCTGGACAGGCGCAGATTGAGCTTGGTCAAACTGCGATATCTCTGTTCTTCATCTCTGCTTGGATGCTTTTCGCCAACTGTACGCCGTATTTTCCTTGTTCGAGCTTTGGTTTGCTTTGGCTAACGAAACTTTAGTTATCGTCCTACAGATGTTCATTGCTGTCATCAACGAGAACTTTGAAGTTGCGGAAGAAGCGAAGAAGGGGAAGCAGGCTACGCATTACTGGAGTCAGCAGCAGGAGAAGAAGGGGACGGCTTCGTGGTTTAGAAAGCTGAATCCTTATCGGTGGATCAAGGCGAACCCGGTCACAGTCAAGGTGGAGAACTTACCCTCCAGCTTGGTGCTGCCGATGCAGAAAACGCTGGTGCAAGACTACAATATCCCCAAGGCGGATCCGAAGGACAGGGCTATGTCGGTGCGTGTATTACGCTTCGAGTTTGGTGAAGTGATGCTGATGATGGGATGTAGAACACGAAGAGTTTGCTCAAGCGTCGGTTCAGGCCTAAGCATTATTCGTCCAAGTCGATTACTGCGCTGGAGAAGCTATTTGCGGGAGACGCCAAGCAATCCGCTGAAGCGATCCCGATGAACACGTTCAGGAGTGGACAAGGTCACAGCCAAGATTCGAACCCGGATCCTTATTACGAAGAGATCGAGCGTCACCTGTGAGCATGAGCCTCTAATCCTCAAAGATTGTGCGAGCTGATCGTTCTTTCTTCTAGTGAACTCATTGCATCGGTGAACAACGAAGCCGCGTACAAGGATAATGAAGACGACGAGTACCAAGAGCGGCGCGCGCAGAAGGCCGACTTCATGCGTGATCACCCATCGTACGACAAGGTCTTCTGGGTCATCTCGCAGAAGAACTGGCTCCGGAAGATGTGTCAGAAGGTCGTGCAGCCGGCTCGAGGCGAGCGTATTTTCGGCGAGCCCTACTCCCCGGTCGCGCTCCCCATCTTCCAGCTCATCATCCTCCTGACTGTCGTTGGTGGTATAGTGGTGGAGAGTGTAGCGACGCCGTTGTACCGACGGAACTACTACGAGGAGCACGGTTTCGTTCGCGGGTCATGGTTCGATATCGCTGAAGCGGCGTTTGGATTCACCCTCTTCATCGAGTTTTTGATCAAGGTCATCGCTGATGGGTTCCTCCTTACTCCCAACGCCTACCTTCGCAGTATATGGAATGGCCTCGACTTCTTGATCATGGTCGGCATCATCGTCAATGTCGTGACCGGTCTCATCTTCATCGGTGGTCTCAGTCGGATAACGCGGGCATTGAAGGCTCTTCGTGCTTTGCGTTTGATCACGTTGATCGACCAGATGCGGAACACCTTCCAGAACCTCATCATCTCCGGTGCCCTTCGTATCATGGACGCGGCTATCCTCGCTTTGTTGTATATGATTCCGTACGCCGTATGGGGTCTGAACATCTTTGCCGGAAAGCTGAATCTGTGTAATGATGGTGACGTGGATGGGCTGGCGGACTGTGTCAACGAGTACACCAACACCGTTATTGGCGACTCGTTCCCGTTCCCTGTTCCTAGGGTGTGGGACAACCCCTCGCCGTCGACGACCTTCAGTTTCGACAACTTCAAGTCCTCGTTGTTGATTTTGTTCGAGATTGTGTCATTTGAGGGGTGGGTGGATGCGATGTGGGTTGTGGCGAGTATTACGGGTCCGAACGAACAGCCGAGGACGAATGCGTCGCAGTGGAACTCGATCTTTTTCGTCATCTATAACCTCCTCGGTGGTGTTGTTATCTTGACTCTCTTCATTAGGTATGTCATCCCTTTTTATATTCCCTTTCTCTGCTTCTTGATCAAGTGTTGACGCGTCACTGTAGTATCATTATAGGCAACTTCAGTTCGAGGACTGGATCGGCCTTTCTTACTATGGCTCAGAGAGAGTGGATCGATCTGCAAAAGCTGTTCAAGAGGCAGAAGCCGTCGAAGAGGCCCAAGAGGAGACCGGCGAATGGGTTCCAGGCGTGGTGCTTTGACCGTGCTGTGCAGAAGCATGGATGGTGGTCGAGGACGTTTACTGTGTTGATTGTGGTGCATGTCATCGCCTTGATGTAGGTCCTTCAGCCCGTTAGTTGTGGTAGCGCGACTGATCGTCTGCGTTTTAGGACCCAAGCGTTCTCGACAAACAAGGTTGCTGAGATGCCGAGGAGTAAGTTTCTCTCTTTCCGTGCGCAATATTCCTGATTGATTCGTGTTCTAGACATCCTGTTCCTTGCCTTGATGATGCTGTTCATCATCGATGTCTACGTTCGACTCTACGGCCTCCGCTGGCGAAGTTTCAAGGCCAACGGATGGAACTTGTTCGATCTTGTCGCTGCCCATGGAAGCTTTGTCACCACCATCCTCGTAGTGGCGGGCCTCCGCAACTTTGTGGTCGTGCAATTCCAGAAGTTATTCTTGGTCAGCATCGCCTTCAAGCTCGTCCAGCGTACGAACAGTTTGAACATGCTGTTCAAGACTGCTGTGTATGTACCTCAATCCTGTTCTACCACGTCCCTTGAGGTTGACCTGAGGTGCTTCTAGATCGAGTTTGCCTGTGATCCTCAGTTTGCTTGGGTTGTGGCTCATTTTGTTCATCTTCTTTGGGATCTTATTCGTTGAGGTGTTTGGGTTGGCCAAGTGGGGTGACTACGAAACTCGGACGACAAACTTTAGGTCGCTCGGGTCTGCTTTGGTGATGTTGGCGTTCCAGAGTACAGGGTATGTTATCTCGAATCATCGATCCCGGTTGCCGGACACTGACTTGGTCTCTCTGTTTCCAGGGAGGGTTGGAATCAGTACATGCACGACTAGTGAGTGATGTTCCCTTTCTACTGAGGACAACGTATCTGACGCGATGACTAGTGCTTTGTCTTACCCTCGGTGTACCACGGCCCCTTCCGCTCAGCACTCGTCGGACTGTGGAAGCGCCGCCTGGTCGTTCGGTTTATTCATAGCTTGGAACCTCTTGAGCATGGTCTGTTTACCTTGTCAGAAACGCGCTACTTATCCTCACTAAATCCTTGCTTCTCAGTATATCTTCGTCAACATGTTCACTGGTGTGGTCGTCGAGAACTTCTCATACGTATTCCAAGCTTCGGGCAGTGGCGCCAAGTCCATTACGAGAGAGCAGATGAGGTCTTTCAAGAAGCTTTGGGCCCAGTACTCCAACCCTAGAACTGGCTATCTAGAGCGCCAGAACTTCACCAAATTTTTCAATGTGGGTATCACCTGAAGTGTTCTGTGATTATCGCTGACCCTGTGTTGCAGAAATTAAGCGGCATCTTCGAAGTCCGTATATACCCTGCCGAGTACAGCGTACCCAACATTCTCGCTTTCTGTCGCGACCCTCTCGGCGAGCAAGCGTGGTCACCCAAGGTCGTCGAAGGAGTCGACTTGTCCAAGCTCGAACGTATGCTAGATACAATCGACTATCAGGAGATTAGGAAGCGTAGGACTGTCTATGCGAGGCTGTACCACGAAGCCACTATTTCCCATGAGCCCGGCCTTGGGATCTCGTTCACCAACATGCTCATTCTTCTTGCTCACCACAAGCTGATCGTCGATGCCGAAGCCCTTGTGTATGTCCTCCTTCCTTTCTAAATGGTGATGTTGTGTGCTTATGCGGGATGTTTAGGCTGGATGATTTGGTCATCCGAACGGAGGTCAACAAGCTGGTTACTGATCTTGTTAACCTCGACCGCGTCCGGTCGTTGCTTCGGACGTTGACTTTCCGTCGTCGTTTCCTTCGACACTTGGAGGAGAAGAGGGCGAGCAAGTACGAACAAGGTGTGCTCCTTCCCCCTGTTCGCTTGAATTCCATTGACTTTCGCTGGCAGAAATCCCCTCCATCGTGGTTGACGGCATGCCGGAGACGCCACCCTCTGCGTCAATGTACCTTCCATCACCAGACTCCCCAGGAAGCCCTACACCAAGTCGACGTGTCACCGCTCAAGATATTTCCTTTTCGCTGGAGCTCCAACCCGGCAGTGCAAGGTTGCAAAGGAGCAATGGCAAGCGGAACAGTCAAGGACGGACACTATCGATGTTCTCGGATGGTGTCAGCTCCAAGTATGTACCTGTGTCCCAGTCTCATTGGCTTTCGTTGACTTACACCGCGGCGTAGTCGTTCATCGATGGTGGAGGAGGACCCGGATGAGATCATGAATGCGATGCAGACCTCGGTCTGGGGTGGTACGTGCCTCTTTCTACCTTCGAACTCCTTAATCGTACTCACGTGCCTGCCCAGATATCATGATGGAAGCTGCTGAACAAGAACGAGACGACCGAAAAGGATCCTAACCTCTTCTTCTAATGCCGTTCCTTAACCATCAACTATAAACACTTCCCATCTTTTGAAACTTATCATTATTTCTTCGCTTTCGCCCTTCCTTGAATCTGGGACTCTCTGGGACTTGGTTTTCTCGTATCATTTTTAACTCTCCTCTTTCGTTCACGCTTAGTTATTATTAGTAGGTAGTAAAGGTCTAGTGTACACCATATGCTTAAAGCCATGCAACAGCCGGCCATCTTCTCGCAATGATTTAAACAGTATTTAATTTCTCCTTGTAGACAGACATCATTTGTATTACAACCACACTATTGTCTAGCTGGGAATGTTCCTTATTCCTCCTTGCGTGGGTCAACGACTCAGCGATGTGAAGTCGTCGCCGACTCGGATGCTTGGCAGGCCAGAATCCTCGAAAGCGAGAACGCTACCAAGGCTCTCGGTTATTCCGAGGTTCAACATAAAGAGCCCTGTTTTGGAAGCATCGATGAACGTACTGTGAACAGGCCAGGGCCAAACTTTGTCTTTGGATCAGATACCTCGGGTCGCCTCATGCATGGAAGGGAATGGCAAACCGGAACGTGTTTCATGATTAACGTCTTGTGTGCTCGACTGGGAGCGTTTGCTTGGATCCATCAGCAAAAATCCAAGTACTAGGTCCTCCTTCAGACCCCTCTCCCTAACTCCACATGGCCCTGTGAACTAAGATAGGCCGTTCTTGAATTCGGAAGTCGCATAGAGACACACAGCGAAAGGACGACGGTAGACAGGATAGACAGGAAAATTATCCCTTCACTGAGAATGCTACTAGAAGTTGACTGTCCTCCAAATGGTTCTTCCTCCTATTCTTGTTCTTTCGTGAAGATTGAGCTATGATATGGCGCCTACCTCTCGGAGCAACTATGGAGTAATGACAAACGTCAATCGCCTGTGGAAGCCGTGAGGTACGTCCCCCTGACCTTCTTAACGGCGGCCACCAGGGACTCATTTCCGTGACCTTGTACATTGTGATCTATTGCGATCAATTGTTTCGACCTCTTCTACCTAAATTCCTGCCACCTCAAGTGCGTACATCACGAGTAGACTCTCACCTGACCAAAAGATGGCACAGGAACATTCAACAGCGCCGAAAGAAGTGAAGATCACGGTAATTATCAGGGGCGGCGCTAATGAGGTCCTTTGTTCGTGACGATCCTGTTCGGGGCTTTCGAGAATAGTTTGATCTTAATTATCGCATCACTTGAATTTTAGATACCATACGACAAACGTCAGGCTGAAACATATAACTGACGAAAAGAACCCTCCGTAGATCACTATCACAGGTTAATGGTTGCGGCTATTGCCATCTAGGCCATTCCGCTTGTGATGTCCAATTTCAGCGCTTTCCATCAGAGACTTGTGGGAAGCGGCCGCCAGGCGCCGTGTTTCCGAGCCAGTACGCCTCACGCGCAGAGAGCGTTGAATCAGAGACTGGCAACTGTCAGTGAGCTACAGGAAGGAAATGAAATATCTCAGAAGGCTTACCAGGGCTTACCAGCACTGCGCTGCATTGCTCATGCGCACTGCGCAAGCCGCTGTTTGCTTATATTCCGTCTGGCCTTTGCGATAGGCTCGTTCTAAGGATTATTTACCCTCAATGCCATCACTCGCAAATCCATTGAGTAGCGCTTGGAGGGATGGCTCCCGGAGATTTATACCAAAACAAGTAACTTCGGAGATCCGATCACCGAGTGCCGGTCGAACGTAGGTTGATGCTGCTGTCTGAATGAACCCGATCCATTCTGGCTCGGAAGGGCACGGACAGCAGAAAAGAGACAAATGCGGGCAGAAAGGGGAAAAAACGCGGGCGAAGGCGATGACGCACAGCGACGCACGAAAAAATAACACTGGTTGGGGCGGGCATGGCGACAGACGCAGTGATGCTACAGGATCAACTCCGGGGAGAGAGCCGAGGGCCGGTGGGAGGGTCGCTGATGGTGCTGTACAAATGAACCCGATCCATTCTGGCTCGGAAAAAGGCCCAAATAGGACACTGTAGTACTCTTTTGGGCAGCGATTGTCGGGCTCTTGGCGCTGAAGTAAAGATATTCTTCGCACCGAAGGGCGAGCAAGAGTCTAGACAGCGGTAAAGCAAAGTAAGTCTCAACCTCGTTGCTCAGTTTTTAGAGCTCGTGACTACCTTCGAAAAACACATAAATAGGGCTCAGAAATCGCTCTATTTTCCTCAGCACCCCAGCTACTTATCAATCCAAAGTCAAGATGAAGGCAAGTCGCACTCTCACAAATACTCTCGACGTTGTCACTAACACTATACTTCACTCTGCCGACAGCTCTCTGCCATCGTCGCTGTCGCCCTCGCTGCCCTCGCTGCCGCTTCGCCGGCCCTCGAGACCAGGCAAACCAAATGCGTCAAGCTCACTCAATCGCAGGCCGAGTCCAGGTTGAAGGATAACGACATCACCTGGTCGTCCTCCGGAAACTGCAAGGACAAGTAAGCTTCAATCAACCGCTTCGCCCGCACTGGATCGCTGCTCACATTCTCTATGAAGGTCCAAGTCGAACTGCACCTCGCTCCAGGACATCTGCAGCCACACCATCAGTGGCGTCATCGCGTTGAAGAACGGTGTCGGCAGGTCTTTGACTATCACCGGTGGAACCGAGACCGGCCACGCTAGCGGCACCTACTCACACGGCACTGGATACAAGGTCGACCTGCGCAAGTTCAAGGAGCTCAACGATTACATTATGAATAACTTTGAGGAGATCTCAAAGCGAGGCTCGTACCGCCGATGGGAGTCTCCCAGTGGGAACGAGTTCGTCGTAAGTACTCTTGCGGGCTACATTTCCTTCTACGACGCTCTCTGACCTTCGTTTCATAGGACGAGGGAACCCATTGGGACATCACTTTCTTCTACTAAACGGGTGGCGCTCATCGTCTCCTCAACAAATCAATTATCAAAGTCGTGCTCATGTCACTCATGTGTATCCATTCGACTCGTAATAATATATTTGTTGACTTTTAACATCGTCTGTTCGGACATCTGAGGGCGTAATCGGCAGCTGACCATGTCTTTGGATGGCGCTTTATCATAATGCTCATATACCTTCAGTCACTTGCCTGTGCCAGTACAACGATTGTCGTCACAGGATCCGATTTCATCTGGAAAGCGTTCAAGTTATTCATAACGATACTACATACTCTGTATACAAAAAGGACGATAACGTTATATGGGTAAGCAATAAGGGTGGTCTTCACCTGCGGCATGGAGCCACAGGCCAGCCGCCTCCTAGACCCATCCCTCTTTGTCGGGTGAGCGATCAGACCGCTCAGGCTGGGGCCTGTTTCTTCCCGTGGTCTTTTCGCAGATGGAGCGCCGTAATCCCTACAGCATCTCCTCAGTACCGTATCGAAACAAGAAGAACCAGATAATGTACACACACCTGTTTGATTGGGTAAACCCGCAGGGTTCTTCGAGCTCCCCTGCGGAACAATTTCGTGGCGAACGGCTACACCCTGTGAGTAGGTAGTCGCCAGCGGCTCCTGCGGTACTTGCGCATTCCACTGCGCACCATGGGGTTGGAGCGGCTCCCCAGCGCCTCGCGATACGCGAACGGGGGGTTACCCTCAGTCTATGAATCGATGTCCTGAGATTGTAAGTGTCAATGTGGGCTCGTTACCGACAACTCGAAGCAAACACTTACGAATGATCTCGAAGGCGCGTCTGCAGGTGTAGAAACTCTCTGTTGGACAGAGGGGGTGTGGCGCACGCTAAACGTGTGCTCCCTGGGTTACTGGTCTGGAAGATGGAAGATGGGGGGTTATGGAACCCGACAGAAGACATGTGTGCCCTGATAGATCACGTCAGCCTCGGTGGAACCACAGATTAAACATTAACATGCGTTAACTCACAGGAATATTGAGGCTGATGGAGATATCAGCAACGGTTTGGTGAACACTGACTTGTGGAGAAGGAATACTCACTATTGGGCTGAGCCAGCAGCCAAAGTCGAAGATGAAGGTGGGTAGCTGTTTCGCTGTACGGCATTCCTGAATACATGAGGGAGGGATGGAAAATGAACGTAGGAGCCCGGGTGCGCTTGGACAGGCCCTGAGGGCCACGACAGCCATTGAATTTCGACTTGTCGACTTTTCAAGGAGTTAGAACGACGTAGAAAAAGAGTGCATAAATGGCCCTGGCGTCGGACCAGCGACGAGTGATTGACCGGGAATTGTTCTCACGAGTGTCCTAGATAGTTGCGCGTCAACGTTGGTGGCATTGAGGATCAAGGAACTACGACTTACCCTTGAGCACCGGTGACCCAGTAGCCACATCCCGAGAGACGGAAGGGAGGATTGAGAAAGACGTGGCGGCAAGAATCCCCGAAGGCAGGACATGTCGGTCCATGTTTGGCGCGGGAAACGACGTCGCGCGGGTTGACTGTTGACCGAGATAATCAACGTCCTGAGGTGCATAAAACGCGGGTTGCAGCCCAACAGTTTCCTCATAGACATCCTCATCGTGCGATTTCGGAAGACGGGCAGGTGCCGCTTGCACGCGGTACCCAAGTGAGGGCGAGTAACATTCATTCTGTCGACTGAATTAGTGTCACATTTTCGTGGAATTTTACATCGGGAAATATGGACATACACTTACGGAAGTTGAATCGCCGTGTCCTCGCGAGCACGAAAGTAAGCATCGTGCGAGGCAAGTGTAGCCATGGGAGGCGCTGATGCGCTGACTGGCTGGGCACTGTATATCGTTGAAATTTCATTTCTAGAACAGAAACCGTTGGAGATAGAGCGTATTAAATCTGTCGAGAATTCTTACCTCTCATCGGTATGGCCCACAGTCGTCCGTTGAGGAGCCACAAGCGGCGTGTATGTTGCCGTTTGAGTACCTGGCAATGTATCATTGTTGGACGAACTATCGCATGTGAGACTTAATCAAGGTTTACCAAGGAAAGAAACACTTACAGTCCTTCCCAACCATGTCTAACTGCCTGCAAAGTGTGGCTCATTGGCGTGACATTAGTAGGTGGATCATATGTACCCCGAAGGTTGTGTGTTGGGGTACTAGCGGACGCCATTAGACCCAATCATCTGAAGGTAGCGCGCCACAAATCCGCTTACAAGTTAGCCGAACCAGCGGCGGTGTGGTATGAGAAGTGATGATAGCCTTCGGAATTCGTAGGCGGGTGGAAGCTGAAGTGAAAGCGCATCATTGAGCAAGTGTGGCATGGTAGAAGTGAGGAAGCAAACCAGTTCTTACCTTTCATTTTGGGCGTAACGTTGGACGTCGTCTCGCGTGTAACTAAACGTAGAGCTGGTGAGAAGTAGGGGATAGTAGAAGTATGAACAACAGAGGGATGATCGGGAGGGAAGTGAAAGGAAAGAAACACGGAAATTCAACGTCCTGAGAGACGGAAGGGAGGAATGAGAAAGAGATGGCAGGAAGCCCCGAAGGCAGGACGCGTCGGTCCATGTTTGGCGCGGTAAACGATATCGCGGGGGTTGACTGTTGAACGAGATAATCAAGGTCCTGAGGATAAAACACGGGTTGCAGCCCAACAGTTTCCTCATAGACATCCTCATCGTGCCTTTTCGGAAGACGGGCAGGTGCCGCTTGCACGTGGTATCCAAGTGACGGCGAGTAGCGGCTGAAGTGGAATTAGCGTCACATTTTCGTGGAGGGATTCCTGGATAACTACAACTTACCCCTGAACACCGCTTGGAGGATGGTAAGGTCTTTGGCCATGAGCGACCACCGGGGAGCTGTTGACTTTGGTCAGGCTGGAGTTCAAACGGAGAGAAAGAGAGACAACAGCGGAGATGAGTCGCGCGTTAAAAAAAACGACGCGTCTCTGTGGCACGAGCGAATGAAGGTAAACGAACGAAAACCCACCTCATATTTTGGAGGTTGAAACCAGTCTGAGCGTTGGGAAAGCTGGTGAGAAGTAGGGGATAGCATGAACGACAGAGGGGTGAGGAGGGAAGTGGAAGGGAAGAAACACGGAAATTCGATCAGAGTCAGCAACGAGTTCGCCGATTACACAAAAGTTAGGAAATCGAACGCACCCGTTGCCGCCATTGAACATGTTATGGTTGTAAGCCATGTTGATCGACCAGGATCGAAAAGGGTGGGTTTCTTTGGCCTTGAGCGGCCGCCTGGGACCTATTGGTATAGGTCAGAATGTAGCTCGAACGGAGAGAAAGAGAAACAACAGCGGAGATGAGTCGCGCGTCAAAGGACGACGCGTCTGTGAACCGAGAGAATGAAGTTAAATGAACGTACTTACGGGTGCGCCGAGCCAGAGGCCTGAGAAAGAAACACGTTAGAAAGTCGTAAAGACAAAACTCTAGAGTAACTTGTACATTCTATTCCTTCAATCATGGAGTTCCTAAAAACCGATGACAGTAAGAGACCCGTCGAAATCGTTTGATAAAGGAAACATCGGGACCCACATTGAGAGAGCAGTGGATATTGTGATGCCCAATATCCAGTGTATGTAACGACAGTGATGAGAAGTCATGATGACTCGCGCGTTTGAACGACAGAGATTGGGGTTGCACGAGAGAGTGAAGCTTGTTTCCGATGGCGAGCTTTTCCAGTCTCAATCACCAGCTTTTATAGAGCCTCGAGAATCAGATACACGCCACTCAGAGCACGTATCCTTTCAGAATCAAGCTGTGGCTCGGCCACCGACAGAATCTCTTTGAAAATTCAGAGAAGGCCATTTCGTCGAGGAAGTCACAAGAGTTATGGGAGTAAAGAAGAATACGGAGTGCCACCAGAGCGAAACAGGCAAAGGATTCCAATTCAAAGCTACGTCATTCTGTGAGTCAGAAAGTCCCCCTCCTTGTTTTCCAGTCTCCCCAGAGGAATCCATTATCCACAAAGGAAGAAGAACTCTTGTATCGAGTTCCACAAGTTCAAAGGGTGCTTTCCTTTGATGAACCCAGAAGATGTGATAGCTTCGCCAAGTCACAGTTTTTCTTGTCATCTTCAAGGCTGTGAACGTCATATCGCCAGTCGACCGTGTCTCGAGTGTGGCAGATGGGCACAGCACTCGGCCGTAACAAGCTCATATCATCGGTCCAGATGGCACAGACGCGTTGTCGGTCCATGTGTGGCATTCCAGTGCATTAGAAGAGCCTTTTTTTAATATCCAGAGACACAAAAGGCGATCCTTGAGATGAGTTAATGGTCCCCGAGTAGCAGCACGTCGTTGTTCTGTATCACAATCATACATCGATCTCGCGCATATCCGAAGTCGACACCTCCAGAAACAAACAAATGCAATCAAATAATCAGACGCCCAAAGCTTGGCGTGGAATGACTTGAAAGAGCGCCGTGGGGCGACGGCCACTGTGGCTTGAAAACAAGACGAGAACACAAAGTACATACACCAACGGAGTGGCTGCGATGATAGATGTTCAAGGCGAGGAAACTTGCTCCTTTCAAGTTGGCATGCGAAAGGTGAGCCACGGTATTTGGACACTATCGCGCAGTGCATACCTTAACGCGATGGCTCGCAAAGTAATTACAAAGGACTTGGCCAGCGAGTCATCGACGCCCCAACGCACATGTACAGCAAGAGTCCTTTGAGACTTTCTTCTCTCTTTCAGGGCTCTATGCTGAGAACTCTCGCTGTGTCACCAAGTTGAAAGAAACTATTTTTGTTTGAAGTTCCATAAACTCAACCCTTGTACTCCGAGCCACCAATCCATTTGAGTCACGAAAAGTGCTAACTTCTTTCCACAATGATGTGCTCTAAGTTCCACAGTGCCACCGCGCATGAGTCCGAAACTTGAAGGTCTCTTTACTGTAAAGGTCCCCTTTGAGACAGAAAGAGAGTGAGAGGGGATACAACAAATATCCAACGTGTCTTGACTATCTGAAAGGACTCAGTGGCATCCTGACAATGTCCGTCTCAGAAGGAAGAAAAACAAAGGTAAAAAAGTGAGCGAGTCTCCGGTCGACGCTGGGGTATAAAGCCTGGCTCGCCAAAGTCCCTCAAAGTGTCAATCTCCTCGTCGTACTCGACCTGTATTAGTCCACTCAAAGCTCCCTTCCGCTCTCCGCCCTCTAAACGAGCCCCCATGCCCCCTCCTGACGACACATCAAGCGCCTATAACTTTATGGACGCACGTCCTTCCATGATTAAAGGAATAGAACACCCAAAGGTACGTCTATTTCCGACTCTCCAACTTTAAGTCAAATCGCGGTATGGCTAACTTTCATTGCCACTAGGAGGTTCCTGGACGACCCACCGGGGTAAGGACCCAGTCGACCAAGTGACGTTCCTTGGACTAATCTTTGGATCGCTTCAAGTTGCTAACATCGCGTCGCATTCGAACTCTGATGGGCATGTCTATTTCTCAACTTGTCCTGCCCTTTGCGGTGTAGCTAACTTTCTAGCAGTGACGTGACTACCATGGACGACAGGCTTGAAATGCCCGCAAAGAGGCCGCGCGTTGAGGGCTCGAGCACGACGATGCGAAGCATCGATGTTATCTGTCTCTGGCTGGTCCAGGACGGTCGTGACATCGCCGATAATGCTTCGCTCCGTTCCTGTGGAAAGCGGATCAAAATTGGGAGCTTGATGAGGCATTTGTCGCTGCATCTCGTCCTCATCATCTCTCTGTTTCTGGGTCAACCTTGGCTTCTGGCTCTGCCTCTCGGTCTGTCTCTGGCGGCTCCAGGCGCTCAACCCCGACTGTGAAGGGGGTTCTCGATCTACCACGGGCCCAAAATTCGGCCTGCGAAGCTGATGATAGAATCGACCATTCCGCGGTCTTCCACCTCCCATTCGACCCCTACACTGGATCCGGGCTCAATTGCCGCACCTGGCCCTGTGGTTCTCAGCGGCATTCCTCCGTGGATGAGGAGTCAGTCGACGGTACGGTCCTCAGTGTCGAGTACTTGTTCGACACCTTCGTTTGCGATGCACCGGCCCCGCCGTCGCTTGCACCGACTCGAGTGCAGCCAGCCGTGAATATCGTCCCATACGGCTCATCCCTGGCGGGTTCTCATAACCCGAACGGCGGTTCTTCTCTCCATGCTCGCCCGCTCCTCGCACTGAACACTCGGTCGCTCCCATCCCATCCACCCCCTCCACCTGCCCTCAACTACGCTAATCTCGTGCACGACACTCAGCCTCAAAGCGATCGAGATGTATCATGTCCGTGGGGCAAAGGATGCTCGTTCACGACCCCCGACAAATTACAATCCGAAGCACGTGCAGTGGCCACACCTGCGAGACTCCGAGTACCACAAGTGTCAAGCTCCATCGGAAATACAGCTCTATGTCTACGAAGAGTCAGAGAGAAATTCTCCTTCATTGATATTGATCTTAGCTGCGCCTCTTCCTCTGATTCAACTCACTACCCCTGTCGCCGAGGTGCCCTACTTCACCTGTCAATGTACTTACTACTGTCTGAATCGTACTGCCCACTCGTAGTTTAAACTTTACTTCAAGTTATTACTTTCGAAATACACCCCCGACGCCCGATATGTATACAGGGTTAAGTAGATATATAGTTAAGTTTTTTTGGCTATCCTTTTGCCATTGCTATACATACTATAGCCAAGTAGAATGAGATGAGAATCCAATGTGTTTTTATCTTATAGTCACTAAAAGGGCCATCTCAGCAAGGTGACGACAACGCCTTCAGAAACAAACAACCACAATCAAATGCCAGTGGGCTCGGGGGTCAATGTACATAGGCGCCAAGGGATTTGCCCGACACCCATCGTACTACACACATACAACGTTTTTGTACATTGCGCTACACCCATACGCTGTAACCGTTTTGCACTACATACACATCCGACTCGTCCATACTACAACGTTTCGCTCCGAAAAAAAAATAGATAAAACAGAAACCAGCTCGTCTACCCAACCCCATACACAGAAACACCTCGTCTACCCAACCATAACACAGAAACACCTCGCCTACCCAACCATACTCCTCTTCCGCCCTCTCAACCTCACTTCATCCAACCTCTTCTTAACAGTGTGCCATTCCTTCGGGCCTACAATGTACATCCAAAGAAAAAGGAGGGTTTGTTAGTCAGTCCGTTTACGACTGCGGGTTTTAGAGAGAGTTCGAATGTAGAGGGGTTCGAGGGAGTTTGAATGTAGAGGGTTAGCGAGACTTTAAATTCAGAAAGCGCTAGTCCGTTAGGTCGTTCGCGGTTCAGGCGATCGTCGTTCATCGAGTCAAGGTCCAGGAGCACGAAGCACGTCAACCCATCCTCCAACCCACCCACCCCACCTACCCACCCACCCCAGTTCGCTCCAAGAGAAACGGACAAACGATCACAACGCGTCACCAAAATAAATCCGGATCCTAGACCCGGACGCGAACATAAGAGCCCAAGAATTCGCAACGAGGACAACGCCACGCTCGTCAAACCCCGTGATTTACGCTCGTCAAACCCCCATGATTTTTTTTCAAACCCAATCATTTCCAAAACTCGCACCTCAAACCCCCCGAGCCCCAAAATCAATTAAATCCAGAAAAAATAGAATCCACAAAAAAAAAAAAAAACATAAAAAAACACTCACCCAACCCCCGCTCATAAGCCCCCAACACAGCACCAAACAACCGCTCCGAATCAGGGTGCGTAGACGCAAACGCGCGCTCGAGGACGTACAAGTCGACCGCTTTGTCTTCGGTTAGAGTAGAGGTGTAGGAGAGGCCAAAGTCTATTAGGAGCTGTTGGGGAGGAGAGGGAGGGTGTTAGGGGGAGCCGGATTGTATGTAGAGATGTAGAGATAGGGACGGGAGAGGAGAGGAGGGCAGAGGGCGAGGGCAGAAGATGGAAGGATAACGAAAGAGTGGACAAGGACGGGGACGGGGGCAAACTGAGAAGAGAAGATAATGACCAAGAAGAGAATAACTGGCACAAACGACCATGCAGAGAAACTACGTACCACTTCAGCTCCTCCTCCTCCTCCTCCTCCTCCTCCTCCACCAGCCTTCCGCCGCACCATCATATTCGACGTGGTCAAGTCTCCATGTATGATATCCGCTTTGTGGAGTTTGGAAAGTTCGGTGCCGATGAGGGTTAGGAGGGTGTCTGTGGGTCGTGATTTGGTGGGCGTGGTAGAGATGGATTTCGTGGTAAGTTCGAGAGGACGTGATGGAAGGAAAGAAGTAACACACACCGATATCAACACCATACTCCTTCTTCAACCTTTCCTCAGCTTCATCTATCGAGTCTGGTGCGTCTTGCTGTCCTTCTTCGATTTCAACCCCCGGCGTTAGTTCCATCCACCTCGAAAGGCGTGTAACAGTAAACTATTCCTCACCTTCTCTTTGTTCTTCGCCTTCCTCTTCTTCCTCCTCGCCACCGGGTAGTAATTGCCGCACACTGTGGCCATCTATCCATTCGATACCGAGGATACCCTCCGCTGCGTCCACCATGAGGATTTGCGGGACGTTGACGCCGGATCTAGATGACGATGGGGGTGGGGGTTAGCGAGTCGTCACTGGTTCCCTCATAACGGATAGCGACTGAGGTAGTAGGCGTTGAGCAGATGGGGAGTCGTCGTCGAACAGAGGAGATCATCGAAGCGGGACCGCCAACGAAGAATGGCCAAAGAACGAAAGAAAGAGAAAGAGAAACCGCGATTGAGCACTAACCGCAAACACTTCAACAACGCCCGAGCCTCGCCGGCCACCCTCTGCTTCGTCAACGACACATCCAACACGTCGTGTCGGTACTTTTTTTTGAAGCGGTGTTTGAGGAGGATGGGAGGGGATTGTGGTGCTGGGGGTTGTGATGATTCTGTTGTCGTTGTGGTGGTGGCCGCTGTTGTCGTCGTTGGAGCCGAGGGTGTGGACGGGGAGAAGGCGTTCGAAGAAGTTAAAGACGTTTTGTAGATTCTCTGTTATGATCGACGGTCATGGGATAGGAGGATTCGCCCCGGACGTTTATCGTTTGTCGATAGACAGAACCAGGGTGACGACACCAAGGCAAGTAAAGTGGTATAACGGGATCCCTGAGTATAAGCTATTCAACGCATCCTTAAACGACAAGGAGGAAGGACTTGCAGCTTCAGCACCCTGCGAGATAGCTTGCGCGTTTGCGATGAGTTGTTGCGATGCCGGGAGGGGCCGTTGGGAGTGCGAGGAGAGCATTTGCTTTTATAGCCCACGAAGAAAAGCCTTTCTCCTTAAGAGTAGAGCGACGAGTAGAGCTTATGGACTGGGAAAGGATGTAACGAGGAGGATCAAAGATGGTTGGAAGAGATTAGATTAGATTTCGAGCGGAGAGTGAATTGGTCTCTTGATTATCGTCATCGTCGTCGTCGAGCTCGATACCCAAGCTTAGAGCTACCCGGCTACCGCCATGCCTGAACAATGTGCGTCTCTATATACATCCTCATTGCACTAACTAACGTCCCGCTCTTTTGAAATCATACAGCCCCGTATGCGTCTATAAACGTTCCGCTAATCCAATCGCCTAGTCTGCGGGTACCCAAGCAAGTGAGATCAGTCTCTAATGATGTACTAGGATAAAGGAGGGTTAACCTGGCTCGACGAGTAGGTCGAGCTCCCACCCGATATCCATCCATTACCCGAATCCGTAACGCCATACGTACGTCCTCTCTTCTAATCCCCTCATCCTCACCCTTACTTCATTCCCAACCCACAGTTCGTCTACCCCTTCACACTCGAATCCCACATCCTCACCCTCGAATCCACCCGCCGCGCAACCCTAACCGCCCACGCCACCAAACGCGCCGCCTACCTCCAACACCGCGCATCCGAGAAGGAACAGCGTGCACGACAGCGTATTGAGGATGAGGAGAGGAGGCGGAGGGAGGCGCTGAGGAAGGTTGCGCCGGGGTTTGAGCCTGAGAGGGGGGTGCTGGTTCCGGAGGAGAGGGGTGTTGCTTTGAAGGGGAAGAGTGGGGCAGGCGATGGGGAGAGTAGAGGGGGAGAGGCGGAAGATGGTGGGCAAGGACAGGGACAGGGACAGGGAGGGCATCAGAGGACGAGATCCGTGATGGACGAGCTGGTGGACCAGTTGGCTGCGCTGGATGCGTCTCGGTCGCCCCCTCCCCCTCCAGCGCACTCGCCTCCACACCATCCAGCACATTCACCGCCACACCCTCCAACACATTCATCTTCGCTACCAGTCCCTCCACCACCGCCCCAACCTCCACTGCCACCACCACCTCCGCCTCCACCACTTGGCAACCAGTTCTGACTCTTGAGTAGTGGAATTTCATGTCGTGATTTCTAAAGCACACCAGTGTTATCTTCCTCCCTCCTGCGTAATGCTTGGGTTCTCCCTACTGCATACGCCTTGAGTACACGACAAGACTGAGATGATATCATCATCGCTCATCTTCTTGTGTCCCTACTTCAAGCAGAGGGTCAATGTGGGGAAGTACATGTACGTACTAGTACCGACCCCCGACCAGCGGTGGCCATTGACAAGGTTGAATTGCTGTTCATCTCGAACTTGGTGTCGACGCACGTCTCACCCTCACCGTCTGGATGATACCAGGCGAGTATTCTAGGAGTCTGGGTGATGCCACTGGGCGACTTGGGTCCACCCATATTTCTGTCCCAGACGTCGTGTCGGTCAAACCCACACTGCTCGTTCAGTTTCTTAGTATGTTGGTATGGACTGCATAGCGCTGCGCTGTTCTTTGGGTTCCAAATTTATGGACCACAGCGCCGCAATTTCAGTGGAAACGTTCAATCGCGTTATTCGTCGCTTCCCATACCCGTACCCTATCTTCGATGCCACACAGCCCACTCCCTTTCTTCTACGCGACATCAAAAACAAAGGCGGAAAGCACCACTCGAGTGCAAGTATCCTAGATCCGGTCCCCATTCGCGATTCAAATCATAAATGAAGCACCTGTGTGCATTAGGCAAGTACTGGGGTAATTAGGAGTATCTGACTCTGGGAGGGAGGTGGTTCAACGTTCAACGCGAAAGGACACTCGCTCCTTTTAACTATGTATGATGGGATTTTGCATTTCGAGAGCTGAGCTAAAGTACTTAGTACTTGAGTAGCCAAAGTGTTAATGGAACGTCGACGGAAACACCGTTTGTGCAGTATCATATATGCGGTGTGCAATGAAGTACGAACTTGAATTTGAAGGCGATGGCGTGAGGATTAGACAATTACAAACAACTGACTCGACAAAGGACAAAGACTCGGAACAAGGAACAGAACTTGCCCTTGAAATCGTGATCATGAAAAAAGATAAAAACGCATCGTATTCTCATTCTATATAGTAGTAATGCCAAAAAGGTAACCAAAAACCTAACTATCTACTTAACCTGTATACATAACGGGGGTGTATTCAAAAGTAATAAACTACGAGTGGTCGTACTATGTGTGGAGTCACAATAGTGAATACCTGAGGACGGTTGAAGTTGAAGTTGAACCATGTGAAATCGATTGAGTCATCTAACTGCAGGTAACCGAGCTCGAGCTCGAGTCGAAACCTCAGGCGTCGAAATACCATTCCCATTCGCATTCCCATTCGACGTACGTACCACTGCCCCGGACCACCACTTGGGCTCGCATCCCCACTCGGTCCCACCAACCGCCCCAGTGCCCATGACCATCCTCTGATCCCATCCGACGCTGGCACAACGGGCCTTGCACCAACGCCCAAAGCGACCCATGGCCTTCGGTGTTGAAGCTTGAAGCTGAAGTGGTCGTCGTCGCTCTTTCGTCGTCGGTCTAGGTATGGCCACACTTGCTTCGGATTGTCGGTCGTGAACGAGCATCCTTTGCCCCACGGACATCTCCATCGCTTTACCGGACCCGTCGACTGTGCAGGCTTGTCCTTTTTTTCGGCTTTCTGGACTGGAGAACCGTCGCGTCGTCGTTTAGTTCCCCTCTTAGCCTTCGCGTGTCCCTTTGATTCACTGGACCTCTGAGGTGCATCGATGCCAGCGCGGAATTTACGATCGCTAGGATCTGACGTTGCCGAACGTCGAATGTGCATGGGAGGAACAGAAGGAAGAACGATAGGAGGCAACGTCTCCATTTCTCTCGCTGGAGGGGTTCGTTGGCCCTGTCGGTTCGACAGCTGAACCATCCTCTGGCGCTTGATTGGGCGCGTGGCCCAGCCATTGGCATCTCCTGGAAGAAGATCAGTACCCCATTTCATTCCCTGCGGGGCCAGACCATGATTTCGAGAATCCCGCATTTTCCAAAGGCTGAGTGTCGTGCACGAGATTAGCGTAGTCGAGGGCAGGTGGAGGCGGTGGAGGCGGTGGGAGTGACCGAGTGTCCAGCGCGAGGAGCGGGCGAGCATGGGGAGAAGAACCGTCGTTCGGGTTATAAGAACCCGCCAGGGATGAGCCGTAAGGTACGATACTCACGGCTGGCTGCACTGGAGTCGGTGCAAGCGACGGCGGGGGCGTGTCGCGAACGATGGCGTCGAACATGTACTCGACGCTGAACACCGTACCATCGACTGACTCCTCATCCACGGAGGAATGCCACCTCGCATCACCCCTCAGAATAGTCTGAGACTCCAGGAACCTCCTAGCGGCAATGAAAGTTGGCCATACCGCAATTTGAAATTAAGTTGGAGAGTCGGGAATAGACGTACCATTGGGTGTTCCTGGGTGTTCTATTCCTTTAATCATGGAAGAATGTACGTCCATAAAGTTATAGGCGCTTGATGTGTCGTCGGGAGGGGGAATGGAGGCTGGTTTAGAGGGCAGAGAGCGAAAGGGAGCTTTGAGACGATTAATACAAGTCGAGTACGATGAGGAGCTTGACACTTTGAGGGACTTTGGCGAGCCTGGCTTTATACCCCAGCGTCGACCGGAGACTCGCTCACTTTTTCCCCTTTGTTTTCCTTCCTTCTGAGACGGACATTGTCAGGATGCCACTGGTTCCTTTCCAATCGTCAAGACACGTTGGATATTTGTTGTATCTCTTCTCACCCTCTCTCTGTCTCAAAGGGGACCTTTACAGTAAAGAGACCTACAAGTTTCGGATTCATGCGCGTTGCCACTGTAATAGACATTATCGTGCAGTGCGTGCCTTAACCTTGACGCGATGGCTTGCAAAGTAATTACAAACGACGGAGAATCAAGGGGACTCGCCCAGCGAATCATCGATCACGCACAGTCTCTACCTCGATGATTGCCTGACGCCCTGACGCACACGTACAGGGACAATCCTTTGACACTTTCTTCTTTCTTTCAGGGGTTCCATGCTGAGAACTCTCGCTGTGCCTCCAAGTTGAAAGAAATTCTTGAGTTTGAAGTTTCATAAACTCAACCCTTGTACTCCCTTTCCAACTTCTTTCCAGTATGACGTTCGAATGCGAACTTGAAAGGAGAACGCTGCCTCACCTTGAACATCTGTCATCGCAGCCACTTCCTTGGCGCCGCTATGTACCCTTGTGTTCTCCTCTTGCCTTCAAGCCACAGAGGCCGTCGCCCATGAAGTGGATACAAGGCGTGACATGACATTCTGAAAGGGAGTGGCTTTGGTGAATGGTAGGCACCGAGCATAGAAGCGTGGATGAGACTTTTACAAAGGATACAGGTTCTATCTTCCAGTCCAAGATGAGAAGAAAGCGACCAACCACGTTGATTTACCGGTGTTGTGTTGGATGCACCCGACCAACCGCATCCTTCCTTGTGATATGCCACTTCGAATAATCCCTTTACTACATGCGAATTAAGTGTGTATTTGCATAGTCTAGACTTTTGGTTACAGTGGAATAAAGCAGAATCCACGAGCCCGTCCACGGCGCTCTTTCAAGTCATTCCACGCCAAGCCTTGGGCGTCTGATCATTTGATTGCATCCGTTCAGAGCCTCAGCCGCGACTTTCGAAAACGACCATGGTGGTTACTTCGAATAAAGCTCATTCGACATGTTGCTCAAGTTAGAATGGTCTGGAGGTAAGCTCAGATAAGCTCTATTGCTCAAATAAGCATCGGCTAATGCTTTTCGTCCGATGGGGCCACCCATAGGAAACACCACCAATCTTCAGAAATCACCTATCATCACGAAAACTTGAAAAACAAGACTATTCGACCTATCATGACGGAAAAAATAAGTCCCCTAATGGGATCTCTCTGTCTGGGAGTCGAACCCAGCTTTCGCGCGTCACAAATAGCGGACGTCATGATGACAGGCGCGTGTACTAACCGATATACTAACAGAGAGGTGTTGGAGTGTCAATGGACGGGTGCTTGATTATGCGCATATAGAGAGGGTAGGAGGATATAAGTTAAAGGTGGAAGGAAATTGGAAGGTGATTTTGGCACCTGGCGGCCCAGGACTTCGGGAACGGTGGAAGAGGAGAATTGTCGGGACATTGACCCTGAAGATGTGATGTTAGGTAGGTCGGAGTGGTTGCTATATCCTTCTTAGCTCAGTTGGTAGAGCGCGTCACTAGTAATGACGAGGTCAGTCGTTCGAGTCGGCTAGAAGGAAGTTCATAATCCAGATGCAAGGAATTTTTGCAAGGAATTTTTTGGTCCTGCTAGGGATTCACGGAAGGCAAGGTATTATCGATTGCGTCGCCCGCCTCGTAGGCAATCGCTACCGTGTGCCAGATTGATTCAGACCCTTGTGTCGAAGGAAATGGAGGATCAAACGAGCGTGATTAGGTATTATGAATCTACTCGAGTGCGTAATATCTATACTACGGCTAGGCGCGAAAGACACTTCCGAGCCCAACGCTCTACTTCCTTTTTGCAACGTTTCGTGGTAGCGCAACAGTCTTCTTTCCCTTGCCTGAATCCGACGAACTCTTTCGAGCGTTCGTACCCGGTTTAGAGCTAGATCCTTTATTCTTTACTTCCAGCTTCCTAATCAATGCATAAGTCATCGGTACCAGTGCCCACAGCGACAAACGACTCACTTAATCACTTCAGGCGGCTGCCCAGGTCTTATCTCCACAAGCCCCGTGCCATCCTTCTCCAGCACCAAAGGTCTCTCAATAGTCATATACACACTGTCATCCCTCAACGTGTGCTTATCCCCCAAGATAGCGACCACCTGCCCCTCGGAGCGCTGCGCAAACACCCGCGACGCGTACTTCCATATATCCTTTTCCACCCTCCAGTCGGGCATGTTGATGCCTTTAGTCTCGAGGAACATTTCGAGTGTGGTTTTGCCGTTGGCGAGGGCGTAGGTGCGTGCGCCTTCCATGGGTTTTTCGTTGCCTATGCGGCCGCTCCAGAGGACGGACGTCCCCGGTAAGGGGTGGACGAGTTTGTTGATTTGGTCGGCGATGGCGCGGAGTGGGCCTGTGAATTTGGAGGGGTCGGTGTTTCGGGGGTAGATGGAGAGTCCTGTTCCATTTTGAGGGTGTGGGAGAGGAGCGGATAGGACGAGGGAGGCGAGGAAGAGGAATAAAACGACGATGGGGCGAAAAAGGTGCATGCTTTTTTTTTCTTATTTCTAGTGCTTTGTTGAAAGCCTGGCTGACCTGAAAGTACGAGTTCAGCGATGTTTTAACCTAGGAAAGATTCAAGTAGAATGGAATTCTTACCAGCAGCGCTGAAGAGAGAAGATTAGGGCAGGCAAGTCGGACCAGCGACTTGCTGCATTCCCTACAGCGGCCTCCCGCCTTTTATCCTACCGAGCGAGGGAAATTACGTGGGACGGACGCACACAAAGCCGACCAGAAGTTGGCGCTGAAACCAGCCAAGGCCTGAACACTGAAACCTCAAGCGCTAACATCTGCCATCCATCATTCAAGGGCGCTCTGTGGGCTCGCCTTGAGGCTTGATGTCGTCGATGTGGCGCCTCCCTGTGAGTAGGCTCAGCCCTCATTGAGTCGAGTGGTCTGATTAGGCACTTTTCACATTGTCCTCGAATTTGCGTGATCATGTAGTAGGAAACCGAGGGAAACCTCGTCGTGAATTACTAGTGCTCAGCACTCGTAGGGAGAAACCAGGCCGCCCAATGGATGGAGATTTGGAGGTGTGAAAGACCTGTTCGAACTTCCCGGAGCCGACTCGGACATGAGGCGAGCGGTGAGAGCGCCCGTTGCCACGCCTCACTTGCCTGCGTTCAGCTGGTCATGAAATCAACTCCAAAGTACAAGCTGAGGTACATTATATGTTTCACCTTCCGCGTCCATGGTGTGCCTGAGTATGCCCTGACTTTCTTTGAGAGTAATTCTAGGAAATCAGTGGTAGCCTTACGTTCCCAGAGTAGATGAAATCTCGGCGAGATCAACGCACTTGAGTCGGCGAACTTATCTCAGTCTTGTAAGATTCTCCTCTGTTTTGACCTTTATGCATCTCCCTTCGGCGATGAAGTGAGAACGAACACAAGGAGATGCCCACATATCACTGCGAGTGAAGGGACAGTGACATTATATCAGTCTTGGGCGGCTGTTCGCATCCGCAGTATGATTCCGTCGTATCGGTTGTTCTTATACCCGTTGTGGATTGATCAGCATACCACACCTCACGGGCGCTGGTGAGACCCACAACAGTGGCTGTAATCTCGCGTCACTCTGAAGTGAAAATCTACTACATGGGTATATTGGCGAACGCATCTACGTCTCCAAATGAGACGGTAAAGTCACATCTATGTCTATTCTATAAATATAAACAAGAAACGATCTATTCTAAGTTGTAGAAAGGTCTACAGTTTCTTCAATTGCATCTCTCTCACTTTTCCATCCTGCCTCACTCTTAGTCCTTAGGCTCCCTGTCCTACGTCGTCATTGGAATTGCCACAGAGACTGCAAGAATGAAGCATATTCTTCACTCTCTTCAGACGCTGTGCTGTTAGTATGAAACTGGAAAAGCTCGAACAAAAATTGATCCAGGAAGGGATCCGGACTCTGTGACTCGGTCGTCGAAGCAAAAGCAGCGTTGGGCTCTTGTGATTGCTCTGGGAATTGAGAGGACGCTGATTCCTCTGTAGCACGTGTAGCGGGAGGGACAGCCTCGTTCTGCGATGTGGTCGTCTCGCGTTCCTTTCCCTTGCCTTTTCCCTGATTAACACCGTTGCTATCGTTTGGCGTCGTCTGAAGCGATGGCGCTGATTGGTTGCCCAGGTTCTCGCCTCTCTCGACATCAGAACGTTCGCCCCCAGAAGCATCGACATTCCTCTCCGCTGTCGTATGTTCCGCTGGTGCATCGCTTTCCTCAGGCGAAGGGGATTTTTTAGCAAGCTGAGCCGCCAAGGGTGGGGAGGGTGCTCGGTGGGACAGTGTAGGTGAAGTGGGCACCTCGGCGACAGGGGTAGTCAATTCAATCGGAGGAAGAGACGCAGACCCCAATGAAGGGGAATTTCTCTCTGACTTCGTAGATGGCACTGTCGGTTCTCTGTCAGAAGCATTTGCATCCTCATAGATGACGAAGGTGCCCCTTGAAAGGTGCTGCGAGTATAGATGGCCCCTCAAGCCACCCATACTCTTCACCCTCGGCCAACTAGGGCACGCGACTCCCCCCGAAGAAACGTCGCACTTAAACTCGACCTTTTCCCAATCCACCGTTACCTTTGCCTTTCCGTCAACAGCTTTTCCCTTCCCCTTTCCCCTCTTGCGCGATTGGATATTCTCAATATCATCTTCATTGAGAATGGTTCCAGATACGCGGTATTTCCGATGGAGCTTGTGGTACTCGGAGTCTCGCAGGTGTGGCCACACCTGCTTCGGATTGTCTGTCGTGAATGAGCACCCTTTTCCCCACGGACATCTCCATCGTTTTACTGGACCCGTCGACTGTGCAGGCAAGTTGTTCTTTTGTTCGGATTTTTGTACAGGAGAACCGTCGCGTTGTCGTTTGGTTCCCCTCTTAGCCTTCCCGTGTCCCTTTGACTCATTGTACTTCTTCGGTGAATGGATTTCAGCGCCGAATTTACGATTGACAGCATCTGGCGATTCCGAACGTCGATTGGGCCCCATGGGAGGAACGGAAGGAATAGAGATAGGAGGCAACGTCTCCATTTCTCTCGCTGGAGGGGTTCGTTGCAGCCGAACCACCCTCTGGCGCTTGATTGGGCGAGTGGCCCAGTCATTTGTATCTCCTGGAAGAAGATCGTACCCGGTCGACAGCCTTTCCGGGGCAGGCCTTTGTGCGGATGAGATGGGGCGGCTTCCAGAGCCGCCGACTTCCACCGTCCTGCTTGAAATGAGTCTCCCGTGTGAGTATTGCTGACTTGCTGTCGTTGGAGGAGACACCTGGGCAGCAAGCTGTGCAGCCAACGCAGCATCGTACGTCATCTAATTCTCAGGGTTAGTAAACGTGAACGCGCTTATTAGGAACGGATCGTCAGCTTACCTGCTGTTGTTGCTGCTGTGGGTTATTTTGTAGTTGTTGCTGTGATTGTCGAAGGCCTTGCTGCTGCTGGAGTAGCAGTCGCTGTCGTAGTTGATCCTGTACCCGGTGATGAGTCCAATGCTGAAGATCAACTCGAAGCCACGAATGTCCTGGAGAAAGAGGCCTACTGCAGGGAAGTAGTTAGTACTTGGGGTTGCAGAAGACCAAGGCAACTTACCTTTTCCCGTTTGGCCCATCTGCGTTGGAGGGCCGAGAATTTTGCTCATCAGATCTGTTGGTGTGTTAGTAAAAGGTTATACGGAAGAGAGGTTTTTAAAGACGCAGGGAGAATCAACGCGTAGTAAACGCATTGGATAAGTTGGTGTCGCGGCATGGAATGACGACCATGAAGTAGGAGAAAGAAAAATAAACGTACCCATTGGTCTTATTGTTCCAATTACCGTTGGGGCTCATCTTGGTTGGCTTGATGTCTTGATGTGGAGGTGGGGGTGGAAATTCGAGGCGAAAGTTGCGTTACGCTGTCCTGGTCCAGAGCAGTCTATATTGGCGCGGTCACGGTATGGCGCTTTGATCTTTAGTCACGGTTACTAGACCACACAAAGGGCAGAGAGATGGAAAGTCGCTTGGTCCACCATGCGCGCTTGGACTTTCTGGCCGTCCGATTCTCTCGGGAATCGCTAAACGGTCATACCGTGTTCAAACTTCAGAATCAAAGTTCACGCGCAGTCAAAGTGTCAAGACACGTGCAGTCCTGAGATGCGGAGTCCAAGTGCCTTGACCAGCTAAAGTGCGCCACCGTGAACTTGGGGTGGCCCTCAGGAACTCTGGCCGAGAATTCTCCGAGGAATTGAGATCAGGATCGACGTTCAAAGGTTTCGTGAATGGGCATAGATTATAGTATACAGATGTACATGATGACAACATAGCACTAGACATATAGATACAGACGAGAATTGCATACACCATACAGGGTACAAATGGGAAAAACATGAGATACATAAGGATACAAACAGAACGCAAGTTGAAAGAAATGTCCGTAGGCGTTTGATAGTTTGATGATTATCACCTCGCTCCTGATATCCGGCCAGCCAGTCACCGTATGGAGCGCAGATCAGTCGGCGTCCGGATGAGAATCCTGGCTGACGCCCAAGATAGCATCCACTTCCGCGGCAAACTTTTCAGCGTCAGTTGTGTCGCAAGTCTCTGTCTTCTCCGGCTCCAGGAGTCCTTCCAGAATTTCCAATGCTCTTTCAAGGGAGATCCCGATATCTTTGGCAGGGGTCGAAGAGGATGGGCTGTGGGGTTCTGGGTCTTTGTCATGGGCGTCAACTTCATTGGGATTGAGGTCATCAGGCAGATCGCAAGGCGTGGTGGGTGCCGTGGAAGGTGTAGGGGCATCTGCCACAGTACTAGGTGTCGGCGCAGTCGTGAAAGGTGTTTCGGCGATCGTTGTGGGGGTGGGAGGAGCTATGGAAGGTGTTTCGACCTCTGTGGTCCTTGGGGAGATCTGTGCGGGTGGCGTAGTAGTCTTCGAGGTAGAGTTGGCCTCCACAGTAGGCGTAGAAGCCCGCGTCCGTTCCTCGTTATCGTCTGTTGCAGACGAAGGTTCCCGCCTAACTTCTTCCTTTGTCGATTTCTTCTTTGCTGGAGGCTTTGCTTTTGATGACGACGATCGCTGGCCCGAGTCCGCTTCCGCGTTGGAAGGTGACGTCTTGGGGGGCCCAGTCTTGCGTCTACGCGCCTTGGGAGCGCCATGGACGGGGAAAAGGAACTCATTGCTTAGGTGGAACTTGAGGGGCTTGACACCCACGTCTTTGCCCCCGGCGTCATCGTCCCGCTTGCGCTTTTCCCTCTTTCCTTTGGCTTGATCTGGTTTGGCCTTTCCCTTTGTTTTCGCGGTTGAGGACGATGGCGTGGACGAGCTGGGATCGACAGTAGGTGCTGTAGAAACTGCTCCGGAGGCCGATGATGTGTTCTTTGGGACTTTCTGATGCGGGATAGTGCGGGGCGTGGATTTAGATTGCTGGATTGCGGACGACTGGGCAGTGGGGACGGAGATTACAGGAGGTAGAGAACTGGGCTCTTTGGAAGCTGTAAGCCAACCGTCGATGTTGTCAATAGTGGGATGCCATGAAGCATCCAGCTGGCTATGCCGTTGGTAGCCTTGGCGCCGGACCCGCTTTGCAGCTGGGTACTGAGTAAATCCATCACACACCTGCGGAACAGGTGGTACGATGGGGGAGCCGGACCCGGAAGCCACGTCCTGAGAGACAGAAGGGAGGAATGAGGAAGAGATGGCAGGAAGCCCCGAAGGCAGGACGCGTCGGTCCATGTTTGGCGCGGTAAACGATGTCGCGGGGGTTGACTGTTGACCGAGATAATCAAGGTCCTGAGGCGGATAAAACGCGGGTTGCAGCCCAACAGTTTCCTCATAGACATCCTCATCGTGCCTTTGCGGAAGACGGGCAGGTGCCGCTTGCACGTGGTATCCAAGTGACGGCGAGTAGCAGCTGAAGTGGAATTAGCGTCACATTTTCGTGGAGGGATTCCTGGATAACTACAACTTACCCCTGAACACCGCTTGGAGGATGGTAAGGTCTTTGGCCATGAGCGACCACCGGGGAGCTGTTGACTTTGGTCAGGCTGGAGTTCAAACGGAGAGAAAGAGAGACAACAGCGGAGATGAGTCGCGCGTTAAAAAAAACGACGCGTCTCTGTGGCACGAGCGAATGAAGGTAAACGAACGAAAACCCACCTCATATTTTGGAGGTTGAAACCAGTCTGAGCGTTGGGAAAGCTGGTGAGAAGTAGGGGATAGCATGAACGACAGAGGGGTGAGGAGGGAAGTGGAAGGGAAGAAACACGGAAATTCGATCAGAGTCAGCAACGAGTTCGCCGATTACCCAAAATCTAGGAAATCGAACGCACCCGTTGCCGCCATTGAACATGTTATGGTTGTAAGCCATGTTGATCGACCAGGATCGAAAAGGCTGAAGGATAGAGCGAGAAGGATATGCGAGGATGGAGTGAAAGAGATGAAAGAGCTTAAAGAACTTCAACACGCGGCGCGCGAGGTTCAAAGGGCGAAGTCACGAAATTCCCACCCAGATTTTTGATCGCTCCCCCTTCCCGTATTCGGCGTGTTTGGACCACCGCTGTAGGCAGACAATGTCAACAGATTATTCACGTCGTCAAAGCCCATAATTTCACTCACCTAGGAAAGGTCGCCGAGGCCACCCCGTCCGCACACCAACATCCGCGAAGACAATGGTCCCCAAATTCCAATCTCTAAATTCGTCGACCGTATCAACATGCCCATCGCTTCGCGTCCATCATACGTCGCTGGTGGGTGTGATAGATAAAGTCGCCGTGTATACGCGTTCCTCTCATCGCAGCCACGTACGATAAGCGTCGGGAATCCTGCACGCTTTCTACTTCGACGCGCAAGCGAGAGGAGAAAAACGGGAAGAAATCAAAAAAGTCAGAAATTAATAACGCCCGAAGAAGAATGCTCTAGAGTGAGTCCACACCTTTGAGGCTTCGAAGAATTGTCGCTGGAGATGCGACGAGATATAGAGTAGCCTCCCGCATCTATCTCCTGTGGCATCGCAGTAAAGCAAGGCAAATCCAGCGTCTTCGCCGCCAATTTTGGACAAATAAATATCATTTCATTCCAGGGGTAGAAATGAATGGCTACGAGTGCACCAATGTACCCAAGTCGATAACTCGACCTGGAGGTCCTTTGGTCTCGATCCAAGCGTGCTCAGCCAATGCAGCACAGCCACAGGTGTCGATCTGGGCTTGCGTTAGGTGAGCAACGAAGGGAGTCTCGACTTGAAGAACAACTCACCCATCTCCGCCTTTTATCACGGTTCACGAACTGGAGCGTCCAACTTGGGCATACCACCCGGCCTCGACCTCAGGCAAGCAAGAAGCCAGCTCCTATCGTCGATACTCGGTTGAATTCAGAAAGGTCCCAGCAAGGGAAACACCTACCGTCAGCTGTACCAATGTTCGCTCATCATGATCACCAATATATGTCCGTACCTTCTTTCTCAACTCGATCCAAAGCTCACTGAACGTACCTTTCATGAATTGCAGGGAATCTGGAAGAACGGTCACATCACCACGCGTAAGGTCTCTCCAAGTCAACGAGTATCATTCAGAGCCTGGCCAGCGTCGATCCAATCAAAGTAACGAGGTATCGTAGACATCGCTCCGGGATCGACCCGACCAAGCCAAGAACATACATATCGCATCCGCCACTGCCTGAGCGGCGACGAGAAGAAACCTTAGCAGACGCAAGAGTGTTCTCTGGGAGAGACAAGGTGGGTATCAGGAAATTTTTCAGCCAGGCGGGAAAACATTTACGCACCACAAAGATACCACACAGCCCTTCATACCCAGACCCTCCGTATCTATATCGCCTCATCCAAAAACAGTGAGACCTTTGGGCGGTTGAATGGACAGGAAGCTCATTCCAAGAGCGCAAGGTTGCCAAAGGTGAGTGCTGTCAAGGAGAATCGCCCTCAAGAGTATATTTCGCCGAACAAGAATCTAGGAGCATCCAGCCAGGATTTGCGTGTCCAATAACCGTTTTAACTGTTGTCAAGTCCCATGTCGTCCAAGGATGGTCGGTCTATCTTTTCCGTTCTGAGCTGGCAGTCTGGTCGATGATGTCGTGGATGGAGATTAAATAGTCGTGAACCAGGCGATCCCTTTGGTTGGTTTTCGAGGCAAAGGAAAGCCCTGCAATTGGTTCAAGGCGATGAACATATATATCGGCTGTCGGGTAAAACTGGTTGGCACGCCGCCGCCGCACGCGGTGCCCTCCGCATCGACAACCGCGTGACTGACTGATGCGCATTTTCCACGTTGATGAATGCCCAAATTAGCAAACCAACCGACTCGGATAAGGGAGCCAACCAGAGCCTTTGGTCAAAGGTCTCTGACTCTCTCGCCCTAGATCAGCTTTCATTTGAAGGTACAGTGGCTCATTTCAGCGAAATCTTAGTGAGATCTCGAATGAAATCCTCAGTCCAGCAAGGAAGCATGTCGTGCGAACGTAGGTTCACAATTCAACCCTATTACTCAGATGGTATTCATTCCACTGCGAAATACGGTATGGTTTATTGGTGTGGTATAGTAGAATACAAGTGCAATTGATTGGTACACAGATCCTTGTTCAAAGCTACTGCAGTGTGGGGGGGACGCAGTTGTCGACGGTCGACGGTTCTGCGGCAATGCGAGTCCGCTTGCTGGAACCAGTAGTAGCACAAACTTGAATGTTCTCGCGATCATCTTCGAATGCGGCTTTGCGCTTCCCTTGTCTGGCTCGAGTGGGCGCTTCCGATTCGGTGACAATCCCCTGGACATCTTCAGAGGTTTCAGCGTGACTGCATTTACCTTCGAGGTTGGTTTCCTTGGTGTCGAGGGCCGTACCATTGATGGCGGTCCTGGTAATATCGCTGAAAGACTGCTTTGAGAGAATGCCACTGAGAAACAAGTAAGCGGACTTACGTCAAAGGGTGAAGCTCGGTTTCCGCAGATGGTGCATCCTCAGTTTCCTCTGAAACGGTAGAAGAGATGTTACCTCTGCTTCAAGATCCCCATAAAATCCGGTTAGCCAGGTGGACTAGCGCGAACCAGTGGCAAAAAACTCACCCATTCTCATCTTCCAATGGATTCGTCTCTTCATCCGAGATACCAGTCTTTGAGGCTTCTTCGCTCAATGAGAGCAGGTTATCTGTATCCGACTCTTGCCATGTCCCAAGGGAGTCATCGTCATCAACCTAACGATCCCGTGCCATATACATCAGTGCTTGCTCTCACTGTGGCAGACTGAGATAGCGCCACTCACCGGGTTGCCCCAAGTGCTTGAGGAGTCGATCTGAGGAGCACCAGCTTCAATACCTTCGTCCGAGTTGTCGTCTTCGTATACGCCGTCATCCCAGACATATCCTGAAACGACACTGTTTAAAGAAGGATAAGAGATGAGAGAATGAGCAGGTAGACGCGATAGATCTGAACGTACTCATTCCAAGCCTTGATCTTCTCCTCATAGTTACGAATTAAAAGGGCTCGCCGAAGGTCATCTCTGTACCAGTAGATATAGTCGCGTATTGACATTGTGGATAGAATTGATGGACACGGTCGACGTTAAACCGGGGGATGAAAGCGCCAATGGTCTTTTGAAGTCCTTGTGGAGGGGAGTTCCCACGTTTAATATCCAAATAGGGATTTAACCACAATGTCCGAGTGGTGCTAACGCCGGATCAGCAGAATGCTGTGGCATAAGTAGGTAGTGAAATAGCCACAGGCTGAGCGAACAATTCAGCGTACCGGCACGACGATGAGGAAAGCATTTCGAGGTAGGCTGCAGATGCGAAGTCGGAAACCTTTGCGTCCTTTGCCATTAAGCATCACCTCAGTTTACGACCGTAGAGAGTATTTCGCTCCTTTGTTCCAGGAGGCACGTGCTTGAGATAATGGATGGGATGTCCACGACAATGACCCAAAGACACATCTTGCACCCCAGTCATTACAAAGCGGTGACGGAATATGTGTTCACGACGCGTTTTTGTTTCTCCAGCCTCGAGTGGTATTGTCTTCGCTCTAAGGACCTTCCACGAAGGACGCGCCCAAGCGCTCCACAGGGCATGAATGTTGGAACACTTGTAAGTTCCTTGAGAGGATCGTCGTGATTAAACAGTCAGACTCTTAAGTGATTCATACATTAGGTCTTTTAGTACTAAGAATCACTGACATGGAAAAGTCAAAGTATGAAGGAGGTACATACATGATAACTTGACAGTCAACGCCTGCCGATGATGAATGGTTCTCGTCTCCTTCAAGCCTTCACCCATGAGCAGAACGAAGTTTCCTCACCCCTTCCCTTAACTTGACGTTTTCCTCGTACATCCTTCGGCAACCTCAATTGAATCGAATTCTTTGCTGAAAGGACCTCCAGGATTCTTGGGCCTAAATCCTGTATCTATCTAACGAGATCGCCAATCAAATCAAAAGCAAGGTCAACCCTCCAAAGAGCAAGTCCGTCTTCTGAACGAAGCGCGATCCCGAAAGCGTACCAGGGCCCAACTTGGCTGAGGAAAGCCAGAGACGAGAAACGAGAGAGCCTGCAAGCGGATTCCCAGTGCTGTGAGCGGCAATGTTCACCTCAATCTCCGAAAGAAATCCCGGATTGGAAATCAGGGCTCAACAAGTTGCCTGCCGGGAACCACGAAGGGCCAGGGACTCGGACATCGGGACAAATGCAGCAAGCTCAACGATGTCGACTGAAGTTTCAATGGGAAGCGATGAATGGATTGAATGAGTGAGGTATGTATGTTGTGTGTTATGCTAGGTGTTAGGGAATGTGTAAAATGCGAGTCAAAGCAAAGAAGAAAAGTATGTACATAGACAATCAAGAAAAGTCACTCGACACTGCCAGTGGGGCAGGTCTTTACTGGAATACGATAACAACGGGGGAACCAGGATGAACTCGGTAATACTACATAGGCTAGAATAATAGAACGAGGGGACTGGACAGATACGATGAACGAAAGTGGTGAACATGTAACAATTTTCGACAGCAACAAAACAAACCAAGAAAATGACAAGGGGAAAGGAGAAAAAAAAAAAGGGAAAGGAGTGACACGAGAGCTCAACCTCGAGATAAAACAAACCAAAAACCAACAGAAAAAAAAAAAAGAGAGAACATGGGCAGCGGAAAACATAGAAATGGACCAGCGTCCTCTAAAATCTATTGGGCCTGCTCGCGTTAGCCAACCCCTCAGGGATCTTGGGCACAGGAGGGACAACCGGTGCACCCTCCCGTGCTTCCTTGGCCCGAAGCATCGCCTCCACCCTCCTCACAAACCGATCCCTCGTCTCCCCACTCTTATCCGGGTCCAAGATGCTAACCCGACTATAGATACTCCTGTCGTCATAGTCATCGTCCTCCATCGTGTACAGCGTATCCCGGTTACCCGAGGTGAGGGCGAGAGCCAGATCAACGTCATCATCTTCAGGTTGAGGTTCAGGTGCACCACGAGCGCGACCACCGTAGTACTCCGAGACGGCGAACGATTCGTGTTTGTCGCGGAGTGCTTCGAATGAGCGTCGAGACGGGAGTGTGCGTTCATCGGGGTAGTGGCTCTCTTCGCTCCCTTCGAGACTCGAGTCGTGGAACCTGTCGAGAACATCTCGCATGTCTTCCTGGTCGTCCTCATCCTCATGGTCGGCATATGCAAGACCTGCGATTTCGTCGTCGTCTGTGCGTGGCGGGCGAGTTGGCGGAATGATGTTGGCTCTGGGAGGAATGATGTTCCTCTCCGTGGGGAACCTAGACGCCAATGGTGCACTTGAAGGCGCCTCGTGCATCATCTCCCTGAACCTCGGCCTGGGTCGAGCTTCCAAGCCTACTCCAGGTCCATACCCAGGGGCGGGGCTCATGACTCGAGGAGACGGGCTCAAGGCAGGAGAAGCGATCGGTCTCGAAGGGAAAGGCGATTCGCGTCCGCGTTGGATGTTGGGGTTAATCGACACGCTGAGCTCGTTTCCGTTCCTCTGGCCCACGAGCTTGGACCTGAGATGCGAAGGAGGTGGATTCGAGGGAGTAGCACCAGCGCCAGGTGGGACACTCGGCAACGGACCCATCGGTGGTGGACTGGGGGGCGGGATGTCGTAGTACGCCAGCACATTTGGACTCGGCAATGGGGTATTGCCTTTCGAGGACACATCTTGAGGAACAAGGAGGGGTGATAGACGGCGAGACCGCATCTCCGGGTTGGGGGAAAGACGCCCGTGATTGGGAGGGGGAGACGTGAGGTTGGAACGAGGCCCGAAACCATCTGTTGGGGGATTCCGGGGTCGAACAGGAACGTGATCGCGGACTGGAGGGGAAAGAGGGGTGGTTACAGCAGGGGGTGACAAAGTGTTGTTGCCGTTGGGATACACGGGGGAAGATGTCATCGATGGGGTTACGACAACGTACGGGGAGCTCGGCGACGTCGGTAGGGGGGAAGGGCCTCTCGAATATCCATTCTCTATCGCCGAACTGTTGTTCTTACCGACGTCCATAGATGATGTAGGCGACGTCGGAGGGGCCGGAGACGCTGCGCGAGTGATAGGGTACGAAATAGTAGGCGTGGCTTTCAACGATCCTGTCGTTGGGCCAGAAGACGACGACGACGGCCTTCCAGATTTGGTAGAGGTGATGGGCGATACCGGTTGCTGGTGAGACGTCCCCGAGTGAATACTTGATGCCTGCGTCGAGTTTATCGTAGAGATGCTTCCAGCGCCCGCACCGCGATGGCCGGAGCCTGCATTAACCTCGCGGAACAAAAGCGGGATCCGGGGGCGTTGAGAAGAGGATGACTCTCCAGAAGAAAGCGAGCTTCGATCCACTGGAGGCTTGGGTGTCGAGGGCGTTGGGGTGGTAGATGGCATAGAGTCGAAGTCGAGAGGCTCGGAAGGTTGGATAGATGGCAATTCGACCTTCGAGCTTGACGTAGTGGATGGCACCGATGGAGCGGGGAGTTCAGGGTTGGAGAGCTTAGTGCTTGGAGACCCGGGCATCAATGCACCGAGAGACGTCGCGAAACGTTCTGCGATGGGGAGAGTGACTGGCTCTGTGGGCAGTGGTGGCGGAAGAGGTTCAGACGCGTCGGATTTGAGATCTGGACGTGAGCCCTTGAGCGAGATCTTGAAGAAGCGACTTTTGCCTTTCTTCAATCCTGAACCAGCAGAAGCGTAGCCCGCGTCGGTCTCGTAGCCGGCCCCTGTATCAGTGGAGGCATTCTTCGACTTGGGTTTCTTCGACTTGGACTTGAACGGGCTTTTCGACGAGCTGGCGACTCCAGCACCATCCGTGTCGTACCCTGACGCGTCCTCTGCCTTTTTACTCCCCCTGATGACCTGACCGAAGCTCTTCTTCCTCTTCCGATCCTCCTCCTTCTGCTCCCTCTTCTCTTCCTTCAGCCGTGCCTTTTCCTCCTTCTTCTGCGCCTTCTTCCCGCCTTCACTGAGGTACCCGCCGTCGCTATCATATCCATCCTTGCCCTTCTTCCGCAGCTTCTTCGGCGTTGTAGGCCGGGGAGGAATTGGAATGTCGTTATAGTTGGTTGACGGAAAGGCGATGCCTACCCCCGGTTCTGATGAACTTCCGGTGTGGTAGGGGCTCTCTGTATCATCCCAGCCTGCGAGTGGCTTCCCTTTGGTAGGTAGATTGTTGTTGTACGCGGGATCAGGGGGTGTGATTGGATACGAGGTACCCTCATCCGAGGGCGCTGAGGACCTGTTGGTCAACCCAGGTGATGAAGTGGGCTCCTGTAATCAAGAATGTTAGTCTCTCTAATGACAAACGTTGTTCGGATTAGAGTTCGAGTAAGGTTGAGGTGTGATGCCAGCGCACAGGCTCGTCCAAAGCAGCCGAACGCGACTTTAACGAGGTGTTAGGCTCCGGGAAGAGCCATTCCCCCAAAGTTATGAAGTAGTTGTGGACATACCTCTTCTTCTTCGTCCTCCTCCTTGAGCGTGTTATCAAACATCCAGGCTGTTACCAGCGAGTTGTTTCCAATCCCCAGCTCCAACGCCGCATCCAACACAGATGCACGCAACGCATTTGACTCCCTGGACGCACTCGTGGTTTTGAGCGGCCTGGTTCGCGGAATGGGGCCCCTTGACTGTGGAAAGGCGTAATCGGTATCCATGGCGCAGGTCGATGGAAGAAAGTGGTGCAATAAGATAGACTAGAGCGTCCAGACGTTCTTTAAAGCCCTGGTGGTCAAAGTTAAATTAAAAAGCGAAAACCAGCAAGGTTCTGGCCCCGGTGGTTGGTTGGAGAAACCCTGAATACGACAAAGAGCGTGGTTGTGAGCGCGGTTGAGCGTCGATGTTCAGGCAGAAAAGACCGGCAGCATCAGGGAACTTGTGGAAAACGAGGGACAGCAATCCGGGACAGGAAAGAGAACAAAGCAGCCAGAAACCGTCGCACAAGCTCTCGTAGAGGCCGAGATTCAAGTTCCCACGTCAAAGGTACCGTCACCCGTTTTTGATTTCTGGTCCCGCGCCTTCCCATCACTCGGCATCCCTCAAAATCACATCTTCCAGCCCTTTTCGCCGTCATCCATGATGTACCGAAGCCTCCAGATACGCAACAACGATGAACAAAAGCCTTCAAACGCGCTCGAATGGCAACCGTAACACCCTCGAGGCCTCCATGAACCAGGGAGAGAATCGATAATCACAGCGTGTTCGTTGTGGAGTCGTCACCAAGATGGACACTATCCTTCAAGTCCCCTTGACGACTGTATGAAAAATGCTAATTTGAGATTGAACAGACATTCACAATTCATTGCTTTGGACAATCACAGTTCACCTTGTCACCTTGCGGCAGGTCGAATGGAGAGCTCCTTGGAACCTCCGATCGCGAGTTGCATTCTCTAACCACCATCCCCTGGGTTTCCATGCGCTCTCTGGTCAGGACTGGTTTCGTCGTCTTCGTCACAGCTGCCGCGCCTCTCTCGGTCTCATTGGGAGTATTTCCATGGATTGGATGCAGATAGGCATTAGACTCACGTAAGTGTACCAACGAACACCTTCCTGTCTAAGTTTAGCCTATGAAAAGCACTAGTACCTCGTGCCACAAGTTCACCGTCGATTTGCCACTTCACGACAGAGATGGCAGCTCCTCTCTGGGGCCTTAAGGCACATCCTAGATTGCAACACCCAATAAACGAAAGACAAAGGCTCGTTCCAAAGTCTCGTCTGTATCGCTATTGATCGGTAACCATGCTAACCACAACGCAGTCCACCCTTCAGCTGGTACTTAATCGATGTTGGGTACGTCTATCGTGTTGTTCGACCTGACTATTAACAGAATAACCTATCTTTAGGCGTTTGTCACGAACAGATATGGCTACAAGGAAGCAATCGAACACGCCGTGGAGAACAAGGATTAGCCTTCTTGCCATCGATTTCGAAGTGCATCGGAGTCCCACCTGGGAGCCTAACCATACTAAGGACACGTTTTGAACAATAGAGATCCTTACCTACCTACTCTGCGCAAGCTCTGGCCACCCAAATGAACATGAACGTGGAATTCATACTCCTCTGGAGACGAGCCTGAGCCTACACGGGCCTGGTGTTTCGACGCATTTTAGATCGCCCGCTCTACCATGGACCAGAACAATGGCCGTTACGGCCCCGTGCGCCAGTTACAGTGCCACAGAATCCGAACCACACCATACACGGTATCCCTCGGACAGCCTTCCTGAACCACTTGCCATATCCAGACCATCCTCTTGTTCCCACCAAGATTTGGCTCACGAATCCCATCCTCAGCGCTCATGTGATTGAGGTGAGCCCACGGTCCGTCTTTCCTGCCTTCCCTCGAGCTTTCTTCGGCCTGCCAACGCCCCAACATGATTCTCGATCGATCACCCATGCCCGTCAATGGTAGCGCCATTGCCTAATTTGTACCTTGCTTATACCAGCCAAGGCTATAAACGAGCAGAGTTGGCGTAGTCGTTCGTCGGGGCCGCAAGGGTGAGAGTGATCACCTCACGCCTTTGATTGTCCAGTCGTTTGGGTGGGTCCAACTTACATAGCCGGAAATTAAGATAGATAATGAGCAGAAGCATGGAGCCCTAATATCAGTCGACGTCTTTCCCCCTCGGAGGACGCGTCCCCGATGACAGCGGAGATGGAAGGGGAAATGCTCATGACCATGACCAGGTTTGGTCGTGCGAGACTCGAGCGCGCTCGACAGCAGCCCTCGTCCATGGACCTTGCCAAGAAAAGCTGCACACGTATACCGTCTGTGTTGCGTAGACCCCGATAAATCTGGTACTCTATATTTATATTGGTAGAATGATACTAGGTTGACACAGAGAGACACTGAGACACAGAAGGAAGAAATAGATGGAATGAGAGTGGGGATTTGGATGGAAGGGGTATCATGACCAAAGGGGAGAATCCATATCGACAACCTGGCTCATTGTCGGCCTTGCACTCGGATCCTGCTCCCACATCCTCTGCAAGGCCCCCTTCTGCCGGTTACTGAGACCAGCATACCGCTCCAACCGTGGCCTCTCCCCTCTCGCCACAGCGAAGCACAGCTCATGGTATGGCCGGTTCGGAGGATATTCATAGGTGTACGGAGGTACCCCAGCCATCACCTCCAAAAATACCATCCCAAACGCGAACACATCCGAACTAGATGCGATCGGCTTTGCTTCCCATATGTCCACTTCCGAGCCGCCACCCCATTGTGGCTCCTCCTCTTCGTCGGAGCCAAAAATCTCAGGTGCGCAGTAACGCGGGTTGCGCCCTCCGTCGATCCTTGGAAAGCCGCCCATATTTTGAATCTGGGCCAAGCCAAAGTCGATCACTTTGGCGTTTCCTTTGGCATCTACACGGATGTTTCCCTGTAGGCCGAGTCAACCATCATCACAACCGAAAGCACGTTTAAACGTTGCTCACCGGGTGGACATCTCCGTGTGTGATGCCTTGCTGATGGATGTACTGAAGAGCAAGCACCCCGCCCCTCAACTATGGGTCGATACATAGGTTCCATTGATGGTTGAGCTATGGTACTAGTAGACGGCGGGGACTTACAACGCGTATCCTTTCTCCCGGACGGGCCTTGGTGTACTCCAACAAATCGTAGTCGACGAACTCTACGACAATGCCTGGGTGTATAAAACTTGCAGGGAACTCTGTTTGCCACCAGAGTCCGTGAAACCGGGCGACGTTGGGATGGATCAGATGGCTAACCGTGGATACTTCGCTAGCCAAGAACTGAAAAGAAGCGACAGTCTAAGGTCAATAGCACTATTACAAGTATCGATAGAGCGCTCACCAGCTGGGACTGTGGATACTCTGGACCAGCATGCAGGAACTTGGCGACCACCTTGGATGGCGCCTTGCAGAAGAAGTCAATGTATCAGGAAAAGAACTTGAATACACCGGCAAGCACAAACACGCTACTCACCTGGCCATTAACGTAGATGGTGCCAACAAAGACTTTCGACAACGATCCTCTCGCAAAAGTCGCGTCAAGGTCCAGAACGACCTTGGCACGACTTCGGTTGATTTCCTGTCCCATAGCAATTAACATTAGCGATTCAAAATCATGATCCATGAGAGAGGATGAGGCCACGTACGAATCTCTTGATAATGGACGCGTAGGGTGCCACGTCCTGAAGTCGAGAGATGGGGGGGTGGCTAGCCATTTGGAATGACATCCGGCGCTCTGAACGGTCCAGGCTGAGAGGCAGGGGACTAAATGCACAGGGGCGAAGAGACTTCAGTAGCAAGGAGTGAGTGAAGGTTGGTGGGGCTCTTCTGGGGAATAGCAGCGATTGGGGGGAGAATTTATCTGAATTCCACGCAGCAGTTACATAAACTCTAAACGCATCGAGAAAGAGATCTCGAGGAGGATGCATTAAGTCATCCCGATGTAATTCACGGAGCGATAGCCTCATACGAAACAACGCCAATCGATTGGAGCTCAGGGTCCTACAATTGAAATCTAGATTCGTGCACAAGAGATTGCTTACTGCTGTTATCCTAATCCACTGGCCCTGGGAAGTGCGATTCGACCGTCAAAACGACCTTCACCCTCGGCATCGGCTTCCTCTCTGGCATGAAGGGATGCTGCTAAAAAGAGTTCAATAATCCATTTCAGATAGACGGGGTAATCATAGAGCCTGCTGCCCCGTCGCCGTCTCGGTTGGGGGCGGGCAAGGTTCATGAAATAGTACTTGTAGGCTCAAAAGTAGACGTTGTGGTGATGCCCTTACGTGTTCAGTTGAAACCGGACATCAAATCTCAATCGTTATCGCCATCCTTTTTTGTCTTTCAATGGGTTTAAGTATCCGGCCGAATGCAGATCCTACGGTCGAAACGGAGAAATAATCGATCGCGAGGAGCGCCCTTCTTCGGTAGTAAGCTTATTCTGACAGATCATACGGATTTGAACTCTCTCGCATCGACTCGGAACACCCTGGCGGCTGGCCTGGGATGGTGTGGGGCAGGGCTTTATTGAGCCGACTCAAAGGCCGAGTACTAGACGTTATTTGCGCCTGACTCTTACGGCAGCAAGAATTTCAAGCACCGAAGTGCACAACGGAAAAGAAAGGTAGATGAGGAGTTGACGATGGTTATTGTTCAGCAACTCTCGGAAAGGATGCCCGTGCAAACGCCTGCAATGTACCAAAAACTTAAGAACACCCCCTGCCTCCCTACCTCCCACCGTGCTCTAAGCCACGTGAAGGTATTCAGTCGAACAGGGCCGGACCTGCTGGTGAGCGACTCGGAAAGCGAAGCAAGCGGGATTTACAGCGTTAGACCTTCCATGTTGCTGCTCTCCATTTCGACAAGACCCACCCACTGCATCAGCTGAAGAACATGCCCAGTGGGAGGAGTGAGGGGTGGAGAGAAAAGGGTAGAAACATCTGTCGCCCATCTTGTACGCGAAAGACGGGGATGGAGATGGATGGAGATCCGGACGAAGAAGAGCTGGGTCAGTTCTTGACGCATGGGTGACGTGCCACGAGGAAGTTGAACGGGGATTAGCAGCAGCGGCGGGGAGCGGGACGGTAAAATTCGCCAGGGCGCAGCGTATTCAGGTATTGTTTTCCCTCAGAGGCGGGCATGAGGGTGAGCGGTGTCAACTCCACATTGTATCGCAGTCGCAGTCGATAGCTTGTCGGACGGCGAAGTCGAATCGGCAGTCCGCAGCAGTTTGCATCCAGGGAAGGGGCCCCTAGACCGGAAGATGGAACGAGTGCGCCGACCCCTTGACGGTTGGCGATTCGAAGTCTACTGTGGCCTAAAGAAGGTATGTTAGAGGTTACTGGCGAGAAATTGAGACAATTCTTTGCATGATGTCGTGCGCGCAACGTCTGTTGAACATTCAATCACGGTGTCGGTTTTATCGTCTTCAGTCTCCTGCCGATGGTTACGCGCCTGTTCAGTTTGTGAGCACCAGAGTCGACCTCGATCCATGGTAGGCGTACAAGTCGAAAGGCGTCTATCAGAAAAGTAGTCGGCGGTGGCACAATTGTCAGCGTCTGACTTGGCTGGTATGGTACACCTGGGGCCGGCAAGGAGGGTGATGACCGTCTTGCTGGATCGTTGCTGGCGACCTCTGAGAAAACAATGGTAAAGGAAGGGTGAAAAAGCATAGCTGTGGGAAGGAGAAAACTGCAAGGGGAAAAGGCCTCGTTTCGTCGTTTGTGCTGCAGGGAGTGAACAAGCGGGCGTCGCCACCTAGTACCTGGACGGAGCCGCCGTAGAGCACGGGGGAGCAGAAACAGACCGTTCTATTCCCCACCTACCATTAACCACTGACCAGTGGCGTCGATGCAGGACCTGCCGACGACTCTTACAATCAGGATCGCGATCTGGTTCAATCGCGACGCCTGACTGTGACCTAAAGCGGAACTTGAACGGGGAAGTGGTGTGCTATTGTTCATGCCGTCGTCGGGCACCCAAACGTTACAAACAATTTACAACAGAAACATCAACATCGGCTAGCACTCTTCGAGAAACACCTGAGAGAAAAATGAACCGCTGCGCATCAAAATGTCCTCTATGGGAAGGACGTACCGATAACACCCCTACAAAAACAGTGAAACGCCACGAGGCAGGAGAAAGAAATCCCAGACTCAACGGGGAAGACATGGAAGAGATTTCCAGCTCCGGATCCTGTGAATGAATCTCGTCGACGTTTGACGCGGAGTAGAAACCGTCAACGTCTGGGACGGGGGAAGGAAGTGACGTCGCTTGGGCAAATGAACTTCTGGAAGGGTCATCATTAGAAGCATTTGGAATGCCTTTCGAGATATCTGGCAAGAATGGAGAGGTCAGTACAAGGATATCATGGAAATACCAAAGGATTAGTAGACGCGCACGATCTGCGAAACTGGGAAGGACAAAGTCATCCTCAACGTAAGGCTGCGTCTTATTCAAAGCCACCGCGAGCGGAACGATATTCTAGCATTCACATAACCGAATTAGTTCTTTAGGACAATTTCCAAGTATCCCCTCACTCACTTGGAATTTCGATTTGAGTTTCTGATAATATTTCACTGCTTCTGACATGGTGAAGTTATTCAGTTCGTGTGCCAATAGGATGGCGCCCGACTAGAAAGTGTAGATCAGCGAGGGAGAACTGAGGTGTTAACTCATCCCATTACATACCCCCGAAAAGGTCCCCTTCTCAGCCTCTGCAAGCAAGGCTTCATAGTTGGCGTCAACTTGGCCAATGGAGATCGCATCTGGATCTGGCATCCCGACTCTCCAATCGTTGGTATCATATTTCCACAGAATAGTCCTGAGGCCTAGGCCGTTAGCAATGGCACGAATCCGGTCATCGACGTCTCCAAAGGGCGGCTGAGAATATCTATGAGTCGCGGCACAGTTAACAGTTCATTCATTCTTACCCTCCAACAGGTGGGCGTTACTCCAGCCACAAGCTTGATGGCTTGCATCTAACAAACCTTTGGGGTGAATCCTAACCCGTGCAGAGGTGTAACGCCGTACCGCTGTGTTGTATTTTAAGATCAAGATAAGCGTTTCCGACAATGCACCAATTACTTACTATAATAGAGCTCTGCGAATGCATCCCTGCTGCTGAAGCCTGTCACTGAAATTCAAAGTCAAATGCGATGGACGACCGGGCTGTGTGAGTGATGCGCACTGTAGCGATGAGACCAGGTATCTGTATCATCGGTGAGAATGTGATATACTAAAGGCTGCCCTCCAAGGACTTACGGACGCATATTTCATGGCCTAGCAGTGAGAAAACGTAATTTCGTTAGGGGTGCGATCGAGGCGGGATCAGGGAACCCACATACCATCGGACACCGCTCTCTGTGCTTCCAGTGGCCAGTCCATGACGTTGCTTCCAATATAGAACATTGCTGTTCGGATTGCGAAACCATCCATGAGGAAATTTAAAAGCAGAAATTAAGTAAATTGCGCACTAGCTTGCTGGTTCTGACTCTGCAGATAATCGTAGAAGGCGTTGTGAGAACAATTCGGCCCGTCGTCAAACCCATACGCCAACGTGTGAGGCTAAATAATCCGTTAAGTGGGTTCAGATGAAGGGTCACGGCATCCATGCTACCTCCGGGACATCTGCGATGTCATTTGGCAATCCTTCATGCTTCGGCGAGACGCATTTTGAGTACGTCCACCAACAATCCGTATCTTTCTCTGAGTATCGAACGTCTCGGATATCGCCCGCGGGTGTTCCCTGGAAAACAAAAATAAGACATCGCTTAACGAGAAGACAGAGAAGCAACCACTTTGACAGATATATTGGGCACAGAAGCGGCGATCGAATCCCACTTTGCTTCAGCGTTTGTGTCGCCTGGAAGGATGAAGGCGGGTTCCCAGATAGGCGGAAAAGACGAAAGGCGCGAATCCACCGGGGGATAATAATACGGGGTGCATTCGTGAATAGGGTCTGCTCCATGCGGGCGTCAGCGTCAAGCCGTTTGGGGTTGAGCGAATGCCGACAAGGACGAACCTGCAATTACATTCTCGAGAAAGGAGTTCCCCGCCCCGGTACTAGATTTGTTCACCGGTGGGTTGTGCGCGAGAACGCCGCGGGGTACGACAAGGGCCAAGAACAATGAAAAGAAGATAGCAGGCTGTTGATAGAATGATAGATAGCGAGTGTTGGGTTTAGGCGGGGGTAGAGACATGTTCAAAGATGCAACGGCGAGGTGCGTATAGATGATGATCAGGAAATGTAGCGGGGATTACAGAGCGCGGCGAGCTGGCTGAACAGAAATTTCTTCACCGACGAGACAATCTGTGCCACAGCCAAATGGGTGTAATGAGCGGCGGAGGAAAGAATGGCGGGGATATACAGAGCACCGATAGTGGAAGAACGTCGTAAAGGTCCAGAGGAACGATATCAATGACAAGACGCGCAGGACGTCCAGGGACATGACGCAAGGACCCAGCGAGGACCCGGAATACCCTTCTAAAAATAAAATAAAAAAGCAATCTCCGATCCGAGTGGATCCCACAGACCCCAGTCGGTGGCCCGTATTGAGATTCCTATTCGCAGCCTCAGGCCGTTCTGAAGGGCGCCCAGCTAGGAGAAAGGGAGGAAACCGAGAAATCGAGGTAACGCAAGGGAAACCCCATGTGGAGACAGCCGCCAGAACCGGGCATCGAACGGCAAACACTGTCGGAATGCTTTACGGTTTTCCGTTCTTCTGCCGATGGGAGATGGAGGTGGTCAGAGGTCGAGAAGAACAGCGCAGACAAACTGTTATCAGCCAGGATAGAAAGTGCCAGTTTTTTTGCAGCTGCTTGTTGCACCCCGCATCCGAGTCGTCCACGACCCCTAACCACTTCGTAGTGCCAGCTCAGTTGGCATTGAGAGAGTGTGCAACGATCCAAGAGTCCCGTCCGAGCTAGCCCTTATCCAAGCAGGAGGAGAGAAGTGAAGATCTAGAAAGAATCGAAACGGGCGAATGGTCCATCGATACCAGCCAAGGCCACGCGTTGCACGAGTGGCTGAAGAAATGTGGTCCCACAGTGGCAAGATGGCCGAGCGGTCTATGGCGTGTGACTCAAGCGAAAGCTTGCCTCTGTCATTAGGGGTTTCTCATGGGAGTATTCCCGCGTGGGTTCAAATCCCACTCTTGTCAATCTTTTTATAGATTTTTAGAACCGTCTCAAGATTGACGCCTTCATCCGAGTTAGTCTACATTTAGCACTACTCAAGCTGCTGTGCCCAGATGTTTATCAGCATTTCATAGACCTCGAGAAATTGGCCGCAATTGTGATACCAAGCAAGTAGTTGAACATCCCACTGGCTTCGGAAGCCATGCGGTTCAAGGATATAAACTCTGCACGTAACAGAAGAGACAACGAGAAAAAAGGGGAAATTGTTGAGCTCTCAAAAGTCAGATCTGGGCCGAAGACGAGCTTCTGCATTCCAACGCCAGCCTGAAGCTAGCAAGGGTCATCGCGCCCCTCAAGGACTGGCACAATATCACTGAATATGTCCCGGGTCGAGAAGTGTATCCAGTCAGTATACCATGTCTGGGCTTCGAGAAACCTCTCCCACGACTCATGAAGATTCTTCTTCTCTAAGAAAACTCTCCGAGGCCCTATGCATTATGTTCAAAGTATGTACAACTCATTTGTAACCGAAATCAAACAAATCCGATTCCACCGCCAACTTGAAGTACGTCAAATTTCAAGTCTGTTCTCATCACGACCTACGCAACTGTCAATCTCGGGCTCTCGCTTCTGTGACCCGTAAACGTTCACGGGAGTAGATCCCGAGCTCGCCGGGAGACTCGCCACTATCTGCTTAACCGCACCTTTTTCATCCCCCGTCCATCATATCGCACGACATCTTCATCGAAGCCTAAGGTTAATGTTACATAAATAATAAAAGACCGATGAACGACAGTCACGGGAGAGGTCGCATGGAAGGTAGAGAAGAAAAGGGGACACAGCCAAAAGGAGTCAGGACAGTGAGGTGACAAGCAGACTCGAGGGATACTTGCTGCGTGGAAGACGCGGGATATGCGAGGAATTCACGTAAATCCCAAGTTGCACCTTGGTTGTTCAAACAGCAAAACCTCCCAAGGAATTCGAATCACACTGGCAGTGGACGGCGACCTAGGAGTAGTTCTTCCCCGTGAAGTGAAGGGAATGAATGAAGAAAGCGTCAAAAGGGACCGGTAACAGTCAATACGACTGAAGAGTCTGAACTCTGAGCATGACAGGACCCTCGAGAATCTCGCATCTAGCGGGAATGAAAGTAGAACAAAACGCCAATAATGAAAAACGACCGAGGATTCTCAAGATCTAGTGGGAATGAATAACACAAGCGCTGAATAAAAAAACGACCGAGAAACTACGAGATGAGACGAACGAGGGACGATATTGTCGGGGGAGTCCATGGACAGACAAGGACAGACAAGGACGAACAGAAAATGCGGAAGAAAGAAGAATCAACGTAGACTGGTGCACCATGTCTCTGGAAGACGAGATAGAGATAAAAGCCAGCGAGCCGAGGAACCTACCCCGACCGATAAAAAGAGACTGGAGCGAGTTGGATAATTCACGTAAAAAGACCCTGCACCATCGTACAAGGAATGACTGGCAGTGGAGGGGAAGATCCAAGAGTGAACGAGATCTCGGAATGCACTCCAATGTGGTGAGTTCCAAAAGAACAAGAACATAGAAAACGTTATCGAAATAACGTGGTCGAAAAATAAAGCCAACGGGGAAACGTTAATGAAAGAAAAAAGACCGAAGGGCGTGGAACTCGCGGGAGAGACCAACACGGAAGGAGCCAGGGAAGAAAGAGCCAGACTCCAGCCAGCGAGGCGAATAGCCGAAAAACTGAATGAAGGAGGATAATGAAAACGACCGAAGGACGTTGAGATGAATGAGGAACGATGAAGTCACAGACATGGAAGGAGAGTGAAAGAGTCAAACTACAGCCAGCGAGGCGAGTAGCCAATGGGCACGAAACATCTTCCACCGAAAAGAAGAGGTTGCACGTAAATCCCTGCCCCTTCTAGCTTCATTGTTCAAGACCAACAACATACCGTAACATTCAGCGTAGAGCGCTAACAAAAAAGCAATACAAGTCCCACCAAGAAGAAGGAAAAGAAGACTCCGAGGACGAAATAAAGTGCAAAAGCTGTAGAAAGCGACCAGCGAGGCGAATAGGGACTAGGAAATAATCAAACAAGCGGGTGATTCGTGAAACCAAAAGAATACAGCGTAGTTTCTGAACTCGATAATTGCGAATGCCCTCGAAGGAATCGGAGAACAGCTATGTAGGAGAATAGGAGGTGGTTGTGTATGAGGGGCGAGGTTGCGTACGGGATGGCCAGGGGTTGAAGCTGGGGGTAACGATCCGGTGTAGCACGAATTATATAGGGGCGGGGGAGGGGCTGAAGGCTGACGGTGGAGCCAGAGCGGTTGGAGACGAGGTCGAAGAGGACGGATAGTGACCCTGATTAGATATCAAAGAACGGTTTGTCGTTGTTCTGTTGTTGTTGCTGCTGCTGTTGTTGCATCGCAAACGGGTTATGCGAGCTACCCGTCTTCTGCTGGGCGATCATGGCCCGTCCAGCATCCGTATACCCATACCTAAAAGCCAAAGTCAGCATCTCTTCCAGGTCACGAAACGGTGACAGAAACCCACCTCAGAGCACCAACGTTTCCAAAGGTATCCTGCCCATCGTCCCGATTCGCAAACAGATGTTCGAGCTGCTGCTCCGTCTCGCCAAGGTTCTTCTTCGTCTTGACGCTGATAGGTTTGCCAGTGTACGGATTCGACGATACACTCGAGGAAGGACTCGAGGGACCACCATACGGGTTATTACTCGTCGACGCACTCAACGACGACACATTCGCAGGCGAATGGTTCTCGTACGTGCTCTGCAGATTAAACGACGGCGTACCCGTTCTCTGCTGGTTGATCGGGGAAAGCGTGGACGGCGAGGGTGACGCTGGTGCGAACGGGTTGTTCGACCCAAACCCAGTAGGCTGCACCTGAATCTGCGGTGCAGGGGGGAACAGACCCGTCTGCTGCTGCATAAGCGCCTGCTGCTGCTGCTGTTGCTGGAACTGCTGTTGAAGCAATTGCTGGCGCAACCACTCCTCCTGCTGTGCCTGTTGCTGTTGCGCCTGCTGCTGCTGCATCATGAACATCTGCTGCTGCCGCATAAACTCTGCCTGCGCCGCCTCCTGCTCCGCCTGCTGCTGGTACGGATTGAACGACGTAAACTGTGGTTGCATCGGCATCGCCGTGAACTGGGGCTGCAGCGAGGTCATCTGCTGCTGCAGCCCCGCCGCATACGGCGTCGGATCGGGCATATGCGTCGTATTCGGCGCAGGCAACTGGTTCTGATCATCGAACAACGCCAACTCATTCGAGTTTTCGACCTGCTTCTTGCGATTCAGCTCCTCCTGCTCAGACTGCCTGAGCGCCTCCTGCAGCTCCTGCTCCTCCTTCTTCGCCATCTCCTGCGCGAGCGTCTTCTTGCTCTCCTCGATCGCGCGGCGCAGCTCATCCTCGTCCCGGTTCGGCCGCCGCCCAGAGAGCCCGTGGATGTCGTCGCTCCCCCGATTGCGGTCCCCGCGCCGTCGAGCGGCGTTCTCGTCCTCACCATCGTACTCCCCGCCCGTCCCCCGAATCATCCGGTCCCGCATGCTCGCCCTGTTGCGCCGCTCCTGCCGTAGCCGGTCCTCGTCCTGCAGCAGGTTGGTGATGTCCTTCGCCTTCTGTCGGACGTTCGCGCCCTGGTCTTTCCCGTCCTCATCGATGTACTGGAACTCCTTGAGCGTCTTGATGATGTAGATGTTATCCCGGAAGTAGATGACGACGTTTTCAGAACCGTTGTGCAGGCAGTAGTCCAAGACTGTCAGACTCTGCCAGTATCGAAACCAGAACGCAATCGCCCCATGAAGACCCTATTGAGCACAGAAACAAAAAGACGAAGAACAAGCTAAACGCACCTTGAATACGTGTCTCCAATTTTTACCTTTATCGTTCAACCGTTTATCCAACATCTCCATAATCTCAATGAAATCATTCCTATCACAAATCCGCTATCAGTCCCAGTACACCGATGAACCACACCCAAAACAACGCACTGATTATACGTGAGCTGCGCAATTTCGTTCATCTGGGTCCCGGAAGGTCCCCAGGGGTCATTGCTGGTGGCTTCCCGAACTTTAGCCTGGGTATCGCTATAGCCCTTTGTATAGTTCTTCGTCACCCGAAGGGCGGCTTTGCCAAAATGCTGCATCTGCGAGAACAACTTCGTCGATGACTTTTGTGCTGAGGTTGGTGGTCGAGCGAGATGCGATGTCGTTGCCGAAAGGAGACACCCGAACAGCCTTTTGGGAACTTTCCGAGCGGCGCTTAATTGACGACCGAAAAGCAACTTACGTAACCATCCACGTTGTTCGCCCTTGGCGTTGTCAATCTCGCCTGTTTGTCAAAGTCACACAACGGGAATGGCCTCGTTCATTTCTATTGTTGAATCGCTGAGATCTTGCACGCAGAGGTACCGAAAAGGTTTTAAACTATTTAGTCGACATCCCGTGGCTAATTACCGATAAATCGACATCATGTACTCGAGTATGTACCTGATCTACTGGTACCTTGTCCCTAAATCGTTCCCTCTACATACGTCCTCCTACACACTGGGCTCCATTACAACCCACCTACATTCCCCCCAGGAAGTCTCTCATACCTAAACCCCATCAACATCGACCCCTTCTTGAACAACCTATTCCTAGGTTTATCAAGCTTCACAACATCCGACGCCTCCGTCTGCGTTGCAGTTCCTCCACCAAGTGGCATGGCACGACCACCACCACTACTCCCTCGAGGATCAGGCAACGGCCCATCAATATCCACTTCGTCACCCTGCAACCCACCTTCGCCTTCCACAACACGCACGCCCCTCAACCCCTCCAGCGTCCTAACCAACCCCAGCGGCGGCGAAAAACACAACTCCCCCTCCAACGGCGGGCTCATAATCTGCGCCGGACTGAGGGGCAGAAACGACACCCTCACTTGCGACTCTGATCCATGCACCGGCGTCGCAAAGTTCGTATGAAGTATCGGCGAATGGATGTCAAGCGAATGCCGGACGGGGTTGGGCGTATTGGGGTTCGAACGGATCGGCGTATTGGGATTCGAACGGATCGGAGTGTGCACAATCGAGTTCAGAGGCGAGGTCAAAGGCGACTCTTCAACAATCTTGAACCCACTCTCCGGACTCCACGCCCTCGAATACCTCTCACTCTCACCCACATCCGATTCTTCCCCACCAACTTCCCCACCCCCACCCCCACGCCGATAAAACCCACTCGAAAACTCCCTCGTCCTCTTCGCCAACCCACTAGAAACAGCCATCAACGACGAGGCACCAAACCCAAGCCGCCTCTTCTTCGCTCCCTCCTCGATCCAGGCCTCCGAGGAACGCGAGGAGGTGCGTCGGCTAGCCAGCGGCGGCGGTGAGATTGGGGGCGGAAGAGGGACAGGGCCCTCGTCGCGCAATGTAACACCGCGTCTTCGGCTTCCTCTCCTACTACCTTTATTCCTACTCCCCCCTCCACCCTTTCCCCGACCTCTATCATCCCCCTCCAACCCCTGGTTCACAAACACACTCCCAGCAACAGCCCTCAACGAATCCATCCAATTCTTCTCATGCTGCACTTGGTCCATAATCCCGCGCTTAATACTCTCATGGCGGAGTGTTTCCCATGGGACATCCGAGTCCGAGTCAGAGTCAGAATCAGGATGGTCCGAGTCGTCAGACGGTGAATGTTCTTCATCATCCGAGTGGGCAGAATTATGGTTCGTGTGGTAGCCAGTTTCCGCTCCATCGCGTCGATGACCGATGGGCCTTTCATCCGCGTATCCCCTCTCCTCTGCATATCTCTTCCCCATCCTATCGTCCTCTCCATCATCGCCTTCGTCGTGCGGACGACGTCCATCAGGTCCAAGCCCAAGCGCCACCAACGAAATCTTCGAACTATGCGTGAACATCCCAGGTTGCAACCCAGTCCCCGCATCCACCCCCATCTCCATCCGCTGATGGATCGACATCGTCGGACTCTTCCACTGGTGGGCTATCCCACCTCCTCCATAACCTCCACCAGCACCGGCACCGTGTCCACCACCACCACCATCGTCATCACTGTACCCAGCGCCAGCTTTTTGCGAAGCCAAGATATGATTATGATACACCACACCCCCTCCAGCTCCCACATACGGACTCCTCGCGCCCACAAAGAACCGATTCAACCTCGGATCGTCGCTCCAACTCGGTTCTGCTATAACAGGTGAATAGAAATGGGTGTTGCTTTCCCCTCCTCCCCCACCTTCTCTATCATCATCCCCGCCTTCCCCATACACCCCTCGTCTGAACCCCTCTCCTCCTCCTTTCTCCACATCCCTCCCTCCCCCACCACCCCCATCACCCCCATCATACCGCGGTCCAAACACCCCATCCCCGCCTCGTCGCTCATGTTTACGTTTATGTTTATGCCTCCGCGCACAACACCCCTGTACAGCCCAAATAACGAGTATGAGCAGTATCACAACCGCAATCACCATCGCCGGTATAAAGTAGACCAGCCGGAGGTGCGGCGACGGGGTAGACGAGGACGCTTGGATCGACGACGGGGATACACCCGAGGACGGGGACGGATTGTGAGATTGTGAATTGTCGAATCCAGAACTCGATGATCCGTCAAAACTAGATGAAGCAGATGGCGAAGACCTATCGCTATCGGTGGGTGAAGTCGCATTGGGATCGCCGCTGGGTAAACCAAGACTCGTAGTCGAGCCATTTAATGTGTTAACGTTGTTATTGGGATCCGTGTCACCGGATGGTTGGGATGGGGGGAGGAAGGGTGATATGTCGGATATAGTGGGTACTGGGAGAGGGACGGGTGCGAGTGGGGTGTATGTGGGTGTCTGTTGTGGTTGTAGTTGTGGTTGTGGTTGTGGGATATCTCCCCTTGGTGCAACTCTGGCACCACCACTGGGATATAAATACTTTCCTCCCATGGTTTGTGTTTCGGTACGGTTTTATTGGATGTGGAATGGAATAGCGATGATGTTGCCGTCAAGGATATCGAGGATGGTGTCGAGGATGAGAATATAACTGTTGAGAATGACAACGACGAAGGTGATCAGAGAATCTCGTGTTCAGGAGGGATAACCAAGAACCCAACCCGACTCTCAACTCCGAGCGCGCTAAGATCGTGTACCGGAGCGTCAAACGAAAGTCCAGCAGCGATGTATGTCGAGCGTCTGATAAGATGCGTCGAAGGCGAGTACGAGGCGCTCGTAACCCCCGATTTGCGGGTCTTGCGCCAAAAGGTCGTTGGGCGAACTGTATCCATAGGGCGAGAAAATCAATTAGCCATCCATCAATGCAGCATCGATATCTATCCAGTCGTGTCTTGTCTTGTCTTGTCTTGTCTTGTCTTGACTTGACTGGAGATAGAAAGGAGAGACTCACATAAAGGAGGTGGAGGTCGCAAGAGCTCGCCTACTCCCCCGGTGGAAGGGAACCTGGTGCTAAGCGCAGACGCCGAACGCGGAGGCGGAAGAGACCTCGTAAACTCAATCTCCAGACTCTGCGTCCAATGTTTCTCCGCGCCGTCTTCCTCGTATCGGCCCTGTCCCAACCCGATTCCTTGATCGTCTCGGTGATACTGCTGCTGATGCTGCTGATACTGATACTGCTGCTGGTGCCCACCAAAGTCCTGAGGAGGTGGTGGTTTAGGTCGGCCGCCGGGGGGCGCGCTCTGGGAACGTGTAGGGCGGTGTTTGGGCCGCGGGCGGGGCGATTTCCAGGTGTTGATGGGGGGTGAGAGGAGAGAGGTGTCGTAGCGCGGTGTGCGAGACCTGCTGGGTCTCGTTCCCCTCCCATTGCCAGACGTGTTAGACGTCTCATTGCCATCATCCCCTGTACCACTTGCGCCGCCGTTTTGGGTAGCAGTAACCCCTGTGGGAGTGGGAATGCGATTGGGGGTGGGGCTGGGAGATCGAGGAGTGGTAGTGGTGGTAGTGCCGCCAGAAGGACGGCCGTTTGAGGCGGATTTGGAAGATGCCTGGGAGGGTGCAGAGTCGGATTCGAGTGTGACCATGATCGCGCGGTTGAGCTGCGACGTGCGCCGTCCAAAGAGGCCTTTGGTTTTTGGGTAGAGAGGTGTGGGCGAGACGAGTACTGTCAGGTCTGTCATCCTTCTCGATACTAGTCTTCAAGGTCGCCAAGTAGTCCTGTAGATGTGCTATAGTGGTGCAGGTAGAGAGTAGAGTTGCAGATAGAAATGTGTGTGTAGGTTGGTAGGACAAAGGCGATAAAGCAAGAAGAAAAGACAAGGATAGCTTGAATAGGGAATGGACGTGGGACCTGGGCGTTGCTGTTGTTGTTGTGGGCGGAGGCCACGACGGCGAACGCTGAGCTTGTCACAAGTTGCGCTTGGCCAGCCTGGGATTTTTGATCGCTTTGATTGCCGAGCTTTTTTTGCGCCGCGTCGGTGCGGATGGATTTGTCCACCGATTTGGCAATTCCCCTATGTATGGCTCTGCAAGCCACGCGAGGCTCACGCGAGCGAGGGCGCCGCACGTCGATGTGGAATCCGAATCTTATCTAGGGACTTGCATCGGCAATCTCAGTGTAAGAATTGAATGGGATGTGGAGAAGTATGGGAATGGATCTGCCAACTATCGCCTTGACTTTCATTCCACGCTATCGCAATCTGTTCCAGCACTTTCTCAAGATCCATGGCCTCCCTCCAACCTTGGGTTAATTTAGTGAGTATGAACGTAGGATGGCACAAAATGCCAAGGAGTCATACTAGTCTCAGAGGACCCGCGATTCTTCGTCTCTCCACAACCCACCATGTGTCAACCGTGTGTCAATTCCCTGTCCTTGCCGTTGGGCGCTAAGCACTAACGAATCAGCCAAGACCCACTTTCTACCGTGAAATGCATTCCAACTGGACTTCATAGCGATGCCTCGACATCAGGGTTTTGGACAGAGCAAAGAAAAGAGAAACTCGATAACGATAAGTAACTATACAACAAGGACGGTCCGTTGCGGTTCAATGAGTACTACGATACGATACGATACATAAATAAGACTTTTGGGGTGTCCGAAACGAGACGAGTCTGTGCGAGAGGGGACGAGAGAATGGCTGGGAAGGGAAAAGAAATGGAAGAGGAAGAGTCACGCGCGGAAGAGGAAGCAGCTCACAGCCAACGTCAACGATCCCCCTTCAAGGAAAGTGCCATTGACATATAGCTGTGCGGAGGGAAACCCGAGGGAACGTGGCAGGCTGGTCGGTTATGTATTGATTTCTTGGCTCTTGGGGCTCTCGACAGCAGACGTGGCGGATATATCCCAGTTGACATCGGAGAGGGTGGTGTAATGGAACAGGATGCAAGAGGACTGGCCTCATATCGGACAAGAACATGGTGAAGGGAATGCGACTCGGTTCGTCGGAGGGAATGCTGTCGTTGCAATTGAGTGGATGGAGCCATATCGTTCTCTCGTCCAGCGCATCCTTGAATCTATGAATCAACCTTCTTCTTGCCCCAAAGCTTGCGTCTCCTCCTCTCTTCAGCGCTCGCGCTCGAATCGGAGCGGAGGATAGAAGCGGGTGTTGAGATCGTCCCGTCTGCCCGTCGTACGGAGGATGCTTCAACCAGGTTGACGATCCCTCTGTTGGCAGTTGGCGGTCGGCGGTTAGTGGTTAGTGGTTAGTGGTTCGTGGTTCGTGGTTGGTGGTTGGTGGTTGGTGGGAGCAACAATACGCATAAACTTCGTCAGCTACAAGCGCACTCAAGGAATAACGAGCGAGACGCACCGTTGCGTAGCATCCAAGTAGTCCTGACGATCAAAGTGTTTCGAGGTCTTGAGCGAGACACCGCTCGATGATACGTCCAATCCTCGTTCTTTCAAGCTATCGTTCCATCCCAACGACCCCACGAGCAAACACACGAATAGGCGAGCAACGAACACAACACCGCGCATAAACAGACAAACAGTCAGCCCTCACCAACACCCAAAAATAAAGAAGAACGCACCTCGCTTTCGTACTCTCCACACCCTGGTTAACAGCCTTGACAACATAGAGGATACCGTACACCACAGTGCCGATCACTCCAACAGTCTACAAAATCGCGAAAGAGAGGCGCGTAGGGTTCGAAGATGTGGTTAGCATGCATTCCACCACCATTCCGAGCGCTCGTTTAAACACCGAAACCCCAAACGACGAGGTCGAAATTGCAGAGATAGGTATAGAGGCGGGTACCCACAAGGACAAAGGAGAAAACGTCGAGTCTATCATAAGAAGGAGTGAGCAAATCATTCAACTGAGTGAGGCAAACTCGAAGCTCGAAGCTCGCGGGCTCAGGAAGATATGGACACTAGGATTGGGTACTTACAATCCGGCCATCTTGAATGATGTTCCTGATTGATGATTTACAACCGAGGTTCTTGTTGTGTTGAGAACGAGTCGAAGTCGAAGAGACGACAAAAAGACAAGAGTGAGGATGAAGAAAACTGTAACAAGTGTAACCCAGGTCCTTAAATCGTTACCCACCACCCCAAAAAATCCCAAACCGTTTCACACAAACAGTTTAAGCGGAACGCAAAACCCAAAACGCAGCCGCAAAAAATGCAACTGGAATGCAAAGAAAAGGGTAAGGATGAAACGGGGAACGGAAAACGGAGAGCGGGGGTGTGTCGAAGTTCAAACGTTCAAGTTGAACTCGGTGAAGGTCCTGGTTTGATTGAAGGGGCGTGTGCACGCGCCTTGAATAAATAAATCCTCCGGCCGACGTCAGAGGGGTATGGCAGTGCTGTGGCTGTGGTGGAATCAGCACAGCCATTGGCATCAGGGCGCGCGGGCATCAGCATCAGGGGCTTGGCGCGCTTTTGCGCCCTTGAGCGCGTCTACGCCCTGGTGACGGCCGTTGGACGCCGTTGGAGGGTGTCGCCGAGTGTGCACTGTGAGAGAGACTGGGTGAGGAAGTAGAGGTGCGTCAAGAGATTACAAGAGGCATGGGCATCACTGCCATTCAACACAGTCCTTCCATTCAGTGATTCACATCTGATCCCTCCGCGAGCGCCCCGTGTATTTTACACACAGGTGGAGCCGAGCTCTCTAACCAGTGCTCAAGTGTACTTAGACCCCATGCTTCAGCGCTGTTTTATACTCGGAAAGAATCAAACCAGCTCCACCTCGGGGTGGTATGGAAACGCTGGAACCTGGAATGGGTGTTTGAATTGTGGGGGCAGTACTTACTTATAAGAAAAGCTCGAGAACCGAGCGCTACTCATTTTCAGACTTTGACATCGATGTAAGTTAACTTGAATGTAAGAGGAGAGGCGTACATCTCCTCTTCTCGCCCGTCCAAAGTCACCTTCGTCCCAGGACCAAGATACTACATAGCCTGATCGGGTTGACCATCCCAGGAAACTTATCTTGTATTCGTGGCAGACCGGATGAGGTCCCAAAAAACTATCGAGTTCCCTCAGTCCTACGAACCTTGAAGTTGTTTCCTCAAGCCGAAGCGAGGCCTTCGAGAAATTCCGCGCCCAGGGCCATGATGTCGATGATGATCGATGATCATCCGGTACCGAAGTCATACCGTATGCCAATTAAGGGTCTCAGTTCGACCAGTGGCAGTGGCAGTTACTATCACTGTGAGGCAGCATACGGTTCTGAGGGAGGCGATGATAAAGTAGATATACCTGGCTTCTACAGGGGTATTCATAGGCGAAACGTTCAGGGGCACCTTCTGATCATTGGAATGTCCGAAGAGCCACCTGAAGCACTGTGCCTCTTTACTCATTTAAAGGTCCTGGAGAGGACTCTAGTGGCCGGAAACACAGGGCGTTACATTGCTTAGGCTTGCCAGTCAGGTCCACAAACCCCCTGAAAGGCAAGGGAGAAACGATTAGATTAGACTAGATTAGATTAGATGCAGACCGATACAGACTGACAGCCGCGTAGATGTGCTGTAGGTGAGGCACCTTGATCATCACGATTATCCACCCCACACTCTGCTACTTATGTAGCCTCTTTCTAGGGGTTCCTGCACTGCAACAACAATTGTCATCAAACGCTCCGTCTCAGACGGAGGATCGAAGTTGACACTTCATTCCGAAGGCGATTAGCACATCCCATTTGCACTTTGAAAAGCCTCCTTGTAGATGCCTTCTTGATAGATCTAACCGATTTCATTAAGACTCTGATCTAAATAGCCTTTTCTAATCACAACACGTACTTGACTTTCTATTAATATTTACGAGCGTATGCGAGGCGATGTAGCTCGATGGTGGCGCTCCTCCCCTCTCCGACCGGGGGGGATTCACAATAGACTAAACCTTCTACGACATGTTGAAGCTGATCACAGGAGTGATGGTAGACGTCTGGTCGAAACATGAGCGATGAGCGCTGGATATATATGGGGAAGGCTGGTAGAGGGTTCAGTTGGACCTTTCCCCCCACCGAGCCCTCGCTGTACCTCTCCTAACCATGGCCTCCCTCGAAGAAAAATGGCAGCTACTCCTCAACTATCTGAACACAACTCAAATCGCACACTATTCGAAAGGTGGGATAAATACCGGAACCTCATTCTCTTATCACCGCCTACGAGATAACGCCGATCTAAACATACAGTCGCTGCCCTAACCTTCGTCATCTGTGATATTTGCCGAACCCTCGAGATCGAGGTAAGTGAAGTCTTCCCGCCTATCTCCTTGGGATCGTCGCTTACTCGGACTAGGTCAAATATCTTTGGACGTGAGGATCTTTGTTTTACCCCGCCCCGAGCTCCCTGCTGATCGTCGCCTGCGTTTTGACCAGTGGGAAATGGAAGCTGGGCCGGATCGCCTATATGATAGCGCGGTACTGGGCGGTGTTTTATCTCATGTGGGCATAGCATTCATTTGTGTGGCTTGGTGCTTGATTCGATAGCTGACGCTGACCCGCTGCGTCTTTACAGAGTGTTCATCATAGGTATGCATCCCGAGTTGAACAAGCGCCCGTTGTCGATGTTGACGTGATGCTCGTTCCAGTGGGGACTAAGCCACGGAAGGTCGAGGTAAGCGTCACGTTCTTTTCCCTGCATTTGCGCACGTCGCTTACTCCGTTGATTGTAGTTGTAAGTCATCTGCCACTACTACTCAAGATCCACCGCGCTCATATAGTGGGATTCCAGCTGCCGGAAATACTCAGCCTTTGCATATTAGTACGTCTAGTCTTCACTCCTCTCCCATACAACTACTGACGCATTTGTCTGTTAGTGGCGGATACATCGTCTACTCCACAGTGGGCAATGTCATCTCGATCCTGCGTGTTACGGCGCTATACAATCGCAGTATGATAAGTACGTGAATCTCGACTTGGAGGGCGAGACCACATCGTTGATCGCTCAATCTGGGAATTGACAGTCATGTGGTTCTTTACGATATTGGCATGCAGTAAGTTTAATCCAGACAAGGAAGTTGTCGTGAAGCTAACAGGATGGATGGTCGATGCTTTTCAGTCGAATTTGCTGTACGTTTCTCGTTCTGTGACTATACCTCCTCACGAGGTCTAACGCTCGTCAATTCAGCTCGAATTCTACGCAACGTGGAGAATCCTAGACTACCTCCACAAAGGAGCATTCAATCCACCTTTTCCGTTTATGACGGGGTGTCACACCAACGCTGCCGGGTCAAACTTTCTCAATATCACCCTCATGGCATGGTACGTCTGACATTCCGCTCCCATACTTGTTCTATAAATTTAACGCTTTCCCCTTTCTTTAGGGTAACGTGGACTGTGGTTGCATGTGAGTCGAGTTTCATTGCCCATTCTATGAGTATTGACCTCTCCTCCTTGCAGTCCTGTTCTTCGTCTTCACCCTGGCCCAATTCCGGAGATCAGTCGCTCTCACTACGCCAGACGGTAAAAAGGAGAGCCTGTGGAAACTTCTTGCTGATAAGAATAACTATCCCTCTCTGATGACGATCGTCGTACGCGATGGGTCGTTGCATTTCTTCATGTGAGTGGTACCCTTTGAGCTTCAAGTTGCAGGTTAACTGGAGTGCTGACGCCTTTCGCAGAATCCTGGGTATGTCCTTGGCCCAAGTCCCATAAGTAGGAAAGGATATAAGTTCTGACGGCACTGTTAGTGGCTATGGTCGTCCAAATGGCGACGGTTATCTATCGAGGCGGATACTACTTCCCTCTTATGCAACCGTTAGTCCTCATCTCCCCTCTTATACCTTTCCCATTCGCTAACCAAGTCCACTCCAGATGGAATCACGTAGTCTTCTCATGCACGGTACGGCAGTCCCTCTTACACCGTTCAATCGTTTACTGATCTCATTTGTTCCTCTACTCGCAGTGTTCGAGATTGATCCTCAACTTGTACGCTTTCGGAGGAGAGGGAAAGCCTACGATGCTACATACAGTCGGGAAGTCTCGGTCTTTCATACACTTTCCCAAACCTGGGGAGGATATTGAGATGCACAGTGGATCTTCTAGGGGCGCATATTACAGTGACAATACTGCAGTCACGGTCTCTTCGTATCGATCCTAGGCGGTGGAGATATCGAATACTGGATATGCTACTATAGTATGTACCGTGCGGGCTCGTTAGGTATTGTTAATTTATGCAGAGCATGTTCTCTTTGACTTATCATTTTCGATGCTCCCCTACCTTCAGTTTAAACATTCAAAAGTGCGTGGTGGCTGCCACCGGTCCGCTTGGGTCGGATTGAAACCCAACTTTAGGGATAAATGTACCATATTGGACCAATCGCGAATTACGAGCTTCTGCAGGACAGCTTACTTCTGCAGCCTAATGGTTTCGAACACCTCGTCCATCTGCTCTTTAACTGGAACTAATTCTCCAACGGCCTCTCACTATCACTATCTCATCACAACCAGTCTTCGCTTTTTACCGAGTTATACAGGTCCGACTCCCTGGCGTGGATAGTAACTCGAACTTGGCCTGGAGAAACCTCCTTCCTGGAGCACCTGGGCTTTAAGTAAGTACGCGAGATGTCTCTCGAAGCTCTATTTTCTCTTCTGGACTTTGGAACTTGCGGACTTCTACAGTGACTCGGATAGAAAACCTTTACCGCTTCAGGGACATCAACCCGACGCGATTACGCACATTCCATTCTTCTCGGTACACTTCACTATTCTCTCTGTGATGGTTTTCACGATTCAGCATTGAAGTGTGTTCTGAGGGAGGCTGTGGTTTACGCAGTGTTTTTGCATGGGGACCGTGGGAACCTTGTCCTAGAACAACTTCAGCGTTCACGCTCGCCGTTCCGGGGTTGAACATCAACCTCCACCATCTGTTCCGAACATCATGTCAATGAGCGATTATCTATACTATTGCGACGATGATCTTCGTCGAGCACTTCTCGTTCGCAATTATGAGATGACAATGATCGCGGTTCAACAGTAAGTTCGAATTCATCGCGTCCAATTCCCACTTCGCTCACATCTCGTTTCTGCTATCTTTTCGCTTCTCCAAAACAGAATCGCTGAGGATTTTACCTCGGACGAGGACGAATATAGCAGTGAAGATGAATATAGTGATACTGGTACCTCGCAGATCGAGGCCTCCAAGACGCAGGGATGCTTGGTAAGTGGCATTGGTCTGCCACAGTTACTATCAGAAACACTGACCCAATGAGTTTATAGCTTGATGACGCCTCTTTTCAGGCGCGGAAGGAGGATAAGATAAATCATCTGCTCCCCTCTGATGGGGAGCCCGCTGAAATCAGCGTTTTCCAAACAGAGAGACCTCTCAATGACGGATGTGAGAACAAGCACGCGTGAGTTCCCTGTCCCTCTCCGGTGCATACATCCAGTGTCTAACGTATGCCACGAATGTCTTTCTACAATAGGACCATCTCTGTATCCGACTCAGATCCACCTGAGAATCACGACGTCTCCAGTGACGGCGATTCCAAGGTCCAGTACCGCGTCATGTAAGTTCACTTTGCCTGCTCCCAATTGCGGTGTCTTGACTGTAGCCACTTGCAGAAATTCCGCCAGGGTTGTCACCGACGGCACGTCAGACGACGCTAAAAAAGACGAAATTGACTTCCGGGTGGAAATCAAAGTGGCTACTGACACGAATACTCTCTCCGAGGCCAGAGAGGGAAAGCGCAAAGCTGTGTTCGAAGATGGTGATGCAAAGGTCCCGTCGGATACCACCATTCCCAGCAAGCGCCTTCGTACGGCTGGGAAGGAGAACGACGGCTCTTCGACTACTCCCCAGTAGCCCTCGTTTAGCTATGGTAATGACCACCGGCGCCTGGTACTCGGGCACCCACGTTCCCTGCTATCTCTTGCATCTACTTCGCTTTCGTCACACCAAGGATTTCTGTACTACTCACCTACCCACATGCTGTAATATACCACAAGTCTGTACTCAACACTCCAATGGACCTTTTTAGTAACGTGCAGTTTGAGTGGGCCCTGAGATGAGCGGCCTGCGTAGTTCTCAGAAGCACTGTGATCCTTGTCGCTGAGGAACTTTCGTGTTACATAATCAGTCTTAGGAGGCCGGGCAGCCAAGGCCCATTTGTAAACTTGTCATCGTCCGCGATATGACGGTGGAAGGCGAAGGTGAACGAAGGGAAGGGAGAGCTGGGTTGGTTATCCGAATGGACTGTGCTGCTGCTGAGGCCGTCGTTGGAAGCTCGCATGAGTGTCTCAAGCACTCACCTGCTTTCTTACCTCTTCTAAGTATGTACATTTCACTCAGAGGGCGACATAGCGTCTGTTGGCAGGGCTCGTGGCAGAAAGACGGCCTCCTGTTAACCCAGTTACGCCTTAGGCCTTCGGGGCGACACTAGAGTGCCAAATCCGAGTCGGCGAAGATGCTAATTCGGGCAATCCAAGGTCGAAGCCATCAGCCAGTCACGCGGCTGTGTGAGCGTGGCAATTTGGATTTTGAGTTGATTTCTTTCATTCATCGTTGTTTTCCCCGATGAACTGCTTTTTTGCCATATCTCTGCTTCAAAACTTCTCCGAAACCGCTGTTCTTCGCCACTATGGACCCTCGAACCACGACAGAACGGAAGAGATAGACCGACCAGGCATGGGACTTGAGAACAGCAACAACGGCTATTGTACACGCAAATCCTGGCTGGATGTTCTTCTTAGATCTCTGTTCGCCGAAGTGTTCACTTGAGCGCAATTCTCCTTGACAGTACTCGCATCAACGTGGAAAATTCGCACCAGCCAGTGACGCGGTTGTCGATGCGGAGGGCACCGCGTGCGGCGGCGTGCCAACCAGTTTTACCCGACAGCCGATATGTTCATCGCTCTTGGAATGGGCTTCCTGGCCATTCAACCGCCCAAAGGTCTTACTTTTTTTGGATGACGAGATATAGCTACTGTGCGTAAATGTGTTCCCGCCTGGCTGAAAAATTGACTGATACCCACCTTTTCTCTCCCAGTGAACAGTCTTGCGTCTGCTAAGGTTTCTTCTCGTCGCCGCTCAGGCAGTGCCCGACGAATGCGATGTGTATGTTCTTGGCTTGGTCGGGTCGATCCCGGAGCGATATCTACGATACCTCGTTACTTTGATTGGATCGACGCTGGCCAGGCTCTGAATGATACTCGTTGACTTGGAGATGTGACCGTTCTTCCAGATTCCCTGCAATTCATGAAAGGTACGTTCAGTGAGCTTTGGATTGAGTTGAGAAAGAAGGTACGGACATATATTGGTGATCATGATGAGCGAACTTTGATCAGGCTGACGGTAGGTGTTTCCCTTGCTGGGAGCTTTCTGAATTCAACCGAGTATCGACGATAGGAGCTGGCTTCTTGCTTACCCGAGGTCGAGGCCGGATGGTATGCTCAAGTTGGACGCTCCAGTTCGTGAACCGTGATAAAAGGCGGAGATGGGTGAGTTGTTCTTCAAGTCGAGACCCTTCGTTGCTCACCTAACGCAACCCCAGATCGACCCCGGTGGCTGTGCTGCATTGGACGAGCATGCTTGGATCGAGACCAAAGGACCTCCAGGTCGAGTTATCGACTTGGGTACATTGGTGCACTCGTAGCCATTCCGTTCTACCCTTGGAATGAAATGAAATTTATTTGTCCAAAATTGGCGGCGAAGACGCTGGATTTGCCTTGCATTAATTGCGATGCCACAGGAGATAGTAGATGCGGGAGGCTACTCTATATCTCGTCGCATCTCCAGCGACAATTCTTCGAAGCCTCAAAGGTGCGGACTCACTCTAGAGCATTCTTCTTCGGGCGTTATTAATTCCTGACTTTTTTGATTCCTTTGCGCTTTTCTCCTCTCGCTTGCCAATGCAGTGTTGCAGGATTCCCGACGCTTATCGTACGTGGCTGCGATGAGAGGAACGCGTATACACGGCGACTTTATCTATCACACCCACCAGCGACGTATGATGGACGCGAAGCGATGGGCATGTTGATACGGTCGACGAATTTAGAGATTGGAATTTGGGGACCATTGTCTTCGCGGATGTTGGTGTGCGGACGGGGTGGCCTCGGCGACCTTTCCTAGGTGAGTGAAATTATGGGCTTTGACGACGTGAATAATCTGTTGACATTGTCTGCCTACAGCGGTGGTCCAAACACGCCGAATACGGGAAGGGGGAGCGATCAAAAATCTGGGTGGGAATTTCGTGACTTCGCCCTTTAAACCTCGCGCGCCGCGTGTTAAAGTTCTTCACGCTCTTTCATCTCTTTCACTCCATCCTCGCATATCCTTCTCGCTCTATCCTGCACCCTATCCGATCCTGGTTGATCAAAATGGCTTACAACAATGACTTGTTCAATGGCGGCAACGGGTGCGTTCGATTTCCTAGATTTTGTGTAATCGGCGAACCCGTTGCTGACTTTGATCGATTTTCCGTGCTTCTTCCCTTCCACTTCCCTCCTCACCCCTCTGTCGCTCATACTTCTGCTATCCCCCACTTCTCACCAGCTTTCCCAACACTCAGAATGGGTTCAACCTCCAAAATATGAGGTGGGTTTTCGTTCGTTTACCTTCATTCGCTCGTGCCACAGAGACGCGTCGTTTTTTTTAACGCGCGACTCATCTCCGCTGTTGTCTCTCTTACTCTCCGTTTGAACTCCAGCCTGACCAAAGTCAACAGCTCCCCGGTGGTCCCTGGTCCGATGTTTTCAGCAGGGCCACAAATTCCTGAAGGACCTCAGTTCTCGAGGGCAGCCCAAGTGCTCCCGGGCACTCACCCCCACTTCCTGCCCCGCCCACCCGTTTTCAGTGTTGCCGCACAACAACACGTTACTCCGTCTTCGACTTTGGCCGCTGGCTCGGCACTACCGTCAGTCACCCTTCCGCTTTGATTTTCGGGCCATCGCTGATGCCGATGCCTACTCCTAGACCACTTTTGCCTTACAATCTCGGGCCACGGCAACCGCCGTTCTCTGGTTACGCGCACCTGTAAGTAGCCCAGATACTGACATTCTCGTTCCTTGAAAATACTAATGACTTTCAAAGGAGCCAGCCAGGGAGTTTGGCTTGCGCCACTCCGCCGCTGCCGAGCAGCGATTTCCTTCGCTTGCAAAAGCGATATAGGGGGCTGGTTTCGGCCTTCAGAGACTCAGACACACGTCTAGAGTCCTCGTCTATCCCCACGGCTGCTGGATCAGCCCAATCGTAAGTGTTTGGTTTAACTTTCCGGGGGAGGATTTATATTGATGTTTGCAATGCCAGGGCATTGACACCGATGTATAATAGCGACACTTCCGTACGCCGATTCCACGGCGCTGGCCAACCACTCCAAACTCCGGGGACACAGTGGAACGCTAGTGCGTCACGGCAGGCCTCTGCGGTCTCTTACTCGAGCGGTAGAATGGTCGACCACGGTACTGTGGTACAGGGGAGCTCAAAGAACCCTGCGTGGCTGCCCCAAGAAGACGGGTGTGTGCATTAATACGCTCCCCTTGTTTCGATTCGGTACTGAGAACATGTCGTAGGGATTGCAGTGCGCCTGCCTCCAAGCGGAAGAGGAGCACCAACGCCCCAGTGGTCGTCGAAGACGGACAAGGCGACATTTTCCGTCACTTTGAGGACTCGAAACAGGAGGTGAAGAAGAGGGGGAAGAATGTCCCCCAAGCTATGAAAGAGCGGGGAAGCTTCCAGGGAACGGAAGTCCCGTGTACGTGGAACGCGGCGGACCCAAACCAGCCTAAATGTCGCTTCGCCACATCTAACCCTGGAGATATGTGGCCACACATCCGCGAGGCGCATCAGGACACGATTCAGTATCTGACGAGGGACGGCCAACCCTTGGACATTCCTCCTGGTCAGAAGCCGTCAGATCAGACCAACGTCCGCTGTCTTATCGCTCACCCAACGAAGAGGGACAAATCTGGGAGGCGCCTGGTCTGTAACTCCACGCCGCAGGTGAAGACTATGGCTTTGAGGGTCAGGACGGGGCATATCGTTAAGCAGCATATGCTTCCGTGGATGTCACACTCGGATGCCCCCCAAAAGACGGACGGGCAACCGGGTACTGTCTCAGCGCCAACACCAGTAGCTGTTCCAACTACTGAGCCCTCGGCGCCGCTGCCTTCCGCCTCGACCCCTCCTCAGAAGGAACCGGAGCTGCCTGGTGAGACACAGCAGGATCAACCAAACGTCGTCGCCTCCTTGTTGGACGAAAATACTGCCGCGACATCCAGTGAGCCTCCGGGAGGCGAATCCCCACCTCTTGAACATGCTGTGCCTCACGAGGCAACTTCCGTGTCTGAACACAAGCCCGAGACGAATAATGATTCTCTGGCTTCCACTTCCCCAAACCAGGAGGCTCCTGTCGTCGATGACGTGGATCGATCCGAGAGGTATCAACAGGCCAAAGAATTCTTGATGACCTTTCTTCCGTATCTTCTGTTGGATTCCAATGACAATCCTCACCAGGAGGTCCCTGTCGCCGATGACCTATCAAGCAACGTGGATCGAACCGAGAGGTATCAACGTGCCGAAGCGCTCGCAAGGGCTGTTCTTCCGGCTCTGCTTCAAGAAGATCTCTTTGATTCCAATGGCAATCCTCCCGCTGGGAGTGCTTGTTCTGACGCTCCAGCCAGTTCCGATTCAGAGGACTGTAAAGAGACGCGCGATGAGAATCCCAATGATGGACTTGGATCTGTCTCCTCCTCCGAGTCGCCGAATGCTGCAAGTGGTGATGGTGAGGGCAAGTCTGGTGAGACTCAGAGTGACGGTGAGGTCGGTGAGAGCAGTGTTGAGAAGAATGATGGTGAGGGTAAAGAGCCTGAAAAGAGTTTGGCCACGCAGATGACTTCGAAGAAGCGTAAGAGGGATTAAAAACATTGTGTTGACGTCATTCAGTGGTTGCCATTTGAGTATCGTGTCTGATTAGAGTTGTTGGCGTTGCTTACATACTTCTGCATTTAACCTCATCTAATGTATCCCAGTAGTCTTGTATATTTGTTTTTCTCATCATCCGTTCCATATCGTTTGCTTTCCTGCTGTACCTACGTGTTTTATCTGTCTGTAGCCTTATATCTCTCTCTCCACCTTATCTCCAAGTATAGACTCGTGTCCACATCGCATCTCTAGTATTATCGCATAATATTACATCCTGCTTAAAACACATCTATGTCCCTGCAACCTACGAATAAAGAAAGGACTCTGAATCGGACGACCTACCCGTTGACTAATTTCGGAGTGACCATGCTCACCGTGATTATTCCGGGTTTGAAAACGAACATAAAGCAATGATTTCGATGAATGATATGTTCATCCATCTTTTGTTCGCAATCGCGAAATGACGATGCATCGCTGTCCAACATAGGTCCGAGTTCAACCTTGATCGCATCCGGCTACAGCCCTTTGCTCATATCTGTTTACACATAGTATTCGTTTTGGAAATCAGCACTGCCGAAAGTGAGACGCTCTGATGGATACCTCCAATACGCCACGAATGGCTTTCTACAACTTTTCTCACTTTGCTTCCTTCACCTAGTTTCTCATGTCTGGAATCCGAGTCGGCGAAGATGCTAGTTTGGGGCATTCAAAGTTGAAAATACCATCAGCCAGTCACGCGGTCGTCGATGCCTGCGCGTGGCATTGAACTGATTTCTTTCGTTTGCTGCTTTGTCACTGCTGCTTTCTGCGATAAGCTGCTTTTTTTTGCCTTCGCTGCTTCAATGCTTCCCAAAAACGATTTTCCTTCGGCCCTTCGACAACAAAATCATCGGCTAGGACTGCCAGCTTAACACGAAACCGCTTGATTCTGCGATACACAAGATCGTACCAGGTCTGCCTACGGCACAAGCACCACCGAAAACGCTCATTGCACACGCAAATTCTGGCCGAAAGCTTCCGATTTCTGCTTATAGGAAACATCCTTACTTGAGAACAACTCTCCTGGACGAACAGCCGTTCAGTAAGCGCAGCTGTGAGGCCCAAGGAATCGCTTTCTTGGTCCTTTAACGGCGCGCTGGTCTTGTGCTCTTGGATGGAAAGATGGAGATACGGGAGGTTGGACTACCGAGACCAGTGTGATGTCTGGTGCGTAATCTTGTTCATGGCGTATTGGAATGTAAACTGATACCTATCCACGAATTTCCCAATCTGTCTGTTCTGGTTTTCTCTCCTCGTGGCCGGTCAGGTTATGGCTGATGGGCCGCGGGCGTGAGTCTTCGCGCGTGTATGCTCATGACTTGGTCGGGTCGAACCCGGAGAGATCTCTATGATACTTCGTTACCTTGATTGGATCGACGCTGGCCAGGTTGATGAATGTTACTCTTTGACTCAGAGAACTTGCATGTCATCATGACTGTTCGTCCAAATTCCCTGCAAAAGGTATGCTTGGTTAGTTCTGGCTTGAACTGGACAAAGTGGTACGCAACACGTTAGTATTTCTGCACATCAACGCACCAGATCTCCTGGCCCCATCGGTTGACGGTTTGGCCTTAGGTTCGAGAGCAGTTAGCTACTTTCCTGGTGGCTAAAACAGGCCAGGCCAACAGGCTCCAGGCTCCATGAGTACTTCAAGAAGTCCAAGCATTTGAAATGGGAGGGTATGTATGACCGTGAAGGGTCCGAGTATCGCTCATTCAGGTTCATAAACCACCAAAAGAGGTCCAGCGCCGCGGGATTGGTGAGTCGTCACTCTCGAGATTTGATTCATTTCTCACGTAACAAATGTAGTGTCACTACGGGCCTGGATATTGCTAGCAGCCACTAGCGATCCATCTCCACCACGTTATCGCAGAGTCTATAGGTTGTTGGCACGAGGTCGCTGTACTGGAATGCTGAGTACGCCTGGAGGCGGATCGAGACCAAAGGTCCTGGCGGAATTATCGACTTGGGTACGTTAAACGGAACTGTTGTGACCGCACCTCTCCCCCCTTTGCGGAGAGTGTAATTCGATTCTCTCAAGGTCTACCTCGAGAATGCTTCGCTGTGATGCCACAGGATAGGTATGAAGACATCGCTGAGGCGACTCAACATGTCTATCCAGGCAAACAATCTGCAGAAGCCTCAGAGGTATGGGACGCACAGTAAATCTTACTACGTAGGTTGTTGCTGATTGTCGGAGTTTAGGCCCCGTTTCAGCTTCGATCATTTTGTCCTTGGTATCAAAGCGGAAAGAGTCCAAAGCGTCGTTCATGACTGTGACGGAGGGTGAGGCTGCGAAAAGCGACACAAGGGATCCTATCCCCACGATAAACGCCAGAACTGCACTCACGCAGCATTGTAAGGGATACACACTGGTGGGCGGGTTGTTATGCTTGATGACTTTAGACCATTGTCTTCACTAAAGAACTATTGTGGTTATCTACGTACATGGTTTACTGACATTATCCACCCGTAGTGTTTATTTTCACCGAGCCAAACGCGCCGATTTCGGACGACACAACTTTCAGAGCGATCAAAGTTTTGGTACGACCCCGTGACTTGACCCTTTGTCAACCTCGCGCGCCGCGCGTTGAGGCTCTTCACGCTCTTCCCTCTCTCCCACATCCTCCTCACATATTCCATCTCGTTCTCCTGACAGTTTTCTTAATCCAAGCCTATCAACATGTCCTACAACAATAGCGGCCTCAACTTTCATAACAGGTGAGTTTGATCTTCATAGATTTGCGTAATCGGCGAACTTGTTTCTGACTTCGCTTCAACTGGCGCCTTTCATTCCCTCGCCATCCTTCCACCTTTCATCTTGCAGCTACTCGACACCGTCCACAAGTAATTTCACCTACGATAGAATAACTACAGGGGACAATTTCAGGTAGGTTCTTGTTTCTTGAAATTCTTTCGCTATTGCCACAATTTCGCGACAAGTCGCGACACGCTCGTCCTCGGACGCACGCGTCGTCCCCGACTGTCTACCTCTCATGTCTCGTCTGAATAGAAGGCTGACGACGCGACAGATACTACCACTTCTCCAACGATTCTCGTAACGGAATTCAAGGGTAAGTTATGGAAATTTGATCCTTTTGGGTCTCAATGCCACCGACACTAACACACTTTTCCCCCCTTAACTAGGCAACTAACAAATGCGATTCCCTTTCCATCAATTGCCTCTGGCTCAGCGCAGGTCGCAGAGTAAGTCGTTTATTTACCTGCCTGCTGTTGCTATCACAGTTCGCACAGTTCGGGATATACTGACAATTAAACCAGGCCACAAATTCCCAACCAGTCTCAGGACGGGCAGTGGAATGCGCACCAATTGCAGGCGACACAGTCTTACTCGTCGTCTACAACAGCAATGAGCAAAGGTGCGGCTGCTCACCCACAAAGTGATTCGTAAGTCCATGGCGGCCACGGCATTTTGTTTCTTTCCAGAAATACTGAATATCTCTGATAGGGAGGATGACCACCGCGGAAAGCGACCCAGGCTTGACGGCCTTGTCAGCACCAGTGATCGATTTCTCAACGAGACCATAGCCTCGTATCAGTATGATAAACCCGTTAAAACCCGGGGGGAAAATCCCTCCCGTGCCATGAAGGACCCGGGTAGTTTCCGAGGGACGAAGATGCCCTGCACATGGAATGCAGCGGACCCCACCCACGCTCCCTGTGAGTTTGAGGACATCCCTGGAACAATGTGGAAACACATTATGACAGAGCACTACGACACCCTTCGTTTCGTGACTGACGACGGTCGAGAGTTCACACTACTCCCTCACGAGAAGCCAACACAATTCATGAACATCATTTGTCTCATTGCCCACCCGGCCAAAAAGGACGATGCTGGACTACCTTTAGTTTGTGGCTTGGCGCGGAAGATGAAGACGATGGGATTAACGACCGAACAGGGACACGTTACAGGGCAGCACCTGATTCCTTGGTTGAAAGGTGCAGAGGCGCTCAGAGAAGCTGAAGCTAGTAAGGGGGAACCAACCCCCGGGGGTTCGAAGCTATTGGAAGAACTCCCTCCCACACTGGCACTATCCAATGCGCCAACTTCTCTGCCACTCCCCGATGTGCAAGACCCGTCTCCGTCCACTAATTTCACGCCGTCACCGACGTTCTCGGACTGGAAGACTGTCGATCATTCCCGAGAAGTTTACGCGGTCAACAATGTCTTGTCCCTACCTGTTGAGAACTCCGGTTCCTTCGGTTCTCCCGTCAACCCTCGATCTACCGCCGTTGCTCCCCTCCCGGTTGAAGCTGGAGAAGTTGAGGGAAAGTGTAGTCAGGAGAAAGACGATGCCATGCTTCAGTCATGGGCTGGTGAGACCGCCGATTGCCCGGTTGATTTTGATCTCGAGAGTTATTTTAATTCCACTTGGCAAGGGGAGGATAAGATCACCGGTGATGCGAAGCTCCGGGCGGGTGTTGTTGGCACTGACTCTCCTCCCGCAGTGAATGCTTTTTCTAACGCTGCAACCTGTTCCGAGGATTCTGAGTTTGCCTGGGACAATGCCAGCGTCGAAGGATTTGGATTTGTTCCTTTTGGTGCACGTCGCGTCGGATCCCCGGCTGCAGAAGCCATCCCCACTTGCGTGAAACCTTCCGTGTTGGATCCCTCAGGATTGCTGTTTGGTGTGAGTACCAGTACTGACAGCGTTGGTGAGAAAAGAGGTGCCGAGGTTGAAGAGCCTAAAAAGAAGTTGAAGGCCATCAAAAATACTTCCAGGAAGCGAAAGAGAGACTGAGGCTGTTTCGACGGTGCAGCTGAGTGGTGGTTTCAAGATAGCATGGTAAAAATATGCGCTTGTATATTGTCTTATCTTTTACTGGCTTTACTGCGATGTTTGATACTCGGTTTTGCCTTGTATTCCTGTCCTTCTCTATTGTCCATAACTCCTCTATTGTTGTCCTAGTCATAACTGTACTTCATCTCCATGTGTAAACTCACATACTAGTCACAGCTACTGTATTTAAACCGCCTGTAATGTCACTTAAACATTTCATCCGGGCCAAATTAGACTTGAAGCAAGCGCGGAACGCCTCGTCCTCTTCAAGGAGCAGGTGGTGGTTAGACACTTACTGTAAAAGGCTCAACTTGCAAGGTTTTCAACATAGCTTCTCAGTGCCCTGTACTCTCTTTCGCGAACCTCGAACCGATGAACTTAGGAATAGGCGCCGAGTGAGCGTGGGAATCATCACATGATTTGAACAACTTTGACAACCGCTCTGCTTTCCTTTCTTGTACTCCGCTCAGTCTTTCACCACGGCCATGACTGTGTCCCTGAGGCAATTGAGGGACATCTTTGGTGATCGAAGGAGGGCTGTTATTTTTTACAACGCTCTCAAGAAGCATCCCAAAATGGAGTTCGTCTTCCCCTGAGTTTACCGACCTCTATCTCAGTGACGCACGAACTAATCCTTACGTGAATGTCTTCGTCTTCAATCGATCTTTTCCTGTAAGTAGAGCTCTGGAAGATGCATCGAGTGCTATTAGCTCTAAATGCGCGCCCTCGAAGGAAACGGGGCCACTCCTGAGTCCTTTGGCCACAGTCCCATCGGTGTGTGGCATTTCCAGCCACGGTCTGTAGACAATCTCAACTCAATCATTTCTCATTTCAGATTCAAGAAGAAAGTTTGGATGATTACGATCCTGAGTCAGACGTCTACTCGTCCGACTCTGATGACTTCAGTGATGAGGATGGTTCCACTGATGAATCTGACGACGAGCATGTTGAGAACTGTGCCCACCGTGGTGTTGAGAATACCGAGCTCGCACGCGAAGATGAAGGCATACCTGATGGCCAGAAGATTGAAACACAGAATACCTTCCCTTGGCTAGATGACAGGAACGATCCATCCGGCCTTTCCAGCGAGGCGGTTGGCGAGATCATTGGTGAAGTGAGGCAATTCTTTGATGGGTATGTTTTGATTGGGAGACTTGCGTGATCTCGAATACTATCTAACACCTCACTGCAGAGTCTACGAACGCAAAGGAGATGCCAGAAGGACAACGAAGCCACTGGAACTTAGAGGGGAGAGTGAACAGCCTAGTTCCTGGTATGTAATCTCATTCTCTGCCCAAACATGATCGTCGACTTATGGAATAACTTTCTCCTCGGGCCCTCAGTTCTTTGAAGGAGTCGGAGGATCTTATCGATGATACTCCTCCCACAGACATGGAGAAACAAGACGACTCTGCATTTTGAAAGGCCATCTTATGATCATTGAACCGACAGCAGACCCAGGTCTGCGAGTGTATTCTTGTTTTGGACCGTTTCTCTCCTTCACCTCCGTGGCCAGTGGGCCAGTGCGTAAGACCAGGGTTGCCAGTGGCACAACGACCTCCACCAATTCTGATTCATGACGCTTGCGTAGTTAACCTCGCCACTCCAAGCGGAGGCTATTAAATATTCACGTCCATTGTTGCAGTTAAGTCTTGACCGTATCGTCATTGGAACGAAACGACGTGACTGCGGACCAAAGCCACGACCGTGCATTGACCATGCTTGAACGTAAAAACCAATTCTGGAATTACCCATCGTGTATTCAGGCTGCATTGTGTTCCGTACTGGTCACTGGTGCCGGTGTTGATAGGGAACCTGGATCGATACGAGCGGTGTGGTGTCGGTGGAAGGTGCTCTTATAAAAGGGAAAGGCGAAGTGTCTTCCGTTTATGGACCAGGTGAAGTACCTCCACAAGCCACTTGAAACACTCTCGACTCGTCAGTAGAGATATACGCAATGTCTTCGACACTCTGGCCATTTTCAACCCAGTACGACTCCAGGATTAAATGTTCGATAGCTTTCAGTCGCTCTATGGAATTGATGCCATAGGCGAAGCCCACCGGTACATACTCCTTTTCCACATCTTAGGGCGCACGCCGACAGTTGAGCGTTTTTCACCGTGTACAGAGACCCGGAATGGTTCAACTACTGCCTGAAGCCACACTACAATGCATTGGCACCATGGTACGTAGATCTTCACAACTTCTCTGTGTGCATCTGTGCTCAGGTATATTGCTCGAAATATAGCCTTGGGTTCCCAGGACTGGGTACCAGTGGACGTTCCGTTGCGGCCAGTACAGCCTCCACATCAAGCCAGCCGTTGGGCGCCAATATCCTCAGTATGCGAGGACACCTCAATGATCGGTCCTATTTGAATTCGACCACAGGGGCTTATCATCAAGGTGCTTTCGATGCACACGCTCGTGTCGAGGTCGCGTATCCGGAAGCGACAAATTCGGTGGAAATCGCAATGCCTGTTCCCTGGAAGCCTCTACGTTTCAACATTCTTGATAATATGGAGTATGATACCGAGTCCGAAACCTCAACATCTAGTAGCTCCCCGGAGTCACCAACGGAAACCACCAAGGCCTCCGACACCGATCCGGACCCTGCGAAGCTCGTTTCGCTAGCCATCGCGCCGCCAACCTTCAAATTCACCTTCAACCGTCGCTTGAGCTCGTGTACCACCTCGCACACCAACAGCACCTCGAAGCCCATCAGAAAGCCCGAACCTGTCCCAAAGAGTTCAAGGAGTTTGCCGCATTCCAAGGCGGCAGGGGGGAGATCGCGTCGGTCAATCCGAGCGTTGCGATAGAAATGACTGTAGCTCAAGCTGCGCGGTGTAGCAGTCACTTCCAAAGCAAGAATTGTAATTGGATTGCTGTCCGACGACAATGGAAGGTCTTGGGTCAAGGACAAAGTTCCTTGAATCGCAGCCCAATGTTGGCGTTGCTTGGCTAAAGCTTGTGAATTTCAAGCGTTCAGTTTTCTTGTCAGTTGACCTCAGCCGTTCATCGTCCTTCATGTCAGTGGAAGCGAGTTGAGCTCCTTTCACCGAATCGCGGAATAACTTGGGAGATACTTTGAGTCTCCGGTAATCACAAGATCTGGCCAACACCGTGCAAAGGCGGGCTGGTCTCTGCTGGTCTGGTTTAGAGGGCGTTCCGGAGCAGTTTCAAGTACCTGAAGGCCCATTTGATGAGAAACGTGGATTCCATTTGTATGTACCTTGTGATCGACCGCGCTAATGTGACTGATCACTGGCTGATGGACGATTAGCGCTGCGTTGGCACTCGACGAAGTTGGTGGTATTATGTAGTGACATGGAATGGCGGAAACTTGACCTATGGTAGACTTTTCCGCCAGATACGGACGATACTCTGGCCACAAATCTGGAATGCACAGCGTAGGCACATCGCTGCGCACTGGGTGGAGGCTTGCAAATAGCACATGGCCAGTACTGTGCGTGGGACTAAAATCCCGTTGCTTCATTCTCAACCAGTGTGTTTTGACTATCTCGGTGCCTGGAACACGCACCAAGACTGCAAAAAGTGGCCGCGCGGGAAACCGAGGATAAAGCCCAAGACTCAGTACAACCAGGACGTGAAGACGCACCACAGCGCTTAAGTTGCTGTTGAAGAGGTCAGGGAAGGTGAACAGGCGTCAATGCGGATGATCAGGGCCATCTGTGGGGTTTGCGACAGTCAGTTTCATTCAATAGGATTTCGTAATGGAAGTCGGTGAGGACCAAAGAGGACAATTTGAAACCACTTTGGGAAGCGATGATCGTGGAAGAGCGTGGAAGGTCCACCTCCGATGCACGGTTATCTGCGGGTTTTGAGTGGAGACCTGGTTGTCCTGGAGCACGTGTGCAAACCCAGGGGCGCCGTGGATGATATCATATCTGCTTTCGCTGTGTTCTGGGCCTCATGTTCGAAGTTGCGAGCATGTATATAAACGGTGACACTGAGGATCTGCTCCAAATAACCCTTGCCAACCGAGATCACAATGAAGGTGAGTACGCTTCGTCACAAGCTTGCTCACCGAGGTGCTCACAATCTCCCTTCCGGGCGCTAGGTTCTCTCTATCGCTGCTGCTGCCTTCGCATTCCTTGCTGTCGCAGGCGCCTCCCCCGTCAACCTCGAGGCCAGACAAACATGTGTCAAGCTCACTCAGAAGGAAGCCGAAGATAGGCTCAAAGCCAACGGAATCACTGCCTCCTCTTCCGGTAACTGCACCGACAGGTGAGCTCAAATACTCCCCATCACCATCGACTGAATACTCACCTTGTAAACAGGAAAAAGTCCAACTGCACCTCGTACGAGGGTATCTGCTCTCACACCGTCAACGGTGTCATCGCCTTGAAGAAGGGTGTCGGCAGGAACCTCGTCATCACCGGTGGAACTGAAACAGGCCACGCTAGTGGCACCTACTCGCACGCCAACGGGTACAAGGTCGACCTTCGACTCATCCCAGAGATCGAAGCCTACGTCAAGAAGAACTTCGAGAAGGGATCCAACCGAAATGGCGACCCTCGATGGTACTCTCCCAGCGGTAACGAGTTTGTGGTACGTCTGTCTGTCATTCAACCATCAACTATGGACTCACTCGTTCTTTGTAGAAGGAGAGCAATCACTGGGATGTCACCTTCTACCCTTAAAACGCCCCATCGGATACAGCGTAGACAGAGTTTTATTCACGTACTGAATCGTTCAGATAATCGATATATTGACCAAACCGAGCTAGGCTTCTAGAGAGAAAGCAGCAATGTGTGCCCATCTCCCTTCCCAAGAGCGATTCGACCTGTGGCTTCGTCATAGTCAAGACAAGTCCAATCTTGCAGGTCTTGATTAGACATAAGCATGACCGGCGATGTTTGATTCGCCGTTGAAGCTAAGACCCACAGTCAGAAAGGCAGACCACCGAAAAGGACGAACGACACACCTTTGCTGTGATGATACAAACTCGAAGAAGGGAGAACGGCTGCCATCAGACACTCCTTTCCCCTTCCCTTGAAAGGTCGAGCGAACGATATAGGCATGGGAACAGCATAGTCGTCGTCGGTGTATCCGTTATTGAAGAAGGGATCTTGGTGACAGGGCATCTGAACCAACCCTGTCGCACTCCCGACGGATTCTCCAGGCTTTACCCAAACAGCCGTCCCACAACTGCCCAGTCGCAGGCTCGGGCAACGTAAGGCACCCCTCGAAGTGGGTATCTTGGTTTGATAGCGCGGTGGGAATATGTAGGGAAGAAGGGGAGGAGGGGTGGCAGCACCTTCGACAGAATCGAGCGATGGTGTACTGTCGGTCGAGCCAGAAACCAGGTAATCGGGGTTGACATCTAGAGTGTAAACGCAGAGGGTATGCGCGTCTGGTGGCTGCCACGGATCATCGCTCTCTGCACGCAGAAGGATGTTGTAGGAGGTGGTGTTTCCTCTGGTCGAGGTTTGGGGTGATACCGTGACACCATCTAGCCAACCAAAAGAATGTCGCGCAAGTGGTCCAGCACTTGTGGCAACCGGATCATTGGACTCGGCCAATTTTGGACAAGGGAACAGACACAGAGATCGTGCACGAACGACCAGCACGCTGTCCAAGGTAAATAGGACTTGGGAAGCGACATTGTGCTGTTGCGAAGTCGTCAACTTCATCCTCGAATCATGTTTCAGACTTACAGTCCACATAGATTGGAGAGCTGGCGGCTCTTCAGAGTCGGTTTCGCGGAGATCTTCGTCCAGCGTGGCGTATTCTGAGGTAGACCAATCCCAGATAGCAGTCTGGGAAGAATCATCGCATAAAGCAACCTGATTCCCTTCCAACGTTAGCGGAATAAAGTGCGTCTGGAAGGATACAAGAGTTGTTAAAGCCCAGGTCGATTGGCTCTCTTGGTTCAAAGACAATACGTGGGCATGGTGTTCACTGACAAGCAATAAGTATGCAGGGTTGTCGAATTTGTTTATCCTACTCACTTCGAACGGTCAATGACGGAGACAGCCAACGTTGCGGGCGATGTTGGGTCCGAGTTCACGGCTAATCCCTGGAAAAGCGCTCCTCGAGGGCTCCACTCGCAAAGCTTGACCGGGTCAGGGTTACCCACAGCTCCTATCTGCCACACCGTCATCACCACCCAAACGCTCTTCGAAACTGTTAGAAGCATATCCTTCATAGGCAGGAAGTGGACTTCTGAGACGGCGCTTCCCGAATGGCCCTCCAGATTGACGACTGATTGAAATCCGATTGGTTTAGTGACGTCGTCCCTCCTGCCCCAGATCTCGGCCAGTCGATAACCTTGGATGGTGTATCTCTCCAGGTCTTCCAAGGGTATCGAATCCAGTGGTTGCCCCCGTGGAAATGGATACTCGTTTGACAAAACGAAGCCCTGGCACGCCGTCACCCAGACCGTGCGTTCTCGAGATAGGCGGGCCAGCCGGGTGCAGGTCTGCGACAATTTCTGGGGTTGGACTTCAGATAGTGAGCTTATGAGGACGCCATTACCTGACGAATTCCAAGGAGTTCGGGAGGCGTAAGGAATGAGAGAATAAGGAAGAGGATGTCATCTGTTAAGGCAGTGAACTGCATTTCTTGGGTGTGGTGGTTATCGAACAAGGGAGCGAGCGGACTCTTTAGTCCACTCCTGCAAGCCGGTAAGCCGGTGGCTCAGGATTCCCACGAGGGGCGAGTATTACCAATTTCGTCCGACCTCGACACTTTCGTTCTCCTTCTCGTCGTTAAGAGTTTTCAAGTTCGTCCAGAGAACTGAACCGGATAAACGTTATAGTCAGAGTGCACTTCGGATGGGTAAGCAAGATGAACGCTCAGGGAGGTAAAGACCTATTTCAGAAACTCCAAACTTCTTCTCTCTGGCAAGTGTGGTCAGACCAGTTTCTCAGAAGTTGCCTATGCTTCGAAGGAAGGAGGAAGCGCCCATAATTCGTTTCAGCTGTGCTATCTTCAACCGCAATTACGGCGGCCGCTCCGAGTGATCAATGGGATACTTGAAGCTCGGGTAATTTTCGATACCAGGGAAGAATAAATGACAGTTCGAGGACTGTTGATTCGAATCCGGCCACCATCATGACGCCCTTTGGCTGGAGGCTATTCCCTCTATTCTTAAGCATTGTTCATACATGCTTCCCTGGCGTAATTTTAACCCCTGTCCCCAGTGGCCCAGATTCCGTCAACAAATGCGAATCCATCGAGGTTCGTCAGGAATGGTACGCGGTCCAGCATAATCTCAGTCCATAGTTCGTTCTAAACCAGCGTACCTTATCCGAATCTCTGCAGGCGAGACCTGACCGTCGAACAACGACTTGACTACATTCGCGCTGTGAAGTGTCTCCAAAGTACTCCCTCGAATAATCCCACTCCACGCGAAGCTGTCAAAACTCGATATGATCAGTTCCAGGCGGCACACTTCGACCTTGCGATGGTAGTGCATAGAGTCGTAGGCTTTATTCCTCCATCGATGTTAATTAAAACACAAAGCTTGTGTATAGGGCCAGTTTCTGCCATGGCACCGTCATTTCGTGACCTTGTACTCTAAAGCCTTGAAGGAAGAGTGCGGCTACAAAGGCCCACCAACGTACGTCCTTCATCCATACAGGGAGGAAATTTCTCGCGTATTGAGTTGGCTTACAGGTATTGGGACTGGACGCGAGATGCGGACGCACCTGGGCTGTACGGTATTCCCGTTTTATGTCAGTGACGAGACTGAAGGATCATCTTTGGCGGATCGTCCAGACTGGCGGATGCACCGGTCTTTGACGATGTTATTGGCTTTGGAGGCAACGGCGTCCCGGGTACTTCAGAGCCACCACCACCTTCACCCGGGTCAAGCCTCCCAGCACTCCCCGGATTCCCCGCAGGCCCAAAGGCACCAGAAGGCTGCGTCCAAACCGGGCCCTTCAAAGACCACCTCGTCAACTTTGGGCCTGGTGCAACAATCTCGGCTCCTCGGTGCCTCATCCGAGGAATCTACGAAGACGTTAGGGATAATATGAACAGAACAAGTATCGCGGTTCTACTCTCCCAAACTAACTTTGAGGATTTTCGAAACTTTGTCGAGATTCAAGGTCCCCCACTCCCACTTGGCGCTGGGGTACATTGGGCCGGACATGCTGTCGTCGGTGGGATGATGATGGACGGGTACGCTGCTCCAGGCGGTGGGTATACCTTATAACTTCCTTTGATAGTCACTCGATACTAAAACGACCAACCTCTTCGCATCCAGATCCTCTATTCTACCTCCACCACGGGAATCTCGATCGCATCTGGTGGAAGTGGCAAATGGCTGACCCCAAGAACCGTCTCTACGCAATCTCTGGACCAGCCGACTGGCCAGCCACCGGAAGGAACGTGACACTGGACTTGGAGTTGCCGTATGCTACGGTTGGGGAGCCCATCGCCGTCAGGGAGGTAATGGACACCCAAGCGTATCCTGGATGTTTCACATATCCCGAGTAGCTACTGCATCAATAAACTGTCACTATGATCAACGTAAACGATAGACCAGAAACTTAGCCCAGGGGACGCAAGTCGATCACGCGCAAATCTAGTCCTATTCATAGTAGCGGACCCTTTTCCTCTCCCAGCCATGCTGTCCTTCAAACATCCTTCCCAATCCCAGCTGCTTTCGCCGGAATCGAGCTAGCTCATGAGTACGAGGGGGCTACGGCGACAGAGTCGACTTGGGCGAATCTGCCATCCTCTTGACAGCGACTGATGTTTCACCAACGGCGCCGGAGTCCAATTCATTCGGCCACATCGGGGAAGAGGCGATAACATTGAGGGATACGTTAACCTGGCGTTTATCTATATAGCCAACTTTCCTTGGAAGTTGGAATAGTGCGACCCATTCTTCCCCCCTTTTTCCCACTTCCCTTGAAGCTCTGCAATGATGCTGCCCAGCGGAGGGGATCCTGGGTTCCTGGAAGCTCTATTCAAGTCTTTGTGGTTTCTACGTCGTTTCCATGTCAGTAGTATTTCTCAATCTCTCAGTCTCAAACCTCGCTTACGATATCCCGTCTGTAGTATGCGCAAGGTAAGGGACCAGTGTAGCTGTCTCTCCCCATCGAGCACTCAACGCTGAGAGGAAGTCGCTTGCATGGCAATGCTCGTCAGTCCAGCTCAAATAGCTATAGCAAATGCTGTTTCTCATTGACTTATTACATACTACGGTCGCCGACTACACCGAGACCTTTCCACTTGAGGTTAGGCCATCATGAACTAATGCGACACAATCCACCGAGCGCTTAGAACCCCTTCTTTAAGATCACTTACATCTGGTTGGGAGAAATGAACAGCCTGAAGATCGCCTATCTCGTCACGCGATACTCCATCTTCATCCACTACATATTGACACTCGTCTGTGAGTCTTCTTACTTGAATTGGCGTCTCAATCAGTGCTCAGGCGGACTGTCCATACATAGTCTACATGTCGAAATCAATCCCTGTTTCGGTATGTAGGTCTCCGATGACACCCATACCATGATTGTTTTCATCCCAGACTCAGCATTGTTACGGATGGTCTGCCGCGTCCGCCGGCAAGTACCATCTCACTAGTAAAATTGGCGGGATTGCTGAGCGCTAACCTTCCACGCAGCTACCAGCATAGCCAATAGCGCCTGCGCAGACGGTGAGTAAGCGCATATTTCGGGGAGATTAGATGTAGCTCACCTCCCAAATAGCGTTGCTCCACCTCCAAGTCTATGCGTTCTCGGGACGTAGCCGCATAATAGGCACCTATCTCCTGATTCAATATAGCGTAAGTTCTCCGACTCCCTACTAAGTATTGGATCGCTAGTACATTCGAAGAAATGTCTGATTGTGCTTTCCTTCCCTACTAGGTTGAGTGGGGGTTGAAGTTTGGCTATTTCGCTCAAAACATCAGGCGCGCCGTGTGTATGTCCGAGTCTCACTCTCTTGCCTCCTCTCCATTACACTTTTACTGACACACAAATATATAGTCGTAATCTCCGACCTTCCGGGGCTACATTGCATGGACATCAAAAGCTTGGAGGTCGTATCCTCGATGCACATCCTATTCATCATTCCCATTCCCGCCCTTGTCCGTGAGTCACTGTTCCGTAACTTTTAAATAAACACCAAGTTTTGTTCGCTCACGTGTACCTTTCACGGATTGTGGGGCATAGTGCTCATTGCCATAACCTTTTACATCTACAGAGAGAGATTCAGGGGGCTGAGAAGCTCGTTGCTCGTGGTTTTCATACGAAATGGGATGATTTATGTGCTCGTCATACTTGGTAGGTGCCGAGTGCTAGTCCCGTAACCCACATGTCCTTCAACTGAATCCTCTGACCTCTGCCAGTGCTCACCATCGTGACGGTAATCATCAATGAAACAAGTAACTCTGTGCGTACTGTCTACCACTCTCTTACTACCTTGCAGCTTTTCAACGCTGAGTGTACTTTGTGCCCTTACTATGATATTAATAGGCAGAACATACCGGCCCAATGTCAGCGTAAGCACTCGCTTTGCCTTTCCTGCATTGACACGCCAGGTCGGACTGATTCCATTCTGATGCAACGCAGATTCCAAGGCGCTTTCCACCCCCTTCTTGCATCCCGGATGATCCTCCACCTACGAGAAGAGGCTCACAAAGAATCGACGGTGTTGGTCCATGCCAACGGCCACGGACAAAACCGTGACCTTAAACGCGCTGTCGGGGTGGATGACGGTGGTCCAGGCCACTCACTACCGCCAATCCGGTTTGCCAACCAAGCCCTTCAAACACAAGGCAGTGCCTCGGCACTCTCGAGCTTCGGTGCCAGCTCGCAGCATCATGGTACTTCAAGCTTCAAGACGTAGTATGCTTGACAGTTGTAGCGAAGCGAGAGTTCAATGTTCAATGACCGGAGGCGATCGGACTCGACGCTGTAATACTGAATTAAAAGATAGTGATTCATAAAATTCTATGGCGGCTTCGGCTGAGCGGACGAGGGCGCCGTACCATGCTGACTATAGTACTCCTGAGTCTTTGGACGATTAGTATGCGAGTCATCGATCGACTCGACGAGCAATATCCGAGTCGCTGTACGAGCAAGGTTGGAATTCAACACACAGAAAGCGTGAATATATTAGTGACACCATAAATTAAGACGAGGGAAGCGATTCGGAACAACCAATGTGGCTTGGGAGCTAGTGATACTGGGGGATGTTTTAAGTTTACACCCATAACGGCCCCGGTACAACGGTCAACGGTCAACCCTTTGGATGGACCGTGCTGTGAGCCGCCGACCAACTCCAAGTTCTTCAACAAGCTTAAGACCAAAATTTCGGAAGACTTGAAGGCGAGGAGCAACTGCATATGTAGATGGAGATCAGACACAAACAAAAAACAGATTCCGATGTTTCTTCTTCTACTTGCTTGTACAAGTACATTACAGCGCTTCGTCACGGCGATCACCCCCGGCACCACGACGCCCCTCAGGCTGATCTGCCAGTCGATGTAATCCAAGCTTCATTGAATCGTGAATCGTCCATGGTGCCAGTGCACAACAGCATCCTCGTCTCTCCGATTTAGGGCAATCCTTCCTTCCTCGTCGACATCATACCCAAAGATAAACCATCTGAAAGCCACGGCTCTCCACTACAACGGTACAACCCTCCAGATTCCAGAAGTGCGCTTCAGCCAAAGCATCTCCCGAGTCCTTCGCGTCAGACGTCTGGCCATGGATGCTCGCTTGCGCACTGTACGACATCCGATCCGAGATGACTTGTCAATTTTCGACTGCTTAACGCGATTAGTGAAGCTCGCGAGGCCCGGGAGCTAGGGTGTGCAAGAGAGAGAGGGACAGAGAAAGAGAGAGGGACGAAGGTCCAAATCTTTGCATTCAAGCTCCGCATCAAAAGCGCCCAAGGTCCAAAACGGGCACAAGCGCTGCCCGAAATGGAAGGCGGCGTGCTACCGCTAGTGTTGCCGCAAGGTGAGGGACCTCAAGGCCGAGGTACCTCAAGGTCTCAGGTTTCCTTATCTGACGACCTCAAGGTAACTCGGAGGTACCTTAAGGTCATCACTGAAAATTTCCCATCCGCCAAAGTAGTGGCAGTGCAGGCAAAGGCCTGAGTTACAAGTGCCGTTGACGCTCGCGGCTCGTTAAGCGCTCGAACGAGGTCCTCTCTATTTGCTTATTTGTACGAATCCGCCGCTGGTTACGCAGCTAAAAACTCTGGGACTCAGTAGACAGCATACTCTGAGAGTACCTTAAACACTCTGTAAGGGCGCCGGTGCCTCAATTCAATTGAATTCAGCTCGAAGTTTTTACCGAGGTTTGCCTAGCCTCCCTGGTACCTATCTACTTGGTACTCCATCCTGAGCACAAAATTCAGCACAGTTTTTTTTCAAGAAAATAATTTTCAAGTGCCCTGAATGTTCAGGCACGCTCGGGAGCCGACACACAGCCCAGAAGGTGTATAAAATCACAGTCCGTTGAATGATTTCCTTCAGTTCCAGAGCAGTCCTTCACGGCTTCTTCACTCTATCACTCATGGATTCGACACGCAATGGCTTTATCTGCACCCACTGTGGATTTGGTGCTGGCTACTGTCGCTGCTACGAGCATCCCTTTCCTGCGGATTCCCCTCCACACTCTATGGCACCACCCACAGCAACTCCCTCAATGCGTCCTTATGGCTCAGGTCTGCCTGATTCTGCTGGATCGCATACTTCACACTTCAGCTATGGATATCCACGGGCGCTTGAGAGCTATCATCACACAATGCATCCGCACTCAGATTCGACTTCATTTCCCTTGGGCAACAATCAAGGGAACCAACCTTCCGTACGATTTGCCAACACCTTTCCCGGGTCTTATTCAACGAACCAGACGCCAATTCACTCTGTTCCTCCAACTCCGACCCCTCCAGCTGGCAGTCGTGGTACAAAACGACGTGCGGGTCAGCATCCTGACGCCTCGTCGTCAAAACGAAGAAATACTCGCGCCGACAAAGAAAACGTAGCACCGTCGAATTTGACCGCAAGTTCTCCGGCCTCGGCGCGCAACGTCAACCGCGACCGCCCGCTAAAGTCTTCTCAGTGACGATCTGGTGACGATTATGTACCTGAAATCTATCGACGAGCCATTCACGTGCGCGGGTTACAGTCCGAGCAGCTCTCATTCACCGTCACCAAACAAGTCTGAGAAGCCCCAGGGTACATTCGGAAGACAGAGTATACGAAGACGAGTCAACGAAGAGACAGACCAAAAACAAAAATTACGAAATTCCTTCTTCTTCTACTTGTACAAGTACATTTCAACTTCCTACGAACAAAAAAAAAACAACTCCTAATTTACGAATTTATGAACAAAAAAGACAAAAGAGACTGAGTTCCGGGACAGAGAGAAGGGAAATGTTGAGCATGTCTGTATGTATGTATGTTGTATGTAGGCTTGATTTGTATGGATGTACGGACAGTACGGTTGGTGTTGATGTACGGTTGAATTGTATGGTCATAAAAGGACGTGAGGGGAGCATAAGACGGGGTCGTTAATTTAGACATAGGGGGTTGGTCGGTCTCCCAAAATGTGGGGGAGGCGAGGGCGAGAGAAGAAAGAGGGGGAACAAAATAGGAACAAAAGAAGAGAAAGAACGCGAAAGATGAGAGAAAAGAAGAGAAACTGATTAAAAGAACAAGAAGCAGACAGATACAAAAAGGATGACAGACGGAATGATCAGGATGGGAAGCGGGGGGCATAAAGGAAGAGGTCAATTAATACAAACACACAACAAGAATGTTATGCTGAATCATTGCTTTGAGTTCCCGTTCGGGGTTTGAAGAAGAAGAAGCGGAGGAGGAGGGCATAGGGCGAATTTTAGTTGATGCAGAAAGCAAGTGGTGTGTGTGATCGAAAGCAGGCGACGAATAAGGATGGATAAGGATACATTGCGCGGCGAAGGAGGCAAACCCCGAGGGCGAGATGTTGAAACGAGGTGAAGCAGAATAGGTATGACAGTAAACCGAGGGGTTCAAGAACTGACGACGTTCCACGCGACGTTGCGTCCCCACTCGTTCCCGTGCCCTCTAGAAGTGTGATCTTCGAACGCGTTGACGGACGGACACACAGGGGACGGAGGCGGGATAGGCGAGTTCATGTTCCCCCGGTGGAATTGCTGCGTGTCGGCAATGTGATGCTGTACCCCCACACTCGCGAGATGATAGTCCTGGCCAACGTCTTGGTACTGGTACTCGAACTGGTTTCGCGACGAGGGTTCGTTCCTCGGATGAGGGCTGGAGTCATATTGGCTTCTCGGCTGTTGCGAGTCGAATTGTGATCTAGGTTGTTGTTGAGTGGACTCGAACTGACTTCCAGAGCAAGGCGTCGGGGTTGGCGGGCACTGGATGTTGTATGGTGTAGGAGTCGGTGGACACGCTGGGTTGCACGAGCCAGGCTCGCAGTTGGTGTCCCGCGCGAAGAGACCCTTGACTGCAGACCGCTGCTTGACGCATCCCCGCGCATAGCCGTGGTTGCTCTGCAGGTCGTTGTCCAACTCTGAGAACGACGACGCGACGGGCGACGGCATGGGTGTAGCGTCTGGGTCGTTGTTCGTCCCATAAGGTAGCGGGGAGGTGTTGAGGGTTATTGTGGGAGGCGTGGGTTTGCGCTGCGGTTGGGTGGGTGCGGGTGGTACGGGTTTGCGGGGGGCTACGCGGATGGTGGAATCGCTGGGACGCTGATGGCCCTGGGTGGGGAGATTCTGGTTTTGGGTGGTGCGCGGAGATGGGGGTGGGTAGTGTCTAGGAGCGTGGTGGTTGTGCGATGAATGAGTGTTGTGCCATTGCGTTTTGGCGCGGAACTATTAGGGTCGTGTTAGCGGATAGGCCGTGCGTCGATGGATGTATCACTGACTAACCTGGCGAGTGTATAGAGCAGAGGGTGTCCACCTCAAACCATCGAGGTCGTAGAACTCGAACTTGACAGACACGAATGAGCGTTTAAGTAGATGGAATTGTTCCTAGATCGCGAGGTTAGACCCTGTCTAGTACGTAGCCGACGCGTATCTTTCGTGCTCACCTCGGTCATCTTAAGAGCCTCGAGCTCCTCCAATTGCTGCTCTCGCTCGATATCGAGCAACCTCCTCCTTCGTTGCTCGGCCCGCGAGTTGAAGACGAGGTCGTTCGCATTGTTATTATTAGCCGCTGGGGTCGCCATTCGCGGAAACGAAAATACGAAACGAGCCCTGTGTTTTGGGGTAAAAAGAACGACGAAATGGAGAGGGGTATCCCACAATCCCCAGGGACAGACAGACGTCACAATAGCCTTAGGATCAAGGGACAGGCAAAGAAGAGCGGAGCGGATATAAGAAGCGGGGATGCGAACAGCCTTTTTGAAACGATTGGCAAGGAAATGAAAAAGAAGGATAGGGATAAGAGTAAGAAAGGGCTGTGTGTCTGTGTGTGTGCGTCGTCGACGGGTGGCAACAACCCCTGCGTTGAGAAGACAACCCTGATTCACACAGAATCTTCCCATGGAAACATCAGTCATGTGATCTATTATACACGTGATGTGACAAGCCTGTGACTGGGCGTGTCAAGCCTCGCATTTTGGCTGGAACGGACGACGCGTCTTTCATCTTCCTCCCTCCTTTCACTTGAACGCGTATCTTCTCCTCTACACAACTCTTTCTCGCTCCCGATGCTTGAAGCCAAACTCGCAGAAGCAGGTCTCCTCAAGAAACTCCTTGATGGTTCGTGTTTTAACGCGTCAATCGGCGCTCAAAGGCTCACATTCATCGTCGTCGTTTTCTGATTCTTTTTCTTGCGCCACGAAAACGCGTGCAGCTATCAAGGAACTTGTTACCGACGCCAACTTTGAATGTAATGAGGAAGGCATTAACCTGCAGGCCATGGACAATTCACACGTCGCGCTCGTCGCGGTGAAGATCCTGGTCTCTGGCTTCAAGCGCTATCGATGTGACCGACCCATGCCTTTGGGCGTCAACCTGGGCAGCCTGACCAAAGTCTTGAAGTGCGCAAAGGTGTGTGTCTTGTCCAACCGCCCGAAAGGGCAACCGCGCTAAGATGATCCTAGGACGACGATATCTGCACATTGAAAGCGGCAGACGAAGCGGACGTCCTAAACCTCATCTACGAAGCCAAAAGTGTGTCTTTTCCTTTGACCCAGTCTATGCCACTAACCGTTTCGCAGACTCTGACCGTATCGCCGAATACGAAATGAAGCTGATGGAGATCGACGCCGACGCGCTCACCATCCCCGACACAGAATACGAAGCCCGCGTCACCATGCCCTCGAGCGAATTCGCGCGCATCGTCCGCGACCTCTCCCAGCTCGGCGAGTCCGTCCGCATCGAGGTATCCAAAGAGGGCGTCCGGTTCGCTGCAGAGGGCGAGTCTGCCAACGGGAACGTCCTGCTAAGGCAAACAGAAGGCGCGATTACCGGTGGGCGGATCGTCGCCAAGACGGAGGAGGATGAGGATGGGGATGGTGAGAAGGGCGAGGATGGGGATGAGGAGGACGAGGATGTGAAGCCGGAGAAGAAGAAGATTAAGAAGGAGAAGGTGGATGAGGATGTGGATATGAATGAGGATGAGGAGGAGGAGTTTAAGCCTGATGTTGACGAGGACGGTGAGGAGGAGCAGGATGAAGACGAGGATGAGGATGAGGAGAGTGGGAAGAAGAGGAAGAAGAAGGTGATCTATCCTTCTCCTTTTACTATTCTACGAATGCGTTTCTAACGATGTTTTCTTTCAGGCCAACGGCTCAGCCAAGCCTGCTAAAAAAGCCAAAACCGGCTCGTCCTCCAAAGGCAAGAAGAAGAGCGACGACGATGACGACGTCGATGGTATCCTCATCGAGATGAACCAACACGTCTCCCTCACTTTCTCCCTCAAGTACCTCGTCAACTTTGCAAAGAGCACCAGTCTCTCTGCCAAGGTGCAGTTGATGATGAGCAATGATGTGCCTTTGTTGGTGAGTCTTCCCGTCTTGTTTTCTAGTCTTATTTAATACTCTATCGTGTGGTTTGGGTTTATTCGTTCAACGGCATACTAACGCGTTATACGCTTTTGCAGGTCTCCTACGACTTTGGCCAAGGCTACATCCGGTACTACCTCGCACCCAAGATTGGTGACGACTAATTTCCTTTTCTTTCATTTTTTGTATATCCAAGCTATCTGTTTTAACGTTTTCGTCTCCCACCGCTCTGTAATTCTGTTGTCCAGCATTCATCTAATTGAAGTATTTTTCTCTTTCTCTTTCTCTGTTGTTCTTGTCCCTATTACGTCCTCTTTTCTCTGACGCCTTGTCCCCGTTTTCTCTTTCACGTTTCTCCTTGCGCAACGCGCTTTAAGTTTTGGTTCTCTTTTCGTCTTTCATCCTTTGTTCGGATTGCTGCTCACGCGAATTCGAGGTTTGCGTTGTGCGAGGACGTGAACGACGACACAACGCGTGGAGTGCACGGACCACGACCGTCGCACGGTCCGAGTGATCCGAGCCCCTATTCCTATTTCAATCCAGATTCCAATCCCTGCTTCGGCCCTCCTTCGACTCGCCCGATTGTGGCTTGCCCCAGAGGCAGTGGCCACTCTCCTCCTCGTACATCCATAGGCTGCTATACTAATACAGGCGAGCCAGTCGCGCCAATGGTCTTGAACCATCCTCGCGTACAGGCCGCCCGATTTTCGTTTTTGTTTTTTGGTTGGCGTTTCTTTTGGGCGCTTGTGGGGCTGAGGTCGGTTGTGTTGGGCGAATCCAAGCTGGGCAGAGAGATTCAGAGTTCTTCTGGTATCGACCCGGTGTGCATTACTCTCGTACTCTTGTCGTGCCCTTTCATTGATGAAGATGACGAGACTCGAACTCCTGATACGGACAGGATTCCGGGGTGTCCTTTGGTTTCCCCGAGTTTATACTTCTCGTGTCTGAATTCCCTGCTCGGTCAGCTCTTGGAGAGCTGGTTGGGTGGTACTTAGGTGGTGAACGGTTTAGCTGCAATTGAAAACTTTTTCGGGCAATGGGGGCTTGCGTACGTTTCCCGATTCGAGTCGGCTTCGAAGTTGGTGGGCCCCCTTTGACTCTTTGAAGGTCGCCTTTAAATTCAGGCTTCAGAACATGTCTGCAGCTGGCAAGCGGTAACTCTGTCTAAAGGTTCGCCATTCTCAGGATGACCACGGGGCTTGTGTTTGTGTCTGCGAGGTTCAAGTTTCGATGAACTGACCGAGAACTTCGACTGTCTTCTCAAATCGGATTCCGAGAACGGCCGTCTTCTCCAGTCCGATTCACTGCGAATTACTGGCGATTACTGGTCCATGTGTATGTACTCTATGTACAGGTTCGGGACAATCTGCCGCTGTCTTCCTTCAGCTTCGTCTCATCGTGACATTCGAACAATCAATTCAATCCGAGCTGGGTGCATTTGGGGATTGGCTGTATGCACATAATTGCAGTGGTATGCTTTGGCCTCTTCAAACGTCTCCTGCATCCAATGGTAGGCCTACTCTAACGTTTCCCTGTGGCGTATACTTTCTTCTTGGTATCACAGTAAGTAGTTCTTCTTTCTGGCCGAAATGTGCGTGCGAAGATGGTGGGAGCTCAATGAGGCCGCACAATTAACTCGCTTAAACCGCTGCGCGCACGGACCATCCGCCGGCGCTGGCGAAGATCATTGAGAGTCGGGTCGCGAGGCCGAGTTGGTGGACTTGGCATGGTGCGGGGTTCGGCGCTTTGGATTGATGCGAAGTGCCCCTATCCCCGCTTGTTCTCTTCCTGCACGGTGGCACTGGCAGTCACACCCGCTGGCCGGGTGTTCACAGACGTTGTGAAGAGGTACGCATAGCCGAGGGAGCTTTGCGATTTTGTCACACCCGAGGCCTTGCTGTTCACCTACTACATGTTAATGTCCGTTGGTTTAGAGTTGACAACGTTAACTGCCAGTGCCACTAGGTGCCGTTCATTTTCATTTTTCTGTGTCTGGAATGAACGAAAAAGCTAACTTTGTTGCTTCAAGTTTGTGATAGGCTTGAGATCGGAGAGTTGGATGGGTCTCGCTCTCGCTGCCAGAATCAGAAATGGATCGAGTGTAACCGTATTGTGATACTGTAATTCACGCTGTGGCGTAGAGTGTGGACGAGAGGTAAGCGCTGCTTCTCGATGGACACCAAGAGTGTGAACGGGAGTGAATGGGTGAAGAGGACCCTTTGGCTTTGGCGAGCTTGGGATTTTGTGGAGCAGTTGGTACGGACCCAGACGCCTGGTTTTGAGGAAAGCAGTGAAGCTGAGTGATTCATTCTCGATTTCTACTGCAGGCCGCCCAAAGCTCCGGACGCTCGAGTGGTTGCGTTGTGCTCCACCCTCGAAGGTTCTGCACCTTCGTGAATACTTGATCATGTCCCTCTCTCGCCCTCCTTCGCCTCGTTCCCCCACACCAAATCCATGGTCCCTGGCAGTGGTAACTGGGTTTTACCCCAACAGGCAAGTATGATCTCATTCCTTCCCTCCTGACGGTCTTCCAAGAACATCCAAGTCGCGCGATCTATCAACTTTCCTCCACAAGATCTCGGCTTGGCTTTTTCCACCCAATTCCGCCGCGCAATTCTGTTCATCTTCGTCCCCTTTTGAGGCGGCTTCTGCAGCGTGTTGTGGGTCGAACGAAGCCTTTGGTGGAAGGAAGGGTTCTCTCTGTTCTGTTCTGATGCAATCTGCTTTGCTTGTGCTGCTCGGACTCGGGAGGCGAAGCTTGGATGGATGGGTGATGATATGTCGTATGTCGTATCATTTAAGTTGTATGGGATTCTGGACGCTGTTCGTTCGGGGTAAAATGTATGGATATGGTGGTCGTTTATCACGGTGGCATATGTCGGTGACAGGTGACCCTCTCTATATAAGAGCTCCTCTCTTCACTTTGGCCTTTACCCCCCGTCTTCCCGTCCCCCTGTGATAGGAAGGGTGGATTGTCGCTGTGATCGGTCGTCGGTCGGCTGTCGTCTCTATCCCTTTTTTTCTCGACTGCCTCGTCCCGCACTACTCGCCTCGCCCCGACACCTGGACCACCACGCTTACCTCTAGCTCTGCGTTTTTTCGCACTGAGCTGCTTTCGCCATCGACTATCGATACACTAGGCCCATCGATTTTGGTTTTTAACATTTAGGCTTATACGACGAGACGACGACACCCCGATTTAAATAATAACGCATCCGACCACTTGAAGAGACCCAACCACCACCACCACAACCACAACCACAGAAGAAGAAGAAGGCCGGGATGCCTGAGTTTTCAAGACAAGTGGTATCCCTGTTTTCGAAACGAGCGAGTGCCACGGAACCGGTGTGTGAAATTTGTCGGCTTTAACCCCTATCCAGCCATGCTGATTCTTTCTTCGATGACGCCGGGAATAGGGAGGTCTGCTCGCTGGGAAAGACCCAACTGAATTCAACCCGCTCGAACCAATACGACTATGGATCGTTCAACTAGGTAAGTCGGCGGCATGTCTAGAGGGGAAAGGGCGTGATGCTGAAGAGACTTGTGGCAGGAATCATCATCTGTACGGCGACCCTTCTCTCGCTCGCCCTTCGTAAACTGCGCCAGCCAAAAGTCATCGCTGAAGTGCTGGGCGGAATCATCCTCGGTACGCCTCCAGCGCCCCTCCTTCCCTCCGCATAGCGTGATTAAACCCGCCCCCACAACAGGTCCCACAGCGTTCGGCCGCATCCCAGGTTTCACGGAACACATCTTCCCACACGAATCCCGGCCCTACCTCATGCTCACAGCCAACATCGGCCTCTGCCTCTTCCTCTTCCTCGTCGGCCTCGAAATCGATGCTGGCATCATCAAGCGCAATGCTCGCCTTTCGGCTATGGTCGCGCTGGCGGGTATGGTCCTACCGTTTGGCATCGGCGCGGGCCTCGCTGTGCCCATCTTCAACCGCTTCATCGACGACGATGTGGAGTTTACGCATTTCATGTTGTTCACTGGCGTGGCGTTTTCGATTACGGCGTTCCCTGTCCTTTGTAGGATTTTGACGGAGCTCAAGCTGTTGGATACGACGGTGGGGATTGTGGTGCTTAGTGCTGGTGTGGGGAATGATATCAGTGCGTTTCTTTTTCGTCGTTCTTTTCGGAATTTTGGACAGGAGGGCTGACGCGTTTTGGTCCAGTCGGATGGGTGCTTTTGGCGCTGAGCGTTGCGTTGGTGAACGCCGGTTCCGGTCTTACAGCTCTCTACATCCTCCTCGTCTCAGTGGGATGGACGCTCTTCATCCTGTTCCCCGTCAAGTACGCCATGAAATGGTTCGCCAAAGTCTCTGGATCCAGTACGTTCGCTTCGTTTTCTGCTCCACCCAAGCCACCTCTAACCAAGGGTATGAATTATCACCTGCAGTCGAAAACGGCCCGTCCGTCTTCTTCATGACAGTGACGATGATCGTACTCTTTGGCTCAGCCTTCTTCACGGATATTATCGGTGTACACGCTATCTTTGGTATGTCTGTCCCTTTGATTTGGCTTTTATCGTTTCTATTTGGTATCGGAACCTTATCATGTTGGGCGGTATCTTCTTCTCTTGTCGGGCGGGACCTTTCCTTTGACTTCATTTTACTTGATCTACCTGTTTGGGGACTGTCGAAAGCTTCGCGGGGTTGTAACTTCCTGTTTGGGTGATATTCTTTGCCCATTGGGAGGGTTGCAGCCAGGGCGTCGTGTTGGACTTGCCTATCTGGCGCTCTGTGCTCTCATTCCCGGCTTACCAGAGACGCTTCGAGTTCCCCTCATTGCATGACGCGACTTCTTTCTTTCTCCTCCTTGCCCCAAAAGCTCGTCTTGGCCCCTCTTTTTTCTACACACCTTCCTTGCTTGCTCCTGAATCCGATAACAAACGTTTTTGGATCGGTGACTGATGACATCTCCCGTGTTGTTTTTTTCTAGGTGCCTTCCTCGCAGGCCTCGTGGTACCGAGAGAAGGTGGACTCGCCATTTCGTTGACTGAGAAGTTGGAGGATATGGTAGCGGTTATCTTCCTTCCCTTGGTAAGTGATTCTAACGATAGTTTGGTGTCTTTTTCGATACGCTCTGGCGCCATTCCCCTCTGTCGCCCTCCTCCCTCGGTCTCGACTTTCCTTCCACGAGGAGCCTTGAACGGACCAATCCCCGTCGTCTATGCAGGTAGGATGGCTTCAGGTTTCGTTGGAAGAATGGTCGAGGGGTGGAATCAAGACAGACTGACAGACACGAGGCGCCCTCGGAATCGCCGAGATACGTTGATTTGGCAGTATCGCTGACATGGATACCTTTTGTAGTACTTCACTCTCTCAGGGCTGTCGACTGATTTGGGTCTTTTGAATGACGGTGAGTTTTGTTTTCCTCGTTCGGAAACGTGTTAGGGGTGTTTGCTTGGTTTTTGCATTTGGTCATTTCCAATGCTACCGGTCGGTGTAAAGTGCTGGGACCATCTCGCCATCCTAGGCCCAACTCGCCTTGCCGTCCCCGTGCACTCTGACAGTAGCCCCTATTACGTTGATCTTCGCGCTTGTTTTCGGTGTCATGTTCGTTTGCAAGGGATTGGTTCTAACGTGTACCATCAAATAGGTATCACCTGGGCTTTCACCATCGCTATCATCGTCACCGCCTTCCTCGGCAAGTTTGGTGGATGTACACTCGCCGCGCGGTACGCGGCTCGATTCGACTGGAGGGAGAGTATGACTATTGGCTCGTTGATGAGCTGCAAGGGGTGAGTCTCGATTTTGTGTTTCTTCTCGACAAGTGGATTTCTAATCGCTCCTCTGGTGACAGGTTGGTTGAACTCATCGTCCTTAATGTCGGTCTCGCTGCTGGCATCCTCTCTCGGGTATGACCGCCTTTTTGAGATGAGAAATGTAAACCCGATGTTGAACTTTCCTGTTTAGCGCGTGTTCTCGATGTTCGTCCTGGAGGCACTCGTCCTTACCTTCGCCACTACACCCCTCGTGGTATTTTTCTACCCGCCCGAGTTCCGTGTCCGAATTGTCACCGCCAATACGCACCAAAAGCACCACCACCACGGAGGCAAAGGTCATGACATCGAGAAGCCCGGAGCGCCCAAGGAGAATCGCGAATACAAGACCCGATTCACAGTCGTGCTCGATAAATTCGAGCATCTGGGAAGTATCATGGCGCTCGTCCAGTTGGTCAACCCTCCTCCGCCTCCGTATTCAGAGGACCAGTTGAAGAAGAGGCCGTCTATTGGCAGTGTCAAGTCGAACGCCTCGTCCACGGCTTCCAAGGAACTCATCCCGCCCACCCGCATCGAGGCTCTCCGCGTTTTCGAGCTCTCTGACCGAACATCCGCAGTCATGAAATCCGCGACGGCCGAGACTATCCTCCACTCCGACCCGCTGCTTTCGACGTTTAGGATGTACGGCGTCCTGAACAACATTGACACCCACCCTGCAGTTGCGATCCTCAAGTTTGACGAGTTGGCGGCGGGTGTGGCTGAGCACGCGAAGGACAGCGGGAGTGATATGATTTTGGTGCCTTGGTTGCCGCCTTCTCCTGGAGGAGGTGTCACTTCGAATACAGGGGTGGCGTATGTGAATGAGAAGATGGCTGCGTCGCCTACCCCTGGGACGGCGACGCCTGCGGTGCACGCTGAGGGCTCGGCGCCCGGTACGCCAGCTGCTAGATCACCGACGTCTTCCAACCCCTTTGAGATGCTCTTCAAATCCACCCTGGGCGGTCCAGTAGTCCAAGAACTCCCCACCTCGGTCATCCACTCCCAGTTCGTGCGAAGTGTGTTTATGCATGCCTCGACGGACGTTGCCCTGTTTGTCGACCAGTCGATGATCTCCGCCCGGACGGCTTCGTATGGGAATGTCACATTTGGAGCGGGGAGCCGTCAGCATTTGTTTTTGCCGTTCTTTGGAGGTCCTGATGACCGGTTGGCCTTGGAGTTTTTGGTGCAGATTGTGGAGAGGGATCCGAGCTTGACTGCGACTGTGGTTAGGATTACGAAGAGGGAGAAGGATGATATGGAGAGGGCGGAGGGAGAGAAACCGCCGTTGCCGCAGATGCCTACTATCTCTTCGGTAAGCGAAACCTTGCCTGATTTGTTTGACCTGTTCTAACTTTGACTGATATCTCCTCGTAATGTAGGAAATGCCCGGAGACTTCCCTGATACTTTCTACGGTGAACAAACGACGCAGACTCGACTTCAATCCGATACCGCTGATAACCTCGTTTGGGGACGCTTTGTTCCTTCATCGAGTGTCGCCGGAGACGCGATTCAGGAGGAGGACAAGGAGGACAAGGAGGAATCCGGGAGCGACTCTAGATCTTCGACATCATCTTCCTCGCTTGCGCTCTCGACCAGCATCCCGAGAATAGACTTCAAACAAATTGATACCCACGCACCGCTACACGCTGCTCTCCAAGAGGCGCTCAAGTACACTGCTAATGCGATTACGACTGATGACACGACTACGACACGACCTGACGACAATGGAAGTACTGATGATAATAAAGTTGAAGATGAGGGATCTTCGAGTGGAAGGGACGACGACGGAGTAATTGCGCTTGAGCACCGACAGAAGGATGCCAAGACTACGCAGACGGCTGCTACTACACAGACTGGTAATACTGGACGACGGAAGCTTCGTGGCCCGCTCATCGTCCTCACTGGCCGTTCGAGGCGGTTGGCTGTTGAGAACCATAGGAAGGAGTTGACCGAGTTGATGGATGAGTTTGGGCCTATTGGAGCGGAGGTTAGGAAGACTGTTGGGGATGTTGCGACTGCGTTTGCTGCTGCGGGTGTGGGTAATGGTGTTGTTGTTTTCCAGGCTGCTGTACAGTGATGTACCAATGTCCTTGTTGAACTTCTTCCAGTTGTAGATGTTTTGGCAATACTCGGTCTCGCTTGTGTGTAGTTTCGATCCATACTAGTTTCTGTATCGTGTACCACTATAATTAATGATTGGTTTTTTCCCCTGAGAAAACTCGCGTGTAATGTGAGGATGCTACGTCCGTGTGCGGCATAGACCAGGTGAAGATCAATTACACTGTGTACACATCGTGCTACTACAAGAGCAGTCATTGTCTACCGAGCGTCTGGGTTTACAAGGGGGAAGGCTTGGTTGGGGGATTCATTAGAGGCTTTCGAGGCGGTGGTAAGCCTGGTATCTCAGACCTCCGTGTCAGAAGTACTGGGTGCAAATAGTCAGCGAAGGCCATCACAAAGACGTTTGAAGACTCGGACTCACTTTTCGGAAGGGCAGTCATCGTTAACGATTGGTTCGACGTCGACGCTGAAAGGGAGGATGAAGTTGAAGTTGAAGAGAGGCGGCCTGGGTCCCAATGTCCATGATCTCGGTCTGAACCCATTTGAGGAGACTCGACGCTGTCGTGGATTGGGAGCCAGTTGTCGTGGATCCAGGAGGTGTACCCGTTGGTTAGGATCAGATCCATGCCTTTGCTGACCAAGGCTCGGAGAGAGGCTTGGACCTCCTGGGCGAGGTAGACGGGGATCGTGGATTCGATGAGGACGTGTCGGAGGCGGTCCACTGTGGAGGCTGGTCTCGCGTTGGTCGGGGAGTCTTTGATATTGGACTGGTCTCCCGAAAAGGAGGAACGGGGTGAATGTTGTCGAGGAGGATGTTGCTGGCCCGGGGGCCATCGAAACTCAAGCATGATCTGGAGGGCCCTCCCGGTGATGTTTACAGGGCCACTGTACTCCAAAGCCTTAAGCTTGAGTAGAAGCGGTCGATCGAATGGGAGAATTGCGGCGACCCCTGGTTCGCGCATTGAAGGAGGGCAAAGGGCAGCCAAGAAGGTGTCCGAGATAAACATTCCCGGGAATGTCTTAGGATATTCGACGTGCAAACGGAGATGGGTGAGGAAGGGAGTGCAAGCAATGCAGTCGATGAGCTCTTGCTCGATGAGTCGGATGTTGGTGACCGATAGTCGTTGGAGTGCGGTGGAACACCCTGAGCGACCGATCAACGAGGTCAAAGAGGAAAGTGAGAAAGATTCTCTGTCGTCGAAGCTGAATCCCAGTGACAGCTTTAGGGATTTCAATACGGGTACTTCGAGGGAATATAGGAAGGCTGTAGCGACCATGTTCCCGATGGAGCTGAGTTCAAGCGTTTGTAGGCGAGGGAGGCGGATGGGTGTGCGGGAGGGGTAGGCGAAATCCGAGGGTTGGTGGACCGAGTTGAAGCGACATTGAACGAGGTTGGGGGCGTTCCGCAGCATGGTGTAGCAATCGTCGACGCAAAAGTCCTGTCCCGAGAGTGTGGATAGCTGGTTCCACGGAAGCATGGTGCAACCAGAGTAGTACAGCCCGAAGATCGAAAGGTTAGTCAGGGAGGGCGCGTTCTGGAAGAAGTCGAGTTTGTGGTTGAACATGACGTCGACGCCGTCGGGTGGGCGGATGATCAAGGATTGGAGTTGGGAGAGGCGGTTGCGGACTAGGCTGAGATCCGTGTAGCAGGGGTAGGGGAGGAAGATGTCGACGTGCTTCCACCTTGTTGCAACTGAGGCAAGTTGTCGGAAGATCTCTCGGGGTGGGTGAGCCTCCCAATATTGATCTTCCTCCCCTCCTAGGCCACAAAGAGTGATTACCAACGGCTGGTTCCCACAACGGTGTAGCCATTGGCGAAGAAGTGCCACTTGAGTTGGATAGTGGTCGGGGTGAAGGGAGAGGGTGAGATTTGACCAGAGGTCTGGTGACGCCCATGTCAGGTATCTCCAAGCCCGGCAAATCTTCCCCAGGAAAAATGGAGTTAAGGTGGTTTTGGGCGGAGAGTAGCTAGTCCATTTGGCGCGTTGTTCGGGCTGGAGGACTCTTGAAAAGATGTCCAGAATGAGTTCTGGAGGGAGGTACTTGGTCAATCTGTCCGATTGGGGCATCATTTCTGCAAAGGTCGTGGTTAGAGAGGATATCAAGAAACTGAGGCGTCGACCTTACCTTCTCCCTAAAACGTTGTCGATGTGGCGGGTTAAAAGCAGCTAGAGCCCCACCAGAGACATCATTCGTGAGCGAAGAGTCTCAGACACAAGAGCCTTATCTTCTCGTCGTCATCTCTGGCGTTGGGGTGGCGCGAGCGACTTCAAAAGAGCCCATGAGCAGAATAGAGCCAGATTCCTTCTCTCTTTTCTCTCTTCCCTATCATTATACCGTTCAAGCGTTCATCCAGGGGTGCGTCGCAGGGTGACGGCCTGCGATGCATATGGTGCAGCGCGCGGCGCGACCGCCGAGTCTCGAGCTTGGATTGAATTATTCGGGCTCAGACTTTATGCCGCTCTTCGGCATGCCCCTAGCGAAGAGACAGTCAACCTTCTACGAAGAGGTTGAGCGAGGTTCTACAAAGGAATTGAAGATTTGGATACGCTATGAATATAACAGTAGTCCGATTCTTTGTGTATCCAACGAGGGCTCTGCCGAGCATTGAGTCGGCGATTCAGCGTTCGGTTGGTTGCCTTCCTTTGCGAAATTGCCAGGTCAGCGCTTAACGCCGAATGCATCCATCATGTCCGCTCGTTGCCCGAATCCAGCTCTCTTCATATCTTTTTAGGATCAAACGGAGACCTTTTCCCGCAACAAAACGGTTCTCATCCTTCATGGCTAGCCCTTACCCGCCAATTTCTATAGGAGGCCCTGGTGGCGACTACCGCTACCGTCCTTCGAACCTCGACGACGTCGAAAATGTTGAAAACTACGTCGAAGGAGTCTACCATCCCGTCTCTATTGGCGACACCCTCGCCAACGGCCGCTATAAACTCATTCACAAGCTGGGCTTTGGCGGTTCCTCCACCGTATGGCTTGCTCGGGACCAACAACCAGATTCTACCACTCCAGACGCGGCCAGCTTGGTGGCGCTGAAAGTCATGGCCGCGCATTTTTCAGACAGGCCCCCTTCGGCAATGCAGGAGCTTCTCGTTCCTGAGAAACTGCACGCCTTGTTTTCCGAGTCTCGTCATCCCGTAAAAGACCACATCCACCGTATCCACAGGCATTTCACCGAAACTGGACCCAACGGGACGCATCTCTGCTTGGTGGCGCCCTTTTGTGGCCCGAGTCTCCTTGCTGTTGCCGATAACCTCTCGTATCGGTACCACAGGAGAATCGAAGGGCGCGTTGCACGACGGTTGGCGAAACAAGCTGCACTCGTCATCGAGCGCATGCATAGTGCCGGCATGGTCCATGGAGGTTCGTGCTTTGACGTCTCTGTGCGACCTATCCTCACCCAGTGTCTGTTTCGCAACTTTACAGATATCACCACGTCAAATATGCTGTTCAGGCTCAAAGAAAGCGTGCAGGCCATGTCAGACGACGCGATCTGCGCACAGCTCGGAGAACCCGTTACGGAGGAGGTGATCACTGCAAGTGGCGATCCTCCAGGGCCTGACGCGCCCCGTGAACTGGTGGAATCAATCCAAGCTTCCCGCTTTATAGAATTCTCCTTGGTGCATGACAGCATCCTTGTCTCAGACTTTGGGCAGTCCTTCCTCGTTGACGCCATGCCCGAAGATTACCATCCAGCCACGACCATCCACTGCACCCCTCCGGAAGTCCGCTTCGATCAAACCATTTCCTTCGCCTCCGACGTTTGGATGCTCGCTTGCACCTTGTTCGAGATCCGCGCTGGATTCTCTCTCTTCGACTCATTCCTCAGAAGCGAGAATCTCGTGTGGAGGCAGGCGGTCGAGATGCTAGGCAAGCTACCAGATCCCTGGTGGAACCAGTGGGACGCTCGCAAAGTTTGGTTTGCCGAGTCCGACGGAGAACCCAAACCGGAGGAGGTCCAGAAGGAGGAGGGCGTTCTGCTGGTTGCGCGCAAGTGCACCATTCGTGACAAGCTGGAGCTCATCGGCAAGAAGGAGGAGCCTCCTCGAGGAAAGGATTGGCCGATGACGGAACCGGATGAGACGGTCATGGAGGAGGAGGAAATCAAGCTACTCCAGGATCTGCTGCAAAAGATGCTCAGGTACCGTCCGGAGGAGCGGATTAGCATGGCGGAGGTGATTCAACATCCTTGGTTTAATTATAAAGACTAGGTTTATCGATACACCGAACTCAACTGTGGAAGACTAGTCTCGCCTACCATTGTTCTCCTCCCAAGTGTACGCCTCCTCTTCCACGCCTATTGAAGCTGTGTCATTCGTCATATCAGCTCCATAGGAACCATGGAAATGGCTTCCCTCAGGTCATTAAACTCGTCCCGCAGTACAAAGGAGTGATTTTGAGGTCCCGCTTCTTTGTAACCGAGCGTGTCGAACCCTTGTCACAAAGTACGCCCCTCCTCTACGCCAGACCCGTCCGAAACACCGCGTAGTGGGGATTGTACATATGTGGTGATTGGAGATTGGAAGTACATTCTGCCAACCTCGATGACGAGGCTAACGAGTACTACTGCACGTATCCGCAACGCAGGGTTCTGGGCCCTGGCCTGCTCGAGCCTTTAGCTACATACTGCTAGCTCCTGTTGCCAGGGTCGCGTATGTACGTGTTCTGCCCAACAAACCGAATTACACGGAGCTCCTGCTCATCCCGCACATATGTCGAGCAATGCAAGGAATCGGTTCCCCCGCCGTAGTTGTATAGATTGAGGACGAGACGCGAACACTGCCAGTGGGTAGTCGGGATTAGCGACTGTATATCCCAACGTCCTCGCTAATAACCTACCGCGCACGAAAAGACCACGTGAAGCCAACTGAAGGTGAGATGGTCAGTGTGCTGGAGAACGGTGGTGGAATGGGAAGAGCTAACTTACGGATGAACGGAGGTGAAGTACAGTCCCTGCATGTAGACTTGAATCGTTGCTTGAGTTGCCAGGGAAGCAAATATTCTTTGAAGCGTTCAGAGTTAGTCAATGGAGCTCATTGCTCCTAGAAGACAGTATTGAACGCACGCGAAGAAGTAGAGGGAGCCATCTCTCATCAGGATCATGAGAAGCGGGGAGAAATTAGACGAGTCTTGAAGGAGGGTGATGAAGCTCCAGTCTTTTGTGAAACGAGATCCTATGACAGATCTGCGGAGCTTCGCCATTGTGAAAACGAAAAACATGACTATACGTGGGTGGGTTCAGTGCTACTTGCCTTCTTCTTCTTCAAGTTCTCTATCAGGACTCAACTCACAAGTGACAACGATGCAGGGGATCCTGTAAGAAAGGTGTAGTACTTCAACGACGACGCAGTAATGGGTGTAGCTTACCAGGCAGCAAGTGTCCTCTCTACATTGGGCGTCCATGTCAGACAGCCCTTCATCTGGGAGAGTGGCAGTGGCATTAGATTCTTCACCGCGTGGCCCAGTGACCATAGGGCAACGTATAACTCCATCTGTGAATTAGGAACACATATGAATAAGGGGAATCGACGTTAGGTAAAAGAAATTCACCCCAAATTGGACTAAATAAATCAGGCCGAATGAAGTCAGAGATTAAAAGCTCCATCAAGGTTACGATGGAGTGTACTTGCACAATGACAATCCGATGAAAAGAATCAAGACTGATGTATTGTAGGGGTTAGCGCTGGGAAATACAAGCCTGGTTATCTCGGTGCGCACCTTTAACGTTCCGATTATAGAGCGCATAGATCCGGAGTATACATATCACATTTGCGGTGGTCATATACACGATGTCACCAGCCCTAGACGGTTTAGTGAGCCCTCTGTCAAGGTGAGGTGACTCCGGACGTGGTCCCGAACTTACAACGAGTACCAATGTAGGAATATCTTGCACCTTGCAGACATTAGGAAGCGTTCCATAGACCGAGAGGACGACCTACAGCTAGCCAAGGAGATAATGTCAGCACAGCACTTCTGAATGGTCTGAGTGGTGGAAGGGGCGGCGCCCGGACGTACGCGAAGGCTACCGCGGCTACTCTCAGCTGTTGTTGAAAAGGTTTTCTGTGATTTTTTTTCAAATTTCCGCGGAGATGACGCTGTTCATACCTGTGAGGTTTACACTGTGAAGCGCACGCCACTACCTGGTTAGATGCGGTTTCTCGTCGAAAAATGATGTCTGGACTTGCGCAACGTAGATTATCGCCCAGTAACGGGCAACAAAATAGCATATCTTGGCTAAATTCCATTTCGAGCTGAAACGAACGATATCTGCTCAGCACGGTCGCGTTGAAGTAGTTGATCTACTTACCTCCACATGTATCGCACCTTGAGGAAAGAGGGTTGAGTATTGGCCTTAGTGTGTCGTTGCATTCGAAAACAACACTAGTTACCTCGTCTTCCAAAGTCCAGCAAATGTCGCATACAACAAACGTTATTGCAGCGGCTAGTTTCAAGCCTCTTTCAGCTGTTTCTGACGAGGCTTTAGGAGGTAAACGATTTGATTTACCTTTCGAAAGCCTGGCTGCCTGGGAAACAGCGAGATATATAAGTAGTCCGTCCCAATCCAAGGAGAGGGCCATCGAGGTTCAGGTTCCGGGAATATTATGGGGCGTCGTGAGCACCGCCAGTTTCACTCGCATTTTCCGAGTCCCATCGTTTAATACCTAGATGAAGAATGTTTGTGGACCTCTGATGAGTGTACTGCCTTATGTAGGGCGTGGGCGTATACGGATCCACCCAATTGTCATGGCCGTCGCCCAGTAACTCGCTTACCTCAGAACTCCGCTCGTCCGTTCAAATTTCTCTCCAAGGTACATACAAGGCACACACGAATGTGTGCATCGGCTGTTAACCCCTTTTGTGTGTGTGCGTATATGCGGCAGTTCGGACTGCACGCCACCACGATACCTCATCTGCTTGTGTTGTGTAACACACTTCTTGTTGAAACCTCTGAAAGATCCCATTCCTATGCTCGTCCTGATAGATCTATCAAGGCCGGTACATTTGATTTCAAGCTGGTAACCCTAAAACTAGTTAGCATGATGTTTTCTTTACATTCCTATTCCCTCGGCGAAATCTGGACTGAAAGGTCCTTGCTTTCGGGAACACTGAAAACCAAGAGTATGCTACTTTCTGGATTGAACGGCGGTCTTTCGGCCGCGGGCATATTCACGGCTTCCCCCTTGCCATCGACAATTTTCATATCAAATCTCTTGAAGCAAGCTTCTACAAATCTCATCATTTGAAACCTCGCGAGGTCCCTTCCCTTGCACTGCGGAGAATGGAGTCAGTCCTCCGCTGTGAAGCTAGAGAATTGATGCTTACGATTCGGCGTCCTTCACCCCACACTCTGGCTTTGGGTAGCTGTGGATCGAGAAACCTGTCGGGCCTGAATTCGAAAGGGTCCTTGTACACAGTCTCGTCGTGGGTGAACGACTTGGGAAGAATGACGGTTCCCTTCTCAAAGAAGTATCTCGTTCCCCCAAGGTAGATTTCGGTGTCATCGGGTACTGTTCGAAGTTGAACGATGCGGAATGGTCGTCGGAGGGCTTCGTGCATCGTGGATTCCAAGAGCTTCATGTTGGCGACATCCTCGTTGGTTCTGATCTCATCTTGGATGATAGTCCTCCAATCGGGATCCAACAGAACCCGTCCCAGCATCTGGTACATGTGGAACCACACGTTTCCGTGCAGACCAAAGTGGAAACCAATCAGGGTTCCCGCCGCTTCCTTGAGTGACAGGTTGGCGTCCTTCATGATTTGAACCGACTCCACGATAATATCGTGAGCGTCCGAGAGGACCGTGCCTACGTTGGCCTCTGGAGCCCAGCACGGCTGAAGATACTGCATCACTCTGACTAACAGTCTATCCCTGGCGCGGTTGCCTTTCAGGAAGGGAGTGTAGGGAGATATGGGGGAAGTAAGGATCAAGAAATTGTCGAGCGTTGTTACGAAGTCTTGGTAGGTGTCGGTGGGAAATGTGGATCCAAAGAGGAAAGCCGATGAAACGGAAAACATGGTTTTGGCGATAAATTGGTACAGGGGAATTGTGGTCGGTCTACCCGATGGTATGGTGTCTGCGAGGACTTTGTCGAGTATCTGCAACCACGCTTCGGTTCGTCCAGGTGCAGCAAGTGCCCGTGAAGACATCGTTGGCACCATCAATGGCACCAACTTGTCAGACATGAGTGCGACCATGCGACGCACATCGCGAAGGCCTGTGGCAGCCATCGCAGCCTTCTCGATTTCATGGGTACCATCAAGTCCTCTTACTTCGCGCTCAAGCTGGGTGACTGAAATGGGATGCGTGATAAATGCGACTTTCTTTAGGCCCAGGATATTGATCATAAAGACGGGTCCATATCGGGCACTAGAATGCAATCAGACTCAGGATAGATATGGCAGTGTGGATCCAATTCACCTCGCATAGTCGAGAAACCCTGCCGGGTCTCTCAGAAACCACAGGGCGTTGTCGACTCCAAAATTCAGAAGCGAAGATTTAACGACAGGTACTGCGCTTCCACCGACAGTGCGGATTCTGCGACGGGGGTGCAGAAAGAATGGGGCTGAAACAAGTAAGATCAGGGAAAGGAAAACGAGGTGCGACTGCATCGAATCGGAAAGTAAACTGAGCTGCTACTCTGGAATGCTCTTCTCCCCGCTTTTATAGTCTTCAACACTGGCAAGGTAGAATGTTCTCTTCTTTTATCTCTCGCAGTGTTTGCGCCTCTTACAGTAGGCGGGTGCCTTAGAATTCCATTTTCAAACACAAGATCTAGAGAAACAAAAAATGGAACATGCTTGGAGTGCGTCAGAGTGACGGAAATTTTCGTTGAGATACTCCCTCAAGAGAAGTCCTCCCGTACAGCAGCCCCCTGTTCTACCTGCCCTTCCATGTATGTTCGGCATGCCATGGTTGTGGGCTTAACAATCTTCGAGCTCAAAACACCCGTGACTGATTAATCCAGGTCACAAGTAAGAGGGTGCGTCTGCCATCTGTCGTGTCTGAATTTGGAGTTGGATCTGGCCTAACTAGCGGCAGTGTGAAGTCAGTCCCCGTAGAAAGTGCCGACGCACACGTGCAAGGTAACCGATGCACCTGCGATAGCATTCTATCCATCTACATTCTACATAAGCCTGGCGAACACTCAGACTGAAGCTGTGCCTGTATCGCTTCTGGTTCAGCGTTAAGGACTTCTGTTGGAAGAGTACGTCACGCCAGACGATAGAATGAAGGGCGTCTTTGATCTGTGTGCTGTTAGTACATCATAGTATGTTGACAGAAGAAAGGCCTGGGTCGTCTTCAGATGTCTCCGGCAATAGATGGAATATTTCCGTACTTGTTTATAATGTAAGAGCTACTTCGCTGCAAAATGTATAAGCTTAGCTCTCACTCTAATATCTCCAACGTATCCCACGCAGCCTGGTCCATCCCCGGTGGAAAGATCGTCCACCGCGTGCACAGGGTACCCACAGAAATTTACAGGGTAACCCCCGTGCCCTCATTCGCGGGATGATCGGTATTACTACTGGATATCTCAGCACACACAACGTTAGCAGTCATTGATCGGATGGATCCACCCAGGTGTGAACCTCATAGTGACCCAGTAGGGGCTCCAACTCCCGTAACACGGCTTCCTTGTAGCAACTGATCCTTTGTATTCGCTACTGGTGAGCAGAAAGGACCCTTTTTAGTACATCATGGTGAAACAGAAGCCCAAGGTATCCACTTCCTGTCGACCACCACTGATTCAGCGATCTACAGAATGGTCCGGACAATCGAGATTTCTTCCTCGGAAGCTGTTTCGAAGATCTTGAACGGCGAGGATAAGCGCCCGGCGTCAGGGATCTCCTCCGGCCCGGCGCGCCGCTGAGCTGAGCAGGGTCGCAGTCATCGGGGCCTTGAACTTCCAAGCGGGTGCTAGTGAACTCAGATTCTCAAATTATTAGAAGTCCTAGGTAACTGGTACAGGGGTGATTTGAAATAGAACGTCGGAAGACCTTGACTCACTGCCAAGGACCAAGGTTACACCCAATGCGTTCGAAGTATGTACCCGCTCGCAGTGGGACCCACACTTACGGAGACGTGCACATGCGAAAACCAATCTTCAACTGGGCGGCGTGCTATGAATCTCATGGCCACGTAACGTTCTTTTTCGCTGGTCGATCATGTTGATGGCACGACTACCGCTCCAAGAAGCGAGGAGGACCCCACAGTCATTCGCCTACTATATACCCCCGTACTTGTCATGAATCAGACCTTTCTTGATGTCATGAATCAGACCTTTCTTTTCCTTTTCTCGACGAGACTTGTAGTTAGTAATATAGGATGTCACGTGACTCAGACACGTGATGAGTCATGGGACCGTACCCCGCCAGCTGAACAAAACACTGCGCGGGCACAGACCATGGACCAAACAAGTACATACAACTCAAGTAGTATATATAGAGTAGACTTGTAAGCGTAGTTTCCTCAGTCTTTAGCTGGTCTATTCCTAGCTACAACACTCTAGTCTTCACTGAATCCTATCGCTTTTCGCCAAGTCTTTTCTAGTGCAGCTATTGATTGCTTGAACGACAGATCAAGTAGTTAGTTGCTGACATTAGCTAAAGACTGCCCCTTCTCGACTGTGTCTATCCCCGGCACCCTCGAGTCTCTCATCGCCCTCCGCCCTAACAAGGCAACCCTACTCGTGTTACTTACTCGTCTTATATAGTTCCTTTTCTCTTTCCCCTTTCAGTAGGTTATCCTTGGTGACGCCCCTTCTGTAGGAAGGCAGCAACCAAGAGAGCTGCGGAACTTAGGTCCAAAGCACATAGTGTAGCTCCCCTCTGTGTGGCTAACACAGTGACAACCGGGAGATAGTCTAGCTTTTCTTACCTTACCTTTTTCTTTCTCTTGCCCACGAGCCCCATTGTTCTTTTTACGATACCATGGTTCCTCCACCCACCCCCTCCCCCCTACAAATACCCCCTGCCAACGACGGCCAACCCGCCCCTCAACTCCTCCAGCCTGACCAGACCCAGGTCCAAGGTCAGCAGGTCTCCGCTTGGGACTACATGTACCAAGCCCTGGGAAGCCTTGCCGATAGTGTGGCAAACCTAGTGGCTGCCGTTTCCGGCTACCAGCCAGCCCTTGCCCAAGCTTCAGAGGCGTTGGCCCAGTCAGCCGCTGCCAGCACCCAGGTCTCCGAGGCCCTAGCCCAACGAGCCGACAAGCCCAAAACCAAACCGGACCCACCCGAAACCTACGACGGGAAACCGGAAGATGCCCAAGCCTTCCTCGATGCCTGTGTCCTCTACTTCAAGCATATCGGAGAAGCAGACGAACTACGACAAATCTCCCTATGCTCTCTCCAAAATCAAAGGAGGCACAAACGGCATGGCATCTGCATGGGCAAATTCTCAACGGGCTGAGATCATCGCTGACACCCTCGCTTACGATGACTGGAAGGGCTTCGCCAAAGCCTTCCTCGCCCACTTCCAGGTCCAGAACTCCCGAGCAGAAGCGATCCTAGCCATCCAAACCATCGAGATGGGAGATCGCTCCTGTGAGGCTTACAACACCGAATTCCGATCATATATGACTCGTTCTGGATACAACGAAGTAGCACTCATCGAGGAATACAAGCGAGGGCTAAACGGCAGGCTGTTGGACAAGTGCCACGACCAGGAAAACCTCCCCACGACCCTTGCCGGATGGATGGAGCGAGCCGCTAACCTCGATCGCCAGTACCGAATTCGTAAACGGGAGAAGGCTAGATTCAAAACGGAAAAACCCGCTCCCAAGGCAACTAGCGCTCCTCCACCAAGGCCCTCCTTCCCTTCCTTCCGACCCGCTGCCCAACCCACTCCTACTCCACCTCCCCCTCGCCCCGCCGACCCGAACGCTATGGACATTGATGCACACCGACGACAGGGTCTCTGCTTCACCTGCCACCAGAAGGGACATATTAGCCGAGACTGTCCCAACAAGACCCAGAAGTTTAACACCAGAACCATCGACATCAGAGCCCTCACGGAGGACGAACGTGCCGCGCTGAAGAAACAACTCGAGGATTTTTACACGGACCGGGAGTGAGCGCAGACTTGCCGGTCGATAGGAGTACCTTTGTCCGATCCCCATATGTATATATGCCAGAACTCGAATCACATGATGTTTACGCACGATCGAAAAGGGACAATGCGCGATTTTACGGAAAGAAAGTGGAACCGGGCTCCGCAGAATGGGTAGCCCAACGACTTGACGACTCAGAACCCTCGATGGCAAGAGGAATCCTGATGTCTTGGGTACATCCCAAAAAAAGGCAAGAGGTCACGGACGAAAAGATATCCCAGCTCAGACAGCTATTGGACGGACCAGTTGTAGAGGCCCTATGTTGTGAACAGCGGGTACGAGCCCCTATTTTTCCTTATCTTATCTTATCGCTTTCATCACCTTTTCTTCATTCTTATTTTACCTCTATTCTCGACACGGACACTTTCTCCCATGGAACACTGCCTCGTTATGCCCTTTACCCTACGTCTTATTGTTCTCTCCATTCCTGCACTGCCTCGTTACTCCGTTATTGTCTTCTTCACTCTTCGCGCAGCCTTCACGCAGCCTTCGCGCAGCCTTGTGACTCTCTTTATTGTTCTTTTGTATTTCACCATCTGTTCGTCATCTTGACTCATTGCGGCTATGTAGACTGTAGAATAGGTATATAAGCTAGGTAGATCCCTCTGTATTTCCTCAGCTTGACCTCTTCGTCAATACACCGCTTCAGCATTCATCTGCCTTAGTCGCTCATCGCTCTTATCTCGCTCTCTGCTCTCATCCGCTCCGCTCTTCTGGTCTTTGGTTTGGTTTAGTGTTCGCTCTTCGCGACATTAGGTCAAGCTACCTTTGTGCACCGGCAACGCCGATCGTTGCTCCTGCATCATCCGCATCTCTGGCCCCTGGTTGACCTGCCGATCAGGTCCCTCTCTGGCAACTCTGGTCCCCGCACTCCGTCAAGATTTCCGCCGCACCGGAAGACGCCTCCTGCCTGTTTAAACCACACTTCGTCGTTCGGGTCAGCGACGGCCACCCCATCGTCCTAGACGTCCACCTACCAAGCCTCAACCGTTGGACCGCCTGCTCTGAACAGCCCTGCCCCAACCGTTACCACGAACCTTCCGTACACGATTGGGTCTATATCAACTCCCTCAAGTTAAACGCCGAATCACTGTCCCCCGTTAATCAGCAAGCAGTTGAAGAATTCGCCCGCAACAACCCCAGGACTCCGCCCTCCGAAACGCAGCCCACCACCACTGAATCCCCAGAAACTCCGTACCAGGCCTATCGTTCCGCACACACTTCTCCCGCC